GGGGGGGGGGGAGAACGTTTCAAAGAGATCATACGATAGAGCATGGACGGGAAATGCTTCCCAGCCTCGTCCATACATCTCCTCCGTGTATATCCAGAAAATTGCGGTTGCGATATATCTGACGTGGTTGTCGTCGCTCTCATACAAGTGTCGTAGATGTGCATGCAGGCTTTGAAGCTTCTTGACCATGACGGGAAGCAAGGCGAATGGAAGTGATTTGGAAAGTGCGGTCACTATTGCTTGTGATGAGCCAAGGGGTAGTTCTTTTCCTGAGATCGGGTTGAAGATATGTGGTGTTAAATAGAATTCTAGAAGCGCAGAGACAGATTGTAGTAGTGTGGTCGGGTTTGATAAGTCTCCAGAGGCATCGAACACGGCGTAAAGCAGGTCCATGAGTTTTGGGGCCAGTCTTGGATCAGAGATCAGATCGTCCGGCGGCACGAGGAGGCCGGCCTGCTTCGTCTCGATGATGATGGCTGCGCAGAGGCCTTGGAGGAACTCGGTCAATCCCACGTTTCCAGTAGGTAGGGGGAGATTCGAGATTAGTGGAACGAGGAACGGAGTTGTAGTCGGGTCTGCGTCTGGATTCCCTAGTATGTACTCGTTTAGACGCCTCGCTGCCTTTGTTCGGACTCGTGGTGGCCACCGGGGTAGATGCGAGCTTGGGTTGCGAGCCAGCGCAGGTTTGGTGTACTCTTCGAGTAACCATCTGTCGAATGCTAGTTCATTACTTTCAACGAGGCCAGCACCATGTCCATCCGCAGGATCGGCACCCGACCATTTGCTGCCCAGGCAAAACAATGGGTTCGCGGATGGTGAGGGCATATAGATCACGCCCACTTCGACCGGGACATTTGTGATTGTCGTTGTTGCTGACGTAATGGGGATCAGAAAGGCAAGGTAGATGAACCAAGAAAAGCAGACAGTCAGTGGTAGATAGTAACTGTCAAATGTCGGACTGCTCACAGCGGGCGTGGCTACGCTGAACAAATATGCCAATGCATTCGGTGCATCTGCAATGGGAATCGTGCTGTTCTTCGGACCAAATTTCACCTCGACAGGCACCATTCTGCGTGGCGAGCCGAGAGATCCTGTGTCAGTACTTAGACGCAGTGGCAGTATGAGCTGGTCCTTGTCAGGCTCTGGAAAGAATTTGTCCAGGACCTTGACGACATCGTGGACTTTGTCTGCGGGGATTCCGTAGTCTGTTGGACTTGATCGACAGCCATGAAGCCACTGAGTGAGAGCAAGGATCGCAGCCTTTGCGTCCACCTTGCCGTCAGAATTCACCCCAAAATTCAAAACGGTTGAATCGAGTTTCCCACCAAATCCCTTGAACGAAGCCCAGGTCGACATTTCAAACGAGAGAGAGTACAGCAATGTCGTCTTCGTCAGCTGAAACCAAGAGAGCTTCCAGTAATAGACGAACCAGCAGAAGTGGTAGCTGAAGCAGGTGAAGACATCGTTCTTTGTCTTCCTCCAAACTCATCTCGCATCTCTTCCTTGCTGTCAGCTTCTGCATAATCAATCACAAAATGACAAAGTGTATCAGCGCGCGATCAATAAGCATGTATGCTCGCTTGCTCTGGCATGGAGGATTTCCACCGAAGATTCTTGCATGAAAGCGGTGTGTTACGATGCGTTACAGAAACCAGAACAGGTGGACCGCGCGACGGCAGCAGTGGCTTGCAAGCACACCAGCTGAATGAAGTGCCTCTTGATGCATGTAGATACATGTAGAAGAAGGATTAGTGCTGGAATGTAATTTCAATCCTCGAAGGTCGACGCTGCGTGGAGAGCTGGCTTGCATGGGTGGATTCGTGAGGACAGCTCAGTACGTGCGTCGTGGAACGGTGTTGATAAAAGCGGATCTAGAACGACTTCACCGGCTGGGATATGGAATCCCTGGTAAGGATCGAGTGAATGGAAGCGCACTGCGGAGACTGGTCCGGCCTATGCCCGGGATGCTACATGTGCCTCGAAGACATTATGACCAGGAGCATGAATGGACCACACCATCGAAGTCGACCGCGTGGTTTAACCAATCCACTTTTGGTAGCCGAACAGGTGGAATGGCAAAGCCACATTTTTATGTCCGAGGCAGTCTATTGCGTTGCATCTGTAAGACATCAAATTGGGCGCTCTTGCTACTTTGCAGCTCTGAATAAAACACGGTAATCCAGCGACGGTCATACAGTCCGTACTCGACAATTCAAGCTCAACAAAACTGAACTGGCGAAGTTTCTCGGCACGGTGACATCAATTCGCTAAGAATGTCGTCTGGTACTGAAGACTTACCGCCTGGTGTTGTCAGAGAAGGCGGGAACAATGTTGCAAACCCATCCCTTCCCATACCGATGCCGGTGAAAATCGATCCGTTTCCAACAAAATATACGTGGACAAACGATACTTCGCTGCTTGATATCGCCACATACTTTGACCCAGGTGCACCAAACCTCGCGGTAGACTTTGGACTCGACGGCCTCCAGCCAGTGATCAGACAGATTGATGGGGATGTCTTTCTGGTCCAAGACAAGCTCGGAAAGTTTTACAAGTGGAGCAGTCGAGATGGTCAGATGTGGCTTTTGGACGGACTTGTCGATGTGAAACAGGCAATGCATGCCATTATGAGAGACAGTGGAATAGTGAAGCAGACGGCCGTATGGAACACAAAACGGCACGAGGGGAACTGAATGGGCAAGCATAGAGTCAAAATGGTTTGATCTTGAGCTTATTCTCTGAACCATGAACCAGTTGTATGTCCCAAGATTGCGTTGTAAAGTCAATGGTACAAGACGTCCCAGGGTTGAAGTCCTCGGGCTTGGGATAGTTGGGACCAACATCACCGATCAGAACATGGAAGATCTTGCTCGGCTTGATTTGGTACACTGAATTGGGACCAGGGATGAAAGAAGCAAACATGCCAACTTTGGAGGTCGCGGACGTAGCAACGCCAAAGCCTACAACGAAATTACCTGATGACCTGGTCAGCATATTCTCTTTGGTGCCTCGACAACCGAACACAGTGGAGCAGGGACCTACTGTTCCTAGCGTCGTCGTAGGTGAAGCCGCCGTGGGTCTGGATACAGAAAAAACCCGGCTCTGCATTGACCGTTGGTATGCCAGACGTGTCAAAAGAAAGTGCGTCTTTATTGCCTGTGATGATGGAAGTCGTGCCGATGGTGGAGTCGGAGGAGCCAACATCAGAAGAGAGTTTGACAGGTTGCCTGTCCATGGTATTTATGTGAACCGCTTCGTCTTGATAGCTGACGCCACAGAAGGCGTAGAAGTTATTACGAGGAATGGTCATGGTTACAGTCCCAGTGGTTGCAGTGACGCCGCGTGCGACTAGGATAGAGTGTGAAGTGATCTTATTGGCCGTACCTTTGACACTGGGGACCTGGTTGTAAAGAGTGTATGTTTGAGTCTGACCGGACTGATTGCTGATGGCTATGGTGTATGTTTCATTGACGTTTTGGGGGGTCGTGGAGCCAAGGGTCTGACTGGGAACCATATTCGATATGAATGTATGTAATATAGGCTCTTCTGAAGCAGTCCGATCCAGACTAAGCTCAGTCGGAGATTCACCATCTGAAGATACTTCATCCTCCGCTCGCGTGGCCAAGAGTATCTTTCCGGACTCCATCCTGTGAAAGCGTCTGGCTGCAAGAGTGTTCAGAACTGCAGCTATACTACAATTCAGAGAGCGAGGGTACTGGACACTGTGCGCAAGTGGTGTCTGGGGCGGGTATTGGTCTGACACTCGGGTTGTAGTTGAAGTTGACGGGATAGAAAGTGAGAAGGATTTCGTTCAGGCAATGGTCACCTGGAAGCTCCTGCCAGCTAGTGCCAGCTGGTGCCAGCTGGTGCCAGCGGCATTCTTATGCATCAGGCAGTGGCAGCATCTTGTTGAACGCGCGGTCAATTTCAAGTTTGCCCTCAGGAGACGCGCTAGTACTATAATGGAAAGGTGCTCGGGTGGTCGGTCGCCACCCGCACAAAGCGCCGGGTGGAGCCTTGCCGCTACAACAACGCCAAAGTCTTGGCATTGGCTTTTCTTTCGTCTTTCAGTTACAACAGATACAGCCTCACGGACGCAGACAAGCACGTCGGTGTGCTAACCGGTTCAAGGCACTCTGCTTCGCTTCCTTGCACGCCTTCCGTCCACGAGACAGACTTTAGTTTCTACATTGACCTGCAAGTCTAAGATGTGGAAAGTCTGGACCACCTCGCGTCCATGGGTGCCAGTCACTAGTCTCAGCAATGAAGAACGCCACAAGCCATATCATCAGCTGAAAACGTCTCCTTTTCAACTGCCGGCTGGCTAAGAGTTTGACCTCCGCTCATCCCGGGCGACACCTAACATCACTGCATCTCAAGTAGCATGGTTCACAACCGAGTCAAGAAGGCTTGACACCCGGCAGCATCCTCGGAATCCACTGTCCCTTCACTGCTCGTGAGTAGTCCAAGAGACTTCAGCATGAGCTGGACGACCAAGGACCCATTGCTCTTTCTTCTCTACGTCGGGCATGGGGCTGCATCTAGACCTGTACACTCCACCAAACTATGCAGATATCCATCGTTTTGCAGTGCACACCGCTCCTTCAGTATCTTTTCATCAGCTCCCGGACTTTACGCCTTCGCCCACCTATACTCCTTGGAATTCCATTCATCAATGCTCATTGGGCGCGTCTCCATACTTCGCGAGACTTTCGAGGCACACGCTGTCACCTTCTGCCTGTGGCAAGCAGATGTCCAGCTGAAACACTTCTGCAAGCTTGTGCTCAAGGTTGAGGGAAGTATCGACCCGAGCCGACTTCTCTGACTTGGCAGCAATTACTTTAGTTCACGTGCTTGAGACTTCAATCTCCCATGATGTTCCACAAGATTTATATAAAGACGAGCCCGTCGCCAGATATCCAACGAACATTGCACACCATCTCAATTGCAGATCTAAATATTTACAGACGGGAAAGCACACCTAGACTTCTCTCTCAGTATCTTTGATCATCTCAGACGACATCTCTTGAACTTTCAAAATGGTCAACAAGTACACTCTCGTCATCAAGAACTTAACTGGAGCTCCCCAGAACTACAGTTTCTTTTCCGCCAACCCCGTCATCTCCGGATCTGCCACTGGTCCGATTTGGAGCAATGTTCTCAAGGCTGCCAACAACACACCAGACGGTGGCACTGCCACTCTTGAAGTCTGGCACAACTACTACGCTGTCTGTGGAAGTTTCGATGGAGATCCAGCAACTGGTGCAAAGGTGAGTATCGGCAAGTCAGTGGGCATCACCCTTGGTACCGAGACGGCATTGGGCAGCACTATCGCTTTGACGGTCGTGGACGGATCAGCTTGTGACCTTGGACCTCCAACCGACCCAGGAAACGGCAAGATCGGCAATTTTCAGCTCACAACAGGTGGCAAATTTACTTTCCAAGATGCTAAGAACAGTAAGTCCAGGGACCAAGATGTAGTGGAATTGAAGCTGACACGATAACTAGATAACCTGCTGGTCGGCATTGGCACTTCCAAAGACGGGAATGTAGCCTCCGCACTCGGGACTTTCATCCCAATGCCGTCATCCACGTACCAGATACAACCTTCGGTCATCTACTACGTGTGCTGCGGCTCCAAGTTCGAGGTCGGAGCAGCTGTTAAGGTTGAGCAAATGGGCAAGACCCTGTCTGTCAACTTCGACCTTCGCAAGACCAATTCTGTCACCGTGAATCACGATGCACATCAGAACTTTGTCTTCGCTTGATCAACGGGCATATGGATAGATAGCTTATCACGGTAACCAGTCAGATGGAGTGAGGCAGTAGAAGCCTGAGGAGTGTTTCTTAGATTGGATGACGAGATCAGCAGAGGAATACCGAAGTCTTGAGTCCTGCCTTCCTTTCTCCCTCTGAAGCCTTGACGTCCGATCCTCGCGTACATGCGACTAGCATGGGTAATTTCTGCATCCAATGATTCAATTGTAGGATGATGTGCTACAGACTTTCCACTGCCACCATCGTTGTGCGAGGAACGTGGCGCTTGCCGCTTCACATGTGGGGTACTCATTACTGGCCGTCGTAGAGATCCTTTCAAAATCCTCTCCCACTGGTGGCACCAGCTAAATGAGTGCATGCACAGTGCGCCTTTGCGACAAATTAGCCTCTTCACCTCGTGACCACCACGGTGTCAGTGCCGAAAAAAAGGCGGCTTGACGTGTATATATATGAGTCACACAATGCCCCCCATCTTTGAAATTCTCCTACTTGTCCAAAGCCGAAGCAAAGGTTCCCTGGTTACACTCCTCATCCAGAATGGCAAACGTATACAAGATAACAATCGCGAACCAATCCGGGAAGCAACAAAGATACGCCCTCTTTGCCGAAAAGCCCGCCGTCACCGGCACCCCACAAGAAGGCCTGCAGCATGTCTTTGCAACGGCTCACACAGCCAGCGATCAGATAGCCTTCATCGAGATCCACCGACAGTACTACGCCATGTGTGGCCTTTTCGAGTCCTGTCCTGGTCGAGGTGTGAACGTATCGGTCGTTGAACGACGCGAAGTCACACTGGGCATCGTACATATGGATGGTACACAGAGTCCCGGAACGACCTTGTCGATGACCGTCATCGATGGTGTCCCTCAGTTTCGACAGGAGATGACCTTGAAGTCCGCTGCAAACGCTTTCGAGATCGATACGGACGATTCATTTACATATGAGGAAGCCGTCAAGTGTAAGATGCTGCGTTCCCGAATTTTGATGGACGAGAGACTAACAACTTCTAGATAACTATGCGATCGGTGTAGGTGGGCCGGCTCGGGGTGGTGATACAGGTGCTATCTTCACCTTCACGCCGCATCCGAACACTGTGTATCAATTATCCCCGACGAACACCTTCTTGGTCACGGCCACTGAGCTTGAGATCGGGCAGTTGGTCGATCCTAGCACTCTGGGTAAAACGGTAGAGGTTGATTTCACGAAGGAGGTCAGTGGGCTGGCCGTCATCGTTCATGGCGTCGATGATAATCTCGTGATCCAGCATTAGTGTGTTGCCATCGCCCACGTTGCTTTTCTCTTCGAAAGTGCGAGGTCGGCTTCCAAGACAGTCGTCAAAAATGATTTGAAGGTGGAGCAGACATGGTTTCCTGCTCGTGTCAACCCTGAAGTCCTGTGCTCATTACTTGCCTAAGGGATTGGCTGAGATTGAGTCTAGATCCAAGGCGTGAGCTGATTTATTTTCCCACTCAAGAACCAAACAGTTCGGCCGTAAACTGTCATGTGTTCTGCTTGTAGGTCGTGTCGTTTGTAGACTCAAGCTGAAAGCTGAGAACGTAATGTGAGAATCTCAGCCTTTGCTATGTTGTACAAAGCATGTGTAGGTTCGGAAGCGTGCAAGGATACATACTGCATGAGCTGCCGAGTCATCCTAGCAAAGCCTGTCTACCCACTTCACTTGCACTAGTAACATCACGCTACATCATCTTTCTCGTGGCAGTGAATTTCCACTATGTCCTCGTATCATGCTGCTTAGGAAAGTCGGAAGAGTTTGGCGCCATCCGATGCGTTTTGCTTGTGAAGGTGTCCACAATATGCCAGTACGCTGACAACCTACAGACGACCGGTCAAGCTGACGCAGAGTATAAACCGAGGGAAACACACGATCTGAACATGCCCAATCGTTCATACCATCGACCTAAATTCGTGACAATCATCTCAACCTCAACCTACAGCAAAGATGCCTCGCTTTTCGATCAAGGTCAGCAACAGGTCTGGCGCGACCAACAACTATGTCCTCACCCAACAGCTACCCGATATCACTGGGGGCTGCGTCAGGCTCATATCCCATCATCATCTCACATGGCAAATGTCCCAACGGAGCGTCTGCCACATTCCAACTCGATCGTCCCACCAAGTACTATGCCTATGCCATTACATCCGATGGCAACCCCCAATCATGGCGGGTATCAGCACGTCCATGGACCGATGACGTTCGCGGCGTCGACGTTGACATGGGGCGAGCCAGTCGTAATGAAAGAAAATAAAACGGCCCGATTCGCGCCGTACTTCATTTTGTCTGTGCTGTTCGAGGACCGTTACGGAAAAAGGAGAAACCCGGCGGACTGCGCACAATCACGTTCCTGGTGACCGGTGCAGAAATCGCCCCATGCACTCTCACGCGCGAGCCCCCAGAAGCATATTTTGTAACTGCGCAAAACTTTGTCGAACAGGAGAGGACGGGTCATTCGGTCGTAGTTCAGCTCAGTCCCAGCTTCAATAGGTTTGCTGACCGGGATCGCTATTCACATCGGCGTTCGCAATCGGCTCCCAGCCGTTCCCCTCCGCTTCATCAAAGACTTCCGCCGCGGTTTTCTTCCTCTTCGGCATTGGGAAACAGCGAGCAGGGCAGGAAGCGCCGAAGGAAAGACGAGCGTCGAGAGGGAAAGGAAAAGAAGACGATTAGGGAGGGAGAATCAAAGTACAACGAGAAGCTAGTACAGTACGTTTAGATAGTCAGAAAACTAGATAGAAGGAGTAATTCACACGATAAGTAGAGGGAGGGTAAGGGGAAAATGTGAGGACCGAGAGAGAGAGAAGAGGGGAGCGGGAAAGGGAGAGAGGACAGTGAAAGAGGAAGAGGAAGAGGAAGAGGAAGTGAAACATTGTACTATAGACTAGGGGAATTCAGTTAACCCTAACGAGTATTCGGGGATTATATATATACATATATATAATACTAGAGACGCCCCATGAAGGACGTACGCACTGAGAACTTAGGTATGCAATATCGTCTGCAGGGTTAAGCGGCAGGCCTGGATTTCAAGCAGTTGCACTTTTCAAGTTCCAAGGTATCATTACAAAGACTCAAGCCGAAACCAGAATGTTCACTCAGTTGAAATTAATTCTTCCTGAGCAAGAAGAGGATCTACGTATGCTCGGGCATGACATGCACGGCGGTTCTTTTTGTTTACCACCTAGTAGACATAACCCGAGGTGTGCTCGCTCACTATGGGAAATGGACTCAATACAATCAAAAATCAAACTCGACCGGCCTGGCTCGGAGGAGTGATGAGACGGACCAAGGTCCCCTTGGACGTCTCGTCGGGCCTAGATACACAGGCTCATTCCATGCAATGTATTTCCCACCCGCTCCATCAAACGCCCGTGAGAGATAGAACCACAGTCACAGACTTTGCATGACCCTTGAAACAAAAGAACAAAGAGACATAAACCACTCATTAAACACATGCCAACAGCCAGCCAGTCAGTCCCATCAGATTGGCACAGAGTCTAAGGATGATGACGTCTCGGCCTCGATCGACATCCACAAGTAGGATCTAATGGGATCCAGGATATCATCAGCTCATTGGGCGTCATGTCTGTGACCCGAGTGTGGGAGGGTCAACAGCTACTGATCAAGTCCGCGGGACATCAGTGCAACAGTAGGGGAGGATGTCGTTGCCGGTGCGATCCTGTCGTAATGGAGGATGGCAGCATCTTCCAGACGCAGTGGGCCCGTAATGGCATAAAAAGATAGGATGAAGCTCGACGCCCCTCAGATCGGCTGCATTGTTTTAGCTCACGGCATAGTAGGGACTTCTTGCACGCCATTTCTCAAATGTAAGAGCGAGATGACAAGCTCACTGGACATTGTCGGCAACATACGGCAGGTGGAAGTTCCGGTGTTCACAACTCCTGCAGCGCAAACACGTTTTGATCGCCAACAGAAGAGCAAGGACTGCCTACGTCGACAGCATTCTCGAGCTGAAGATCAGCTTTCTCATTCTCATCCTTTGCACTCTCGCTTTCCCAGATTTCGATTTCGACGTCACCATCGGCGTCGGCACGTGCAGAGTGCGCGTCAGTAAATGGATAGCCAGGGGCTTCAGCCTCGTCAAGTAGTGTGTCTCCAAGTGGGTTCGGTGCGGCAGAGCTTAGTATCTCAGCAAGGCTTGGTGCGTTTAGTTCTTGGATGACCTTTGCAGTTGACGACAGTGAAGCGCTGGTGGTGGGTGGTTGGAAGGTAAAGTCATGACGCTGCTTAGTCTCGTCGCCTTCGACATCAGTTTCTGCCTCCTCGTCATCATCTTGCACGAGAACCACACTGGTGGCATCAAGGCCTTCGGCATAGAATTCTGCTGGATTGAGATCTGCAAGCGGGCTTCTTGCTTCATCGTCATTCATCTTGACTTCTTTCTCCTTGGCCTTTTCGGTGGCGGCCACGGCGTTGGCAGCAGCAGTCATAGACCTAGTCATAGGTGCAGTTACCTCGTTGGGATCAATGTTCTCCTTGCCTCTATCAGCAGACGACTTCTTGTGCTGACTCTTGCTCTCATCATCACTGATATCCAGTCCCGTCGCGCTCTGTGTCATGGTCCATTCGTTCATGCGGTAATCTTGCGCCTCCTCGGTCTCCTCATAAATGTCGAAGAACCATGACTTGGGCTTACTGGTTTCGATTGTAGCCTTGTTGAGCTTGCGGGATTGAGCACGTGCTTTCTTTGTACCATTCAAGGCGGCGGACAGGGACAGAGATGGAGAATGGGTGGCACTAGAAAAGGGAGGTGGATTGAAACGCTTCCGCGACTGAAGAAGAGCAGAGCGTTGACGTATTGGCGAGCGGCCTGCTGCAGGTGCTGAGGCAGGTGTAGTAGATGGCTTGACAAATGTATCAAGGCGTGGAGTAGAGACAACAGCGGTACTGAGACGAGGTTTGGATGGTGGGACAGTGGTTACGTTCAAGGAGTAGCGATGTGTCTTTGCAAGTGAGACATCCTCATCGAAGGAGGATCTCTTGCGTTTGTGCAGCGAGTCCAGAATGCTTGGGTCAATGTTCTCGCTGTCTGAGCCTCCTTCGAGGTCGGGAGAGACAGCTCGTCGCTTCAGTGAGGTCGGAGCAGAGTTCGGTGTGATAGCTGAGGGGAGAGGTTAGTCTAATAGGTCTCCATTGAAGAGACAAGGGTTGTGGTCAAGCCCTCGACGCGAGGAAGGTGAATGCCACTTACCATTTTGTCGATTCTTCACACTTTGCAAGCTTCTCAACTTGGATTGATTCAAAATGCCAAATGGCTGACGAGCGGGTGTGGTGATTGGAGCTAGAGCAGCCATTCTGATGGTGCTTGCTTCCTCAGCCTCTCAGGCAATGTTTTGGTTGAGTAGAGTGAATGTCCGATACCAATGTGTGGTAGTCTATGGTAGACCTGAGCTGATGTCTCTGCAGGTGTCAGTCGTCTGAGTCTTGGTGGGGATATATCATGCATTAGAATGCACCCAGAGAGCTGTGAGAGGAAGGAACGTTGGGCAGCAGAAGAGCGGAAGAAGAGGGTATATGGCAGTTGAGGGAGCTTACCAGGCGCTATGACCAAGCTGGCGCAGTAAGGGAGCCGTTCTGGACGCGGGGTCAGTGGTTGAACGCGAGATCCTGGGCGAAGAGGGAAGAGGTACGAGTAAGACAGGTTAGGTTGGGGAGCTACTGCAGGTCGGCGAGCAGATGAAGAGGATCACGACGCGTCCTCAGGCAGCGATTGGGTTGTCGGGGGCGACCGAGGGCGGATAGTGAAGTGCAGATTGTGCAGAGACAGGGAAGTGGGAAGTGGGAAGTGGGAAGAGGGACGAAGGTCGAGGATATGGGATGATGTTGATCGGGGACGCGTCAAGTGGAGTCTGTGTGAGAAGAGACGCGACGGGCGGGCAGCGGGAAGGTGAGTGAAGAGGCTGAATGAGGGCCAGCAATTTCCGGAGTGAATCTACGTGCACACGAAGGCATTCAGCTTCTCATTCACTGTGCATATGCTGATAGAGGTGAATATTGTCGTTGAGTGTTCTCTGTTCACACCATCAACTCATTGCACTGATAATGACGACCACGTTGGGTGTTGATTCTCTCTCACTTGTCCCTCATGTCAAGTCTGTACCGAGTACCAGAGAACGCGCCTCCCATTGGCCTCGACCATCGACCGCCTTGGCAGCCCGGACCATGACCTCGATGGTTTCACTTTCTCGCCTGCAACCTCCAAACTGCAAACCCCCCTCCAATCGACACCAGCAAGAGTAAGGCTGATGAAGGCAATCATGGCCTCGTCGCTGATACACTCCTTTGTCGGCCATATGCCCGGCCAACCTCGCCACTCCCGTGTTCTTGACCGGGACACAGCTGACACCTGGAAATCCGCAAACAGATGTCTCACCTCAACATGAACGCGCGAAGATATAACCGCCGTGTCTTCTCTGGCTTTCTGGTTCTATTAACTCTGCTTCAAACAATCTCTGAGACGAAGACTGCTCCTTCTCCTCCCCGTCATGCAGCCCGTAGGGACATGGGCACGAGGCCGGTGCAAACGAGAGCTAAGATGCCGGCACGTCATCACTGGCCATGGCCGCCCAGGGTCAATGTTGGTCAATGTTGCAAGCACAGACTCGCTTGCCTCTGCAGCTGCGGAGTCTCGTGGTTGTCCATTGCCCAATCTACATCTATGGTGCTACCTGGTTTGCCAATTCCTGGTTCAAACCTCCTCGACACTACAGTTTCGCCTTTGGCTCGGTCACGTCAACCAGGTTCTCGTCCTTGGCAAACTGATAGTAATAGTTCAGACTCTCGGGATTCAGGAGCGTGCCAGAAGGCTTGATGACTTTGCCCGAGACGATCTGTTTCACAGGTAACTCGACCTTCTTCAGGTTGACCGTCGTCTGAAGAGTCCATTATGTCAACCACTCGTCTCTGATAAGCTAGGTGCAGGGCACTTACCGGAATTTCTTTGGTCTCAAAAACAAATTTGGGCACATGCCTGGGACTGGTGGCCTTTCGGATGGCCTCCTTGACTTCTCTGACGAGCTGAGGCGTGAATGCATGACCCGGCTTCATCAATAGGAACAATATCACCCTCTCATCTTGGTCTTGCGGTCTCCTCTGCCCAATACAGATGCTGTCGCTAATTTTGTCCGCAAACTTGGCTTCGATGATGCTGTATATCTCGGCAGAGCCAAACCGGACGCCACTGGGGTTCAACACGCCATCAGCCCGGCCCAGGAACATGACTTGTTTCGTGTCTGGATGGATCATAATGAAATCGCCATGTGTCCACACATTATCAAATCGTGCAAAGTAGCTGTCAAAGTAGCGCTGCGGGCCATTCTCCCCCAAAAAGGTGATGGGCATCGTTGGGAATGCTTGATTCGCGACCAGTTCGCCAGGCACTCCATCTTCGACTTCGACTCCTTGACGACCCTCGACGGTCTGATCGTACACCTTGACCGGGACACCCAGAGAAAGACACTGGCAACCGCCAACATATAGTGGCAGAATTGGATTGCCTGTCCCAAAGCACGCTGCGAGGTCAGTTCCGCCTGAGATGTTATCCAACTGTACCGAAGGCGGGAACCCTTCGTCATAGACCCATTCGAACAGTTGATCCGACAGGACCATACCCGTGCTGGTGATGACCTTGAGATTGCTCAGATCTGCCACTTTCTTGGGTATGACGCCGTTGGTCTGCAGTGTCTGCAGGTATCTCGGACTGATACCCAGATGCGTCACCTTCTCTTGTGCCACCAACTTGAGCAGATTTGTCAGGTTGGGCACAAAGGGACTCCCGTCATACATGACCATGGAACATCCTGTGATCAAAGACTGCACGCTGGCCAGATACATGATCCACCCCGTCGTGGTGTATTGCAGTTGTCTCGAGTTCGCGTTGATGCACCTGTGCAGCCTGTACTCTTTGTGGCCCGAGACGACGACCCCTCCGATCGCATGCACAATGCATTTCGGCTGCCCTGTCGTCCCCGAGGAATAGACCACCAGAAAAGGGTCTGCAAAGTCCGTGTCCTCAAACTCCAACTTGTCAGACTTTGCGGCAGAGATGAAATTCGCCCACGTCCTGGCTCGCGGCACGCTCGAAATATCCGCGGGCGAATGCTGGAAGCGAGCTTGCGAGATAATGCCTTGAAACTCGTCCACACCTTGCATTCCGGCCATGATGTCCTTCATCTTGGGCCGCAGATCGATCTTCTTGCCATTGTACACGGCCCAGTCGTCCATGAACAGATATCGAGGCTTGATCTGGGTGAGTCGATCCAGGATCCCCTTGACGCCCATGTCCGTCGAGCTACTGCTGAAGAGGGCGCCCAGCGTCGTCGTCGCGAGAAAGACTGTCAGCGTGTCAAGACAGGTACTGGCCACCAGCGCGACGCGATCTCCCTTCTTGACTCCGTGAGCCCTCATCGCCTGACTTAACCTGCCGACCCTCTGCCTCAGCTCCCTCCAGGTGACGCGCCTGATGGGCTCTAAGAAGCAGCCTTCCCGGACCTCAATGCAAGCAATCTTGTCGTCCGCCTTTGCGGCATCGATGACCGGCCGTCCGTCCTTGTCGCCAGAGAAGAGGATGTTCTGGGCAAAGTTCATGCGCACGCCCGTGAACCAGCGCGGGATGGAGTCCATGCGGGCGGATTCGTCGACGACGGGGTCTGGAACGGTGCCAGAGTAGACGATGGGGAAATATCCGAAGACATGGCGCCAGAAGGCCGATCGGTGGGTGACGGAGAAGTTGTACAAGGCGTCGTAGTTCTAGTAGAAAGTGCCGAGTCAGTTCGATCCAATTCGAAATCCAAATCAAACATGGCTGCCGAAGCAGGTCTGCCATTGTTATTCGCTCTGAGAACCCGATCCAGCACGCGCAACGATCGACAACGTTCCCACAAAGACCATATCCCAGCGTTCAATCCATAGCTCAACCCCCGCATGGGGTAGGTAAAAAAGCAAAGAGACCGAAAACAACCCCAAGAAGACAAGCGAGCAGTGCGTAGGACGAGGTCATAACGTCCCATTTCCATCCCCATTCCCTATCCATATCCCTCTAGGTGCCAGAGTTTCCACAGCAAGCTGGATACCTAGGGTAGACAAGCGCAAGTTGTGGAAAAACTTTAATCACATACCTCGAATTTCCTCCCCGTGGCCCTCTCCAAGCTGAGCTTGAACTTCCACATATCTGTGCTCTCCGGGTCCGGATGCTCCCACAGTTTGCGGGGGATGGGATGCTGCGGCGACGGCGACGTCATGTTGACTCGATTTCGCTGGGCGGAGATAATAGGTAGCTGGTCCTTCCTTCACCCCTTCCTCTGATGGATATAGGACACGTATATATATATATATATATACGTATGTATATGAATATATACACACACTCGGGGATGAAGTGCCGTCTGACCGCGGGCAAAAGTACTTCCCTCGCCACTGTCGTAGTTGTGGTAGTCGTCCCGTGTGCGTAGCAGATCCGGGTATTGATTGATTGGGAAGCAAAGTTAAATGCGGCGGAGATGGGCAGATTCAGTCGTCAAGGCCCGACCGTCACCCGGTGGAAATTGTGAGCGCTGCGAATCAGGGTGGGAGTTGAAAGAAATTTGCAATGTTCTCTCTTCCTCTGTCTCACGTACGAATATATTCGTCTCTTGTATATACTGTGCTGCAGCACGTCAAGTGTGCGATGGTGTGGTGGAATGGAAGGGAGATATATCATCTACGGAGGGGCGGCAATCACATACCGAGTGCGTGGGACAATATTTTAATAAAAATGTCCTCCGCATTCAAGTTCGAACTAATACCGTGGCCCACCCACATTTACATCTCATATATTACCTGCACCTCCGGACCCGGTGGAAAGCTGTGTTCTGAAGGGCGCGTTTACCTCCCCATTAAGCAGCCTAGCAATCGGCGGTGCTACCAGGCTCGCTCTTCAGTTCCAATCACGAGCTGCTAATGCCAGCTACAAATACAACAGCCTCGGTATTGCCCCATAAGCAACACAGAGACGGGGCAGTGTGGGGGAAAAGGGCGACCCCAAGTGTCGTGCATCGGCTAGGAGCCCTGGTTCTTCCGCGAACCTGGACGGCTAAGGAGTGGCTCTCTGGCTGTGTGTGGCTGATTAGAATCAGCCCATCTATCTCTGACAAATGCTTGCACTGTTGCAAAAGGTTCCGAGGTCCAGGCAGAGAAACCGTGTTCGCGTGGACAGGTATTCAGCGAGTCAGGAAAACATTTCTGTGAACGATACAATGGCGGAAATCATATGGAGGCCCAGAAGATTCGCTTCCGAAGTGCATACCTTTGTAACTCGTACGGGTTCAGCCCTCATTTCGGATCCGATCAGGTTCTGTAGTTGAGGCGTCTGGTTCCGTCAACGAGAGTCGGACACGGTGCTCGGCCTACAGCAAACTTGGCTGGCTCAGGTATAATAATACAACTGTGTTGGTTGGGTTACTATCCACGTATCGGCAGGCTTGCCACCTCCTTGGCCGGTTCACCTGCCCAATGCCCAAGTACCTAGGTAGGTAAGAATATCCCCGACGCACTGGTACTCGAGCAGACCTGCCCCTAGCATTCTTATTGCCCTTTTCCAGTGTTGTTCGTTTTCGCCACCGCCGTATGAACTAAATGAGCATCTTCCGTGTTGCTGCGTCTCGGTCTTGTGGATCCCAATCGCGCCGTTATACTCTGGTTGCGTTGGATCGAATATCGTCTATCAACTGCGAAGGTTCATCGTAATTGGTGCTGGTGCTGATTTCGCACCTGGACTTGCAGTGCAGAGGAACTGGAGGGGTTGGGATTGGATCTGCTGAACCGGGGCCAGAGATCACGCGCGTATGATTTGGTGACTGTCGTTGATTATGATCACCACTGAGGGTGGACCGTTTGGCCCATTTCCTCAGGGTGGCCAAAGTGACCGGAAGAGCGATAGACGAGCTCTCCCGGCCGCTGCTCCTCCTGGACCTTTTCTTGTCTGCATGATCTCTTTCCTCTTGGCCAACGACGGCATTGAGAGTCACCATGTTTGCTCTTCGCCTCTCCACGATGGGGTCCTCGACCAATGTGAGGCTCGATCGGGACGATGCAGAGGCAGATACAACCTGGGTACGTTGCGTGTCTTCGATCTCGGCTGCTAGCTTCTCGATGAATTTTTGATCGCCGCGTTTGCTGCAGCATCTGGCTGAGATCAACCCGCCCAATGCCGAGAGCAAGGCGAACCCGACAATGCTACCGAGGACAATGAAGAAAATCCAGTAGCTGTGTTCTCCGGCCTCCCTGGGTTCGAGGGCGATTCCCTTTCCTGCCGAAACACTTGGTGTCGGTCGGATAGGTATAACTGGCATGGCGATGGGTGGAAGGCTGAGATGAGGTATCGAGTGGAAGGCTTTTAGGAATTGGAGAAAAGGGGACAAGCGAGTGCAAACGATGTTGGGGCTCTAAGCTGGAGAGCAGTGCGTAGATGAGCTCCCCAGATGCAGCAACAAATCACATAAGAGATATGACAAGCGACGCAGTGCAACAGTAACGGTACAAAGCGATGAAACAATAGCTTGATGAGAAGAGGCAAGGAAGAGAATGCTCAAACAGACTCAGACTTTGAAGGTCAGGAATAGGAGTTGATTGCGCCTGCCAACATTGTAAGTGTCCAGAGCTCTTGACCTGCCTCGACCTTTCCCCTTCTCTTGTCCCATTTTATGCCGAAACTGGAAGCTGGCCTTTTTTGGCGGATATGTACACTGTGGCCCAAATCGTCGGTGGCCACTTTCCAATATGTTTTGATCGGAAAAGTTTTCATGTCTTTCAATATGTAGTCTTGAAGGAAGCGAAGACGAAAATGTGTTGCTTTTTATTCCAACGACGCAGCGTCTCTCACGCCTGGGTCCAAAGAGCTGTTTCTTCTTCTTCTTTCGGTTGGGTCGTCTCTCATTTCGACACCGGGACCGACAGGGTGGGATGATCGATGGCGCGGCCATACCTGCGAGTAAAAAGGTTAAGTACTAGACGACATGGCGAAGTCATGGGGTCGCTCAATGGCTCACATTTGTTGAACTCCAGCCTAACCGGAAAGCAAACTCGTGGGCTAGAAGCTCACCAAAACCCAGCATCATGCCGTTGACGAATGGCAGGACGAGGTTTATCGCAGCTCCTCTCAGTATCGACCATATCGTCGGCGGCTGATATATTACAACTGGCTGCGTGCCATTATTATCTGACGATTGAGGCGGTGAAGAAGATGGCGGTGACAGCGACGAATATGGCTCGGAGTCAGAGGGAATGGTCAATTGAGAGCCCGACAGATCTTGTGGAGGTGAAGGCGATTGATCGTGACGAGAAGCCATGACGGAAAGTGTGAGGGTTCGTTGTAGAAGGGGGAACAGACGGTGACGAGATGTGGAAGAGCAGTCAAGAATTCCGCAGTCGGCTATTCATTCTTCATCAAAGGAGCGACATGAATCGAAGAAGGTCGAGATATGTGTGGATTGCTCCTCTTCGGAGCTCGACAAGGGAGCTGATGTTCGTTATACTGATTTCTAGCAGGTTGAATGGAAGCTTTCGGTAGAATTGCTGTCGCTTCAAAGATGTTCCAGGCACGAGATTCACGGCCCAACAAATCAGGATCTGGCAAGGCTGCTTAAGTAAGAATGAGCTATGCCCAGAGTCTCCCGATCAGGGAGCCTACTAGGCTGCGAGCAGGTGCCAGTCTTGCCTAGTAGCCTGAGGCCGGGGGGACTTGGGGGGGCTAAGTAGGCGACCTCTTGTGACGTACATTCTCAGCTGCCTCGTGGGTGCCTCGCAAACGCCGTCTTTGGTCCGTTTACACCTGTTCAGTTCACCAGTGATTCTCTTCACTGTCACTTTTCGATTATCTCGCTTAAGGCAACACCCAGGGATCAGTAAATTCTCGCTACCGTTACAATCTTTACTATTTTGACATCTACCACTCTGCTTGTGCGAATCCTCTTCTCCAATCTCCAAAAGTTCTCACCACCATGGCGAATCCCGATCCTGCAGAACAAAATGCCTTGATTGCGCAGTTCACTGCGATCGTGGGAACATCTGCTCGACAAGTAAGATACCCGACGTCGTATCGGGTGTAAGTTCAATTGCTAACCGTTCACTTAGGCTCATCAATTCCTTGCCGCAAACGATTGGGAACTCGAGGCTGCCGTGTCGAATTACTACGCCGCTCAAGAAGATCACACCGAGGACAATGCCGATGATTCAGACTACGTCGATGAAGAGGATGCAGACTCCTCGCATCAAGCCCAATCTCAACCCCCACATCCTGCCTATGGCGCAGGCCGGAGACTGGGGGAGGGTCCTACAGATTCCCAACCCGTGCCCGTTGCCGCTGCCTCAGCTTCAGGCTCTTCTCAGCCCAAAACCAACCCATCTTCGCAGAAGAAGTTCGCCACTCTCGGTGACTTCTCTTCAGGCGGTGCTAACGGTGACGACTCGGATGATGACGATAAACAAGATCTGTTTGCTGGGGGTGAAAAGTCAGGCTTGGCAGTGCAGAATCCAGACGACCTGAGGAAGAGAATTCTGGAAAAGGCTCAGAAGCGCGGTCCTCCGCCGAAAGAGGCTGCTCCCAAGAAATCATACTTCTCTGGTTCAGCACGCACCCTGGGAGGTGACGATACACCCTCACGCGAGATCCCCGCTGCACATCAACCTCGTGGAAGAGCCGAGAGAGTCGAACGAGTGCTGCATTTCTGGCAGGATGGTTTTAGTATAGACGATGGGGACTTGTACAGATTTGACGACCCTAGGAACGCTGAGATACTCAACTCGATCCGGCAGGGACGTGCACCGTTGAACATTATGAATGTCCAACCAGGCCAGGAAGTGGATGTGGAAATCAAGCAGCATGAAGAGAAGTATGTCAAACCGAAGAAGCAGTATAGGCCATTCGAAGGATCCGGTCAACGTCTTGGGAGCCCCACGCCTGGAGTGCCATCGATGCCTGGAAGCTTTACCTCAGAAACTACGGCACCAGTACCCGCACCCGCCTCTGCAGCTCCTCCAACTACCGAAGTGGACGAGTCGAAGCCAACCGTCACATTGAGGATCAGTCTAGGCTCGGGTACGCGACTGACTTCGCGCTTTAACACAACCCAGACGATTGGAGACGTGTATGACTTCGTTCGACGAGCCGAACCGGGCGGCAGAGACTTTGTTCTGCAAACCACCTTCCCCACAACAGATCTCACAGACAAGACCAAAGTGCTCGGGGACATGGCAGAGTTCAAGAGGGGAGGTGCTGTTGTTCAGCGATACATCTAAATCAACGCGAGCATTGCATCACCTTGGCGTTGTGACTGGAGACGAGCTTCAGGAACGGACTGGGCAGGAGCGGCAAATTCTTGAGAGCTGTCGGGGATATACTCCAGGGTGAGCGTAGGAAAATCAGCATGGCAACAACCATGATAAAAAGCTTCTTGTGATGGAGAGATTAGAAATAGAAACACCGTTTCAAGGCAATCTGCTTGCCAACATCCAAGCTCGCAAGGTCGACGTGCGGTGCAGCTTTGATGCGGCTTTGGTGCGGAGGACTGGTAAACTCGGCGCACCTGCCTTCATACGATGCCCTGTAACTTTTTATGCTCCGATCCCATCTGCAAGCTGTGACCTGATATTCCCGCGTGCGACACTTTCCACAGCAACACCGTGTCCAGCATGTCAATATCCATGGGGTTGAGGTGGTCAGGTCGGGAGATTCGTAGGGTTCAAAGAAAGGTGGTTGTCGGCGCCGGAAATGGACGATCCGTACGAAGCTGCTGCGACTTGTCAATGGATCTGAACACTAACTGTGACAGTTCTCCCATTACACCTTGAATTCTAGGTCCATACGAAGACTAGACCCCTACTCAAGTCGATTGAACTCGTCGCAGCAGGTTCGATCGCTTTCACTCTTTGGCTGGGGCTCTAGCAAGCCATCCGGCGAAGTTGCACAGCCCTCTCAACCGACTCCTCCGCCAGCAGCAGAAACCACTGCGCAAGCATCGGCACTCCCCTCGCAACCGACAATTGAATCAATACGAACAGTCAAAGCCTCGCACTCCACCTCCGACGCTGCTGATCCGGCAATTCCCACCACGGCCCAACCAGATGCTCTGCAAAGCATCGAACAGTCGGTTCTGCAAAGTCAAGACAATACATCCGCAGCAATCGCGGCAGCCAGTGATGCACCAGACCTAGCCAGCGTCCCAGAAGGCCTTGGATACCTGAAGGATGTCTGTGGCCTTGACTTCGGCTATGGTCCGACTGCCCTCATGCAGTTCTGTCTGGAACACATTCATGTAACGGGCGGACTCTCCTGGACGGCATCGATACTAGCCCTTGTGTTCCTCATCCGAAGCTCAATTTTTCCGCTTGCAATCACGGCGTCAGACATGACGGCCAAATTCCAAGAAATCAGTCCCCTCATAAAGCAGATCCAAGCAAAGAGTCAAGAGGCTTTGGCAAACCATGATCGCACTACGGTCTTGGAGGCACAGATGCAAATGAGAGAGCTCAGGAAAGACGCAAAGCTCTCTTTCACAAAGATGTTCCGCCCCATATTATTTCAAATTCCCCTTGGTTATGGAGCATGGAACCTCCTAAGAAGCTGTTCGAATTTACCCGTGCCGGCGTTCGAAGCTGAACACTTCCTATGGTTAAGTAACATAGCCGTGACTGATCCATTCTATATCTTGCCTATAGCCACTGCAGCACTCACTTGGCTCAACTTAGCCACCACTCAAAGATCCAACAGTGGACAGGCTCAGCTTCCCGGCATGGGCGTGGTCCGAAACATTATTCCTTTCATGACGGGCGCCTTCCTTGCATTTCAACCAGCCTCCGTTCAGATCTATTTCCTGGCCAATGGCTTTTTCACCCAGCTGCAACTTAGCGCCCTACAGAACGAATCTTTCCGACGTCTTCTGAAGTTGACCCCGCTGCCGCACCACAGATCAAGTACCACCACCACTCCATATTCACGGATGAACGTGCAGCCGACCGTGATTACGACCACTGCTCGAACCACCAGCGCCCGAACCACCACCGCTGCCCCTGAGCCAACTCCAGCAGCAGATCGCAGCTTTATCGACAAAGGTGTTGATTCCGTGAAGTCCGTGGGGAAGAAGGCGTGGCAGAGTGTGTCTGGTGCCTCCAAAGAGCAAATGGAAAAGAAAATGAAGGAAAAACAAGTGGAAAAACAAAAAGAGGCTGCAGCAAAATACGAGGCCCAGCGAAGGCAGGACCTAGAAATTCAGCGGTCGTACCGAAATGCGGTCGCCAGCGGACAAGTGCCTAATCGAGCTTCACCCTCGACTCCAAGAGGAAGGAGCGAGAAGCAAAAATAGCGTCTTCTCTGACGGAGAGACTGCTGGGGATATCTGGAAGATCATCACATTTGTTTTCCATTCGAGAAAGCAAGTTTCGGCGTGCAAGCGATGGTCGCCAGCCTCGATTTGCATCAGTTATTCCGCCGCAACTTGCGCCCTCTGGCACTACGCGATGAACTGTCTGTGCAGGCAAGGAGCTTGGAACAAAAAGAGGTCGAAAGGAGTCTTTGAACGATTTAGGTGATCACATCAGATGAATGTACAGAAGACCCAGGGCAGGCGCACCCGATTCTCAACATCCACTTTTGACATGTGTATTAGAAGCTTTCACCGATCATCGCGCCCCGTTTTGCCAACTGCAAGGCGTCTGTCTGACTAGATTCAATGGATCTTTCCCCATATGGGTGTTGACGTCCAGGCGTATGTATAACTTTACTCAACCAAGCCACGACAATGGGATGCAGAGGATTATTGGAAAAGAAAAGTCATGCTTCGCATCGAGAAAGACCTCAAAAGACCAAACGTATACCTTCTTGTACAATTATCGAACCGCCGAGGGAGGAGGGAGGAAGCCATATTGGGGGATATATTATGGAGTATACTTCAATTCAAAAAGTCTCACCTCCTCTCCTCCAGCCCAACCCCCTTTTCAACCTTCAGCCTCAGCCTCGTGCTCGTGCACATTGAACGCGGTATGTTCACCGTTCACCCTTTTTTTCAGTCCGCCATCTGCATAACTACCATGTCATGTAAGTATGAGTAGCTCGTGTCTTTCTCTCGCCTTGTCTCACGATTATGAGTTTCCGTTTCTACTTCTCCCTCTCTCTCTCTCTCTCATTGATGTGTTATGTGATTATATTTTTCATTGCACTCTCTTCTCAATGCCCGTTCGCAACGCCATTACCGTTTGCGGCCCCCTGATCGCGATAGTACGGTTTAGGGACGTTGTCGTAGTACGGCACAACAATCCAGTCCTTGTCGTCGGTCTTGCCGACCATGCTCTTGGTGACCTCCGTGATGGGGTCGCGCGAGACAATACAATTAAGCAGTCCGGGCCTCTTTTCAGCCGTGACAAGGGAGCGGAGACGGTCGCGGACCTCGTCGAGAGATTTCTCGGCGATGGCGCCTCCGCAGTTGAAGCCCTGGGCGACAATGTCGTAACGGCAGCTGGGCGAGAGGCTGGAGACGGCGCGCGTGGGGTCTTCGTTGGCGTAGAGCAGGTCCTGGCCCGCCACGGACATGCCCCAGAAGTAATTGTTGAAGACAATGGTGAGGACGTTGAGGTTGTGCCGCGCGTACGTGTCCAGCTCCTGGATGTGGAACCCGGCGCTGCCGTCGCCGTGGATGTTGACTACCAGCCTGTCGGGACACGCCAGCGCCGCACCCATCGAGTAACCCCAGCCGTTGCCCAAGAAGCCCAGGTAGCCCGTCGACACGAGCGCGGTCGCCGGTCGTGCTCGCTCCAGGTGATCCATCGCCCACACGCCGGCCTCGCCGCCGTCCATGATCACGATGCTGTCCGGTGGGAGGGATTCCATGATCGTCTGCATCGCAAAGTACGGGTGTAGGCGCCCGTCAGGCCGCACAATCTCGTCCCCGCTATACTGCCTCTTCATGGTCTTGCACCCGTGGATGGCCTCGAGCCAGGACTCGTGCTTTGGCAGGGAGTTCTCGGGAATTTTTCCCAGCACCGCGCTGATGAATTTGTTGGCGTCCGCCACGATTCCCAGGTCCACCGCGTGCGACTTGCCAATCTCCCCGCCATCCAGGTCGACCTGGACCAGTTTGCATTCCGAGTTGGGCACGATGGCGCCAGACCTTCCCCCAAGCAGGAACCCCGTGCGCGCGCCCAGCAGCAGCACAAAGTCGGCTTGTTGCTGCTTGATGAAGCGCAACTTGGCCAACAGGCCCGAATGGCCGGCCCGGAGTGGGTGGTCAAATGGGATGGCCGGGCTATACTTGTGCGAGTAGAAGACGGGCGTGTTTGTGGCCTCGGCCAGTTTCAGCAGAGGGCTACTCTTGGGAGAGTCGCGGTCCGTGGTCCGCGCGGCGCCCGTGCCCACGACGATGGCCGGGCGGCTTGCCGCCTTCCAGAGCGAGATCAGCTCGTCGATGGCGGCCGGGTCGGGGCTTGGTGAGATGGCCGTCGGTCGCATGACGGACCCATAAGCCAGGGCGTTCATTCTGGGCGGGTGGAACAGGATGTCGATGGGGAAATCGACCACGACGGGGCCCGGGATGCCCGATATCGCCGTCTTGTACGCGTAGCTGACGATGCGCGGGATTTCTTCCACCGTCGTGACCCGGTGCGCAAACTTTGAGACTGGCTTGGCCAGGACCACTTGGTCGTGGAATCCCTGCAGGGAATTCGTCTCGGCCTCGCGCAGCGGCGGCGACGACGTGACCATGAAGATTGGCGAGCGGTCTGCGAACGCCGTGGCAAGACCCGGCAGCGAGTTGCAGAATCTGCATACAGACCACACCCACGGGTTTCCATGTCAGCATGTTCTCTTAGAATTCAAACCAGAACAAGGTCGTCCAATTCTATATGGATATTGTGTTACCGGCGAATGGGGAGGAGGAGCCCTGGTATGTTGCGGATGAACAGATGGATAAAAATACAGGTACGTACCCGCTGTTGGCCGTCACAAAGCAACATCCCACTTTGCCCGACAATTTGGCATATCCCTCGGCCGCCTGCACGGCCGTGGTTTCGTGTCGACTGTCGATCAGTCTGATGCCAGCCAGTCGACAGCCGATCAAGAAGGCGTCTAGATGCCCTCCATGCAGACCGAACGAGACCTCGACGCCCAGCTGCGCCAGGCTCTGAGCCACAAGGTCGCCGCCGAGAAATTCGCGCTTCTCAGGGATCTTCCATTTCAATTCCTGGTCGGCCATGGTGTTGGAAGGTTATATGGACGTCGTGACAGGTTGTGGTCTGCGTGTGATGACTTGTGCGAGGGCAGCTGTTCAGGGCTGGGATGGGGGCAAGTTACCATGGACAGACCACTGGAATACCGAAACCTCTAGGACCTACCTCTTCCCTGTTCTTATATGTTTTATGCAATAAGAAATGATCCTCGACCACGGGTGGTAACCCTTCACGCCTCTCGAGGCTCCTCCAATGCGGCATGGACGTTTGGCGACTCGAGTCAAGCCGGTTGACTAACAATAGTCTAGTCTCATCAGAAGGGATTTGCGGGGTCTGGATGCGATGCTGTGGCCTGACTCGTCCAAACCTGACTGTTTGGTTTGGCTCTGTTCATGGCTGGATGCCCACCCAGGCAGTCCGAGGTTGGGTCTCGGGATGAAGGATTCAATGCGGGGAGGGGAATTGCTCCTTCTGTACAGTCAACAAAGTCCCACTAATATTCGCTAAAAGGGGGCCACAGGGAAGATAAACGGTAGGATGAACGGTTGGAACTATCTTCTAGATAAGTTTGTCCATTTGGTGAGTTCTGGGGAAGTGGAGACCTTTGAGCACACGCGATACGATTGAGACTCTCCTCCGTGGCAGAGGGATCAGAAAGACTCGGTATACTATACAGAGTACTCACGGGACCCGACGACCAAAGCAATCATGACGCCGCCCATCATCCTCTTCACCTACGACATATCCGTCTTTGGAAGGAAGATGGACTGGTACTTTACACTGAGCGGCCTCAAGTACTTCCACTGCATCGTGCTCAACCGTCTCCCGCGGCCCGTCCTCGAAAAGCTGGGGATCCAGTACCGTCGCATCCCTATCCTCGCCATCGGACGCGACATATACTGCGACACGCGGATCATCATCGATAAGCTTGAAGAACTATTCCCCGAGTCGAGGATTGGGAGTGACAGCCCCTTTGAGAAGGGTCTGTCCCATCTATTCGAGAACTGGCTCATCGACGGAGGCCCCTTCTGGAGGACTGCAGGACTGATCCCCCCGACCGCTGAAGTCATGCACGACAAGGCCTGGCTGCAAGACCGCGCCAACATGTCGGGGAGGAATTTTGACATGCAGACGTTGGGGAGTGGTCGCGCAGAGGCCCTCTCTCACGCACGCATGTACTTCAACCTGATGGAAACGGAACTACTCGCCGACGGCCGACAATATCTCCTCGACACCCCTGGCCCAACCCTCGCCGACATTCACGGCATCTGGACTTTCGACTGGACACTCCAGGAGAAGATGCACATGTACGAGTATCTCGAGAAGGAGGTCATCGGTCCAACACAATTCCCCAAAACGTTCGCGTACGTGGACCGCTTTCGAAAAGCCATCTCCCAAAGACAACACCAAACCGGCATGCCGGAAGAGCTGTCGAGCGAGGAAACCATCGAGAGGATTTTAGCGAGTGAATTCTTCGAACCTGAAGGCGCAGTTGACCCGCTTGATCCGCTGAAACTCGACAAGGGCCAGATGGTCGAGATTTTCCCTGTTGAGTCCGGATTCACGCATCACGACAAGGGCGAACTGGTCTCGATCGGAGTCAAGGAGGTGGTCATTTCGAGTAAGACGAACGTGGGCGAGGGAAGGCTGAGGTTGCATTTTCCGAGAGTTAACTTCAGGATTCAGCCGTTGGCGGAATCGAAGTTATAGCCCCAGTTGCGTGGTTCAGGCCCTGGGGATGAATTTTGAGTCGGTATATAGACCAGCATTCTCGATCAAAAACGAATCCAAAGACACAGGACGGCCTCGAGCTTGTGGGACACATGTATGCATTGCACAAAAACATGCTATCGGCGTTGATACTCTTACATAGAATTCGCCATTGCTGTCCGCCTCCTGTTGATACAAATCTGGTTCTCCTCGCATAGACATAGGACATATGCATATAAATCCCCGTCCGCCGTCCAGGGCATTTTTTACCACGCGGTGTACCCTCCATCAATAACGAGCTGGAAAGGCAAAAGGAAAACAGTCAGTAAGGTCAATGCGAAATGCTCGCTTGGGAGAACTCACACTCGAACCCGTCATGAACGAGCTTGCGTCGCTTAGACAGAATAATGCGGCGCCTCTGTATTCTGCCGGGGTTGATATGCGGCCCAGCTTCGGCGAGAGGTCACAGTGTTAGTAATAACGTGGTTGACAGAGAGAGAGAGAAGAGAGGGAGAGAGGTCGGCAAAATGCGTGAATGCTTACCATGTTCTCTTTCTCCCAGAGCTCCTTCAATTTAGGGTCATCTTCAAAGTTCTTCCGGACCATTGGGGTCATGATGTTCCCTATGTGTGTCACAAGTCCAAGGTATTAGCCGGGAAGACAAAAAGGGGGGGAAAGGGAGGCGAAAGAAGCCATGATATCCCCTGGTAGCTTACATACCAGGACACAAAGCATTGACCCGTATGGGTTTCCCATTAACGATCTTCCCCCATTCCATGGCCAGAGACCGAGTAAGCTGAATTACAGCCGCTTTCGAAGAATTGTAAACTGACGAAGTAAATCCTTTGTTGGCGACCATGCCGCTCATAGACGCAACAAGTAAAATCGAGCCGCTGCAGTTGTACTTGATCATTTGGCGCGCGCAGCTGATGGCCGAGCAATAAACGCCCTTGTAGTTGATGTTCATCATCTCCTCGATCTTCTCGGGCGTGTAGTCCAGCGCGGGTGTGACTTGCTGCACTGCAGCGGCGGCGATCAGGCCATCCAGGCGACCGTGGTTGGTGGCGATCTCCTCGATGACCCGGTCCAGATTGCCGGCCTCGCGGACGTCCACCTTGTCGTACTTCAACGAGCCGCCATACTTGGGGCCCAGACGTTTTTGGACTGTCAAAAATTCCTTGTCCGGCTCGGGTAGTCGATCGAGACAATATACTATAGTTACCCGACCGGTGTCAATAGTAGAGGATTGAGATAAGAGGAGCGAGTATATAATACTGACCTTGTCCTCCAGCTTCGATCAGAGCTTCCGACAAGACCAGACCCAGTCCGCGTGCCCCACCCGTGACCACAAACACTTTGCCCTCCAGATCAAACTCTCGAAAGCGAAAAGGCGTCCGCTCGGGATCCGGGAGTTTTTCTTTGATGGACGGGGCTTCGGCGCCGGCCTCTTTGGCGGCCTGTTTCGGCGATGCAGTACCAGAGCTATTAGTCATTGCGCAAGCAAAGCGACTTTGTGAGAAGGATCGGTTCGGTTGACAAGCGAACGGTGCTAGAGCGCGTCGAGACTTGCTATAATATCTTGATATTGAACCTGCGCGGGATGAAAAATAGCGAGATGCCGCTACATGGGCTCTAGAAGAGATCAATGCCATGATGTAAAGTAATGGCAGGCGGGATGGTAACTTCAAGTTAAAATGCCGAATTGCAAAGTAACCACAAGTTCTTGTCACCTGGATGAGATTGCCGGACGGCATGCCAAAACTTAAAGGGCGAGAGGGCTATCATCTTACAGGTTTTTCGTAAACCAAGTGACGTTAGACGGCAACGCTGGGCGGGGTTCATACGCAAATATACCCACAGAGGTTGTGGCAGCGGTGAAAAGCTGTCCCTCTGCTGGACCGCGAATAATTGCTGCTCGACACAGACACCACAAAAGCGCATAGCATCCGTGGCCATTGAGAAAAAGGAATGGAAGGTTCTTCTGACGTTGTTTCTATACCCTTGATATCATTCCCCAGTTTTAATACTGCGCCGTCCAGATCTCTCGCGCGGCAGGTACAGCCGGGGTTCCCTCCGAAGCGCCTATCGGGTGGTTTCGTCGCTCGCCGTGCGACATGGGAATGGCCGGAAGAGATCTTTATGTCAAGGATGAGTTCATGCATACCCTCTGGAATGGAGTGGCACTGACGTGGATGTGCTGATAAGCTGCTCGGATAGATCTTCGGCTTGGTCCACTCAAGGCAATTGTTGGGGCGTTGCGGTGTGGCTGCAGGGCGGACGCTGAGACTGTTGAGGCTCTACCGCACTTTGGCGGATGACTGCTCCTGGTGCTCCCGGGTCAGGACCTTGGTCACCCGAATACAATAGCCTGCTCCAAGGGCTGTGAGGATATGCCACCATCCATGCAGTTCGAGGACAAAGGCAAAAGGAATCCCCAGCTGTTTTCGGGTTTCCCGTAGAGCGCCGCAATAAGCCCCGTCAATCACCCACACGACGAATCCCATGAGGAAGCACAAACCTCCGACCCGGAATTGCTGAGTCCAATATTGCTTCTTCTCGCCTTGGAACCTCGTTCGGATCAGGTACAACACTCTCGGCCAAATCGCGGTAACTAGGGCGATAAAGGTGGTGTTGTGCAGCCACAGCTGGTGGAGCGCGTAATGGTAGGCACTGATGACGCCCAGAACAGCGGTCAAGATCGAACCGAATGCCACTTTGGCGGGTTTCGACCAGCCCAGGGTGTACAGTTCGTAGACCAGGGCTGCACAGACCCAGAACATGGACAGATCATCGCAGACCTGAGTCTCATACTTCAAGGTCAGATGGAAGACCAGAGAGAAAACTCCCACGAAAAAGAGGGCAAGGTTGGAGGGTTGAGTGAGCAAGGTCTCCCCAGGCAGCAGCGTTCGAAATGCCCAGTAGACTGCAACACCGCTAAGTTAGCTGAAGCTGCAGGGATGGGACTCTCTCTCTGGGCGGCGTACCGTATGCAAGATTAGTGAAGCTGTTGACGAATTCACCAATGTAGAGAGTGATGGCGTAGTCTTCTTCACAAAAGCTGTGAGGGAAGTCGGTCAACCATCAAGCTCCAGGATTGACACTTCTCGAGAGACTCACTTGGCAACAGAAGTTGGAGGGCCCCAATAGCCCAAGTGCGCCTTGTGATCGCCTGCAAAGTTGCGTTCTAGGCCCATGATGCGATGGATTCCTGGTGACTTCAAATGTCAAAGCAGAGGTGTTGTGGTGTTCTAGTGGTGAGCCCTTCCTTCTATCGTCAGCTGTGAGCAAAAGAACAAAAGAGGTCAACGTGTCAATTTCCACAAGGAACAAGCGAAGCGTCAGACAGCACAATGTCTTATCCACCAACGCCACATAGACATAAAGGATAGTCGTTTACGCCTCTCGTTTACGCCTCTCGAGGACAAAAGATGAGTTTTATAGAGGGAGCTCTCAGCTTCACTGGATTCGTGGCCCCCAACCGCCGGCACCAGGAATGGCAGTCGTGATTAGCCGACCCAATACGCCCTGCAAAGCATCTTCAGTCGTACCTCGTATCTCGCGAGCGCCGTTTCACTACCTAGTACCTAGGGTATCTCCGACAGCTGACAAGAAACAGCAACAATCATTATGTCGTCGGAATTGCCCTTGTATAATTCCTCCTGTCATGTTTATACGACCCTCCTTGGGGGCCACAGGACCAGCTTCATCTCAATGATACGTGGAATACCGCCTGGTTGGGGCATTTTCTACCGGCTCTCAGGCCGCCACTCGCCCCGAATATGTAAGTCGCTGTCTACACCGGAAGCCAAAAATACACCAACTACTTGAGCGACAATGCAACCCCAAGATCCATATCAGAGCTACTTCAGCATGACCCGCAAACCTTTTGAGTCAACCGCCGGAAATGGAGAAAAATAGTCGTGCTCAATCTCAATATCCTTCCTGGTCGTCTCAAAAAGTTCGGCATCAAACTCATAAAAGAAGTTTGCGATGGTCAGATAAAGATTCATGATTGCCAGCTCCTTGCCGATGCAGCTCCTGCCTCCACGTCCGAAAGGCACAAAGTACTTCTCTAGCCTTTTCAGCTCTTCGCCCTCCACCAGCCACCGTTCGGGCTTGAACGACAATGGCTCGGGGTATACTGGCTCAAAGGTGTGATTGCTTCGAATTGCCATGCTGATGACTGTCCCGGGAGGCAACACATACGAGCCGTAGGTATAAGCCTGTCTAGGGTTCACTCTCGCGAGGCGGCCCGAAACGCTGCATGCAATGCGCAACCCTTCATTGATCACGGCAGTGAGGTATGGTAATCGCTGCAGCGTGCTGTAATCATTCAAAGGATCTCCCTTACCCTTGGATGCCTCAACCGCACCGGCTAATTCTTCCTTGAGACGGCGAAGCTTGTCCGGGTTGGCGAGAACGTGAAATGTAATCGTCTCCAGAGTGTTTCCTGTGGTCTCGCTGCCAGCGCCAACCAGTGTGCGCGCTTCTTGCGTTATTCTGTCCACAGTCTTGTCGCTCTCTGGAATGTCTTTCGAATTTACGATGCCATCAAGTACTGATTTGTCGCTCCTTTTCTCCGCATGAACGGCGTCCGCCGCCTGTCGTGCCAAATCCTGAACACTGTCAGTTCCCAGCCAAAACACAGCTTGATCTCACCATACTGTCTGGAAGTCAAAAGCCATCAAGCCCCCTTCAGTCGAGGTAGCTGCGACAAGCCATCTCGGCATCCGCATAAATATGGGGATGATAATTGGAATGTGGCGATGCCACGCGGCAATGTGCGAGATGACGCGCGCCTGACGATTGTAGTCATCGGCAAAGTCAATGGAATCAAGCAGATTAAAGGCCTTTGGCATGCAGCTGCGTATTGTCAGGATGGTGTTTCTTGAGCAATCCCCCAATCTGAAAGACTTACTAATTGGTGACAGAGTCGGCAGCGAGGCAGCGAAAGGCATTGGAAAGGTTGACGGGCTTTCCCTCCTCACGCATTTCACTCAGACGTTGGCAAAGCTTGGACACCTTTTCGCGTGACGATGATTCCAGGTTTGCGATGGCTGAGGTTGCAAAGAATCGACTCATGGCTTTTCGCCTGGCACGATGAAGATCGACATTGGCGGTGCCAAAGCCAGCATCTTTCGACCCAACGAAAGCATAGTACCAGGCATCTTTGTCCAGTCGGCTGGTCACATTGTAGAATTCATCGAAAAAGTCCGGGTCATGAATATGGACCTCGTTGGGTCCTATTCGCACAATGGGTCCTGCGAACTAGTTGGTGACCGTCACCGAACTCGAGTAAAAGTGCATACCATATTGTTTGTGGAGTTCTTCAATCTTGAACACAAATTTTCCTCCCTTGATGCAATCATAGTAGAAGTCATAAAGGCGAGAGACGGCTGCAGCGTTTGGCCCAGGGATCTTGGAGAGTGGATGAAAGAACAAGCGATAGATAACCAGAGATGCAAGGCCACCCAAGCCTGTCAGTACCAAGAGGATAGCAAGACTCGAGTACGAAATGACAGCCATATTTGGACCGTGGATTAATTATCCGTCGACGGCAGACCCTTTTTATGGCATCCCAAGTGTGAAGAACGACAGACTTATCCTGGTGAGGAGGTTTGGAATTGTTCACATGTGAGTGCAGGTTGTGGAAGACGGAGTTGATTCACACTTTGAGCGATAGGGTACCCTCCTGGAGACGCTCCGGTCCCTCATTTTCGAGACAGAAGGACACAGCGAGAACAGGAAGCGAGCTGCCTATTTTGGGGTTCAGACCGGGAGGCAGGGTTGCCGTGAAGATTCTCGCTTAAGGACGGGGGCCTGTTGTCAAGACGCGGGCGGAGGGCCGGAGGAGTAATAGCTGGCTGCGAGCAGTTGGTTAGCTGCATCTCACAAAAATTGCAGCAGCAAAGAAGGGGACGGTGCGCTTGCAATCAATTTACCGGCCCTCGATGGAGAAAGAACAGACTTGGCCATGCGTGAACTCGTTGGCTGCTTCAAAGAACATTATTAGGGAGGGTGTCGGGCCGTGGAAGAGTTTCTCAGCGCCAAAACCGTCGTGTCTCCCCCCTGGGTGCCCCCAGCAACCTAGAACTGACGATCAGCAGGGAGCTCGGGCGAACTCACTCGGGGAGGGTCCTACAGAGGGATGCTGTTAAGAGAAGCCCATGGAGGAGCCTGGGAAGGTACCTGTAGGTGCCTGGCATGGTCATTGCGGAGGTGCAACTCCCGGGCTCAATTGGTCAAAAGCTGGTGGGTGGCTGGAAGAATTGACTGCGAGAATTACATTGCGCACACTTCCCCGCCTGCGTCCACCAACCATCACTGCACCAAGACCATACACTCTCTCACCACTTGGCCCCGCTGTATACCAGCTTGGAAATCAAAGCCAGTGAGAGGCATTGGAGATATTCAAGTCGCTGCGTATTCCTCCCAAGAGCGGGTCTCCTTGGAGGCACATCCTGTCCACCGTTCATCCTTGCCGGTCGGCCTCTCCCAACCGTCCACTATGCAGTTTGTCCACTCATAGCTAGAGGCTATCTTTTCCGGAGATGCCATTCTTGAGCATGTGGGACGACAGCGCCATGTGCAATGCGGGCACCACGAACTACCGCAGGCTCGCAGCAATGATGCTCCTCACATCCTGCATACGAGCCGATTCGATTCGACCATCTAGCGCCACACACGCAACCTTTTACTCAGATAATCGACGGAAGAGCCATTGTGCCACGCGAGTTCCCCACCACATAGGTGGAGGGTTGAGCAATCCGGGCAATGTACCTGTTGGGTGCCTATCCTTCACTACCACACCCACAAAGACCCTCGTCACGGCGAACATCGGGGCCAGCGACTATGGTTGACCAGTGCTTACGAGCCGTGGTAAGAAACTGCTCGCCCGTCACCTTCAATTGTGTGAACAGGTTTTCTATTCGCGCGCCGGCCCTGCTTATCCGTCTCCCATTCCTTGGTGGAGCCGGCATGCCTAAGACCACCAAGAGGCGCAGAAAACCGCTCAGGATCTGGGCGAGCTGGGACCTACAAGTCCACATTTTATGTGCAGGCTGAGATACCTGGCCCGACCCTCATAATTTCTTCTGCCTGCTTTTCCTCCCACCAGATTTCTTGATCGTTACATACGAGGCGCCAGCGACATGAATCGCCATCTCCTGGAGGTTCCAATCGCGACCCGTTGAGAAACAGTCTTCATGGCGGCAGACGGTGACACGGACTCTGCTTATGCTGAAAGCATAGGCGCATACTCCGAAAATACTGAAGCTTCCTCGAGCGTGTTCGATTTTCAGTACGAAAATGGCCGCCGCTACCATTCGTACAAGGCTGGGCAATATTTCGCTCCTAATGATGAGCAAGAGCAGGAAAGACTCGACCTCCTTCATCATGTCCAATCCATGGTCCTCGGCGGAGAGCTCTACAAAGCACCAATGGCGGCTCCCCAACGCATTCTTGACATAGGCACCGGCACTGGAATTTGGTGCGCTTGGCCTGTTTCCCCAGAGATTCATTTTTGCACAGCTGATTTCCACTCAGGGCAATCCAAATGGCCGACAATTTTCCCATGGCAGAGGTTGTCGCCACGGATTTATCCCCGATCCAGCCGACTTGGATTCCGCCCAATTTGCAATTTCTCATAGATGACTGCGAGGCAGAGTGGACCTTTCAGCGCGGGTTCGATTTTATTCGCCTTGGACACATGGTAAGCGATGCTCGATCCACTTTGATGTTTCTGGATCTGGTCAAATCGTGGAGCAAGCACGCAATCATCGACACTCTAATCCAGATCTAACTGGCTTGACACTACAGGGCGGCAGTATAGCGGACTGGGAGAAGCTATTTCAACAGTGCATGGAAAATCTCCGGCCTGGAGGATGGGTGGAAGTTATCGACTTTGAAGGTGAGGAGCCCTACGCCGTACGAAGCGGAACAAAGCTGTTGACCTACGACCGCAGCATGGGGTAGCACGGACGATAACAGTCTTTCTGATAATTCATCATGGCATACGGTATCTTGAAGCATTAATTCTTTAGTGCAGCAACCAGGTCTGACCTTTCATGTCAGTGGCAAACGGAACTCAGCAACGCAGCAGAGAAGTTCGGCCGTACGATGAACATAAGCCCACAAATCAAGGGTCTGGTGGACCGAGCAGGGTTTCAAGATGTGGTTCATGAAGTTCACAAGGTAAGAAGTCAGCTGTCTTTGTGGAGGGTTCTAATTCAACCGTCCAGGTTCCGCTGTCTCCATGGCCCAAAGAGCGTCGTCAGAGGGAGCTGGGCCTGAATATGAATATTATAATGACAGAAGCGATGCAAGCTTACAGTCTGGCGCTGTTCACCAGGGTCCTAGGGTGGGATCCGGCAGAGGTAGAGGTTCTCCTGGCAGGGGCAAGGAAAGACCTGAACAACCCCGACTACCATTTATATACTCGGTTACATATTGTTTATGGGAGGAAGCCACCAATACCAGCGCCTGCGAATTGAGAGGTATCAAATTATGGGACGGGCAGGGAGGCAGAGTCTTTAGCAGGAAAGAACGGTAGCGGATGGGGTGCGCGTTGCAGGTCTGGTCAGATTTGTATATAGAGGGATTGTTGGCAATGGGATCTATCTGGGACATTACGTGGGAAATGCTCTGGGCGGTATTCGTCTTTCAGGGCTGTTCTGTCCTTTCCGAGAAGCGAACAGGGTGCCGGGCTATGTGCAGCGGCTTGGGAAGGTGGGAAAGAAAGAGCTTGATGGAATGGAACAGGCAATGACCACATATTATCGTTGGGGGACGTATGCCCACGGGATTGCTCATCTTTTCTTTCTATGTAGATTGATCGGCAAGCACAGCATTTTCTGTCCCCATGTCCGTTCCCCATTCCCGTGTTTCTCGTTGCAACCATTGACCGTCAGCGCCAACTCATCGCCAACTCATCGCCAACTCATTCAGCAATGAGATTGGTAGCCATCAGTCATATGTGCAGCCGTGTGCCCTGGACAATGCTAAACTCCGGCCCCGGGCCAAGCCTGCGCCCAGACAGATTGGTAATTCACACTTCACTCATGGGCTGTTTGATCCCGGCTTTAAACGGGGCCAGGGATCGCTAGGTATAACAAGGGTTTGGAAGTACCTAGGTATATAAGGGATATGATATGTGTGCCCATTGTCTTGCAGATCGTGTCTCGTTGCGACATTTGTGCATTCTATACGGCGAATACGCCATACGCTTCTCCCTCTTTACACACACACACTCTCTCTCTCTGTGGAAGTTGATTTGCGGAATAGCCAGGACCAGCGATCTATTATTCAGCCGAGGACACTTGGTCCATTTTACCTAGGTAGGTACCTAATCCATAATACCTTCAAGTCCAGCTCCGGGAAAACAAGCTTGAAAGCGGTAGACGGAGGAGAAAGTTTTCTGGTTGAAGCCCGCAGATACAACCGTCAGGTGTAACCACCACCATGGCCGCTCGAGAACAAGATCGAACAATCCAAACCCAAACCCCAAATCTCCCGCTGCGGACAAAGTCCATCCTAGTCCTCGGCGCCGGCGAACTAGGCCTCGCGATCCTGGACGCCATCCTCTCACACCCCGACTTCTCTCCCAGCACCACACGTCTGACGCTTCTGATCCGGCCCTCCAGCCTGACCAGCCCGTCTCCTGCGCAACAGTCGCAACAATCCCTCCTGCGCTCGCGCGGCGTGGTCCTCATGGGAGGGGACATTGAGTCTTCCTTACAGTCGTCGCTGGCCGAGCTGTTCGCGCCTTTCACAGCTGTAATCCACGCGGGAGGAATGACGCTGCCACCGGGCACAATGACCAAAGTCACCCGCGCGGTGCTGGACGCGCGCGTGGGATACTACGTCCCCTGGCAGCACGGGGTGGATTATGATGTTATTGGTCGCGAGGGTGGGCGGGGCATGTTTAGCGAGCAGATCGATGTGAGGGAGATGTTGAGGGGTCAGGTTCAGAACGGAGGGACGAAAACGGACTGGGCCATTGTTAGTTGTGGCATGTTCATGAGTTTTCTGTTCGAGGACTTTTGGGGTATTGTTAGGAGGGTGCCTTCTCCATCTCCATCTCCAGATGCACGACGGGAAAAGATCCAACTCACAGCCCTCAACTCCTGGGACGATCTCATCACGACCACCACGGCCGAGGATATTGGGAAATGCACGGCCCAATTACTCTTCACTGGTGACTCGCCTGTCAACACGCCCGTCTATATCGCCGGCGACACATTGACGTACGGCGCGTTCGCCGACACGGTCGAGCCCGTCGTTTCCCCCTTGGGGATTGAGGTCGTCAGACAGGTGTGGCCACTCACGTTCCTGAGGGAAGAGAGCGAGAAGGACCCAGGGGACAAGATCAAGCGGTACAGGGTCGTGTTTGCGGAGGGGAAGGGGCTAAGTTGGCCGAAGGAAAGGACGTGGAGTGCCATGCAGGGCATCAAGATGGAGGGCGTGGACGAGTATGCTAGAAGGCTGTTTTCTGTGAAGTGAACGGCGGTGCCTTGGAAGAGGAGGAGGGATGAGTGAAGATGGCTGACCTGGCGGTTGACATACAGCTCGGGCGACAGAAGAGATGTTGTCGGATCGCACCAAGCCGGTAACAATAAGAGGACAAAGATAACCTACCTGGCGTCCGACACACATGATCGGCGAAATCTGTCTCCAATACTCTGCGTTGATTATCCCGGGGGCCGATGGGAGGGAAGGATTCCAATTCCTCCTTTCTTGACTTCGGTATCACTGGGCTTTTGTCGCCATGATATTTCTTCGGCTGTCTGGCCTCTCCTCCCTCTCCCCAGGCTCATTATTATCATCTGAGAATCCTTGCTGTGGTTCAGCACTACTTGTCAGCCGAATACCCTTTCCTTCTATTAAATATCCCGGACGGTTGGGGTGTTCCATCTCTGAAGGAGCGTGCCGCTTTTATAACGACTCACCCTACCTTCGTTCGCTCACTTCCTTGACTTAAGCCCAGGCGGGGTGTGGAAGGGTGAGCATTGGGCGGCATCACCCTTGGCCCGATCCGGATGGCAGCTTTACTTATTAATTACTAATCTGGCCTGATACCATTTCTTATTACGCCATTGGCTGGCCACAGATCCCCCAAATGATTTTTCCGTCTTTTCTGCTCACTCTTCCTTTACTGGAATTCGATTATCGTCGAACTCATGGCCCACCGTGCCGGATGAATACCAAGGCGTTCGACTACGACTGGTAGGTTGCTCCAAATCCCCTCCATCGCAATGGCCCCCTCGCCGCAGCATCCGCCGAGTCCAAAGGCGCAGCAGGCAGCTCGAACTCAGTTTGCGTCCAGCCCGATTTATACGAGCTTCGACGCTTCGCTATTGGTGCTGCTTCGCTTGTGCTCGTATACCAACATGGCGAGATGGATCTTTTCAACAGCGTGGGGACGAGACCAAAGTACACCAAGCCTCAATGCCTCGGGTCTAGAACAAAGCTTCAGCTGAAGCTTGTCTTTTTATTTTCTGTCGCGGATAAGAAGTCCTCGCCTCGTTCGCCCGCCTGCCCCTTCATGCTCTCCTGCGCGGTGATATATACAGATTTTCCGTCTTGCCTCCGACGACCATGGCACGTGGACCTGTTTCAGCTTATCACAGTCTTCCAATGGGTGAAGATCCGTCTGAAGTTCCAACTGAAGTTCCGCAGAAGCCATTTGGCTTCTCTCCCCCGAGGACTCCGAGAACAGGATCGTCACGTCTCCAGGGAGGGATTGCCGAAGTTCTCATTGCGTGTGCAGCCATTGCGTTGCCGATGATATGTCTATCCCTGGCTCTACTAGGTCTGATATTCGCGAATCAGGTCCCGCCAGCACATTCACTCTTTCAAGACGACCAAGCAAGAGCGGCCCTACCGCTGCTTACAGACCCAGGCAATGCCTATCTCGTCAATTTCAGTGCGACACAGCTCATCACGATCGCCTCATGGGCCAGTAGTGTTGCTCCGCACCTACCCACGTACCTGATGACTCTCTGTTCCTATCCATTGGCCAGAAAATTGCTGCGAAGCTCACATCAAGACGCTGTGGACAAGCTGCCAACGCCTTACCAACTGACCATATTGTTGGAACTACGCAATGGCAGCCTCAAGTCTCTGTGGAATTACTTTCGCTATTCCTCTCGCAAAGCCGGCAATAAACCAATTGCTGCTCTTAGCAATCTTGCAAAGATTTTCATGCTGGCTACTCTCTGCGGGTTAGTACTACACTTTCTCATCCATACCTCTAAAGTATCTATTGATTTCGTTTTACAAGATGGCTTATACTTGCCGCCGATACCTGGCTTCACGTTACAACGTCGACGGTCCCGTACGTGGGAGTCACCGCCTATTTTCCTCCTCTGTGGTCATTCGGCCGTGGTCTGCCTGCAGGTTGTTACCTCGACGGTGCCACGTGCTCGATGATGGATACGGGCGTTGTGTGGCTGCTAGGGGGAACACCTGAGCCGTTCCGCACATTATACAACATTTCGGATGTAACCCGTATCTCGACTTTCGAACTCGAGGGCCAATCTTACGCATACGTCGCGGATGCCATGAGCGTGAGTGATGTTAACGACGACTGGGGTGCACAGTGGGACTTCCTTGCCTCTACATTTGCCATTTCAACCACCTGCACGCCCATCACTTCGAGGTGCAATCCGACTACGAATTCTTCGAGCTGCGTGAATTTCCAATGCTCCGAGGCATTCAGCGGCAGCCTGGGCTGTGACAGCACTGTCTTCGCCTCCCCCACCGTCAATGCTTTCGGCCTCAGACTTTTCTTCGACGAAGGCTTGACGCAAGAGATTTTGTTATCAGATTTTTTCGCTCAAGGGTTTCGTCAGAACTACAGCTTCAACCCTTTCCACATTGGAATGTACGCCACTGTCTCAACCAACGGTGGTGAAGGGCCACTAAACGGGTCTGCCGAAGTCGCCCACGGCGTGGCCGGCGGAGACTCGTGGATTCTTTCATGCTCCGCGACCGTCTGGGACGCAGAGTACTCCTCAGTCAACCAAACCATCACTTGGGCCGACGTCACCAAGTCGAATGCCACCACCGCGGCAGCATTCGCCTGGCCGTTCTGGGCAAACTACGGCTTCGACGTGCTGGAGCGGGCCTCTGTCCTCGCCGACTTCGCCGCGACCATGCAAGACGTGGCGAATCAGACCGCCCTGGCCTTCTCGACCACGGCGCTCGCCCTCACGTCCGGGACCCTCGAGCAGCGGCCAAATCTCCTGGAACAAGGTCGCGGCGGGGCCATCCTGGTGGCGCGGATCCCCAAAGCCCCCTTATTCACCTTGGTCGCGCTCAATCTCCTATTTGCAGTCCTCGGAGTCGCCTTCGCGGTCATGGCGGCTTTTGCGAGACCAAGCCGCACACGCGACGTGCAGGCGAGATTGGGAATTGCAGGAATCGTTGCCGAAAAATTCGAGGACGAGGATCTGGATAAGATGGAGGGTGTGAGGAGTGTTAAGGATCTGTTTGCCGAGAATCGAGGCGGAGAGAACGGTCCTACTCCTAGGATCGGGATTGTGCGTACGCAGGCCGGGGCGTGGAAGTACCGTCTTTGGCGCGCATGAGTGTGGACGGCGTAAGGAAACCCTTTTATCATTAAAAATATTTATTCCTACTTATATCAGTGTTGCCTCCAAAAGAAGAGAAAAAACGGTGAGAAATCGAGGCGCACCAGGGACCGTCTTCGTAATCAGCAAATGAAAGGTGAATATAATAGAGTCAAGTCCCTGGCCCGAAAATATCGTGCACTCCCATCGACCAGGATCAACAAGGTAAGCTCTAAAAGCGATATAATACTATGCACCCATGCCCACGTCTCTTGAGTACCTCTAAAGCGAAAGACCGCGAGATCTGCATTAAAGCGGAGTTGAGTCCATAGCCACTAAACTTTCCCACCTGAGTGAACAGAATATAACATCTTGCAGACCTGCGATCAAAGTCCTAAGGGGACAACAACGCTTTGTATACTAATTGGATAACACAACCCTGGAGGGGCAGATAGCGATCGAATCGAAAGTAACCTCCGATTCACGTCGACAAACCCCACTCAGGCAAATCATTTCAAAAAGAAGAGCCAGTGCCTATTCTTCTGTGGGACACGATCACACCTTTAGCTACCAAATACCCCAACAGTTCAGCGACCAGGTTTTGGCCCTGGCTGTGGCGGGGAGGCTACATAAAGACCCGACCCACATATAGAAATAGAAGGCGAAGGGGGGTTTCAGAAGAAGACTTGTGATCGACGAGATGCAGCTAAATACCAGGCCGGAAGGATCGAAACTGGGCAGGAGTAAGTATAGAGTACCTATGTAAGGGCTCAATTGGCACTGGGCTGGCAATGATGCCGCCCTCGAGGTGTCTTAGGTAGTGCGGGATCACATCTGATAAAAAAAAAACACAGTGGCAGCTCCCTAAGGAAGCCACCATGGCCGATGATCTGGATATGCGACACAGATTTTCGAGGGGGTTGCTTGGAAAGTCTCGGCCTGGGCTGGGTAGGTATTGGGGAGTAGTGGGTACTGTATGAAGAGTGCGGACGTGGAATAGAGGATTCGAGGAACCCGGCGAGGCTCGCGCTGTCAGGCCTTTTAGTTTTAGCGCCTTGGCACTTACAGTATCTGCCATTACTACATAGCTGTAAAGGCTCTCCTTCATACCTACCTAGGTACCTAAAAGGTAGTTACTGAATACCAGGCCCCCACGTTACCACCGATTACTGTCCTGTTCTATTGCGATTCCTGCCTCTGGCGTTTCAGCCCGAACCGGGCGGAGCTGCGGCGTGAGCACAGGGCGGTAATATCACCCTTGGCCCGATGCGGGGCTGAGGCAATGAGCAGTTCATACTCATCTTGGCCGGGTGTGGCGTACTCCCGGCCTCGCTGGTGAAGGGATGTATAGAGCGTAGGAAAACGCTGCATACATATCGTGACAGTGGCGATATAGTGAGATCGCACCGAAATAATAAGAGCGAGAGAGATTCACGTTGTCCAAATCCCGACGATATATACGGTGTCGCACAGCGTTATATGTATATCCGTCTCCGATATATAGTAGTTTTCTGCACAGGGCGCGCGGTATATACAATGCTCATCTATGCGACTATTGACAGGGTAGGAAGGAGGGACGTCTGCTGTGCATTATCGCTGACCTATAGAAAAGTTGTGGACACAGCGCGCGGCGTATGTAATACTCTATCGATGGCACTGTCTACGGCGAGCACGAGTGGACAAGGAGGAACTTTTGTTTGTTACTTTTTTGATTGTGTCGTTGTGACACCTTGGTGTCACGTTGTCTGTCTAAAACGACAGACATGGCGGCGTCTGCATGCCGGGAAAAGACTATCTACGCGCCCACCTGCGCCTTCCCTCCCCTCCCCTCCTGCCGGAGCGCCTTCTACCCGCGCAGATTCTCGACGCCGCCGCGTCGACGAACCACCAGATCGCCGACGACCGCCGCCTCCTCCGGGCAGTTGACCTCGTCGACGACTGTCGAACCCGAGAACTGCCTAGGGCGCGTTCTCGGGCGACAAATCGTGTCAGAGCTGCTCGGAGTCGGCGTCACGGTCGTCGCGAACGGGTACCGGCCGCCCGAAGAAATCAACCCAGTCCTGCTGTCGTCGAACGAGCTCATCCGCGCTCGGATCCAGTCGTTGTGGTCTTGTCGGAACCAGCGGGCCCGCTGCTCCAGGCGGTCGGCCCGCTGGCGTTCCAGGCGACGGGTCCTCAGCCAGTATCCCAGGAAAGCGGCAAGGCAAACAAGCAACAGGCCCATGATGGGCACGACGATTGCAGTGATTTTCTTGGCGCCGCTAAGCCCCTTGCGGGGCTTCCCGGCCGCAGACCCGGTGGTGCTGTTGGATGATGCTGTGGCAAGAGGAGTCGGGATTGTAGCAGTCACTCCGCGATCGCTTGTGGTTTCGCTTGCCGAGGTGTAAGTATTGCCGGTAGGTGTGGCGCTTGGAGATGCGGGCAGGGGCAGAGGAGAAACCGTGATTGTGGTCACAGGGACAGGCACGACGGGAGAGACCGAGGGCGAGGACGACTGGAACGACGAGCTCGAGAGCGTGTCCGTAGTGGTATTGCTGCTGCTCTGCATGGTCGCCGTGGTACTGACATTGGTGGCTGCAACAGTGATGGTAAATTCGCTTGGAGGACCAAACACCGGAGGCATTGCTGGTGGCAAGGCATGGGTGGACAGAGTCGAAGGCAAGCCAACAGCAGACAAAGTAGGTGGAGGCGCAGCAGTAGCCAGAGTCAGAGACCTGGTGGGCAAGGTGGCGAAGAAGTCATTGCTTGTGCTGCTGATCTGGACCGAAAAGTTGGCGAAGATACCAATACCATAGTATGGTGGAGGTTCAGCGGTCTGGATCGCGAAGCCACACAAGGCAGCCACCAAAAGCGCCATGATCAAGGTTGAGGTTCTCATGATTGCTTGTCGGGAAAAGGTGGATGAGATTTCCTTGATGTGAAGTTCCTGTGACAAAGTTTGTTAACTCCTACATTCATACGAAGGCGAGAGGAGACTCAAGACTCACTGTCTGGATCTGTTGTCCTCTGGGAAGCCGGAACACCGCGCAAACCCTTCCTTGAGCTGAAGTTCCTGTGACAACATTGTTAACTTTTGCCCTCATACGAAGGTGAAGGGATACTCACTGTCTGGATCTATTCTCTTCTTGGGAGCCGGAAAACCGCGCAAACCCTTCCGTATCTGATGCAACTCGCTCGGAAGTTTCCTGGTACAAAGTGACAGTGACACAGGATCGAGTCGAGCTGGGTAAAGGTTGAGAGATCGGTGAGAACAGGATCTGAGGAAGTCTGAACTTGAGCTTGAGCTGAAGTCAAGGTCAGTAACTTGGTACACGAGTGGACTTCACGCAAGCATGAGATTATTCAGTGAATGCCCTCTCAGAAGGCAAGCTCTGGAAGGCATGACAAAGATCGCTGTACTGATGGGAAACTGATGAGGACAAGGTCAGACACGTACCAGGTGAACTGTGGCCTCGTTGTCAGAGCAAGCCAGGGACTGTCACTGTTGCTTGAGAGTGATGATGAGGGTCTTTGAATAAAGTTCCGGTGATGAATGGTGAAGGATGTGAGATGGAAGAGGAGAGACAGGAGCGAGGCACGGAAGAGAATTCAAAGAAGGTCAAAACTCGACTCAAAGCAGAGGGCGCCGGCAGAAGAGTCATGCTAACGCGGGCGACGGGCATAATTCACTGTCGACGACGACATCATACCTCTCGGCGCCGAGACGTCGAAAGGATATGATGTCGCCGTCGACAGGGCCGCACGCCGCCGAGCGCGTTATATATATACCGTGGTTGTGTGAGTGATACACTGGTGGGAGAAAGAATTTCTATCCAGCAGATCAGACCGCAGATATTTAAAGGGCGCTAAGACTCTGCAGCGCCAAGCAGGACTCATTATCACTGCCTTCAGGAGCTAGAATACATACTGGAAAACTGTCAGTCTCAGGATGGAATGTTTGGCGAGATGCTCAGACTCACAGGGATGAACAAGTATGGGACTTGTCTTTCATACTCTTCCCATGCCTTGCCGTACTTCTTCCGGCATTTCTGGATGTCCCGTGTGGCCCGGTGAATGATCATTGCCGTGAAAAAGAGGGGATAGAACCATGGGAAGGGCGATCTGTATCCCGTCACAGCACCCCATGAAAGCGCGAAGAAGAGATCGCAAGTGTAATGGATCTTCCTAGCATAGCCATCTGCGAAAGCGTTAGTAGAGCAACCAAGGAGCAGGACAAACAACTTACACCAGCCATCGGCAAGAATAGTTCCTCCGTCCTCTGATCTGATGACTCTGGGGTTCTCCACCGTCTGCCAGGGCAGCTGTGGAAATGCTTTTCGGGTGATGGCACCACCGGACTCCTTTGCTCGGAAGCGGTTCTTCTGGCTGTTTGTGGTATCCCAAACCCAATAGACAAACAAGTATGCCACATACAAAGCAGCAAGCGCATATTTGTTCCACATATAGGTGCTTGGGGCGTGATTGGCAAGGAAGATGGTGCAATGGCAGTAGGTCAAGGGCACGCCGGCCAAGTTCCAGAAGATGAGCATAAACCCCCATTTTTCGTAATACATATCCCAAGTTGGTACAATGAGCTCTTCGCCCTTGCTGCACGCATTTGCGTAGAGAAAATGCGCCATGAGCAAGAAACCGACTTCACCAGAGACGTACCCATAAAGCTCGTACTGCCGTGCAGCCGTTCCCAATGTTATCAGGAATAGGATGTACCATGGCAATCGAACCTCGAAGAACATCTTGAAGTCAAGAATTCCAAACATGCGGGGGTTGAGCTCGGCACCCATGAAGAAATCGTACATCAGATGTCCCGTCATACGGTGCTGCTTACCCCGATAGATGGCCGAGGTATATGCGATGATTGCCACAGCGAAGCCGGAAATGATAGCCACAGACATGAGCGGGCCAAACTCGTCAATGATGGTGTAGAGCTTGAAGAGGCCAGAGAAATGAAGACCAAGAGCCACAATGATGGTTGCCCACCAAGACCACATTCCGCTGCAGTAGTAGTCCAGCCTAAGACCGTTCTCGTGAGGCAAGGGCTTGCCTTTGGTCCAGATACCTGGCATCAAGCAATAACAAGCACCCTCGAAGATGCAGAAGGTCCAGTAAATGACCCAGGCTTTTGCTGACGGCCATGCACCAAAGTAGGCCATGCGGAAGAGGCCATGGAAAAAATCTTGTAGAGACTCGCCGTCTCTGGGGGTGGGGAATTTGCCATCGTAGTATGTGGCGCCAATCCACATGTAGTACATCAACAGTGGGAAACCAAGCATCATCGCAGTGACTCCCCACGGCCCTCCAAACTCGAAATGTCCAGATGTATCGACTCTGGGGTCCATACCTGGCGCCCAGCCGTCTACCAATCGCTCAGAGGAGACCTTCTCTTGACTTTCTGTCTTGGTGATGTGCCCATTTGCCGTGGGCTTGATATGTCCATTGACATGTCCATTGGCATTTCCATTCATTGTTTCCAGATCAACCCCATTGACGCGTCGCGTCATACCGGCTGTCGTCTCCTTGTCCTCCTCATGAACGATGGTAGCGTCTTGCGCACCATGCTCCTCGACAACGGCAAGTGATTTGCGCGGTCGCGGCTTCCCAAATGTGCCAGGAGTTTCGACGTAATCCGGTCGCACCGTTTTTCTGGGGTCAATTAGTACGAAAGGGCGCCAACCGTTTCTGTTTCGGTGATCACATACCTGGGTGTTTTACCCGCCTGCGTGCGGGTGACTGTCATATTGAAAGGAGCGTGTGCAGAAGAACAGATTGCAAGAAAGAGTGACTCAACGCGACAAAAAGATGGGGCAACCCTCGGAGGGTGGGCGGCGGTGGTGGTACGAGGCGGAATGGAAGGATTTTGCCATTATTATTATGATTGGATTTCAAACTCCGCACATAATAATATCAACAATGTTCCCATTCCGTGCAGTCCAATCCAACCACGTGCCAGCCTCAAGCAATGCTATTGTCCATTGGTATTACCTTCGCCAACCTCACAAGCGTAACGAGATCATAACGGCGCCTACAAAGACGCTGTACTTATAGGCTTTGATGGCTTGTAGCGGCGTTGAACTGATTGATTACAGCTATATCCCGTGGCTATTTATTTGTGTTTATCGATCTTCATATCCATATTTACATGAAGAGATTCGCTGAAAATGGAACACCTACTAAAACATTTCGAAAATCCAGAACATGCCGATACCTGCTTGCGATGCTATGGTGGGGGCGTATATGTGCGTAGTAGATACATATCAAGATGGGTCGTTCGTCACATTTGTCCTTTTCCCTTATGCCCACACGGCCAGCCAAATCATTGGCTCGCAGCCAAATTCCTGCAATGCATCACAAACAAACGCTTTACAAGAATAATTGGCCAACTGCAATAGCGGCACAGATTACCACGCTCAACATGGTGCCTGGAAGCTGGGTCTGAACGGTGGCACCGCCCGTGAAGGGCGTGACATTGAGAGGGGCCACTGGGGTGGAAGACGCAGAGGCTGAGGACGACGGCGATGGAGCAAGCCACCCACTGTTGCTTCCTGGAGATGTAGATGCAGCTGCGACAGGGGACAGCGATGCGGTCGCAGTGCTGGCTGCGCCGCCGGCAGGCTGCGAGTAGGTCCAGGAGGAGACGGAAGCAGCTGCGACTGAAGTTTCAGCCGTGCCAGACGGGTGCAAGGGCGCTGCCGCGGCACCAGACGGCGCAACCGGCACGACAGTCTGAGTCATGACAGCGGTGGCAGTGGGAGCGGGAACTGTCAAAGTCACCGTCGTCACGGTGGGAGCGCACACGGAGCAAACAGTCACTGTGGTGGTGAATCCGTTGGGGCATCCATTGGCTTGAGTAGGCCACACGAATGGTGCAGTGGTTGTGGCTGCTGCAACAGGAACCGAGGTGGTCCAGTGGAAGGGATGCTTGGTGAAGCCACTAGGACCGATGTCGGTGTATTCCGTCGTCCAGACGGTGACCGTGTACTCGCCCGCCGGGCTGGAGGTTGTGCTTGTCGTGGCTGACCAGTCTTCCCAACTATCGTAGCCGCTTGTCGTCGTGGCGTCAGCAACTGGGCTGCTGCCGACGGAAGTCCAGTCTCCCCACTGCCAACCGGTATAGGCTACAGATGCGCTGGAAGTCGTTGCAGGGCTGACATAGACCGAAGAAGTGGTCGAGGGACCGTGGCCGTGCGAATGGCTATATGAACCGTGCGAATGGCTATAGGAGCTGGTGGTTCCAGCCGGTGCAGTGGTGCTGGAGCTGGGCGGCAAGCTCGTTGGAGCGACTGGGCTGAGGGACTGGCTAGAAGTCGTCGTGATGCTGCTCGAAGAAGTCGTTTCGCCAACGGGCCCAAGAGGGTGGCTGTACGTGGTCGTGGTCGTGGTTTCAGAACTTGTGGTTGGAACCGGAGGTGCCGAAGTTGTGCTTGACGTTGTTGTGACCGGAGACTCTGGAGCACTGCTTGAGGTGGTTGAAGACGAGGTCGAAAGAGGAGCACCGATGGTCGACGTCGTTGTGGTTGTCGTAGTAATAGTAGTTGTTGTTGTAGTGCTAGTTGTCGACTCGGTAGTCGTCGACGTCGTTGTTGTTGTCGACGATGATGTTGTGCTAGACGTCGTCGGCGGTGCACAGGATAGCTGTCCAAAGATGTCCTTGATGTTGGCAGCATAGCTCTGACCATTGATCTGGTTGTTCTCCGAGTAGGTGGCCTCCCAAAGCATGACACCTGCGAAGATACCCTGATACGGGCTCGTGCAAGCATACTCCTCAATCAGAGCCTGGGCTTGATCCAGGTCCAAGTAGTGGTTGGGATTAGCGGCGGTCGTTGACGCCGGAAGACCCAAGAACATCTTGATATCTCCGTTCAACGAATTGTCATGCAGCCACTTCGCCCAGCCGAAGGTGGGGTCGGCGGTGGTATCGAGAGAACCCGAGCTGAACAACGACGCTGCCGAGCATTGATCGGTGTTGTAGTATTGAATAAACCTGGCTTGCGTTAGCTGCTGCATCGTTGGTCAGAGGATGAGCGTGAGGGCAGTTCATACAGGTAGTCGATCATGGAGTGTTGGATCGCATCATCGAGATGGGCATCGGGCACGACACACTGTGGTGCGGCGGAGATAATGTAGGTCTTCGAGCTATCCTCAGCGAAGTTGGCTCGCAGCTCGTTGACCAGGTCAGCATATCCAAAATCACCGCCCGACTCGATATCCAAGTCGAAACCATCCACAACGGTATCGCCAAACGGTCGGGGAAATTGTACCAAGGTGGGATCCTGGACAGGGCCGAATGAACCCCAGAGAAAGTCGGCGAAGGATTTTGCGGAATTTGTCGTGGCGATGAAATTGCCACTGGCTTCACCTCCGATCGAGGCAAGGATCTTTTTGCCTTTACCTTGGCAGACAGCGACGTCGGCCGCGATCTCGTCGCAGGTCGTGTAGACATTGGTCTGGGTACCGTTGGGTGACTTCCAGGTAACGCTGCCACAAGCATTCCCATAATTTGTTCCCGGACCACCGGTTTGATCTGGAAAGATATTCACGAAACCAATGGGAATGATATCCATAGTAGTATCCTGGCAGAAATCGGTCAGGCGATTCTGGTCGGGTCCTTGGCCCTATACGCGTATCAGCGCCGAAGCAGAACGTTACCGACTGTTTGTTCATCTCTCACCCAGTAGACAGCCAGGCTCGGTTGAGAGGAGGCTCTCTTTGCGGCAGTAGAGCGAGTTCCGAAAATTGGTGATGCCATTGCAGACGAAATGAACGCCGCCATTGCCAGCAAGCTGGCGGCGAACCCGGTGGAATGCATGATGTAGTGCTTTCCGTGCAGGACGAAAAAGAGAGCGAATTGGAAAAAGGAAAAGGCAAAAAAGCAACACGCAGCGAGAGAGTGTGTGGGCTCAAGAGGCCCGTAAAGGAAGGACTGGACGCAAGCAATAGCCTGCCAACGCAAAGGTAAACACCGTAAAGAATGGAAGCGTTGAAGAAGAGAGAGAGAAGAGCCAAATCAATAAACCGCAAAGTCAAAATGCGACCCATATGTACTGACGAGGTCCCAGGCGAAGGGACTGTACCATTCCTCTCTGCGAGTACGCATCTGTGGAGGGGATGACACGATGGTACTCCACCCATCAACCTGGAACACCCTTACCGTTCGTTCTATACCGAGATTGGGCAGACGGCCCTACCTATGCTGCGGCTCAAATAGTAGCCAAGGTCTCCTCGGGGCTCCTTTTGGGGCCGGAAACAATCGAAGCGCTCTTGGTGACATTCCTGAAGGATGAAGCAGGCTTCACGGCAGCCCTATGCACGATTGAGGGGAAATCAGGAGGATGGATGTCGCATTTGGGTGGCTTGAGGGAGCGAAGGGGGCGCGAGTCTGAGAACATCAGCGCTTCACGATGGTATGGCGTAAGCGGCGAAAGCCTCTCAGATGATGGCGCTGGGAAAGCGACTTTTTCGCAGACGGCCTCGACGGGTGTTTGTGGGATGTGCTTCAAATTTCCGAGCCAGGCTTTCTGATGTTGAGGTGGAACAACTCTGGACGAGATGTAGTCACCTCCTGGAACCCTGATTGGTTCAGAGAGCAACTCCACGTGCCAAGGTTCGCGCCAGGGGGTTATGGGGTTTCCTGATCCGGACTAGCCTATCCCCTTCAGGGGCAACCACCGAAATGGAACAGCGACCATTATTTGGGCAACAAACAGGCAGACAGACACTAAGTCCGTACGATCACCATCTCGGCCTTCGGGAGCACAGGAGATCTGTGGCTGATCTTTGCCCTACAGCCACAGTTGCGCCATGCCTGGAGTACGGAGGATAGAGGCCAGACTCTGTACTTGTACCTTTCACGAGAGCTGGCGTCCATGCCTTTTGCAGCACCAGGTACGCGGTACACTGAACCAACAGCCTCGACACCATCCCAACATCTTTCTCCCCACTCTCAGGAAAAAACAAAAGAGCTGAATCAAACAATAAAATTATGTCCCCAAGTCTTGGCGCGATGAGCAAGATCTAAAATTGGCTTTCAAGGTAGACTGGGGCACCGGAGTAAAATTGCCCCTTCCCAAATAAAGCGCTGCCTGAAGACGTCGAGGCTCATATATTTCTTCACCTCGTACTCGTAAAGCCAAGCGGGGCGAGTTCATTAGTAAGAAGTCAGATATATCAACAAGGCCCCGTATATATCATGCGCGGCGAGAATCCTTCTGCAAGATCACAATGCTCCCTCGACTCGTATTTCAGGTAGCGTCGACCACTGATACTTCCTTCATGTGCTATGTTACAGAGCGCCGCCGCCAAAGCACTTGATCTTCTGAGTTGAGGAAACTGAAGCGGCGAACCTTCCAGCTTGTAGGAGTCATCACCGACGACCTTTTCAGATGTGTGTGTTACTCGCTTACGGCTTTGTGAACGACGGGCAAAGATATGCGCTTTCCTCGTCACCCGGTCAGGAATGCCACCAGAATACCAAAAATGTCGTCCAAAGTCCTCTCTATCTCGTCTAATCTGAGGAGATGTAGGTCGCAGATCGGAAGTGGAGCTATTGATCACCCCGATCGAATGACTGACAGTCTGTGACGGACAGAAGCAGATCCTCTGATCGTCATAGTGTAGGCGTCGATCGGACCAAGCACCTGTTACTAATCGCGTTGGAAAAGCAGAGAGCCAGCAACTGTTACCCGTCCGACGCTACTTCAAGGTCAGTCTTGCAGTCCATGGCCAACAAGTCACCTTCCCATGACTACAATCATGGCTAGAGAACCAAATTCTCAAGTCACATGGTCGTGGCGCAGAGAAAGGTTTTATGACAACGAACAATCAAAGCAATCCGTCAGTGTGCGGGCGGGACAAGGTCAGCTCTTCTAATATACTGAATTTTGACTTCGACTTTGAATTCGGGTTTCTGCGGGAACGATGATGCATGTACGAATGTATGTACAAACGTGCAGATCAGGCAAAGTGCCTTGTGACCCTTCCTTTTCCAAACCAACTTGCCTCCCGACCAAATGTGAATTGTCAAGACCTAGAGCCGAGCGGTCCTTCTTGAGCTGACGGAGAAAGCACTCCCGTCGAGAAGACTATGAGCTGGCAGTAATCTTCTCTGCAACGACAGACTCATGAGCCACCTCTTCACTGCTAGTCTCGCTGCTGACTTCTTTGATAGGGCCGGTAAACTTCTTGCGAGCCCGTAGGATGTAGTTGAGAGTAGCACAAATCATAACGAACCCAAATACAGGAGAAGCGTAATTCATGTTCTGTCCTGTGACTGGAAGATAAGGTGGGAATGGCAAGAAGATGATGAGGAAAACGCAGAATGCGACCGTAAGGATGTTGACCAAAAGACCAAATTTTCCCATTGTCCATGGTCCAAAATTGATAGGGTTGGAGGTGTTGAAGCGGCGTATAGCGAACATGACTGTGGGAATGGCGTAGGAAAAGTAAAAGCCCAGCGTTGTCAGAGAGATCAGGGCATTGAAAGCAGTGGTAGATCCAATGTTGATAAGGGATAGAAGGGAGACGGAAACGAAAATTGCGAGGACGGCATTGGTTGGACACTTATTCCAAGGGGTGATGTGCGAGAAGAAGCCGGAAAATGGAACACCATGATCTCTCGCAAACGCCCAGATTAGGCGGGAGACTGATGCTGTGCATCCAAAGAGGTTCATGGTGAAGACGATAATGACTCCAGTCATCATCGCGGTCGCAGCCTTCTGGTTGTTGGTGGCTTGCAGGAAAACTGCAATAATAGGGAATCCAGTAGGGGTCGAGAGAACGGTATCGGCATCGGTGATGGCGTAGAGGATGGTGATGATATATGCAAAGCCAGCCAATCCGTTGATTGTGACTGACCAAATCATCGCGCGCGGAATATTGAGAGGCGCATTGTACGCTTCCTCGCTCATGTGGACGACCGCATCAACGCCCGCGAGTGCGAAGGCCGGTGTGAGGAACCCAATACAAAAGCTGACACCATCACTGGTCCAGCCGCTGGCGTTAATGAATGTACCCCAAACGTCCTTGTCGCTGGCCTTCGTGCTAGTCGCTAGAATGGCGATGAAAATGATGAAGAAGAATAGCACGTGAAGAAACCCTCCCAAGGTCTCCCAAAGCGGTAAAAACTTCTTGCCAAAGGTGTTTCCCAGTGCGGCGACGCCAGCAAACCCAATCATCATGAGTGTTGCATGCCACCGCTTCGCGTCATATCCGGAATAATTTAGGATCGCAACGCCTTGGATCATGGTTGCAATCAAGTAACATACGGATGCCACGGCTGCGACCCATCCAGTGATGGTGACCCAGCCCTGCACGTAGCTGATGATTGCGCGCCATCTGAGAGGCGAATGCTCTGCACTCCAGTGATACTGAGCTCCAGCGATTGGCGAGCTAGATCAACAATCAGCCAGTCATTCTTTCATAGGGACCAATTTGAAGCCATACATAGAGGCCATCTCAGCAAAGGATCCGGCGATACACAGAGTTCCGAGCGCAGACACGATAAATCCGTACACAACAGAGGCAGGGCCGCCATTGCTGTAAGCACCGGCAAACAGGGCACTCGTGGCTTCCCATGTGCATAGAGTGCATGCCGACATACCCAGCAATGCCCAAAAGTTCCATTCTCGCTATAGAAAGAAGTCAGCGGCATGCGGCAGAGCATATTTTATGCTGTCAACCCCACCTTCAACACTTGCTTCTTTCCTGCTGCCTCCAAAGCAGCGGCGTCTGAAGTGAATGCGGTCATTTTGACGATGAATCGCTACTACGGAAGGTAAAAGGGTGCAAAAGACAGGTGAAACAGACGCGAAATGAAAGAATTGCCTGCATAGAAGTGAGGAAAGTGAAAACCACGGGCGCGGGCGTGGCGGTACTTGAGTCTTATTTGTACTCCTATCGGGAGCATGTTGGTTGCCTCTGGACAAGGTGCCTCTTAGCGAGACAAGTATTGGTTTCTCACGCTAGCTTTGGCGAGGCAGGCGCGAAGGTGTGAAAGGGCCAGGGCATGAAGTTGGCCTGATTTCCTTTCCCATGTCGTCTCTGCTGCATGGCGCACATGGGTGAACTTTGAAGGGATTCACGCTCGAGGATCCATGTTGTCCATGGGGTTCTCCACAGAGTTCGGAGCAATAGCAACAAGCAGGTGCTAAGGTATGCTCCTCTAAGTTCTGTCTGACAATCTGTATTCCAAGTTAGCAGGCGTCAAATGACAAGCTCGGGTCTCGCAGACCTTTATTGTTGAAGGAATGACTCCAGCAAGCTGACACGAGCGCTGTTGGACTGACATTGGAAAGACATTATCTCGGGCTTTTCCCAGGGGCATCACCTCCGCCAATAGTAGTGCAGAACTCGATGCGCGGATCAGCGCCATGCATTGCCGGGAGGTGCTCGTCCTTGCCCCAAAAACGCCACTATCAACGGAAGCGGCCCTGACTGGGGAACGAGCTTCCGGCTGGTTGCAATCCCACTCAAGCCTTACCTGGGGGCCTTGCCCGTCCTAGTCGTTTGAGCTTATCTGAGGGGAAGAGGACCCTCAATGAGCCTTCCTAGAAGCACTTTACTGAAGCGCCGACCAACGAGTGTGGAATGCGAATATTAGGGACACGACAGAGATGACTTCTCAACGTTGCTTGCGTGAGCAATGAAGACTGTTGCGGTTGCCGATGGCCCGCAGTCTTGGTGGTGTGAAAGACGTGCAGATTTTAGTCGATAGTTAGTTGTTGGTTGCTTTATCCAGGAACCAGGGTGTCAGATCCAGGGTGAGAGGAGAGGGTCTCCAATGCCTGAACCTCTGCACTGCACAGTAAGCTAAGAGAATGCATGCGGTGGACCTAACAAGCAACCTAGCAACCAGACAAGGAACGATCGCCGTCAACGTTGCATACCTAGGTACTTAAGTATGAGTTTTGCTGTTGCGCATTTGCACCGAAGAGTCCCACTGACCTGCAAGTGAGCAGAGAAGCCAGGGCACTCAGGCGAACATGCCTCCCTTGTTCTCACCGCTGTTGCAGGTTTCTAGACTCGAGACACTTCCCTTCGCCCCAGCGCGAACCATGGGAGCAACGTGGCAGCCGAACAAACCTTGGAAGCGAATGCGCCTAGATATCAGCCCGCTCCGAACTCAAAGAGGTCTTGCCGAGCCCATTGTGCAAAGTGGTGGTTGAGGAGAAACATTGGCTTGGAAGAAAAGGGTCAAAGAGACATGGCCAGGGGTTAGTGAGGCTTGTCACATCGCCAAAAGATACGGTATGTTCTCTGAGTGACGGGGACTTTAGCTATCATTACCAAATAAAAAGTCCCAATCACAATATCGCGCTGTATCCCGGTGCTTGGACACAGCCATGGCCCGTGAAAGGCCATCCGTCGGGGTCAAAGCCATGTCGATCTTCTCACCTTTTAGTGGGTGGCGTTAATAGTAACTTGTCCCTGCCTGGACGATACTTGTGAAGCCCACTGTGCTGGCTGGTTGTAGGCCAAGCAGCGAAGATGTGAACCATAGAACCCACTGAACTCCCGCTGGGAGTCTACCACAAGGAAGCGACAAGATAATGCCTCAATAGCATGCTAAATAGGTAGGAAGGCGGGGTGATGAAAGCAAAGAGAGCAGTGGGAGAAAATAGTTGCTCTGAACAGGCACCGCAGTCACCGCAGTCACCGCAGTCACCGCCTTTGAGTCTTCACCGCCCTATTTTTTGACAGGGCAGAATATCCTGAAATTTTGTTGTTGCGATGTCCCCCAGAAGACCCAAAATGAAAGCCTTGACTACGACAATATTCATCGTGCCACTCCAATCTCACGGTTGGATTTTGCAGGATGGCGCCACCTCTAGATGACCTCGCGGCAATTTTCAATGATCTTGGAGATCTAGAGAGAGACTTTGCTCAGGTTGAGATTGATTCTTGTAAGAAGCCATTCCGATCCCGCCTGCCGCACACCCTGCACACTCTGACATTGAGCCAGTGCGAAGAAAGGAATTCCACTCACGACCTCTCTATTCAAAGAGGGCAGCGCTATTTGAGCGGATCCCAGATTTCTGGCCAACCGTGTTTGGCTCCGGGCCTGAGGACATCCGGCAATTCTTCTCTCCAGACGACCTCCCGCTCATTGCCTCCATCAAGTCTTTCTCCGTCGACCGGTACCAGATCAAGACGGAAACCGAAGGAGAACCCCGCAGCGTTCGATTCACATTTCGCTTCGCCCCCAATGAGTTCATGGAGGATACCAGCTTGGTGAAAGAGTTCGAATATCGTACGGCTGAAGATGGACCTGGTAACCTGATCTCGAAGCCGGTTCCGATCAAATGGAAGGGAAAGAAGAAGGACCCAACACGTGGTCTTCTCGATGCCGCTGTCGAATTGTACAAAGCAGAGGAAGCGTTGAAGCTTAAGAATGGAGACAAGCTAGTTGAAATTGTGGACCGGGAGGCTCTGTGGCAGTATGAAAAGCTCCTCGTCAAGCTTGAGGAAGATGAAACTGCCAATCAACAACCAAGTTTCTTCTCTTGGTTCGGCTTCAGGGGCGCGGTCAATGCCGGAAAATCGAAAAGATCGGCTGGCGACAGAGCAGATGGGTCCAAGGAGGAGGAGGAGGATGACGGCGAAGATGAGTCTGATGAGATGCCAGAATTCGAGATCTTCCCTGCCGGTGCCGAGGTAGCCAACGCTCTGGCAGAAGATCTCTGGCCTGACGCCATGGACTATTTCTTGTCGGCTGGCCGAGAATATGAGGGCGTTGACGACGAGGACGAGGATGAAGAGGAAGATGAGGACGACGCTCCGGAGTTGGTGCTGGCAGAGGACGATGACAGACCGCGCAAGAAGCCGCGCAATAGTTGAGGTGTCGATGGAAACGGCTGGGATATGGCCGCTCATGAAAGCAGCGGGGAGAGGCTCTCGGTGGTGGCCGACTGGCGTTCAGGCGTTCAGGATAGCCGATTTCCTTCGAATGCTGTGTTCTTTTTGGGATCATCTGAATCGCGCTCAAGTGCGCTCATCGGCTTTGGGGCATGCAAACCAAAGATAGGACCATCATTGCCCTCCTCAAATGACAATTACTAAAATCAACAATATCACCAAAACCACAATCAACACCCCAATACAGCAACTACTCACACTATCTTCGTTCCGTCTAATCACCTCGCCCACTTTCTTCACCCCAACACTCAACTTCCCTCCCACCCGGTCTGCCAGGGTGTCCACCTCGTCCAGCAGGGCCCCTTGTTCCTCTAGTTCGCGACCCATGTCTTCTGCTTGGCCACGCAAGACCCCAACACTCTGGAAAACGCCGTCCAGCTGTTCGTCTTGTTCGCGCATCATCATCTCTTGCTGCTGAGCCTCGAAGGCCCCGTAGGGATCGTCGTCGTCTTGATCATGATCATCTTCGAAGGATGACGGATTCGGCAGTCTCCCATTTGGTCCTTTTGTGGTGCCACTGCCGCCGGTGGGCGCGGGAGTCGTAGACGTAGGGTATACTCCTCCCCCAGCGACGTGTGTATCTGCTGTAACACCTTCCAACTCCCTCCTCATGCCCTCCACCTCATCACCCACATCCTTGACAAACTGTCTCCGTCGCTGCACCTCGGCGACATCAAGCCCAAAGCGGTACGGATCCGACTCCACGGCCGTGACGCTGTCCAACAGATCCGCGAGGTCTGCGGTGAGTGTTTCGAGATTTGAACGCAGCTCCGCACGCGACTGCTGCAGTTCCGGGGACTTCGCGGACGTGGACAGCGTGCGGATCCGGAGGTAGCTGGAGAACAGGTGCCGCGTGCTTTGGAGCGTCGACTGTACGTCGGTTTGTACTTCGAGGAAAGGGTCGGAGGACGGAGGGTTCGCCATTATTGTGAGTTGTGAGGAAAGACGGGGTCTAGGGGTGTCGATGGGGTGGAAAGAGAGTGAGGCGCAGAATGCGCAGATTTTTAGGGATTTACTGCCTGGGTCATTCTAAAGTTTACATAAAAACAGAAGTCGTGGTTAAGCCGTGAGAGTGCGAGAGGTTGAGCCTTGAGGTCGAGAAGTGTCTTGAATGACATCGGCGGAAACCTGGCCGAGGCCTGGCTGTGTCTTTCGCATGATCATCAGCCGCTTCTATCTGTTGTATAACCACTCGACAGCAACGGATTCTGGTAAATACAATCGTGTGGTGATATGCAATACTTGTACATTGCCCGAAAGCTTTTGATAAATGCGACGGCTTTAAGCTCGGGACACCCTTCATCTTGGACTTCACTCCATCTTGTATGCCTTAGAACTCGGGCCACTGGCTGGACCAAGACATGATCTGTAACTCTTCTTCAAGAAGCTGTCTTCTGTTCCTGCTCACGAAGCTGATCATACATGATCAAACTTCTTCTTGACTTGTCTCCCGCCTTCTCCCGAATACTTTGCACCGTGCTCTCCACTACCCTGGTCAATCCACTCAGTTCAGCCTGCAACTGCTTCCCCAACTCCGCATTCTTGACAGATTCGATCTTCAGAGCCCATTTCATCGCATTCTGTACCGGCAACAGTTCTGCCAACGCAAGATTTGTTCTCTCTACCTCTTTCTGTCGCTCGAGGTGGGAATGTAAACTTTGGCGACCCAGGTGAAGCAGCTTGGTCGCATAGTTGGCGACTTTTCCCTCCAGGTCCTGGCCACCATGAGCATAGACTGCTTTTGCTGCAGCTAGTTCCAACAATACCGCCAGAACGACCGGATCTTTTCTCGCGTCCACTTCACCTATCGTCAGCTTGCCACCTCCATGCTCTTCATCTTCCAGCATTCGTGCAACATATTCGGCTCGCCGCGAAGCTGCCTCAAGTTCACCGCCCTGGAAATTCGCCAGAGCCGCACGGTTGTGGAAGCCTAGCATCAACTCTCGAGCCACGCCCTCTCGCGAGAGCTTGACGCCCGTTTCAGACGGTTTCTCTGCACACCGTAGAATGATTCGCTCTTTGCCCACTTCACAGGCTTTGCGGGTGATTTGCTGATAAAACCGAGATGGGAGTTTGATTTTGGCCATGACCGATCCATGGAGGAATGGGGGCAGATTGTCCCAATCTGTGTCGTTGTGGTTTCGTCCGAGAAATTTTACTAACTTGAGGATACTTTTGTGAACATTCGGCTTGTCATAAAAATGTATTGGTTCCAGCTGGATCTTCTCATCGTCGTCCATTGTTACCGTGACTCCGGGTTCCTTGGTGAGAGTGCCATGCCGCGAAGCCTTGTAAATGAGATCGCGATGGTGGTTTTCCAACGCAGCCGGCATGAAGACTTTTTGGCGCCATGTGAGGAGGAGATCATCGAACTCGGGATTGGACGTCTGATTGAAAGATGGTATTACTTCACCGGTGTAAGCACAGAAGATCCAAGACAGAAAGTTTGGCAACAATGTGGACGTACCTTTTGATCTCGAGCGGGTGGTGCTGAATGACCGCGCCGATTTGGCCCAGCTCGAACTCGAAATATTTCGTCGACAATTCCTACAAATGTAGACGAAGTTTTGACCGGGCTGCGCCATGGGAAATGAGGACACCTCGAAGCCTGCCTAGACTGAGCTGCCGTGAGAAGTTTTGTTTGTCTGGCTGAAATTGGCAGTTCGTGGCTGCGCTCCCATTGAATCTCCAAAGGTAAAGCCTCGAGGTGTTTTCAAGTCGCTCCACCTTCCACTTCCTCTGTCGTGAAAAGTGACCGCGCACCCGCGATTGAGCTGCAATGACCTTTTACAATTGACCTTGCCAAACACTGTCCCATTGGTACAATCTGCCCTCAAACATGTCGAAAACGCTTGCTTCCCGTATGTCGATATGCTGCTGGCGATCCCTATTTCCAGAGCTTCGACCACAGCATTTTCGGCGTACACTAGTCACCCTACAGCGCGGCCCGGCCGAGAAGCTCGACGTACCCTCCGATCTACCCTCGCATTACTGGTCTCAAATACCAGAAAGATTCAGACCTGATAGAGGTGAGTTGTGATAAGCACTTGAACGAAAGACAAGATGTGCTGACCGCTTCGCTAGGAAAACGAGAGATTGTAGTACATCAATCGCCCCGATCTGAGGCCGAAACCTGCAAAGACCCCGTCTCCATCGTGGACAGTCGACAATTGGCTCTACTGGATCCCACAGGAGCGCGGGCCAAACTGTTTGACAAAACCAACAAGGACCGTGCAAAGGTTGGAGATATTCTGCTGGCAACCTTCACTTCCGGGGAACCAGTTTCGGGGGTGATTCTGTCAATCAAAGGCTCAGCGCCTCACACGTCGGTGCTGTTGCGCAACCATTTGACAGGGATAGGCATGGAAATGCAAATCAAGGTGCATAGTCCACTGGTACAGAGCATGGAGATAGCCCAGAGAGCGCCGAAGAGAAAGAGGCGGGCGAGAATCTACTACCTGAGGAAACCAGAGCATGACACTGGAAGTGTGCAGAAAGTGGTCGACCAGTATCTGAGGCAGCGAGCCATGTTAACTGGTGGAAGACCGTCAAGCCAATTGGGACGTTCGAGACCGAAGAAAGGGAAGAGATGAATTGTGTTATGAAAGTATATGGATCGGATTCTCAAGGATCACGAGGCATCAAACCCTCAGAACTATCTCAGGTCAGCGTCAATTTTGTAAGAAAACAGTGAATGTTTTTGTTCCCTACAAGGATTGACTTGGCTGAGACTGTACCAAATAACTCAGGCATATGCAACAATTCCCTATCCTCTACCTCACTCACAGCTCAGTTTTGTCTCATTGGTCGCCAGGATCGCCGTTCGCAATTCACTTTGAGTGTCACTTGGATTTTTCAGCGTCACTTCGACAGTGATCTCGTCTTCACTATCACCGAGTTTCAACTCCACTACCTCTATAAATACCGCCTTACCACCCTCCGATCGCTCTTTCGATCCCACCACCTCCCTCTCAACCTGTCTTCTCTCTTCCTGTCTTCTCTCTTCCTGTTGCTTCTCCCAGTCATACTGTGGCAAACATGAGACGGGAACTGAAGCCGACAACCATGTCTTCTTTTGCCTCTCGTTCCTCCGAGGCTCCACCGCCGTCGTCTCATGACGAGCTTTCCCAGCAGCTTCGAGATTTGAATTTGGTTGTCAAGCCAAATATTGACGACAGAACTGCGCAGATACTTTCAAATCTCATTGGCCGAATTCATTCTGATCCGAACTTCATTCACTATCTGGACGATTCTCTTGCTGGTAGCAAGTCTCGTGAACTCCCCAGCAATGACAAACACCATTTGAACGATGCTCTTGATAGCAACAAGTTTTGGGGATCCTCGAACGGGGGCGACGACCGGGCCACGGTTAGTCCAAGTGAATTTATTCCTTCAGCAGCTTCAAGTTGCACTAACGCTGCGACCTATCATTACTAACTTACATGGCAGCTCCTACCATCCCGTGTTTGAACACAATCGAAACCCCTTTGGAGAGCGAAGCTGGCTATCAAATCTCAGATGGATTATTCAAGCGCGAAATGTGGGAACCCAGTGGGAGGTAAGACGCGAGCTAACGAGGAGGCAGATAAGAAATTAACGAACTAATGAATACTTTTATAGGCGCCATTCCGGTCGATTCAGTTGCAGGCCTATTTCGGTCATGGTCAATGACACCGAGTTCTTTGTTCACGGGCGAATTTTGCAGGCCATGTTCTTGGACCTCTCAAACTGCTTAGGAGGAGGCGACATTCTCTATGTGAGCGACATTCCTGAACATGTATTCGAAGCAGCGCTTGAATATCAATACGGCCGGAGCGTTGGTACCCTTGAAAAGCTCCTTGACGATGAACTGGAGCTTCTTGGTCACTTTGCAATGAGCAACGACAATTGGCCTCTGCTTGGCGCAATCTACCAGATCAGCGGAACAGAGCTCTTCGACAAACACAGCCTTTTGTATATTACCTATTTGTACGAAGATTGTTCCGATCTTCCAGGGTTCAGGGATTACTTCCGAGAAAGCTTACGAAAGGAGCTTCCGAAAAGACATGAGAATGGTGGGTCGCGCGCCTTTATCTCCGAGCTCGTCGCCGAATTGCAGCGTAAGAGCAAACCTTCCAACGCCATGGAAGATGTGTCTATGGTGCTACATGAACTATGGTCTGCAAGCACGACAACAGCGAAGTCCTTAGAAGCCAAACTCGCTGCTCGAGGCAATGTCGGTAGCGGCTCTGACAACATCGATGGCAGTGGCTGGACAAAGTCTGCAAACGATTTAGCTTGGCACAGAGACGGTAACCAAAACGATCTTCAGCCCAGCAGCGGACGGGACGATGATGTGGAAGTGGCCTGGGAGAAGATGATCAAGACAGCATGGCCAGCGGCCTACCGTGCTGCATCAGACCTTGATTCTCCTGCACCTACAAGTCCTCCTCCTCCAGCTCCTGTCAACCCGCCAACCCAATCCAACTGGGGCTATACGGCCTGGCGCGATCTCAACAATTCCAGTTCCCTGCCGAAATCCCCTCCAGCCACGGCCCGCGGCAGTCCCCATCTTCTGCACAAAACCTCCGCTCTCGGACGCTGCATTCACCATTGGATGAGCCGACAACGCGCGGAAAATTGCTGCCGTAAGAGCTTCACGGTGGAGGAGATTGCCACGAGTGTCGGTTGTACCGAGGACGAGGTGGACACAGCGCTTGCCGAACTCGTGGAAGACGGGTTCGTCTCGAACGTCGAGAGCTGGACCGGACAGACATTGTACAGAGCCATCTTTTCCAAGACAACATCCCTTTCCGGCTGGGAAGTGAACCAGGACCTATGTGATTGAAATGAGTCCCGTCATCGACTTGGATCAAGCGGCACTATCACGACGTGCAAAAAAACAGGCTTGGCTCAATGGCTCAATCCCCTTCCAACATGCATCAAGATGAGCCAAGAGCTCTTTCCCAACATCAGTCGCTCATTATGGAACTTGTCGTTCGAAACTGGATTCCGGGGCATAGAAAACACAAAAAAAGGCAACAACAAACACACAATTCTCACCAAAAAAAAGGGAAAGAGTATTACAGGACATTGAGCACCAATTTTTCCACTTCCGTCTTCTTTCTCCACAAGTGAATTGAAATTTCTATTACTGCTGCCGAGTCGATGGGCGATCAATGAGAAATGGGGAGCAAGGGAGATCGGAACGGCGTCGAAGCAGAGAGCAGAGTCAGGTGGGTAGCCTGATAGATTCATCAACTTTGAGGGGTGACAGCTTGGGCTGGGGCTGGCTTGATGAATTGATTCAGAGTTGTATTGAAAATCCAAAACATGATGAGCAAGCTTTTTTTCCGATTCTATCGTTATCAGAGTCATTTCATTCCCGCTGTGATAAAATTCTTTGGGGTTTCTTGGCCCTTTCGCATCTGTAACGTTGTGCTTTGCTAGCGTCTCTCTCGAAGCACAGTCCAGCGTATCCACTCAGTAACAGCTCTCATCAGACCAGTCAGTGCAGCAATGTGAACCTGGAATGCATATATGCGATTTTACGTGACATGACGCGGGAGGACCCCGGCAGACAGGGATCGTTCGTTGACGCCAGGTAGGCTCAGAGCAGAAGCAACGTATAATCCTCATCGATCTGCACGTGGATGTCCTCGAGTGTTGTCTTTCCACCGACCACCGCGGGACCTTTGATTGTAAGCTGCATCACGTTAAGAGGAAAAGGGTCAGCACATGTCGTTCGTAAGACGAAACGGTCGAGAAGCGCCATGATTGGTCCAAGAAAGGGAGAGGGGGAGTTCGACAGAGGAATAGATGTTAAAGAGGGAATATGAGGTGTGGCGTGGACATACCGTTGCTCCACGCGGAGTACGCGATCCCATAACGCCCTCCTCTCCTGCCAAATTGACCTCGACGCTGCTAAGCGGAGCGCCGACGCAGCACACTTTACCGCCCTTGTCACGGTAATCAAAGATGTTGGTCTGCGCGATCGCGCCCGCCACGGACGGACTCGTCAGCGCGTACCCGATCCGGCATTTCAAGTGCGTGCGAATACTGTGCAGTGTCGACGACGACAGGCGGGCTGATTTTGGAGTCGTGACAGATTGAGGGATCAGAAGGACGCGGAGGTGCGAGAGGGTGTTGGAAGTGGTGGCCTGTTTCGAGGGGAGATTCCCTTGCTGTAAGGTGCGTGTGGTCATGTACTTTGACAGCCCGCTGGGGAGGGTTGTATTCGGGTGGGATAAGTAGGCTTGCACAGTGGTGGGGGAGGCGAGGACGACGGTTGGAGATGTCCGGGAGGTGGCGTGGGCGAGATCAATGTTGTCTCCGGAGACGGAGTTGAGGGCCAGCGTTGCGTTGGAGTAGAGGGCGGCAAAGATCCAGCACAGAGTGTAGCTATCTGTTAAAGGTATGGTGGGCAGTAACGAGTCGCTCGGACTAAGTTTCTGAGCACGTGGCAGGGTGGCCAGAAGTGCAGCGGTACCGGATATGAGGTTCTAAAAGTGGTGCTGGTCAGTATACAAGGGGCTCAATTGACAAATGAAACTTGGCTTGAAAACAGCGCAGAGTTAAGGTGATAGGGAAGAAGTAGGCTCACTTCTGAGGTGTATTTGACCAGGTCGAAACCTCCGCTAGCCGTCGGACAGAAAATCGACACAGGCGGGACTTGAGAATCTTTGTCCAAAGGCAAAACCTCTGAGTTGGTGGGTCGCTGGTTCTTCTGCACAAGTTCCTGCCATGAGCTAACCTCAAAGCCTTCGGGAGAACCTTCTGACCAGTCCATGTGCCTATTTTCTGGGCGGGTGACCCAAATGATGTTCTTGATGCTTTTGGCGCTCGAGGACATGGTTTCAAGGTCCAGCGTGCCGGCCTCGGCGATCACATGGTCAGCTGACACCTTGGAGAGAAGCGAGTTGAGCTTGTCGGGCGTAAGGCCGTATGGGAGGAGAATTGTCGAGAAGCCGTAGAACGAGCCAGCTGTTTTGGGGATGGTCAGACACACGACGCTGAGCCCTAAAGAGTCTGTGGATAATATACAACATACCAAAAACGGAAGACAACAGTTCGACCGAATTTGAGAGGCAGACGGCCACAGATTGACCATTGTTCCGCTTCACGTATTGACCGATGACATTAATTCCGAGCGTCAAATCTTCGAGATTGTGATCGACGACCTTTTCCAGGCCGAGCACCGTCAAAATTTTGCCTCTCTGACCCGTCGGGTTGCCCTCTTCATTGACCGCGCCGCGGACTGCCGTCCTCCAGATATCGCGCAGATCTCCCGGTCGGCCAGAACTCCACTTTGGTGTCCCCGGGTCTTTGACGCCCAGCCCGGCACGGAGAGGATAGCCATGTGGAATATCGATGGCGCGGTAGACGGCCGACTCACCTGATTGACGGATGGGTGCAACCTGAGCTTGTCTTGCGAGCAGATAGGGGTGAGTATCTGGGTCACGACCTGTAAGCACCGGGTAGATGAGGAACACTGCGAGAGCGAGAGCAAGAATGGTCGTCCAAATGTTCCATGACGAGAAGAACTGGGCGATGTTGGCGTCAATTCGTTCCGCTAGGCCGGCTTCCGACATGATGGACCGACTTGAATGATGGAAGAACTCGAGTTGTCGTTGATGGATGTCTGCAATATATCAGACGTTGGAGTTGAAGTTGCTCCGAATCGGCCATGAGATTCTTGGCCTGCACTCCACTTGCTGCTTTAATCCAACTTGACAGCCTTGTTCAGCCTCGTCCAGCCTTGCCATTATCGCGGGGAGAGTTGGACCAAGCCATTCTATTCTGCTCGTGGTCAGGCTATGCCTTTGCGCTCATCTCTCTGAGATATAGTGTACACTGCTGTGGGAGATGTGCGAGACTGGTGCACAAAAGGCTGACCTCCATTGTTGCTCACGCTATACAAGATTCACGGGTCGTAAAAAACGGCTGGCAGGATGCTCTGAAGCCAAGGACATTGTCCAATGAATATATTTCGCACTCTATGCTTCAAGCATAATAATTCGAATCACCAAAAGTAGCCACTGGGCTCCTACCGCGTCAAATTTTCTCTGTTACCACATTGATTGATAGCCTCTCGCACCCCCAGTATCGCTGGGCGTCCTGTGTCATGAAGAATACCACAACCAGATCCTAACAGCCTAAAGTGCCTGCTGAGTTAAATATTTTTGCGTCTCTTTGACGGCATCATAGCTGTACAACCACTGTAGAAAGGGTGGACTTGGGAAAGGCGCATTCATGTTTGCCGGCGGGCGAGGCTGCGCTCCCCTCTCCTCCTCCGGTCGCGCCAGCTCGGCCTGGTCGATCTTGAACTGCTTGGCTAGAAACTCATTGCGCACCTCAGCGTCAGCGCCGTTCAGAAACACTACACCGTCATGACTTGCAGCTTGGATGCGTTCGACGCGCGGCTTGCGGAGGGCCTCGTATGCCTTCGTGGCATCCGCGATCGGCCGACCGTTTTCCCAGGCCCAGCCGACGCATTCGCCGAGCACTGCACCGTCTTCGATCGCACAGGAACCGCCAGAGCCAGCGTGAGGAAGCATGGCGTGCCAAGCATCCCCGAGAAGGACCACTCCGCCCTTTTCACTCCGGCAAGTACTCAAAGGAGGGAGCTCGGCCACCCTCCACTGAATGCAAGGTCCAATGTTGGCAAGCAGGTCTCTTACGGTAGGACAGGCGTCTCCGAACTCGGCAGCGACTTGTTTTGGGTCGGCTTTGATGCCCCAATAGCCGTAAGGAACGTCACAACCATCGCCAATGCATACCACAACGTCGTACGGCCTGTGGGGTGGCAAGGGCCAAGACAATATGTATTTTCCCGGCATGAACCATATTTGGCTGGTGCCCTGCGTCAACAGCCATTTAAGATTTGGGTTTGCTACCATGGCGTCTTTGTCGACAGTGCACCGGTAGGCTTTCTCGTCCGAGGGGATCAGCTCGACTGAGGCTGTTGCAGGGATGGAACCACGGACCGCAGAGCGCAGCCCATCTGCTCCCACCACGAGGTCGGCGGAGAGGGAACGTCCGTCCTTCAGGTGCACTGCGTTGGTGTCAACGTCGACACTGGTGACTTCGGCATTGAACAAGATCTTGGTGCCGTATCCTTGGGCGCCTCTGGCGAGGAGTTGCTGGTAATCTGCTCGGTGTATGCTCCACTTTGGTGCCCCCCAGAGGATGTTGCTGTGGTTCCCTTCATTGTGAAAGACTGCACCCAGGCGTTCATTGTTTGCGCCGTCCCGCAGATCAATATATCTGTTCTCGGTGACAGAGGGCCGAAACTGCTCCTCCAGTCCGTAGTACTTGATCACCCTGACCGCATGAGAATCGATACTGATGCTGGCGCCGAATTCGTTCAGCTCTGGTTTGCCTTCAAGAACTGTGACGTCCAGACCCCTGCGTGACAGAGCAATAGCAGCCGAAAGACCGCCAATGCCTGCACCTACAATCAACACTGAATAGGGCTTTGCAGGCCGGTCAATGCTTCCCATTATGGTGGTTGGTCAGCTGGAGAGAAGCCTAGGACTATGCTCCGGGGAATGGAAATATATCTTGAGAGGGTCTGCCTTTGAACGAGAGTAAGCCACCTACCAACCTGAACATACATACCATTATAAGGACTCCCGCATTCTGTAGACATCTTACCGCCGGTCAGCTAAGGCCGCCTCCAACCCGCTGGCCATCCTCGAAGAAAGGAAGGCATTTCTCCAGATCCGCTGTCATAATATCGGACGCCTAATGAATGCGGCCGCCCAATGTTAAGGGGAAAAGGGTCTCCGAAGGAGTTACCTGTTCGAAGTCGCTGGTGTGCAGCCAATTGAATTGAGCGATGCATCATCACACGCGGCAAACTCTTCAAACCCTACATACCCATGCAGATATTGTCCAGGGAAGGTTCAAGGCTACGGTACGAGGAAGTAAGCGAAGGTCCCTGCCCAAGAAGGGCAGTGGGTATTTGCACGCACCTTGGCAGAACAATATCTCCCAACGACTGGGTCAGCTTCTGAGATGATCAGCTCACATCCCTAATTTTATACTTTTGGATCATCGGCTAGGTGGTGTATTGAATCTCCTGCGGGAATGTGTTCAGACAGTCCCAATATCTAACTTAGGTCTTCGTCTTTGAATCTGCGACCGGAAACGCCCATGCCCAACGTGATCATACGAGCGACCCTCATAGTTTGCTCTGGGGTTGATAGAACTTCCGACTCCTTTCAATGGCTTCAACGGCCTCTCCCTCGATTCTCGATAGGAGCTCCTGGCATGTGGGAATGTCGTGAATCAGCCCAATGACTTGGCCAGCCGTCCAGACGCCAAAGTCCTTGTCTCCATTGATGAAGACCTCTCGCCCACGCTTTCCAGACACGAATGGGGCCACCTCTTCAAATTTGCCAGTTGTGCTGCTCTTCTCGATCGCGACCGCCTCCTGGGCAACCTTGTTCTTGAATAGTCTGGAAGTGTTTTTCCATCTCCTCAGCACAAGCTCAGTATCATGTTCCGAGGCATCCACGATTGCTTGCTTGATGTTCACATGGATTGGCGCTTCGACTGTGCACATGAATCGGGTGCCCATGTTGATACCTTCGGCACCAAGGGCAAGGGCGGCAGCCAGTCCCTGACCATCTGCAAAGCCGCCAGAAGCAATAAATGGTGCGCCGAGTGATTGTCTTGCTCTTGACAGGAGGATGAAATTGGTAATGTCTGATTCACCCACATGGCCAGCACACTCGAAGCCGTCGATTGATAGGAAGTCCACACCCAGCTTCACAGCCGACTGAGCGTGGCGAATGGTCGTACATTTGTGAAGGATGATGATGCCGGCGTTCTTCAACAGTTTGATGACCGGGCCAGGCGAGTTGCCTGCTGTCTCCACCACCTTGATCCCCTCATCGATACAGACTTGAGCGTATTCGCCATAGGGCGGAGCGTTCATCGTGGGCAGGAGAGTGATGTTAACGGCGAAGGGGTTCTTGGTCATGGTCCTGCATTTCCGGATCTCCTTACGCAGGTCTTCAGGGGTAGGTTGAGTAAGAGCCGTGAGCTACAGTCCGATTAGCGCCATTGACAGTAGTCGCAGTGTTTCGGTGAGACTTACTATACCCAGACCACCTGCGTTGGATACAGCGGATGCTAATTCGGCATATCCCACCCATTGCATCCCACCCTGGACGACGGGAACTTTTCCATAGTTAGCGAGGTTTGCGCGATGAGCAGCTCTCAAAATATACCCTTGATGCCGAGTCGGCGCGTAAGTTCGGTGTTGAAAACCATTGTGGTTGTGGTTTTGGATTCGCACGTGAAGGCAGTCGGCGGAAACGGAGGACTCGACAATCTAGTCAAACTCGTGCACAATGCAATAGGCGAACAGGAAATGACAAGGCAAGGGAGAACGAGGAGCAAACACAATTCAAAATACCATGCCGTCCTTCATATATCAAAAGGGAGATGACCCGAGGTGGTTGCGATCACGAATACTACGGACGCAGGAGAGCGCAGGGAGAGTTGTGGGGGACACGAACTCAGCCGGGGACCGAGGCAATTAAAGCTTCCACTTCTTAAGGCCGTTGCAGCGCGGACTCGATTGTTTGCCGATGTATCACCTAAGCATGAGCAATGGCATCTATCAGCGTCTTTGAGGGGCACGCAAGCCGGGAGTCTTTGCGTATTTGGACCTCAACACTTCGAAATAGCATCTTGATTGATGTCCCGAGAAGCTGAAGGGACGGAGCCGCAGTCGGTGCCTCGGGCCGCGATATCGTTTTTCCGATCCGAACCACTCGCCCTTCAAGTTGTTCACTGCAAGTCTCTTGGATGATGTCGAAAGAAATAAATCTAGATGTGGTTTGACCTTTGGGACGATAGTCTGCAGATGTTACTGATCTGAGGCGATGTTATAGCCATCGTCAAGCCATCGTCAAGCCATCAAAAACCATCGCAAAACCATCGCAAAACCATCGCAAAACCATCGCGAGCTCTTCGGCCGTAAGACATGTGCCAGCCTCGCCGAAGCCTCGCGGAACGTTCTCCAAAGGGAATAGTCGGCCTTGGTTGTTTTCAGTCATGACGGGTTTTGCCAATTTCTATCAGAAGACAGCCATCTCCCTTGTATCGTATCATGCGTGCCAGAACTCACGATAACCCTAGAGATCATTATGGTAGTTAAGACCCCACCAACACGCAGCGTGCAGGCTCCAGCGACCAAAGCTGACCTCGTTTCATGGTGTCGCTAAATGTGCGTTATGAATCATGATATTGGTATTGAAACTTCATTCGACAACTTTTGCATGCCTACGGCTGTTGCGTTAAACCGAAAAGAAGTATTTTGCGCGAAGTGTCTGCTTGGTCCATGCGCAAGCATTGGTGTGGTACTGCTTTGGTTTGTTTATATGGGTCTACTTGGTCTTACTGGGCATTGTGGTATAAGTTAAATACGGTGTCTCTGGAATGCTTCACTCATCAGAGACCTGCATATTTCCAGGCTGCCATTGCTGCTTCTTCTTGCCCTGAACTGAGGCGCGAGACAGAGTTTCCCCTGAAAAAGAGTGGTTCCCCCTCATTCATAGACTTTATTGCTGGGTCTCTCCAAAGGGCATTCACGATGTCAGTCAACCCATCTCATGTCAATCCGCTCGATTGCAGCGAGGTATCCGAACAATGCCCAGTCAAGGCCTCGATCTACGGGTACTATCCTATTCTAGCATCAAACGCCTTTTTCAGCGCCCTCTTTGGGCTTTGCTTCATTGTCAATCTTGGCATCGGCTGGCGCTCTAGGACTTGGTCCTACATGCTTGCAATGTCCCTTGCCTGCATATCTAGCTGCATCGGCTATGTTGGTCGATGCCTCATGCACCGCAATCCCTTCGACTCCGTCGGCTTCGAGATCCAGATATGCTGCCTCACATTCGCCCCAGCTTTCAACGCTGCTGCTATCTATCTGATCTTGAAGCATCTGGTCTTGCAGCTAGGCAGAGACTGGTCAAGGGTCAGACCGAAATATTACACATGGGCTTTCATCACAGCCGACTTTCTTGCCTTGACTCTACAAGCAGCGGGTGGAGGCATTGCAGGATCCGCTGGAGACGATGAGAGCTTTCGAAATGTCGGAGACAGACTCATGATTACTGGTATCTCCTGGCAGGTCTTGACTCTTCTGATATTTGGTGCAGCCGTCACGGACTATTCTATTCGACGGCTGAAATCTCAGCCCCTTTCCGAATCTGCGCGGTCTCTGATACTCGATCCGAAGTTCCGGATTTTTGTGATCGCACAATTAATCGCTTACCTTGCTATCCTGATTCGATGCGTCTACCGAGTTGCTGAGATGGCCAATGGGTGGCGCAATCCTATCATGCAGAATCAAGGCCTCTTTATCGGACTTGACAGTGTGTTAGTATTGTCCATACATCCAGATTTTGACAAAGCTCTAACAAAAGATCCAGCCAGGTTGGCGTTGCCACAATCCTTCAAACATTTCTCCACCCCGGCTACTTCTTCCCAGCACTCGAAAGCTACGGGCAACGCAAGAAGGCCCAAAAGGCTAGTAATGTCTCTTACGAGATCAGCAGAAGTGAGAGCCAGATGGAAAAGGCTTTGGTTTAGGCTGTAGCGTGCTCAAATCGACAGAGGTTGAAGTAGTCGACAGGCGGATATCGCTCAGCTGCTAAGAATCAAAGGAGTTGAGAATCTATCCTACACTTGGACCCAGCTGTTCTTACACAATTTACCCCGTATTGTTAGTCGGTTCGCCAGGGGCAATGCCAGGGGCACGCCAGCCTCGCGACATGCGTAATGTTGCTTGACCCACAATTTCTTGGCTCATCGTCATTCCGACTGCGAGTCCGTCTCGCCGAGTCCTGCAACTCCTGCTGCCTCACTTCACCGTGTGGTGAGTTACTCGACATCGACTGTCTACTCTCGTTTGGGTCCTATTCAATGCGCTGTAGGAGTCACTCTTCTGTTCCGTGCCCGAATCACTTCTAAGCCTCTCTGCGATGTACGGTTTGAGCCATGGGTGCGTCAGAGTCGAAGCTGGTATTCAAGCAGGGCATCTTCAGACTCTCGGAGGAGAGGAACATTGCCGCCAATGACCCATACTGGACAAATGTGAGGTACACTATAGTTGTTACGAAGTAGTGCGCTGATGGTTGCAGTTCTGGGAACTACCTGAATCCGTCGAGGACGTCTTCAGTCTCTTTTCGCATACCGACATCCGCAGAACCCGAGATTCTGCGCTCGAGAACCTTGAAACCCTCATTCTAGCCGTCACATCGCGCCTGATCGTGTTGAAGAACCACCCCTCGTTTCCAGATCCTGATCTTGCTCCGGAAAAGGATGCCCTTAATTGTGTACGAGTCCTGACCCGGCTCCTGCCATATGTGTACGAGGCGGATGACTTGTCAGAATGGGAGGACAAGTTTTTCTGGGGATTGAGGCGGCGCCGGACGAGAAGATCTCAAGTCTCGGGTGAGGTGCTGTTCGACGACAATCAGATCGAGGAGGAAACCCCTACAGACAATCGTGAGCAGGAATTCGAGGATATCAAACCACTTGCGGAAGAACTTATAGACACCTTGACCGATCTCCTCTTCTATGCAGGTTTCACGATACCTGACCTCCCGCAGGCGAAGAGCAAGGTTACGTATGCAATCTGGCAGAGTGGCGTGGGTTGCAAATCTTCCATCCCCACAAACAAAGAACTCGAGAGCAATCGATGCGAGATCCTCCGGCTCCTTCTGACCCTGTCCAGCAAGGCAATGTACACGCATTCCAATGTCCTTCCAGTTCAAGGTGTCAAAGCTATCACGTACCTCGCCACCTGTCCAGACAAGCAGATCGTTCTCTCCGTGCTGTGTTCTCTGATCAATACCACGATCAAATCCAACCCTGGCTCGTGGCGTCTCCCGTACGACCACGTGGTCCGCAAGGATTCCAAGCAGACCCTCGTCGTCTACAGCTTACAACTTCTCCTGGTCCTTCTGCTGTACCCAGTCCCCGAAAGCGGAAATGGTCCGGCGCCGAAGAACTTCTACCGCCATTATCTTGGTCGACTCCATAGACCGGAGGATTTTCAGTTCCTTGCCGATGGCATGACTCGAGTCTTAAGCCAGCCGATGCAAGCTACGACTTCATACCTACCTGGGAGCCAGAAGTCGGTCAAGTGGGCCCCGGAAATGACAATGCTCTTTTGGGAAGTACTCCAGTGCAACAAAAGATTCCGGGCTTTTATCATAGAGTCCAAGCGCGCACACGATTTCGTCATTCTCATGCTATTCTATGCCATCGAGTACAAGACTGACGCGTCAAAGCAAGGTATCGTGAGAATGTGCGTCTTCGTCCTCCAAACAATGAGTGTCGAATCCACCTTTGGAAACAACCTCAACAAAAAGTTTGAAGCACAGGATACCTTGCCTCCATCCATTCGTCTGGCAAATTTCAAAGGCACCTATGCGGATTTCTTGATCACTTCAATCCACACTTTGATTACAGGGAGCAAGGGCAAGCTTGAAGCCATCTACCCTGCCTTGCTTGCCATCATTAATAATATGGCAGCCTACGTGCAGCATCTGTCTTTGGCGGCAAGCACTCGCTTGGTACAGCTACTCGTATCAATGTCCACTCCAAGCTTCCTTCTTGCGAATGAGAGCAACCATGTCCTTCTTCGGGCACTCCTGGAATCTATCACCAGCATGATAGAGCACCAGTATACATCCAATGCCAATTTGATATATGCTGTTTGGCGATCGAGGAAACGTATCGAATCCTTGAGACAATTCACGCTGGAGGGCGGTCAAGCAGAAATTGAACGAGCTGCTCAACGCCGCAAGGAGAGTGCTCTGAACGATAACGCAGATGATATTTCCAGATCATCTACCAGGGAAAACCTGTCTTCGCCAGTTGCTCGCAGTGGAATGTTGCCGAACCCGGAAAGTGCAGTGGACGGAACGTTCGCCATAGGAGACTCGGACGACTCCGACAATGAAGAGCCACCAGCCCCTTCTCAGTCGACGCAATCCATGCGGACTTCTCGAACACCTTCGATTGCCTCGTCATCCATCCCAGAAGACCACGTTCCCGTTCAACTATCGGGCATGTCAGAAAAGGCCAGGGGTAAGATGCCCGCGAATGCCCCGACATTCTCTCGACAAAACAGCACATTAAGCCTTTCAGGTACTTCGACATATACCACAGGCCGTGGCTCGTTCACGCCCACGACAGATTGGCTAGAGAGCTGGCTCCCTGAGCTACCTCTTCACACTCTGCTTACTGTAATCAAAGTCCTCTCTACGCACCCTCTGGCATCACCACGTGTCAGCAATGCGGGCGCCACTCACAGCGATACCACAAACCCGCCCTCGGTAGCTTCCTCGCGCCGCTCATCACTGACTGGAGGTGACGAGCCCTCTACGATAAACTCCCCCACCGCAAGTCCCACAGACTTCCGCTCCCAAATTCCCTCCACAGCCTCGCACCCTGCCATCGCCGCCATACTGGCTTCGCCATCCCCAATCCGGGTACACCTTTTCGAATGGTCGCCGCTCTCTCTAGGCTGGTACATGTCCGTGCTTTGGTCTTTGATATTCACCGCGGAAATGACCATCTCACCGACCTCCAGCACGGCGGCCACCCTGACAGGAGGGGGAGTGATGGCTGGGCCGGTGGGTGTCTGGAACGGAACGAACGTGAAGTTATTTCAGGTTGCAACTGAGGGGAGACGAGAAGGTCCAAGCCTAAGCCAGCCGAGAGGGGCGGTGGATGCTGTGGGTAGTAGGATTGTGCAGGGAGTTCAGGGGTTAAACCTGGGCGGTCTGGTTTCTAGAGTGGGAAGTGGAGTGAGAAGTGTCAGTGCTAGCAATATTACTGACGGTGCTGCTACACAGGGAAGAGGTACCACGAGAGAAATCTGATCCTCGTCACGCATTTGCCCTGCTTGATACTTGGGGGCTTGAGAGCGGTCTGCAAGGGATAGATCCGGTGCGGTGTTGCTATGGTATGAGGCGGCGCCGGGAGAAGGAAGTCATGACATGCACTTTCACGACTATGCGGCGTTCTTCAGGCTGGCTTTTCTCCGAGCGTAGGCGTCCTCCTCCTGTTTTTGTCTTTTCTCCTTGTAATATCCATCTGGATAAATGTGTTTGGGGTTTGTGAATGAGCGAATACTTTTCAAGAACCTCTCTGGCTGGCTGGCTATTCCTAGAGATTAGTCCAAGTCCGCGGTTACCGCGTCTGGCGCTCGTTCGTGCAAGGATACTAGATACCTGGTTCTGAGAAAGATCGAGCTGCCGGTAGGATCAGTTTCATAGTCGTCGTCGCACACATGAATTCATGAAAAGAAAGGGACTGGGGTTGGATGAATTCAAGGGCCATTTCATTTCACTCGTCGCTCAAAGGAGCCTTCACGGTACTCTTTACACGGTACGCGAGAGTCCTGTCAGGAAGCAGTCACATAATGTTTTGTGGCTTCAATCAAACATGCACAATGCAGCCGAACGCATTCGCTGCTATGAGTAAGGTCCCCAGCCCCCAATAGATGACAAAATTGCCTTGTGAAGAAAACGCCACTTGCGAAAATTGGATTTTGGCCCGGAATTGAACGCTACATAACCAAAGTCGCGGTCGCTCAATCTCAGAAGGTGCCAAAAGAATCACTCTTCGGAAGTTTCCTGCCCTTGTCGTACAACCATTTATAGTTCAACCCGGGGACAACTTGTGTGGCTCTGGTGGGAGACGGTGAATTCGGCTCTAGGCTCTCTCGTCTTGGTCTTCTTTCACGCATACTCTGCGATCGACTGAGGCCTGTATTACCGCTGCTGATCGCTCCAAATCCAGAACGAGTGCTCGTGCCAAACTCGGCGTCTGGGTTTTGCGAGGACTGGTTCTGGCTCACAGCCTTGTGGAAAAGTGGGCTTGCAGTCGGAGAGGGAGAAAATGGTGAACCTGAGACCGTGCGACGGAGGGATTGCGAGGGCGTCGGGGAGAATCCAAGAGTGTGGCGCGATGTAGACAGAGGTGATGAGGAGTAGTTCGCTGAAATGCTGCGACGGTCGGTTGAGGCGGAACCATAACCGAGTTGAGAGCCCATTGTGGGACTGCCACTGAAGGAGCCAGAAAGTCGTCGGTAGCGCGGAGGAGTGATATAACTAGCCGCCGAGCCAGCTGGACTTTGGCTTGCGTGGACGGACGGAGAGAGGCCCAAGAGGGACCGTTGAGAAGGTGTCAATGGGATATCTGTGATTTGGTCCTTCTGGGATATGTAGGGCACGATCGGTCGGAGAAGAAGGATCATGTTGAGGCAGAAGAGAAGGCGGATGATTAGGAGGGCAGCCCAGGAGATCTGAGAGGGATCGGCAATGCCGCTGGTTTTGAGCAGAGGAGGTACACTGCTAGCAAGTCAATTATTGCACTTTGGAGTCCCCGACTTAAGCATACCTGCTATAGTAGACATCGCTGAAAATGAACGTGAGCAGCAGAGCTGCGGCGTTGGTCGCGGCACCCTTCACACTTCTGTCCGTAAGGGCTGTCGCAGCATTCCTCCTCAATATCTCTGTTGTCATAGGGTGTCTAAACTTTCCTGGTGTAGACGGAGGAGTGGCAGGTTCGGCAGGATTGGGCGAGGACTTTGAGAGAGCCAGGCTAAGATTCTGCGCGCTTCGGGATACATTGCTGGGGGCACTTGTAACGGCGTTTGTAACTTGCGACACGGTGTTTTGAGCGCTCTGAAGCGCAGGATTGTAGCTAGACCTCAAAGAAGAAGGAGAGGGAATCAGGGATGTCGCGGTCGTTGACATGATGGGTAAATCGGCTGGGTTCAGGGATGAGCGGAGTTCCAGTCAGGATTTGGGAGTTCTCTACCACTTACCGAAATGCAGACGAAGAGAAATGACTCACCTGTCGAAGTGTCAGCATAACATTGTGTCGTCGTCGCGTTGTGTTCTTTGTGAGTTACAGTCGTTGTGGGACATGAAATGCATGCTTCACTTTCATTGTTGACGCTTTCCGCACTCGGATCGGCTAAGTTTCTACAATCGAGCCCCCAAACTCTCCTTTAACATCCCTCTGAGTGCCAGTGACCTAACACGCCTCCCGTTGTATGAATTATAGGAGCAGAAGCTTGTGTTAATGACCTTGACATTGTTCGAATCTAGAGAAAGTGAGCTTGCCACAATGGTTGCTCTATCTCCTGCAGCTGAATCGAGAACGACAAACGTCTTTCATGTTCATTCTTCGGACACGACGTCTTGTTGTGAATGCATCCAGCCCCAAAATTGGCGGGCCTGCGCTATATTGGGCGCCTATTGCCAGCTCCGTGGAAGGACTGTTCTGGCAGGTTGCGAGCCGCCAGGACGACTGGGGGTTTTGGACAGGTGGCTTGTTTCGCTCAGTCTAGAAGGGCAACAGTCTCCCATACTGGTTGGTCTGAGATGACATCTTGCTGTCGATGGGTCAGCCACCCTAAAACAGGTTTGTTTACGCTGTGCTTGATACCCATTGCTGGATCTAGGGGCGGAATATGCAGACGGATTGCGAGGCGGACAGGGGCCCGGCGGTAATTATGCACGCCGACATGATTCGTAGAAGTGGCTGTGCCGAGTTCGGCCTTGCTGTACTGTCAATCTTGGCCTGGCCCCATCTACACCTTGCACAAAGTTCTCCTGGCTACAGCGTTGACTACTCCTCAATACCAATTCCCCTTTGCGATTTTTGATACAAGACGGGAGACACTACGAGGTGGTAAAAGATCAGCCATTGAAGATGTAGAACCAGGTGCTATACACCCCAAGCGACACCGGCCTCAGCCTGACAGCACACTGCGGCCCAAAACGCTCACGCCCGTCGCCCAGCCATGTCCACAACGCCAGCTTTATACCGAATACTTCATGGTTTCTTATTGGACTCCGAGGTCCTGGAGACACTCCGTTCAGCTTTACCATGCGCGAACCCGGACATCGATACCTTTATGAATAGCCGGACCAGTAGGGGGCCGATAACTGTGAACTTTACAGATCGTTCTTTCAGGAAGTTGAAAGTTCGAGACTCCTTTGTGCTCAGGCATACCCAGGTGGGTGCCTGGCAGACGACTAGTGTGCAGGCCGCCATGATCTACGGCGACAGAGAACTTATCAGTGACTAGAATTGGTAAAGAATATGTGTTATCAGCATACGGCGGTCGTTTAATCCGGCCATCATCGAGTATACGAAGGTTTTGCCTGCTTAATGATTGCTCTTCCTTCCTCCACAGAAGCCCTGGCCGCTGTCGCAAGGAGGGACGAATCACCCTGATAAAGAATGTACTCGAAGCCCAGGCTCAAGTTGCGCTCCATCTGTTCCTTGGACCCTGTGTAGATACCAACAGGCTTGCCGACCTTCTTGGCCGCTGCGACGATCCGTTTCAGGGCATCAAGGAAGCGATCCTCTTTCCCGTCACCACCAGGGAGGCCTAGCGAACACCGCAGATCGAAAGGCCCAACAAATGCGCCGCTGACACCTTCCGTTGCGAGAATGGCATCCGCGTTCTCAACTCCAGTTGCAGACTCAATCATAGGCAAGACTGCTAGTCCTGGTGCTGTGTTGTTAAAGTACTGACCCGCCGATCGATCGGATGCCGGATCCGCAAAGGGCGCATAGGCTGGCCCATAGCTTCGCTGGCCAAGGGGCGGATAGCGAGCCCTCTGGACAATTTGACGGACTTCTTCGACCGTGTTCACCATGGGGACAACAATGCCGGCGGCGCCGCTGTCGAGGCCCCATTTGATCCATTCTACGCCGTGGGACGGCACCCGGACCAGAGGCAGACAGGTGCCCTTGGACGCCGAACCAAGCGTGTGGACAACATGTGTGGCTTCCAGAGCTGAGGTGGGGGCATGCTCCATGTCAATGATCACGCAGTCATAGCCTGAGGCGCCAACTATCGCAGCTGATAATGTCGAGGTCAGCGAGACAAAGGTGCCCAGAAACGGGCCGTGGCTTCTCAGAGCTTCGACAAAGGGAGCCATATTGGTTCAGAGACTGGACAACTTATAGTGAAATCTGGTTGAGGCTTTGCGATTGAATGCAGCTCCCCTCATGACAGGCAACTATACATATACTTCTCTCGGGGCACGGACGTGAACTGTAGCGCGCTTCAACCTCAAGGGGTTAGCCGTTCTACAATACCTCGCACCTCGGCTCTCCGCATACATACCCCAGCGAGCAGAGCGCGGAGAGTGGGGCAGGGATACCAAGCCTTGCAGCCTTGTTAGGAATCCAGTCTTATCGGTGCTGCTATTTTGGCAACCAATATTACTGCGAACGAGACCTCTGCCTACATGGTTCGACAGAGGAGATAAGCAGGTATATTGAAATGTGAGCACTTCGTCTTTCGTATTTTTGCATCACCGTTGAATCCGAGCAGCTAGTGCTACGTTGGAGTATACAGCTTGCGCAGTCAATTGTCTTGGCATCTACGAGGGACAAGTTGCTCTCTTGCAAGCTCGCGCTCCCTCCTCCACTACGCGTTCCTGTTGACAGTCATTGGCATCATGATCCCGCCCTTCAGCTCTGCCGGCTACCAACGTCGGCTCGGTGACTCGAAGTCTGAGCCCGCCAAGCATGGGTTCAGGGGTTGAAGGTAACCTCAAACACTTCTAGCTGTCAAGACTTCTTGGCCGCTCCATTGCAGGACCCCTAGCACCATGTCCAACCACGCTCAGTGGCTATCAACAGTTATGCAGACGCCGGTTATCCCTCGACTCTGCATAAATGACCTCTTGATGGCATGCGCACTTTTTGGTACCCCGGAGGACCTTGATTCCATCCTGCCCAATAAGACCATCAGTACCTACCTAGGTACCTTGTTTCGAGCCTGGCATATCGGAAAGCGCTGACCCCTGACACAAACGTATCCTGTCACCGGCGAAAAAACCTGTGCTGTCGTCTACAAGACGCCTTGACCGCAGCCTTGTGTCAGAGATCGTCCTGCAGTTCGGGCTGGGCACCTGTTTATCCACAACATCACCTCTGAAAATATCCAAGACGTCTACTAAGAGCAATGATTGAGCAAGCAGAAGTCCACTTGTTGTTTTCATCACGTAATTATTGGCAGGGGCTTCCCGATACCTTGCTTTCAGGCTTTCCCATCGCGTGATTGTGCTCAGAATGCTCTCATTTTCAGGAATACGCTATATAGGTATGTCCCCAAGGCTTGAAATCACGTTGTCCTCCTCCAAACTTGAATAGCGCCAAAGCCCATTTCGATTCTTTTCCTTTCTTCAGGCAGAGCCGCACACTCTCCAATCAGGTGCTGGTCACCTTTGGATCTTTATGTGGACGAATTTGTTGATCGTGTCTTCTTCTGCACTTGTTCTGCTGTCATCACTCTCATAAAATTCAGCTCTGTCCCTCTACTTCGAGCGAAGCGGTTTTATATAGTTGAAGGACTTCCGGCATGTCAGAAAAGTCATGTTCCATCAGCGGGCACGCCGCAGGACCAAGCTTCTCATGCCCGACTGGTGCCCAACGAGCTGGTCCTCGCGGCTGCGCTTTCGCAGCTTATCAAATGTCTACACAGTTACGTTACACACCTCAAGGAGTATGTGTCCAAAAGCATTACCCCAGTTCAATCACTCCCTAATATATGCAGATTCCCGCAGACGGCCAGTCAATAGAGGACCTCGTCTCTCAGGAAAGAAAAACCATCACAGAACTGCTTCTTCCTGAGGCACCATCGACAAGCACCACAAATGATCTCGCCAACGCAGACCATCTGAATCCTCCTGATCTTGATGTTCTTGCTTCAGCTCTCGGTGCGCCTGCCCGGCAAGTCCTTAGGCGGGCTCAAGAATTAGGCCCGTTGACTGGATGGAGAGACGGCTACCTGACAAGCACACACGGTTTCTGCCCTCCAGACCCCTCCGCGGCGCCTGCTGCACTCTCAATGTCACCTGGAAGGATATGGTCAGATCTCTGCGAAAGAATGCCAGCAGTGGTAGCGCGGGGCAAAATGCGTGAATCAATCCTGGCTTTACCTCTCGTCTACGGCACAGAAAACGTCATACCAGATCAAGCCCTCTGGGCTGCGGTCGTTTGCCTGGGTATACTTGCCAGCGTTTACAGGTATGAAGAGCGCAACGATGGGCACGAGGGAATTAGCATAACTGCACCTCCCGGAACTTTTCGAAATTTGTCGGGCGAAGCAGACGACGAAGAAGAGGAGACGAAAGGGATCCCGAGGAATATTGCTATCCCTCTCCGCCAGATCTGTACGAGGATGGGGAGAGTTTTGCCCCATTTGACCCAGTACGATGTCTCCGTTTACAACTACAAGCTTCGAGATCCTACCAGCATCAACCCATATGTCGCGAGGTGCGAAAACATGGACCTGCGATGGCCTGTATTCAATGATCGTGGGGAGGCTATGTTCCTGCTGTGCATGGCTGAGACGCACGGATGCTTCACCCAAGGCGTTGAGTTGATCACAAGATGTCAGGAGCGGGTCATGCTGAAGGACAAAGAAGGCCTTCTTCGAGAGCTCATTAAAATGAAAGCGATAGTGGACAGATTCGTCCACGTCTTCCAGAAGATCAGCGTCAATCCCAACTCAGGCGAAAATTTCGCAAACCCAGTCGAGGTAAACAGCGCTTTTGACTTTGGTTCAAGAAGCCAGTGCTGACTGCGTTCCAGTGGGGTCAGAGATATGCAAAGTTCAGCGCTCCCCTTTCCAAACGTGTTCCTGCATTATCCGGACTTGCATTGCCAGTATTCCTGTTGATGGATGCGTTCATTGGAAGAAGAAAATACGACAGTTTCCTTGGGAGAGAGGCACTCCATCTTAGAGCCTGGCTGCCAATGAATATTCGAGCATTCATTGCTGCTATCGAATATCATTATCAGGTTCCTGCCTTTGTCAAAGAATCTGGAGACCCACGGCTGATGGGTGTGATGGAGGGCATTCTTCAGGCATATCTATCTGAGCGCGGCTGGTTTGGAACGCACCGCTGTCGGTCCGCCCTCTCCAATGATGCAACTGCTAGCTAACTACCTTTGGTACAGATAAAGTCTATGGCTTCTTGGAAGTCGTCGCCAAAACTGGTCGTAGTGAGACGAACGGGAATGCCGGGTCGTCCGACAATGTGGGGAGACCGTGGGAAGAGGTGCATAAAACTCTTTCAGAATCCATGAGAGAACGTTTAGAACCTTTCAGAGGGAAAGTCACTCTCCAACCCCACGAGTTGCGCGGGTCGTTCGAGGAATGCAGATTCAAAGCAAGGATCCTGTCTCGTTCCTTCGTGGATACCGATCCTCTGCGGTCTACAGCCATGGTAACTTTCGGTCTCGAAGGCACTGGCATCACCTTCCAACCCGGAGACCGACTTGCCGTTATGCCAGTCAACTGCTGGACGGAGGTAGGGAAGATCACTGCAGCTCAAGGTCTGGGTGAACTCCTTCACAATTCTGTTCCACTTTCACAAAATACGGACTGGTATCGCTTTTCTCGGCATCTGAAATCGGTCAATCGAATTGACGGCGAACCCTCTCTGACGGTGCAAGATATTTTACGACGAGGACATTTGGCGCCTTTGACAAAGGACACAGTTATGGCCTTCCACATGGCACTCCGAGCCTCATCATCGAGCGTGCTAAAAGTTCTGGGATCAGAAATGTGGCCAGTCGAGGGCTCCATTGGCGATTTGCTTCAACTCGCGGTCACAGAAGTCCCGTCGACGATATGGGACCGAGCCTTCAATCTATCCGAACTTTCGTGGCTTCCAAAATTGATCCCCATTGAGGTTCCGCGAACTTACAGCATTTCCAATTACTCAAATGAGCTGCTTCCGAGCACTCTTGACTTGACCGTCGCCCGCACTGAGTCGCAGATAGCACCGATAATGCAATCCACCAACCCTTGCAACCGGCGCCACGGGGTGAGCAGCGGATGCCTTAACCCGGACCCCTCTTCTGGAGAGCTGTTCGATGACGAAGAGTACCTCATTGGAATTTCCAGACCCATCAATTTCCAACTCCCAGTCACAATGACTGGGCCTATCGCGATGTTCGCAGGCGGCTCAGGCATTGCGCCCTTCAGAGGATTCTGGCAAGCAAGGGTTCAAACCAGTGTCGGAAGGAATATCCTCTTTCTCGGGGTACAGTCGCGGGATCGATTTTCTTACGAGCATGAACTCCGAGAATATGTACAAAACGGCCAGATTGAACTTCACACTGCGTTCTCAAGGGACAGAAATGGTCTTGTTTATGATTCAGTGTCTCGCGACCTTGTGGAGAAGCAGATGAGTCCTCGGTATCTCGACGCGACAATAATCGAACAAGGGCGAACAGTCTGCGATCTTGTCATCTCGAAGAGTCAAGGAGGACTTGGAGGACATCTGTACATCTGTGGCTCAGTGCCGATGTATGAGACAATCATATCGGGAATTCGCCAGGCCATTTACCAGAATTGGGCGTCAACGAAAGAGTCGGCGGACAACTTGCTCGCCAAAGCATTCGCAGAGAGACGCTTCATGTTGGACATTTTCATGACACCACGTCCAATCAGTTATGCCACTCCACATATCCCTCTATCGAAGTTGGCTCTCAACACTGGCCACCGCAAAGGGTCTAGGATGTACATTGGTGTTCATGGTGGCGTTTACGATATCACCGACTTCCTTCCCATCCACCCTGGTGGCATCTTGATCGCTCAAGCAAGTGCTGGACTGGATGCTTCAAAGACCTTTGATGACGTGGCTCACACCACAAATCCTGAGGTTATGAGTCTATTGTCAAAATATTTCATCGGACACCTCGCAGCGAAGCCGGACTTCCGGTCGATTGAAGTCAGCGGTATCTACGATCTCTGGTATGAATACCTACGCACTTGTGTGGAAGCTCTCACCACGCTACACTTCGAAGTGGACTACATCCAGCAGGATGCGCGAACCTGGTTTCAAGGCGAACTCTTCAATATGGGTGGTGTGAGGAAATTCTATCAATTCCAGTCAAGGTTGATGCAGAATGGATTTTCAACCTTGTTTGAGGCAAAACTTCAGGAGCTGCATCTTAAGCTCACATTCGCGTTGGTCAATTCTGGCACGCCAGAGACCCGAGTGCCAGATGTCATTGGTGTCATCACCAGAGCGCAGGCCTCTGCCGCCGCCGCTAAGGCTGCCAAAGAAGTCGCGCAGATCGGCTCATTTGTCTGTAACAACCAACAGGCCCAGTTCCAAGAAAATGGGATCCTGCAGTATGCCCGTGCGGTGACCGAGCTGGATGTCCTGTTTCTGGAAGAAGTTCGTCACGACGTTTGCATGGGTATGGACGCCTTTGATGTCATCGAGTGTTCCGAGTCTGGCACAGAGAAACACAGATTGGTCAATCTTAGCACATATCTGCTCTCGGTCCTGGAGCGTGTTGCTGAACGCCTTGGCACCTTTTACTCGAGGCTGTCGAGAGAATCCATCTATCGCCCAGAATTGGAGAAGAATCCCGCAAGGACGCGTTGGAATGTGCTGAAAAGGAAGATACATGATGGCTCTTTTGTCATCCTGTCTCAAGCTTCGGCATTCAGCGGTGCGAGTCATGCTGCAAAACCATTCCGGTCAACGCGATACGCGGGTCAGGATATTGCATTTGCTCAGGTTGTATCGCAGGCTAAGCAAGCAATTGACGCCGGCCAGCCACGTGTTGTAAGGGACTCAAGTCGAGGCATCAACACAGTCTCCTCTCGTCCAGCTCGTCTGGCTGATTCACACACTGCCAGGGCCGCCTATGGCGTCGACACCCCATCGTCTTACGAAATACATGAGTCGCGCAATGCACTTCAATCGATCTCGACCTTCATGGATTCGAACGTGCAATCCATCAAGCGGCTGAGTCAATTACCTCCAGACCTGAGTTTCGCAAATATCGTGGCCGCATACGGCAGCAACGGTCGACAGTTACCATCAGTGCCGTCTCTGAAGGAAGAGGATGAAGGGTCTCCAGGACCGGCAGAACAACAATGTGGAGACTCACAATCGTCCCATACCAGCAACTGGCCGCTTCCCCTGGCAACAGCTGCGAGGCCTGGATCAAGAAGTTTGAACCATTCTCAAGCAGACTTCTCGCCGCGGCTGGTGAGGAGGCCAACGAACGGGTCCATTTCCAGCGTTAGTGGACTTCCACACCACCCGGCGCCCAGTGCTCAAAGCCTTGCATCATTCATAGGGAGGCCAGTCCTCCAAGCGCGGGACGCTACCTCAAATGCTGCGAGGCCCTTTCCCAGATCCCTGGTGCCGAACCTGACAAACCGAAGCCGATCTCAATCTCGACGCAGAAGTGGTTCCGAGACTAGCTTGAGCTATGATCGATCTATGGATACTTCTACTAGGACCATAGAAACGGCGCCTGTGGCGACGCAGCATTCACAGCTCATGCGATGTCAGATATCTAACGTTTCGGCCAAGAACAGGAGTTCTACCGAGCTTGACTTCACACCTAACGCTCCGCTGGCTCAGCAGCCGTTCTGGCAAAACTGGGAAGCCGCTACCGTGCCAGCCATTCCCGAAGGAATTCCACAAATAGGGGAATGAAAGTCTTCTGAAGCAGATGCAACAGCAGAATGTGACGATGGAAGTTCAAACCAGAGGCATGCCAACCGCCCGCGGCGTGGGCACGCCAACCGGCGGTCTGCGAGTATTGAAATTGGCGACAGCACCAGAAATGAGAATCAGACAAGCGAGAAGAGAGGGATCTGGGCCTCCTGATCTTTCTCTGGGGAAAGCCATGGGCGGCTTTGGAGCACCACCCCTCCCGCTCAATGTACGATAAGACGCCGGGCGTAGAAATACAATGGGTTATGTGTAAGCATGGATTTGTAGAGAAAAATGAGTTCTTTTCCTGTCAACATGTCCTGGGATGGTGGTGCACTTGACATGAAGGCAACAGTTCTCAGATAGGTGAAACCTTCCAATTTCACATGACTCTGGTCCTGACGGTCTCCATCAGTATAAGTCCACCACTTGTTGTATCCCGCCATCGTTTTCTGTTAGTGCTGCGAAGCCCTCAATATCCAGACCTGCCGGATTCTCAGCCTTGCAGGACAAATACATCTATCGAGAATCTTGGCATTGATGTTAGTTTCAATTCAGCCTCGCGAGCTCGCCCCACCGCATGCTCCACGAAGGTTGCAAGTTGACTCTCTTTCTTCTCTATTTGACCAGCGAAGAGCGTCTCCGGATGGAGCCATGCCTCCGTTCCCGAATCTACCCGTCAGTACGTGGAAGCCTCGAATAATATGCTACTTTCAGACCTACCACCACAACGGCCAATATCTCTCTCTTTTACCCCTTCTCACCAACCCCTCCGGAATCACACATGTGATACTAGCAGCAATCCATGTCAACTGGGACCCACAGAACCTGACGCTCAATGACGACCCGCCCGATCACGAAAAATACACCCAGTTATGGGACGAAGTCCTTGTTCTCCAAGATTCCGGGATCAAGGTCTTGGGGATGCTGGGTGGCGCCGCTCGAGGTTCCTTTGCAAGGCTGGATTACTCGGAATCGAGGACCGACGTGCCCATCGCGCGGTTCGAAAGCTACTATATTCCGCTACGTGACATGATCAGGCGGTATGACCTCGACGGAATAGATCTTGACGTTGAGGAAGAAATGTCTCTTCCTGGGATCGTGCATCTGATCGATCGTTTGAAGGCGGACTTTGGGCCGGAATTTATCATCACACTCGCTCCCGTGGCCACTGCTCTCATGGCTGGCCGGCCGCATCTGTCTGGGTTTGACTACCGAATGCTTGAGGCCATGCGCGGGTCAAGCATCGCCTGGTACAATGCACAATTCTACAATGGATGGGGGGGCTTGCACAACACGGCTGCCTACGATGAGATCATGCGCAATGGTTGGCCTGCGGAGAAGGTTGTGGCGGGCATGTTGACGAACCCTAAGCACGGTGGGAGCGGATACGTGCCGTTGGAATTGTCGGCGGCGGTGTTGAGCTTGCTGGTTCAGAGATATCCGGAGTTTGGGGGGGTTATGGGGTGGGAGTACTGGGACGCGCTGCCTCAGGAAGGCGAGAACTGTTGGAAATGGGCTTACTGCATGGCCTTGTGTATGGGCATGAAGAAGTTGCGGGATGCGGCCGTGGCGGTGCAGCTTTCGAGGGAGTGGCTGGGGTATTCTTCGCCACCGTCACAATAAGACTCAAGGAGGGTGGTATGCAGGTTCGTTGATATAGCATCAGCTCAAATGGTAAGCAGCAGAAGGCCGGGAGGTGATGAAGGCGTAACTATATCGAGTACTCGCCATCCAACTCTACCAGAAGATCAGACTCTCTCTGAGCACCTTTTTGTCAGACAGCCATTTACTATGAGACCTTCTCAACGTCAGACTGTCAGACCACAAGATGCTTCGGCTGGCAAGCTGGTTGGCCTCAGTTGCGTCATGGGGGGGAAGTGAACTGGACATGCGTCCGCGCTGCCTGCGTGTCTGCCACAGCCAACTTTTTGGGCAACGATGTGATGCAGCTCCAACTACTCGCTGCTTAGGCAGTGAGTACAGCTTCGTCGAGTATCAGTATGCCTTCGCCAGCAGAGATCATAGCTGGGACAAGCTCGTCCATAGCTAGGCTTGCTGCCTACGCTTTCTTGAGATGGGTATGAAACGTCAAAGCATCTGCTACACAACACGAGAGACCCCAACTGACCTCGTCCTCAGATCCCTGGTCATCATTTCCCCCCGATTGTTGTGACGGCAGTGGCTATCTATCTGGCCTTCGTCTTTAGCCAGGCTGAGGCTTTCAGTCCGGGCAGACCTGCTGAGCATGGAGTACCGTCCAAGGCCCTCCCACGTCCCGATGACCACGAGCAGTCAAAGAAACCAGATCGAATCGTTGAAGAGCAAGAGGAACCCGTCCTGTATGAGGAAGAGCGGTCATTATTCAAGACATTGCTATTTGGAATTCCCGACTGGCGCTGGAGAGGATGGAGCTACACAACAATTGGTGTCAACGTTTTGCTAGCATTGTGCATCGTTGATCTGGTCTTTCGAGGGCCTCTTCTTCATCCGGCCAGGGATTTGAGTTTCACTCGTGTTGGCTATGTCGACTCGACATCCGCGAAGGTCTTGATTCGAGAACCCGATCCGGCCCAGCTTCCCATGTACGTCTACCTCTCCCCAGCGGACAAGACCAGCTGGACGACTACGGACACGATCTACTACTTGGGTCCGGACACCGATTATACCCATGCGCTCAGCTTTGCTGGTCTTCAGCCCTCAAAGAAATACATCTACTCCTTGTCTAATGACAAATCCGGCACTTTTGTTACGGCTCCATCGCCATACTCGGAGGCCGCCAATAGTTTGACGTTTCTCACTTCTTCCTGCCTCAAGGCCAATTTTCCGTACAGACCAACGGCCCATTCGCTGGCGATCCATGGCTTTGAATACCTGTCCAAAATCGTCCGTTCGCTGCCATCGCCCGCCTCATTCATGCTATTCCTCGGAGACTTCATCTACGTCGACGTGCCCCTCCGTCTATCATCCTCCCTTGCACATTATCGCTCGGAATATCGACGCGTCTACGCTTCTCCGTCATGGTCATTACCCGGTCTTGACACCCTGCCCTGGATCCACACGCTTGACGACCACGAAATCGCCAACGACTGGTCTGGCGGAAATGATACAGATCCATTTCCGGCTGCTTCAGATCCCTTCATTCATTATCACGTCTCGGTGAACCCACCAGTGCCATCGGGCTCTCCGAGCGGGCCGGAAACCAATACCACATACTTTGAATTCTCCAACGGCCCTGCATCATTCTTCATGCTCGATACGCGACGATACCGGACCGACCCAGAGCCGCAATCGACCAGCTCAGTATCCCCGAGCTCGGGGAAGCCCCTGTACGGTTCGTCTCTGGAGTCCTCTAATCCACCTTCTACCTCCAACACACACTCAATGCTCGGCACCCAACAACTTGACTCTCTCCTTGAATATCTCTCAGCACCCGAGCCCCCGCACATTCATTGGAAAATCGTCGCCTCCAGTGTTCCATTCACGAAGAATTGGCGATTCGGCACCTCCGACACCTGGGGTGGATTTCTCACGGAACGCTCAATAATACTGCAGGCAATGCACGACGCAGAGCGCGAACTTGGCGTTAGGGTGGTTATTCTTTCTGGGGACCGCCACGAATTTGCCGCGATAAGATACCCGCCGCCAGTCCTCTCCCAGGACCAAGACCAAAGCCAGGTGGTGGGAGACACGATCGACCCGTACAACTCAGCAGGTACAGCTGAACCGATCTCTAAACCTGTTGTCTATGACACAACCCCTGCTTCCGGCCCGCACGAATTCTCCGTTGGGCCGTTGTCGATGTTCTATCTCCCTTTTCGGACGTTCCGCCAGGTCGACGACCAAGACGTCGCCATCAAGTACGCCCCGGATGGGAACAGCAAGATCGGCGTCATTGACATCCGTAATCTGGCCAGTGATGGAGGGACTAAAGGAGGGCAAAGAAGCTTGTTGAAGTATACCTTGTACGTGGATGGAAAAGTGAGCTGGGAGTACACACTCACGAGTCCGAGCGTGGGCTCTACACCAGCCATGGGAGGAAGCAGGAGGAGAAGGACTCGTAATGGTGCGGGTGAGGGTGCTGGTGTGGAAGGTTGGCTCCAGAGATTGGGACTGCGTGGCGGTACAGGGCGGGGACAGTCATTATGGGACTGACAGACAAAGAAATGATCGATATGAGAAGGCAAGTAATAGAAAGGGAAAGAACCTCGAGACGAGAGAAACCCTCCCTCCCTCCCTGCACAGGTTGGACCCTTCAGGATACAAAGTGATCAGTCTTTTCTCTTCACCTTACTTTTTCCCCTCCAACCCCCCCTTTGGAAGCCCAAGACTATCTTCATACCTACCTAGGTAGATAATATATCTTTTATATTATGATCAGATCATTACCCCCTACCCACCTACAGATTTGGCGAAACGTTGTTTTTCTCAAAACGGGAAGGACAATTAGGTTTTGTGTATGTGTGTGTGTGTGTGTGAGAGAGAGAGAGAGAGAGAGAGAGAGAGAGAGAGAGAGAGAGGAAAGTCCATATTCATCGATACTCGTAATACTTAGAACCTTGGGTCTGCAACAAAGCAGTCCAAGCGGTTCCTTTGCGGGATCCAGTTTTCATCTTTTGACAGCCCTTGCATACAAAACGGGTGAGATATATACAAACTCAAAGTCAACCCTTTCTGAAGAAATTTTGCACTGCGCAACGCAAAGGAGCTTGAGCCCCATTCTTTCTCCCTCTATTCACAATTCACGAGTCGCCGTCATGACAATAAAATAATAAATCCGTTTCCGAACCGTGAACTTCATCCATTCCAGGACAAAGGATATCCGAGTCAGGCCTCTTGACCAGAACCACGCGACCTACCACACCAAAACCCCATTTCATATCTGATCCGCAGGCGCATGTTTACGGACTCTTCCCGAACCTGCGATCGAAATCCCTCAATACGGCCATGACGTTGGCGGCGTCAATCTCCAATGCCGGCCTCCCCGCCACGCCCGCCATGCCTTTGTTAGTGGCAGGTTCGCTGGCATGTAATTTGGGCATCCACTCGCCAATATCGCCCGCGGCGCGCTCGTAGGCCGGGTGGCGCGAGAGGGTGGTGTAGGCGTCTGCGCAGGTCAGTGTCACCCCGGCTGTCTTTGGTGGCATATTATTTGTGGAGGGGCTTTGTTGTTGGGCCAAGGTTTGGTAGGCTGCGGCTTGAGACCGGGTTGTGCGGTTTCTTCTCGGAAGAGGGACTGCGTTGTTCTCGGTATTCGTATTCGAGGACCGGCAGCAAGATCCGCCGGGAGTTTGGGCGCCGCAGCATCCTCCTGTGGAAGAAGGTGTGTTTGCGGGCTGCTGGGATTGAGCGCGGGAGGCCGCCAGAGACTTGCAGAACAGAGTACTGTTCGGGTCGGCGCGGCATTGTGCACATGTTCCAGGGCCCGAAGCTCCACATCCCGAAGGCGCGGTAACCACAGGCGGGACAGACATGGATACATCGCCTTCGGACGGAGGTGGTGTAAACTGGTCGAGTTGTCTTGGTGGTGGGTGTGTCGGAATCGTTGCTGCTGCCGTCGACCTGCTGTTGGCCGCCGCAGTCTGCGCTTCTTCCTGCTCAGCGGCGACTTCGGCGCATATGCAAGGTGTACCGTCTGAGCAAAAGCCGCACGGATCCGCTACCACCGACGTAGGTGAGTGATTCTCTAAATGAGGTCGTTCTGGGAGAGTATTCGAAGCGTAGACTGCCGTGAAGTCAATTTCCAGATTCTCCTTGCTTTCGATCTTTATCCTCTTTTCCCCGCCATCTCTCTGCGATGGAGACAGTGGACGCTTCTCTTGATGATTGGCATCGCGGGCCTCGGTTGCTTCGCCGCCCATTGCCGCGAAGGCCTCGTCTATACATTGACAGCGCGTCTCCAGTGTGCAGTTTCCACAGCCGATTGAGGTATCATTTGTTGCGTTGTTGTCGGTAGAACTGGGAGCCTTGTCCCGCGCAGAGGGGCTTGAAGATGATCCTGAAGTTGTAGACCTGACAGCAGCCAGCTCGTTTTCTAGTCTCCTACATCGATCCACCCAGTGTGCCAGGTCGGTTTGATAGTGCTCAATTTCCTTTTCGAGTTTTTCCACCGCCGCTCGCAGGATGTCTTGTTCATGCTCATGCTCTTCCTCGATTTGCTTGAGTTGTTCTTCGAGTTCACCTACTCGGGCCGCGCGTCTCTCTCGGAAGGCTCGCTGGGCAGCTCGGTTCTGCGCCTTGCGTTTAGTGGGAGGTGTATCCGTTGCTGGTTTCCGGCCTGGCTTGGGACGAGGAGGGACAACCCATTCTCTGCTGGTAAGAGACATTGGCGCGGGGGTGGATGATGATGGCGGGGAAGCGGCTGGCGGGGTCTGAGCTGGTTTCATGCATAGCGATGGTGGCCGGGTTATGGCAACTTTGGCATCGACGTGAAGGGTATTCGATGCTGCTCTTGCTGCCGGCGGAGATGCGGCGCTGGAGGCCATGATTCATGAACAGAGGACAATCCTGCTGATACCGAGGGCAGTTGTATTGAGCTGATTGTAGGGAGGTCGACTACGATTGATCGCTGACGGCGTGAAGATCGCTGCGGCCCTTGTATGGCCTTGACATTTGTTTGAGTGGGAAGATCTGTATGGTTTGCTTCCTCCTCGAAATCGCGGCTGAGCGGACAGATGGTTCGACTGGGCGCATACAAGGAAACAAGTCGGGAAGAGTCGAGGTTGAGATTGCGATCAAATTTTATCAGATTAGATACGACCGATTATCGGCCTTGGCACGTGCGGGGCATCGCTATCAGATCAGGAAGCATCAGGCCACTATTATTATTACTACCTACCTCGCTACCTACCGATGGATAGCGAGATAGTTAGCAGTGATAGCAGCTACTGTCTGTACATTCAAGGTAGGTATTGTATTCAAATATAGCCCCCAGATATCGTGACGGAGAAGAGTATGGGTATCTCGTACTACGCCTGCAACGCCGTGCCACATGCCCAAGCCCCAGCCCCCAAACGCTCTCATCCACCATTAGATTTACAATCACGTCCCTTCAGGGTAACAGCCCGTGAACATTTGGACCCTTCATCAAAACTTTCCACCGTGGACACCAGCTTCGGCTGTTGCAGACTCGCTGCCGTTTTGCAGACCTCCCACAAATGCTGTACCCCAGACACCCACCAACCCCCACAGGCCAACCCTCCAGCCGCGATACAACCCTTCAATTCCCTGTCCTTTCCTCTTCCGCCTGGGAGCCTTGCCCATCAATGCGGCGGTTTTGTCCTTTCGTGTCTCAGAGTAGCCTTCTTCCCGTGCGATACTCCAGAAGGTCGGAAGGATCCCTCTGTAGGATTGTGGTACCGGAACAATGGTCGTGATGGCTTTACGTTTAGAGGATGAAGAAGGCGGCACATTCGCTGGAGATGTCCAGGTAGCAATCTGTGCTCGACGGAGGACAGTCTCCAGAGGGAACTTGATGGACAGATCTAATGCCGATCCCACAAATGTTGCGACACTCCAGGTAGCGGGATTAGTGACGGGATCCAGCCCGAGATAGGTCTTGAGGAATACTGGAGTGCTTGTGGAGATCAGTGTCGGCAGAGTTGAGGTGATAAAAGTGATAGGGATGAGGTGGCTGGGTATCAGGTATGGAGTTGGAAGTGTCCGTAGAGTTCCGAGCAGTGTCCGCGGCTCTTGACTGGAAGGTGTGAGTATGAGTCGGGTTCGGGCTGCATCAATAGGTGCAAGGATAAGGGCAGACATTGCTGCTGCCGCCGTGCTGATCATGATGGTGGCTACCGGGGCGGTTGAGGTGAGGATGGATATGTCGGGAATTGCTCCCGGTGCCGGCGTGTTGAGTATGTCATTCTCTGCCACTCCAAGAACAGCCGCCAGGAAGCTTCTGAAGAAGCTCTCCAAAGTCCGTGTCAGGATGTTGTACACAAATGTAGAGTTCGTCGCCCGCCACATAGCCAACGCTCCGCCACTCGACGACAGAGCTGACAGTGCATCAAGAAGTGAATGAGGGTTCTTGAGGTGTAATTGCACATCCGCTTGCTGATGGCGACCAGGTGCTCGCGAAGACGCAGTCTCTCGGGGTGGCCTCCCACGCCGACCACGAGCTGGCGAGCGGCTGGATATCGATCGCTCAAAGGGCGCAGTAGACGTGAAATAATTGGGTTCGTCATCTGATGAATGTTCGTAGTCGTATTCGTCATGCTCGTGCGTGTCTTCCTCTTCTCCTGCGCCGTGTGTGTACCTCCTATTCGGCTTTTTGTCTTCCTCCTCATCGTCTTGTGCAACGCGTGCCTGCAGAATCAGCTTCGCAACCTCGAATGGCTGTGCAAGCACGACATTTGCATATTTCCATAATGCGCGATCAACTATTGATTTGACTGATCCCGGGAGGGACGGCGAGGTATCAGAAATGTAGTCGGAATAGTCGATGTCGGGAAATGTGAAACCAGTCCCTGGAGGGCTGGGTCTCGAGGTACCCGAGGTAGCGTTGGGCAGCGGATCAGTTCCAATGGATGGAGGGACGTAGTATGGCCGGAGAGGATTTGGAGTGTATCTCGAGTCCTGCATGGCGAGATACTCTGAAAGCGATGCTGGTCACTGGCATGCAGCTGTTTCTTTGCTGTTACAGTGCACATAAGGTGATCGAAATCCAGGTTCAATCCATGCAAATGTCGCCGACGTAATTTGCCCCGAAAATTGTACGGTGCAGCAATACAACTGCTAAGTGTAGTTCTGCGTCATTTGAAACCAACATCCCTCCTGTTGCAAGGCTGGGGCGACTCTGCATCACAGGCCAAAGGATCACAAACATCAGTCTATTCTATACAAACAACTTCTTTGAGAGCGGTCCGTACTTCTAGCGGTATACTAGCATACTCAAACGCTGCTCATGATTGATGAGTCGGAGCCATATAGTTCATTTCCAGACCAACCTCAGCCCTCCCTTGTGCTCCTGGACTGGGATCTACAGCTTGCTCCATCTCCACACCTGCTCTCTCTATATCTTTATTTTCAGATGTGTCATCGTGGCTTTCTTCACCGCCGCCTAGATTAGGGAGCAGGACCTTGTCGACGGCGAAGGTACTCCGTGCACGTATCTGCGCTCCCCATAACCAGAAGCAGATTGGGATAGGAACGAGGAGCGTAGCAAAACACGCCAGCAGTGTGTTTGCCCACTGCACACCGAGATTGTGGAACATTTGTTTCGCGAACATAGGAAAGCCCGCCGCGAGGGCTGAGCGTGAGATAGTCGCTATTGCAAAGGCGGACACGGAACTGCAACAGGGCGTCAGTTAAGCTTGCTCGAGACAACACAACGAGTCCTTACTTGGTTCCGTAGACGTCGAGGATGAAGTTGAAGCCTGCAAGCATCCGTTAAAATCGATCAACGTGGACTGTTCCCTGTGGCAATTCCAACCCTCCGTACAACACGATCTCCGCAGGTGAAGGACAACTTACATCCAATAAAGATGGTGAGAATCCCAAAGCCCGTCGCAACTCCACTGACAGTTGGTATGATCCAGTGCACGTGTCTAGGGTACGCAGCGGTCCAAGCGAACCAGAATAAGCCCACAGCGAAGGACACGGCACCCGTTATGCAAATAGGCATTCTCCACTCAGGAACCATGATGCCACTATTTGCCATGACCTTATGGGTGTAATGTCTCTCTCGCAACATGTGTATGGCTGCAGAAAGCATCAGGCCGCCAATGACACCAAAGAATGGCAGCCCCCCAGTACCACGATTCATGTGGTATCCTTCGACGAAAACAATCCCGTAGGACACCAAGAACGTGTAGATCAAAGCATAAACAAACGCCACGTATATGCAGATGAAGAGCAAGATCGGCTCCTTGCTCACCATGATAAATGGTCTCTGGAACAGATATTGGAGTATCTGTCCCAGTGTTTCATGCCGTTCTTCAATTTTGGCATGAATCGCCCAGTCCCCAGTGTTGACCCGCAGCCGTACTGCTTTCTGCTTCAACAGGTAAGGAGCGTAAGATTCGGAGGCGAAAAACACCAATCCAAAGAGGACTCCTGAGCCCATAAAGACAGTCCACCATGCGCACCAGCGCCAGCCGAGTGATGGATTGTCTATGGTAAATCCGGCCAAGGGCGAGGCGAGCATTGGTGCCCCGAACACAGAAGTCATGAATAAGATGGACGCACAGCCCCGGCGAGCGCCTTTCCAAAAGTCTGCGTAAGATGAGAGTGGTATCATGAGGGCACATGCCCCCATGGCACCTTGGAAGAAGCGACAGAGCGCTAATGTCTGGAAGTCTTTTGCAGTCGCCGAACCTGCTCCGAAGCAAATGAAGCCGAACGACGAGACGATCATGGGGATTTTGCGGCCATGAATGTCTGACATCGGAGCCCAGACAAAGGGACCTTGAGGATCACGGTAGAGTCAGCTTAGTCGCACAATAGGAATTGGACGTTTGGTCAACCGTGACGAAAGGCTGAAGGTAAGGTACATGGTCGAACATCTGAATGAAAGCCAGTCATACGTTGCAAGCTCATTCAGGGTGTCGTGAGGGAGGACAGGCAGTAAACCTAAACCCACCTGTGGTATAGCCTAGTAGAAACAGAGTGGAAGTGGAAAGTGTTGCGACCTCATCCGAGACGTGAAAACGAACAGATAACTCTGACACGGCTGGGGAAAGGATGCCAGAAGCCAGGGAGGAGGTGAAGCAAGCAAAGCCATAGAAGAAGGCTGTAAAGATCCTAGTACCGGTTAGCAGGTTTCTGCCGAAGCGGATCAAGGATCAGATATTCCACACTTTTTGTGCGTTGGCCAGTTATATGGCAAATACGGGTCGTTGGCTCCTTCAAAGTTCACAATCAACGGATCACCAGTGTTGGTTTGCTGCCCCGTGGTCCCCGACGCTCGAGAGAGTCCTTCAGAGAACGCGCTTCGCGTATCGTTCTGATCCTGGGTGACTGTTTGATTCATGGAAGGCGATATACAATAGGGACGTTCTTTCCAGAATGACCACGCTCGACGTAACATCAATAAAATAACAAGAGAATGCTCTGGAGAAAAAGGGAGAGAATTTCACAGCTTGCCTTTCCTCGACAGCTACAAGAAAGGTCGCGGAACCGAATGTTGTCGGAAGCATCACTTACTTTCAGCCATCTTTCCATATACCATTCTGAAGTTAAGACTATAACCATGTGCTGGGACTGGAAAAGTGGCACAAGGGCCACGTAAGTCAATCGAATTGCGAAGGCTCGGAGCCTCATCATGCTGATACAACGCCGAGGTGGTGGTTGATGGCAGCTCGCAGCAGTCTTCAGCCAGGGTTTGATCTGAAGTAAAGAAGAGTAATCTGCTATTGAATGTGAATCATGGAATGTAATACACAGAACGACCTCAAACCTGGGCAAGCTGCAAGTAAGCAAACCATATCGATTTGGATTAATCATCGTAGAAGAAGGTACTTCAAATGCTCTCTCCTTCGGTGGCGTAGATGGAGGATTAAGCATCTGCGTTCCTGTAATTCTCATCGGGAGTTTTCTCGGAGATTCCAGTCTCGGGGTCGTCACCTTGGGAACGTAGGAGGTCGTCAGCCTTTACGCTGGTTAATATGCCGTTGTTCTGACAATCAGTTCATCGAGAATTTACCTTCTTGAATGGCTGCATCATATGACTGTAAATATATCGCTAGCTACGATGACAAGCGCGACACTGCGAGAAATCAAAAATACCTATGGACTCCGCGTAGGACAAGCTAAGCTTTGGAGGTTTAGGATTGTTATACAAAAAGTAATAATAATGCGGACGAGTAAGTGCTTCGTCGATTCCAGGGACTCAGCCTTGCCAGCTAAGTTAGAGGGGGTCGCTCCTTTCCCCACTGCTCACTGCCCCGGGCCCCGGCCGATTCCCAAAACAACGGCGTCCTCTTCGAAACAACATGGGCTTTTCAATTTCACTCGTCCTCATCCTTCGCCAACTTCCGAACTATGTTTTTGTTCTCGCATCATGTTCTGGCATCGTATACTCGTCTGGTATATTTGGCTAGCCTAGTTGCTATACTCTATATAAACAACATTTTGATGCCTCTTGTATGGTCTCTCTCTGTGCTTGACACATCTCTTCGGCAAGGTTTCATTCCTGGTACGAGGTACACGACTTCGGTCCGGTGTTTCATCACAGATCCCGATATGGTCCCCCGCTTGGTACCCTGGTATAACAAGATTCAAGGTCGTGAGATCTTGACCTTGCTGCCGCCGCCACAAGACTCCATCGCTAAGCCTGAGAAGGAAGTTAATTGAAAAAGGATCGATGCTTGAAGGCTGCAGCTCTAGGATCTCACTTGTCCCAACCCTCTGAACCACTGCTCAATCTACAACTTGGACTCATGATCCACCGTGGCTTTCCAACAGAGGCCTTCATCAATTTCAAAGGTAGGAGTTGATATGGAGTTCACTTTGGGGTCCTACTTTTCATCTGGACGCCTTTGCCGGAGAACCACGTCAAAGGACAATGTTATATGGAAGTCACAATGCCAGCCTCGCATCAAGATTTTGACATTTCTCTTCCTAATTTCATTTCGATTCAATCAGAGCCGGTCTCGAGCCAAAATTTCCTACCCTAGTCACTCTTTCTTTCAAGGCTCGTGTTTCCGATGTTTTCCCTTCCCTTGGCCTGTCTGGCATTCGTTGTCTTCGCTTCTAGGATTCTAGCTCAGTCAGTATTCGCTCATGTGATAGTAAGTTGATGTCTTCAGACGCTGATTGTACATAGATGCTGACAATAGTTAGGTCGGAAACACATATAGTTACACCCAAGCAAACTGGGCAAGTGACATTGCAGCTGCAGCCGTTGCTGGTATCGACGGATTCGCGCTCAATATCGGCTATGTCGATACTATCAATCCAAGTGGGGTTGTCCAGGCTCAACTTGACAATGCATATCAGGCTGCCGACGCGGCTGGCTTTCAGATGTTCTTGTCATTTGACTACCTAGCCCAAGGAGCCTGGGCTCAAAATGCGGTGATCACGACCATCAATGGCTACAGCTCGCATCCGAGCCAGTTCAGATGGCAGGGCAAGCCTCTGGTCTCAACTTTTGAGGGTGCGGACAATGCAGGCGATTGGGCCTATATCAAATCCCAGACGAACTGTTTCTTCGTCCCCGACTTTTCAAGCCAAGGCGCCGACGGGGCCGCTGGCAAACCCAATGTTGACGGTCTTCTTTCGTAAGTTTCCAACGCAATCTGGGGTAGCTTTAAAATGGCTGCTGACACACATGTAGGTGGGACGCATGGCCAAACGGTGCCAACGACATGACAGACAATGATGACCAGGCGTACGTTACAGCCCTGAATGGTCGGCCCTACATGATGCCAGTCTCTCCCTGGTTCTACACAAATCTGCCGTTGTGGTCAAAGAATTGGCTTTGGCGGGGCGATGATCTATGGCACGATCGCTGGGATCAAGTTCTCGACATTCAGCCAGCCCTCGTCGAGATCCTGACATGTGAGTAAAGTGAGCAATTTTAACATCTTGGGGACAAATTCTGACAGTTGGCTAAGGGAACGATTGGGGAGAATCCCACTATATCGGACCATTGCCGCCCACTGATTCCGCCATACCAACCGGGGCGGGCCCGTACGTCGAGAACAACCCGCACGACGCCTGGCTGAAAGATCTGCCTCACTATATCGCAGCGTACAAGAACACGAGTCGGCCGGATGAGAGCCATGTCACCTTCTGGTACCGCCTCAATCCCGGGTCGGGGACAGTGTGCAGCGCGGCCGGAACGACATGCAACACTCCCACACAAGGGCAGGTTGCTCTAAATCCGCAGGAATGCGATGTCGATTCGGTCTTCTTCACGGCGTTTGTGCCGGACAGCGCCACAGCAACAGTCAATGTGACAATTGGCGGTTTGACGCAGACAGTCTCTGCGACCACCCCCGGTATCTTCCACTCCAATGTGCCATTTAACGGGATGACTGGAGATGTCATAGTGGCATTTACCGCTAGCGATGGCACCGAGGTTGGCCACGTCAACGGTGCACCCATCACCACAGACTGCGTGGGCGGCAATATCAACTGGAACGCATGGGTTGGAGGCTCCTAGGAGGATTGAAAGGGAGGCGTGCAGGCACGGTATTAGCTTCTTGTATATAGGTATTTTCATAGGGTTGCCCAATGTTTTCGATGCACCCGTGCTGGACGCCATGCCGTTATTTGACTCTTGATTTCCGGAACTGGGAACATCTCTAGGCAAACCGTAAGCTAGAATATCATTAAAACTGTTGTAAGTCATTGAAGACGCGCTTGTGGCCAGGCTGCACAGACAAGAAGAAACTCGGGGCGGTTTTACTTCGGCCGAGAGCTTGAACAATTTGCGTCACGCCCAATCAACTTTTGACTCTTTCAATCCGTTGTGAATCTCTTTGCACTCTTGTTGAGCAAGCAGCAATCCCTTCGAGCCACCATTTGGGAGCCCCCGGGGAGAAGAATGTCTGGATGGATCGGGGTGCGGAGTCTCATAGGAGCAAATACCCTCCGATGCATGCGATCTGAGCAAGCGCGACAATTGCAATCCGGCGCAACTCGAATTCTCAATCGGAACCTCAGTCTCCACACTGCAACGATATCGCTGTGCCGGAGGCATCAACATGAACTCGGGATCAAGAAGGGCCTCATAAGGGATCATATCCGCTCTCTGGAGTTGGACAGGAGGAGGTTCTCCACGACTCAAGTGACGAGACACGGACACCTGGATCCGCCCAAGCCGGGGGAAGAGTAAAGACCGACCTATGGAATAGAAAGACCTGACCGACGCTGATGGGTGACTACAGGCTCAAAGTTACATTCATAGACAAGGAAGGAGACGAGCACACATTCGAGGTTGCAGAAGGTGACAATCTGCTTGACATTGCGCAGGCCAATGATCTGGAGATGGAAGGTGTGTTCTGAGAACATTTCCCCCGGCCCATCCACAACATTTTTTTCGCTGACGATATCTACCAAGGCGCCTGTGGCGGCTCATGCGCATGTTCTACCTGCCACGTTATAGTCGAATCCGACGAAATGTACGATAAGATTCCAGAGGCCACCGACGATGAAAACGACATGTTAGACCTCGCTTTCGGCTTAACGGAAACATCGAGGCTAGGCTGTCAGGTAAAGATGGCCAAAGAGTTGGACGGGTTAGTGGTGAAACTGCCACAGATGACACGGAACATGCAGGCTTCGGATTTCGAGAAGCGCAGTTGATCATGAACTGAGGGTTGAGACATATAGACATGTACTATCACAAACCGCTCTCCATTGCTCCTCGCTGGGTGGGCGTCATACCCAGAAATCCTTTTCACAATCACGAGGGCCTCCGGTTATTGCGCTGTTGTGCTCTGAGCATTCTTTTTCCCCGCGATCAGGTCCAAGAATCCCTGCTTGCTCATCTCGTTGACCTTCTCCTCCCGGTTGGCCATTCCTATGGTTCCCTTCTTCCGTTCTTCCTTGGCCACCTGTTCAGCTTTGACCTGAGCCGCTCGTACAGCGTTGAAGAGCTTGACCACGCCGCGCTGGGCGATCTTCCGCAATCTCTTTTCCTCCTCGGCCACTTCGCCGGCCTGTCCCGTGCTTAGGCCTAGAACGTCCTTGACTCTTCCTCTTTCTAACTCTTCCTTGCGGTCTGACCTCAATTTAGCCTTTGCTTTTTGCTCCAGACGGTCATTTGCGAGAGAAACGCTGGTTTCCGCGGCTTCTTTACTTCTCGATAGGACAGGATCTTTGCGAGCGGATTGTGATAGCTTGGTCGACAGGATCTTTGAAATAGAGGTGGAAAATGCTTCCGGGTCGTTTCGCTTGCTTATATGTTTTCTTCTGTCTTTCTCATCGAGGCTCTCTTCCGGACTGTCCTCGGCCGAAGTCGCAGCTTCCTCAGAATGCGTATCTTCGTCTTCGTCTTCATCTTCCGTTTGTATATCAGACGTGTCCTCGGCTACAGCCCGTGGAGACTTTTTTCTTTGCGACTTGGCCGTTTTAGTAGGGCGCTGCTCTTCGTCACTCTCCTCCAAGTTGACGGGTGTAAATCCCTGATCCTCCTGCTCGTCCTCGTCGCTTGAGCTGTGGTACTCTAGTTGTTTGCGGATGCGTTTCTTCGGTCGCTCGGTCTTTCCACGCATTCCATCTTCGACTTTACGTTTCTTCTGCGAAAGAGGGGCCATTTTGGACATGACACGGCGGAGGAATCAGTCTGGATGAGGAGATCGGGGTGTTGGTGCTACCATTCGAGACTGGCCAAGGTTTGTTCTGGAATTTCTTCTAAAAATGCCCGGCAAAACTGCGGCAACTCCCACTGGTGATGTCCATTCTTCCCCACACTGGCGGCGAGAACATCAACTTCGTGCCACCTTCACCCTCTTTTGATTGCGCCGCCCTCATACGTAGGACCTACCTGAATATCACAAAACCTCTTGCAGGCACCCGTATATCTTTGCAAGATGGTTCTCTCCGACCTGGGCCGGCGCATCAATGCCGCCGTGTCGAATCTCAACCGAGAACCCAACCTCGACGAGAAAGCCTTCGATGCCATGATCAAGGAGATATGTTCGGCCCTCCTATCGGCCGATGTCAATGTGCGACTTGTGAAGAATCTGCGAAAGTCGATACAGAGTGCCGTCAATTTTAAAGACCTTCCGCCCAACACGAGTTCCAACCAGAAGAAGCGCATGATACAACAAGCAGTCTTCGAGCACCTTGTCCAACTTGTCGATCCTCATGCTGAACCCTATAAACCCAAGAAAGGCAGGTCGAATGTGATCATGATGGTCGGTCTTCAGGGCGCGGGAAAGACGACAACGTGCACGAAGTTGGCGAGATACTATGCGGCCCGAGGATTCAAGGCTTGTCTGGTTTGCGCCGACACCTTCAGAGCAGGTGCCTATGATCAGCTAAAGCAGAATGCTACAAAAGCGAAGATACCATATTATGGCTCACTTACACAAACAGATCCTGCAGTGGTGGCTGCTGAGGGCGTTGGGAGATTTAAGAAAGAGAAATTCGAGGTTATTATCGTGGATACTTCGGGGAGACACAAGCAGGAAGCAGACTTGTTCCAAGAAATGATCTTTGTCCAAAATGCGATCAAACCGGATCAGACGATCATGGTGCTAGATGGCACCATTGGTCAAGCCGCCGAGGCTCAGTCGGCCGCATTTAAAGCGACGGCTGACTTTGGTGCTCTTATCATCACAAAAACAGATGGCGGTGCAGCAGGAGGTGGAGCTATCGCTGCCGCAGCTGCAACGCATACCCCTATTATCTTTCTCGGTACAGGTGAACATCTGGCGGATCTGGAGAGATTCGATGCAAGATCATTCATTTCCAAGCTACTTGGATATGGGGACATGAGTGGTCTGATCGACCAAATCCAAACACTCACACGGGAGTCGGCAGGGATGAAGGAGACCCAGAAACATTTGGCAGAGGGTATCTTCACGATCCGTGATATGAAAGAGCAAATCACCAATATTATGAAGATGGGCCCTCTTTCCAAGATCGGCAGCATGATACCTGGTATGAGCGGCCTGATGCAAGGCATGTCCGACGAGGACGGAACTGAGAAGTTGAAACGCATGGTCTACATTTTTGACAGCATGACGGCCAAAGAGCTGGACTCTGACGGCAAAATCTTGATATCACAGCCGTCTCGAATGGTGAGAATCGCCTGTGGATCGGGCACCAGTGTCAGAGATGTTGAAGAACTCCTTACACAACATAAAGTGATGGCTAGCGTGGCCAAGAACATGGGTCAACAAAAGAAGAACATGGCCAAAGCGAACAGTATGTTGCAAGGCGGCAACAGGCAACAACAGCTCGCAGCAATGCAGAAACGGATGCAAAGTATGGGTGGTGGCCGGGGCGGGATGCCTGGCGGCGACCTAGGCAAGATGATGCAGATGATGCAAAACATGGGCATGGGGGCTGGTGGCGGAGGCGGAGGAATGGATGCTCTTATGCAGCAGATGGGAGGAATGTTCGGCGGTGGACGGGGTCGAGGAAGATGACGGAGTTTTGGATGCCTCGAAACTTTTCCAGATCACGCTACACGAAAGCATACCCAACTTCTTGGTCGAAGATCATCCGACCGACGATGCATGGTGTGGACGCTACAGCTCCCTGATGGGGCAGGTCAAGATGGGATCATCTCCACAAGGCGTTCTCCGCTGTCAAGTTCTCCTGAGAAGAGTGTTTTACTCATTTCGGCTAATTGCTGGCTGGAACCAATGCGAAGAGGGACTATATCTTTGTGAGCTCTGTCACCAGCTGCACAGCGGATGTGGTATGGACTCCAGCACCTTACGAAGGAACTGTCAGTTTTGGACATCTTCAAAGGCGCAGAAGTTCTGAATGCTCTTGCCGTGAAGACCGAATGTGGCTTTCGGTCTCTTTGTTTCAACCAAAGACTCAGGGATATGAGAGACTTTGTGTCGCAGCAGCAAACCAAAGAGATAAGCTAATGAGCACAATGGATGATGGCGAGGACTGCAATGGGTTTGTGAGCTCACTTCTGCATCTTACAGAAGGACAGTTGGCATATCGTATAACAGTTTCTACGCAAGCTTCCCTCCATTGCCGTGGACTGGAAATAAGCTTGAAAAGTATATAGCCCTAGCTCTATGTCGCATTGGATTGGCATGTCGCGGCTCAAATGGTCGGTTTGAAGAGATTGACCTGGCGTTCCCGCTCCAAAGAAGTCGAACATAGGCCTTTCTGGACCGCACACACATGTTCTCTCCCATGAAGATGCATTCTACCCTGCCCAGTACACGGTCCTCCCCCTTCCGGCTGCAGCCTCGCCAACTTGCCATGCACCCGACCGAGTCCCGTCCCTCCGCCAATCGGAATCCCGAATTATTTTCGCCGCCAAAATCCCGCTCCCGATCGACTATCGTTGCGAATTTCGCCGCAAGCCATTTTCCCCAGATGCGCCTCCATTTATTTTGCAATTGTATCCGTCCACCCTGCTTGGACAACGACTCTTCCTCCCTGACCGCATCCACTCCTTACCACAACCGACAACCTCCTTCACAATGGCGTTCCCAGGCGCATTCGGCGGCGCAGGGATGGGCGGCGCAGCAGCAGGAGGAAATGCAGGCATGAGCGAGCAGGAACAGCAAATGGTCAAGATGGTAAGAGGACAGAAGACCTTACGAGGCTCTGGGATGACATAGGTCGCGGAGCATGGTCCTCCAGACATCCTGGGGCCTGTGAATTGGCGCAGAAAGATGTGATAGCTAATAGGATGGTGTTCGAACAGATGCAAAAAGGCATGGAATCCTGCGTCGCAAAATCAGTTCTAGCAGGCGGAATGGGCTTCGTCCTCGGTGGCGCTTTTGGCCTGTTCATGTCGAGTGTTAGTCCGCACTTTTCTCCTTCTCGCAACTAATCCTTCCCCCGCATTCTGCCCGTGGACATTCCGCATTTCATCGCAAGACGGCTTTAATTGACTTGGCTTGTATTAGATGGCATACGACACTCCCCTCTCCCCTCAAGGCCAACAAATCACATCGCTCCCCGTTCGCGAACAACTCCGGAGGGGCCTCAAAGACATGGGTTCGAAATCATACTCGTCGGCAAAGAACTTTGCCCTCATCGGTGCGCTCTACAGCGGGACAGAGTGCGGCATAGAAGGGTTTCGGGCAAAGAGCGATCTCTACAACAGCGTCTCTGCCGGATGTATCACGGGCGGAATACTGGCGCACAAGGCGGGTCCCCAGGCTGCGGTGCTCGGGTGTGCCGGCTTCGCGGCATTCAGCGCGGCCATCGATGCGTATATGCGAATGCCGGAGAGCGATTGATTGAGGAAGACGAAAAGACGCTACCAATTTGTCTGGTGGAGATGAAAGAGGTGGACTAGAGCGGCGTTCGAGGAGAGTTTTGGTTTTGATGCGTTCAATCCATGGCGTTCACAGGCATCGTCGGGATTGGGTTATGAAATGTACAGCATGGTCACCGCGGCATTCTCCGGGTGATATCGCGCTGGGAGCTGCATACAGGGTTCACAGGGACACGAGCGTTCAGCGAAGCATTTGCACGGCGTAAGAGCGGGGTTAGGGCGCCTCGAGAGGAATCTCTTGAAGAACGCAATGTCTTCTTGAACAAATCTTTGCAAGGGGGATAGTTGCAACTGCTGGGGATTGGCTGTATAGATACGGCTGGCTGAGACAGACTCATCGCACGAGGAATATGGCGCAACTGGAACTGATGTCTTTGTCCTCGACTAAAGACGGGATGAACAAACACTGGCGGCGTTATGATAGAATTCTCTCCGCTTTTGTGTAAAGTATCTGAATATGACTGTTAATCTCAAGTGGCTACATATGAACATTCAAACCCACTGGAGTGATCAGCGTGTAGGAGCGGCTGTGCAGATTCCAATAGATCAGTCGGTCCAAGATATGAAGGTATCTCTGTCTCATGGAAGTATGTAGAAGCTATGTTCCCAAGCATCAATCTCCAGGAAACTCCTGCAATCATCGCTTCCTAGCATTTCACAATATATCAGGGTTCAACCCAAAAGCACTACATATGTGGCTTGGGACATTGAGGTTGAATATTCATTCCATGGCTTTGACCTGATATCTGCTTCCGTAGCAGTAAAGACCCACCGTAGCCTCTTCCGTTTTTTACTACTGCGGAGCGTTTGCGCTTTGAGTGCGCTGACATCAAGTCGACTTACATCTTACATCCTCTCTATCCCTTTGAGTTCAAGAAACGAAGAGTGGTGGTCTCAGTACAGAGCCGCCACACAGTTGAGACGGAACTGGGATGAAGGCTATGGCATGTAATGTTAAAGGCTACGGATCTAACTGCTAATCAGCGCTCAAGAAACTCTGCTGTGCTTCAGATATGTGTCCAGCTAACAGGTATCGTGAATCATGCAGTACATTCGCTTCCCCCAGGATCATTCTGGCACGAACCGCAGCAACCCTCGCCATGCATCAAGCAGCGCGAGACACTCCTAAATGTTCTCCTTTTCAAACTCGGCCTTGTCAACCACACAGACAGCCTTCCCTTTCATCTTTCCCGAATGAGCCAGCTCGACCATCTTCGGGACTTCCTCCAGCCCATAAAAGATATTCGTTGCGACTTTGATTCCGTGCTTTCCCGTGTCGTTCAGCATTTGCTGGCTGTACTCTTGTCCCGCAATCAGTGTCCCCTTGATGCGAATGTCTCGGAAAATCAGTTCCTGGAAGGCTACGCTGACCCTATCGAGAGGTCAGCTGTTCGGTCTGCTATTAGGAAAAAGCCATACTCACCGGTCGGGCTGCGCAGTCTGCACCATGGTCCCATGCATCCTCGTAATAGCACAGGCCATGTCGGCCGAGGTCTCGTGCTCGGATACGTTGATCGACGCGTGGACACCCAAGCCATCTGTGAGCTTCTGCACCTGCTCCACGACCTTCTCTTTCCCTTCCCTCGCGTCGAAAATGTGCTTCGCACCCGCCTTTTTGCACAACTCAAGCCCTTCGTCTCTCGCATCAACAGCCACGACGTTGATCCCTTTGGCCATGGCAAATTGAATGCCCAGGTGGCCTAACCCGCCACCGGCACCGACGATGCCTAACCACCCTCCCTCCGGCACCTCAGCCACAATAATGGCGCGGTATATCGTACAGCCGGCACAAGCGAGGGGTGCTGCACTCGCAAAGCTCACATTGTCCGGAATATGACAACTCGTCCGATTGTCGACGACGTGATACTCACTGAAAGCCCCATCCACGAAAACGCCAATATGCCCCTCGATGTGCTGACAATATTGATGCCAGTCGTTCGGACCCTGACAGTTGAGGCACTTCCCACACGGGTTTCGAGGGAGACCGGACATGACACGATCGCCCTTTTTGAAATTGGTGACTTGGTCGCCTACCGCAACGACGATGCCTGTCCCTTCGTGCGACGCCGTGCAGGGCAGTTTTGTCGGAAACTTGCCGGCGACTACCATGCTGTCGGTGTGGCATAATGATGCAACCACTGTCTTGAGCAGGATTTCGTGTGGCTTGAGACTGGTCGGAGTAGGTACTTTATGGATCTTATAAGGTTTGTTGAACTATCATCACACACAGTCACCTCAGATCAGACTTCGCCCTGGCGGATGATAGATCCACGTCCTAACAGCCGTGTTCGAACGTACCTCTACCACCTGCACCGCAAGCATTTCTTTGGGGACTCCCTCGAATGCCATCTTGTGAACTCGATCTTCTCCAGGTGGTTCTTTCCTTTCGGTCGCCGTTCGATCAGAGAGAGAACAAGGAGCTATGAAGGGATATCAAGAGAGCAGTCGAGAATCAGAGAGCAATGAGTCTGGTTGAACGTCCGTGGATCCAATGGCATGATGTCAGTGGACGACATGAGCCCGGGACACCCACTGGACGCATATAACTCGTAACCGAGGGGGAATCCGGTGTCAGTGATTGGCTCCCCTCACTGATAGACGGCGGGCACGGCGGCCGCCTTGTCGTTGTCGCCGTTTCCGAGCGGAGTCATTACCTAAGCGCCAAGCTTTACGGAAACCACTAGGCCAAATGCGGCAGCCGTGACTCCTTTGACAAAAGAATCAACAACTAGACCTTTGTCGCGCGAGCAATTGCAAAGTCATATCCTTTGGAGACGGATAGTCTGCCTTTTTGACAGAATGACTCCAAGAGACTCTTCCTGTGGCTGTTTGCCATGTATCCTATGCAATGGCAAGTGCTCTCTGAGGACCATCTGGGTCTGAATGAAATCACAGAATACGCCGCAAAAACCTCGTTGAGGAGCACCATGAATTCTTTATTGGGGACCATGAGCTAAATGTGTCTTTCATTGATGGCCTGGACCGGCACACTTCCTTTGTCAACTGAAATTGATCTTTCGATGCGTTCAGGTTCTAACTTAACAGTAATATCGCTTGCGCCTCGCCACTTTTCCCTGTCGTTTATAGGTAAAGCACTATCTTTTACTTTCACACTTAAAAACCACACTTCCCTTGCTCACCCCTCTGGTTGAGAGGGCATCTACTTCTCATACTATGCCTGTACAGGGCAAGGACTTGAACGGTCGGCCATTTGACCTTGCCGATTTCGGTGATGCCAGAGACTACAGTTACAGATACAGGCCAAGATTCCTTGACGAGCGTGCGGTTCCTACGGACTTGGATCAGTTATGGTATGATGATCGAAAAGCGAGGGGAGCTTTTGGAAAAGAGAAGGAGCAGGAGACCTTCCTGCGAAAATACCTCTTCTTTGAGCAGGACAACGATGATGATGAAGAGTGGGGGCCCGTAAGACTGCTGGGGAGAGGGGGCCACGGCCTCGTCGGCCTCTGGCAGAAACGAGACGACAACAACCGGATTGTTGATGAAGTGGTCCTGAAGGAAAGCAGGTACAGCAGAGCCAATAGCAGGGCCGCCCTCGCAATGGAAAGCGACCCGAATGCTTATCCCAGGCACCTGGCAGAAGCCGCCATCCACAAAGACATCAATGCGCAGCATCCCGGTGTTGCACCACATTTGCGCAAATACAAGTTTTTCTATCACGACATCAACGAGCGGGAGGGCCGATATCGATTGTATTTTGAGCATTGTCCCTTCGGAACTCTTGGTCGCCTTGGCCACCTATACCGGTGCTGGGATACCTATCTTCCCGAGGTTTTTGTCTGGTATGTCTTCTATTCGCTGGCAAAAGCGTGCGAAGCCCTTCGGGATGCTCCACCTTTTGACAGCAGGGCCATCAAAGAGGAGTACTGGAGCATCCGCTTGGAAGAGCTGTTCTGCCTTCACATGGACTTCAAACCAGACAATGTACTCCTTGGTTATCCTTCGCACGAGGGTGCGGAGTACCCGTCCGCTCTCCTAAATGACTATGGTTTATCCATGTATACGGCGGTTAACGACGACCCTGACTTTCGAACGTGGAACCCTACTTACATGTGGCACCGCGGCACCCATTCCTACCAGCCCACGGTAAGCAAGCGTTCATCCATTCCCGCTCACCCTCTCTTTCAAAGAGTGCCGACTTGTTATTTTGACGTTTGGACGATGCTGACGGGAGAACAACGCAGGAACAAAACCATTATGGTGTGGAATGGGAGATGCCTCCGGACGGAGGGCGGCTCAGAACCCGGGATGCGCAAAATCGGGAGCTGGATTGGCACAGAGCTGCGCGTCAACGTGAAGAAGACAACCAAGAGGCTGGCGGCGATGTGATCTTCGATCACTCAATGAACGTAAGTTGCTCTTACAACAGTCGCCATCCCTTCTGGCAATGCGCACTGCATATACCTTCCCCCCCCTCACCCAAAGTGTTACAATAAGAATTATAACAGACATTGCTAACATAGTCATCCGCTTTCCCTTGGGCATAGGTCTACGGCCTAGGTCAGACAATGTTCGAACTCGTGACACTCAGGAAAAACAACAAACATCTGCACCGGATCCGCGCCAAATGCCTCACAAGGTTCCAGCGGAACGGCAACCACCAGATCTCGCATGTGCTCACCAAGAAACCGGGCGTTTACAGCAGCCGGCTCCGTCACTTGATCCACCGCTGCCTGGATCCGAACCCGGCAAGTCGCCCCTCCCAGATGGAAATCATGGACCAGACGCGCCGCGGTCTGCGGCTGGCCATCAAGCGCGCCAAAAGGGACGGGAATTTCCCGGTAAAAGTGTACTTCCGCGACAACGACATCAACGAGATGCCCCTCGGGGACGCGGGCTTCCAGCCGCAGCGGAGGGACTTTTCACGTCTGATTGAGAGCGAGTTTGTCGACCCGGACGCTCCCAAGCTGAAACTGCCCGCGGACAAGTACGGTGGGTTCCCCGAGGCCTGGTCCAACCCCAGCTGGAAGCAGATGTACGATCACCGCAACCCGCACGATCGCTGGTTCAACGGGCTCGAAGGCGACGGCAGCAACTAGGGGTCCTCCAGTACGTACTGTCCGGTTCGCCGTCCAAAATGGATATTGGCCTTTGCCTAGCGACGTGAAGGGAGGAAGACATTTGTGTGTGTTGCGAGGCTGTCGATGGATCCGAGCGTGTTAAGCTGTTAGTCCGGGACGGCGCACTGCCTCGGAGAGCGAAGGGAAGGAATGGCATTGTTTTGATATGAGGAGTCGTTCTGCAGACATAACTATGTGTTTTGAGAAGCGGTGGTTTCCTTTCATTTTCCCGTTTGTTTGATTCCGCACTAGCATCGGAAAGAAATGGATAGATTCGGGCGCGGATTGTCGTCGCTGTTACCTCAGAGCGAGATACATAGAGAGGGAGATGGATGGTTGAATATGTGGATGGTATTGTAATTTTAATTTCTGTCTTGTGTACATGAACAAATGTATCCCTTTTTTCTTAACAATAAGCGCCGTCGCTTCATGCCCCGGCCTGCATGCATATGGCATATGGTATGATATTGGATAAAGAAACATCCAGCAAAGGTCTCTCCAAGTCCAAGTCCGCCCTTGGTTCTCTGATGAAGAGGACACCACCGCTATGCATAGAGTGCGCAAACAAAAACCGTTCTTGTGTAGTCAAATCGGTGGGAGGGGGCCTCGTTCCATGGCAAATCATTTCGTCCACTTCGTCCCCGATTTTCTCTTCTTTTTCAATCTTTCATTTTCGCCCTATTCAAGCCCTCCTCGAGCCGTCGGCAGGAAACTCATCAGACACAATCAACCTGGTATTGACGTTCATGCTGCCCAGTTCGTTGAGCAAGAGCTTGAATGCATACGGCAGCGTCATCCTGACCACGTTGGAGCCCGGTTCGCCGGCCTTGCTGCACCGCTGACACCATCTTGCAAAGGCCATGAACCCGCAATTTTCACAGACGTCCACCTGGTGCTGATCGCTTGACAACATGAGCCGCTCGCGGAGCAGTTGGGACGCGCCGTACGCGATGAGGCAGTCGCGTTCCATTTCACCCAGTCGTAGACCGCCGTCTCTGGAACGCCCTTCTGTAGGTTGACGCGTGAGGATGGCTCGGGGCCCACGAGATCGGCTGTGCATCTTGTCTTGGACCATGTGTTTGAGTTTCTGATAGTAGATTGGGCCCGTGAAGACGTAGGCAGGTAAGGGTTCCCCGGTAATGCCAGAGGTGAGATAGTCCTTGCCGTCGTAACTGTAGCCCGCTTCGATCAGGGCGCGGGACATGTCTTCAAGCTTGCTGCCCCCAAACGCGGTGCCGTACTCGAATTTTCCCTTGAGGATGCCTGCTTTGCCGGAAACGAGCTCCAGCATTTTGCCTACCGTCATTCGAGAGGGGAAGCCGTGAGGGTTCATGATGATGTCTGGCGTGATACCCAGATCTGAGAATGGCATGTCGACTTGCTCGGCAATGATTCCCACAACACCCTTTTGTCCGTGTCTGGACGAGAACTTGTCGCCGACTTCTGGGACCCTCGTCTGCCGCGTCTGAATCTTGATAACTTTATTACCGGCTTCGGTTTCAGTCACCATGACTTTGTCGATGTAACTGGGGTCCGGAAGACGATATTTCTGTGGCTGTGGGTCCCACCCAAAAGCGCGAGGACTATCAGAGCCATTTTCTGACAGTCCCGAAGAGTTGGCGTTCCTGGGCACATATTTGTTGACGTAGATCTCTCCGCTACTGATTTTCTCACCGACAGACGCCACCCCATCTGAGTCTAGTAGAGCATGACCTCTGGCTATGGTGCCGTCATCATTCTTGGAAGGAGGGTAAACCACATCGGAGGACTCATTCGCATAAGTCTTGATGGTGACCGGGTACTTGCGAAGGACCTGGCAGCGACCAAAACCGCGGTCAACCGATGCCTTGTTGAGGACGAGGGCATCCTCGATGTCGTAACCGCTGTACGACATGACAGCCACCGTCGCGTTCTGACCAGCAGGGAGTTTGTCGTATTTGACCAGTTCGATGGTCCTCGTCTTCACGAGGGGTTTCTGAGGATAGACCATTAGATACAGCAAGGTATCGATCCTTAAGAACTGGTTGTTGGCAATGAAACCGATAGCTTGTTTCCCCATGGCGCATTGATAAGTGTTCCGGGGCGACTGGTTGTGATGAGGATATGGAATCAGCCCTGCAACTGCCCCAAGGATCGTGAAGGGTTCAATTTCCAAGTGAGTGGTTGTTGAATTGATGTCGGATTCATACATGGCGATATTGCTATCATTTTCTTCGTTGACATCCAGATATTCCACGAGACCGCGCGCCAGAAAGTCGTCAAAGTCCATCGATCCCTGTCTGAGGGACTTCAAGTACCGTTTGGTGACCTTGGATTTCTTATCCTCAACAATAATCAGGGGCCGGCATATCCGACCTTCATCTGTTGCCACTTGGATCGTGTTGTGGTGATGGTTGATGAAGATTGATACAAACTCGGAGATTCGTCCGGATCTGCGCAGACGTCGAAACGACGATAGAAAATGTGAGGGCTGGCGGGTAGCGGCGACAGGAGTGCCATTCAACAGCACGAGGTACGACCCAGTGGCGTAGAGTTCTGATCCGCCAACTGTAACTATGTCTTCAGCGCCTAGCATAAAGATAAGTCGTTTGATCGGTGCCTCTTCGTCATCTGTTGTGATGTGTGTCATCAAAGCTAGGTTCTTGACCAAACCACAAGCTTCACCTTCAGGCGTATCTGCTGGACAAAGCATGCCAAACGATGATGGCTGGAGCGCCCTAGGGCCACTGACTTTGCGGGTCTTCTCAAATTGACTCGAAATTCGGGTCATCATGCCGAGAGATGCGATGAAGCTCAATCGACTGAGGAGGTGAGTGACACCAGCTCTGTCCATTCGAAAACGCTTCAAGTTCCAATTGCCAGTGGCGATTGCTCTGTTCATGCCTTGAGTGATATTTCCTGACGCCCCGACCATGATCCTAACAGGATCTGCCAAGGCGGTCTTATTTTGTTTCCTCAGCTCTTTGTCAATCTTCATCTTGACGTCGTAATTGAACTTTTTGAACAAGTCCTCAAAGAGCAGAGAAAGTAATTGCCCTGCCAGCTCCAGGCGCTTGTTGCCAACGTAATCTCGATCGTCGACTAGGGCCGGGTTCCGCTTTGCCATCAGAGCGCGGCGTGCCATATGTGCTACATAGAGGGCCTTGGGCCTGAAGTTGAGATCCTCTATTGGAACATGAGCAATGAAGACGGTACTGATAGCTTCGACAGCTTCCTGAACGAAATTTCTGCGAGCTTGCCCAAAAGGGGTCGACTTGGCAGTAATCTTGAGACGTGCTCCAATGTATTCTAGGGCCTGTTGTTGGGTATGGATTTGATTCTTGATCGTTTCTTCGAAGTTGATCGCGAAGTCGTCTTGTAGGGTTGGGTCGGGGCCAGCAACGATATTCATCATGTCCATATCGGAAGAGACACCCATTGCTTTCAACAGAACACAAATGGGTATATCTTCCTTGAGAATATTGTGCTTCATGTATAGGAGGTCCTTCCTGAGCACAATATAACTCTTTGACTTTCTTGCATGAGTGGAGCTGGTGACCGAAGCAGTAATCAGGTCTTTCTTTGGATCGGCCTCGACAATGATTCGGTTCTTGCTGAGCTGCTCCTGGACCAAAATGACCTTCTCAGTGCCGTTGACAATGAAATAGCCACCGGGGTCCAGAGGACATTCATCCATCGCGCACATCTCGGCTTCCGACTTATTGGCAAGAACGCATTTATTACTTCGCAACATTAATGGCAAGCGTCCGATTGGCACAGCCTTGGTGCGAAATGCATCCTTCGTCTTTGTGTATCGGATATCGACGAGAATTGGAGCCGCATATGTGAGATCCCTCAGGCGACACTCATTGGGGGTGACACTCGATTCCTTGAACTCTCTTCGGTACAACTTCTCCATCTCGTCGTTCCTGCAGGGTTTTCCAATATAGATGTTTTCATATTTGATGTAAAACTTTGGATCAATGTCGCTTGTAATGATCGGCTCAGCGTCGATGATCTTCTTCAGCTCGACATCGACGAAGTGATTGAACGAGTCCACATGTTGCTTGACAAGCCCCTTCACCTTCAAGAACGCAGGGAGCAGGTTCCATTTGTCTCGAGCAGTATCGATAGGATCTGTCAGAGACTTGTCATAGTAAAAGGGCTCTAGCGCCGCGTCGAAGCTGTCTGCATGGTGATGGGGTCTTCGGGATTGCCTCCCAATCTTGGGGTTTTCCTTTGTGGTCTGATCAGGTAACGAGTCTTTCGCAGCAGAGGCGTCCGCAGGAGGCCCTTCTTTAGCAGGTGCTTTGCGCACTGATGTAGTCTATCCATGTTAAATTTTCTCCTTACCAGGTAGGAGCAAGCCCGATTTACCTTAGCCACGGTCTTTCTGGCGGCATGCGAAGGCGCACCGACACCGCCATCGGTCTTTCTCTTGGCCGGCATTTCTCGTCAAGGGAAAGCAAAAAGGAGGAGCAGCGGTCCAGAAGCACACCATGCATGACTTGGGCCTGCACCGAAAGATCCCACACTGCAGAAATGTTGGCAGAGGCAATATTGCAAGCCTTAAACGAATCAGACGTTGAGGTGGGCAACATTTTTTGCAAATAATTCTGCCGCGATATGGATGACTAAGCGAGGCCAGGGCGGTGAAGGGAGGGGTCAGGCTCTAGGCTCCAGGCCTCAGGCTCCCGGCTGCAAGACCCAGTGTGGAAAGTGCGCCGAGGGCCCGTCTTCAGAAACACTTTCCTACACGAACCAGGTCCAACGGCTCCTCCATTGGATCATGGCCATGTTGTACAACAGCTCCAACTGAGCACAAAGACTCAGGTAAGCTTCCCATCCTCTATTTTTCATCCATGGGATGACCCTGTCACTCTGAAACACACAATGGCCCGAGATTCCGACGTTGGTCAGAGGACGGATGTGAATGCCCAACAAGGAGATTGATTTGCCCTGGGGACGCCCGAGCTCTCGGGCGTCGCAGACTCGCAGCGGCGAGTGTGGGGTTCTTTTCTCAATGGCCTCTTTTTCATACTTTTCATGCAGGGGATCATTTGTACACCTGGCCGGCGGGTCTGTGGCGTGCTTCCCGTTCATGGTCTTATCCCTCAATCAGATTCGAATCCTGGCTCAACACCTGCGTCAAGCCAGATAGAGCACTAGCTTGGATTTTCTTCGAGTGTCCTCGACTCTCGGACCACTTGCACTACGGCTAATCGGGCATGCCGCCGGAGTGCTTTCAACAATAACGGCGTTAAGAAGAGCTTTGCAATGCGAAGCCGGCAACCCATTAGCCCAGCTAATAGTCGCAGACCAGAATACGGACACCTCTCAACTGTTGTCATGCTTGTCGCTTGTGGTCTTATAGAGGACGACCACAATAAAGTGCAAGCATTAGCTCGGGCAGGAAACATCATTCCGTACCACCGCCTCTGTGATGTTGCCTATGTGTGCTTCTCGGAAGCAGACTCACTATTCCATTCACTACACATATGGACCAGACCAGGATTCCTGGCCCTGGCGATGCTCCTAAAGGTTCACAGCATGCCAGGATCAAACTAGAGGTACATGTGTTAAGCACCGGTGCGTTTGACGTCGGGCCGACTCCTGAATCAAAACGTCCAACTCCTGGATTTTCACAAGCTGTCTGCCTTCAGGTCATGTGTCTGTAAATGGCCTTGAAGCTGTCAGAATACCAAAATTGTGGAAGATGACATGACCACCCTCTGAATGTCTCATGGCAGGGGCCAGGGTTGTGGGGTACCAAGTGAATCTCCAGAGGTCTATTAACAGGGCCAGAATGATTGGATTATTGCGCCATGCCGATCAGGAGGACAGTGGAAACTTAACCGATATACGAGAACAAAGTATTGCCCAAAGGCCCTGCATTCGAGCAATTACAGAAGCCACCCAAGAGTATCCCACACGGCGCTGCAGAGGTGCTCATAAATTTTCGACCGGTCGATTCCATTTCTGGTGTCATTGTGTCTGAAGCAGGCCCGCGAGGGATGCTCGTCGGCCTTTGCTGCTCGGCGGGGGACCCTTATTTCTGCCGCTTGACCGCCATTTCGCCTGGATAGACCATGGGCTCATGGGATTGGGGAGCCAGACAGCGCCTCCCGGGCCCAAGTGTCAATTCCCCACACGAATATCTTGTCTGACGAGCAAAGCGTGGACGCACCAACGTGAGCGAAAGCTTGAGCCACCGTGCCCACGCTGTGATGCGCGCTCAAGAAATGACCCCATTGGCGCAGCCTTGAGTTGCGTCGCCGTTCCGACAAGGAATGAGAAAGAATTCTCACTCGCTCTGTGGCCACTATTGCCTATCCTGCAGCAGCCAGTTCCATCCTGAGTGGCTCTGACCCTTTCAGACTGCCCGCAAAGTCTGATGGGGAAAGACGTTTCTCCTTGCAGGCTTTGGCCTGATCGCAGTTCGTCACTTTCTCGCTTCTGGTCCCTTGCTTGTGGCTGCCGAGGGGCGACTGCTCACCAAGAGCCCGCCCACCAAAGAGTTGTGCAAAATGCCCACACTTAGGCATCTGAATTTTTGGGATATTCTTCAGGGGACCTGCCTGTAAACGAACAGACTGACCAGCCAAGTTGCAGTAACCTGCAGACAGGCAACTCTATCTACATAAATCAACATCCCTTACCGGTGATTTTCAAGGGGGACAAAAGGGGATCGGGCTGAAAACTTGGAGAGGACCCAGAGGAGAAGCTCGAGACAACACCCACGATACCACCGGAGTCGGTGCTACCTAGAGGAACCTCAACAACAGAACAGCGACAGACCTGGAACCTCAACTGTCGAGCTGGCCGTGCTGGTCTTTGGCCCTCGACTCTCTCTACCCTGGTCAACGATGGATTAGTCTCAGGGCTAACCAGAGGGAAAGCACCAGTAGTGGCAGAGGTAAGTCCCTAGCCAGAATACCCACGCTGCAACCAGGGTTAAGCTAACAACCTCGTCTAGGCCGCTACCCATCGAGCGCCAGTACCCACGCTGGGCTCTGGCGCTTGCCTAAATGCGCACCACCCAAAAAGCCCCCCAAGAGTCGAATCCAACCTCCACTGCTACTCTAGCACTCTCCAGATTTGATCCCATTTCTGAGGTGCCTTTCTCCTACTTCACCTCTTGCACGCTTGTAACAATATTCTTTTCCTTTTCTTGCACTCTGATTTTCCCATCACTGTCTTTATAGCATATCTCGACTGTCGTGCTGCCCCTCGGCGCGCACGCAGCGTTGGCTGCATCTCTATTTTCTCACTCCCTTTTTGTCATCTTGGGGACCACGCGCACGCCTGCGGGGATTGCTCACAGTTCTCGTTTCATTATTATACTGGATAAAGCGTCTTTGTGGTCGGTTCAGACATCATCAGGGTGTTCAGCGTCGGCCTTGCTCCATTCAAGGTATGTACGCATTCCACCAAGCCTCGAGCAAACGTGTGCCCACCTGTCATTTAAGCCTGTTCAGCGAGTCAACCCCGTATTCGAGTCCTACCCCTCGAGGGTCTAGCCCAACGAATCATCTGGATCTGGACGGTTGATGTATCAGGCTTGCTAATAGCTGTTTTCGCCGCATAGTCCTCGAACATGGCTTTCTCAAATACACTTAGTGGCCGCATGGAAGAACTACGTTTCCCCAACCTGCGGTCTCCAGACGCCGAAAGCCCATACAGTTCGAATGGCTCCTCAACCCGAGAACAAAATCCATTCTTCGCCAACATGCACTCCTCATCCAACGACGCTCGCGCGAGCCTCCAACGTCGCTTTACAACGGACTCGAGTAAGATGCCTGTGGCCAGACCGTTTGGTCAGCAATACACGTCCATGAGCTCCGCAGCGGTATGTCACATCTTTGTACAACGTTCTATTGTGATGTCAGATTGTGGTGCTTGGGAGGAAACAATAGGGCATTGTTGAGTGTCGAGCTGCGCTCGTGAAGTGAATGCTGGTCTCAGATCTATTAAACGTCACCGGCAATCGCGACACTAGCTGGTTTATAAATCTCCCTCCACGACGCACCCAACCAACTTCTTGCCATATCTTTTGTCTTTCCAAATTTCCGGTTGTCATCATGGCTGACATCGATCCACAACAGGCCAAAAACAAACAAATGTACGAAGACATCCAGAATGCTAAGCGCAAGGCGGAGGAGCAGTTGCGGCTTTTGGAGCTACAGGAACGAAGCCTTCAGATGGGAGCCACTACTCAGGACCTTGAGCGGATCTCTACCCGTGTGAATCGGATCAGTCTCAACGGCCCTGTTAGCGAACCCACAACTCCTCCAGAGTACGCCGAAAGTGGCTTCAGCAACCGATTCTCGCGCTCTAGCAGACTGTCTATGAACAGTATCATTTCGCCTCCAGGGCTCAGCAAGCGAGTCTCTCAATCTAGCTCTCAAGTCACCTCTCCTCCACCAAATCGTCTTTCAGGCAACGGCATGTACACCCAATCTCAGAAGCCATCTGCCAAATCAGTGCCGGGATCTCGAAGAGGCTCTGACGAAGACGAATACTATCCCGAGGATTTGCCCACCACTCGAGCTGCTGCTTCGTAAGTTGACCCCATGCTCCAAGTCACCCTCGCCTTCACCTTCCCTTTGTTCTCTTACAATAGCTTCTATGAGCACGTGTGAATGAATCTTCACCTTTTTTTCACATTGCTTTCACCGCTTGGCGAGAAGTCACGGGATTTGCATTTTTCAACTCGACGTTTTTGCGCACCTCACCTCCCTTCCCTTGGCCACAAGCAAGGACAGCAAACATCTAACTTCTTTGACCTCCAGGTTGAATCGCTTCTCTATGCCAGTCAATAGCAGTCGTCATCCACAACGCCTTAGTGTGAGTGGCACTGGAGGCAATTCATTTGGTCTTGCAAACACCACCAGCTTTCTCTTTGACGAGGATGATGACAAGCTCAACCCGCTTGACTTGACTTCTCCTATTGCAAAAGCTTTTGCGCAGCTTGAGGGTGACGACACCTTTCCAACTCTGACGAGTGACGGTCTCAAGGTATGTTATTCACCTCGACGCGCCTCAAACCTGGGCTCACTCTTTTAAAAGCTTTCTGCCAACTCTGCTGCCTTGGATCTTGCAAACTCCAAGACACCAGACCTTGACTGGACTCTTGGATCTCGTTACAGACCAGCTCATCAGAGCATGCCTCATACAGACTCTTCCATGTATAGACCTGTTCTTGCCAATCTCAACAACATCAGCAGCCCACCTGCGGACCGTCCGGCGGATCTGACGCGTCGCAAGTCTCAGCGCCATTCCATGGGAGTCACTTTTGAAGACACTGCGCCTCTGCCTGCAAGTCTGACTGTCTCTCGGCCCACGTCTCTCCAAACTTCTTACTCAACCAACGACGTCCCAACAGTCAAGAAATCTTTGACCTTGGACACTGTTCCCACCCCTCCCAAGACGCAAGCAGAGCAGCAGTTCCACAACCACAACGTCAGTCTGGGACGGATTCCTGCGAACGCAGTGAACAATCGTCAGAGCAGAGAAGTCGCCAACGGATCTGTCAAGCTGGAAGACAAAGCCATGTCTGCGGCCCCATTGTCAAGCTTGCACGCCAGCGCAGCGCCGTTCAACGCGTCTTTCACCACCACCTCAGACGCCAACGCGGTCTCCAACGCGATGGCCTTGGCCAGTCCAACCTCGACATATCCAGCCCCACAACCCTACATGTACAATATGCAAACTTTCAACGTCAACCAGATGAATCCCCAAGCCTCCGGTGCCGGACCCATTCAGCCCTTTGGCCAGTCTCAAGGGATCTATGGTATTAGCAATACGTATTCCGGCCCTCAACGTTCAGGCACTGGTCGCCGTAACCATGGTGATGAAGCTCGATTCAACAATGTCCCGCTTGAGTCATATCGAGGAAATCTGTATGAGCTTTGCAAAGACCAACATGGTTGTCGCTACCTCCAGCGCAAGCTTGAAGACGGCAACGAGGAGCATATCCAAGCCATCTTTGTGGAGACCTGTCCTCATATCATCGAGCTGATGACCGATCCCTTCGGTAACTACCTCTGCCAGAAGCTGTTTGAGCATTGCAACGAGGAGCAGCGCACTACTTTGATCAACACTGCCGCACCAGCACTTGCAACTATTGCTCTTAATCAACATGGAACCCGCGCTCTTCAGAAGATGATTGAATTCGTCCACACTCCATCCCAAGTCGACACCATCATCCAAGCATTGTCTCCTCGTGTGGTCGAGCTTGTTCAGGACTTGAACGGCAACCACGTTGTCCAGAAGTGCCTCACTCGTCTAGGAGCCGAACGTTCTCAGTTCATCTACGATGCAGTTGGCAACTTCTGTGTCATTGTGGGCACTCATCGTCACGGATGCTGTGTCCTCCAGCGCTGTATCGACCACGCCCAGGGCTTTCAGCGAGCTCAGCTCATCGCCAGGATCACTCACTGTGCCTTTGATCTTGTCCAGGACCCGTTTGGCAACTATGTTGTCCAATACATCCTCGACTTGGACGAAGCCGCCTTCACCAAGCCGCTTTGCGAGAATTTCTATGGCCGGGTTCCAGCCCTGTCGAAGCAGAAATTCAGCTCCAACGTCATCGAGAAATGCTTGCGTACTGCCGACACTGATACCAAGCGAGCTATGATTGAGGAGATGCTGATGGGCAACGAGCTTGAGAAGATGCTCCGCGATTCCTTCGCCAACTACGTGGTCCAGACCGCCATGGAGTATGCGGACCCTGCCACCAAGATGCGTCTTGTTGACTCCATTCGTCCCATTCTTCCCCTCATCAAGCAAACTCCTCATGGCCGCCGCATTGCCAGCAAGATTCTGGGCAATGACGTTCCGGGTCGTGGCAGTGCGCCTGCCAACGACAACATCCTCGCCAGCTTCAACAGTGGCCGCGCAAACAGCCGTCGCAATGTTCAGATTGTTGGTGGCGGCTTCAATGGCATTCGCACTTCCGACACGTACGGTCCTGCCGATAATGTCTCTGCTAATGGAAACAACTATGGTTTGATGGATCCAAATGTCAACATGTACAACGCGCACAATTACGCCAACGATGTCGGACCGAATGGCTACGCGGGCTTCATCAATGGTTCAGTTGGCGGCTCCAACAACGTCATTTGATGATTCGGTTCCGGCATCGAGGCTCTCGACACGCTTACGAGTCACGAAATGATGAAAATTTGAAGATTCCTTTCTGCACAGCATTCATAGACCTCGTCTTCATGCGTGCTACTCTTACGACTGTATCAATCCACACCACCAAAAAAAGCGTTTGAACACTTTTACGACAAACATTCTACGGCCTTCACCTGTATTATGCTCCAAAAGGCTATTCATCGGTCCAGCATCAGTCTGGCAGGAGATCAGAGACTCATGCCGAGTTTTGGAAAGAACCTAGAGCTCTTGCATGAATGATGGCTTGGTTGATTTCTTTTTTCTTCTGTCCCACAGGTTTTGAAATCGAGTGGGCCAGGAGACCTTTCTTGTTATTGGTTTTTGGAAAAAGCTCTGGAAAACACCAAAAAAATTTCATTCATGTTTCACTCAATCATGGTACCGACACTCTCGTCTTGTACTTACTCACGAGCATCAACTGGGAGAGCTGGCAAAATGTTCACACATCAGGGGAGCAGAGATGGTATTGCTCACTTTTGAAAAGCAAGTGGATGGATGCCTGACTGTAGTGCCGTGGAGCGGAATGGGTCATGTACTCAACAAAACACCAAAGGTCTCATTTTTGGCTAATGTCTCCATCGAGGGATCGCTCAGAGCCTGTACCATCAACCAGAGACTAGACTCAATAGCTAGAACGAACTTGTATCTTAGACCAAAAATTCCCTTGTGCTTTGTTAGTGCAGCACACTGTAGAGATGAGAAGTATCAGAAGCTAACAGCAGGTTCCTTGAGCTGAACAAATCCCCTACAATTAAGTGTGGGAGCAATGTGGACAGTGAGCTGGCTTGATTAACACTTTTCGCGGGCGGCAGAGACACCGCTTCGTCCCTCATATCCTCTCACCTCTCTATATATTAACCTGCGCAAGGCTGCGTGCGGGGAACGGCAAACGCGTCCAACATCACGACGCGTAAAGTCCGACCTGAAGCGAACTGAAGCGAACACCCACTCTAGAGAAGGCTCGACGACACACACCACCCTCGCCACAGCTCTAGCGAAGAAAGAATGGCACCTTTATTGCCCCCCGAACTCCTGTATATGATCCTGCAGAAATGCCCCTGCCGGAGGTCTCAGATCCAACAACTTCTGACATTCTACAATGTGAGCCACAATCCCAACCTCCGGTCCATCCAGCCATCCCATCCCCATCTGATCGTCTCAACTTCTTCTGACTGAGGAAATCAACGCACGCAGGATACCTTCCACCCTCCTCCTGTCCTAGTCGCCTACGGCCTCGACCCCGATCGCACAGGCAAGACCACAACTATCATCTCAGTCCTTGAATCCCGAAACCTCCAATACGGGGTTATCAAGAGTCACGAGTGTTTGTCGCAGCGGCATTTGCTCTCCAAGATATTCGCCGCTTGCATCAGTGCCTTCCATGGAGACGATGACCACCAATTAGAAGATCATGGATTCGACAGGACAGACAGCATCAACGCACTCTTAGAGAATCTGCGCCGGCTTTTCGAGCACTCGGCAAAGAAGAAGAGATTCGTGGCTGTGATCGAGGATGCGGATGCAGTTGCGACCAAGGGGCAGGGCCCGGGTGGTGGACAGACACTGCTCCCTGCGCTGGCACGGTTGGGAGATCTGGTAAACACAAAAAAAGGCCTTGAATGAGCAAAACCAACCCTTGCTGACTCCTGGAGTGAAAAGGTGCCCGGCTTCTCCATCATCCTGACCTCCAGCTCGCCTCGACCGCTCACCCTACACAAAGCCGGCGTGCCATGCGTGCACTTCCCGCCATATACGCGCGCCGAAGCGATCTCAATCATCATCTCTCAAACAACGCCGACAACAACAGCGCCTCCGCTGCTCTCGGACTCGGCAGCGCATTCGAAGCTATACGCCCAATTCGTAATGACGGTCTACGACAGCCTCATCTCATCGACCGCTTCAACGTCCATAGAAACCTTTCGTCTGGCTTGTGAGAGGTTGTGGCCGCGGTTCATCCACCCGATAGTGTCTGGTCAAGAACCGCCGGGAAATGCGAAATCGTGGGACTTTGCGAGACTACTGGTGGCGAATCGGGGTCTGTTTCGATCAGAGGGCGAGGACGCATTGCAGAACACGTTTCCAAGAAAGCCACAGCAAAATGGCCTTGAAGACGATAGTGTTATACCAAGTGCGCCAGCAACGCCATCAAAACGTGCCACTCCAGAATCCAGCCACCCTGCATCGTCGAGGCAACCAAGCTCAAAACCATCGCTATCAGAATCATCAACCATGACTAGGAGGCCGTCCCTCCTCAAGCATTTCCCAACACTTGTCCTTCTCTCGGCCTACCTTGCAAGCCATACACTACCAAAGCATGACATCCTGCTCTTCTCCCGCTTAAGCGCGACGTCCAGCTCGACCAGCAAGAAAATCCGCCGGCTGAGGCAGACTCCCACGAAGAAGAAAACGACATCTACCTCGACAAAGGACGCCGCGACGCCCACAAAATCGCGAACCAAGTCTCTGTTTGCCGCAGGGGCAAATTTCGGCATTCCGCGACCCTTCACGCTCGAGCGCCTAGTGGCCATTCTTCGGGCAATCCACCCGCAGGGCATCCCCAACCGGCCAGGTCGTGGCGTGAGTGATCGGATATACCGCGAGCTTGGAGAGCTGGAGAGACTGAGACTTGTTGTCCGGTGGTCTGGGTCCGGTACTGCCACCGGGGCTGGTGGCACGGGTGACGATGCAGGAGATGAGAAATGGCGGGTCAATGTAGGTAGAGAATGGGTTGTAAATATGGGACGCATGTGGGGGATGGGCGTCAGTGAGTACGAGATAGACCATGACTTGTAGTACCATAGACTGGGCACTATATGCAGGGAGTTCCAAGGAGCTTGCAAGCAAACATCTCCAGACTCGTCCCTCTGCTCAACTTCGCCGGGGTAGCGGCAAGGTTATGTCCTTCCCATGCCCACCATCTCGCGCTTGACACAAGACGTGCCTCTTCCCCTTGCATTGTCTCTACCTTCATCGAGGAATCGTGTTGATCCCCAATGCAAAGCGCCATAGGGAGTTTCATTCCTGGTCGTCTCCCGCGCCCCTGCCCTGCGGAGTCCACTCGGTGATCAACTTGTCGCTGGAGATGAAGATGCTCTTTGGACCGTCCCTGACGCGGACCATGGCGGCACAATCGATGGGGGACTCGAAGCGGTGGTTGTTGAGCGGGCCCGGGAGCAGGCGGCCGGTGGTGGCCGACCAGAGGGCGGCGCGGTGGTTCTTGTGGTCGTCGGTGGAGGAGCGCAAGACGATATTCAACTCGGGATCGTAGCAGAAGCTCATCCCGTACCTCCTGGACTGGTGGGTCGCGGGGATGTTGAAGGTCAGCACCGAGGGGCTCGCTTTGAACGAGTTGGACCGGGGCAGGTGGCACACCAGGGTCGGGGGCGGCGTGAAGCGCAGGTCGTAGATCTTCATGCTCCGCAGGCCGCTGATGAGGATCCGGTTGCCGCCGTCCGGGAGCGCCGCGAGGCCCATGACGGCGTCCCCGTGCTGGAGCCGCGTCGCGGTCGCTCGGCCGCTCGTGTTGCGCGGCGGCGGCGCGCGGATGTCGCACAGCAGCATTTTGCCCGAGCGCGTCCCGCCCATGACGGTGTTGCGGTCTTTGAACGTGGCCGTCATCATCTCGTTGGTGCCCATCGGGTATTCTCTGAGCGGGTAACTCGCGTGTGAGAGGTCCATGAGGAGCAGGCCTCGTTCGGTAGTCAGGGCAGCCGTGTGTTCGCCCGGCTGTGCCGCAAGACCGCGGACCATGTGAGCACACGATGCCTGGTGGATCATGTCGTGTCTGTCCCCGAAGGGTCCCGAACGGCATGCTCCTACCCTGACCACCGATTCAAAGGGCGATGCACGAGAAGTAACCGCGCGGTCCTCGGACCAAACGACCAGACCGGACCCCATGGCAAGGATAGCCAACGTTCTATACGTAATATTGAACTCTTCGGCATTGCTGTACTTGTACAGAGCGCCCTTTTCATGGTTTCGACGGACTGGCCAACTCGCGGAGTCTTGAAGATCTTGTTCCGCCACGTCAAGAGGCGACCCCGGGTGACAAGCGAGCATGTAGGTGTCGTAAATGTCAGGATCATCCGTCCTCCTCCACCAGCAATCTGCAAACAAGGTGCCCGATGTTTCTTCGATAGAAAACAATCCAGACGCCGGAATACTTTGAGTGTCTGGCGGCCTCCTCGGCACACGGCCTCCCCGGGGCAAGTGGTCGCTGAAAGCGCTATTCCCCTTGAGACCGGCGGCATAGTATTCCGAAACGAGTGCTCCGGTACCCTTTCGTAGATGGCCCAGTCGTCTGTCAAATACCAGCAAAGGATGTTGCAAAAGCTTCGAGCGCGTCACCGTCTCCGTGAGCTTCGACTGGCGGAGCAATTCATCCTGCCGTTGGGCTTTCTTGATGACCTTCTCTGCCTTGACCGCCTGACGGCTGTACTTCGATTCTGCCGGCGCAATATGGTTTGCCTGGATTTTGAAGTAACGGTTCTTTTCGGGATCGAAGTAGTAGCCTGGCAGTTCGGCCGCCATTCTGAGGCAATGCGACGACGCTGGAATTTTCAGTTCAGGATGCGGTTGATAGTGATAGCGATCATTGAAGACGGCCAGGTGGAGGGCTCGCCAAAGTCATTACGGTCCAGATTCCGGGGATATCTCTGATGATGATTCAGAGAGGCCCATGCTAGCGACCAGTAGTAGTTCGCGTGAAAGCACAGGGCAGCGAGAAAAAGGCAAGAGAGAGCAGACAACGGTCAAATTTAGAAGTCACAGATCATGTTGCAATAGCCTGGATAGAGGGTGCAGCCACATGCCAAAAGCGGAAAGGCGCAGCCTCATCAGGCTTCAAGATAAAGGAATGACGACTATGACTTGGGTGTTCCTATCTCTAGATGTACAATAAAACGGGCCTCAAACGCAAGGTTGAGTTAGATCTCACTGATTCTTGATCTATGTGGAATACAACTGGTGTTTCTTGCCAAAGAAGCCACTAGAATCAGAATGGAGAGTGGCCGCCTTGTCTTCGACATTACACCCGTTTTGAGCCCGCCTGAGCCCCAGTGCCCTTCTCAGACCCATGTGCGAGCCCCGAGTGCCTCGACCTCTAAGTATCCACACCGCTTTCGCCTCGAACTCAAGCAGCTTAATCTCCATCAAAGGTATCCCCTACAAGGACAAGCCTTGTCCAAATCCGAAGCTGTCCCTTTATTCATCGCTCACACTCGCAAACTTCTCACTCATCTGCTGCAACAATTTGTCGTACTTGCCACTTACTTCCTCCTGATCGTCTGGCAGTTCAAACTTCATGCTCCTCAAGCCATGCTGAATCTCCGACGTCGCCTCTCTCACTTTCGCCCAGCTCAACCCACTGCTGACGGCCTTCTGCGCCTCGTCGTGGAACTGCATGAACGCCTTCATCATATACTCCGTCTTCCAAAGCGGACAGAACTGATCGTAGTCACTGTATCCGTTTTGCTGAAGGAAGTCGTCCTTGAGCATGGCCGCGACGTCAAGAATAATCTTGTCGGAGTCGCCCAGAGCCGATTTGCCCACGAGCTGGACAACCTGGTCAAGATCTTCGGAGTTGGTGAGGAGCTCTTTGATGCGGTCTCGCAGACGGGGAAACTCCGGGTGATCTTTGGCGTAGAATTTGTCGAGAATGTTGGTGTACTTGCTGTAGGAAAGAGAGGTATTGACGCTGGGGAAGTGTTTCCTCTGTGCGAGTTTCTTGTCAAGCCCCCAAAAGACTTGCACTATACCCAAGGTCGCAGAAGTGACCGGATCAGAGAAATCGCCTCCAGGCGGTGAGACGGCGCCGACGATGGAAATGCTCCCGTTGCGTTCAGGAGAGCCCAAAGCAGTCGCTGCACCTGCTCGTTCATAGAACGAAGCCAGCTTGGCAGACAGATACGCCGGAAAACCTTGATCCGCAGGCATTTCCCCCAGACGCCCAGAAATCTCACGCAGAGCTTCAGCCCACCGCGACGACGAGTCCGCCATCATCGCCACGGCCTTGCCTTGATCTCGAAAATATTCCGCTACCGTGATTCCTGTATAAATGGAGGCTTCGCGAGCTGCGACGGGCATGTTGGAAGTATTGGCGATCAGACATGTTCTCTTCATGATGGGCTCCTTGCGGCCGTCGATGGTGATGGAAAGTTCCGGGAAGTCCATCAGGACTTCAGCCATTTCATTCCCTCGCTCCCCGCACTTTTTCTTGTTAGCAGACGCGTGGATGAGTTGGATGGGTGAGACTTACCCCGACGTAGACGATGATATCGCTATTGGAGAATTTGGAGACGGACTGCGAAATGACGGTTTTGCCGCAGCCAAAAGCACCAGGAATACACACAGTACCACCCTGGACGGAGGGGAAGAGGGCGTCGAGGACTCGTTGACCGACGATGAAGGGTGAATCAGCTTGAAGACGTTCATTGACTGGTCGGGGGACACGGACGGGCCATGAGTGCATCATGGGGTACTCTTTGGTCTCGCCATTGAATTCGACTGTAAGGAGAGGCTCGTCGACGGTGTAATCACCCTTGGGGGCAATCTTCTTAATTGTGCCTCTGGCTCTTGGGGGTAGGAGAATTCTGTGTTCGTTGACCAGACTGTTCTCAACCACCTTACCCCAGACGTCGCCACCGCTGATGTGATCTCCCTCCTTCATGGTGGGGGTGAAGGGCCATTTTTTCTTTCTGTCTAGGGAAGGAATAGCAATGCCGCGGGGGATGTAGATGCTGTTCGTGTCGCCAGCAATGGTCTTCAGTGGTCTCTGGATTCCGTCGTAAATTGTTTCCATGAGCCCAGGGCCGAGCTCGACGGATAAAGGTTTGCCAGTCCGCAGGACAGGGTCTCCAACGGTGACACCAGCTAAAGGACAGTCAATGGCAGGCACTGGAAGTGTCTAGGACGAGGATAACATACCAGTCTCCTCGTAGACTTGAATCGTGGCCTTGTCGGCCTCTATGCGAATGACTTCGCCCACCAGTGCATCATGGCCAACTTTGCAGAGCTCGTACATGGCAACCCCAATCATGTTCTCGGCGACAATGACCGGACCAGAGACGGAAAAGACAGTGCCATTCTGGTGGTCGTCGCCGACACCACTCTCTTTTGAAGCAGGCATCCTTCGGTACGTGCGAGCAGTTGTGTGCAGAGTCTGGAGTGGCTGCGGAAAGGCAAAGACGGAAGAGCTGTTGTCGGAGCTGGGACCCGCAAGCTCTCCCTCGTCTAGATCGTCTTCGATAAGATCAGGAAGGCCAAGCTGGAGGTGAAGGTATTTCAGGTCCGAGAGGGTAGCAAGGTCGTCAATGCTCTTGCCGGTTATAAATTCAATAACGGACTTTTTATGTTTGAGGCGAGGGCGACCGAATCCAAGCATATGAAATCATCTTTTGCGGGAAGCTGCAGCTTGTTTAGGGGAGCTTTTGAATTTCGGGGTGGGTGAGTGGGTGGGTAGGAGTGGGCTGCTGCGAATACCTAAGTTGCAGGCACCGTGACGCCTGGAGAAGGACGCTTCAAAGTTTCGCCGAAGATGCCCTCAATGCTTTCCTGGGCAGTCCTGATAGTAAAGGAAGATACCGGGTAACCTCCTAGTTATCTACCCAGCGAGCCAGGTACTATGTAGTCTGAATTTGTATGTCTGATACACTCAAATAGCCTCAATAGCCTACCTAGGTATATATACTGCCAAATATATCTGTATATCTGTAAAATCTGTGATTGACTGTTGCATAGAGCCTTGATACCTGATCCCTTGCATTACTGGGACTGACATTTTGGCCGAGGCTTCCCCTGCAACTGCCAGCTCTCAGCTCCAACCAATGTCCCAACCCCACACATGGACATGGCAGCATCTGCCAGCCTTGAGCACTGCCATTGCTGTCAACCCTGGCAACACATCAACCTGGCGAAGCTGCCACATGGCAAGAGATCAAGCATCAATGAGGTTTATTGGGCGACAGTCGAGAGGTAAGAAAGCCCAATCTATTCACACAGGGCGGGAACAATGCTTCCTAAATGTGAGCAACAAGCTAGCTGTGAACGAAACGTCTTATCTTGGTGCACAATTGTTGTCAGGCTCCAACTTTACCTAGAGCAAGGAAGGGGGAAGTGGGATGGTCTGAAACTGGCCTGGCAGATGCACACACGAGTAGTAGTTGGTGCCGGAGTGGCTGGCCACCAGCGCCGGTTTGAGAACCAAGTGACCTTGAGAGAGCTGATCAGGTGGTTCGAGGTTGTCTAGGTGTGGTGGGCTCTTGGTGCGGGTGAAGACAGCCTAGAAACGCCGGGCACTGAGCTATGGATGCCTACCTAGGTATAATGTAGGTACCTCGTACTGGTGGATTGCTTATATTAGTCTCGCCGGGCCAGCAGGTGCCAGCAGGTGCCAGTTATGGTTTGGTTGGAGATACGCTGCTATTACTGCTACTGCTACTGCTACTGCTGCTGCGGGCAAACTACCTTGTACTGGCTCCGACATCAACCCGTCCCCATCTCGTCATCTGCTCCGTCTGGAGTTGAGACCACGAGTATTCCCACTCACCACGACTCCTCTAACATCCGCCTCGATAATTCCTAAGTCTCATATCTTTCCACGACACCATCCATCCCCATCAGTTTGCAAATTCGTTGCTCGAAACCGTGATCTGTCTTGGTCGAGCAAGTCTACAGACACCCAGGTTCCCCTCTGACTTGACGTCTGAGGCAAACTCTCCCAACATCAACCACCGCAGTTGTGACCTTTCTGCTCCTCCGAGAATCTTTGGCTGTGTCTGTGAATGATTCAGCTTTTGTTCCCCCCAAGGCGTTCACAGCGCCACTCACCACCTATACTTGCACGGACGGACATCTGAATCCAACTGCTTGACTCCATTCCCTCACTGAAGGAGTCTTCGCGGTGACATCGGCGGCTTTGCCGCCACCACGCGCTGGCACACCACCCTTTTACGGACTACAACCTAATCACTACCGACGACCCATCCACCTCGATTCACCCTGTACACTCTACCTACACAGATTCTACTTCCCCACCCCCAGATACAACTACAATTGACAACGCCTCTAATTCCACCGCAGACCCGCTTTCGACCAACCCACAAACCCTCACGACAAGCCGACCACCTATAGAGCAGGTACAGGCTTCTCAAGAGCTGGGGAGACGTAGGAGAAGGCAATCGTCGTCTGAAAGATCCGCCGAAGCCGATAATAACCCAGGTGGACCAAGTCAGACATCTGGAGAAGCGTCTAAAGAGCCTCGATCCGAGGGCGAACACAGGTCGAAGCGCAGACGAACTGACAGATCCAATATGAGAGTCGATGAAGACTCGGAGCAAGTATTTTCCAATGGTCATTCTGCAAGTTCCAACGGTTCTACGCCAAGGAAGGCCCTACACTCTGGCTTGAACGGGCATGTGAACGGATCCAGCCCCTCATACACAAATGGCACTTCCAAGAAACGGGCCCCTGCGCGGTCGGCCACTTATAGAGGGCACAACAGAGAAGAGGTGGTCAGAATTCTCATCCAGGGCTTGCTGGATATGGGATACTCAGACGCTGCCAATGTCTTGTCAAGTGAGAGCGGGTACGAGCTCGAAAGCCCTTCGGTCGCCGCCTTTCGAAATGCCATTCTAGAAGGCATATGGTCCGAGGCAGAAGCAATACTATTAGGATCACATCACAGTGACCGTGGTGGACCGCTTTTGGATGACGACCAATATGGGGATGGACTTGTACTTGCGGAAGGTGCCGATAGAGGGCAGATGTTATTCTGGATCCGGCAGCAAAAATTTCTCGAACTACTCGATCGACGTGACCTTGGCATGGCCCTCATGGTTCTCAGACAGGAACTAACGCCCCTTGGACACGATATTCATCAATTACATGCTCTCTCAACCCTTCTCATGTGTCCGCCAGAGGATCTCAGAGCTAAGGCACACTGGTCGGGCACAGTGGAGGAGTCCAGAGAGATGCTCCTGCAAGATCTCTCTCGGTCAATTGCACCATCTGTCATGATTCGAGACCACAGGTTAGCAGAATTATTTGACCATATAAAGCAGAGCCAGATCAACCAGTGTCTCTACCACAACACCGCAGAACCCCCGTCTTTATACTCCGACCATATCTGTGACCGTGAGGATTTCCCGTTGGGGACGTCTCTTCAACTCGAGCATCATACTGGTGAAGTCTGGCACGTGCAATTCTCTCATGATGGCACGAAATTGGCTACGGCAAGCCAGGACCAAACCGTCAACATCTACGAAACAGTAACTTTCAAGCGTCTTCATAGCCTCACTCATCATTCGGCCGAGGTTACATATGTGTCTTGGAGCCCCGATGACACCAAAATTATCACGTGTTCGCAGGATTGCAAGGCCCGCGTCTACGATGTCGAAACGGGAAGACTAGAGGTGACGCTTGAGCACCAAAGCGTGGATCAAAACTATGGTATCACCGCCGCTGCATGGACACCTGACTCTCAGGGCTTTGTCACTGCGAGTCACGATCGCAACTCCCAGTTGTGTTATTGGAATCTCCGAAGTCCAAAGCGCGAGAAACCGGAGCACGTATGGCCTAGGGGGTTTCGTGTGCAAGATGTCGCTATCACCGAGGATGGGAATTGGCTAGTTGCTCTGGATCCTCAGAACATCATTCGCATTTTCGACATGCACACGTATCGAGAAGAGCCACCCATTAAAGTAACGGGCAAGATGACAAGCATTACTCTAAGTCGGGTCAGCAATACGGTACTGGTCAACTTTGCTGTCGGTGAGGTCCATATGATTGATTTGGTTACGAGAGACACCATTCGCAAGTTTCGCGGGCAGAAACAAGGCGAGTTTGTCATCCGAAGCTGCTTTGGGGGGGCCGCCGAGAATTTTGTTGTCAGTGGCTCAGAAGGTGAGGACTTCTGCCAACCGTGTCAATGACATGCTAATTAGGACCATAGATGGATTGATCTACGTGTGGCACAAGGAGAACGAATCGCTAATCGAGAAGCTGTCGGGGCATGGCCGAGGTCAAAGTGGTAAGGAATGCGTAACTACAGTGGACTGGAACCCCAGAGATGCCGGCATGTTTGCGTCTGGGGGTGACGACCGCAAAGTTCGAATGTGAGTTTGTCGACCTTTTTGAAATGGTCTGCCGATGGCTAATGGCATATAGATGGACCAATATGCGTTCACCCTTTGAGGATCTTCCTAGCAGCTTGAATAGGACTCTTGCTCGCCATGACTCAGAGCGAACCAGCGCCCTGAGATCGACACTATAACACCCGGCATACCAGGTCTTTGAACGGAGTTGGCGGAATTTGACAGTGGGCCACACGGATCTATGTTTATGGTAACGAGGGATGAATTGCACAGATATAGAGAGTTTGGATACAGCATTGCATCTGGGGGTGTCTGATAGTGTGGTTTGCGTTTGAACCGAAACAAGAGCACGTTTACGCCTGACAGGCACAGGCTCGAGCAATGGGATCTTCTGGTAAGAATGTCAATGCCGGAAGCGTCGAAGCATCCAAGAGACAATGAAGCTTGGATGCGTTGGCGGGAGTGAAAGGGCATATTGAGATTACGCGATCGCTGGCATGTCTGATCGACGTCTACTTAGATTTAGCTACCTCGCCCTATCTTTACCAGGACCTAAAGCCTGCTACTTTGCTCAATATGATGAAATCAACCTGCAGACCCGTTGATTGTTTGTGTGCGGTGATATTGGTGTTTAAGAGTTGACTCCGAGCGATGAGTGGCTCGGAAGATGGTGGTGTAGAATATGTGTATGTCAGTCACGAGGCAAACGGGCAATCTGGCTTTTCTGCTCTCATCTCAGATCCCTGAGCTCGTGATATCAGGCCCCTTGAGTAGCTAGTATATACCAAGTCCACGGCGATAGCAACACTCACAAGCGACGCAATCCATGGTCATCTTCGAGAAAGTTCTTGTGGAGGGAATATCGTCTTGCATCCGCCGCCATACTGTGGTGGTGATTGAATGGTGCCTGGCCGGATTGCCGCCACCCTGACCACGCCTGGGATCGTTAAGTTGGAGGCCCCTGCAGAGCTGTCGCGTCATCCTGTACCTACCTAAGTATCTACTACATACACCATAGCGAGGGCACGCACCCACCTACCAGGAGCCACAAAGGGCTCGGGTGTTGGATTGAAGGTTGCCTGCTGAATGTCGCCCGCAACGCGCAACCTTCCGTTTCTATTTGGCCGCCAAGAACCGAGTGGTCGGGCAGCTGCCAGTGTGGGAGACAGTGTGGGAGACAGTGTGGCAGACAGTGTGGCAGACAGTGTGGTGGCTGCGAGCCCAGCAGACTCGCAAGTCGCGCCCACAGTGACGGACGCTGCAGCCCCCAAAGTCAAAGGCGCAGGCGCAGCTGCATCACCACTTACGCTTTCGTCCCAAGATTTGGCCAACGTACACAACATCGATATCACTCCTCATCCTACTCACCCTCGCACTGCGCGCAGATCCCTTGACCTCGCTCTACAAACCTCCGCCAGAACCAGCATCGAATCCACCCGCTCCGATTTACTTCAGGATCCTCTTCCGCTGACCTTTGCCCCGACCATGGCGGCAACACCGGGGGGCTATTCGTACGTTTCCCGCCGCAGAGGTCAACAAGTTGATGAACCCGTGGCCGCTCTGACAATCTGTACAGAATTAATGTGAACGACCCGACCCTCATTTCTCTCGTCAACAAACTACAAGATGTCTTCACAACTGTCGGGGTATGTCGTCGACCAATGCCATGTTCTAGTCGCCAGCTGTTCTATCCTCCCAATCTGACCGTCTACCTGCCAGGTCCAAAATCCCATCGATTTACCTCAGATTGTCGTTGTAGGTTCGCAATCCAGCGGAAAAAGCTCAGTTCTTGAGAATATAGTGGGCAGAGACTTGTACGCGTACCCTCCCGACTTCTTGTTCCGGCCTCCCAATCAGCCGCTGACTCCTGTTCCAGTCTGCCTCGAGGGTCCGGAATCGTGACTCGCCGACCTCTCGTCCTACAACTGATTAACAGACCGGTCCCGGCCAAACTACAAACAAATGGCGTCACAGAGGAAGACATGAAGAAGACGACCGACAGTCAAGCCAATGTGGATGAGTGGGGAGAGTTCCTTCATCTACCGGGGCAGAAATTCCATGATTTCAACAAGATCCGGGATGAGATCGTCAAGGAAACAGAGGCAAAGGCAGGCCGAAACGTCGGCATTTCACCACAACCCATCAACTTGCGGATATACTCGCCTAATGTTCTCACCCTCACATTGGTCGACTTGCCTGGCTTGACAAAGGTGCCCGTGGGAGATCAGCCAAGAGATATCGAGAAGCAGATCAAGGAGATGGTGCTCAAGCAAATACAAAAACCCAACGCCATCATCCTGGCAGTCACGGCTGCGAACGTGGATCTGGCCAATTCAGACGGTCTCAAACTTGCTCGGGAAGTCGACCCCGAAGGTCAGAGAACGATTGGTGTCCTGACCAAGATCGATCTCATGGACGCAGGTACCGATGTGGTCGATATTCTTGCTGGCCGAATCATCCCGCTCAGGCTGGGCTACGTCCCTGTCGTCAACCGAGGCCAACGCGACATTGAGAACAAGAAGCGAATAGATTTGGCCTTGAAGGCGGAAAAGGAATTCTTCGAAAACCATCCCTCTTACCGAAACAAGGCCTCGTACTGCGGCACGCCGTACCTGGCCCGGAAACTCAACCTCATCCTCATGATGCACATCAAGCAGACACTACCAGACATCAAGACCCGCATCGCGAGCTCCTTGCAGAAATATAGCCAAGAATTGGAGCAGCTGGGTGCTGGTGACTTACTTGGGAACAACAGCTCAAACATCATTCTCAACATCATTACCGAATTCGCCAATGAGTACCGCACTGTCCTAGACGGAAATAGTGCTGAACTATCAAGCAACGAACTCTCGGGTGGTGCTAGAATTTCGTTTGTCTACCACGAACTGTACTCAAATGGCATCAAGGCTATCGATCCGTTCGACCAGGTCAAGGATATCGATATTCGAACCATACTATACAATTCGTCTGGTTCATCTCCCGCTCTCTTCGTCGGCACCACTGCTTTTGAACTCATTGTGAAGCAGCAAATTCGACGACTAGAGGAACCGTCATTGAAATGTGTTTCTCTGGTTTTTGACGAACTGGTCCGCATTCTGGGTCAATTACTGCAGAAACAGTTGTTTCGCAGATATCCTCAACTCAAGGAGAAATTCCACGGCGTCGTCATCAGCTTCTTCCGCAAATCAATGGAGCCGACGAACAAGCTGGTCAAAGACCTGGTAGCAATGGAAGCTTGCTACATCAACACCGGCCACCCCGACTTCCTCAACGGCCATCGTGCGATGGCCATCGTGAACGACAGACATAACGCCAACAAACCGACTCAAGTGGACCCCAAAACGGGTAAACCCCTGCCGCCACAGGTGCCGCCTCGGGCAGCGTCACCCAGCCTGCCTACTGATGGCTCGGACCAAAACTCCGGTTTCTTTGGGTCATTCTTCGCCAGTAAGAATAAGAAGAAGATGGCCGCCATGGAACCGCCCCCAGCGACACTCAAAGCCAGTGGAACATTATCCGAGCGGGAGAACCAAGAAGTGGAGGTCATCAAGCTGTTGATCAATAGTTACTTCAACATTGTTCGGAGGACAATGATCGATATGGTACCGAAAGCAATCATGCTTACACTTGTCCAGTAAGCGTCACAGCATCTTTGCATAGATTGTAACCGCTAACCCGAGAATCAGGTTCACCAAAGACGAAATGCAACGCGAATTGCTTGAGCAACTCTACAGAGCACAGGAACTCGACGAGCTTCTTAAAGAGAGCGATTACACTGTCAGACGACGCAAAGAGTGTCAACAAATGGTGGAAAGTCTGAGCAAAGCCAGCGAGATTGTCAGCCAGGTGCAGTAGAGTGGCCATTAATAGCAGGCATCTCATGCAGCATTCCTGTCTCCGAGAAAAGAGCAGACCGGAGATCTTTCTGGTACATGCTTGGAAACGAGGCCGTAAGTAAATCGAGCTGAGTAGAGAGCCGGAAGGGGGCTGCCGCAACGGCATACCACGCAGACACCAGAGAAGAACGGGCGGCAACCCTTCCAATCCCGTCCTTGCACCCGTGTTTTACACGCATTCAGATTCAGCAATTATGATACCACAACCCTACCGGAGCTTCTTTCTGGAGCGCTATGGATTTGGCACAGAAGTTTAGATTAGAATGCGACTTGACGAGGAACACTCTACGGAATCGACCTCAGGGACGGCATCGATGGTGGGCGGGTGTCGTTAAGCACTGCTGAGACAAAGAGTAATTAATGGGAACGGATGGCAGGCGAGGAAGATTGAAGTCCATGTAGGGTCTTGGGTTTCGCCAGCTGGGCGTTATAGGATACAGATATACTGCCTACGGCGAGAATGACATTGATTCATGTTTCTATCTCATGGAAAAGCGAAGCAACTCGCGTGAGTCGCGTCCCAGCCTTGCGCTCAGCGTGTTGGCGATCGGCGTCATTGCTTGGCGAGGCAAGGCTGACTCCCTCCATATTTGCCATTTACACTCACCAAACATGCTTTTAATTCGTAGCTTGGACAAAATGTGAAAGGCGAACCGCTAGGAGTGAAAGTGTTGCCTCGATCAACTGATATCGGATAGCTCAAGACTCTCTTCAAGATCCCTTTCTCCACGCGAGATCAATGGTAATCAGATCCAACTCCTCCCACACCAAGTTCAAGGCTCTGGGCCAGTGAATGCCGCCCTGTTCTTGAAACCAAGCTCTGACATCTCAATTCCCCGATCTGATATCGACAGTAGAACTCTGCCGCTGCAACAACCTACAATTATCAGTCAGTCATGGCTGGACGATACATTCCGCCGGCCCTCCGTGCGAAAGGTGAACAGCAGCAACTTGGCAAGGCCAACGACCACCGCCGCGACGGCCCCACGACGCCCTTGAGCCTACGCGGAGGCTACAGTCGACCACTCACCACCAGATCCGACGCTCTTCCGGACGGAGATCTCTGTTCTACGAGAGAAATTGAGCACCATTTCTGGCCGGAGCGGGAGCATGAAAGTTTTGGAGGCCGACAGAAGACGTTGCATGATTCTGCTGCGACTCCGGGGTCGCTGAGTTACGTGCTGCTGTTCAAGGACGCGAATCCACGGTGGCAGGACGACGGGATCATCTTTACCAAGTCGAGTCTGGAGCTGTTGCCAGCTGACCTTGCGGATAAGACCGAGGAGAACGGTGCTACGGATGGAACTGCGGCTGAAGTTCTCAAGGCCACTTCGACTCTCAATGGCAACGATCACGAAAATGAAAGTGCCAACGAGGCAGTTGGACCAGAGAAGCCAGAAGCCAACCAAGACGAGAAGCTTGGGTCTACCCCTCATGCCGAAGCCGACAAAATTCAGCACCCACCGCGACACCAACACCAAGGGCAGCCCATTGCCGTCTTCAACCAACTCCGCCGCTCTCAGACCGACTCCTCCCGCACCTTCCAATTCGCAGGCTACTACCGCATCGTGCGCCTCACCTTCCTGCAACCCCACTCCGCCGCCCTCGTCCGCATGTTGGAACAGAAGTGGAGCCTGAAGAATCCGCGCACGGGCCAGGTCCGGCAGAGACAGAGAGACGCGAGTGCGTGGCAAGAGTCCCTGAAGATGAGATGGGCGGTGGTCAAGTTCGAGAGGGATGAGGAGGCGATGAAAAGTCTTGGGGTGTTGAAGATTGAGAGACTTGAAGATGATGAGGAGGAGGATGAAGGAGTATTGGGGGGACGAGACGTCGGCGGTGATGGTGGACAGGGCAGGAGGAAGATGAGTGGACGGGAGAAGAAGGGTGTCAATGAGTTGTTGCGTGAGTTGAGGATGGGTGACGAGGTGGATAAAGAGAATAATAATGGCGGAGCGTCGGCGCACGAAGAGACTGAGAAGCTCGACAATGGCGCAAAGGAGGAGGTGCACTAGTCATGAAGACTGAGGGGGAACAATTTGTCTGCCTCCCCCAATGCATTGCGATTGCAGTCAATGCAGCCTGCCAGATCGGCCGAGGACTCATTCACGGGGAGAATCGCACCGCGAGCTCGATGGGATATCGTCAGGACGGTCAATTGATCAATTGACCAACTATGGAAGCGGAAACAGGCACCGGCACTGGCACTGGCACTGGCACTGGAAATGAAGAACAACAGTGGGATTGATTGTGAGCTATGTACCCCCGTCCTGTACTCTGTACTTGTATTATGAAACTTGATGGCTGGTGTTCGATGTTGTCCCTGTATGCTTGCATTTTATATGCTTATACGACGTACACTTTCAATCCCCCCCTTTTCCCCCTCCCCCCCTTTTTTTACAACTCTGACGACCCTATATCAAAAACATTTCTGTATATGCCTAGCTAGCAAGGATGTCCCCCCTTCAAGTTCAAGTTCAAGTGCCTTTCAAGTCCGAGCAGGAAAGGTCAGGAGATCGGAGCTCCGCAATCTACTTGTTCCATACCTTGCCTATCCGTGCCACTCTGGATTTTAAAACAAGAATGCCAGGACAACGGGCTTGACCGAGAACTCCTGGATGTATTCCCGCTCTTTCGTCCCGGGTTCTGTCCTGATGGTGAACTGGGGGGGTTAATTAAATCAGGGTCCCGAGATGGGCCGTCCTTGTCTTGTTTCTATCTCGTTCTGCTCTACTGGAGAAAAGGGAAAAAAGACCTTGGTGATAGTAGTGAGGAGCTGGGAATGTGGGGAGGTATCTCGCACGCACACACACAGTCGGTCCTGTGTACCTCATCTCTACTGGAGCAGAGCAATTGCGCAGTCCCACAACTCACTACAAAAAGGGCCCATTGCTTACCTGGTGAGAATTACTCGGTATGCTCCGTCCCCAATTTAGAGTGACATCATTCCATCATCACCCGCACATGCGAGGTGGCAGAATCAAATGCCATCATGGCTTCGTGTTCAGCCACCGCGAATCCTTGCTGAAGAGGTGAGTGCAGCAGAATATTCATGTCTGACTAGATTGCTATTCATTCTGTCTGCTAGATAGATAGCTGTAGAGTAGAGCGTGTGCTGCAAGCTCTGCTGGCGAAGTAGAACATACAACAATACCCTGTTGCCCGTATGCAAGACGCGCAAAATGTAAACAAGATAAAAGATGCCGGCGACTGTCGCAGTCCACCGTGGGGTATCACCGTCAATGAGTGAAAACAGATGAAAAGGTGCCCTTCCCAACCGTTGCATACAAAATTCCCTTAGCACCATGCCATACCGTGAAAGTCCCCCATGAGCTCGGATTGCCTCCGTGACTTGTAAGCCATGCAAACAACCCCTGTGAAAATATGCCGTGAAATTGCGCCATCAATATGTCCTCTGTAATGTTGAGTTTCCCTTTCATCTGAACAATCCGTCCCTATGCTATCACTACCAGTTCTCATATCACATCACTGTCATCAACCGCAACCACGATGGCTCTGCTCAGACTCTGAAGATGCGCTTCTCGGCAGGGATGGTTGCCTCGTATTCAGCAACTTCGTTTCTGAGCGCCAGACGGTGAGTTTGCGGAAATCGATCAAGGTAAGACTGTGGAATGCTCTGTTGCGTCATATCCTCAACCCAGCCCCATTTCTTGAAGGTCGTGTACACTTTGCTCAGCTTGTTGACATCAACATTGCCAAACAGTTGAAACTGAGCCTTGCCGACGTTTAAGGCCTTGAACTTGGGGTTGTTCTCACCAAGCTTCTCGAGATTGTATTCCACGAACAATGCAAGGCCAATGAAGCACCGGGCCTTTTGGCACTTGTACAAGTCGGAGGTCATCGCCAACAGTTTGCAGAGCTTGATCTCTTCTGGATGAAGACCCGTGCAGTCGCCAATGTCTTGAAGTTCTCGAATGTCCTTCAGTTCCTCTGCCGTGAAGTCGCAAGGAGACAGAGAAATTTCCGGTCCATTCTCCGGCATAATTGCGTCTTTGAAGGCCTCAAAATTGTTCTTGTCCTGGGAGCGTTTGTTGAGAGTGTCTTTGATGTTCCGGCAAAGCGATTCGCTGGGACCCCTGGGCTTGTCCGAATTGCGGTTTCTGATATTTTTAGACTTATTATCCGAGACCCGCCGAGTCGGCTTGGGTTTGCTGTCCGACACAACCTTCTGCTTCTTAACGCTCTTGACGGACTCGAGCTCGTCTGGCTCCGTATCTGAGACCCCCTTTACATCGACAGTGCGTGGCTCTTCTTCTGTTTGTTCTTCCACATATCTGCGCTTCACCCCTTTGGTCCCACTCAGCGGTTCTTGGCCGAGATTCGACGCAGCATCTGGCATGTCTGCCTTCTTTTCTTGCGACAAAGCAACTGCAACGGGGCGACTAGGTGGTCGCTCGCTGGTTTTCGCTGGTTTTGATTTGCGGCCAGCCTTCGCCTGAACAGAATAGCTGGGGGCGCGTGAGAGAGAACAGCCTTCGGGGATGTGCTCCATAGGAGATGGTTTACCGTTATAGAGATATTTCCTGATGTCCAAGTAGACCGAGTCCATGTCATCGGGCGCATATTTTTTCAGAAGCCCTGCGAACGCCAATCGCTTGAGGCCATTCCATGGTCCTGGCGAGCAGGATGTGTAGTACCGTACTGAGTCAGCGCCGAGTGCAGGCTGGGCCCAATCAATGCGGTACTCGTAAAAGCGCTCCAGTCTTCTGGCGAGCTCGTGTGCAGGAACCAAGCGATGCTCCTCCGGCAAAGGTTTGTCCTTGAGAAAGAAGATATAATCAGGTTTGATCGTGGCAAGGAATCGTCTCGCGCCCATCCGAAGAATTTGGTCGTATTCAAAGGTGTGCAAGGGAATTGCCCGAGCATAATCGCTGGCCGAGTAGTTGCTGGGTTGAGCAGTCGCTTGTTGGCTCGATACCGGTTCGGAAGGGAAGAGAGCCTGAGCAGGGGACGAAGAGGATTGAGAAGACCTTCGCGACAGACCGGGAGTTGGTGGGAGGACCTCCGCCAGTAAAGGGTCGTCGCTCTTGTCTTCGTGAGCAGCAATGGCGCCGAAGTCGTGCTCTGGTGGGTCGGGAGGAGTGATCAAAGCGTTCTTGTTGAGTGCGGCCATATTGGTCTTGGACGTAGGAGGTAGACTGGGTGCCTCCTTTGAAGGGAGGAGTGGCTCAGAGGCCATGTTGGCCTGGTCTGATGGAAGTGAATAGAGAATATCGGACTCTAGGTCCCCGCTCTTGTGCAAGGTCTGATCCAACTCTTTCTGGTCAACAGATTGTGGTCGGAGAGCAAGGAGACTGAGAGGGGGAGAGAGTATTATATTTGATTCTGCGCCGTCGCGAAATTGAATGTCCTCGTCGTAAAAGTCCTCGTCGTCGTTGGGGTCGGCGGGTACCACAGGTTGGGCTGCTTTGAGTTCGTGGTTCCGTTGGGTCGATCGCGTCTGGTCGGGGTGTGAGTCAAAGGGCAAAGCAATGTCCCTGTGGTTCAGAGGGTGGCTCAACGCTGGAAAAGATGGTGCTGATTAAATGGCGAACTGTAAGATACTTGTAGTCAAACAGATGATTGCAGGCGGCAGCGACCACCTCAATAGAGCGATGAATGGTAAGTGGTCAGTATTGTGAGTAGAGGAGATGTTTGTGACAATTGAATGGGTCAATAGAGGACTTCAATGGGAATGAACAATTGGGAAAGAACAATGGGTGATGGTGGAACGGTATGAATAGCAGGTACGGCAGTAAGTGAAGGCGGCGGCGCTGGCAGGCAGAAAACATGGCATTGTAGAGTAATCGGCGGATTGGACCATTGGGAGGGATGCACCAGAATATGCGTCATTCTCAGGTGGTACTACGGGAGGCGAAAAACAGTGAAGGTCAGGCAAACAAATTGAACAATCAAGTGTTTGGCTCAACACCGAGACCTTGTGATTTGGTGAGCATGGCCCTGCGAGTGGTGGCGGAATGCGGGATCAGGCGGTGGTTTACTTCTTAGTCAAGCAGAGTCAGGCAGTCAGAAGTTCGGGGGGGGAAGAGGGGCGCAGGCGCACAAAACAAGCATCAGGAGCCTCGCCGGAGTCCAGACAAGGTTCCAGGCAGAGAAGGAAGACGATGGTTCGCATTGGAATCATTGGAAATAACAAGAAGGAAACCAGTTCAACCAGCGGTCGGTCAGGTGGCAGGTTGGAAGGAGGAGGAAAAAGGAAGAGAGAATAAACGCAGAGAATACGTGTGTGGCGGACAGAGGCAGAAAGTTTCTTTCCTTGGCACGGCCGTAATGGAGTCCACACGGCGTTAGCGGGTGCAAGGACTCAAGGACTGAAAAGTGAGTCAGAAGACGAGGACTAGTAAGCAAGGTTTGGTGATTGGTTGGATCTCGATCGAACTCGGTGGATCACAGAGGCCCAATTCCACTAGTCCCAGTACGTCGATGTCCAGTGGATGCCCAGCTCGTGATCCCGACTCGGAATCCGTAGAGTCCGGCAAATCCCGGATTAACACTATTTCCGATGGTCCTGCCAGGCTCCTATAAACTGCTCCTATTCCTCCCAGGTTTCCTGCTTGGAGGAGAAGGGTGGTTCATTTGCATAGGTATTTCTCTTCTTCTCTTTTGGGCTCTTGATTTCCAGTCCATTATAGGAGTTTATTGTCGACTTGCTTTGCATGACCCTAATAGACTTCTACCAAAGACCTACTTTGAATATTATGGTTGCAGCTAGGTAAATTCCGACCTTTCCTCCACTACCGACGAGGCCGAGTAGGCTCTGCCGATTCAAAGGGCGTGCCAGGCACGTGGCTACTTGGCACTTTACTTCCCTGTTCACAACCTTTTGTCAACTTCGTCCTTACACGGCGTCTTGTTCCTCCTCTGTACCATGACGGATACGGTATTCCTGTACTGAAGTGGTAATTCGGACAAATCTGGCACCCACTCCCCCCTCCTTCTCCGCATTTGTTTTGGATAATATCAGCTCTATATAAATTGTCAAGGAAGTTGAGTAAGTTTTATTGAACTGTTCAGTGAACTAACTTCAGCACATTTGTTCTCGCCTTCTGCCGATCGGTCCTGCTATCAACGTTCTAATACCATGGGTTCCCCTCCCGTTCACTACCTCTTACCAATCTTTCCTGGATTCCAACTCCTTGACCTCGCGGGCCCGCTGGATATCTTGAACCTACTTTCAACTCAACTTGACCCGGACAAGTATCCACTATCTTTGACTTTCATCGCTGAGACACGGGACCCGGTGCCGGTCAAGCCTTTGCCCACCAAATCGGCCGACTGGACATTCGACCTCGCGAGCGCGTTTCCCAAGACAAACGGCAGAGTTAACCTCAGCTTCAATGAGTATTTGCAACCCGACACCACATATGCGGACTATCTGGAAGCCCTCAATTCTGGAAAACCAGGAGCCCGGGTTGACGTCCTCTTTATTCCTGGCGGCGTCGGTACACGACTGAAGCGCGTTAGTCCAGATGGCAGCAAGACATCCAACATTCAGAGCCTACTCGATTTTGTCCCAAAAGTGGCCCCCTACGTAACCACCGCCATCCTGACAGTTTGTACTGGATCTGATGCACTTGCGCAGACTGGTCTGCTCAGTGCTCGCCGCGCCACCACCAACATGTCTCGGTGGGCAGAGGTAACAGCAAGGAATCCTAACGTTTCGTGGGTAAATTTTGCTCGGTGGGTCCGAAGCCTCCCATCTGAAGCACAAGGCAACAACAGTCTCCCAATCGAGATCTGGACTTCGGCAGGGATTAGTGCAGGGATGGATCTGACCTTGGCGTTCGTCGCGCAATATTATGGTGGCCGAGACGTGGCAAGAGGCCTGGCCAAGGCTTTGGAATATGATTGGCGCGAAATCGCAGAGGGCGAGATGGATCCCTTGTATGAGAAATATTACGCTGATTGAACCAACTGCCCGTGAATGGCAACAGCATGCCGGTAACTGGTGGTCTGGAGTCAGCGAATGGACCGCCATTCTTGGGATTTTCAGCTGCGTCGACGTTCAGAACAGCCAGAGGTACCATTTGCGGAGCCGGGTGGAGCCAGCGGGCAGCTGGTACGACTGTTTGCTATCCATCACACCGGGGATAGATGAAACATACTTTTGAGCAAACCTAAACCTTCGCGCCCACATCGGATTGAGGTTGTTACCTCTTCATGGTACAAGCTGACACTATACCCTATCGTGCAGCGGAAGCAGGGATATGACAGCCTTGTTGAGGTCCCACCGTCAATTTTCGGTGGCTCAAGCAACCTAAATCACATCTAGGGACTGCTGTTTTGCGATTTCCAAAGGCAAGGCTGTTGGGCAGGACCCAAAGTGCAGTGCCGTACCAGTTATCTGCTCCACTACTGATCACAACACCCAAGGGTATCGCCATCGAGAACTTCACTCGTTACCTTTGAGCTGATGAAGAGGCCCAAGAGCGGGGTGGAGCGGGTGTGCTTGTTGTCATCGTCACTGTAACCTACTGTTTATCAAAACACAATCGCTCTAAGCATTCGACGCCCCCGGAGCGAAGACAGGCCACCAAAAACGGCATTAACGACTGTCCAGGTTATTGACTACCTCGAGAGAACCAGTGGGAAGTGAACACTGATTACGACGCTCGGTTGAATTACGGAAAAGGGATTCATGTTTCCTGCAGATTGATTGTTTTTCAATCTACAACTCGAGTCTTCAATCCGTCAGAAACGACTTTCACTTCAGCGTACAAGTACCTCCTCTGCCTCCTCTTCGGTCTTGGACAGGCTACATCCCATTTCATGCTCATTGAACGCTTCATTCTTGCAGGAGAATGTGGCCTTCCTCTCACAACCTGTCTTTCGAAACTACACTCCCTCTTGTTTCAAACTTGCCGGAGCGTCTCCTACCGATCTGCCTTTATACTGTACAGAGATTGCCCCTTGAGATTTCTGGAACCCAAGTCTCTTGATACCGAGAATTGTGGTATCCCCGTTGACTATTTGTCTGCCTTTGTTTACAATTCATCAGAAATGTGTTTCTTGTGCGGCAACCCCAATTTCAATCTTGGACGTTGGGAGTATCATGGGACCGGAACCACCCCATACCATCAACATCTATCTCGACGAAGTTGGAGCAATGGCAGCGTGCCGGCGTCAATGGTATGAATGAGCAGGGACCGGGGACACAGGCAATCACCATCGCGTTTTATCAATACTCCAGGTGGTTCAATCAAAAATGGAACGCCAGCCATCCCACCTCCGTAAGGCTGTCTCGCCGACCACCGTTGAAGGAGCGAGTTACAGACGAGGCCCGCTCTCGGAACAACACATTGGGGGATTCCCTCGTTTTTCGCTCGGGAGCACGTTGAAAGTATTGACAGACGCAAGAAAAGGGAATGATGGGCCTCAATCGAGTGGTGGACGTCTTGTAACATACCGCAAAATTCCTTCTGCCGTCGCCGTCTATCGAAAATCCAATTGGGCTGTTTGGGGGTATGCAATGGGTGGGAATACCGAGAGGAGAGTTGTCACTGGCTGGGTGCTGGGGAGGGCGGCCCGCTAAAAGGAAATATTCAGGTGCATTAATTATTGGTGGCTCTCTGGGGAGTTCTGGGGAGTTCTTGGGCGGTCTTGCTCCTCTGGGTGTCCTCCTTGCCCCCTCCCGATGACGTTTGAAGAGAAAAAAGGAAACCACCACTTTGTGGCGGCGTCGCGTGTTGTCTTTCCCCAATTGGCACCTCCCTCGAAGTTGTGGTGGTCGGTGACTCGGTGGGCCAAGAAACCCAAGGAAGTGACCCCGCAGTGACACAATGTGCATTAGCAAGATTTCGAGGCAATCAGCTGGGGCAGTAACATGGGCGAAATAAATACCGCTGCCTGGCCTTGTACTTCTTTCCAATTCTAACTCCCCACGCTCTGGTCTTCCACGCTGTCTTAATCAACTGTTTTTATTCCCTTTTTGAGATCCCCTGCCGACGGTTTTCAAAGTCTGTGCCTCCTTTGAAAAATCTCTCTCCAAGATGCTCCAAACCATCCTCTTGCAACTCTTCCTCGCTGCCCTCAGCGTTGCAGCTCCCCTGCCCGGCGATGACACGCTGCACACCACGGGCAAGGACATGATCGGCTACGGCACAGGCGGCGGCATTGTCGGGCTGATTGTTTTGGTGCTTGACATCCTGGTCTTCAGTACGTGTTCCCTCCCTCAGTAGTCCCATTTTCGGAGCATGATGTCATGCTGAAGGGGAGCAGCGCCCCCCCCCCCCCCCCCCCCCCCAATTCGAGTTTTACGAACGGGACTCTCGCTAACCACCCAAAACCAGTCGAGGTCCTGAAATCCAACCGACCGTCATCTCACAAACTGCTCTGGTGTCTGATTGTCTTCCTCTTCCCCATCCTGGGAATGCTCATCTACTTCCTCTTCTCGAACCGCGAGGCACACAAGTCTGGTGGCGCTTACGAGCCTTTGCCTTGAGAGCACACATGAACTGGTCCGTGAGAAATGTCTCAATCATCGGCTTGAGGACGACCAAAACATTCAGTGGGCGAAAAGGGGTCTGGGATGCAGGGATGACGGGAGTGCGTGATTTGCATGGATCATGATACATTGGGGGGAAGTAATGGGATCGGTGGAGCCGTGGTGGCTATCTGTCTGTGGCTTCTGCGGCCAGGAAGACAATGTGGAGGCGAGCTGTCGCGACGAGTTATAGACAGAGAAGAAACAATGGTAGAATCCAGAAGCGGTGGGCTATGATAATGACGAGTATGAGACAACGAAGACCACTCCTTTAATGTTTCGATGTGAGAGGCTCACCCTATATCAGCTACACCTATAGTGTTAGACCCTCAGGTCAATGCAAGTTAAAGTTTTTGGCCCTTGGCAATAGGGACATTAACCAGTATATTGCCTTTAACTTGCCCGAGCTGTGACATGGAGATACATCTTTCGTTGGACGTGGATCTGGTGGCATTTGGTCTCCATTGTTCTGACTGGGTTGACAATGCCGAAATCAAAGCGTCGGAAGAGCTGCAATATCGAAAATGGGAACTTCCATCAGCGTCAAGGACCCCAGCCTCGGAATGGCAAACGTTGAGGGACACTCCTAGAAGAACCGAATGCGGAGATAGAAGATAGACATACCTCGACAAAGACCTTGTTCAACTCCATCAGGGCGATCCCCTTTCCTAGACAGCTGAACCTGCCCTCGGCAAACGACAGCTCCCAGACGCGCTCATACGCCTTGGCAGTATCCGGGTCAGCCTCGAGCCAGCGTTCGGGCCGGAAGACGGCGGCATCAGGCCCAAACAGGTCGCGGCGGCGCATCATGGTGTGCTGGCTCAGCCCAACCTGCGTGCCGGGCGGGACGCGGACGCCGCTGACCACGATCTCGGCGTCGGGCGGGGACAGCTTGGTCTGCATCCCGTTCAGCGGCTGCCACAGTCGCAGCCCTTCCTTGATGCACGCCTGCAGGTACGGCAATGCCGTGTTGGCTTCGGCGTTTTTGACCACGGGGAACGAGATGTGGCCCGCCTGGATGGCCCCATCGATCTCCCCGCGCAATGTCGCGTACACGGCGGGGTTCGTCAGAATATACATGAACGTCATGCGGATGGTGGTGGCGGTTGAGTCCTGTTACTCTCTCCGCCCAGCCGGCCGAGACATGGTCCGTTGTTAGAGATATCTGCGCTTCTTGAACATGGAGACGGTTGAGGATCGAAAAGGGTGAGGGACCCCAGGGGGAAAACGAGGAAAAGAGACACGACGCGAAAGAGAGAGGAAAAGAGACACGACGCGAAAGAGAGAGGAAAAGGAGAAAAAGAGATGAATTCCTTACCGAGCCTGCAAGGATCTGCAGAAGAGATTCTGACTCTGCTTCCAGCTGGGTCAGACCGTGCCTGATGAACGAGTTGAGCATGTCCCTTTCATTCTTGGATTCAGAGTTCGGGTTGAACCGATCCGCGACAATCTTCTGTGCAATGCCAATGATGGCTCCGAGTCCTGCTTTGTCCTCCGGCTTGGGCCCCGCGAGGGCTTGCATGAGGGAGCTGGACAGGATAGAGTGGATGAATGGCAGGTTCGTGCTCATTTCCATGACAGGGAAGAAGGCCGTGCTGGACTTATTGTAGTCATACAGATCTTTGTTCTCGATCAGGAAGCCAAAGGGACGGCCAAACGCTGGTTCCCATGGAGATCCGGTTAGTCTCTTTTGCGCCCCTCGATTCTCAAAGGAGACAGAGGAAGGGGAGGGGAGAAAGCGAAGAAAGTTGCTTTGTACCGATATGTGTGAGGCTGTCGAGGGTGAAGTACTGGGCAAACACGGCAAAGTCAATCGGGGCGCGTTTCTCGACTCCCTCACGTTGGATCAGATTGACTAAATCGAGCACCCGGTCGTCGATACTCTCTTCGAGGTTGGGGACTTCTTTGCCGGTGTACTGGGTGAAGACGCAGTTAGCTCATGGACCTCTCTGGCGACTTGGCCCAAAGAATGTACTCCTGGCATCATCTTTGCCCTCAGCTCTGCGTGGCGCTTCTCGTCCTGCTCGGACAGGAGATTGTTGATCCGCGGGTCAATCTTCATGCCTTTGTACCAGTGGCCTCTCCTGAATGGCGAGCGGGGAGCTGTTATGACCCGGACGAATTCGGGGTCGCTAGAAGTTTCAGTCAGTTCTGGCAATCAATATGGCGCTTGAGCGGAAGAGACATGTGGCGCGCACTCGGTCATGATCATGTTTGGACCTATCCTCGCAGGGGATCCTGTTTTTGAACTTAGCATCTGAGGGAAAGATTGAGTTATCTTCTATTTTCCGTGTCATACCGTACTTGTGCAAAACCTCTTCCATGGTGAGATATAGGTCTCCTTTCGAGGTGACGTTGAAGATCCATAGCTGAGAAAAGCAAGCGAGCCACGGCCCAGGAATGTGCGAAAGCTTGCGATAGGAAATAACAGTGCTGAAACCGAACCAGACGACAGCAGCAACTCCAAGAAAGGCCAGGCCCAGTTGGGTCTGTGGAACTTCTAGTACAGACAACATGGTGGATGGAAGAGAAGCCTTAGTGACACGGGCGTCTTCCCAGCAACAAAGCAAGTTCACCAATCTCCAATTGAGCTGCTTGCTATTTTCCTTCGGCAGGAAAACGATTTTCTCTGCAACTCACTTGAAGAGTGAGAGACAGTCCATGACAGAAGGACAGGGCGGGGATAGAGAATGGCCGAAGCAGGAAGGAGGGATCGAGGGATCGAGAGAGCTCAGTGGCCCTCTCGAGAGCCATGGGCCATTGGCATCGATAATGGCGCTCGCCTAAGGGCCTTGTCATGGACTCGTGGGAATGGAGACACAACACCCTCCTCAGCCCAATGTCGCAAAAAGCGCCCACCTATATGTAGGCGCACATAAAAGACAAGGGACCCAGCTGCATTCACGCATTAGGCTGATGCATCTCGATCAGCCGTCGACACACGTCCAAAGAGGGTTGTCGAAGGCATAAGCTGTCCACGTCGACTAGGGGCAGGGACCCCCGACGGCGTGTCTCCCTAGCGGCGTCATTCTTTGCCTCTTTTAACCTTGCACCTCCTGTACAAGCGCCGGTGCTCCACTCTGTTTGTCCTGGATACGAAGGGACGAACAGCCAAGCATACCTAGGTACGCAGGCATCCGCGGCAGCTAGGTTCCGGGGCGGGTTGCGAGCAACTAGAGAATTGGTAAAAGAGCTGGATCGGCAGGTCCAATTGGCGACCCAACTATTCTTCGCACACCTGCATATTCATGACGGGGATGATGTGGTGTTGTTGGAGGCAGAGAAAACGAGCCATGGTTGGGGATGCCCTTCTGTCCTTCTCTCGCTCTTCAAATGCCTTGGATCTGGCTGTCCCTTTTCCGCTCTCCCCGAATGTCCCTTGAGTCGCCCTGCTTGGTCAAAATGTGAAGAATCTGCACCGTGCCCCCTTCCCCCAGCTTGTTGGTACATGCGCAAATCTCTCCTTGCTTTCCAAGATGTCAGTCTCTGGTAGCGACAGTGCCTTGGAGGCAATCAGTGATCATATGGTAGGCGAATGGCCTCGAACATCTCCTGGGGAAGGGTTGTTTACAATTGACTGGTTTAGGATGACGGCACCCATTCAGCCCTCGACGAGACCGATTCCGGATACTGGGACCAGGAATCCACGACGCAGTCGGTGACAGCTAGCATCTACGACTATGAGAGGCTTCACAATCGAACCTATCATTCTTTCCACAGAGGCAAATACTTGATGCCCAATGACGAGAGCGAGCAGGACAGAATCGACATCACCTACCACGCTGTGCGCCTGTCGTTCAAGGACAATTTGTTCTTCGCACCGCTTCCCAACCCACGGGCAATTCTCGATATTGGAACTGGCACGGGCACATGGGCGCTGGAGGCTGCTGAAACACATCCCGAGGCAAACGTCGTTGGCACTGATTTGAGTCCCATTCAGCCGAACTATGTAACGCCAAACCTGACCTTCGAGATTGCAGATGCCGACGAAGAGTGGGCATTCCCCCACAGATTCGACCTGGTCCACAGCAGAATCATGAGCGACTTTACGTTGCGGAGCTGGCCTCATTTCTTCGAGCAGGCGTTTCAATACCTCAACCCCGGAGGATGGGTGGAATGCCAGGAGTTTGATTACAATCGTCGAAGTGACGATAGCACTATTCCTCCAGACAGTCGGCTCAGCTTTTGGGAACGCGAATGGACAAGAGGGATGGAAATGACTGGTCTGGGCGGATTCTGCAAACCGGAGCTCACGATGGAGCAGATGCGCAACGCAGGCTTTGTCAATGTCACCTGCCACAGGTACAAGATTCCCATAGGTCCCTGGCCCAAAGATCCTCAACTCCGACAAGCTGGGATGTTCGGCTTGGTCAATATCCTTGACGGCATCCAAGGACTGAGTCTGAAGATATTTATGGAGCTCCTGGGGTACTCACTTGATGAGCTCGAGAACTTACTGACAGACTGCCGAAGAGAGGCTAGAGACCGTACTGTCCACAGCTACTGGCCGTTGTAAGTGGCATGGTACCTTGTTCTTGGGCCGTTTTTCCTGTCCACTGACAATATCCTAGATTTGTTATACTGGGGCAGAAACCCGCCGACGCAGAAACCCCAGCACAGGCCTGAGTGCCGAAACCCTGCGTGTTCGTTTCTGCATCAGTGGACTTCAGGAAGTGCAAGGGCAGAGCTGTCAGTAATTGCGAGGCCAGCTAGAATTTCGGATTTGTATCGTAATCACACCGGGCTGTTGCTTGTAGGACCTGATTGACATGGGAACTGCTCAAAGGCGAGCGGCTGGAAAACAGGGTGGTCGTAGTTTGATTTTGAAGTCTGGTGAGACCCTGCGGCAAAGGGTAGTGCTGGTGTCCGAACACCGGCTTGTGTTGTTTGGCTATCGCCTGTGTGACCGCCGGGGTCAACTTGGAAATCGTCAACTTGGAGTTCCCAATGCCTGGCAAGAGACGAACAAACGCAGAGATGTGTTCGCAACTACTACCTTATGTACCGTCCATTGTTTTCGGTCTTCAGATTCTCCACCAATGACGTAGAGTTGCATTTGAGCCTGTTTGATCCTGCCTTTTTAGCAACCGGAGAGCTCCAGAGGCAGGTGCGCAGGAAACTCACATGGACCGAATATGAATCAAGGATTGACCGGTGAGGAGCCAGAAGAAGACAATGCTTTTGCCACCAGTCTCCAATATCACTACTGCAACCGCTGTATAAAGTATCCCTTTATTTGCAACTACTATTACCAGCCAAGAGTCTCGCATTGACCGCGGGTGGGCGCCTCGACGGACATTGACGACCTCGCTTCTCCGCCATGACATCTACCCTCGCTACCCTTCGAATTGCTCTGACTGCGCTTTTGGCATCATGTACCTTCCATACCGCGCAAGCCCAAGGTGTCGTGTCGACTGCGACTAACGGAACGGGCCCGTTGTCTCAATTCAGATCCGTGAGTCCTTCTTGCGTCTCACTGCGCTGCTGTTAACGAGGAAGCCTAGAGACCCGACATCTACGCACCTTTCCTGAACATTTCTCTCTTCGACGAAGGTGCGGTAACTCCTGGATATATTTTCCTGGGTCCGTACCAGACGTTTCAAGACGCGATCTACATCTATGACAATAGAGGGGTTTGTTCTGCATTCCACGAATTCATGGGGGGGAGTCGAAACTGATCTGTGTTAGAACCTGGTGTATTCGGGATATGGCGCGACCGGTGGTGGCCCAAGCCACAATTTCCACGTTTGCTCAATCAATGGCACAGAAAGCCTCTGCTACATAACCGGCGGTCAGAATGTCGGATATGTTCGAGGCTATGCGGTAGTCCTGGACGACTCTTTCACGACCAAAACCTCGATCCACTCGCAAGCGGGCGTGGCCAATTTTGACGAGCATGAATTCAACGTACTCCCCGACGGCTCGTCCCTTTTTACGCTCTACAATCCCCAGCACTATGACCTCTCGGCCTACAATATCACGTCAGGCCAGGGCTGGATCATGAACAGCTTCTTTCAACGTATCGAGATTGGGACTAGTCGATTGCTCTTTGAATGGTCTGCCTTGGACCACGTCCTGCCCAATGAAACATTCGTGCTGCCAGATTCGACCGAGGTTTCGGGAAATGGATTTGGACCGACAACCCCCTGGGACTATTTCCATATCAACAGCGTCGATCAGAATGCTGACGGAGACTATTTAGTCTCCTCACGCCACACTTGCACCATATACAAGGTGTCTGGACAAGATGGCCACATCATTTGGCGGCTGGGCGGGATAGCCTCCGATTTCAGCTTCCCACCAGGCCTCAATTTCAGTTTCCAGCATGATGCGAGGTTCCTCGAAGAAAACGAGACCACTACCGTCGTCTCGTTGTTCGACAATGCGTCAAATGGGTACAACCAAACTTCCAGCTACTCTTCCGGACTGGTTTTGGCGCTCGACCATACCACGAGCTCGGTCACACTCCTTCAGAGGTTCATTGCGCCGTACCAATTCATCTCCCAGTCGCAAGGGAATCTGCAGGTCCTTGGGAGTAAACAAGATTGGTCGACTTCGAACGTTTTCATGGGATGGGGCAAGAATGCTTTCATATCCGAGTACGCGCCTGACGGGCGAATGGTCCAGCAAGGACACTTCGCTACAGAAGGATCAATGCACTACCGCGCTTTCAAGTACAACTTTACCTCCAATCCCACCGATGCACCTGCTCTGTACACATATGCACACAACACCAGTGCACCGACGTCGTACTGGATGAGCTGGAATGGTGCCACGAAGGTCGCGCAGTGGCGCATTTACTCGAGTACATCGCGTAACGGGCCTTGGGTCGTTGTCGGCACCGTCCAGAGAAATGGGTTTGAAACCATGTTCACTGCGCCCAAGTACCATCCTTGGAGTTTGGTCGAAAGCCTCGATGTCAATGGCAAACCATTGAGGAACAGCACCAGGCCCATCAAGACTTTTGTCCCCAGCGCGCAACTTGCTGCAATATGCAATGGTTCAGGTTGCCCGACAGCCAGCACTTACAGTAATGCATCACACAGCTCAAGCCAGCCGGTCTCCTCGTCGAGCAGTTCGGGCGCGGATGCCTTGCCACAAAAACGAAGTGGTGCGGATGGCAAGCTCGGGTTTGCCGCCATGTTTGGTGTTGGGGCATTGATGGTATAGAGCTTCATTCGTTACGGGTAGACTCTGTCACAACTCCTACATAGATCCAAGTATCTGTATCCAATCAACTGTCCTGAATACCATCCCGCGATCAAGCCTCGACGTGAAGAGGCGCAATAATTAATCTCCTTTCTTTTGCCATGCTGCACACGCATCTTCGCATCATAACCCCGTTTCCGGAAATGTGCGCGATGCGATCTAGCGACCCGCCCTATGAAATGAGACAAGACCTAGCGGCTTCGGGCCCACTGACATTCCTGCGAGCCCAGATTTCGGCCGTTAGACTTGCGGCGCGGGTCCGAAGGTGACACTCTAGCCATTGAGCACATGGGCTTCAGGCCCGGCCCGTGTGCTCGTATGCTCGTATCTGGAGAGTTGATGAGTTGATGAGCTAGGTAGGGCCACCAGGGCTGAATGCAACATGCACGGGCCCGAGCCTCTTGCATTCCAAAGGACAGGAACAGAACCACGGACGTGACAATTCTCGCTGCGTTCAAGAGGCCGTCGGGCCCAACCGCCCCGGGCAGGTAGGACGGGAAGTATTTTGTCATGTCTTGAGCAGCGCAATAACGGTCTCCAAGTATGTATAAGATGTAGTCGAGGCCAGGCTGCCCTGGACGACTAGTTTGGTCTATCTCGCCCATCACAAAATTGAGGCAAATACCGACCACAAGTGCGACACGTTTAGCTTCAAAAGCCCGCAGGCAACAGCGACAGAACCTTCCCGCACCACACCTTCTGCGCGACTCATAAGAGCAGCAAAGTGTATCCTGAGCTCGTCCAGATCGACGGAACCAGCTTCTCTACATCAAAATCATTTATACTGGGATTTTGTCGAGGAGATATCCACTTCGATGCCGTTCAGTCTCGCAATCATCGGGGCAGGCCCGGCGGGTCTCACACTTGCCCGACTGCTACAGGTCGCCTCAGTCGACATCTCCATCACTATTTTCGAAAAGGACACCAGTCGTACATCTCGATTCATGCAAGGCGGCACATTAGACCTACATACGGATACTGGTCTTGCTGCTCTCAAAAAGGCCGGTTTATGGGAAGAAGCGCTCAAACACCTCCGTTATGAAGGTGAGGAGCTCTTCATCGCCGACAAAAACGACACGGTAATCATCCATCTCAAAGACCAACCCAAGGTCAAGAGCCGAGAGTCGAAATTGGACTATGAGAGACCTGAGATTGACCGGGAGGTGCTGAAGGATATGCTACTTGACAGTGTTGACAGCGACTGGGTGAAGTGGGGAAAGACGTTGCAATCGATCGATCCTGAGACCGGTATCCTAAGCTTTCGCGACGGTTCGACCGCCGGCCCGTTTGATCTCGTCGTCGGCGCTGATGGGGCGTGGTCCAAGGTTCGGCATGTTTTGACAGACGTGAGGCCACACTATTCTGGTATCTGTGGCTTTGAAGGCCGCATTCCCAACCCGGATGAGCAACACCCGAAGCTGTCAAAAATGGTCGGCAAGGGCAGCTACTTTTCATACTCTGACGGAAAGTCTCTAAATGCGCAGAGGATGAGCGACCGGTCCATCAAGACCGCTTACTATGTAAAAATGGAAGACAACGAGAGCTGGGCGACCGACTTATTGGCGGCTTATGGGGACAACGAGGACAAATTAAAGGAGAAAATCCTGGAAAACTACCAAGACTGGACACGCCAACAGAAAGAACTGGTTCGCGTCAGCACCAATTTCCATGCCAGGGCGCTCTACGAGCTACCCGTTGGACATACTTGGGTCCACAAGAAGGGGTATACGCTGATTGGAGACGCTGCAAGTTTGATGACACCATTTGCTGGCGAAGGGGTGAATAAGGCCATGAAAGATTCGCTCGAGCTGGCTGAAGCACTTGAGAAAGCCTTGAAGGAGCAGAGCAATATGGATGAAGCGGTACGCCAGTACGAAGAGAATATGTTCCCGCGGGCGAAGAGAATTCAGAGACACACAATGTCGAATAAGGAGGGCATGTTCAGCAGGGAAGGACCCGTCATGTTTCTGACGGCCATGGTTGATGGGGCTGCGGAGGAAATGGGCAAGGATCTCACCAAGGGATGGTTAGCATGGATCCCCATCAAGACGCTACTGCACTCCTATGTTGTGACCGTACAGACTTTTGGAGCTTGGAGGAGAAGGGTGAAAGACTGGTTTTCGAGGGAATGAGGCAAAGGTGGCATGAAGCAGGGAAGGACACGCTGTGGCCGACTTCGCTGTGCAAGGACAGCTTCTTTTCACCACTTCAGATACTCGGGGCGATTCATTTTAGATGTATATAATTCAGATAATAGAGCTTTTAGTTTGTAGGTCAGATAATGGAAGTACGAAGTATTGATACGTGCTCAACAGCTTGAACTTCGTTCGGGTGGTGTATACTCGCCCGTGCTCCACCGTATAGAACAGCAGTAATGCTCTTGATGTGATTGGTGGGCATCCGGCTGTCGTCAATGAAAGCTGCAACCCGCGAAACTTCAAGAGCTTCTTGTCGACGCCACCACATTCATTCCAACCAACATCGCCCATCGAGTTTTAGAGCTGGGACCTGCTCGACGGGTCGTCACAGAATGCGGTCTCAGCTGCTTCGCGCCGCAGGGCGCACAAGACCTTCGCTGACCTCAACCACGAGACAAGCGGCGACCAGGACCTTTGCCTCCTCGGCCAGACGAAATGCCGAAGTCGAACTCACCATCGATGGCAAAAAAGTGTCGATAGAGGCTGGCTCGGCCTTGATCCAAGCTTGTGAAAAGGCGGGCGTGACGATTCCGCGATACTGTTACCATGAGTACGTCCTTGCCTCGAAAGCAACGCCCACTTACGCCGCTTTGTGTTGACTCTTCATGACCAGAAAACTCCTCATTGCCGGAAACTGTCGTATGTGCCTAGTCGAAGTCGAACGAGTCCCCAAACCTGTCGCATCCTGCGCATGGCCCGTCCAGCCGGGCATGGTTGTCAAGACCGATTCACCAATGACCCACAAAGCAAGGGAAGGAATCATGGAGTTCCTGCTGGCCAACCACCCTTTAGATTGCCCCATTTGCGACCAGGGTGGGCAATGTGATTTACAAGATCAGTCGATGAGATACGGTGCCGACCGTGGCCGTTTCCACGAGGTTACCGGCAAGCGTGCCGTCGAGGACAAGAACATTGGGCCTTTGATCAAGACTTCGATGAACAGATGCATTCACTGCACAAGGTGTATTCGGTTTGCCAATGAGATTGCCGGTGCACCAGAGTTGGGATCTACTGGCAGAGGCAACGGACTAGAAATCGGCACGTATTTGGAAAGGAACCTCGACACAGAGCTCTCGGGGAACGTGGCGGACCTGTGTCCCGTTGGTGCTCTCCTGCCCAAACCGGGAGCATTCAGCTATCGACCTTGGGAACTTACCAAATTTGAGTCAATTGACGTTCTCAATGCTCTGGGCTCAAATATCCGAGTAGACGCCAGAGGTTTGGAAGTCAAGAGAATCCTGCCCAGACTGAACGACGATATCAACGAAGAATGGATCGATGACAAGACCCGCTTTGCCCTTGACGGGCTGAAGACTCAGAGGTTAACAACACCGTTGATCCGAAAAGATGATAAATTCCTTCCCGCCACATGGGAACAAGCTCTAACAGAGATCGGCAACGCATACATTCGGATCAAGCCCGGTGAGAACGAATTCAAAGCCATTGCTGGCCATCTGGTAGAGACAGAATCTTTAGTCGCCATGAAAGACCTGGCAAATAGACTGAACTCTGAGAATCTCGCCCTTGACCAGCCAGGAGGTGGCTCGCCAATTGCCCACGGTGTCGATGTCCGAGGCAACTACCTCTTCAATTCCAGGATCTGGGGCATTGAAGAAGCCACCAACATGCTCATCATCGGAAGCAATCCTCGTTGGGAGGCGGCTGTGCTCAACGCCCGTATTCGCAAACAATGGCTGCGTTCACCACTAGAAATCGGGTATATTGGTGAGCCATTTGAGAGCACATTCGAATTCGAGCATTTGGGCACCGACGCTGCAGCGGTGAAGAAAGCTCTTTCTGGTGATTTCGGAAAGAAATTGGCCGAAGGCAAGAGACCTATGATCATAGTAGGCAGCGCAGTTGCCGAGCACCCAGATGCAGCAGCGATTTTCGAGGCCGTGGGTTCCTTCGTGGACAAGCACCAAGCCAGCTTTAACACCCCCGAGTGGCAAGGATACAACGTCCTTCAGCGAGCGGCTTCCAGAGCAGGAGCTTACGAGGTCGGGTTCACCGTTCCATCTCAGAAAATTGCAGAGACAAAGGCCAAGATGGTCTGGTTGTTGGGCGCCGATGAGATCTCCGAGGCCGACATTCCTAAGGACGCCTTTGTGGTTTACCAGGGTCACCACGGTGAAAAGGGTGCACAACTGGCGGATGTCATTCTTCCTGGCTGTGCGTACACCGAGAAATCCGGTACTTATGTGAACACCGAGGGTCGTGTACAACTCACTCGTTCTGCTGTTGCGATCCCTGGAGCGGCGCGGACAGACTGGAAGATTATTCGAGCGGCTTCGGAATTCCTAGGTGCCCCGTTACCGTATGACGACTTGGAGGTGTTGAGAGATCGTCTCGAGGAGATTTCGCCGGCGCTCAGAAGATACGATACCCTTGAGCCGCAAACCTTGACTGGCTTATGTAAAGTGCAACTTGTGGATGCGAACAAGGGCTCGAAAGCCTCGGGGCAGAAGTTGGAGCTACCCATCAAAGACTTCTATCAGACTGATGTGATTTCAAGAAGGTATGTCACACGGAGACGTTGAAATGTTCTATCGACCACTCCGGCTCTATCTTCTACAGGATTTACGGTGCTAACGATGTTCTAGCTCACCGACAATGGCTCGCTGCAGTGCCGCAAAGGAGACTGGCAACCCTGAGACCAACTTCATGGCCCCAGGTGAGCCAAACGCGCAGATTTCGTATGGTTAAAGATAAACTTGACACATGGCCCTCGATATCACCTTGGAGGGTAACCCACGGTGACTAGCTGGATGTTTTAAGTGATTTCCTCAGAAGATCGACGAACGAAGGCAGAAAGAAAGAGAGATCGAGATGGACTATGCGGCAGAGGAGAGAAAGACGGTCTGTGAGTCGCTCCAACGACGAAGACAATATTCGAGAGGAAGGTTGGCTTCAAAGGAGCTTCCAAACCCTACATGAGCAGACTTGGAGCCAGAGGTCCATCAACTAAACTGACTCCTCCGCGATGTGGCTTCTGCTCAAGGGCTGTATAGGCATTGAAAATGGCGTTGTTGACTCTGACCAAGAATCATTCGATATGTACATATCAGAGGGAGGTTAAATCAATACTGAGAATTCTCGAGAAACTGCCTTTGAGCCTGCAAGAGCGAATAGCCTCCCGGCCGAAGTCATCTCCTACAAATCTCAGCAGCACGATAATGTGCTCGTCCAATTGATCCACAGTTTTCTGGGTTGATTGTCGAGACCTTGATCATTCGAGCGATTTGACCTGCCGCAGGACGCACAAGGAATTATTCCACGACCACGTCTTTGCTCGTGTCCAATTCCTCAAATCGTCTCAAATCCATCTCCCCTTCCAGGAGCGGCTTGACGTAAGGGTCAAAGGTCTTCCAGTAGGGATTTTCCAGGTGATACTTTTGGCTGCTCTCCCGTTCGTACCTCTCGACAATGGTGAAATCTCGTTCGTCGTGGACAGACTGCATGACGAACCACGACAGAGTTTCCTTGTCCTTGGAGTACACTCGGGAAGCTTCGATGAGCTTGTTCTTGAGTTTCTGGATGATGGCCGGGTCGGAGGATTTGGCGCGAAGGTGGACGGTTATTGTGTAGACCATGTTTGGCAGCGAAGCTCTCAAGCAGGAAGATGTGATGGGCTCGGAGATGGGATAGAGAGGGACTACAGCTAGATGTTCAATCTCTATGGTGGTTATAATGCTTTTTACCTGGACGTCGTCAATAGTTTCCTCAGAGCAGCAGACCCCGCCTGGCTCATTGCTTGCCAGTGATTGAGAATGCACAAGGTCAGACCAGGTCCGATAGGGGTACCAAGTAGGCGGGCTAGGGTCTGTATGGCATAACCCCAAGATTGTCTGTGGAGTCAACTTATTACCTGGTACCTCTTGAGCTGCCCTTTATGTCTATTTGGATACTTGTAGAGGTATCTATCAAGCTTCTGAAGCGAGTGCTCAATAGACCCTCGGCTTCCCTCTGATTGAGTTTGGGTGGCTTTCCCAGGTGTAAGCAAAAGAAAGGAAGGTGGTCGTATGGACCACGCACGTGGGAGGCAAGGACGCGGGCTCTGCGGGATGTCAACCTATCAGTGCCTATCAAGCCCGGTGTAAGCGAAAAACATCGCCTGTGGGTGCCAGTGGGTGCCTATGACGCCCGTGGTGCCCATGACGCCCGTGGTGCCCGCATATGCAACTTTCTCGCGTCCTTCTCTCATTTTCTCCGCCATCGCGATCTTTCCATGGCTCCCACCCCACATCATTTATCCTCGTTCTTCAGCCAATTCTCGAGTCGCACGGGCATTGTAATAGATGACCACGGCTAGGTGGCAGCATGTGCTGTTGTAAGCCCTGAGATCGCGCCATGAAGTTCGCAAAGTGAGTCGTTGGCCGGTACCAAAAGCCTCTTCTTTCGACCGGAAAACTAATCCGTGGTAGGGAATTGGAGGAAGATGCTGTACCGGAATGGAGAGCCAAATACTTGAACTACAAGGTAGGTTGCTCTCGGCACGTATACTTGTGGTTTGAGCTCAATACTGACTGCTCGCAGCTGGGGAAGAAGAAGATCAAAGCCATCTCAAAAGCCCTCAAGAACCTGCAGAAAACTCCCGGCACAGAGCCTCGCTCAGCTAACTTCGACGGTTTCTCGGAATCACGCACTCCCTTTACGCACTATGACTTCAACCTCCACCGGCCACCCACCGCAAGGTCGATCCAGTCCTTGGCCGAGATTGAAGAGGTTGCCCCAGACGAAGATGAAGAGCCAGGAAGCAGACCCGCGATCCCTCAGCGCCACAGTCATACCATGTTCGCGGCGTCGCCGCCGATATATATCCCTGGGTCCCAAGAGAATACACCACCAGAAAGTACGCCGCTCTACCCTGGTCAGTCGACGCGGCGAGTAATGAATTATGGCTCCATTGTAGGAACACCTCCAGATGAGCCACCGGGCATGATGGCCGCCCTCGAGCTCCCCGATCCCGCATTGACCCCTGCGCGGACGCGGCCACCTGCAGAGACGGAACCGAAGTCCCAGGGCACGACTCCGCGACTGCCTCCTCCAGCCCAAGTTCCAGCTTCGCCGGATCCGTATCATGTTGGTCAGACACATCACCCTCCCCTCGCCAGGCACAGTTTTGCGGGGAGCTTAGCAAAGGCCATGTTCAAGGGCCGACAGGCGGTCGCGGCCAAAAGTAAATCTTTCTCAGCACCGCCGCAAAGAATGAACTCCCTCTCCGCATCGCAAAGATTCCGCAAGATTTTCGCACCCCGTGATCTGAACGAGGCATCTGTGAGCGATATGCAGCTCTCCGCGTACCAAGAGCTCGACGAGAAGCAGGCCGACTTTTTCACGTTCTTGGACAAAGAACTCAATAAGATCGAGGACTTTTATAAGACAAAAGAAGACGAGGCCACCGAACGTCTACAGGTGCTGAGGACGCAGCTCCACGAGATGAGAGATAGAAGAATAGCGGAAATCTTAACCATGAAACATCAAAAGGATGGCACGCAACTGCCGCACCTCGACAATATACGACAGCAATCGGCAGATGTTCTCAAGGAAAACGTAAAGCCCAATGGAAGCGGCAGCCACCGATTCCCCGAACGTATAACACATGCCGTGGGACGCCGGTCTACAATCGGCAAAACCAGTCAAGCCATGGCACAAATGAGTTCCCCTCCAGGCCCCCAGGCCCAGAAGAGGATCAACGAAGCAAAGAAGGATTACGTGCGCCGCGACCATGGAAACGAAATCAAGTATCCGGTCGCGAAGAAAAGGCTCAAGCTTGCGCTGCAGGAATTCTACCGGGGACTCGAACTACTCAAATCTTATGCCTTGATGAACAAGACGGGTTTCCGTAAGATCAACAAGAAATACGACAAGGCAGTTCAAGCCAGACCTCCGCTGCGATATATGACAGAAAAGGTCAACAACGCCTATTTTGTCACGAGCGATGTCGTTGACAATCACCTCATCGCCATCGAAGATCTCTACGCGCGATATTTTGAGCGCGGCAACCACAAGCTCGCCGTCAAGAAATTGCGATCCAAGGTTGGCAGTGGAGATCAGTCGGCGGTGGCGTTCCGCAACGGCCTGTATGTTGCGGCGGGCTGTTGTTTTGGCGTGGCTGGTATTGTCGATGCTGCCTTCCGACTCAATGATCCGAGAATGTCCGTGCAGACCAGTTACCTACTGCAGTTGTATGCCGGATACTTTCTCATTGTGATACTATTTTTGATGTTTGTTCTGGACTGCAGGATGTGGAACAAAAATCACATCAACTACGTCTTCATTTTCGAGTACGACAGCAGACATGTGCTGGATTGGCGACAACTAGCCGAATTACCTTGCCTTTTCCTCTTCCTCAATGGCCTCTTCATCTACCTCAACTTTCGGCAGAACTCTTTCGATTCGTTCTACATCTATTGGCCGTTGATCCTGATCATCCTGACCGTACTCATCATATTCCTGCCTTTGCCTATTTTGTATCCCCACGCGAGAAAATGGTGGGCCGTCACAAACATGAGGCTCGCCTGTGCGCCATTCTTCCCGGTCGAGTTCCGAGACTTCTACCTGGGCGACATGTACTGTTCAGAGACCTACGCCATGGGGCAGATCGAACTCTTCTTCTGCCTTTATGCCAACGATTGGAATAACCCTCCACAATGTAACTCCAGCCACTCACGCTTACTGGGCTTCTTCGCCGCCCTGCCTGCGGTTTGGCGAGCATTGCAATGCCTGCGTCGTTACTACGATTCGCGGAACTGGTTCCCTCATCTCGCCAACTGTCTCAAATACTGCGGCAACATCGCCTATTATGCTACGCTGTCGATCTACCGGATTGACATGAGTTACACGACTTGGTCCATCTTTGTCACATTCGCTCTTGTGAATGGGGTATATTGCTCCATCTGGGATGTGTTCATGGATTGGAGCTTGGGCGATTTCTTCACTCAAAAGTATCCTTTCCTCCGAGAGAGGCTCGCCTTCAAGCAAGTCTGGATGTATTACTGTGCGATAGTGGCGGATGTGCTACTTCGACAGCAGTGGGTGTTTTATGCCATATTTACATCCGACGTGCAACATTCGACACTCGTGTCCTTTTTCGTCGGGTTCGCCGAGGTCATCCGAAGGGGTATATGGTCCCTTTTCCGGGTCGAAAACGAACATTGCAACAATGTTGGGAAATTCCGTGCTTCCCGAGACATTCCATTGCCCTACGATTTACCAGATTCACGCATGGTGTCTCCTGTTCAGAAGCGCCAGACCCCAACCACTCCCCGTCCTCCGGAGCATGAAGAACGTATTGCTACTGGCGTGGACCTAGAAAGCCAACCCTCACCAGACGCATCGTTCCGACAGCGTCGCACTCCCACGACGCCACGAACGCCCGCCATGCGAGCCCTTCAACGCATGGGAACTATCATTGGAACTGCTCACGCGCAAGACTTTGAGAGACGCAGAAGACCGCCCGGAGATGAGAACGATGGGCCTGATGTTGGGGGAGATGATCACAGCAGCGATGAAGACGAGGACGATGCTGGGGCAAGTGGAGGGGAAGAGGAAATGGCGGAATTGGAGAGACAGAGGGCGCAACAGACCACAGAGCTTGCGGAGGCGAATCGGTTGGTAGGAGACGGACTAAGACGTGGTCAATAGAGTCGGCACCTCTATGAACTCTCCGAGGGTCATAGCGTAAAAGGAGGCACAAAGCAAGGCGATGAATCACAATATGAAGTGATATAGGAACCGCTCGAGTTGGTGCTTGAACTATACTAACGGCGTGAAAGAGGAAGAATCTTGAAGTAGCGAAGATACCTAGGTACTGTGCGAAACCGAATTCAGTCCGTTGACATGCTCTCAAACCATCTCAGCTAGGGCTCAGCTAGCGACTGGAGTTGAGTCAGTTCTTCCACTGACCATCATGTGGGCCCGTGTAACACGCCCTGTCTGGTGTCTCTTCTCTATAACAATCTTCGGGGGAGGGGAACACAATCTTTCCTCCGTACCTCGTACAGTCGCCGACTCGCGAGGCCCATCCGCTTACCTAACGCGAAGTCTTTTTTTTCTCTTGTGAGAGGGTCGATTGCGTGCTTCAATCATTCCACCTGGAGTGTACCGAGTATGATTCGTTTTCCATGTAATATCGGAATAGAGGTCTTCCCCCTCTTCAGCTCAGCTATGACAACAGCAAAGTTGCTCACTTCTTGGACACCTGCAGGTTGAGAAAGTCTCTCTCCCTTGATGTAGGATAGGATCATCAGTTCCGGAAAAAAAGACCATTCTATCATATTTCAAGGCTTCTTCTCATGATTCGCTAGATCCTGTATATACCATACCCCCCTAGGTAGATATATATTTTCAACACTCCCACGCGCAGCCCTCGCCAGGGCCCAGTGCCGGCCAAGCCATGTCCACCACGTCCATCCCGACGATCGACCTCTCCCTCGCCTCGTCGGCGGCAACACGCCCCAAACTCCTCGCGGACCTCCGCCACGCCTTGTTCGAAGTCGGGTTTCTGTACCTCTCCAACCACGGCATCTCACCACCCGTGATCCAGGACCTGGTAGGTGCGCTGCCTCGCCTCTTCGCCCTGCCGGACCATGTCAAGCGGTCTGTGGCGCTGGTCAACTCGCCCCATTTTTTGGGGTATAGCGGGTTTGGCTCCGAAGTGACGGCGCGGGTGAGGGATCAGAGGGAGCAGTTTGAGTTTGCCAACGAGTTGCCTGACAGGTATGGACTGGCTGTCTCACGGCATGGGGGAGACGGGGGGGAGGCGTTGCCGCTGTATATTCGACTCCAAGGGCCGAATCAGTGGCTGCTGCTGGAAGATGACTCGGAGAGGCAAACGGTGCCGAAGTTTCGCGACATCGTCGAGAGATACATCGCGGCGATGCAGGCTCTCGCGATGCGCTTCCTCGAGCTGGCCAACGAGGCACTCTACTTGCCGCCGGGCAGCCTGGAACGGTTCACGGGGCCGCAGGACAGGATTAAACTCGTGCATTACCGGCCTACTTCTACCTCTACCTCTACCTCTACCGAGGAGTCTCTTTCTTCTACTCCCTGTTCTTCCTCTAATACGCAAGGCGTGGGCCCCCACAAAGATTCCTCCGGCTGGATGACCTTCCTCCTGCAAGCCTCGTCCCCCTCGATCCCGGGTCTTCAAGTCCTTTCCAAAGACGGCCTCTGGCTCGACGCGCCCCCCGTGCCCGACACGTTGGTGGTCAACATGGGCCAGGCGTTCGAGGTCGCCACCAACGGCGTCTGCAAGGCCACCACGCACCGCGTCCTCCTCCCGCCCGGGAATTATGACCGGTACAGCGTGCCGTTTTTCCAGGGCGTGAGGCCCGATTTGACAAAGCCGGAGTTGCGGTCGCTGTGGGAGTACTTTGACGCGGAGGAGAAGTGGTGGACGACGTTGGGTGGAAGTAGGGAGTCGGACGAGGGGAGCCAGATTGATAGCCCCTTTTTGAGGGGCAAGTATGATACTTGGGGCGAGGCGCAGCTGCGGACCAAGATTAGGAGTCATAGGGATGTTGGGGAGAGGTGGTACGCGGATGTGTTTGAGAAGTATGTCAATGATGATTGATTTATTGATTGAGTGAGAGCTTGTTGAACCAAAGGGCTTTGCAATTTCATCTGAATGGCTTTCATTGCTCTCGCCTTGCCCGTGAATACTTAATTGCTACCATGAGTGGCTGTTCCGGCCCCCTTTTTCCGTCCTCCTTTCCGACCCTTCTCGGATCATGCCATGGTAAGTCAAGGAGGTACTTCTATCATGACAAAGGCGGGCGGCGAGGGAGGACGAAGTGAGCCCCCCTGCCTTCTTTCTAATCCCTTCTCAAGTCTTCTACCCTCGATTTCTCCTCCGCTTCGTCCCCTCGGTCCTGCAACAACCCAGCTCTCTCGCAACTAAGAAGACCAAGCTCACCCCAGTGACTTAACTCTATGCTTTCTGATCAGCCTTTTTCTCCGGTATCGCTTCACGCAACCAGCGTCTTCAACTCCTCCTTCAATTCCTCCAGCGTTTTCTGATACCCGGACCCGGGCTCGATCAAGCGTTCGAAGTCAGCGTTGTATCGGTTATGCTCTTCGAAGATGCCGTAGGTTCCTAACATGTTGTACGCTTTGAATTGGCCGAGTAAGTTGCACGGTTCCATTATGTACATATATGGGGAGAGTGAGAGGAGAATCACGGTGCTTGGATCAAGAGAAAGGAAGGGGAGGAAAAGGAAGGGGAGCGGTGCAGTAAGAGGTCTTCTCTTCTCCGCCCTGTCTGGGCTCGTTAGGTGGTCACTCACCAGGAGTCAACAAGCGCTTCTCGACCCCTTTCTCCGTATCCTCATCCCACATTCTCTTCGCGGTGGCGAAGAACTCGTCCAGGTCGACCCTCTGGATCTGCCAGCCTGGCTTGATCTCCTCGAGGATCGGAATCAGTTGGTTCATGCTCACGGTGTGGTCGGCGACGTAGACGGGGCGGTTTGCGTACTTCTCGGGCTGCCGGAACACGTCGGAGACGGCCTGCGCGGCGGTGGACACCCGGCACATGCTGTTGAGCTGGTCGCCGCTGCCGTAGACGACGAGGGTGTTCGTGCGCGGGTTAATCCAGTAGTAGCCCAGGGGAATGGCTGCGGGAAGACACACACGAGGCAGTATTAGCTCTTGGACGGACACAGGTCCAGTTCATACTCTTTCCTTGCTCAGACGGACTGAAGGAGGGACGGCTAGGAAATACACGCCAATAACTCACCCCAGTCATACCAGCCTCCCGTGATAATGGCGCTCCAGCGCACCTTTGTGCCTTCCAACTTGTCCTCCAAGACCTTTTGCGCCTCCACCTTGGGCACATACAGGGGTAACTCGGTGATGTGCTCGTTGAACGTGTCGCCCGCGAAATCCGGGGTGATGATGTGTTTGACCGTACCAGAGGCGATGCACGCTTCGACGATGGTGGCCTGCATGTGCAGGGCGTTGGGCGGGATAGCCTCCACCACGGCGTCCTGGCCGGTGAAGAGGGCCGTCAGGTCTGAGAGCGAGCCATAGTCGACGACGGCCGAGATGATTTCGGGGAAGTCTGGGAACTTTTGCCCCGGGCTGCGCGAGGCCGCCGTCACCGTGTACCCAGCTTTAGCCAGCGCGGTGGTGATGGGTTTGCCGACGTTGCCTGTCGCCTGTGTGGTTTTAGTACCTCTGCCAGGTCCAAAAGAGGAGAATCTCGCATGTTTTTTTTGTCGAAGAGAAGCAGGAAAAGAAGGAAAAGGGGGGGGATTCCGTACCCCGAGCACAACGACCTTCTTGATAGGACCAGACATTTTCCCTTTTCTCTCCCTTCTCTTTCTGTATCCCTCAGAATAATGTCACCGGCTGAAAAGAGCGCGTTCCGTCTCGCAGGCTGTATATATATAGTAGAATCCTGCTGCAGGGGAGAGAGTGTTGCTACCTCTCTCACTTAGGGCTGGGTAGACCACCACCGCTTTCAACAACATATCGATAGGGTGAAAAGGGACTCTTTATCAAGTCCCTCAATATATATGCCCCTCTCCCTTGGGAGCCAGTTCCCATATCTTTCTGCATGGGAATACAGTAGCGCTCCTGTTGACGTGTCAAGCTGCTCCTCATTGGGCAGCCCGCGCAGGCGGGAAAATGGAGACTTACCGGTCATCGCTATCGCGGATTACATGTTAGCGTTTATGACATGCTTTGCGACAACGCAAGCGCAGTTTCCGTCCTTTTGGTCCCGTCGAAGAAAAGCGCTAGAAATCTCTCTTACGAATAGTGGAGTCTTTTTCTGTTGAGAATGGTGAACTCTGTATGTGAGGTTCTGCAATTAGGTTGGAAATTGATGCCCAGTATCAGAATGTAGAGAAATGGGGAAAGGAGGGGGGGAAAGGGGAGGAAGAAAGGAACAAACAAGCACAAAGTAGAGTGACTAAAAGTATAATTAAGCGCCATGGAATGACCGAGCATATAACTCGAATTCGTTTCATGATGCCCCGTACTTCGTATTGAGGTTTGTGCAACTAGCTGCTGCATATTCTTACTATATGGTATACAAACCCCCGGAGCTATGTGTCAGCAAACAGCATACAATGCAATTCACAAGCAGTGTTAGGCTTCGACTTGTTGACTATGACCAACGATTACCGCTCAAATTCCTCGTGTGCCCAAGGACGAATTCATCGAAGGACGAATTTCCCCTGCAGCGAAAGGTCAAGTTCGCTGACAAGGTTGACAAGGCGACAAGGTGGAAGTAAAAGCCATCATGGGCTGAATGAATGGCCCAAGAAGGCTGGGCTGCGAAAAGGGGCTGGACGAAACGTCGGACGGACGAGGGAAACGACTCCAAGAGAGAGAGGGAGAGAGAGAGGACACTCGATACTTTTCAAGGGGCATTTTGTCATCTTGTTCGTTAACCCATGGCCGTCAAGCTGCCTAAATCAGATTGTGCGCGTGTGTATCCTGCGCATGAAGAACAAGTCCCAGACTCCTTGGTGCGATCGTGATCGTTGCAGAGGGACACGCCATTTGTCCAATTCATGCTAAAAAACAAATCAAGCTCGTATCTCGACTGACTGTCTCAATTGTTTTTCATGTTCGGGCTTCCCTTTTTTTCAAATCGCAACGGATAGATAATCTCAGTCAAAATCTTTCTCCTGCGTCGGACTGTACGAGATCTTCCCCCAGTCTCAAAAGGATACTGGTTGTGTTGAAAGAATGGGCCCTCTCCATAGGGGCATCGGCTGGCGTCCGCTAGCAAGCTCGCTCTCGTCGCTTCCGCATCTCGTGTATCACCAAAGCTCTTAATTCGAAATCCACAGGTAGACGCGGGATGCGAACGTTCTTCGGAGTCCAACTCAGCAAGTCTCCCTCCTCTTCCTGTTGTTTTCCTGCCTTGCGAGGGCCCGCGGGAGATCTGGAACGGTGGTCGATGTCACGTCTTCTCGCCAATTCCACATGAGAAAAGCGGCCGACTTTGCTTCCTCGCGCTTTTTCGTGACCACGAGGACGACGATGGTCGCAATCCGCGTTGGAGATGGACTTTTTGATTGCTATCGTGCCTTGGTCCGCTGCCTTCTCGACATGTTGGGCTCGACTGATCTTGTCCAACTCGATGTTTCCCTCGCTTGGGATTTTGGATGACACAGCATGAAAATTGACTGGGATGAATCTGCTGCAGTCAACGAAGACCTGTCTCGCACAGGAGAGTTCCTTCGTCAGCGTTTCTTCGAGGGAAGGCAGCTGCACTTTCAAGGCCTTGATCTCCCCAGATCAGATGTTGATGTTTTTCTCTGTGGAGTCTTCCCTCGGAGTGCTGGTCTCAATCACCTCTTGTCGTCCGCAAACAACCTCCGTCAAGGCCTTCAACTCAGACTTGACTTGCTGCGCAGTCTCAACCAATGTGGTCGTGTTCTTCCAGACGCCCTTGAGTCTGCGTTCATAATCCTTGTTCTGACCATCGACCGCTGTGTCTCCGTCACATCTGGATTTCGTCCTCGCTTCCCAGGCCGCCTTCCTCAAATTGGCAATTCGACCATCGATGTCGTAGACCTTGAAGTCGAGAACTTTGGCAGCGAAATGAATATCGTTGCTTAGACACTGGACCATTTGGGATTGAGCTTGTAAGAAATCCGCCTCTAGAAGAAGAAGATCCGACTGAGATTGGACCGCCGCCATGGTGAGATGCGCTTGCAAAGCAACAAGAAAAAGAAACGAGGACCAGGAGAATAGAACGAAGAAAACAAAAGAGGGAAAGGTGATCAGAGCTTGAAGATACCAGATAGCAGGTTGGCTGGAGGAGGAAATAAATCAAGAGTGAGACGGTTGGATTTTGTCGCTTTTGGAAGCCAAAACATAAGTGACATTCACTCCGGGTATTCACATATTCTCAGTTTCAGTACAGACAGTTACACCTCTCAATTTGGGAGTGAGCTTCTTCTGCCAGGTTAAACTGAGCCTATCCTTTGAGACTTTGAAGATAGCAAATTGTCTGTCAGAGTTGAGCCAGACGCTGATGCTAATGGCTTCGTCGCTCAGGCGTTATGGCTTGGGCGTTGCCATCGATATTGAGACTCGTTCCAAATGAAGCCCTCTTTCAAGCGCTTCTGACGACGTTGTTTTGCTCCCTTGCTCGTGCCCCATCCGCTGAGCACATCCTTCTTGCCTTTGCCATTGCCTACGTCCGTGGTCATATTCTTCTGATAGCCTCTCTCGCGGAATGAAAAATTCGTGCTCGGGTTTCCAGAAGCCGAATGCGCAAGAGTATGGCTGCTCGAGGTCGAGGACGAAAGAGGTTGGACGCTGTGAGATGAGCTGCGATCTGAATGATTCTTAGTATTTGGTTCGATGATGTTGACGGCTGTATGAGAGCCCGTAGATAGGACGGATCCTGTATCGTTATCGGATGAACTAGCCGCCTCGGTATCAACGTTGTCGGCATCAGGATCGTCACTGGCCGACTCCGTGTCTCCGTCCGAGCTTTCTTCCGTCTGTGTTGTGCTTCCACCGCTGTTCTCATCTTGTGTTTCGGCATTGGTGGCCGATCCATCTTCTTCGTCTTCGTCCGAGGAAGCCTCGTCATCCGACACGACACCATCGTTGACAACTTTGGATCTTTGCGAGTCCGTCTCAACCCCACTCTCATCTTCCTCTTGAAAAGCGGCGAACTTTCGTTTCAGATCTTGTTTAGTAGTCAATTCCATTACCGACTGATTTTGAGCTTCTGCTGTATCCAAAACGCTTGGCGGACTTTCGGGCTCGGGTGCGGCCGATCTCTGTACTCGCTCGGATGTGACGAGGAAGTACTGGTATACATCTTCAAGGAACGCCTCCATCTCTTCCATAGTCACCATTCCATCCTCCGAGCGTGTTCTGATGTCATTGAAACGTGCTTCTTTTCGAGGCGCCGAAACATAAACAGCATACATGTGCTTGTAGGCACAGAGTGATCTTTCAAACATGGTCTGTATAGCGTCGCGGTCCTGCTCTGCGATTTGCTGAAGACCCTCAGCGGTTGCGGTCAGACAGTCGGCTCGATCGTTGAGGAAGTTGATCTGTTCTTGGAGCTCTTGGGCCTGTTCTCGCAGAGCTGAAGCCTGCAAGATAAGTTCGTCTACCTGTTCAAAGGCTTGTTGCGGAGTCGTTGACAGAATCATGCGCGCCAGAAATCGCGGGAGTGCTGGATCCATGGCTTACGTGTGAAGACGGATACGCTTTGAGATTTCTTTTGGGGAGGTGTCAAGGTGGAAGAGTCGCGCAGAAGGGCCGACAAGTGGTTAATTTGTGTTTGTTGACACTGTGTCAATAGACTGCCGCACCTTCTGCGTGCGTCACCACAATGGCCAAGTGACAATGATCGAGACAGCAGGTCGCCGAGCCTGCTTACGAATGGGTGTTTTGTTCATTTTGTCGGCGTCCAAAGTCCAGGTCCAGCTAGATTGTTCTTCTTGTACTCAGCCATCTGAGCTTCAAGTTCTGCCAAATTCCCGCAGAAAGGATCCTTAACAGGCTCCCGTCGCACCTCCCAGACATCTTCACTGCTCGGGCCAGTTTTCCACTTCACCGCCTTCTTTCGATAATGCTCCTGTATGGCTCTCTCACGATCCTCCTTTTTCCAGTTCCTGGTCTTCATGCACAGCCAAAAGTCGTCCCAGTGATTTGAGCATGACCGGAAGGAACCGTAGCGATAGACATTGACAAATTGACCTCCAAAGCTCTGGCAGAACATGGCATAGTCGAAGGCAGACCTGCAAGAGATCTCGGTTGGATAGATGGAGTCGGGAGAGATGTCTGTGGCCCCAGGTGTTTGCTGCGATGGTGCTGCAGATGGTTTGGATTTCGTTCCCTGAGATTGGTCCACATCTGCTTGTGCCTGAATTTCCTTCAGGAATTCCATCAACTCCAGCTCACTTTGCTCATCACGGGTAAGGGTGCGCTTGACGGGTTCAGGAAGCGGAACAGCAGAAACATTGGTGACCTCCTCCTGAGTCTGAGGAATGGACACAGTGGTGGCAGCATCTCCTCTGCCATCATGACTGCTCGAGGCAGGCTTCTGTTTCCACCACCAGCTCATTCTGGGTCGATTGGCTCTCCTTCGGAAGAGGGACTGCACGCGTACGAGATAGAAGGATCGTGTTGAAGCAGCAAAAATAATTGCTAGTTCAAGCCACCCATTATGGGCAGCAGCCACAGTTCAGCCACAAATTTATTTTCCCGACGTCATTGTCGATGATGTTGGCTTGTCAAGCTGCGCCCATGGTAATAGGAGCCGACTGAAGATATTCCAAGGAGGAGACTTTGCCAAAAGATTAGGAGACGGGAGATTATGTTTCGTACTGTGCTATATCGTCGTGGCAAGATGAGGTTCTCTGTATGATGCTCTGATTATTGGCAGCATGATTCTGTCGAGAACTGCTCGAAGCTCTTTCGGGCGACCGACAGGTCTCCTATCGAATCTCTCGAGGCAAACGCAGCGCTACACTTGGAAGAGCCCTCGTTCGACACCCAGTTTCTCTTTGGTGCCGTCAGGAAAGAGGTGGACGTCTACTGAAGCTGGCGATAACGAATCAGGCCACATTCTGACCCAGAAAAATGAAGGCATCTTGTTCTTCGACAGTGAGCGCCACCTATCGGTACCTCTCTCGGTGCACTCTACTGACCTCAGGGCAGATGTCTTTCCTTTAAAGCTCCAGTGGCTCAACCGAGTCCCCTACCTAAACCCTGACAAGTTCCTGGCAACATCCCTCAGCAAGGTGAATCAACCCAACCTTGCTCTGGCTGACCCCTCCAGTATCATCAAGCGAGCCCTGCCTGAAAACCTGCCCCTCCATGTCGAAACCGTCCTTCCGAGGCTGCGAGAAGGTGGAGCTTTTGTCAAATTTTCTCATGACGAAGGAATAACTGCCACAGAGCTGGAAAGCACGCTGAAACAATACCTGGAGGAAAAGCCCATTACACCATGGTTCAATCCTTTTCGAAGAGTTCGCGCCTTCTTGGTGCAAGGAAAGCCGTGGATTGAAGATCTATATCGCGTGCCCACTTCCAGGATCAAGGTCGAATTCCTGCCCACCGCTCCTGAGAATTCGGCGGCAGAATTGACCCAAGAGACGCTTTATTCGTTGTTCCGCCGGTATGGAAAGCTCACAGAGATCATACCGCAACCATCTGACTCAAAAGCCGTGCCTAAATTTGCCTATGTCGACTACGCACGGGTGAGATTCGCAACCATGGCCAAGAATTGCATGCATGGATACGTCGTCCCCGCTGAAGACGGCGGAGGAAAGACGGGAACGCTCCTCAAACTGAGTTACGAGTCCAAACGCAAGACCCATTGGATATGGGACTGGATGACGAACCACCCCAGGATCGTTATTCCTTTGTTGGTCGCTCTACTGACCGCAGCCTCCGTCGCCGTGTTCGACCCCATCAGAACCTTCTTCATCAGGATGCACATCACCCACGGCCTTCACCTGGAAGATCAACGCATCTTCAAGTGGGTTAGAAGCTGGCTTCTCCGAGGCTACGACATCATCAGGTTCCGAAAATCGAATCGTGACGACGAAAACCTGAGGATTGTCTGGGAGGATCGCCAAGGTGCCATCAACCAGCTGAAAACGTGGTTGATTGAGACTGCAGATACGTTTATCGTTGTGCAAGGACCCCGCGGCGCTGGCAAGAAGGAATTGGTTGTCGACCAAGTCCTGAAAGATCGACCACACAAACTAGTGATTGATTGCAAGAAGATTCAGGAAGCCCGCGGAGACAGCAACACAATTGCTGCTGCGGCAGCCGAAGTAGGCTATCGACCGGTATTTTCTTGGATGAACAGCATCAGTAGCATGGTCGATCTCGCGGCAACAGCCACTATTGGCACAAAGGCCGGATTTTCCGAAACGTTAGACAACCAACTAGCCAAGATTTGGGGCAACACGACGACTGCGTTAAAGCAGATTGCATTGGAACCGCGCAAAAAGGATGACAAAGACGCGCAATTGGCGGACGACGAATGGTTGGAAGCTCATCCGGAGTATCGACCAGTGGTGGTGATTGACAATTTCTTGCACAAAAACAACGAGGGTACCAATAGTATGGTCTATGATAAACTGGGAGAATGGGCTGCTATTTTGACGACGCAGAATATTGCCCATGTGATTTTCCTGACCACGGATGTGTCCTTCTCCAAGTCACTGAGTAAGGCACTGCCTGACAGGGTGTTCCGGCAAATCACGCTGAGTGACTGCACTCCTGAAGTGGCAAAGAAGCTGGTCATCAAGCACCTGGACGCTGACATCGCAGAAGACGGTGCTTCGGGTGAGGGGAAGATTAGTCCGACACAGATGAGAAGTGATCTTGATGAGCTGGATGGAGTGATCCAAGTGCTCGGAGGTCGCTTGACTGACCTCGAATTCCTTGCGCGAAGGATCAAGACAGGCGAATCACCCGGAAGTACGTGACTGACCTCTGTTCCCTGTTCGATCATTACTGACAAATGCATCACAGAAGCGGTACGCCAGATCATTGAGCAATCCGCCTCGGAGATCCTGAAAATGTATCTTCTGGACGTCGACATTTCAAGCCGCAAATGGACGCCTCAGCAAGCATGGTTAATCATCAAAGAGCTTGCTGCAAACGAGACACTTAGATACAATGAGTTGCTTCTGAACGATCTCTTCAAAGACGGCGAAACCGTGCTGCAAGGACTCGAGCAGGCCGAACTGATCACAATCACGTCCAAGAACGGACGGCCGTACAGCATCAAGCCAGGGAAACCGGTGTACCAATCCGCGTTCGAGTATCTGACCGAGGACGACGTGCTCCGAGCGAGACTGGATTTGGCGATTCTGTCGCAATTGATCGGCATGGAGAACAAGAACGTGGAGAAATTCGAGGCGGAGCTGAAGACGCTGGCAGAGATGCCTGGAACGCCCAGCGAGCTAAAGCCCCGGATCAAATGGTGTCTGGGCAAAGCGATGGCGAGCCAGGAGAAGATCATGAAGTACGAGGCACAGAGCGGGAAGTTGAAGAAGGTGCTTGCCGAGCAGTTTTGAGCCCAGTGTTTGCTGGAGAGATGTCAGCTATTCTCCTCAGTTCTTGTTGTTCGATAGCCTTGTCGAGCGTGTGAATATATAGGTATATATATATATATATATGTACTATACTGTTATCCTCTCGCCACAAACGCATACTCATCAACTTCTCCGAGGGCGTTGATTCCCTGCTCTCCGACAGGCCTAATTTGGAGACTTGTACTTGTAGGATTCTCCCTGGGTTGGAATTGCCGCCCGTTGATTCGATGAGTCCAACATATGGCCCCATGTCAGCACCTTGTCACTCGGAAACCGTGGGACCGAGTCGCTACACACGCGCCAAGGCTTGATATGGGAAGCAACGCCCAATTGTCAGGCTGCCCATAGCCCTGGCACAACGTCTACACGCACCTATGGGGGTCACAGGAGGCCTTATACAAGTCCTTCGAAATGCATGAGCCCAACGCAACCAGAAGAGGACTAAAATACGACATATACGCCCCGCGTTAGTCTTTGTCACTCGTTCCTATCTCACCAGTTCCAGTTCGACTTCAGTCTCGGGTCTTAGGGAGAGACACATCATCAACATAGATCCAATCTAGCCGTCTCGTTAACTTCCCTTGGGTTTCCTGTCTTCGCCAGCGGTCTTTGGTTGACAAGGGGCCATTCAGCTCGAACCGCGCCGGGAGGTTCTCGCAAAGATGGATACCCCCTTACAAGAGCGAAGCTCCTCCTTTCTCCAACAGGCCCTAACGGCAGGCATCCAACATCCCTTTCAAACCCTCTTCGCCGTCGCGTTCGTCATCTGCGTCGTCACCCGCATCATCTCCGGTCTACAGTACCGCTCCACGGTCCTAAAACAAGCCGCGGATGGCGGGTCGAACGGCCCTCGAACCGTGCCCATTCTCCCATACTGGATCCCATGGCTCGGCCACGCCGTCTCGTTTGTAGCGGGCGGGACGGATTTCCTGACGCGCGCGGCACGTTCACTGGGGCCCAATGCGTCCATCTACGCCCTGAAGATGGCCAACACCAAGCACAACGTGGTCACGGTGCCGAGTATCGCGCGCCAGATCCTGATCGACCGGACCAGCCCCATCACCATGAACGACTTCATCCTGCACACCATGAAGAACTTCTGGGACGACCGCGGCGCGATCAAGGCCATTGAGCCGGACCACCTGTGGGGCAACATTCATGGGGTCTTGTCCAGCATGCTGCGCGAGAGTTTCGTCACCTCGGCCATCAGCGGCACGGTCGACATGGTCGCCGAAAGGACGTGGAACTTGGTCTCGGGCGCACAAAGTCCCGTGGACCAAAGCATCTGGGAGCGCCACGGCGGGGTGGAAGTCCTCTCACGGGGCGACGGCGACGGCCCCTTAATCGCCGAGGCCAGTCTCTTTCCTCTGCTGCGGTACTTCGTGGGCGACATTGCCACCACGGTCCTGTTCGGCAAGGATTTCATGGCAAACTACCCAAACATCATGCCCGACCTGTGGGAGATGGACTCGCAATTCAACCTCTTCATGGCCGGAGCCCCCTCGTGGTTTCCCGGGATGAGTGGCCCTTCGCAGGCAAGAGAACGCATCATCCAGGCCGTGCAGGAACACCACGAAGCGCTCTTCAAGTACCTCGACGGCCAAGACCCCGGAAGTCGCTGGAACGACATGTCGGACGTCTCGTCCGTCATTGTCGATCGAGCCAAAGCATTTCGAGAAGGGGGCGCCGTGCCACGAGGCTATGCCACGGGTAACGCGGCCATCCTGTGGGCCATGAACATCAACGCCAACCCGGTCATCTTCTGGATGACGTGGTACATCTTCTCGACCCCTTCCTTGCTCGAGGAGATCCGAGCCGAGGTCGCGCCCTATGTGCGTTTCCACGCGCCACCTCCCAACGGCCTACCGATCCAAGAGCCGCCCAAGTTGGACATCGACATCACCGCGCTGTGGACCAAATGTCCGCTGCTGAAGGGCGCCTTCTTCGAGACGATGCGCCTGGAGGCCGCGAGCATGTCGTACAAGATGGTCGAGGACGACTTTGTCGTGTACGAGAACGACGAGGATGCGCGCCTGCTGGGCAAACCCGCCCCGCAGAGCTGGCTGCTCCGCAAGGGCGAGTACATTTGTTTGCCGCACGGCGTGCACCAGAGTGACGACAAGTACTTCCGCGACCCCGCGAGGTTCGACCCGCGCCGGTTCTGGGCCAAGGACAGCCTCCAAGTCGAGCACGGCGGCGGCGGCGGCGGCGGCGGTGAAAAGGACCCCGAAAAGCCCGCCGACGACGGCGTCGTCAGGGTCGAATACGGCACCATGAAAGTCTGGGGCGGCGGCAAGCAAATGTGCAAGGGCAAGACGTTCGCCGAGCGCGAGGTCGTCCTCTTCGCCGCCGCCATCGTCATGCAGTGGGACCTGGTGCCCCTGAGTGACGGTGGGAGGTGGGTGCATCCGGGCCGCAAGATCGGCGCCGGGGCCGTCAATCCCAAGAAGGATGTGAGGGTGAGGTTGATCAGACGGGAGGGATGGTGAGAAAGGGGGAAAAATAATGGGGAGGAATGGATGGATGGATGGATGGATGGGTGGGTGGGTGTTCGAGAAACACCGGGATAGGGGGTCACACTTCGGGAAGCGATGAAAGGGCGTTACATATGTGTGTATCTCACTACAAGGCTGGAAATTGCTGCATGGCAGTACCACGTACCTACCTAGGTACATTACTTGTGAACCCATCCAATCTACAGTATCCCTGTGGGTGCCTGACCTGGCCTTTCACTCGACATGCCTTGAGAAGCAAGGTCACCTCCATACCTGGCATGCCTGGTGGGAGAGCGTGGGTCGAGAATCACCATATCACCAACAAGAAAGTGACTACCATACAGCTTTACGAGGGTAGCTAGTGTTCTGAATATACGGTGGCAGTGTTATGGTCCCTATATGGCTCAAACTCACCTATCCATCTATCCTTCTGTTTTCACTACCAACTTGGGGAATTATTGACACCACTCCGTGCCTGTTTCTTGTCCTTCGTCCTCCTCGAAGGTCGTATTCCTTGCATGATGGAATCGATCTGCTGTGACTGATCTGATCTGATCTGATCTGACCCGTCTTGCAGCTTAGATGAGCTGCACCGTGGGCGTATCATAGCCTGTTGAGACGGTGAAGATGTAAGGCGATGCTTGTGACCGGCATGGGCCTTGATGCGGCCGAGTCAGCGTGTCAGCTGTGTGCTTGAATTCTATATTGTCCGTATTTGATCCATGTACCGCTGTGCAAAGCGGTGATGGACATACTGCAAGTAAGAATGATGATGGTGATGACCTGATGATCTGATGTTGCCGATCCTGGGGTCAGCTTCGGCCTTAAAGCTGCCCGCTGTTCCCTGCGAACGGCACTGGCTGGACATGTGCTGTACAGACATAGCAGGGCCGAATAATTAATAAACGCCGCTGGGTACGGCTGACGGACAGTCCAGGAAGAGTACGGAGTAAGACGGCGCGCATCATGTCGCATGACGAACGTATTGACGACCAGCTCCCCTGTGCACCTGGCAGTCCCTTGCTTTGCTCTGCTGTCGAGAGAAAAGCTTACACCTCAGGTAAGCCATCAGATTCGAAGCTCTAGCGGCCTGAATGCGAGAAGGACGGAGGACGAGGCTCTCTCTGTGTGTGTATGTGTGCTCCTCAATGCAAAAAATGGCGTCCAGCTGCCTGTTCCAGCTACTCGGTGCGCATGTCTGTAGTCTAGACTTCGCTTGCCGCGGACCACAAAAGTCATGAGCTCGGACGAACCAGAGACTGCAGTGTTGATTGGGTCACGCATCGTCCTGGACTCGCACCGAGGACCAAGCCTTGAACGCTTTCCGCTTTTGCTCGTGTTGAATTGTCCAGCTTCGCCAGATCGCTAGATGGCGGGGCGTCGACCATCGTCCAACACATGCCGCAATTGCCGACTGGGTTTCTCAGAGGGGCAATACGAGGTGCATCACACCCGCAACATCGCCTGGCATCAAGAGACAATGTTTTTTCAGCCGTGGCTTGCGGTCGACCAACCGTGACCAAGTGTCGGAGACACAATGTCCCCATTCATACATACGGAGTCCATACACGTTCTTCCGCTTTGTCACCCGCCAAAGCCTAATCCAGGCTCCCCATACTAGAGCCATTCGTTTGCTAGTGAGGCTGAGTCAAAGGAAGGAGGGGGAAGAATCTCTCCATGCCGTAACACCATCCAAACACCGCAGCGGTCAGGCCCTCTCGGGACCCTGGCGGGCGAAACGCGACGAACCAAACACGAGCTTGTGCAATGCAGCGAATGATGGAGTAGTATAGAGACAGCGGCGGGCGTTTGGTCGATGCAGAGAATTTGAATCTCCAGAAATGACGAGAGCTGACCGGTTGCCTTGAACGCGCATGACTGACGCATTTCTCGATCGTCTACTGGAACGCATCAAAGGATGAAAAAAGGCGCGTCAATGCAGGGCAGCCACCGCCATCCCAGGCCAGAAAAGAGTAAGAGAGAACAAAACGACTGCCCAATGGAGGGCTCGTGATCTTATGCTTGAAGAGCTTCTAGCCTGGTCGAATTCGTATCACCCCGTCCCCTCTTGGCTCCAATCGCAGGGATGCTGGATTGATGGCAGGAACACAGCTCCTTTTGGAAGCTATGAGCTGAATGCATCGGGCGGGGCGAGTCCACACGAGGCAAGGTGAGCTAGGGTGAGCTCAGGTAAGGTCAGGCTACATAAGGTGAGCTGAGCCGCGATGTTGGCCCTGAGCACCATGATAAGAAGAGAAAGACCCTCGAATTCAGACTCTCGTCTCACAAGTCTGCGCTGAACCTCGCTCTCGCGGACAGCAACTTCGACCAAAGAAATTGTTCGCCTGCTGCCGCTGCCAGAATAAGAGAAGGAGAAAGATAGAAGAGATCTGGGTCGAACCTGCAAATTGGGGTGCCGACTTCTTGCCTCCCCGCGACATTCAAAAGCCCTCCTTTGAGCGTCAACCGAACTTGTCGGAGTGTCCTGTTCACCCTTTCGTCCTTGAAGACAACCTCCCACCTCACCGACATCGAAAATGCGTTTCAGCAACTTCCTCCTCGCCGGCCTTGCGCTCGTCCTGCCTGTCGTAATTGCTAATCCTGTACCCAAGACCGTCGAAGAGATTTGTTCTCCTCCACTGCGAGATGATAAACTTGTCAAGGTTAGTCCATAGTTCTGTCATGGTACCTGCACCGCCGCCCTTTTTTTGTCCGGCAGCTCTGCCATGGTTGTGCCCACCCAGAGATACGTGATGGTATCATTTGTTTTTCCCGTCCGATTCCATGTTTTGGCGAAAGAGAACAGAGAACCTGGCTGATCTCCTCTGGGTGTTGTAGCGACTGAATACCGGTCTTTGCGTCGACCAACACTGCGTGGTGGATTTGGATACTGGGAAAACCTGCATCACCGCCTACTGCACCCTGGCTGGCAAAGAGGGAAAGCAGTGCCATTGTGTACCATTGACAGATTAGGCACGAGGTAGTGGGTTGGAAAGTCGAGGTTGTTTGCGACCGAGAGGTAGATTTTGTGGCTGTCTTTTGACCTGAGGAGGTGACGGAACACGCCCCATTTGGCATGCATGCTTTGCGTTGAGAAAAAAGCTCGGGTCGGCATATCGCATAACGGTGATGCATGAGAGGGCGTCCGTGGGCTTTTCATGGAGCGCAGTCGAGTTCTGTCAGAGTATTTGAGCCCCTTGTTTGGGAGTTGCACGCTCTTCCGGAGTTAATCAATCTCGTTGAACGGCGTGTTCCAAAATATTCAAGCGAGGCTTGTTCCCAAAGATAAACCTCGTTGCTAGGAACGTTCACGTCTCTTTCTGTGCCCCATCCACCATAGGAATTTCAGCCTGCTCGCCCGCCTTCATCAAAGCCGATGCTCTCGGGGTTCTGACCCTCCTCTTTCGTCTCTTCTTCCACCTTGCGATTGCCACTGGCCCCTTCCCCAATCCCGTCATCACCCACGCCTTTTTCCAAGCCCTCGCAGTGCCTCAACATCCACTCGGCACATTCCTTTGCACCGTCCTTGGAACTCATCTCCGCTTCCACCACGGCATCTCTGCCTGCTTCATTGACGATGGTCGGATCCGCTCCGGCCTTGACCAGCGCCTGAACCACATCCAGGTGCCCGTTCATCGCAGCCCAATGCAAGGGCGTGTTTCCCGACACATTCCTGTGGTTCACGAGCGAGGGGGCGGATTTGTCGGCCGTCGTCGCAGAAGGACTCGCGCCGAGCGAATCGGACGGCGTAAGCAGCGACAGCAGGTGCGTGATGATCTCGAGGTTGCCGTTCGCAGCGGGGTAATGGAGCAGCGAGGACTGCGATCCCAGACCGTCGGCGTCGATGTCGATAGACGAGGCGAGCAGGATCGAGGGTGGGCAGTTGTGCGTGGTGCAGAGCTGCGTCACTAGCGACATCAAGCTTGCCAGGTCGCCGGTGCGGGTCAAGTAGATGAGGTCGTCGAGTTCATCGGGCGTGGGTGTGGGGAGCGTTGTGGAGGGCATTATTGTTTCCCTTTATTCTCTTTCTGGGGTGGAGCTATTGAACCGGCTCTGAAGCTGGTGGCAATTGATTGACAATGTTTGCTGAAGGGTCCAAACGAGGGAGGAGGGAGGAGAAAGGAAGCGTTGATCCGCAAGAAAAGTTCCGTTGTTGTCGAGAGAGAGAGAGACGAGGTGTACGAGGTGTATGTTTGGGAGAAATAAAAAATTATGGCCCACAACTGCAAAAAGGACCCAATTGTGCAGGTTGACGAAGTGACGTCAATTATGCAATGAGGGAAAACTCCAAAACCCCACGGGAAACTTTTATTGAAACATTTCCTGGGTGCAAGGCTGTGAATGGTCCCAGCGAGCCAGACAACCACTGTCTACACACGCCTACAAGTAAGTTTCTCAGACAGGAATACACGGCAAGAACCACGGAACGGAAAGAATGTGCTTTGATCGATTGGCATTGTTATCTTGCTTTGGATGATTGTCATTATGTAGACTGATCCGCTCTATGGATACTCTTCTCGACATGTTTCACCCACAGGGGGCGACTCATGCGGACGTTTTCTTCGGACACAGATGCAGCTGTACTCGTCAGAGCCATTCACGTAGACAAGACAGGACCGTCTGAAGAGACGCACAGACATCGTTGAACCACACATAGAACTGAATAGTCGACTGATCAGTTACTCTGAACATCTATCCCTTCTCATGCATCGGATGTGCGTCCGATGTAGTCGACCGGTTGTTTCCTTTTTTTGGTGTTTTTGAGGTCGGTGTCTGAAGCTCATGTGTTTTCGCTCGGTCGTGATTCCGTGAAGTCGAGCAGTTGGATCCAACGTCCAATTACTGGCTTTCGTCAAGGCGTGCGTCCAAGATTCATCCCGTTTTGTTCAATTCTTTTTCTCGCCAAGGCAAAATCCTGCATGGCAGGTTGAGCGAGATCTTCAGAGGCCGCTTGGAAGAGGCATTCACGAGGCCAGCAGGAATCCCACTGCTTTGGGTCGAAACGAGTTTTCGCCAAGCGGTTTTATCACTGTTGCAAAAATTGTGCCGTTCCAGAGTGCGAAACGTCGCTCGTTCAAGGATTCAACCCGCCTGCACATCAGGCAAGCGGACTGCGATGTCTCCGGACTGTGTGATGTATCGGACCCACGGCAGGGAAGGATATTGCAACTGCAAGCAATTAGAGGTTGACTCTGACAGTAAAGGTTGGGTTACAAACCTTGGGCTCAATAATCTTCAAGTATCGCACCTGAATACCACTGGTGGTGAAGTAGGGAATCTCAAACTTGACGTTGATGGGTCTCTTGGCCTTTCCTTCTCCTGAAATGCCGCCCATACTGCCACCAAAACCGCCGGTCATGCCGCCACCACGCTCGTCATCTCCCTTGACACTGGGAAGGCCTAGTTCCGCCCGCATGAGGAATTCTTTGCCGCCACCGAACTGTTTGATCTTCCAGACAATTGCAGATTTCTCCGGTGCATAGTGCACAGAACCGATGTTGGTTCGAAATCTTGGGGTATCGGCATCATCAGGGACAGGGATGCTGATCTCGACGTTGTTGGCAGTCGATCGTCGCTTGAACTGGGCTTTGGCTTTCAACATGTATTCGATCCTTGAACCAGAATGGGATTCCACAACGCACTCAACCCAGATCAGTGGCTTCACTGCTGTATTGAGTCGATAACTCATCAGCTCAAATTCCCCATCCGGAGGAATGAAGCTGATGGTACGGTCGTTCTCGAAGCGGGACAATCTCACACACTGGTGGAACTTGACATCTTCCATTTCGACAGCCTTGCCACGCGTAGATCTTCCAGTGGTCTCGAACATGACCTTATCATTCAAGCCAAGGCGAAGTTCTGGCATGCCGGAAAGATAACACTTCATCTTGATCGCACCCAGAATCTCCGATCGCAGGACGTTGCCAGTGGATGACACCAGGAGGTTGAGAGACTCAATCACGTCGAGGAACACCTCATTCTTGCGATATCTGATACCTTCGCTTCTCCAAGAGACGGCGTTGGTGACAGCAATGGGAGGGCGTGCCTGCACTTCCAGCTTGTGGGATTCTTGAGTGATGTATTCCTGGAGGATCTTGGACTCGGTGGTTTGAGGGTATCCAAAGTCCATCATTTCGTCAAGCAGTTCATAGATGACGACGAAATTGTCTCGGATTGACTCCTCTTCCAGCTCTTTGAAGTACTCAGTAAAGACCTCGACGATCTTGTGGAGGAACAACAGAATCTCTGCCGCATTGGTGTTGCGCTTGGTCAGGGCGAGGAGGTAGAGATTGTTGTGGCGGATGTAGAGGTACTGCAGATTGGTCAGTCGGATTCGTAGACATTGAGGGTACTGGCGACCAACATTGATGCCCTCATCAGAGAAACATGGCGGGACTGCAGAAGACTCTTCCTCGGCTTCGGAAAGAAGGATTGGGAATTTCTCCACAGCAGACATGGGAATATCACCACGATAATTGCGAGCAAGAAGAGTCTGGTTTTGTCAGTATCCCATGTCATCTTGTCCAGGCTCGTTCTGTCGCTCACCTTGCCCTTCAAGTCGAGGAAGAAGATCGCAGACGCCATTGCGCTTGGAAGCTCCGAAGAGAGGAAGGGTCGAGCTGGAGAAGCAAGCAAGTTTCAATGAGATGATGAGCAGGTTAGGTTGATGAATGAGAGAAAGAGCGCATCGCCTTGGAGAGGATGCGTGGAGGGGGAGTGGTGGTTGACCGCGATATAATTATTTACGTGGAAATGGAAACGTTTACGTTTACGTTGACACTCCGCAGGCGGAGATCATCCCACATTGCATTGTACCAGACCCAAGTCTCAGCCTCGCGAAATGCGGCTAGCCGTTGAACCTGGTGCAGCCTGGTGCAGCCTTGTGCCAGTTTAAAAAGCGGCGGGCTACTCGCAACCCTGTACCTATGTGATTCGCTACGACTTTGCCGGAACGAACTCTAGGCGGCGGTGTAATTATCAGCCTCTTTTCACCCAACTGCTCAATCCGTCCACCTTCAGCCAAGGTGTCCTTCCTTTTCTTACCACCATGGACCAATTATGTACCGCTTTGACCAGGTCAAGTGCCCTGCTGTATCTGGCATGTCAACTGGACGCCGTGATACGAGCACGCCTGGTTTTTGGACCCAGGCGCGCCGCAATGAGAGCCCCTATTCAGAACTAGGCGCGCTGCGCGTCACAGCATGTCAGCCTCAGTAAACGAGGACGGAGTCACCTTGGTGATCCCTGGGTTGCGTCGGTGAGAGTACTTGAGCTGCTCGTTTCTTCCCCTCCGTCCTCGATCTGAAGGGATGCATGGTCGAACTTGATGTCCTCCTTGAGCGTGAGAGGCTAGGCGGCAAACCGAGCCCTTCAATTCTCCGCCCGTGGTGTCCTCGATGGCTGAGCACGGCATAGGGGACGAGCACGCTCATGACGACGACCTCACCAGGGCCAAAGCATGGTGCCTCTATCTCTCACACTTCCTGTCTATGTGGAATTCGCGCACCTACGAGTATGCCGCTGTAGGTCTCTGCTCTTCGAATACCCTCCAGCTGTTCTGTGCTAACCCACAGGTCAGATTCTCTTCATCCAAGCTGCTTTTCCGGGTAACCTGTTGCCATCCGCTATTAAGTATGCGATCCCCCGCGATCGGCCCGCTTCTCCGCTGACGCAGTCTTCAGTGGCATCGCCGAAACCGTCTGTGTCATTGTCTCTTCGTCGGCCATGGGCCGCTGGGTGGACGGCGCGCCAACTCGGTTGCGACCGCTTCTCCTCACCATCTTCGCGAACCGCACCACCCTCGTCGCTTGTTGTATCATGTGGCTCTTGCTGTTCTCCACCCCGGACGAGACCCTGAGGAGGGTTCTGTTCGCCGCCATCCTGGCGTTGGGCATGGTGGAGAAGGCATCGAGGATGGCCAATATTCTCAGCATGGAGAGGGACTGGGTGCCGACACTGGCAAATGCCGATGGCGAGGACTATAGCCTGACACACATGAACACTGTGATGCGACGAATCGACATCACATGCAAGTTCCTAGCCCCTCCGGCAATATCGGGCGTCGTGGCGCTACTAGATTCGGTCCCTGCTGCAATGGTTATTGCTATTGTGAGCTTCACAAGCCTTGTGCCGGAATACTGGGCGGCAATGAGAGTGTGGAAGAACAACGGCAGATTAAGGGGCGCAAAGAAAGATAAGCGGAGCTCCAGCGGCGATCTCGAACTGGATCGGTATTGCCAGCCAGAGTCCCACACCCACCCCTCTGACGTCCATGTTCTTCAAAGGCTCCTTGCCAAAGGTGAAGAAGCCCTCAGAATTGCACGCAGTATCACTAGGGATCACATCGAAGGGCTGTCCTACTACTTCAGCACGACCGTGTGGCTCCCTTCCATATGCGCGGCCGTGCTGCACGCCTCGGTTCTTGCCTGGTCCGGCACCCTCATAACCTGGCTCCTGAACGCAAACTACACGTTGGCCGAGATCACTGTCGCCAAGGGAGTCGGTTCTGTCTTCGAAATCGGAAGCACAGTCGTGTTTCCTTGGGCGGTGAACATGTTCTCGACGACATGCTCCGACGCCCTCGCCACGGCCTCATACCAAATGATCGAACGGCGCAGCGTGGACGACGAAGGCGAAAGCGAAGACGAAGTCTACGACTGCCAGGCTCAAGGACCTCCCAATAAGCTTCGCGGCGACGTTACGAAAGAGAGCCAATTCATTGGTAGTCGTAACCTGCACGTCGGCGTCGTCAAGGCTGCGCTGTGGGCTCTCTCGGGGCTGCTCATCTTCCTCGTCCCGACCATCATTGCGCTCTTCTATCTGAACAGCCGCCTCGTAGACGCGCACCCGGCTGTGGACGACACAACCACGTCGCCGCTGCCGACGTACACACTGTTCACAGTAGTGTTCTTCACGTTTCTGTCCTTCTCGTTCCTCGGGCGATGGATGTATGACTTAGCGGTTATGCAGCTGACGCAGATGCTCATCCCGGCCGCGCACCGCTCGTCGTTTGGAGGCGTGGAGCAGGCGCTCGTGAGCTGTGTCAGCCTCGTCCATTGGGTTGCGGCGGCGATCTGGCACCAGCAGGGCGACTTTGTGTGGCTCGCTTTGGGGAGCTTTTGTGCCATCGCTGCTGCGACAGCGGCTTTTACGTGGTGGGCTAGGCGGTGGACAAGGGACGCCGTTGTCTACAGCACAAGCGCTAGATCAAGCTGAGGAGATAGGAGTAAAATACCGATAGAGGGAGGCATTCCTGAACTGTCGCGCTGCGCTGGACAGCTGTGTTATAGAATTCGCTGCACATAATATATCTCACAAAGTCTGTCTCCATGATGAAAGGTCACTCCGCATCTCTCGTCTAATTAGCACCCTTTTCGTGCAATGGACAAATCCTCCGATTCGTTTCATCACTATAAAACACGCGCAGTGAAGTTGAAAGATTAACGGCGCGCCAAGCAAATCGATTCGCCCACAGCCTCGCCTCCATAAATAATTTCTCAAACTTCTCTGACCTTTTTCCCCCTTTCCACATCAAACGCGCCCGAAAGACAGTGCAATGCAGCATCTTTGCCTGAGATCGCGGACATTCTGTCCCCAGTCTTATGGTTTTTACTCAATTGCCGAACTTTGCGATTTAGAGACGCGGAGACCAATCGAAGTTTTTATTTCGTGGACGGTGCCATAAGAGCTGGCTGAGCATAATTTTTTGACGGTTGCTTAGGCGGTGTCAGAGGCCCCAAACATATGTTCTAATTTTCTGTACATGCCATGATGATGGTATAATGCCAATAGCTGTTAATACACATGCAAGAGTGAAGGCTTCCTTCTCTTCATGGCGCCGGCTGCGCGAGCTCTGCCTTGGGTTTCCAGTTAAATTTCAGCCCAAGCGGCACGAGCACCTTCTCCTTTGCTATTTGGTTCGCAACGGCACCGCCTTGTTCCAGGGCTAGAGCGCCGATGATGGCGAGGATGGCTTGCGAGTAAACTAGTTCAGAGCCAGATGCTTGAAGACGTTCGGGCTGTGGCAAGAGGTTAGTGAAGCGGACGAGGAAGGGATGTAATCGAAGGACGTACATCTCTGGGATGCCACCGTACTACTTCCGGTAAGCCGTACTGTTCCGCCAGAGTCGAGAGTTGCTTGTGACTTGTAAACCAATGATGAGCGCCACCCAAGAGGCACTCCACGGATTCAGTTGCAGGGTGTCGAAAGGGTTCGCGCCCATGGGGATCCTGCTCGTAGCTCTTCAGGTAGCGTGAGGCATCCGCGACGCTTATCAGCGCGAGAGAGCATTGGAGCTCGAGTATTCGCTTGCCTGTAGCACTTCCATCAGCATTTGGACCACAGAGAACAGCTGGGAAACGTGATGCCCTTTACCGAAAAATGCGAGCCGGTCGTTGAATCCTCTCCTTCCAGCGTCGAAGGTCTTGTGCGTGACAGCCAGCCATTTGGTCTCTTCCGACAGCATTTTGTCTCCGTCTCTTCCCAAAAACTTGACATAGAAATCATCTAGCTTCCGCTGGTCCTTATTGATCTTGAGAGGTGTTTGTATCCGGGGTGGTCGCACGCGCACAGGGGCCTTCAGTGCTGGGGGCGTTTGGGCCCAACGCGGAGGGTTTTCTGCATCGACTTCCATCTCTGAGAGATTAGGAGTTGCCGTCGAGACATGGCGCGAATGTCGGGTGGATTTGCAGAATGCTTGCCGGAAGCGAAGATGGTCGCATGACGGTCCTGGTCTGGTGGTTCGGAGGAGGTCACCAATGATGCGGCCGGAGGTAGGGGTCCTGGAAGACATGGAGGGAGTCTAGGCGTTAAAGACGTGACAGATGATGAGCAGCAGTCATATCATACTGGACCGACGCGCATTTCATTGAACAGAGGCTGAACTGATCTTTGCTTGGGAAAATCAAGTTCAGCTGCAGCGTGGATGGCCGACCGTAGCAGCGGAGCAGAAATCATTGAAACGCAACCCGGGAAATAACTAGAACTGAGGTTTGTCCTTATCCATTTTTTTCCTGTTCTACCAGTAAAATGTATGTACATAGCCATGGTCCCAATCAACAATACTCTCAATATGACCTTTTCTTCGGCGGTACAGTCTGGCATTCCTGCTCATCGAGGGTGGAAAAGATCACATCCCGGTAGCCAATGGCTATGTCTTGGCCGACATCCCTCTGCCAGCTCAAGGAATGCCGCATGAACTTCTGATCATCTCTTTCTGGGAAATCCTCGCGAGCATGAGAGCCGCGCGACTCCTTTCTTTCGAGTGCACTCTTGGCGGTTTGGGCAGCACATGTCAGAAGATTGCGCAACTCCAACGTTTCCACGAGATCGGAGTTCCAGATGAGACTCTTGTCTTTCACGCAAACGTCTGCATTGAAGTCCTTTTCCACTTGTTGAAGGTTCCCGAGGCCTGTCGTCAAACTTTCTTCCGTTCGGAAGACCGCTATGTCGTTCTGCATGTTCTTTTGCATGTCCGCACGAAGCTCAGCCGTCAACCTCTCTCCGTCGGCGTTTCGCAGGCGTTCCAGGTCAACAAAACCCTCCACCCCTGTCTCCGACGAGACGCTGCCCCCATTCCTGAGGAACGGCATTCCTTTCTCATTGTTTTCAGCGATGTGTCCGGCAGCAGCCCGGCCGAAGACGACAATATCTAGCAAGCTGTTGGCTCCCAGGCGGTTAGCGCCGTGCACCGAGACACAGGCAACCTCTCCAGCCGCATATAGACCTCTGACAGCAGTCTCTTCTCCAGTGCTTGGGTCCACATCTAAAACTTGGCCTTTCCAGTTTGTAGGTATGCCTCCCATACAGTAGTGTCTTTGGCCGAAGAAGGGGTGCGGTTAGTTTGCATCTCTCAGCATTCGAAGGAAGACTTACACAGTTGGTAAAACAGGAATCGGCTGTTTCGTCACATCCACACCCGAGAAAATGCTGGCAGTCTCTGCAATTCCTGGCAGCCTTTCCATGAGGATCTCTCTTGGCAGATGTGACAGCTGGAGGAAGATGTGATCCTTGTCTGGACCACACCCACGGCCCTCTCTGATCTCCATGTTCATGCTCCGACTCACGACGTCACGGCTTGCAAGATCTTTGGCTGTTGGAGCATAACGTTCCATGAAACGCTCTCCTTCGCCGTTTAGCAGATATCCCCCTTCACCTCTGGCGCCCTCCGAAATCAGAACGCCAGCGCCATAAATGCCGCTGGGGTGGAATTGTACAAATTCCATATCCTGAAGAGGGAGGCCAGCTCTTGCAGCCATTGCTAGGCCGTCGCCGGTTGAGGTATGTGCTGAAGTTGCACTAAAGTAACAGCGACCATAGCCACCCGTGGCGAGAATAGTGTTCCTGGCAAAGACACGATGAAAGGTGCCCGTTTCCATGTCAAGCGCCGTCAGCCCGATACAATTCTTCCCGTCCATCATCAGGTCCAGTGCAAACCACTCGATATGGAATTGGCAGTTATGCTTGAGGGCCTGGCCATACAGTGTATGCAGCATAGAGTGGCCGGTTCTATCAGCCACACATGCGGTCCGGTGGGCCTGTCCACCGGTGCCGAAATTCAGGCTCTGCCCTCCCAAGGGACGCTGATAAATTGTGCCTTGCTCGGTGCGGCTGAATGGCATTCCGTACTCTTCGAGTTCTCTCACAGCTCTGGGGGCCTCGCGGCACATGTAATGGATCGCATCTTGGTCACCCAGCCAATCTGACCCTTTGACCTGCACCTCGTTATTCTGGAAAGTCCATATCGAGTATGATGGTGACTTGAAGATCGTTTCTGCGTCACTGGCTTTGTTTTGGTGATCAACTTACCGTATCGTACATGTGCTTAAGCCGGTCAAAAGAATCAATCAGCGTCTTCCTTGGGAATATTGATACAATGAGACTATCCTCGCTTTTGTGACTTACCCATTTCCAATCATCCTCGTGCATGCTTCGCAGGTGTCAGTGAAAATGTTTGAAACCGACCTGGGGGATGTCACTCACTTCGCTAGGGCAGCATTGATCCCCCCTTGGGCGGCCACTGTATGAGACCGTGTTGGAAACAACTTGGTCACAACAGCCGTGTCGAGTCCGCTCTCGACGAGGCCTACGGCGGCTCGAAGTCCGGCACCCTATTGTTTTCATGGATCTCTCGTCAGTAAATAGGTCAAGGAGTAAGAGCATACAGCACCCAGGAAGTAAGGCTCAGAGGCAACAAACGACGCTGCAAAGGGGTCCCTTGGTCCGCCAAATACAGCGACGCCTGACATCGAATTTAATTCAGGTCACATACTCCTGCACCAACTACTACAGCGTCATACTGGTGGTCAATCACTTCAAATTTGTTGTTGATGGCCTTTAGCGACGAGGTGGTCGCGCGCCGACGTTGGTGTAGCTTGCGTATCTGAACACGAGACATCCATCGCGGAATCTGTCTTGAACAAGACGATTGCAGGCCGAGAAAAGTTCGAGGTGATAGAGGTGGATTCGAGGCCTGGCGCCATGCTTTCAAAAAACACTTCATGTCCGTTGCGAGAAAATTACCCTCTTCTATTTCACCAGATGCAAGTTGCGAAAACAACAGACTCAAGAGACTCCAGACGAGCACAAACTCGAATCTCCGAGATGGTCTCGAAACCTGGGATTCGAGATCGGTGGCACCAGTGGTGGACAAGGAATTGCTAATCTGGGGTCCTCCGAGATCGCATTGCCGTCTCGGAGTCTGGCTAATTTTCTTCTCCTCATTCTCCCGAGAAACCGGCAAGGGGCGTCACCGGTCTGCAAAGTATGGGGAGTTCTCGTGGAGATGGGGTGCCTAAAAGTCTTGCAGGCACCGACTCTTCCATTGCGGCCCCTTTCTCCTACCGCAGCAAGCTCTTTCCCCTCCATGGATACAATCGGCATCGCATGACTGCTTTCGTTTCCAGAACCTCTTCTGCGATCAACTTGAGGCTCCAACTTCGCTTCGGTTCTGGAATTATCACCTCTTTTATCTATTCCCACCCAGCAACCAATGCTCAAGCTGCGATGTTTTTACGGGGAGTCACAACAGCACTGCGGGCTGTCAACGAAGGGCTTTCTCTGCACCGGTAATGCCGGGTTTGGGTTGAGGTACGAGCTCCTGGTCATGAAATCATCTAATATTGAGGGGTATTGAAAAGGTGCAGAAGAGCCTCCATAAGGTAATACCTTGCATGACTCCGCATAAAGGTATCAGTGATTACAGTCTTGGCTGAGCCTTGCCCATCGTATGCGGAGTCTGATATAAAGGGGACAAAGAAGGCGAGGCCAAAATGAGGGCATTCACCATGGCACCTGTCTGAGTTATAGGTACTGAGTATCCGTCTCGCCGTGTCCTCAGGATAGTTCATTGCCCCGAGCGAGGATCTCTTGAGGTGAGTCGTGGTGGGTATCCAGCCACTGCGGTCCAGACAGGGTCAACATTGTGCCCCTGGACCCTGGTAGGCCCGTAACCTGGCGAGCTGTGCAGCTGTCTTCCGCCTTTGCCGGACTCCTTCCTTTTTGCTTCTTCTTTTTCTTCTTCTACACCTACCATACTTGCTTCACTCAGCTGACGATCAACGATGCTCGCTTGGCTTATCTCTTTTGGTCAGTTCAAATGTTCTCGAACATCTATCAATGCCCTCTTCGTGGCTTTCCCTCCTCATCTGATTTGCCTTTGCCACGCACCGATCGTGCGAGGCATTCAACCCACTAACTGCATGGGCGATGGAGGGCCCATTCCCCAAGCCAGCCAATGCCCTTGGTGCTTAGGGGTGAATCATATCTGCACCGTCAGCCTAGAGCGCTCGGCCTGTTGGTAAGCTAGCAGAATTGAAGCAACTCAAGCCTTCCGCATTGGTTTTCAGAGCTTAGCTATCCACTTCGGTTATTCCAAAGCCCTGATTGCCCCTCATTGACCTGCCCTTGCCTGCACCTTTGAACCCTGGAAAAGCTCAGAGCTTTGTTCGTTGGCACTGTTATTGGATCAGACACGTTCTCGCTATGGTCGAATTGTGTCGCCAAAACATTTGGCACTGGGCTTTCATTCCCCCGTCTCTCGATCACGGACACCCACTTGTGATTTCGACGTCGCATCGAGAACTCCCCGCTGAAAAGCAACCTAGGGAGAAGCCGCCCAAGTCCGATGGCGAGGCCTGATGTCCGCGGGGTAATAGAGTTTTCCCCCTTGCTGTTTCTACACCTGTTCGTGCGAGCCACATCGTGCGAGAGCTAGGGCGATAAGAGATTCTCAGTCGCCCTTCGCTGACAATCTACTTATTACGGTAAGAGCCCCCGACCCCTCCTTTGTGTGATTCCTCCTTCTCCTCAGCCTCGAAGCACACGGTTGACCTTACAATACCGTGCTTGTGTAAAAACGAAGGTGTTGTTTGCGACTAGCCAAAGGTATAGTTTTGAGCTCTTTTAATATCCTGTCAGCTTTTATACCCGGAGCTCTCAGAGCAGGAACCTAGCAGTGTTGTTTCTGGCCTCTTGACGGGATTCCTCGCTAACGACTGGTTGTTCATCACCACTATAGCTCTTGTCACCATGCGCAGCTCAGCTCTTCTCCTCGCCTCTGTGGCGTGCTCGACTGCGTCGGCCGCCGAGACTGTCCTCGGCGTCTACATCTTTTCCAGACATGGGGATCGGACTGCAAAGGCAACACCGCCATCCGGTCTCACAGACCTTGGCTACGAGGTATGCAGATAACCCAAGCACCATTTACTTTACCTAGGTCTTTATGAAGACGGCATTTTGACCGAGACGGGAAAATCCAAACAACAGGAAGTTTTCACCTCCGGCACCTACTATCGCAGCCGCTACATCGCCAGCGATGGCAGCCGCCCCATCCACGGCATCGAGCCCGACGTTGTCAAGCTCTCTCAGATCACGGCCTCGGCGCCGCTCGACACCGTTCTCATGCCATCCGCCATGGGCTTCCTCCAGGGACTCTACCCACCCGTCGGCGAGACTTTGGGCAGCCAGACACTTCGCAACGGCACCGTCGTCCAGACTCCGCTGAACGGCTTCCAGCTTATTCCTGTGCAGACGGTTGCCAATGGCGCCGGCAGCGAAAACGCCGCCTGGTTGCAAGGGTCGACGAACTGCGCCAAGTGAGTTTCAGATGCGCTCGTTTTCCCTTATTCTTTGCCTGTTCCTTTCCTAGACCAGTGGGAGTGGAAAGACCACTTGACCCAGCTCATTGGGAAAGCTTCAATTGTGTAACGAAGAGATATATATGCTAACCATCTTACGTTTCGTCTTTTCTATAATATAGTGCCCAGATCAGCTCCAACAACTACTTCCTCAGTTCCCAATACAAAGCGACCTTGAACCGCACACAGGGCTTCTACAGGGACATGTATCCTTTCGTGAACCGGACTTTCACCGAGTCCCAGACTAGCTTCCAGAACGCATACACCATCTTCGATCTGCTCAACGTGGCTAGCATCCACAACGCCAGCATCCCCCTTCCCGACGACGCCGACTTCTTCCAACTCCGCACCCTAGCCGACCAACACGAATGGGGCCTTGCGTACAACGAGAGCGAACCTATCCGGGCCGTCACTGGCGCTGTAATCGGCGCCCAGGTGGTCCAGGCCCTTAACGGCACCATCAGCGGCAAGGGCCAGAACGTGTTCAACGTGCAGTTCGGCGCCTACGGCGGGATGTTCTCGTACTTTGGCCTGGCCAACCTCACGGCTGCCAGCCCCCTCTTCTACGGCGTTCCTGACTACGCCTCCAGCCTGGTGTGGGAGCTTGTGACGAACGCCACGGTGGGAAGCGGTTCCGCCGCCTACCCCTCGGCGGACGACATTGGCGTGCGCTTCTACTTCCACAACGGCACCACCTCCAACATCAGCGAGCCCGTCGAGTTCCCACTCTTCGGCACCGGCCGCTCTCCGATCCCCTGGTCCGAGTTCGTTGCATCCTCGAACAAATTCGCCATCGGCACGCAAGCCCAGTGGTGCCACGCCTGCGGCAACTCCACCGGCGTATGCAGCCCCAGCGCGCTGGGCGAGGGCAGCTCTAGTGACGTCGGGTCTTCCAGCTCCAGCACCAGTACGCCAAAAGACCATCACGGTGGCGGCATCAGCAAGGCTGTGGCCGGCGTGATCGGCGCCATGGTCACCCTGGGCGTCATCCTCGGTGCAGAACTGCTGATCATGCTGGTCGGCGGGCTCCGCCTCGTCAGCAAGCGAAGGCTCTCCCGGACCGCGAGCGATGGGTCCAGCGGCGCTGGTGGTGTTCAGGCGGCAAAGGCCTAGTTGAGCCTTGGAAAGCCGAGGAGGAGGAGAGCCGGAGGCTTCTCTGCCCCAGGCGTGTCCCCAGCCACGCGAACAAGAGATTCATAAGAGGTGAAGAGGAGGAGGAAGCCCTTTCTCAGCAAGGTGTGTAGTTTTGAAAACTAGTTTCAGTCAGGAAGCACATGCAGGGAGGAGGGAAGGTGGGGTTAGTAAATAATATTGGAATCGACCTCCGAGGCGGGGAGATCATGCTTCATCCTGAGGAATTGTTGAGTGACCTTTACGCGACCGCAGGACGACCACCTTTTCCCCCCTTTTAGGCATGGAAGAAACCGTAGTGATAATGGAAGAGCAATACGAGCTCTCGATTCGTCGTGATATCTTTATTCTCATTATCATGCGAGATTTCGTGTCTAACTGGATCAAAGAATCTCCGATCCGAAGCGCCTGGAATTTGCCGTGACATGCCATCATTGTCTTGTGTGTGACAGTCAAAAAAAACAACTTCACTCCACTACCCGCGCGCGCCTCTTACCGCACACTCTCCAAGTAATGCGACATCTAATGATTTCCTCTGTCTAAATTCCGAAAATGCTCGAACAACAGCGTCTTGACACATCACTAATCTGCCACGTTGACAAGCTCTTTGTCCCAAAAGCAGGTGAGCCCGGGTCGGTTCCGGAACTTGCCGTGGGCATGCCCCAAAAAAAACCAACTTTCCTTCTCAACACAAGAGCCTCTGTACAGTAAAGTCGGCCCTGTCAATTCGGGGGTCAATCGTCGGATCAATAGTCGGATCGGGCATCTCACGCTCATCCAGGCCCGAAGAGTGTTCTTTTGGCAGGGACGCTTGGAGGGCAAGAAGATCCAAATCATGCCTGATCCACGCGACCAACGCCGCGGGATCCTGCATATCCGGGGCCGTGAGCAAATCCTGCTCGGTTTCCACCAGGTCCTGCACAGCTGCCGTGGAGTCGACGTCGGCCACAGGAGGGGATTTATGGTCCTCCTCGGTCACTTCCTCCCCAGACGGGGACCTCAAGCGCTGGAGGGAACAGTGTGCATCGCCACGCGGAGACTTGCGAAGATAGTAGACGAAGCGTTGGTACCGAACGAGCCGTGCCGTCAATGATTGTATCGCTTCTTGGGAACCCCGATGTTGACGACGGTCTTGTCCATGATCGTATTTGCAACCTTCTGATTTTCTCATGCACCTCTGGCAGGGTCGTTTGCCGTCACACTTTGCCCGCGCTTGTTTGCACCCGTCGCACGCGATGGTGACGTTGGTTCGAGCTCGTTTGACATGTTTTCGCGTTGTGACCACGCCCAGAAACGCGGGAGTCGTCAAGTGGTGCAGCCGAGGGAGAAGAGGCCGCGAGGCAACGCTGGTGAAGCTAGACCCTAGCCGTTCCGCTGGCTTGTCTTGCCGACTCGTGAAGTCCGAGATAGCTGGGAGGAGGCTGGTGGGTGATACCGACATTTCGACTGCATTCAGGCTTGCAAACACAATGTGTGAAGGGATATCATATGGTATTCTTCGATGAAAAGGTGGGTGGAAGTGCCTAGGAGAGGCACCAGACGCCCTCGAGGCGGATCTTATGGTAGATTAAGGAATTCCATTTTCTGACCGGAAACAAGACCCAGGGCGTCACCTGTTGGACAGCAAGGATCAGATAACCAACACGTGGTGGAGAAATGGAAATCTATGTTCCCCCGGAAATGTGCAGGACCATGTCCTTTTCGAACGGCGCGCAGCGTGAGCTGGGCTGGAGCATTGCCTTTTTGGATGTGTGAGAAAGGGCCAATATGGACTCCCGTAACTTGCCAGGGCACTCAGGGCGAGAAGGCGAGGGAGGAAATAGTTCCCGGCATGGCTGGATGTGGCTATTGGCCTTTCAACCCTGCGCAAAAACTCCATGCGAATTAATTGGTCCAGGAAGCTGTTGAGGAAGCGAGGTACCTGGATCAAAGGAGAAGACCTCCGGGATTGATCGGCGATTAGGGTCATAGCAATCCTAACCTTAGCATCCATGTTTCGCTAACATGGTCCAGAGTTGGCAATGAAGAACAGGCGCCGCCCATGAGCTAATTCTTACAATCGCATGACAGAATCGTGGGTGGAAATCTGGGTTTCGGCCGCCCTTCTTAAGAGGGATTGCCTCTGGAAAATAGGGTTGATGTCAAAAGTGTCAGTGTGTCCCAAGGGGGGGTTGGGGAAATAGATTCCACAAAACTGGAGGCATCTGGAGGGGGATGTCCAGGAAGGATGCTTGCACGATCCAGCGCTAGTCTGTTTCCGGTATGAGGGTCACTGCTAAGACTTAAATTGGCTTAGCCTCCTTAGATACGCAGCTATGTGTGAGAGTCTCTGGCCAATCATTGGCGTCCGGAAGTCATATTTCCGGGATGCCGTTGTTCCAGTCCGCCAAACGCTCAAGCCACTACTAGTAGCCCATAATCTTCTAACCGTAGATCTCGTCTTTCCTGCTGTCAACAGCTCTCAGCCTGCGGGAACCTCCAGGTTTCACACGAGATAACTTGAAGTCCCCGAAGCCCCCGAAAAAGATCTTAAAGCCGTGCCACATGATCTAATCTTGCCGCTCGTGGTGGAGTGACTTCGAGTCTGCGGGCACATGTTGACAGACTGAACGAGCTTGCGGACCGGCACGGGGTTGCATTAAATACTTGCAGATCACTTTTTCACCTAGTGCCGGATGTCGGTGTTGTCCTCCATGGGGCTCGCTTTCCTGGCATCTGGCGCTCTGGCGTGGATGGACCCCGGTGGCAGTATCCGGCAATCTGTCATACTCACAGTACTGTAAATTGCGCTCTTGAGCGAGTAAAGAGAGTCGAGACTTGTCGAAAAGAATCAAAGCTCCAGCCCTGGTATGTGGCCGTTGCAAGCACTCTTGTCGAGAAAACCGATCGGAGGTGGGCGGGTGGCTTCAGGCATGCCGCTCTCAGCTGGAACAAAAGGCTTCACCAACGCCTCAGGGGCCAGGCGTGCCTGCTTCAAAAACTCCATCAGCGCCCCGTTGAGATTGCCAAGGGAAGCATTAAGCCGCTCAATATGTCCACATTTGGCTCGCTTTGGTACACATGGAAACAGGTATTCTCATCTTTGACGGCCGATATGGTAGGCAGCAACGAGGCACTGTCGGGAAAAGAGACAACTTCTGTGAGACGTTTGGACAACCTCCATCTGGAGAGCACCAAGATCTCGCCTATCTAAGAGCACGGAGGTGTCAAGGTGCCCGCACCCAATGCGTGCTCACGCTCCTGGTAAGTCTAGGGAGGGCAAGAGTGCCTGAGGTACTTACTTGAGTGACTTGGAGGGCCTATCATGCCCACAGTGATTTCGAATCTGGAGTTACACCAATGCTAGGCGGGCTCGAGCCCGATATTCACGTCTTTCGGACTTGAAAGGAACACAACAACTGTTCCAACAAGTCTGGTGTGAAGCTGGATATCATCACAAGTCACTTAACGCGTACGACTTCACCATGATCGAGCAGTTACTACCCACAGTGCTGTCACCACGGACTCCGTCACTTCTCCCCCTTCACGATATCACCATTTTATGAGGGTTTTAATGACGTTCAGTCTCTACGGCTCTGGAGAACGACCACATTTCCTGTCTGATATCGACCTCCCCTCGACGAGCGATCAGACAAACTACGGGGGATGCTCACTAAGAAGAGTATTTCTGACTAAGTGTCCCGAACAACCACTACCAGGCCCCCAGGGTACGAGAAATGGAGGTTCCTGAAGATCGGCTCACCGCTGAGGCAGCGCGCCTCACTTCCTCGAAGGACGTCACTGCATTGAAGGTGGTCACATCAGCTCACCGCGCTGCCGATTCTAAAAAGACCTCCTCTATAAAGGGGTTGGCTGAGTCTTGTGAAGACGATGGACAGCAGTTCAAACTCAACCTCCCCAAACGTCTTGAGTCCAAATACAAGCAAGCCGACAACATGAGCGAGACTGTAACGCAGTACAAACACCATCATCATCTGTGGCTGTCAACTGCGGCGCCCGAGGCCCATGTCCACGTCCCAGCCTCTGATGATGCCAACGTTCCCATCATTCCTTACTTCTCATCCGAGCACAAGCACTACGACAACGAAGTCATCATCCGAAGTCCCATGAACATCACGCTCGACGTCATCGTCCGAGTAGTGAGTGGGGGGAAAGCGGCGCCCGAGTCCTCGTCGGCCTCTTTCTTCAACATGACCCTGCCGGCGAGCAAATGTAGTCTACTCAGCGACCTGCGGCTTCACATCGCAGTCACGGGCTCCCGCGACGCGAGACTATTGGAAGAGGCCACAGCTACAAAGCCAGCACCACCATGCAGCGACGACGACGACGACGACGACGATGATGGGCCAGGGATCAGTCTGAGACTGCTGCGCCTCGTCCGCGACCTCAGCAAGGTGACGTTCCGGCTCGAGGAAGATGGGCACGTCGCCAAGCTGAACATCACGCCCACGCGGATCGACTCCTCCTGCGTCTTTCCCGAGACCGAGTACGAGGCCTGGTATTATCGCAATGTCCTGAGGGGTAACCAGAGGGTGTACACGGTCGAGGTCAAGATCGAGGCTTGACCATCCCACAAAGAAATGGGGTTCCATGGGCGATCTTCAACCTTGAGGGGAAAAGGTCAATCAATTGCCCCTAATTTCTTGCCATTCATCCTTTCAATTAGCCCTGGGAATCACAGCCTTGTCGGGCCCGTCATAGACAATTTCCCCAGCCAGCCCATGCTACGCAATTATGTGAGGAGGACATGACCAGGTGGTGCCGGTACTTCCACGAGGCCGGCTTGAACACAGGAAATATGCATGTCCTTGCTACCAGTTTTGTAACGTACTTTCGAGGAAGAAGCAGTTACCAAGGCCCCAAAGAGAAAAATCAAGAAGAGATTTCCCACTGATTAGTCTCTCTTACTCACTCCACCGCAGAGTGTATTCCCGACGTATAGCCCGTCTTTCCAGGCATGATACGAGGTTTTGCTTGTGTGGAGGCCTAGAATGGAGTACATAAGCTTACCTACTCGTAGAATACCCATGTGTGTCAGTGAAGCACCACCACCACCATCACCACCATCACCCATGTCACCGTCATCAGATCGACAACCTTTCCCATTGAAAATACCAAAATCTTCAAGGCGAGCAGTCTTGTTCCCCCCCGAGCAAATATGATTCGTCGCCGCTTTTTCCGTTTCCGGCAACGTACTTCCCTAAACGGTACAAATCAGATATTGATGGGAAAGAGAGTGGATTGGGCGCGGGAAGGAACAACAGCATCTCGCTCTCCGTCTACTTTTCTTGCTCTGCTCTGCTCTGAAGGTTCCTTTGCATATCACCACCACCACCACTGACGTCTTCGTTGCTCAGGATCACTCGCTCCTCCAGGGTTTCGTTTTTGTGTTCCCTTTGTGCAAGAGCCCTAAACGGCAACCTTTGGGGATTCACTCGATCCTCTAAAGTTAGGCACGCAGAATCCTTTAGGAGCCCAAGAATAGGAATGACGGGTTGCCCACTGTCCCCTGCCTGCTCCTGCCGTCTGTTCGGACGATGACGCCTGTTCATTGACGAAGAGACAGAAGGGAGGAGAAAGTGGTGAGAGGCTGCCCGTCGGGATTGGACGAGCTGGCGCGCATGGTCTTCGGAGGGGTCCCAGGAGAAAGAGAGAGGGGCGTAAAGGGGCCTCCCAGCTTCTGATTCTCGGAGAGAAAAATATGCCAATGTAGCGAAGAGAGGTCTTACTGTTGTTGTAGTGGAACAGAGCTCCCCTGGACGTTGGGAACAAGTCTACCCTGTGGTAAGTGTGCCATACACAAACTCATGATGGGGTATTGCTGTGACTATGGACCTAATCGTAAGGGTTATGGATCACGATGGAGGCGAAGTCTAGAGAGGGACAGATGCGGAGGAGAGAGAAGGCAGCAACTACTATCGAGCCAGATATGATTGTGAGGAAAGTGCCCAAGGTGGCTTCTGTTCAACTACCAAATAGAGAACGCTAGGCGCGCCCCCTTCGCTCCGTCATGGCCATTTCCCAACTCGTCCACCTCCGGAAGAGTAAAAGTCGAAATATCATCTGTCAATCTGCCCATATATAGGAAGACGGGATAACACCCAAAACACAGTGCTTCCAGTCTGGCTTCCTGTAATCTGGTCCCAATCAGATAATCCGGCTAGCAGATGGCAAAGGTCTGGCATCATGTGCGCCGAACTGTTCCCCATTGTGATCCCTGCAAACGTCTCTTTTCAGTCTTGTATCTGTAATCACATTCAGTCTGCCTTCGGCCCATGCCGGCCTATATCGCCTAGATTGATCTGCTTGCACCATACGTGCTCTTGGTCGCTCTTTCTCCGTACCGCTTCCCCAAAAGATAACGAAAAGGAAAACAAATGCCAAACGATGTATCTGGTGCCCAAGTAATGGATCGAGAGAGCGAAGCAGAGGCATGAAAGGCATATCGCTGATCTTTTATTGTGTAAATCAAAAGACGCCAAACCCTAGTGTCCTGTGTGTCCGATTACCCGTGTGCATTTGAACCAAAATCAGTTAGAAAATGCCACTCCAAGTACATTACGGCACAGACAGAGAGTGGGAGCGGGCGTCTGCGGAGTCTTGTGGCTGTCGCTGCTACCATTCATCACCGAAAATAACCGGCAGCCGGACGGTATCTGTAGCTTTTTGTACCATCCGCACGTGTGTATATCAACGCATCGGCGAACAACTCTGCATCTTCATCGTCGTCACCATCCTCGCCACCAACATCCGGCTCGATTATGTCGTTGCCACTTGGAGGGGGTGGTGGTGGATAATGTGCGGGTGGCATGCCAGGTCGAGCTCCATCTTTCAAGGAGGTATCCTGGCTGTAAGATCCAGGGCTGAAAGACCTTTTCGTGGCAGACGGTGCCGGTACATTGTATCTGAGAGCCTGTGAATCTGGTTTCGGCGCGCTCGCACCAGGAAATCTGAGCGGCGGGAGAGTGAGGCTTCTCTCAGTATCTGGAGTCATTGGCCTTGGGACCGAAGACTGGTTCGGCGGCGCTGTGGAAGGCTGCGTAACTACAGGAGTTGGCATCGTGAATGATGGTTTGGGCCGATTGTCAAATGACGGCCTTCGCGCAGCAGATGGGTTGTATGGAGGCGGTGGAGGCATCGACGTGGTTGGCGGAGGTAGTACAGCGCTGGGTAGCCCTATTGTGGATCCGGGACCGTACTTCAAGTATTGTTCCCGCATTACAGCATCTTGGCGAGCCCAGAGGGCTTCGGCGGGATCCCGATTTCTGTCATCATTCTCGTGCTGAGTACCAATGCTATTGCGGCTCTCAGATCTGGAGTGGTCGAGATTGCGATAGCCGGGCTGGGGAGTACCCTGGTATGAACTTGGGGCATCGTCGATATCGGCCCCAGACTTCTGGCGTCGCTTTCTCTGCCGAACGTCTCTTCGAATGCGAACTCGGCAACCTTGGTCGGCTACCATCATGCTCAGAGCGGTGCTTTGATTGAGCCCTGGGAATTTCTTGGCACTGTAGACCTGGAACGGAGTTGACAGCACTTCCATGCGATTGAAGACGCCTTCGTGACGGACAGGAGCGGTCAAGGTATCGCAGTCTCTTTCGGCGCGGACAAATGGCTTTCCGAGATCGGCATCGAGATCGTGTTTCACCCCCTCGAAGAGCGAGAATCTGAGTCGATACCAGCCTTCGTGTCTGACGGATAGATCTGGAAAGATGAAGTAGGCAGCTCGTTTCGGTTTCTCTAGATAAGCGGCGCTCGCTATGGTTACGCCGGCCAATACGGGGATAGCGGGAGGTACGTGCATTTTGCCCCCTGCGATTGGCCGAGCAACTTCCAAGCTGGCATAAAGCATGAACGTGGCATCGTATTGCATTGTGGTGTCGACATCGTTGATAAACACTTTGAGCTCGACCACTGGAGGCGGGTCGACCGGTCTCCGGTCATTTGATGCTTTTGCTTGTTAGCAGGAATCTTCATAGCTGAGCAGGTGGCATACATCTGGGACCTGATCCACATGCTCGCGCTTTTTCTGGCTGTTGTACGACTTCCAGCGAGTATTTGATGCACCTCCTGTCTATCGTGAACCGACTGACGGTACTCTTAGTCTCGTTGGGTGGTTGCTGCATGTTGTATGTGATACCACAAATGTTGTAAGTTCGAATGGGTAGACCGTCAAGGTAGAGGACCGAGATTCCTGGTATGAAGAGACCTGGTATGAAAGGACGTGGTTGAGGACGAAGGGGTCGAAAAGAGTCGAAGTCCCCTCCCAAGAAGTCCTTGAGGGTTGGCAGCTCTTGATCCGAATTTCGGCTAGTTGTCGACGTATCAACAAGCTGCTGCTGCCCCTGCTCTTGTTGATGCTGATCCTGAGCACTGTCCAAGCTGGTGTCAGCGGCATCTCTTCCAGCGGTTGAAGCCATGCTATAAAGGAGACAAGATGAATTCTAAGAACAAGGAGGATACAAAATAGTTGTAGACAAAGCAGAGCAGCTCCGGGGTCCTGGAGGGCGGGCAAAGCATCAAGAGGTAGATTTGAACCCAACCTCGCAAAATAGCTGGTGGGAGTCCAACTGTCCTTCACAAGGCTTTCCTTCCCTCCGGTAGCTCCAGACGCATTGGGCAGACCCAGAAAAACCCGCGGCCGAATGACTGCTCCGGCGGGCAAGAGCACAAAAACAGATCAAGGAAAGTACTGACCAGAGACCGCAAATCTCCACGGCGTCTTGACCACACCAAAAATATCACACGACTCGTCTTTGCCTGGTTTGCGCGATGGCTGGACCACAAGGAAGTCCGAGCCCGATGCTTCTTTGAGATCGACCAAGAGGCCAAGCCGATGATGTCTCTGGGTCGCAAACGCTCAAGATCCGGGTCCCGACGAATGCAAGCAGCTAGAAGCTTGAGTGTCCTGTTATTTGCTGCGCCGCCGAAACCAATATATCCTCAATTTCTTCGCCTCCGAGTCCAAGACGAGGGAGTGGGTGGACTTGTCAACGTGGGCCGTCGTTAGGTGATATTCTCTACAACGGTCGATCGCTGAGTCGGGATTTGGTGAAAAGGCAGCGGACGCGAGTTTGCCTCGAGATAGAATGCGACAGAGGGACGTAAGGTTTTTGAGGAGCCAGAGGGTTGGGAGGACGCTCGGTCGCTGATTGAGCCGGGACTGTCACGAGAACGATTTGCAGCGGGTATAGACACAAATATCCTTTCCTCCTACACCCTCCAGTGCCCAGGACGGCGAAGACTAAATGCAAGAAGGGTTCGAGGGCAGAAAAGACGGGAGGGCAAAGTCAGAGGGATGACTTGTTACGTTACCCTGCCGATGAAGTGAGCGACAGCGAGGGTAGGGATGAGGCAGAGGAGCTGTGAAGAGAGTGGGAGAGACTGGGAAGAAGAGGTGCAGATGGGGATGCAGCGACGTCGCAGCCGAGGAGCCAGGAAAGCCACAGCGCCAGCGAAAATATGGAAAAGCGGCACCGACAAGCACCAGATGCCAGGACCATGCGCCGGCAGCAGCACCAGCATGGTAGGCGAAGCAGCCCAGCGGGCCAGCGGGCCAGTGCTGCCTCCTGTCTCTGGCCATATCGCCCTGGCGGGCCCGTTGGTGCCCTTGGGATGGTGCTTTTGGCTTTGGGCCTAGCCTACGACCAGAGCCTAGCAGCCTTCCCCAATCCCCATGGCTCGCTCCACCCCTCGCACGCCTAACAGGTCAGACTCATGGGCTTTCCCACTAACTGCCAGGCCATTCCGTTCGGGACTTTGAAGCGGGCCCGATGCCCACCCCGAACGCGCTGATTCTCCTCTTCCACTCCCAGCTGCGAGTATTGTGGTCAATCTCCCCCGTCAGTGGCCTGCCCTCCTTCTAGCACACTCGCACTGTTGCCAACCCGATTGTATCACCGACAAGAATGCATGGCATGGATTTGGACCAGCACGGGCACTGCAGAAGGGGGCTGTTTTTCACGCCATGCCGCTGGGGACTCTGCTGGTCTGCCATTGGCACCCTCTCAGGGGATGGTGGGTGGGTTTCTGCTGTCTATCTTGTGCCTAGTGTTAGGCGATCATGCTCGTACTCGCTACAGACTTTGCTAGTCTGGACTCTTGGGTTACGCACTAAATTGCGCACGTTCCCTCGCCATCGTCCCAATGCATGGCCGCCATGAACGCTTTGGGGAAAACCTGCTCTGCACTTGACACCCCCTTCGTGCAGTTCGGTCGGTTATCATCCCCGTCGTGTGGGCCAGACGGCGCGGATGATTGGAGAGCGTGGGAGGATCCCGCGCAGAAAGGGCTACGAGTTGAGGTTCAGCAGCTAACAGCTGCCAGCCTACCGTATGGGCGCATTCGCATCACAGCAAATTCTTGCCAAAGCGAAAAGACCCTGTTGTGGTTGTATGAGCCTGTCTCGCCACCGCAGGTCCAGGTGGTGTGCCTCGTAAAGAGATTACGAGGTATGGATTTCCCAATGCACGGGGATGCTTTTCTGCAAGAATGCTGCTTATTCAGACGGATAACGATCAGACTCCCTGCAGGCTGATCCGGAAAGCTGAGGATTCGGTCCATCCGCGCGAAACATCGTTCCAAATGGCAGGGAGTGGACTGAAGCACAGGCCAAGGGCTCGAGCACGAGTAATACCTAGGGAGCACGCTCTGGCTTTGGCGTGGGTTTGACAGTTGATATCGAACTGCCCATGATGAATTATGACTCTGAGCAGCATCTAGGTGGCATCCTTGCAAAATTGCAGCCCAGATTCGTGCGAGGCCGGGTTGTTTGACCCCTAGCATCTGCTTGTGTTTGGCGGCGAGAAGCCCACCAGCCAGATACCCCGTCGCACACGTGCCACCCTAACATGGGGACTTTTGTGCAACCTGAATCTGTCACAGATTTCGCACTACGGACTCAAGGTCGTGCAGACTGCCTGCACCCTCCCTCTCGAATCTTCCCTGGGTGGTCTGTCCAGCGCTGGCTGAAGCGGTCGCGAGTCTGTGCAATACTTCAGGGAAAGAGTCCGGAGGCAGCTGACGCATGGGAACATGCGTGCCATCGACGAGAGAATTTCCAAGCTTCGGTATCTTTGGCAGGTTTCAGCAAGACTCCTCAACGTGGTTGACAGGGAGTTCCAAGGACATGGCCGCGGGAAAGGCGATAGATTGCAGGGGCAAAACGCGCTGGTTACTCGAAGGACGCCCCAAAGGAGCAGCCAAAAGAATGGGGATGACAGGCACGGAAGGCATCGTCAATGGACGAGGACACGCCCCAGAATGCTAATAATGGCCAGAGTCTACGGGCAGTCCAATTCCCCCCGCGCACCTGGACCCGAAACCTTGGAGGGCTCTCGAGCATCGAGTTTCGGACATTGGGCGGTACTCTGGGAAAGAGATCAACGACCCTTGAGCGGCAACGACCGGGGAGGCGCGGGAACATGACTCTTTCTGTCTTGGTATTCAGAGTGGCTCCGATCCTTCGCTGCAACACCAAACCGATGGCTGGGGGCATTGCCCGCAGTGCCCGCACCAGCGTCCTGCCTGCAAAATGCTCCACCATGTTCCGGGGCAGCAGCCACCGAGAGACTGGAGTTCGGAACGGCAGCTAGCAGGGCATTTTAGGTCTAGGCCTCCCAGTTGGGTGCCAGTCAAGTCTTGGACTCGAAAACCAAATTCAAGTGGCCGGAAGCTGGAATATGCCGGGGTGGTGTGGGAGCTCCTCTTCCATGCATCAAAGCGATGGCCTAGTGAGTCAAAGAATGGAAACGGTTGGTGACTGTGTCCTTTAGCTGTGCATAAGTGCTGCTTGATCGGTGCACTACTCCGTCCTCATCCCAGACCTTCCACCTGTCCACAGTGCCATCGAAAAGGCCCATGCGCCATGAATCGATCACGATATACGCTCTTCGAAGCCCCTGAAGCAATTCCCACACGACCAAGGAGACAGATTGGGGCTGTCAAATTATCGCGTGTCAAACCAGAAAGCCTCAACAGCCTCGCTTACGGAAGTGGACGCAAGTGTAATACAGTCTGGGTGCCGTCAGTACCTGGGTGGTACCTACAAGGAGGCAGTGGCATGGAAAACCAAGCCGCTTGGTACGAGGACGGAGAAGATCGAAATGTTGGGGGATTTGTGGATTTGTGGAAATGCCTGTTGCCCTTTTCTTCTTGTTGGCTTGGACTGTTCCATCGTGGAGCCCGGATAGACTATGATTTCCACCTCCCAGATGACCTTTCATTCTTTGTCCCACCCATTTAGACAGCCAGCAACTCAGCAAGCTTGACACGAAATCGGTGGCATCCACATCGACCCAACCAGCACAGCCAAAATCAATCTGTCTCCTTTCCAATTGCTAACTTCTAAACTCAGCAGCGGCAGATCAGATCAACCACCACTAAGCGATTCGAATGGTTGTCCCCGACTCCCCGCTCACTTCTGGTACCTGCATCATATGTACGAAGTCCGGAGTACTTGGCGGTCAATGTTTTCCAACGGGCTGCTCGTGGGCTCAGAATTCGTCACCTCCAGGGCAGTCGGCAGCAGCAGCACCATCCACACGAGCATCAATTTGGACGGCCAACCAGGTCGACAAGTATGTTCCCGCTGTATTCCACGTCTTTGACAGGGCTTTCGACCTTCCCCGTGGCCGTTACACCCGAGTTGCCCGCCTGGACTGGTCCAAGGAGTGCCTACCTTGGCCTGAACTGCAATGAGTGGTGCAGAAATTCTCCGACAGACTCAATAGTCCGGACTGGGTCTAGACGAATCATAACCAACGAACATGCTTCTGGAATGACTTCTCAGATTCTGGAATCAGCAGAGACTTTGGGTCTGAGGGTGAAGAAGCGTCATATGCGGTCTCAACCTGGCCACCCCATGATGCGAAATTGGTTGATGATTGGATCGTGGACTTGTCCCTGCTTCTCACGCTCTCGCTGTCATTTGACCAGAAGCCCATACATTGGATGAATGGACAAGATTGACAGTCATCCATGCGTCTTTGTGATACCTGCTGATCACAATCTGTGGGTGTCCTGCAACACACACAAGGTTTCTTGACGATAGTTAGTCGATCGTCCGTTGCAGGAGTCACCCTCCACAGTAGCAGCAGAATGTCTCAACGTCAGCACAATTTCGTATCCAGCCCTGCCTGCGAACCTTCCACCGCAAAAGATCAAGCCTGCCCAGGTGATTCGTCGTGGCCGTTGAACCACTGATCCTACAGTTGCTGTTCCTTCCCACAGTTTTCCGGTAAGGACGCGAGGTCTCGCAATTTGGAGACTCGCTGCCGCTGTCATGTCATCTTCAGCCCCGAATTTGACATACGGCTGGCTGCGTTGCGGAGCGGATACAACCTCATTTCAACCCGGTATTGCTGCCTCCGCCCACGGTCCCGGTCTGTACCACTGGAGTTTGAACTTTCCTGCGACGCTTACTGTCGCCCCTTTCTGAGAAATCTGAAGTGGATTACTACAACGTTCATTTCTAGGGTCCAAGCGGATGGAAGTCAAAATTTGAAAGGGTACGGGAAACGCCTTCTACGTTTGACTGGACATCAAAGGGATTGTCGTAGCGGTTGTCCACGATACTCGTACTCCACGCTATCACATGCATTGTCGACGGCAGAATCTGAGTTCATGGGCTGGCCCACATCCTTACAGTCCACCAGGTCCTGCCCTCAAAAGATCCTCAACTTCTCCTGCGCTTTGACTTTGACGTAAAAGGGTTAAGATACCTATTCCCAAAATGGCATATCTTGACGGGCTCAACGCGTCCAGGATCTCAGTACGAGTACCACCTTAGACTGAGCCTCACGTTGCTGAAACTATTCGAAGACAAGGCGAAGTACGCAATGGCTCGCCTGAGGTTCGACTTGAGAGACGAGGGGAGAAGTACACCTTCAGCCGGTCGAACTAACTGATTGGTTCTGCTCATCGGATCATTCGCTGGTGTTGAATCTTCGGAGGACTGCCTTGATTGACTCAATTTTGCAACCAGCGGAGGAGCGAGGTTTTCTACGAGTAAGTCTGTTATACTCCCCCTTTCTTTTGCGTGAGTTTGTGATCGGACGGGAATTGAACAACACCCGTATTTGGCGTCCCCAATGCTCCCGTCCTACGTGGAACCTTCTTTCAAGGAACAATACTCCTGCAGCATCCTCCTTGCGATGCAGCACTTGGCTAGTGTCAAATTTCTATCCTCCGCACGATTTTCCCCCTTCAGTACCTGGGAGTCGGTCGGCTCATTACACACATCTCCCTCCGTCAACTTCAAGATTAACGCCAGTGATAAATTCTGCCTCATCACTGGCAAGATAGCAGCAAGCGTTTGCCACGTCTTTTGGCGTACTCCCTCGTCCAAGTGGAATGGTCGAGACAAAGGCTTTCCTGTTCTCTTCGGTGTCTGGCTTCCCTATGAAAAGATGTGTCCTATAAGAGTCAAAGGTCAATGTGAGAAACTTCTTCACACGGAGTTCAAGGAAAAGATGGAGAAACCCACAACCCGGTGCTGCCCACCACAGGACAAACTGCATTGAAGCGAATCTTCTTGGGCGCATATTCTACCGCCATTGTTTTGGTAGCGTTGCTCACGGCGGCTTTGGAAGCGTTATACCAAGTCAATCCAGGCCGGGGTCTGATCCCTGCTGTCGACGCAATATTGATAAAGCAACCCGGTCGATTCTGCTCGATGAAATAAGGGAGCAACACACTGCCCGACAGGTAAATGCTTTTGACGTTGACGTTGAAGCACAAGTCGAAGTCGTCATCAGTGACAGTCTCGGTGGGCTTGTTTTTGTAAGTGGTGCCGGCGTTGTTAACGACGATGTCCAGACCCCCATAGGCATCAATGGCTTTCTTCAGGAGCGCTTCCCAGTCCGTACGTTTCGTGACGTCGGCGCCCAAGAATTGGCAGCCCAGAGAATGGGCGACTTTGGTGCCGTTCTGCTCGGACAAGTCACAGATAAGCACCTTTGCGCCTTCTTGGGTAAACTTGGTCGCTATGCCGGCACCAAAGCCCGACCCGCCACCAGTCACTAAGGCGACTTTTCCTTCCAGCCGGCCAACCATCTTGGTGTTCTTTGAGACTGCGCCACAACCTGAACAGCGGGGACAGAGAGACTTTCTGATGGCAGGAGATTGGTATGAACCAGGAGCAAAACACCTACTTGTGAGAGCAAGTCAGAGACGGGCGGAGCTTACATTCATATACTTGTGTATCCTCGGCGTGAACCCGAGGCCAACCGCACAGCCTCGTCCCCTCAGCGGGGAATGGCGACGGTGGTACGGTCCGATTCTCCATATCTACTTCTGTGCTTCGTACCTAGAGAGGTATGTAGCTCGGTAGGTAGCGAGCTAACAATGGAGCACTGTGTGTGTTTGGTGCTTCCAACCCTTTCCCCGCATTGTGGTACATAAAGTCATTGGTGGTGCAGCAACTCTCATCGGGAAATTCATCCGATGGGCGGGATCTGCTGAGGTCTCAACGTGGAATCCGTAACGATCATACATCGACAGTGAGTGTTGCAGAAGGCTACGGAAAGACAACATTGCCCGTGGGTTTCGCTTTGGCTTCGCCGACGGAAAATAGCGGAGAATGCTGAAGAAAAGGGGATATCAAATTGAAAGAAATGAGGATCAATACCAATCGAGGTCATACTGATCGAATCCTGGAGGGCAGTGACATCAGTCCCCGAATACGACAGAGTTGTTCATGATGAATAGCATTTGACTCATTTTGTGTTTCTTCATCCAGCTTCAGAACTTCCGATTAATCTTCCAACAGGAATCGATCTTTTAACGAAGAAGAAAGACCAGACATCGTCCAATAATCGACCATGAGCTCAAGTCAAGTCGTCGGCCCAGGCATATCTGGACTCGCCTCATGGGCGCTTCACTTCAGTCCGACCGCCTGGTTCAAGTCGTGGCTCTTGTATTTGGGGATCCAGACGCATGTTCGAGGAACACTAGAGCCCGAAATGAAGCCACTGCACAATATCTGCGAATACCTACACGCGCTTCATATCTATACGGATGAGGCTCGACGGGGGGAAGTGAGGACAGTTTCGGCGCATCACTTTTGCTCGCACGTCAGTAAAGGTCAGTGGAAGCAGGAGTTCTCTTAACGAACAACAAAACAATAAATTCCCCCAATCCAGCTAACCTCCTTACAGATCTTCGACAGTGCCTCATCTACGACTCGTGCAAACCCGGAGCGAGACTCATTGGTGTCGAGTTCATGATCCCTAAAGCCCGCTACGAGGCGCTCGATCCGCAAGAACAGAAATACTGGCACTCGCACGAGTTCGAGGTCAAGTCCGGCATGCTTGTTCTCCCGTACCCGGAGTCTCACAGACGCCGAAAGGACAAGTGGGACGAACTGGAAACCAAAGCAATGGAGGAGGTCGTCACCCTCTACGGCAAACTGTACCATTTCTGGCAGGTCGACAAAGGCGACGAACTGCCACTGGGTCCCCCAACACTCATGGGCTCTTTGACCGAATCGAAACAGCTCGACGTGGACGCGGCGATGAAGGACAGGAACGAGGAGTTGGGGATCGACCAGCCCGGGAAGCGCAAATTGAGAGAGCACATCGACCTCCCTGGGGTCTCTGAGAATGCGGATAGTTGGTGGAAAGAGGCTCAGCAGAAAAAAGTCGGTATCTACGCTTCGTGAGTTGAACCAGTCGCTCATTCAGCAGCGTGTGATTCGAGGCCGAAGGGGAGGGAGCGGGAGGCTCTTAATGAGAGTGGCGTTTGATGTTTGAAATGACGTACCGGCGTCCTTCCCTCCTCCACCTGCAGTTTCTCTACGTATCACACTCATGGACTATTGTGCCTTGAACCAACAATCGTTTGTCGTGACTCACCGCTGGATTGATGTTGCAACTGTTCACTTCTTTGGATTCTCTGCAGGCGGAGCCCTCAACAGTTCGAGTTTGCTCGATATCAATCGTTTCTTCCCCACGTCCGAAGAGCCAGACAGCTTAATATCATTCCACGTTTGTTTCGCCTCCCCGCACAAATCTGGCCACCAGGTCGTGAATTCCGATCCCTTTTTCTACACACTACTCGGTATCCTTTTGTTTCTGCCCCAGCTATCTGCTTGCTCAAAATGTTCAAGAAGAAACCCCAGATCAAGAATCTCTCGCCCCTCCGATCCTCGGATCGCCGCAAACTCGCGGACCAGATCATCGCCGACTACAGAGTACATGTGCCCACGCTGGAAGAGATCGATCCCGCAGCGGCGGCGGCAGAAGAGAACACACCCCCTACCTCCTCGACCCAGCATGCTACTCCCGCACTCACGTCCGTTCGCACGAGTCTTGTCCCTGAAACATGCCTCTCCGCGCGCTTCACGACTCACGCCGGACCCAATGCGACATTAGTCTCGGGGACAGTGTACGTGGGGGCACATCCTGGTCAAGAGGAGAGGATACTATGGATTCAATATGGAAAAGATTCGAGGCTGTACCCCACGGTGTATACACTGTGGCATAACCCGGGGATCGTGCCTTTACTGCACACACAAGACTTCGTCGTCGAGAAACTCCGCACAGGCGCCGACCTGATGACGCCTGGGCTTGTGGGTGGACCGCCCTGGCCCGAGGCTGCAAAACCAGGGTCGGTTGTCGCGGTTGCGGGTTTGAAGAAGCCTACCGTGCCTCTGTGGGTGGGAACCTGCAAGATTGACATATCGAGTTTGGGCAAGGTGCAGGGAGCAAAGGGTGCCGCGGTCGAGGGCGTCCACTGGGAGGGGGACGAGATTTGGAGTTGGAGCCAGTTTGGGAGTGGAGGCCGAGCTGCTCCAGAGACGATAGACGGCTGGGACTTTCCATCTGGTGACATACAAGATGGAGTGGAAAGGCTGGATCTAGAAGAAAGCGATGAGGATGAGGACGACGTGCAAGAAGAAGGCGGTGTAACCCTCGATGCTTCGAAAAACGAGACTGGAAACGGAGAGCATGACGCCAACGGACCAGACGAGACTCAGGAGAACGAAGCGGAAGCCGAAGAAGAAAGGGAACCGTCGACCGCCGAAGTCGATGAAGCATTTGTACAAGCATTTCTCTACGCCCTCTACGACGCCAAAAAGGCCGCCGATCCTCCCCATCACGGGATCGATTTCCCTATACAACCATCTTTCGTGATCTCAAACATGGTCCAACCCCATCTCCGCTTTCAGAACCAACATTACGCCATCAAGAAAACCTCTTGGAAAACCACGAAAAAGTTCATCAAATATCTCGAAAAGCAGGTGCTCGTCAAGTCCAAAGACCGCAATGGTGGGGAGACTGTGATTCTGGATGTCGATTTCGACGATCACAGAGTCGTCAACTTCCAGCCGTACAAACTACCCAAGCAAAAAGCCCAGACGTCGGCCGGTGCCGTCGACACTACGCAGCCTTTGGCCAGCGGAGCTGACACCTCCCTCGGGCAGAAACTCACCTTGCAGACTGTCTATCGAGCCTCGAGCAAGCTTGTCCCGGACCTGATCCCGTCCAAAACCACATACTACACATCCTCACAGATCTCCTCCTTCCTGAAAAAGTACATTGAAAACGAACCCTCCTTAACCGAAAACACCTCTTCCGCGCGCTTCGTCAAACTCGACCCGTTCATCTCCAACAATATACTGAGTTCGAACCCGACCGCAAGCGACACCCGCATTCTGGCCGCGGGAGAAATCGCGCGCGATACTTTACTCAAACGCATCCTCGAAGACACCCACCTCTGCATCCCCCACTGGCTCTTACTGAGAAACTCACAGACCTACGACCCCGAGTCTTCCGACACGGCACTAAAGCCTCGCCCGGGCCCGCCCCCCACCGTCAACATCGTGATCGAAAAACGCTCCGGCACAAAAGTCGTCACGAAAATCTCCGGGCTGGAGATGTTCGGGATCAACCCGCACATTCTGGGACCCGAGCTGCAGAAGAAATGCGCGGGCTCCGCGAGCGTGGGGCAATTGGTCGGTGGGAAACCGGGCGTCATGGAGATTCTGGTGCAAGGCGACCAGAGGGATGTGGTGGAGAAGGAGATGGCGAGGAGAGGCGTCGATAGGAGGTGGGTTGTCGTGGAGGATAAGACGAAGAAGAAGAAGAAATCATAGAGAGGAGAGACGAGGAACTAGGTTTATCTAGTTGATGAGTGAGGGTATCGAGTTATATCCTAAGTGCACCCCTCTGAAGAATTTCCAGCGCTGTCTTTCGTCGACTGTGTTATGCTGTTTGATGTGCATTGCATTTCAAACTGCCCATTAAGGCCTACTGAGATGATCTTGTCGGATCTTACAGTTACGACGAACCAAGTTAGCATTACAGACGCCAAAATAGCGCCACACATGGTGAGGCACAAGTGTGTTGAACAAAGAAATGATATTAGTGTGATGAAGCCTAGTCAACACCTGTCTCATGTATCCTTGTCCAAAGTTCTGAACGCCCCCTGAACAAACCACAAGGTACCAAAGTCCCCGAAAGTGGAAGCATATGAAGACTGTACTAGACCACCCCAAAAAAATTCAGAAAAAGGATTCCTGTGCAATCCGAATCCTTACACAAGCGGCCGTGAAGATTGTGCTGCGTGCTGGCCAAAGTTGAACAAGGTCAATCACAATGCAACATCGTACTGGTAGCAGAACGGCCCAGATGTGGTGCTGATGAGTTCTCCGACTGTAATTTGGGCTTCTTGGAAGTATCCCCAATCCGGCTGGATCGAGTCGAGTGTGACATTAGCACTTGCGGGAAGATTGACAGCCGTTTCAGTACCATACATGGCATTTGCGATGTCGGGATGGCGGATCTGCCACGAGGTGTATACATTGTCCAAAAATGCATGGAGAGACCACCAGATTGGATCCATGACCGAGACGTATATCGACGACCCTGGAGATCCTACCACGAAATGAGCACCGGAGTGCAATCCCAGTTGACCGCCGCCAATAACGCCGTTGATTTGAGTGTCAAAAGATGCAATGTCTTCGGCCTCTAAGCACAGCTCGAGGGCGGTGGTGTTGCAATAAGTCTGAGCGACAACGGTGTTAAGGTCCCTGGTAAGACAGCTTTGGTTAAGCTGGAACGCTGTGTCAGGCAGTGGAAGACCCTCGATGATGTAGCTGATGGGAATAGGCTGCATCGTTGTCTGCCAATCGACAAAGGGCCCAGACATGATACAACCTCCACCGGATCCATGTGGAAGCGAAAGACTTGGCGAAAGCACCACAGGGCCGCTGTCGACGTACGCACCGTCACCGGACAGGGAGTACTCAGATCCGTCAAAGACGGCGCTGCCGCTGAGATTATCGGCAGTTGCAGGCCAGTTCCAGTAGGGGAATGCACCGGTGTAGTTACACTGGTGCTTCAGATCTTCCTCAAACAGATGGATGAAATAACGATGCCAAGTCAGGAAGAAGCCAGAAAGATGGACCTCTCTTGTGCGATTGACGTGAATGACGGCATAGTCCATGTAGCGATTGGTAGCGGCCGGGTAGAGGGTCTGGTCAAGTTGCGACGGTTTGGTTGCCAAACATTTGACGGCGTCGGTGTAAGCTTTGCGGTCTTCAGGAGCCATCGAGTCGAAATCCTTGCGGATCTTGATCTTGTCCGGTGTGCAAGGCGCGTGACGGGCCTGCCGAGTTGGCATGGCCACGCTGAGGGAAGACATGGCCGCCAGGGCAACAGCTATGGATGACAGGAACATGGTGGCTGTGACAAATAATGGGGTTGGATGAACGAGTGTCTGTAGTGATTGAACGAAAGAGACTTGGGGTGAAAACGAAAGATATCTTCTGAGTCTCTGCAGATCAGATCATAGCAGAAGAAACAGATCTGGGTGACAAATGTCAAAAGGAAACCACGAAGAGGGAAAAGTGAAAGAACGGTTGACGAGTACCTGATAGACAGGGGGGACAACGCCTGCTTTTTCATCTTCACAGTCGGTGCTGGATCGACATCAATACCAAGACATCCGAAATTCCGGCAGGAACAAACACGTATGGGTGGACCACTAGGATAGATGGAAACCATGACATGTCCGATGGTAGTCAATATTGTTGTTGTTGTAGAGGTGGATACAATGTAATTCTCCCGGAAACACTGGTGCGTGGACCAGCGTCTTCATCGGCCTGTTGCAAGAAGGACATGGGATCTTGAAAGCCAAGTGTGAGGATGGATGACGAGTCCATAGTCCACATTGCCACGGGGGACCATGTTGATGCCTTGCGTCGACAGGCAATGGCGATGGTAAGGGGGATTGTGCGGTGGTGTTGTTGTCCCCTTTCTCCATATTTCCATATATAGAAAAGCTTCATCCCGTGTCAAAGCGTCATGCATTGCAGTCGAAACATCGGGAGTCAACGCCATCCGGAATATGATCGTCATCAGCATGGAACTCTACTTTAATTGTTATTCCCCTTTGCGTTTGTCCGCCCACGGCTTCGCTCTATATCGGCCAGAAGGGTCCATGCTAGCTTGCGAAGATACTCAATTGTACAGGGTATTTGCGCGTGCTCTTCCATCTGCGTTCAATCTTCAATATTACTCCGGAGCTTGTTGTCCCCAATAACCCCGCAAACGCACATCATGATATCGTTCATTCTTAACGCCTAGTCCGACTTTGCGGTCGAGGACTAGAACCTTCTCAAATCTCAACAGCGGAATGTTCCATCTTGACGACTGATTGCTTAGGAAAGAGCCTGAATATGAGCTACTCATTCAGCCGGCTCGGGATAAGTCCGTGTCCAGACCACTTGACCATTGACAGGATCCATGACCGTCGCGAAATGAGTCTGCTCGTTGGTCGTGGGATATGCTGAAACCCATTCAATTACCTCGTCCGTTGTGATCGCCAGAGTTCGTTCTACTTGGCTGGGGTCCTTCCCTTCCTTCTTGGACTTTCTTCTTGCTTTTCGCAGACAAGCTCTCCATTTCAAAGAGATTGCGTCAAGTCTATCCCTGCTTTCTTCAATAAGTGCTTCCATTCCAGCTCTCACCCCAGAAGTCTTGGCCGAGACTTGCGCCGCAAAAGGGGTGGCTTCGTTCGAACACCCAAACTCTTCTTCGTCATTGTTTGTAACTCCGATAAAAGTGTTGGATTGTCGGACGACTCCCGTCTCATAGTCCTTTTCAATGACCATTGCCGAGACGCCATCACAAAAGAGCAGGTAAGCCGCAGTGGTGTGACGGGGGACGAGCTCGTCCGAGATTTCTTGCAGACTCTTGCATTGATCGTCTTCTGGGTCCTCAGGTGTTATGTATCCTCGGAGTATGCTTGATATCGATTGGCGGTATCCCAGGAGGACGAGCAGATGGTGGAGGTAGAATCTTGCGTGGTCACGCCTCCGCGCAGCATTGTGTACACCTCGGAAATTGAGAGATAGACTTAATTCTTCACGTACTCCCGTTAAGATGCCAGTAAAACCCACATAAGTGACGCTTCGAGCGACAATTTGGCCAGGTGTGGCCGATCTGCTTCGAACAAATTCCAGTTGGACGATGATCGACCGGAGAGGGTCCATGGACCAGTCCAAGGTGCGGAAATGGAGCATGCGGCTTTGGCCTGTGGGCCGACCCGCTTCCAGCACTTTGACCGCGCCCGAGGTGCAACCCATGAGACAGTCCAAGATAACATTGAAACTGACAAGCAGGTGCATGGGGACCCCGCTTACCTTGGCTATTCCACGGAGCTCTGCAGTCTCTGCAGGAGAATACAGGCCTCGGAGAAGCAATCGTGCGAGCAGACTGACCGGGCCGTGGTAGAACCTGGAGAGACCAATGTCGGAGAGCAGGCTGTTGAATAATGAAGTGAGGCCTTGAAGTTGGCTCTTGTAAGCCTGCGCTAGGGCCTTATAACGGTTCTCTGGCTCGAGTGAGAGGTCGATGATGTATATAGGGGCAACCATGGTGTTGTTCTCGTCTTTGAAAGCCATGGCCTGCTGCGGGGATTTGATCTGCTGCATTCAGGGGGTGTTAACAATGGAACGAGAGATGACGACCAAGGTAAAGTGCGTACCTTTTACTTTGTGATCTTTGTCGCAAGGCTCAACAAGGCTGCCTGCGCGATGAGACGCAGGCAGCCGTTGCTGCAAACCTGTGACGAGACGGTCCAACTAGAAGACGTGACTCGGCTGACGATAGATATGTATGTATTTAACTTGTGACTGGTGAGATCCCTAGACGAGAGTGATCCTGTCGACTTGCCATAGGTGCATGCTCATTGCACAACACAGAACACCGCTCTGATTTCATGACGTCGATCATCAGCATTTAATTGATCGATATAGTGAGCGCGTTTTTAGCGCGTCTTCTCGCGTCTGGCGGCGTTGAGCTTTGCTCTTCCCAGCCTCCACTGTACCTACTCAATTTGTCTGTATCAGCATTGTTGCTGAAGACGACGACAGAGGACTTAGATCCAGTCAGGATGAGATATGGAGAAAAGAAAGAAAGAGGCTGAAGCAGGCAAGCAGCTTACCTTTTGACAATGTCACTTCGCAGAGAGCAGCAGGAGGGGGAAGAGTCTTGACGCAGCGCCTATTCAGCGGCTGGCCCTGAATGGGGTGAGAATGGGCAGGAGCCTCCGTCTTACGATGGCCACAACTGGCTGCTCGAGTTGCTGAGGCCGATGGATGCGATGCAATTGAGGGTGAAGGAAGCACAATCCTATCGTTGACGGCTGCGCTGTGCCAGATTCGCCTGCCAGTCCCTCACCACCACCTCCCCTTCGTTCCATTCATCCCCAGTTCTTTTAAAAGCGGTCGACGACATCTTTCCATTGTCTCTTATCGTTCCAGCTCCTTGTATTCATCACCACCGCCATCATCTTCTCCGTCATGTGTTTTTCCTGTGGAGGCTGGCCATGGGGTCATGGTGTCCACCTCGCTGCTGAACCTGTCAAGCAAGAGTACATCTTCCTCGACGACAACCACGGCTTCTACCCAGACAATCGGCAGGTGCGTTGCAAAGTGAACTCTGTGTGAAAATCCTGCTTAATCTGAGAATCCTGAGTCTCTGCCGCACCTTACTTTGCCTCATCTCTCTTGGGTTCATCCTTCAGGCAAACTCACATACTTCTCACTTGCTGCCTTTCTGTTCGTTCCATGCTCTCGATAAACGAACCATGCCCCATTTCTACACCTACCAAACTCCCAATCCCTCCGCTGTCAATACCAACGGCTCGACTGGCTACTGGGAGAACCCAGCAGACTGGCCTCGAACCTATCTCTACGTATCTAACCAAGGAGGTGCGCAGGGAATTCATCCACCGGCGCCAGTCTATCAGTCGAATCAACCATCTCAGCCAGCAATGTATTACTTCCCAGTAAGTTATCAATCTCTTTGACTGTGGTCAAGGTGACCTTACTAACACCTCATCCTAGGGTAGCACAAGTGCCCCAGCCGGCTACTACGTGAATGGCCTCTACTACGGAATGAGCCCTCCTACTGCCTCAACTGGTTGGCCTTACACCTCCTCTGCATACACTTGCTACACTTTGCCTGCTACTTCTACACCGAGCACCCCGTATTATCCGTACAACTACTCACCATACTATACAGCCCCGAGTCCGATTCAATTCCCTATGATGACTTCGCCATGGTCTCAACCTCCGGGTCCGGCACAAGCTGCAGCTGCAGTAGCCGCCAATGCTGCTCTCGCTGCCATGCCAAACGCACCAGCATACTTCGTCGGAGCGACAGCTGCAGAAATTCAAGCCCAGAATGCGATCTTACTTGCGAATTTGCAAGCTGCTCAACAGCAACCCTCCCAGCTGGCACCGTACAAACCTGGCGCAAGTCCACAATTTTGGTGCAAGGAACTTGATGGAAGCTGGACGTTGAGGGAGTACAATGACGCCTTGAAGAGTGATTTTCCGGCCGGCCATTGGGAGAAGCATGCGACGAGCGGATATTACTACTATGTTCGCCACACTGGTTGAACAACTTCGAAGCTTCAAAGAAGATCGAAGACCAACACCAGGGAAGTCGCACAAACAGCATTGAATGGCAGGATATCAAAGACAGAGCTTCGCCGGCATCATTGGAAGAGAGCCAAATGGTGCGGTCGGAAGGACTGGCATCAATGCGGGAGGCAGACTTCGTTCGAAGGTCATTGGGTGCGTACCTGGAATACCATGATTGGCGAACAAAATTTGCCCTGTTGAGCGAGAAGGGAGCTGACGGAGCTGAAATGGAATCAAATATGGCTCGGAGAATGCCAGAGCAACTGATCGGCTGAGCCTGAACAGACAGTAGAGCAGCTGAGAATCCATGCATCACAATGCCTCTATTCCTTTGCACTCGATGGCCAATATTTACAATGTGACTGTCAAGGAAAATAGTCCCCTTGCACATGCCAATTCACCGTTTGACCTTTGAAAAAGTAGCCATCACAGAAAATGCTCTCCTTTCCGCACACCCATTCACTACTGCTTGACCCTTCTCAGCGCACTCTCCATCCACAACTTTGTGTACAACTTGTGCGCGTAAAGCATCCACCCTTGCATTGGTCCGCGATTCTCCCAGTTCTCCTGCGAGCCTTGTCCCGTCGACGCTGCCGACATGGAAGCCCACTCGCCCTCGCCGACATAGAAAATACTCTTGAGACGAAACTCGGCCACGCCCTTGTCGAAATCCGCCGTGGCGCACATCTCAAACAGCCCGTCCGACGGCCGTGGCTTGTCCGGGTTATTGAGCGGGGAGTCGCCGCAGCGGATCAATATCCGGGTGGGCGTCTTGTCCAGCACGACAAAGTGGTCCGTGATCTCCGTCCCAGGCTCGTACGTCGAGGTGCCTAAGTCGTCGGCACTCCACAACTGATGCGCCGTCGTCGTGTCATTCCGGTATTTGCGCGCCAGGTACATCCTTTGGATCGTATACCCGGCGCCGCCCCAGACACCTCGACAAAACTCCTCGACCAACTTCGTGCCCCCCTGCCGACTGTCCTCCACCAGCTCCGGCCGGATCTTCTGCAGCCCGATCCTCCGCACACACTCGTCGTACGTGGCCTCGTGGTTACCCGGGTTGAATTTGCGGAACCAGACACTTTTAAACAAGGGTTCGGTGGCAGGGTTGAATTCCCCGGGGGAAGAGAAATGGCAGTGTTTGGTCCAGACGGAAAACGCGGCGATGGACGCGAATGTGCCCACGCCGACGGCCTGGAGGGATTTGGAGAGCAGGGACGGACCCATTTTTTCTCCCTCTCTCTCTTCGCTCTCTTTGAGAAGGACCCGATGGGATATTATCGATCCGGTTTTTTGTGTGTGCTTTGATAAAGAACCCGGGAAGGAAGGGATCAGGCCGAGTAAGGAGTAGAGCAGAGAAGGGGTAGCGGGGTCTGCTGCCTTCTCGATCCAAAATGCCTCAGTGTTCCCAGTCTCTAATTAATACCCTCGGTCGGGGCCTTGATTCCCGCTCGGGCTTGTGTCTCTTTTTTCGTCCCTGGTATTGACAAATTTGTGTTGGATCTGATTTGTTTCCGTTTGAGATACTGAAACAGCTCGAAGCTTGGTTACTAGTTAAGAGGCGAATCTTCCGGAACGGTTGCTGCTCAAAAGAGAGAGAGAATAATATGGACAGCGATGCAAAAGCGTTTGAAGAGACTACCAAGAAAGATAGGCTAATTGCTTGGGCGTGCTAAGTTTGTCTTCATAAATTCAGCCGGCTATTGATTGAGATGGGAGGATTGGAGAAGAGATGCTTTCGGGGAAGTCTCCGCCTTTCCAATTGCCGAGACAGCCCAGCGTCCCCGAATCTCAAAGACACCGAGAGGAGCCTCGCCAGCCTCATCCCGCTCCGCCCCCCGCTCACTAGGACCGGGAGCAGAGTCAACTCAATCTCCTCCTCTCCCCTCCAATAGATACACATAGATACACAGCACCATGTTCGGGGCTCTACTGTATTCGCCGGGTCACAAATTAGGTCATGCGGATTATAATAACGGGACATGACATGCCAGCACGGTTCGGCCATCAATGATCAGCATTCAAGTAGATGACCTCCATCAATACAGCAGCAACGGCATAGGAATTGTAGACTTTTCCACCCTCGCCAACTCCTCGCTCTGGCATTGCCCCGCATTGTCGCCCCTCAAGTGCAGGTCACAACCACCACGACTGCGACAACTGAGAGTCTCGTGGCGCAACTTCTCGCATCGTCAAGCTCATCTCTTGCGCTTCCTGCCTCCCTTGTCCTCATCTTCCAAGCCATCTCTCCTGTCGTCCTTCTTGGCCTTCTTCTCCATCTCATCCCAATCCTCTCCCTCGTCAGACAGTCCGCTCTCCGCTTCCCCTTCATCATCACTTGCACTCGCGTCGTCATCAAACTCACTCTCATCCTCACTTTCCGACTCACTCGCCGCCAATTCTGAATCGCTCATCTCAAACGCGCTTTCTTCTTCAGACTCCTCTTCATCTTCAGCGTCGGACTCCGTGGCCAGGAAATTCCAGCCGCCGTCTTTGAAGAATTGATGCGGGTCGGTCGTCACGGTTTTCATGATCGTGCCCCAGTTTAGGTTGAGAGGACCTTCAGTATATGCAATGTCCACGCTGTCCAACCACTCCTTCACTCTGTCAAGCGACTCGACTGGAATCGTGTTGATATGCGATGGTGGGCGGTGGAAGTCCTTGTAGACAAAGACAAGGTCGAAGTTCTTGAGTCCGAACTGCCGCGGTATTAGCAAAGCCTAGAACTTTCACGCCACGCATCAGACTTACCTGTATTCTCTCCAGATGAGCAACCTCAATCTCGTCCAGCGTGATGACAGTGAATGGTGGTTCCGTCAGTTGAACCAATGCATCAGTCGTCGGAGCCATCAGCACATTGCTACGATTCGGGACGCCGTTGAAAGAGAGCTCCCGGAATGGGATATCAACCGTGACATTGTACTCCCTGGCTTGGTCTGAGATCTTTTCCGCGAAACTCTTGAAAAGGCGATCGAGCTCGGCTCGGCGTCTTCGTTCTTCTTGTTCTTGCTCGAACTCCTCTTCGTCGCCGTATCGATGCTTCCGCTTTCGGTTGCCCGTCTCATCAAAAGCCATATCTGTGGCTTCACGGTAGAACTGGACATCTCTCGTCTTGCGTTTGCCGATGATGATAGGGTTTTTAAGATGGACGTGGATAAGCACGATTAGTTCGCCCACGCAAGGTTGGAAGAACAAGTGCTTGACATTGGAAAAGACCACATCAACATGCTCTTGACGAAGGGGCGATTGGTACCGAAGACCATTCTGGTGGATTTCGATCTCACCAGGAACTCGCTTACCATCCTGCGCGGGTCGAAGGTAGACATCTGTAAGCTTGATGGGGCGGCGGTTGCGGATTTCGATCAGCTTGTCCTGCTCCACAACATCCTCCATCTCCTTCTTCTCTTGTTCTCGACGGACAGCCGACCTCCGGAGTTCGGTGATTTGTGCCGAAATCTCCGAGAGGCGGTCTTGGTCCTTGGATCGTATGGTCAGGGATCTGACAAAGTGTGCTTGAGGATCCTCGAAAGGTTGGTCATCTTTACGCCCAACACCTTGACCTGGAGACAAGAAATTGAACCGCAGATGCGTGTACTCGCCTTCGTCGGATTTGCTGACGTTTTTGATCGTGTTGATGTGGAAGGGCACCGGTCGACCCATGACTGGAATAATGACAGTCGACGCCTTGAGATCCACGCAGACAATCAAGTCCTTGGCACGTGGAGGAAGTTGGCCTTCCCGCTTATACGACTCGAACTTCTTGAACTTCTTCTCGCTCTCGCCATTCATATCGCCAGTCGCCTCGGCATACTTCTCAAGACCTTCGCGTTGTTTCTTGGCCGCCAATTCTTTCTGATGCTCCCTTCGTCGTGCCTCTTCCTCTTCTTTCGCGTTATCCTGCCGGTTAGCTCCTCGGAGGCGAGTCGCTTTGATATTTGATGTAACAATAGCACTGGCGCCAGGCTTCTTCGCCTTCTCCTGCTTTGGCTTTGTCTCTTCTTCGTCATCCTTAAAGTAGAACTCGATCGAATCCAGGTCGGTGAGCGCCTCTTTCGTGAAAACCACCGGTTCTCCTCTAGTCACGCGCACAGTATCCGTGAGAACGAGAGTGTAGTTGGCACTCCTCTTGTCCTGAGGCTTGTCGTTCGTGAGATCCGAGAGGCTGGTGGTGACGCTGAACGTCATCCCGTCTTTGAGGGGCTTGGTGTTTTTGCCGTTCAAGACAAATTTTGAATCCCTCACTTCAATACCAATGGCAGACCCTACATCTTTACCAAAGTTCTTCTCGAGCTCGGGCCTGTGAGCCTTGACGACGCCCAGAGCCTTGTTGTAGACGTCTTTAGGTAGTGCCCCTTCTTTGATTTCTTTCAAAGCGGCATCATGCGCCGCAAGCAAAAGCTTGTAGTTTGACGTCTGCGACTTGCTTGGGTCGATCAAGTAAGTCCGTGCCAGCATTGAACAGTAGGTCTTGTATCGGAACCCTACTCCGGCAATAATGCAACCGGAGTGAAGGTTGTCATTTGTCGGTTGGGCGTTCAGTCGAAGATCATATTGCCCGCCACTCTGGACGATGGGGCCGTACGCCCAATCCAGCTGCTGGTTATCGAAATCGCTGGGCAACTTGGAGATCTTGTTGAAGAACTTGTTGTCGTCGATCTTTTTTGACATGTTGTCACAAAGCTGACGATGGGTGACCTTTTTCTCTTCATCAAGCACAGACGACATGGCATCAACCCAGTAGTCCGAGATCATGCCACTGGCTGCGCGAGCCGCGGTTCGCATATTTCTCAGCTCGTTCTCGTCTTTGACCGCAAACGCCGTGGAGAATGCGCCTGAAACGTCCACTTCCTCGATTTCCTTGGAGAGTTCCCCATACATTTTGACCCATTCATCGACGAAAGGTCCGTGCGCCTCAGCCTTTGGGATAGTGCCGACCTTTTTCCCGGCATTCTTGATGATATCAATGCATTTCTCAAAGGCTTGGGTTCGGGTTTCGGGTTGTTTCATATGAACGGTAAGGATCTCGACGGGGATCTTGCCATCCTTGAGATTTTGGAGGTGCTTAGCTGTAAAAGGGAGTCAGACACTTGGGAGAAGGATATTGCCACCACGGGTGTCAAACCTACCCTTCTTCTCTGTTGTCACAACATACAAGACAGCCGTGGTGAAGATCAACAGAGTCGCCGGAAACTCATAGCCCAGGAGCCAAAACTGTCACGCAGCACAAAATCGTCAGTTTCTCGACTTTCATAGCCACCAAACGAGGCAACGCAGAGCGCGTATATCGGGCGGCAGAGTGACTCACATGAACTGCATTGTTCTTAACATATACAGTGTCCTCGGCGGCCTTGCCTGTCAAGACGACGATGCTATCTGCGCCGCCAAAAACTTCGTTTCCCGATCTTTTGTCCGCTTTCCAGGCATTGTAAAGAGTTTGGAGGCGCTCGAAGAAGGTGTCGGGGTTGATGACAATGTCGCTCATCTTGTGGCTGCCTGCCTCAGCGGAGGCGAAGAAGGTATTGTGAAAGGGCGTGTCAATCGGAGGTGATGTAATTCGATCGCGATTTATCAGGATGAGGACGAGACCCAGAAAAGAGTCTGATTAGAACGACGTCGCGACAGGAGGAAGATGAGCAAAGAATGAATACACAGAATTGAATGTAAGACCAAATGTTGTGGTCCTACCTCGCCGAGTCAAAAAGTCCCCAAGGTCAAGGCAGGGCAAGTTCCAAGATCAAGGGCGGAGGGCGATATTTCTCCAAATGCCGCGCTAAACTTGCCCGACTCGCGCGCCGCAACGCGAAGCAGATTCTTCCCAAGCGCGTCACCCTGATGATTCAAAAGTTCAGAACCATCTTAAACTCGGCTCACGAATGATTATCCCAGAATTTGACTAAATCATCAGAGACTCTAGTTCGTATAACGCTGTGGTGCTCTGACTCGAATATACTGCGTACACTCACTTTGGAATTGCCGCGGGGTCTCTATTGATAATCAAGTGGCGCTTGCTGCCTGATAAACCTCAAGGTCCAGTCGAGAAGGATGCCATGTCAAAAGCCGGACTGTTGTGTTGAATACAGTAATACCGCTTTGGAGCTTCAGTCTACTTCACTCTTGTGGCAAGCCGATTTGAGTTATGGAGAGCATTGGTGGTTAAACATCTGGCGGAAAGAGAATTCTGTCCGTTTAGAGACAAGGGGAGAATATCTACAACGACACCAGCCTTCCACAAGGAGACCGCTGATACTGACCTCGCCCCCGATTGACGACCCTCCCATCCATCTATCATCTATAAGCCTCGTCCAACCAGAACGCCGAAGCTGAATGCACCAAGCGGCAGAAACCCTCGTAGCTTTCCTCATACAAGAAGGATATCATACTTCCCTTTGCTGGATATCCTGACTTCATCACCTAAGCCCTCCTGTCCATACTTCCTCCTTACCAATTCGAAGATGATCAGTCCTGCACTTGTACTCGGAACCTGCCGAATAGTGAACCACCAGAAGCCTCTGTACAGCCATCGCCTCATCCCCCCTTCAGCCACTGCTTGCAGGCGAGCTTGTTTCCAAGTCGCTTGGTAGGCGTGATAGTATGCCCTCAACATTCGGCCACGTCTCGCCAGTGGCACATTGTCAGCGTTGAGTTTGATGGCCTTTTTGTCCAGTTCTTCTAGGCGCCCGTAGTGAAGAGTCTGGAGTGTCGACAGAGGATAGAGGAGGACCTGCTGGGTGACAGAAGCGGTAATGCCGGCGAGCATGAGAAAGGCCGGTTCAAGGGCGTAATGTGGCCTGACCACTAACGCGTCGGGCTCTCTTTTCGCCACTGATCGCTCGTCCGTTGCAGTCTGTATGAGCTTTCTCTCCTTCGTCCCAAGTTCTTCTCCTTCCCAACCTTCTGCAAGCCTGTGTCCGTAGTACCACTGCACATAGCCATGATAACCCTGCGCCTTCACCCACTCAAAGGTACAAAAGAATATGCCACTCCCGAAGCTATCCTTCAAAAAGCTCAGTCCCCACCCCGCAAATATTCCTCTCAGTCCAATCTCTCTTAACTTTCCCTTGCCATATTCCCACATAGTCTTATCTTCATACTTTGGCCCTCGTCGTTCGAATCGGACTTGAAGGGCATCCAAGGGAGCTGCCAGAACGCTTTGGATAGATCCTGCTGCGAAACCAGCAAGAAAGGTGCTCTGCGGTGGTGGAGGAGGATATACTGTTTTCCTGGCGTGCGCCGAAGGCTCATGCAGGAGGCCCAATATCTGCAGGTAACTCGTATACAGCGCTGCTCCGACGGCCACGTTCGCAAACAATGGCAGCGCCAATTGCTCTGGCACGAAGCGCCAACCGTAGTGTTTGATCGCCGTCGCCAGCAGGCCTGGTGTGGTGGACCTCCATGACCACCGCCCACTTTGTATATCCGGATTGAGGCTTTTGGCGTACGCGAGGTAATCCACTCTGGTTCGAAAGAAAGCTTTCACCGGCGCACGGAAGTAGAATGCCACAGCCTGCGCGGTGAAGGCTCGAACCCCGGCGGCGGAGGCGCCGGTTGCTGCATTGCTTTTTGTGTCTTTGTACACGGGAGGGGAATCCGACGGGATCACAGGCAGCACGCCTTCGAAATCGGTAGGGTCGTCATCGAGGGGATTCATACTTCTGCGTCTCGCTCAAAAGTAGCTTGGCCATTATTGGCAGCGATGCATTGACTTCAGTCAGTGCGGAAGGTCCACGGCGTGAGAAGCACGAGAATGATGTAGTGGCTTGGATCTGGTGGGAGGAGAATACCTACCTAGGTAGGCGCAGATACCGAAGCTTAGGAGCAAGGCTGGCAAGGATAATGGGCGGGACATACCCGCACAAGGCTGAGTACTAGTACCTGCTCGCTGGTACTTCGACGTCATTCCTCGTACAAAATACCTACCTGGTAGGTACCTAGGTACCTTAGGTAGCTAGTATCTGGCGAAGCAGAAATCCGGGGGTCTTTGGACTATTTCCTACCACCCTTGTGCGGACACAGAATAAAATTGCGCACGTATACCGCGGTATTCGATCTGGTCAAGTTCAAATCAGCTCTTTTCATTGCTCATGTGGTATCTTATAATATTTCAAAACAGCAGCACATGCCGACCGCCAACTATCCGATTGTATGATTAAACCCCCGCCCAAGAATAGCTGAAATCATGTCCGGTCGTCATGTCCTGTTGGCTGCAAGACTTGGTTCACAGCCATTATCAAAGATCGATCCTCGTCTTCCAATCAACCTTTCCCTTCTCCGCCCATTCCTGAAGAAAAGACACACCGAATCTCGCTGCTTCAAAAGCGGTAGTGTTTGCATCCATTGGCAGGTAAAAGTCCTGCGGAATCCTCGATGGCGTGAGCTTCTCTAGTAATCTTGCACTCGAATCCTTCGCCCGCTTCGACCAAGTAATGGGATACTCGCGTTTCAAGAGATCGGGCGAAAGTTGCCGAGACCCATCCAGCCATGCTGTCTGCAGTTCACGGGCGTTCTGAATCAACTCGTCCTTGAACTCAACGTATCTTTTCTTGTACTTTTCCCCATCTTCGTTCGTCTTGGTGTTGCCATCACTACCAGGCGTTGGTGCGGAGTTGCAATAATCATCAGGCAGAGGATCCCGCGCCAACCTGTCCATGTCATACTTATGTACAAGCTGCCGACAGACTGCGCCAAGTTGGACGACCAGACCGTGGAGATGTGGAAACTTCCTCGATTGACGGAACACAAAGATATGGTACAGAATGATTGATCTCCAGCCTGGATCGATGCTTGGACGGGCGTGGGATTGCGCGGACATGTTGATCATGAAGCACAATAGTGCTTCAATCAGTTTCAGCACCGCTTTCGCGGATTGAGAGGGCTTCGCGTCACTGTCAGGGGCGGGTAACAGAGCCGATCCTTCATGCTTGAGAGTACGACCCAAAGTAAAGAACTTGGAGTTTATACTGGACCATTGTTGCCGCTCCTCTTCGCGAGAAGATGTAGAGCTCGTTGGGGGTTGAGGGGACGGCTTCGGCGCCGCTTGTGGCGTTGACACCCTCGCTTTGTCCCCGGTAGGAGTTGGGGCGTCAACACCGTCGGACGACTCCACGCGTCTCATCAGAGTAGATTTGAATTCCTTTTTAGGGGTGGAAAATGTTGACTTTGATTGAGACGACACGGCTGTCTTGCCAGCTGGGGGAATTGGGGTGACAGGGCGATTCTCGTGGTCGCCCGGCTTGACCTTCTTGAGAGACGGTCCAGGACTGCTGTCTTCAGCCTTCCTCTTCTTTTCCAGCTTGATGTCATCGACGGCAGGTGGTCTCGGCTTGGACTCAGCAGTTGGCTGACTCTCCAGGGGCTCCTTCTTGGATGTCTCCTTCCTTGCATGTGCATCGGAGTTGTACTGGGAATCTGGCGCCTCTTGCTTCAGAAGATCTTGCTTCAGAAGATCTTTCTTCGGCCGCGGCGCGAACTTGAGGAGCGCTTCGACCCTCTTCCTATTCTTTTTCCCGTACTTCAGAATAATTGTATGCCTTTGTCGCGGGCCAGGACTGGCTCGCACTCCATTATGAAGGGGTGTACCGCTTCTGATGCCATTCTTTGCCAGAATCTTCGCCCCGAGACCCACTTTGGCCGCGTTGGGAGTTCCTGGGGCGCTGCTCCGGGCCGAGTGCTGGCTGTCTGAGCGTACTTTGCTCCCACCTGGGGCTAGCCCACCTCGATCGCCTGGTGGTTCATTGTCTAGGTCGGCGCCAGCAAGAATCAAGCGTACGGGATCTGATCGCTTGGGCAGACCGCTGGCAGGGCTTCCAATTGAGGTCGTATTCGGGGGGGTAGACAAAGCCTTCGCAAGTGACGGAGGCAGGACCGGAGATAGTAGCTGTGGCAGGCTGTTCTCCTTCTCGGGCGACGGTAGAGTTGGAGAGAGTAACCGGGGCATTTTCATGGTGGAAGACTGTGATTCAACTTTCGAGGTCTTTGCGCCAGGTTTGGGATCTTCAACCGCTGGAGAAAGCTTTCGTCGCTTAGCAGGATTCGGTGAGTCGGTCTGCTGCATTTTGGGAGGTATTTTGGGGGAATTATGGCCGTCCATTCGTGAAACTTTCAGCGGATGGTCTTTGGCTCCGTTAGTCTCCGGGACAATCGGCTGTTTCTCCTGCTTCTTCTCCAGCAAAGGTTGCGTAGCGTGTTTTTCCTTTTCAACGCTCAAGGGTGGGTTGGCTGAGGTCTCAATTTTCTTTGGAGGTTGGGATTCCGTTGCAGCTTGAGATGGACTTCTGGCCTTGGTCTTGTAGTCCTTCAGGCTAATTTTCTTGCGATTGCCTGCGTCTGCTGGAGTATGTCGACCGGTCGCTGGAAGAGCCTTTGGGGAGAGTTCTTCCTCAACAATGGGATTCCCGTGGTCGTCTGCCCACCCGCCCTCGACTCTCAACAAAGACTCGTGCTCACCCGAATGCGGAAGGAAGCTGAGGTATTGCAGCTGCTCTTCTTTGCGGTCAAACGGAGTGCCCTCATACCATGTATTAACAAAGCGCGAGCTGTGGCGGTAGGGAACGTCGGAGGGAACGGAAAGCAGGTAGGGTTGTGGAGGGAGAATGGTGTCGCTAAGGTGCTTGAAGCGCTCATCCAAGTGAGCAACGATATGCGAAGGGAGTTGCTTGCCTCTAGGCAAGTCTGTATATTCCGGTGGTCTCTTGGTCATGCCTTGGGACATTTTGTCGCAAAAGGCAGGGAGGAACGGGTTATCTTTCCATCACAGTTGGTGATGAGTTCGTCAGGGTGACCAGCTCTGAGAACGAAAAGCTGGACACAGCGACGGCTCATGAGACGGTACCATCACATATCCGCAATCGAAGGAGGGTCAGATCTCTCAGTTTGTATCGCGGGCACGGATCCTTTTTGCGGTGATTAACTTTATAGTATGGGTTCGGAGGGGATCTGACCGACCTGGTGGAGGACGCGAATGCGGGCAACGAGGGCTGATTTGGCGCAGTCTGGGTTTAATGTGCGCGACTTGTACTCTGAGCGGCCGGAGACTCGACGGTTTTGCGACGGAGAATTGTTCAGGACGTAATCGACCAAGAGAGCTGGCGGAACAAAAAGTAGGAAGAGAAGGCTGATGGATGGGCGCAGTTGACCAATTCGATTTACGCAAGCGCAGGTCGGGCGAATGCGAACCAGTGAATAATCACTGAATCAGGAAGGGGAGGATAATAGAGGGGCACAACAATAATCCAGTGCTGGAATGTCTTTGCCAAAGGTGCAGGAAGGGCCTCTCCCAGGGCCAAATTCTGCGGCAACGTGGTTCTGTACACTCGTATGCTGTGGTGGGAGGTTCCTCGAGAAAGCAGTGGTAGTTGGATCAGTAGTAGTACGAGTAGGTGGAAGTGGTCAATGGGGGGAATGATTGACGCCAAGGGGCCGTAAGGCATCATGGACGGGGCGAGGCGAAGTTGAGGAGCGAGGACCTGGGCCTCGCAGGCTCTGGGCCGCTGGGTCACCTGGGCGCGGCGCCCCCGGCCACACAGGTTTAGTGGGCGTCAGTGGAAAAGGTGCCCAAGGTTCCCTCTTGCTGACTCGCGCCCGTCGCGCTCTCGCCGCTCGGGGCATCCCGCGCTACCCTCTGATCCTTCCGCCTCTCTCCTCGCCTCATCCCACGCGACCCAGTCTGTGCCATTGACCGCAGCCTCAATCAAGTTCCCCCTTGTCATGGAGAACCCACATCGAGCCACCTAATACACCCGAGTTCAGTGCGCCTCATCTTAGTCATCCACCACCATCCCGAGTTGACCTCGCCTTCTCACTAGCACAGTGGTAACAGCGTCCGCCAGCGGTCAGTCGAGAAAAGCATTATACAGCATCCATTCCAGTGCAATCCAATGTACATAATCAGTACATGTCCAGTGCAACTCGATATGAATTTTTCCGGCTTCAGTGTAGAGTCCCAGGCTCCAAAGGACGGCTTTTGACACCTTTGATGCAGTGACGTAACCCCCATATTGTTCAACCGCGACAGCGGTGCCGCGCTGCAGCTCTATATCTATACACCTAGTAAGTCAACACAATATGACACTCAAAATCCAGCGTTGGCGGCATTAGTCCTCGTCTTGACCGATCTTCCCATACTGACCGCGGGAACTGCTGTCTTGGCGTGTCCTAGACACCATTCGACCAATCCAACCCCCGAAACCTTCTTGGTTACTCTGCCGTCTACCACGCGGGTTTCCATTTTCGTCTAGTTGGACATCGGGAGGATCTATATCAAGACCAGGAATTGCGGCGTCTGCGGAGAAGACACCTGGCTGGGGAGCACCTTGTCTGATGTCGATAGAGGATGGCGATCCCACGCCCATGAGAGATCCTCGTTCCGCCTGAGTGGAGGGAGTTGGCATCGCCGTTGTGGCATCCCCAAAGAGCGCGTTCATGTCTTCGAGACGAACATTGGCCGTTTCGGGATATACAAAATAAACTGCGGTCGTGATTAGTGCTTGCATGATATCAACGAGACCAGACCAACTTACCTAGAACGAAACTGACTGCGCAGAAGAAGGCGTGTACAAGATATAATCTCCACTTGATGGTTTTCTGAAGTATCGGTGTAAGTTCCCCAACCAAAAAGTTGAACGCCCAGTTGCTGGCCGTACTCAAGCTGGCACCTTTCGCCCGAATGCTGAGCGGCAGAATTTCAGGAGGGTACAGCCACGGTATGGGGCCCCAGCTGGCTCCAAATGCCGCATTGTAAATCATGACAAAAATCACCACCAGCGTTGGGGTCCACCGTACGTCGATGAAGATAAAGTAGGAGATGAGCGACAAGGAAATGATCATAGCCACAGCCCCAGACAAGAGAATTGGCCGCCGTCCCCATCGATCAACCAGATACCACGGCGGAATCGTCGATCCCAGGTAAGTGAATGCATTGATGCCAGTCATCAGGATTGCGTCTCGTCCCACCCAGCCTGCCGATTCGAAGACCAGGGGTGCGTAGTACGAGATGACATTGATACCGTTTAGTTGTGCGAATGCCTGAGCCGACATGGCAATAAAGACGCGCTTATAGTATCGTTTGAACATGTCCGAGTACGAACGCTCTCCTTCTTGACGTTGCAAGAGGACGTTCATTTTGATCTCGCGATATTCTTGTCGGGCCTTGGGGTTGTGAATATCACCTTTGCCATAGAGATTGGCGATGACAATAATCCCCTCCTCGTCATGGTCGTTGTCTAGGAGCCACCTGAAATGAAAAGGGGGTTAGCCTGACCCATGATAATTCTTGTCCGGAATCTCGTACCGAGGGGATTCGCAGATAATCAAGCTGCCAAATCCGAGAAGTGCACCCATAGCGCATTGCATCAATAGGGGCACTCTCCATGAGAGGTCGCTCTGGATAAAGCTGCAAAAGTAGTCGACCCAAACACTTGCAGCGTAACCCGTAATGTTACCTGTGAACTCTATACAGGCCAGCTTGCCTCTATTGTGTGGAGGACTGATCTCGGATTGATAAACAGGTACAATGGTGGATAGCGCACCGACTCCAAAACCCGCGATCAATCTCCCTACCATCATCATGGGCATACCATTGGCGAAAGTTTGGAGCATCCCACCAACGAAGAAAACCATTGATCCGTAAAGAATAGTCTTACGGCGTCCAATGATGTCGCCAATGCGTCCAACGCATAGTGATGCTATAAGTGCGCCAACCTCGAGGATGGCCACCATGGTACCAACTTCAGCTGGGCCGGGCTGATTGAATGCGTCTCTGAAAAAAGGACCACTTGTCTCCGTCAGCAATTGTGGTTGGGAAGATGCGACCGAACGTACGTAATAATACCAGACATAACGCCTTGGTCGTAGCCAAAAAGAAATACACCCAGTGATACGAAAACACTTGTGAAGTACCTGCATTGCAACTGTTAGCCACCCGTAGACGCTCCTTCGAGATTCGTTCCGCATACAATAACGGCTTCCCCACGAGGCCCTTTGCTCGGGCAGTCTCGGTATCATTGGGAGCCATGATGAGTGCTAATATTCTTTCTGTCTTGGTGATCTGCCTCGGTGGAGGCTCCGGAATGAAGATAGCCTCTTTATCTATACCGAGAGGGGGATGATCCCGCTCAAGGTGATCTTGTTCTCGAAATCCAACTCTCTTCTTCCGTCCTCCACCGTGACCACGACCGGAGTCTCTGAGCCTATGACCTTCCCGGGTCAGAGGACCTAGCTCAATCCGATAGGGGTCCTCGGCGTTGGTGAGCTGCTCTGCGAGATCTCCAGTGTCGCTCCAGAGGGAGAAGTCGTCAGAGTCAGACCCCGAGTACGATGGTCGCCGATTGCTTTCGTCTTTTTCGTTCCCTATTGAAGTCCGCAATGTGGGCAAGGGGTCTTCCAGATCTGCTCTCGAGCGAGACGAATGCGATCGGTGGTGGAGGAAAGATTCGGTAGACGGGCGAGGAGAAGGAATGGTGTCGACGTGCAAAGGGCAGTCTGAACGACCGGCCCTGACCTTTCAAAGGAGGATATAGGTGGACCTCGACAGACCTCGTGTCCAACTGAGGAAGACTTCGAGGTTTTTCGGTAGGTGGGTCGGGGACGCAGTCAAGGTAGAGGGTGTGAATCGAGACGTCGGGCTCAACAATCAGACGGCAAGCGGAGAGGCTCGGTCACTGGTCAAGCGATGGCAATGTGGGCGATGGCATTGGACTGGAGAACCGATCACGAGAAAAGCGGAGCAGGAAAGCTTCCCATGTGAGGATAGCGAGAGGGGATGACCCAAATGGACTTTGTCAAATGATGCAGTAATAGCTTTGGGAAAAGATAGCGAAGGAAAAGCTCAATGTGGCCGCTTGCAAATTGGAGTAAGTTGTGTTAGTGAGAAGGTGGATGATGGGATGTCAGAATTGATCGGGCAAAGTTGCTGGTAGCCCAGTATTGGACCAAGACCAACAAGCGAAGTATTACCTGGGCGTGCGAGAGTTCCTGTCCCCAGTGAGTACCATCTCCAGGTAGGAGTAAAGTGATAGGGGGGAGGCTGATTTTCTGGGGAAGATACAAGCCCCAAGGCAGTCAGATAGGCATCGGCTCAGGGGTGCCACCATCTGGAAAAGCCACCCAAGCCGCCTACGATTTGATCATACGGGACCTCCGGTGACCCGGAACAACGTCAGTGCCGCCAAGCCGCCGCGGCAGCAGATTTTTCAAAGTCCCTCGCAACCACACATCAGCATCAGGCATAATAACAAGTCGGATGAGGCCTTATGACTAGACCCTGGACATCGATCCAAGGTTACGCAAAGAGCAATCTCGTGATTGATCTACCATTTGCTATCGGCTGGCGTCGGATGACCGTCTAATTCTTCGTATCGACCAGTCTACCAACACCACACTTCACTTTCCCGCTATTGTGTGGGATCATTTTATCCTCTCACACTCGCCAGGCTTCGATTATGGTCCTGTGTGCCCTTTTGTGACACTGATCATGCTGCAAATCAGGAGCATCTAGCCTCAACGCCTTGCTTGTCAACCACCATGGACCACCCTCAAGTCTGTATCATCCCTGGAGCGTCAGCCTTCTCTGAATTTCGACGCCAGGCTCTAGCCTCCAACATTGGCGCCCGCGACGTTCAGGGACAATATATTCACTATGTGGAACTTGTGGGATCTCTTGAATCTGAGAGCCATGCCCTACTGGAAAAATTGTTGACCAACGGTCATCATGTAGATGCCCAAGAAAAGGAAGAAAAGGAAGGCGAATCTTCCACTATCCTCCATGTCCTACCTCGACCGGGCACTATTTCTCCTTGGAGTTCAAAGGCTACCAACATTGCTCATGTTTGTGGGCTTCAGAAAGTTGTTCGTCGAATCGAAAGAGGTGTCAAGATTACGGTCTATCTTGATAATGGACATTCTCTGGGCAAATCAAGTCTTGACTTCCTCCATGACCGGATGACAGAGACTATCTCGGAGAATGAGCCAGACCTCGATCTCTTATTCATGCACCACCAACCTGGCCTGTTGGGCACATATGACCTGTACAATGGTGGAGAGACCCCCTCAGAGATTCTTCAAGATCTGAATCGCAAGCTAGGCCTTGCACTCGATGCTTCAGAAATCCAGTATCTGGTCGAAGCCTATTCGAAAGACGGGCCAGTCCCGAGGAAGCCTACAGATGTTGAGCTCTTTATGTTTGCCCAGGTGAACTCTGAACACTGTCGGCACAAGATTTTCAACGCGAGCTGGACTATTGATGGAAAACCCAAGACTAACACTCTGTTTGGCATGATCAGAAATACGCACAAACAGGTTCCGGAAGGCACCATCAGTGCATATAGCGACAATGCAGCTGTACTAAAAGGCAGCAATGGGAGTCAATGGGCCCCCGACGACCTCAACGGCCAATGGAAAGCAACAAAAGAAACCGTGCATTTCCTCGTTAAAGTTGAAACCCATAATCATCCTACCGCTGTCTCTCCATTTCCAGGAGCGGCAACCGGTTCGGGTGGTGAAATCAGGGATGAAGGGGCAACAGGAAGGGGAGCAAAACCCAAAGCTGGTCTCGCAGGTTTCTGCGTGTCTGACCTGCTGATACCTGGTCACCGTCAGCCGTGGGAGCTCGATTATGGCAGACCTAGCCATATCGCCAGCAGTCTCGATATTATGCTCGAAGCGCCCATTGGAAGTGCAGCTTTCAATAACGAGTTCGGCCGACCTTGCACTGCTGGGTATTTCAGAACATTGCTCGTGGAAATGAGAACAGGCAAAGACTCTACTGAAATCAGAGGCTATCACAAGCCTATCATGATTGCAGGAGGCGTAGGTACTGTTCGACCTCAACACGCTCTCAAGGATCCTGAGATCGTCAAAGATGGTGCATTTCTGATTGTCATGGGTGGACCGGCCATGCTCATCGGTCTTGGAGGAGGGGCCGCATCAAGTGTCAGTTCTGGAGAAGGGTCGGCCGAGCTAGATTTTGCTAGTGTTCAACGTGGCAATCCAGAAATGCAGCGGAGGGCTCAAGAAGTCATCAATGCATGCACCGCGCTTGGTTCACACAACCCTATCCTCTTCATTCACGATGTCGGTGCGGGAGGTCTGTCCAATGCTCTGCCGGAACTCGCCAAAGACTCTGGCCACGGTGCCGAATTTGAGCTTCGAGATATCGACTGTGCAGATAAGAGTATGAGCCCCCTCCAGATATGGTGCAATGAGGCCCAAGAGCGCTACGTTCTCGCGGTGGCACAGGAAGGTATGAACAAGTTCAGGGCAATTGCGAAACGAGAGCGGTGTGAGATCTCGGTCGTGGGAAAAGCTACGAAGCGGCAGGTGTTGAAACTGACAGACCGTGATCACCCGGCAAATGGCGATGATCAACAAGATCCTATCGACCTTCCAATGGAAGTCCTCTTCGGGAAACCGCCCAAAATGACTCGTGATGTGGACTCACGCAAGGCCGATCTACCAGGCTTTGATACTAGCTTGAGCCTGTATGTGCCTCAGGCGTCGATGAGCGGTTTGCTTCAGGAAGCAATCGATCGAGTGCTTCAGATGCCAGCTGTCGGATCCAAGTCTTTCTTGATCACGATAGGAGACAGGACTGTCGGCGGACTCACAGCCAGAGATCAAATGGTCGGCCCTTGGCAGGTTCCTGTGGCGGATGTATCTGTAACAGCGACGTCACTTACCACTGGTATCAAAAGCGGAGAGGCGATGGCGATGGGCGAGAAACCAACCATTGCCCTGATCTCCCCGGCAGCATCTGCACGTATGGCAGTGGCTGAATCACTGATGAATCTTACTGCTGCAGACCTGCCCGATCGTCTTCACCAAGTCAAGTTGTCCGCAAACTGGATGTCTGCGTCCACTCATCCGGGCGAAGGAGCAGGGATTTACGAAGCTGTGGAAGCGTTGGGCATGGATCTGTGTCCCAAACTCGGCGTCTCAATTCCCGTCGGGAAAGACTCCATGTCCATGAAGATGAAATGGGCAGACCCACAGAGTAAAGAGGCAAAGGAAGTCACGAGTCCCCTATCAGTCGTTATATCTGCTTTCGCTCCCGTTCTGGACATTAGGAAAACGTGGACACCGCAGCTCAAACGATACAACGAAGTTGGCGAATCTACGCTCTTTTTCGTGGACTTGGGCCTCGCGCATCGTGCCCTTGGAGGGTCCGTCCTCACACAATCCTTCAAACAAATTGGCGATGAAGCACCCGATATCCGCTCGGTCTCCTTGTTCAAGGATTTCTTTGACGCTACGCAACAACTGCACGAACAGGGCCTTGTGCTGGCCTACCACGACCGTTCTGACGGGGGCCTCTTCGTGACACTGGCGGAGATGTCATTTGCAGGTCGCTGTGGTATAGAAATCATGATCAACGACATCTGCCCCACGCCAAACACCCCGGATGTGATCTCTACACTGTTCAACGAAGAATTGGGTGCGGTATTTCAGGTCCGGAAGTCTGACGAGAACCGCTTCAAGGCCTGTTTCGCGACGTGCGGTCCTCCTCCAGGTCTTATCCACAAGATCGGGCGGGTTTCAACCAAGACTTCCTCTCAGAACATGGCCATTTATCACGGAGCGAGACTAATATACCGTGCAACTCGCGGTCAACTACAGCAAAAATGGTCAAACACGTCATATTGGCTTCAGCGACTTCGCGACAATCCTTCCTGTGCGGACTCGGAATATAACGCAATCCTGGACGATGCTGAACCGGGATTGAGCTACAATCTCAGCTTCGACCCCAAGGAAAACATCAACACGTACAAAGCGTCCTTCCTCAATTACATGCGTCCCACGGCCCGGCCGCGTGTGGCCATCTTGCGAGATCAAGGCACCAACGGCCACGCGGAAATGGCATTTGCCTTCGAAGCTGCCGGATTCACCGCGATAGACGTCCACATGTCGGACATTCTGGACCCGAAACCACACCAGTCACACCTCGGCATTGATCACGACCTCTCTTCCTTCGTGGGTCTTGCTCTCTGCGGCGGCTTCAGCTTCGGCGACTGTCTCGGCGCAGGTCAGGGGTGGGCCAAATCGATCCTCTTCCACCCGACAACACGTGCAAAGTTCCACACCTTCTTTGAAAGGAAAGACACCTTCACACTGGGCGTCTGCAACGGGTGCCAGGTCCTCTCCAAACTGAAAGAACTGATCCCGGGGGCGGAGAAGTGGCCATCTTTCGAAAGGAACGAGTCCGAACAGTACGAGGCCCGTGTCTGCATGGTCAAAGTATCCGATCCCCCAGTGGAATCAGGCATGTCCCCCAGCGTCTTCTTCCACGGCATGAGCGGGTCTTCATTCCCCATTGCCGTCGCACACGGCGAGGGTCGCGCCTCGTTCACGACCGATCTCCCTCCACCAAACACCGGGAACAAGACCTGGGACGCCTCTCTGGCCCACGATTTCGCCTACGCAAACCTCGCACCACTCCGCTACGTCGACAACAAATCCCTCCAACCCACGACAAGTTACCCGGCAAATCCCAACGGAAGTCCCGCGGGCATCGCTGGCGTGCGGAGCCAGGATGGACGCGTGTTGGCGTTGATGCCCCACCCGGAACGCACCATTTTGGCCGGTGTGGGTAGCTATATCCCCGAGCAGGCCGTCAAGGGAGAGAAAGGCGACGGCTGGGGCGACTGGGGCGAGTACGGACCTTGGTTGAGGCTGTTCCAGAGTGCGAGGAGATGGGTTGGGTAAGATGAGACACCTCTGACGGACGGCATGGGAACTGGGATGAGAGAAGCCAAATTGCAGGACGGGCGTTGCTGGAAGAGAAGATGTTCGAGTACCGAAAAGCGCTCGTTAAGAGGAAATTGGGACTCGATCAGGAGATGATGAACTGTTCTCTGTTGGATTGGCCTGGGCTTGATGATGGGGAAAGGCGCAACGGATGCAATGCGCCTCGCTACAACGCCAGGCTGACCTCTCTTGCTCATCTAAGGCGATTGAGACGACAGACATTCCGAGATAGATATACACTTGAGAGGTTTCCGCATAAATGCCACTTCAGAAAATGACCATCCTACAATTACTCGAGTTCTGAGGCAGGATTGTTTCAAGTTTTCATCTTTTTTTCTGCTTCTGGCAGCTATATCGCACCTACCAACGAGCCCCTTTTCGTCCACATTAGACTTCGTGCATTAATAGCGAGTATCTTCTAGTTACACAAGGCAAACAGAAGGAAAAGAAAACGGTGGCGCAGCCTTCAGCGTCCACCAAGATCTCTAACATGAAAACCTGGGCACCTATGCCCACCCATGCCGCAAAAAGCACACTTTTGTACACTGAGATGTCAGTCACCCAGCTGATCCCTCTGCCATCACCTCTAGTTGCTGTCATCCCCTGATCAGACGTGAGTTATGCCTGCCGAAGCCATGCTCGACGTCCACATGCACCAGGCGCCACGCCTTTGTCGCCCCGTTCAGTTGTCCGATAGGACGTAATCCAGCTGCTGGCTGATTTCTTGCAGCCCAAATTGAATTTCTTCGTTGTCTTGTCTCGGACGCCGAGCCTGCATGAAACAAAGAAATACTATCCCGTCAAAAGGGTCGTCCTTTTCGGCCGTCTAAGCCTTTCGCGATCTGGTGGTTGGACCGTTTGATCGCCCGGTGGTGACAGCGCCATTGCTCTTCTTCTCATCTCCGAGTGCGGATGGAACCCTGGTGGGGTCAGGAAGGGGAAGATCCTTCATAGCGATCAAAGCTTCTCTGCCAGTGTTCCTTCTCGGTCGTCCTTGGATGGTCTGTTTCCGGTAGGTCGCGAAGTAGAATGAGATGAAGAGCAGCAGGTAAGAGCTGAGAATGACGAGACCAGCGATGGCTGCGAATTCCTCCCCTGCGCAGGTGCCTGCATTTGGTAGCCAGGAGAAATAGGAGTTGGCGAAGTAGGTGTACGAAGCGAAATAGACAAAGCCCAGATCAATAACGAATTGTATGATTTGCATGATGGTGATGTATTTCTTCCACCAGATTCTGATGCCGCGAGCAGATTGGAAGTAGTACCTGGGAAACCATTTATCAGCCATATACTCGATTTTGCGGACAGATTCTCCTTACCAGTACATAACCACGTGAACTGTCAAGTTCAGCGTAATGGGGACCCATGACACCGCAGTGTGCCCAATAAGCTGAGTGTAGCAGAGAAGAGCAGTTGCGCCATGGTGATAAGTGTGGAGGAAGGTCAGAGGCTTCTTCTTGAGAACCAAGAACAAGGTGTCAATGAGTTCGAGGTATTTGGTGAGGTAGTTCATCTGCGGAAATTAGACTCTCGACACAAACTGGATAGACCGACAGCGGGACTCACATAGTACAGCACAACCAATTCTTGCGTCCAACCTCCATTGTAGCTGCAAATGGCGTTGAAGACACCACCGCGGACAAGAGTAGGGAGCAACTGTTCAATGAACAGCACCAGGAGACAACCGCTGATGATGGTGAGATAGAGGTTGTGGACCATGAAAGCGCCGTTGAGGGTGAATGGCTGGCGGTGTTTCATCAATTCTCTTCCACCAAATATAATGACATAGTATGAGATCAAGGCGATGGCCGTCTCTGGCAATGTCGACATCGGGGTCTTCCCTGGTTCAAACTTGAAGTCCATCGGTGAGTAGCCAAAGATGGCCGAATAGGCCTTGTCGAAGATAGGCCATAGTTCGATGCCGAAGGGGCGATCGAGCGTAGGGATGGGAATAGACTTGAGGATATCGGTCGACATGTTGAAAGAATATGTCAATTCTTGTTGCGGTCGGAGGCGGGAGGGAAATGGATGGGAAGAGTCTGAGCGCAGGCGCCGAATCGAGGCGGAATGAGTGACAGTCAACAATCAATTAATGAGGGAGTGAAAGAAGAAGAAAAGGATGAAGAAGAGGCAGACACGAAGAGGGATAAAGTAGGTGTCAATCGGAACAAGGTGGAAGGGAGTGAGTTATATTCTCAAGCCGGCAGCGCGGACAGTGGCGGCAGCAATGGGAAAATTGCAGGACGAGGAAGAGGGATGATGAAAATGGAAATGTGCCAACAGTGCCAATGGTGCCAATGGTGCCTGTGGATGCCAACTCGGGGTAATCAAAAGTCAGGGGGAAAATCGTTTGTTGAGATGCGCGCAGCCTCTGTCGTAATGGCCAAGATCCCTCTCAGCCGCGCCTTCCCATTGGCTGTGTACCTGGCTCTCAATTTCCGCCTGGCGAGAATTTTTTGCGACTGTCGCGCGTGTGCCGTGTGGAAGACGGTAGCCGCGGGAAAGATCTGATTGGCGGAGAAGTTAATACGGTGTCTTGTGCAAAGGTCGGCAGAGGGATGAAGGGGAAAAACAGGGGGGATGTGAACGCGAACCGTGTTGAGACTTGAGGTTGACATATAGCAGGTGTATGCACGTGCATATTATAATTAATAGAGGCAGGTACCGATGACCATGTTGGGACTGCCCCAAGCTATCAGCCAATCAGGTCCCCGTGATTGAAAATACGCAGACTGGCATACACATTACAGGCCAAATACCCGCCTTGCCCACGCATACGACTTGGCTGACGTCCGTCATTTCAACCACTCAGGAGCTTTGCGATCATTCTGCCCAGGCGGGCAAATCTCAGGTGACTGCAGAACCTCAATTGACCTCCGCCCACACCTTGAACACAGCAGCTTCTCCCATACTCCCACTCGACACAACTCCCCTGTACTCAACCTCGCCGAGTGCACAATGGCTTCTCTTGCCATGTTTCGTCTCTCAGCTCGTCCCGCCACTTCCGCCTTCGTCAGACCCTGCGCACGATCCTTCAGGAGAGCTCCAGCTATCATTCAATCGGTTTCCGCAAGGTCCCCTTTTAGCTCCTCCGCCATCCAAAGAAGCGGTGGTCACGAAGACGAAACATTCGAAGAATTTTCTGCGAGGTACGGTCCTGGTTGAGCTTGGTTTGGTCTCAATGGTTGTTGGAATACTGCCTGGCATTGCTGCGGAAAGAACTTTTGTGACTGTCAGAGCTTGGCTGACGAGATATCTCTCAGATACGAGAAAGAATTCGATGCTGTGCAGGATGTCTTTGAGCTACAGGTAAGGATGCCCGGCTCAAAAATGACATCGTGTAGTTTTGGTCTAACGCAAGTCACCAGCGAAACCTGAATAACGCCTTTGCCTACGATCTTGTTCCCTCCCCCGGTGTTGTCACAGCAGCTTTGAAGGCTGCTAGACGTGTCAACGATTTCCCCACTGCTGTGAGAATATTTGAAGGTCCGTCGTGATCAGTTCCGTTGAAGACGAGGTGATTGGAATCTAATATTCGGAGCCGCAGGCATCAAAGCAAAGGTCGAAAACACACAACAATACCAGGAATACCTAGAGGAACTAAAACCCCTGCGCGAAGAGCTCGGAATTAACCTCAAGGAAGACCTTTACCCCGAAGGCAGCGACAGCCCATACCACAACCCATAGACCATCCAATGGGAAATGGGAAAAGCTGGCCATAAAGCTTGTGCATTGGTGGTTGGGAACATGGAACGGAAGAGTCGCATGGTATCTGTCGGACCAGAGGAAGCCAGAAGGAATCGGCCTCGTGCGCAACATCTTCAGAGACTACCTACGCTGTAGTAAAACTTGTACAGTTTCAAAGACGAGCAAATTCGGAGATGAGAGAGTTCACTTGTCTTCTGCGGTCTTTCCTTTGCTCTCCCACAGAACACTAACATCGGCCTCCGACAAGAGGATCAGGCTGTCCACCCAATGGACATCCCGTTCGTTGGGCTGCCTGTTCGATTTCTTCGGCCAAAGGTACTGACGTCCCAGCGGATTTGCGAGTATTCCTGTCCCTATTTGGTTTTGAAATCTCATCGGCCCCCATTTTCAAGGTCGAAAACAACAACGCTCTACCTCTGCCACCTACTGCCAAGTCAGATGCTCAGCCACTGTCAACTTCTCCATGCAGGGCACAACAAGGCTGACACGTAAGTCCGCGGAAATTCTCAGTACCGGGACGTCTGCAGCTAGTTTCAAACGGCCCCCAAACGCAGGATAGCCGGACATATCAATTGATGGCGATATCATCAGTGTACACTGACAGTATGGTTATAGCAACTCATATCACTGTGCGGCTGAGGTTTTAGGTTGAAGCCTGGAGCCGAACAAGTCTGAACGGCATATTCAGTCATGCGTGCTATGCACCCGCGCCACCCTGTGAGTGCTAAATGAAGCAAGGCTGATGCGAAGTGCCCGCGCTAATGCACGAACGAGCTCTGAAATGGCGATAGTTCTCTGTCAAGTCTTCGTCTCGTGCACAACTGAGGTGTTGTCTTGCACAATACAAGGACCTTGACCGGTTGTGTCACGCTGCTCTCGCGGTTTCGCCATTGTCGTTTCCCCTCTGGTGTGCTCATTGTCGACCGGGGATGGTGTTGCCATGATTGTCAGGGGAGCCGCGGAGTTACTTTGGTGTTGAGATCAGGCTGAGAAACACCCCAAATCGGTATGCCCACCACCCTCTTCTTGAAGAGATGCGCAGCCTCAAGCTCTCCTCGACCTTAGCCTCGGGTGGCTTGCAGCCTACTCCAATGATGGACTTTCTCGGAAGGGCCAGGGCGTATACTGCAGCCCCGTTCGTACCAATCCAGGCATCTACAAAAGACCTTTCGTCGATAAGCCTACTCGGTACTTGGTTCTCTTGCCGTATATTCCGCACTTGCTGAACGAGACTTGAAATGGAATCTGTGCTTCTTGGCTACAGCTAAGATGGTTGCGCCGACTTACCTCTTCTTCTGCGACGCTAGATGAAATGATAAAGCAAACCCGAGCACCCGGTTGTTGGACCTGATGTCTGCCCTCCCTCGAATCTCACTCTCCTGGCCTTCAGCCGTATCGCCTCCAGAGGAGCATCGAGCACCAAAATGTCCCATCACATTCTTCTCCGTGCCGCTGCGGCTCACGTCCGGGTCTTCCTGCGTATTTATTTCACACTCGTGCTCATGCTCATCTCTTTCGTGGGAGATAAATGCTGCTCGATATGGGTGAAGATGAAGCTATACAAGCACCGGTCCGTCCCTCTGCACCATATGACCGGCTGGCTCAGTGGAACGGGCCTCTTTTCCGCGATCGCAGCCTTTCGTGCCACGCCTGTGGGCTGGCTGGGCATGCTAATGTTACTGGCATCTGCGCTCAGCCTTGTTTGCGACTTGGCCGTGAGTGCCCTCGTGGTAACAACCGACGTGGTCAGTCGTTGCCATTTCAACACCACGGGCGGATACTCGGCCTTGTCGGACGTGGTCTTTGACCTGTATATCAACGCGAGCCCTACGGGTCCCCTCTACGACATGGTGATGGCCGCCCAGGCGGCAAGCCTCAGCAACGGGGGCATCAATGGCATCTACGTCAAAGTCAACAACGACCCCAAATTCCGCCCGGATGAGAACGATGTCGTCGGGACGTGGGTCTGTAACGCCACGGGCGCCCAGAGAACGTTCCCGGCAAATGCGTCGACTGATTCTGTTTTCGAGGGCCTCCTACAAGACGGCCTCCTCTTCAATACCACCATGTACCAAACGTGGGATGACAGCGGCAGTGGCCCGCGCGGACTATTCGTCTGGTCTGCCTCTGAGAAGAACTACCCCACAGGGCCTTGGTCGATTCTCGCCGGGGTTCAAACAAGCCTCAACACCACCTCGCCCAAACGCATGGAGACATACATGTGCTCCATGTCCGCACCCAAGGTATCCTGGCTCTTGGAGCGGATGCAGGTCTCGAACAACCTAGAAATGTGGGCGGCCACCGTGCAGTCAAACATCTTTCCGGGCTTTGCCGCGCCGATGGGCAACGTGCCCGCATTCCCCAAGGATCCCGGTCTGGTGATCGCCACCAAACTGAACGCCATGACCATGATGGCCGGCGCTGCCTGGGGGATCGAGGACTACCCGCGCAGGATCGACGACCCTACCGTCGGGTGCATCGCGGCCCGGACCCTGGTGCCTTGGTCCGTCACGGCGCTGTTCGTCCTCGCGGCACTCCTCGCGGTCGGCATGGCGCTGTGTCTCCTCGGATTGACTTGGTCGCGTCGCGTGGACCAGAAGAGGCTGCCGAACGTGCCGGCCTACATCAAGGCAGTCGACCAGGGCACACCCAACGATCTCATCGGCTGGATGAAGCGGGCCACCGAAGAGACCGGCGTCTCAGTAGTAGCAGCGGCGCCGACACCCTCGAAGACGCCGCGGATCGAACGCTGCATCGAGGCGTGTCTTCTCTGGCTCCATCTCCCTCTGCCCGATGGCCGGTGGGCGGAAATTTGGCGTTTCGGGCCCTCCACAAGTACCTTCGATGCCGCTTCTTACGTAGGCGGGCTCGGGAAAGTAACAGCCCTGGGACTTTTCTGCCTCACGCAGCCGCCGACGATGCCTGTACCCAGTGGTGGCGGCGGCCGCGGAGGAGAATCGCAGGAACTATTGAATGTCCCGCTACCATTTCCGTCACCTTCGCCCTCCTTTTGGACGCAGAAAACCGTGTCCGTCCACGAGGCCGAGCTGTAAGACCTATCCAACAGTGCGGCCGGGTTGTAGCTTCAGCCGCTTCAAGACACTACTATACCAGGACGAACCTCTATCCCAGGCAGAACGTTCTACCGAGTATCTGAGAACGCGACACGACGTAATACCGAGTAATTCATCCCCGACAAAAAGGTGCTTGATAGCGAACGGGATGGACGACATAGCAGATATATATATATATATATATATATACTTCGTATATAGGTATTCTTTAATGTTTTGATAAATGAAACTCAGGAAGTTTTGTGTCTCAGATTTTCAGAACCAGTGAAACACCCGGTTATGTGTATAGGTAGGTCACTCAGGAGGCAATAATGATGATGGGCGAAGCACGCCTGCCTTGATAGTGGGACCGCGACTCGGGGCCGGTATATACTAGGTACCTATATAGTTCAATCCAGAGACGAATGCCGCATATCATGGGCCCATTGTCGAGGCATAGGAGGCACTGATTACTTGTAGCGACGGAATCAAAGTTTGCAAGGCGTCTAGAATCCGATAGATTGCATCGTCATACATAGTTCAATTGTTTCTGCACCAGCGTTCTCTCTGCATCCACTCGTCTGTCCTCAGCGTGATAACAGCCGTGAAAACCCCTCGGTGTGTGCGACCAGGTGCTTTCCAATCCGTATTCGCCCTGCATTCTTCCAAAGCCAGTGACGTTCCTCGTCAAGCTCATCTCACCACCGATCTCTCTGCTCTGTGCCTTAAATCATATATCTAAACTGCTTATCGTTACCATACTGGCCAGGCTCCTCGAGGTGCACAGTCTCCCTGTCACGGCCGTACTTCTTGTCGCGCTTCCGGTTCGCCTGCATCAGCAGTCCCATCTGCATCAGGGATGTGACCACGACGATCAGACACGCACCGCATGAGATCCACATGCCTTTGCGATAATACGGCGCGTCGCTTTTGGGGAAGATGTTTGTACCCAGCACGGGACCACACTGGCCACCCGTTGCGAGGATAGCCAAACCCACGGCACGCTTGCTGTCCGTGGCATGGGTGTTACCGACCCAGGTTAGCACCATTGCCACCGACACGAAGATGAGGACGGCCAGGAAAAGGCCGAAATACCGCGGTGCTACCCCCGTGGTGGTGGCCAGGATAATGTACCCGACCGCCGCGATCAACGCAGGGCTAGCGACGAAGATACCACGCATCTTCAGGCGGTCAGAGATGAAGGCCGTGCCGCAGATTGCGAGGAAGCAGAATACATATGGTGGAGCAGAGAGGCCGTTGGATTGGATGGTGGAGAAGGCGCCCATCTCGCTGATGATGGTGGGAACGAAGAGCGGGAGGGAAGCGAAGCAGACGTTGCAACCGAAGTACATCAGAGGAGGAAGGTAGGCTGTAAGAATGAATGTCAGTCTTTAACTTTCCCTTTGCTCTTCAAGTTATGATTGGGAAAATACGCAAGGGTCGCGTAAGTCAAATGGCTCCAGGATGTCCCTTTTGAACAACAGGGTAGTTGCTTCTCGATTGGATCGTCCATCAAGATCAAAAGGCTTGAACAAGTTCATTTGAATTGAACAGCCGTCAAACCAAAAGGGGTGCGTGGGTGGATGGGATCAAATAGTCCCCGAGAGCAATGGGAGGGCACACGAAAAAGAGAAAAACTCACATCGATAATCCATCAACCCGCCCAATACCTGCTTCCACTGCAGTCCTTTCTTTCCCGTCCTGTCTCCAGGCTGTCTCAAGGACAGATCCACCGCAATCGCCTTGTCACTCTCTGACAAGAACTTGCAGTGGGCAGGAGAGTCCGGCAACCAGAACCACGCCACGATGGCCAGCACACAAGTAGGAGCGCCTTCAACAATAAATAGGATGCGCCAAGGTGCCAGGGCGCCTTTTGCTTGTGAAATACCGTACGCGAGCGCACCTCCGTAGGCGTTGGCGAGGGCAGAGCCACTCAAGAAGATCCCGGTTCGCAGGCCAAGTTTTTCGCGCGGATAGAAGAAGGAGAGGTACAATGGGACACCAGGACCATAGGAAGCTTCAAAGATGGCGAGAATGACTCGACAGACCATCACACCGGCCCAGGATGTACATGCTGCTTGCAAGGTGGAAACCACCCCCCAGCCGAAGACGACAAAGGCAACCCAGGCATGAGGGGGGAATGCTTTCCAGCCCATTTGCGTCCATTGAAAGAGGATATCTGCATAAGAATATATAAGTTAAAGGTCCAAAGCAGTGGAAGGAACTCTTGGGGTTGTCGGTTCGGCCGACGAAATGCAAGAAACAGCGGGAGAACCTACAGCTAATGTAAAATGCAGTTCCCAACCAATCATAGCGATTGCCACTGAGATCAATGTCCTTCTCCATACCGGAAATCCTGGCATTGCCTAGATTGGAGCGGTCTAGGACGGACAGGGAGTACAGGACTAAAATGAGAGGCATCAGGTGCCAGTCGAGCTTGCGGATGACAGCATCTTCCTCTTCCTTGGTATATCGAGGGGCCGCAGAGGGGTCGTAGTGGACATTGATATCGTTGTGTTTCTCAGAGGAGATCTCTTCGGCAGTGGTGACGGTGGGCTTCTCGTCGCTGGACGACGTCTTGGAGGAGGCCGAATGCACGGCGTCTAGAGGGGTGACGCCTGTGGCAGGCTTCTCGTGGATCTCTTTGGACTCCATGCTCACAAGGCTGAGGAGGAGCAGCCCCAAGGAATATAGACAAAGCAATTGCCAAAGCTGGGAGATCAAAAAGGGAAGGGGAGCTGCGAAGTAAAAGTCCAGCAGCCCATGTCTGGCCTCTGGGAGACTGTTGCCTTTTTATTGGGAATGTGTCGATCCTACCTTGACCCAGTCGCATGGTCATAGCCGATCTCACAGACGCACAGGGTCCTCTTCATGCATTGCGGCAGTGATCACAGACGTGGGCAACCACGAGCACTCGCACTCGTGGCACCTGAGGTTCCCCGCAATGCGACTTCTTGACATCTCGGACCCGTTCGAGTTATTGGACAGGAACCGGCGTGGGACACCGTTGCACGCCGTTCGGAGCAATCTGAAAGGGCTGTCGGTGATCATGAACAGGGATAGAGGTGGTGGGTGACGGGTTCTCGATGGCAACAAATGCGACTGCCGAAGCGGACATTGAGCGGTGATCATTGCATGTTTGACGGATTAGCGGTACTTCCGTCGGTAGAAACAGCCACCGCAGCGCAAGTCTTGGAGAAGGATGGAAGTTCGCAAGGTGCTTGATATCGTGGCCCCGTATTCTTGCTCCGTGAAAACGCCACCGCTGGGGAAATGGTGGAGGGGATTGGTAGAAGGACGAAAGGTGTGGGTGGTTGGCATTGGGGAGACTGTTCCCCACGGAGTCTGCCCGACTGTAGCCAGCCAGCCAGCCAGCCAGCCAGCAGCCGCCCGTAGGTGACTCTAACAATGGGGGTGGTACAGGCCATGGGCAGCCCCAGGTGAGGCTCCCAAACGATCTCACAAGCCTCAACGCCACGCATCTTAGCCATTTCCCACCACTTTGCTTGTCTCCGCCACGCTAACAAAGGGTACCTAGATACCCACGGAGGGTACCTAGGTACCTAGTAAGGTCACCACCGCCGGTACGGAGGTGGGAGTTCTCCGTTCGGCACGCCTGCGGAAGTCTCGATACAGCAACAGTATCCCGGCCGAAGGATCTCAACCTGCATGTAAACATAGTTTAGGAGTTGGGGATTCTAGACCAGCTAATACGTTCTTCCTAGGCCGCATCTTGCAGACCACGAAATCCACCATGCCTGGGCAGAAAGCGAGATCGTGCTCGCTAGGTCTCCGCGGTATTTGCAGGGATATCGTCCAAATACAAATAGGTATTTGAAAGCCCTTGTTATCTGGTTGTGTGATCCAAGATGATCCGGCTCCTATTGCTCACCCCATTCCAACATACTTGAACCATAACGGTCGACAATCTTCCCGTTGCAACCAAGGTTCACCGCCATAAAACTGTCCGGGTGTACACCCATTACATTTAGGTGAGTTGGGGCAATTGTAGAATGGGATGTGGTTGTACCCGATATCCTTGAACCTGTCACCTGTCAGTCTGCGCCTCGAGTCTCACTGGAACTCGGGGATGCCTTACCAATGAATTTTGCTGGCATCCTCAAAAAGCCCCAACGCAATGCTGTGGACGGGAGCATCGCCCCATCTCTCATAAAAGAACCCACCCGTCCGATCCAGGTGAGTGAAATAATCCTCATAGATCTGGCTCCTCCAGAACGACAAGTCGGCGATTTCAAAATTGGACCAGAAGTGACAGGTGCTGTACCCATGGGCCTTGATATTATTTTCCGGCCTGCGGTTGTTGTCCACTAGCCATGCCATGGCGTTATTCTTGTGGAGATATTCCGGATGGGCAGCCAGAAATTTGACAGTCTCTGGCCACAAGGATGGGATTGATTCCGGCGAGTCAAATAGATTGATGTTGAAGCCGTAGGTCTTATTGTGGTCCTGCATGTAGCGGAACACATCGTAGTCGACCTGACAGAAGAATTTGACCTTGGGCTCCACGCGCCAATAGTACTGGACATCCTCGAGTGCTGGATGGCGGTAGAACATGCCACTATTCCATCGACACATCTTGTGATATGATATCATCCCGGCATACTGGACATCGTTCTCTTTCAGAATCTTGGCCGACTCTTCATAAAGTTCCTGGCTGACCCAGGAAGGCATATCCCAATGCTCTTTCGGGATGACATGGTAGGCGCATTTGGCCTTTGTGACGGCCTGTGTGGCTTGTTTGAATTCTTCGGTGAAGGGGACATCGTTGAAGAATGTCCATGGATAGTTGAACTTGGAGTTCCACGTCTCTTCGAGCTGTCTCATAGTCGGGAGGAGTTCGTGGAGTTCTTCATTGCGGACAAGAGAGAGGAGGGTGGCATTAATGCGCGCCGAGTTGGGGCTCTCGGGGGCGTAGTCGTGGTCAGTGTGTCGCCATAACGGTTCCGGCGGTTCGCCAATTGCTGTGGGATAGATGTTAGCAGCTTTGTCGCTTTACATCCTGAGAGGTCATATACACACGCTCTAGGAGAGGGTCCTGTTCCCAAGTCTCGATCTTATCACCATTGCCGACCACAGTGCCCGGGGGCTCAATCGTCGGGACTGGGCGCAAGTACTGATAGATGACGAAGAAGACCAGAACCACGGACAGTGCGCCTAGGAACCGCACGGGCTTTGCAATGGCCATATTGGACGGCGACTCTTAGCCATCGGCCATGATACAGAATCTCTTCTATGCTCCAGAATAAGCCAGGAAGGTGGCAGATACGATAAGAAAAAGTTGGGAAAAAGAAGCAAAGCGAGCGATGAATCGAATCTTGCGTGTTCGTCTGCGCGGCCGTGGGATCCACATCGACTTGCGTAGGCGAGACAATTCAGGCACCACCAGCAGTTGACCACCAGCACGGCAGGGGAAAGTAGATCCCCGCCAACGGCCAACACATCCAAGCAGAAAAATTTCCGTCATTGCGCCTTTAACCCGCATGGTACCTAAGTACTTTGGGGGAGTACAGCCACCGTGTACCAACAAACATCACTTTCTCTGTCTACCAGCGCACCATGGAAATCCTCCGCGAGCCGCCCAAGGCCTCATCCTTCGTCCCTCTAATAGAGCATCAATCTGCGACGCCCGCTTCTTTCTACTCCGGGCCCCCAGTCCTACATTACTACAGCGACCGCAGCAAACTGATCGTCCTGGAACATGAAGCCCGCTCCGTGCCTGCATTTGCGCCTTTGCTAGAACATCCCACCAGCTCTCAAGAGCAACAACCTCAGCAGCAGCCTCATGCTAACGGCACCGAGGCAGCCAATGGAGGTTCGGACGAAGCAAGGGGGACGCACAGAGTCGTCGACAATGTGGATGTATGGGTGACTTCAGAGTGAGTTGAGTCTGACGATCGAGAATCTTGGGGTACAATAAGAAGGAAAGAAGAACAAAACTGACAAGAAACAAGCAAACTGTTCCTCTACTCCAACGACGCAAACGCCGGCCTCTCAATCCCCTACCCCTCCATCTCTCTCCACGCAATCCAATCTCTCCCACAACCCTCGCCGGGCGAACAACAAGGTCTATACATGCAGATAATTTCATTTCCCTCAACAGAAGAGAGCGCCGCCGCCGCGCAAGACGAAGACGTCGAACCCGACTCTATCTCTGTCACGGTGATCCCGACCGCCTCTGCTCCGCCGCAAGTTGCCTCCGCCTCTGGAGACGGTCTCGAAGGGGAGGACCAGCCCGAACAGACGCCCGTGGTGGCCATGTTCAACGCTCTTTCCGCTTGCTCCAATCTGCATCCTGACCCCGTCGAAGACGAAGAAGGCGAAGACGCCGGTGGGAGCCGTCTGTTTCGCGCGGGGCTGGCTTTCCCAGGCAGCACGGATGGCGGCCTCCCACCCGCGATGCCGGGCAGCGGAGGCTGGATCACGGCGGAGAATATGGACGAGTTTTTCGATGCAGAGGGGAACTGGATTGGCGATGATGAACAAGAAGACCAAGAAGAGGAAAGCGGTGACGAACCAGGAGCAGCTGCGAGTGGCGAGCCTCCTTTGGGCCCGGGCGCTGGCACCGTCCGGCCAAGGCAAGATACAGAGGAGCAAGGAAACGGGGATGGCGCTGATGGCGCAGGAGAAGCGGAGGAGACCAAGTGGCGGAGAACATCCTAGTGTCTTTTCAAGCTGGTTGTCCTCACGGTCCATTGGGGACGACCACCCGCAAGGACGGGAAAGACCGACGTCTTATGACCACGAAATATTGTACGAACAGGAGCCAAACAAAAGGAAAAGCTAACGTGAAAGGTGATGTTGGATCGAGAAGAGTCGATGAAATAATACCCCTAACCTCACCGTCTTTGCCAACGTGAGTGGCTCGGATTCGACCACAACCGGGGGATCCAAAATCAGAAAGCAACTCTTTTACTCAGCGGAAAGACTCCTTCTAGAGAGTCGGCCAAAAGTTCAAAATTCTGACCCACTTCCCATCCTTCTTGCGGTCTCTGTCCCTGTCCCTGTCCCTGCGTTGAGCTTGAATTTGAACTCGGACTTCTCGCCACAGCTCTCAACCACGCGATCAAGAACTCGACGTGTTTCTTGAACGTGTCTCTCACCTTGACAATCTCTTGAAAGAGCGAGGTGTCCTGTTCAAGAACGAACGTGGAGTATCCCTCTCCCATGCTCGCATCATCATCGTCATCCGAAGATGAATATTGATCGCCATCATGTTGTCTCCTGCCTCCCCGGCGTCTCTTCTGGCTGCGCGCCGAGATGAAACTGCTCGCCTCGAAATCTCCATGCGCACCTTCTCCGGAAGCCGGCCGCATTGTATCAGGTATGCTTGTTGAAGGCCAGGTCACGAGATCTGTAAATCGAATGCATAGGTCGAGAATTGTGACGAGGGCATCGCGCAGAGGTTTGATTCGTTTACTGCTCAGGCATGCGTGCTCCAACGCGGCGATGTATTGGGTGTGGATTGCTATCATGTCGTCAAGGCTCCTAGTTGAAGAAGAATATAGCCGGTCGCGCATAGTTGTTGTAAAAGCTTGCACCGTGCAGCTTGTGAGATGGCTATAGAGAGTGTTCGCAAAATGAGACAGCTGCCAGTATACCAGTCGTGCAACCCTGTGTTCATCGAGGTTGTCAAAGGGCAAGGGCATATGTTGGACGTGGAAGTACGCTCGGCTGGCGAGCAAGGATCTCGCGCGGCGGACTTGATTGAGCATTAGAGCAACACGTTGGTAGGAAATCATAGAGGCAGGGAGGATGATATTTGCAATTGGCCAGCTGACGTGATAAGAGACGGACACTGCAGCCAGGATCTTGACAGAGCGGCGTCGATTTTCCATGCTCCGGGAAGAGGTATACGCCGCTTGGATTGTGATTGCGTCGACATCTACGCATTCAGAATCCTGAAATGCTTCAGCCAGAAGATCAGAGAGCAGAAAGCGGTCGTTCCACATCTCTAAGCAGCGATCTATTCGGTCAAACATCTTGCTTTCAATGCTATCAAGGAGGACGCCATCTTTGGCAAGATAGAGGTAGTCGAGTGCGTCGAGGAATCTTGTCAGACCGCAGCTTGTCTCCAGAATGTGCCTGAGAGCGGTCGTGGAAGTGTCGAGTAGAGCGCCGAGATGTCGATCAAGGATCATTTCGAATGTCGCGGAGAAGGGTAATGGCGAGCTCGTTACTAGATGAGCTGTCTGCGCTGCCGCGGCCACGATTCCGAGATCCCTGCTGCAGATATCCGGCGCAGCTCGTCCAAGATGGTGCATAAAGGCAGCAGTTTTTCCGATTGCGAAGATCTTTTCGGCAAATTTCTCCAGGAATATCGGGATCAAGTTGTTTGTAGTAGCCAGGGTGAACCAATCATGCCATAAGGTACTCGCCAAACGGGGTTTCCCCTCGTTCTCAAACACAAAGAATGGTTCTGTCGTGTCGATCCTGCCGGTGAGCAACCATACGTCGATGGGCTTTGAATATAGCGTGAGGGAAGACAGGAAAATAGGGAGGAAAGTCTCCACCTCGACAGAATTGGAGCAAGTATGCGCTGTGTCTAAATGACTGTGGATGGTGTTCAGAGTGGAGATCGGGTCGTTCAGGATAAAATCGGACACGATGGTGCTAACAGCTTTCAATGAATGACTTTCTCTCTCCACCTTCCGCAACGTTTGAAGCAAGCTGATCACACCTGTCGGCGAAGATCGGTGTAGGATGGCGGCGTGTTCCTTAGATATGGCCAATTCAAACCTTGTCATGATACCGCGGATGGCGCTTTGAATGAATTGCATGACGGCCGAACCCTGCGGGATTCGCAGCCAGCGGCGGACAGAACCAATATTTGAACCAAGGCGAGCTGCCTCCTCCAACAAGGACTTCGAGGTTGTCCTTCCTAGATTACCCAGACAGTATCGTGCTTTCGGGCGGACACGATGATCGGTAATGGTGAAGATGGAAGTTGGCATTCCCGTGAGCATAAACAGTACCTCCCTTGAAGCTTGGGTCTCTGTGATTGCCACAAAAGGTCCTGGTCTATGCCAGAATTGCGCGGCTTCTAGCTTCGCTGACTCTTGTGCCACAGGCGTTTCAAACAGCCTCTCGACATCCATGTTCTTCGTAACATCATGCTTTACAGCGACTGGCGAAGGCGGGGTATCCGAAGGGCCGAATTCATCCTCATCAGAGCTGGAATCAGAATATTTTGGAAGTCTCCATATCTCATCCTGGTGATTGATAGGATCCTCCGCGTCGATCTCCTCCCAACTCAAAGGGACTGGAGTCTCTGAACGCGGTTCCAACTTCTCAAGATTCTCAATCCGGCTTTGGTGCACCGGGTCATGAGAAAGATGAAGTAGAAGATCTAGAACATCGGGCAACCACTTTATATCATTGTGGTCCTTCTTCAGCTCTGCACGTCGCGAGAAAAGCTCCGCAGCGACATCGTCGAGGTTGTAGACTTGGAGTTTTTCTTCTAGTCCAGTGAGCTTTTCGTCGACCGCAAATTGGTTGGTGCGGCCATAGTTGTGGTGCCTGACTGTGCGGATGAAATTGTCTTTGTATCTGTGCACGTCGGCTTTTGCAGATGGTAGAGAAAAAGAGAGCACAAGCTCTTCCATCCAAGTGTTTATGGTGGTCGGAGAAGCCATACTAGCTTCTTTGGTGTAGGCACTGGCAGGTCGATTGGCATCATATACTTGGCCGTGTTCTGAGACAGAGAACGATCAAGACAGTACTTTGTCTCTGTTTTGAGTATCAAGAAGGACCTAGGTAGTTAGAGATGGGCACAATGACAAGTCCAACGAAGCGCGTCTCGTGGATTGTATGTGCGGCAAAACTTCGGGTTTTCGGCCGCAGCTTGGAGAAGCAGTCGCCAACACGTACTCAGTATCTCGATTCAATTATCCTTGCATAATGTCGAATTCGCGGACACAAACAGTGCTTCAGAACCTGAGCACATTATGAAGCGACACCGTGGGCCCTCCTCTGGTCTTCGAATTGAGGCGTTTCTTGACAACTTCTTCTTCTGCCCATCTTGTACAGCCTGGAGAAGGACCAAACCTCCACGATGGACAGCTATCTCCGGCTCCAGCTCCAAGAGCAGAAACAGCAGTCGTCGGCATGCCTCAACTTCCGCTTCAACCCTGATCTCCACCACCGCCGTAAACGCGCAAAAGCCCGTCCCTCCGCGGTATAGACCTCTTTACGAGTCCCTCCTCGATGTACGGAAGAGGGCGTCTGCCCACGTCAATCTCAGTCGACTACAACTTGCCCTTCAAGGGCTCGAATCCGAAACTCCAGTCACCAGGGTAGCCATTTTGGGATTGAATGCACAAGATACAGCAAACAGGGTGGTCAGGCTGCTGCTCGCGGACGCGTTGGAAGACGAAGGGAGCTGGGAGCGGGAGCTGGTGAAAAGTGCTAGTAGCGGAGACTTCAGTCGAGGCGTCTTGATACGTTATGGACGGGCGCCGAATCCAAATCTTCCTCAGCCGAAGACAAGCATTCCGGTGCTACACGTACCATCGAACATACTCGAGAGGAACAATATGGAGCTTCTGGTATCGAGCGTCAGTGTTCCCCGAAACGGTGAGCTATTGCAAGGCGCACAAACAGTGACTTCAGATGCATTCCTATCACCTTCAATTGGAACTCCCACCGCTGCGACTGGAAGACAGACGACTATCAGCCAACCAGTGCATAGCTGTCTGCTGGTCACAGGAGGATTGGACGGGCTCATGCTGGCTGCAGAGTTATTGGCATCTACAAATTTTACAGCCCTGGAAGATCGGGAATCTGTGAGTTTGGTCGTCGAGCTGAAAGACTTCAGAGAGAAAACCCAAGGACAGGTCTTAGTCGTGGATGCCGCAAAGGCGGAGGAGGGACTGGCGGCAATTCGAAGATCTATAGGGGAAGCAACTGAATACGAACACAAATGGGTCGACTCAGGCATGCCGCTGTTGTCAAGCTGGCTCACATTGGCCTCAGCTGCGAGATCTGAAGGTCCCATCCCGGCACCTGTGAAAGCTCTGATTTCCTCTCTGCTGACAACTGCCATGACCAACTTGCAAGTTCAAGCTTCATTAGAAACCCGATCGAATGCAGCTCGAAGTTTGAGCCAGGCAGCACGAGCCAACCTCGAAGACGCCATCGAAGGATTCTCTCGTAACGCCCACCAAGAGCTCCAATCTGGACTCGCATCGGCTTGGAGCTCCCATAACTGGCGGAAGTTGGCTTGGTACAAGCTGTTCTGGCGTGTGGACGACGTGGGTCTAATCATTACGGACCTTATCACAAACGCCTGGCTTCCTCGTACTGAGCGCGCGGTCTATGAACTTTCTGGTCGACTGTCTCAAGCGGGCATCTCGCCCATGGATGCCTTTCCTTCGCTGCCACAGGAAGGAAACCTAACGATGTCCAAGGCAGAACCAGAACATCTCACAGAGCCCACGCCAGTACTGCATGCGCAAGCTAGCGTTGCGACCGAACCCCCTTTGCGGGCAGTCCTGGTCAACACCACTGGTACGGCCGAAGTCGAGATGACCCCTATCCCTCAACCCATGCCTTTGTCTTCTTCGATATCCAAGACTCGCTCTGAGCATATGCAACGTGCGATTGCGGATCTCACTAGCACAGCTCAGCAGATTGTGCTCAAAACCCTTTCAATCACAGGTCTATCTGGCGGTCTCTCGGCCCTGACCTACCTTTCCATCACACCCGGAAGTATGTATGAAGCTGGCACAATAGCAGCGTTGGGTACGGCTTACGCCTTGTGGCGGATGCAGGGAGATTGGTTCAAGGCTACAAAGGCATTGGAGCACAGCTTGTACGACGAAGGCAGGACTGTCATCCAGAGAATTGTGGGCAGGATGGAGGAGCTGGTGGACACTGCCAGTCGAGTTGTAGAGGATGAGGTCGAAGTGCAGAGTCGTCGCCAGGCTGAGGATGCTGTCACAAGAGCCAAGGAGGAATTAGATCGACTTCAGAAGTGATCGATCGAGCCTTGGCTGGTGATAAATCTTGCAATGATTTGGGAAATAATCAAAAGTTCCTTGATTTCAGAGTCAAGTTATCTCGATCGCATCGTCCGGAACACCGCGTCTGCTTCGTAAACGTCGCGCCCAGAACTGCATCATCGGCAAAGCCTCGTCTCGATTCTTAGGCAACGAGTCATCTGCTTTCTTCCACTGATGATAAGTGACAAACTCATAGGTTGACTTGATGCGGTTTAGTGGACTAGAGCCGACCGATGCCAGGGGCGATTTTGAGCCTGAAAGGATCAAAACCGGTGTTTTGTTCTCGGACTGGGTTTTTGGGAGAGGTGCAGATAGTGGTAAAGCTCCCCCAACTGATATGACCCCTCCTAAAGAGGGTAGAGAGGATATGGATGGGTGTAAAGGCACCATTAGGGCGACTGAACCACCTTGTCCGAAGCCAAAGAGGTGGATGTGGTCAGGTCGGTACCTGAACTTGTCGACCAAGACTTTCGAGATCACGTCCTGTGCTACGAGTTCCACTGATTTGGTCAGAGGAGAGTCCGAATCAAGGTCACCCGTGGCGGAGTCGACGTGAAGGTCTTCGGACCACTGATCCCCAGGCCCGAGAGGGAATGGTAACGGGAAAGGAGGACTAAGTGTGATGGCCAAGGCGTCAGGAAGGTTCAGCGCACGAGAGAAGGAGAAGAAGTTGGCTGATGTGTCACCTAAGCCTGGAAGGAAGATGACTACATTCGTTGGCTTGTTGTCTGGCGGGAGATGGAGGATTGGTTTGAGGTTGGCGGGAAAGTCGTCGGCGGCTGGAGAGGCTGCAGGGCGCTGGTGAGGCATTGTGGCGCAGCGATCGAGGTCGGTTGGGACAGAAACAAGGCTTTTTGCTTGGTATACACGTGTGTCGTTGTTGATCCTGCGACCCTTCTATCTTTGTTAAAGCAGGGGCGGTTTGATATCGGACAAATTGACGGGAGCGGTTGGCTCCTCGCATCGAGCTTCGCCAGGAACAAGTGTCGAGCATGTGTCGAGCATGACGTTCTGGGACCCGGCGAAGCTGGATTGCCAGGGTCCGAGACAAGCAGCACAAGCTTTAGCTCTCAACTTGGCTCCAGCAGTCAAGCGTGTCAAGCACTCCAGGGCCGGCATGCGCAGCCCCTCTTGGCCTTGGCGCTTGGCTTGCATCAATGCGCCCCTCACTGGACTCGTAAGAGGTCCTCGGTCAATGTGAAGCAATCAGCATCCTCCCGCAATCCATAATATTCCAGGAGAGCAGGGGTAGATACTTACAAGTCTGGGAACTGGACAGACCTCGTGTAATAGTAATATCTTTGATCCGAAAATGGTGGTGAAAGAAGTGCCCGACAACCGAACAAGACCCTGAAATAAGGCGGGAACAAGCGAGCTGAACAGATGTGGGGTGACGGACCTGCATTGGCTCCAGCATCATTGACATAAACGCCCGGATCAGAGATGGAAGGGATAAGGGATAAGGGACACCAGTGATGCACAGCCACTGCTGGCCAGCTGAATCCTTGTCTTGGGAACTAGAAGTGGCTCGAGTCAGTCGAGCTGCAAGAGGCCGTGGGAGTAGCTTGAGCTGGTGAGCATGTTGACGCAGTGCGTGCAGCAGGTGAAACAGACGAAACGTCATGCTGAATGGCTGGTCATCACCCAGTCACTGCTGTGACCGAAGTGGGGTCGCATCTGCGCAATCCCAATGGCGAGCTGCCAGCAGGAGGGATGCATCGAGGGGCAAGTGCGTGTCTTGCTTGTTTGGCAAGATTTCACTTGAGGACCCTAGGCGGTGACTGACATTCTCCCTGAAAAAGCTATATATTTCCCTCCTGATCCTCTGTTCCTTCTTTCGTACTCAGACACTCAAAACTCATCTAACTTTTGTCGACATCTGCAAACAACTTCAAACACCTCTAAACAACTCCATCAGATCCAGTACTTCGAATCAAGATGTTTGGTTGGGGTGAGTTGACCTGACATTTGTTCCATACCCCTCTCATGCTGACTGCTTGTCCCAGACGAAAGCCGTGACGCTCATCAGCAAGTCTGTGAGTATTCTTGAACACCTCCACTCGTGATGGTGGGATGCGTACCATCGCATGATACTAACAAGAAGTCAGACAACGGGGACGATAACCATGAGGCCAAATTCTCTCACGAAGTCATTGGTGGCGCAGCTGCCTTCGAGGGCATGAAGCTCTACGAGGATCGTCAGCGCAGAGAGGGTATGGAGAATACTCTTCCCAAACATCAACAGCTCCATGCGGCTAACATTGTATAGGCAAGACTGTTAACCACGGCTTTGCCAAGGAAGTCCTCGCTGGCTTCGTCGGAGCAGAAGTCGACAAGCTCGCCGAGACGAAGGGCTTGGACGAGTATGACAAGATCAGAGCCAGAGAACATGCTAAGAAAAGTGCCGAGAACATGTATGACCAACACTATGGGGATATGGACCAATATGACCCAAATCAACGTGACCAGCCAAACTTCAACTACTGAAGTGAACTCCTCGACGACGAGGGTCCAACCAGGCTGCGGTGACCACATGTGATGGGATCTTGTCACAGGGGAATCGAGAGAACACATGCAAAGCGCTCTTGACTCTCTACGAGGGGAGATTCTGCTGAAGTGGACAGCCATTGAATGAAAGTGAATAAATTTATCACCCCAAAACCGGTCCCTGATCAGGGCAGAATGGGTATCCAATGCTTTTGCGTGAATTCATCAAAAAGAATTACGCCGAATCCTTCTTTGGTTCATAGCTCGTCAGCCTCGCTTGCCGTCTCATCGTTGTCGTCATCTTCTACTGTCGTGGTACCCTGAGCCTCTCCCGTGGTGTTTTCGTTATCTTGCGTCTTGTTTAGTCCTTGACCCTGTTCTGGATCCATTGCTCGCGTTCTTGGCCGATTCGAATATGTTGCCGGAGCGTCCAAGTTGTCCTCATCTGTGTCCTCGTCACGCTCTGATGGTGTTGGGGTCGAGTTACCAGAAGGCGGAGAGCTAGGCTCTCTCTCGGGATCGATGATGGGAGCTGCGGCTGTGGTTTCGAAGCTATCGCTCTCATCATCTTCGTCCTCCGCGGTATCATCAGCTGGTCTCTTGTTCCTTCGTGGTACGCCGGCTGCCTCATTCCCAATAACAGCTTGCAGCTCCTTTAACTTTTTCTGGTCTGTCTTGGCAGTGGACAAGATCCGTTGCATGTTCCTGATTTTGAGCTTCTTTTCATTGAGTAGCAGAGCAAACTTAGATAGCATCTGCTTTTCATGCTCCGCTTTTGCTTCGACCAGCTCGTCAATTTGTCTCTGTAGGCTTGCCATCACCTCATCCTTTGTCTTGATCTGTTCTTTCAGACTTGTGGCATCTTCTTGTAACTCATCCCGCTTCTCGACAGCCTGCGACGCCCAGCCAAAGAGGTCTACATCGTCGGTGTCTTCCGTTTGAGGCAATTCGATGGTCCCAAGGCGCTGTGTGATGTCTTCGACTCTATTGTTGATGGCGATGGACAAAATGGTTTTAGGATCCTTGCCCGATACTGAGCACGTCACCTCGAGCTGGTCCTTCCGCTGAATGCTAATCGAGGTGTCCGTTTTCGTGCCGAGAATTGAAGAGATAATGGTGGTCCAGTCCTCGTCATTTCCGTCATAATTCTTCGCCCGCAATTTCTTGAGGCTGCGTTGTCTGACTGCATGAATTTTCAGCACGAGAGCAATATCGATGCAACTTGTGACCTTACCTTTACCCGTATAGGCCACTTCGCCGTCAGTCGCGAGAAGATCGAGGTCGAGATCATGACCGCCTTCCTTGTGTGCCACTTTAATCAATATGGGGCTGTTGGTTTTGTCTTGGACGAGCCGAATAATCCACGTCGACGCCATGACCATAACCAAGTTAGCCGTAACATCACTTGGACGGTACCGAGTAGTCAGCACTCAACCCATGCAAGGGTGCAGAATCCAGACCGCAGAGTAGCACCCAAGTAGCATAGCCCGGTTTCCTTGCTGCGCAGTCTGCTAGGTGTCTGGTGTCTGCCAGTCTGGGACAGAATCACGTAACCCCAACTGAGTGGGGAAAAGCACGGAACGCGTCAAGCTAACCGCTGATTGGCCAATTTCGTGTCCCCTGCCTTCGCATTTCCCAGCTTTTCTGGCTGCAACTGCTTGTCCGCGCCGAAACTCCACCTTTTTCCCTTCAGTGAGCAACCAAATCCTCCGAACGACCAACCTTCCAGCCTCCCCTAACGGTAGACCTCAGGCCGACCTCGAAAAACGACCTCAACCTGCATACCTCGCACCTCGCTTCTCCTCCTGCTCCTTCGATCATACAAGGACGCTCGCCCATCGACTGCCCCCGATCGGTGGTGTATTCCTCGACGGGGAGCGAGAAACACGCTCCAGAACTCGATCACCCACACTGCTAAAACAGACTTTCTTCACGACGTTACGATTTCTCACGATTCCCACGATCCCCTGTTCATGTCTCTTCTGGCGCCAGATTTCCTCTGTGTATTTTTGCGACCTTAATAGCCTCCTGAACGCTTTTCACTTCGTCTAAGCACAAATCGAGAACAATGGAACAACTTACGTTGAAGCAACGCACTCCGGTCGAAAGCCCTGAGGTGGAAAACTGGGACGACGACGACTTTGAGAACCTGGAAGATGTCCACTTCCGTACTGCTTCAACAGCAACGTCTGTCATCTCTCATCCCCAAACACACCGTCGAGATTCCGTCTCGTCGCGCATGTCACTGCGGTCCGAGTCGAATCAGGGAGACGAAAATTGGGATGTCCTGGTGGATGAACAAGCCTCGATCAAGGACGCTGTAGCTCTTGCGAAGAGCAAAGGAATACCATTACCTACCAACATACCGCGTTCGGCATTGGAGGGTGGCACTATAAGGCGGCTGAAGGGTAAAGAAATCAAGAAAGCAATTGCGGACGACTGGTCGGAAGACTTGGATTTGCCTGGCACCGACATGCCTCTCAAGCTCGCCAAACACGATGAGCGTGATTTATCGGAGAGTCTGCGACAGATCAGTGCGGCTTTCAGAACGTCACCCAAGACCCCGGAAGCGAAAGACATGTTTGATCAAACCATCAGATCACCTAAGTCTCGCTCGGCAGCTATGCCTATCACCTTGGATGCTTTTCGAGATACGGATGAGGATGCTGGCTTTGCGGACGTCCCAACAATAAAGGTCGCAAAGCATAGATCGCCTCAGAAGCCTTTGCTCTTCCGGCAACCTCCTACTCCCGCGAAGCCCGAAACCGAAAACATCGAAGACGATCTCGAGTTGCCTTCTGATGGGCAGCTGCGCCTGTCCACTAGGAAACCGCCCCCTTCAACTCCTCAACAAAGTGACGACTTTGACCTTGAATGGGCCGAGGGCAGTCTGGGTACAAGGAACGCCGGCACCAGAAGAGGAGGCCGATCTGCACGTAGCTCATCTGCCTCGGCCCTGAGTCCGAGTGTTTCGAGTGCTTTCACAGCCGAGAGCGAAGATGAAGGCCTTGAAGGACTCGTCCTGCCTGACGGACCCATTCAATTTGAGGACAAGCTCAAACGGCGCCAACACGAGCAACCGTCTGAGCCACCTCGAAGTATTCCAGATCACAAGGACGACTCCAGGACGACGGCTGGAAAGGACGACTTCTTCTCCGGTCTAGAAATCGGCGATGGAGAGGTTTTTGACGCTGCAAAATTGACGCTGAATCGCAATGTTAAGCACAAGAGTGCACGGCCTAGCAGTCCGTCCAAAAGGACAACAACCACACTCAATTTCACAAGCACCAAAAGTCAAGGAACTATCTCCCGGCTGCCCAGATTTCAACCAGCTCACGACAGGCTTGAGCGTGCTCGGTCCAATTTGGAACCTGTCTCGGAAACCGGCGCTGCGATATCATCGTATCAACGAGCGAACTCAAGACTTGGTAATCATGCAAGTCATTCATCTGTTTCAGCGATCCCAGCCCCTCAGCCTCCTTCTACTCCGTCTACCCCAAGTCGACGGCTCCTCCGTGGTACTGATTCTCGTCCTGACCTGCGCTACGAACCACCGACAACTACGACCGCGCAGCTCTTGCGTGCAAAGAGATCCATGCCCGTTATGCGTGGCTTAAACTCGCCCACCAAAGCTTCGCCGTACGTCAGACCACCTTCGAGACAGGAGACTGGAAGCCGTTTGAATATACCCTCACGTCCCAAGACCCCGACGGATCGAGCAGAGTCTCGCATCGGAGAACCCAGGAAAGGCGCAATACCCTTCCTTCCAGCAGGTGCGTCCGCTGGACAGTCTCAGCATGTTAGTATCAAAAATCACTACCGTGGTCAAGGTTCCGATGGCTCTGGCGACAGTATGTCTGCTGCTCAAAGGTCTTTGTCTCGACTAGCTGGGCTCGGCAGACCGGAGACGCCTGGCCGTGGTATAGACCCTGCTCGTGGGCGAAGCAATCTCACGCCTGCCGAGTTGGCTGCGCAGGCCAAGAAGTCAATCACTAAACCTACAAGGCGACGCAATTATGGCGATGGAACGGAGCTGGAGATCTTTGACGACCTGCCCACCTCGGCTACCCTTGAATCTAAATTCACGAAGGCGCCCGTGGGCCGTGGTGCACCGCGAAGCCTTCGAAGCAAACTTGGACTGTCGCATCTCAACCCGTCTACATCTTCCCTTGCTAGCACCAGACGCGGCAGTGACACCCCTGTTCCTGCAACACCACTGTCACCGGCGCCTCGAAGCGATTTTCCAACTACAGCCCTCAATACGACCAATGTTCCTCGCTTCGCGCGCGACACGGCCGCTTCCCGCAATGCGCGCGAACAGCGCCAAATCTCAAGCGCTTTTCAAAACATGCGAGGTGAACCACTACAACCCATATCGACGAATTGGAAGTCAAACTCAGCGGCCATCCGCCCTAGCAATCAGGGTAGCTTGAGGAAAAAGAGAAGCGAAAAGGTGCAATTGAAGCCACATCTCATCAAACCTATGGGCAACGACGTGAACCGAGCAAAAACGGAGAAAGGCATGAATTACAATCCGCTCTTGTTTAGGTGGGAAGGTAATGAAAATGACCTAGCGCCTTTCGATGTCCCGGACTTCTACCCTCGGGGTGGCAGCCCTGGTATACAAGGTCGAGGCAGCCCAGGTACCAAAGCTCAGGTGGCATTGATCTCAAATGTGGGCTCTAGCGTTACAGGCGTTCAAGTTGTGGGCGGCATGGTATTCGACCCCTCACAAATGCGCTGGCTCAAAATTGCCGAGAATCCAGATGGAAGTGTGTCGAGTGTTCGCGGTGGTAGTGTACAGATTGAAGAGGAGGAAGACGTCTTCGCCGGACTTGAAGACCTGAAAGAAGAGGACGAAACACGCAGTCGCAGCGGCACGCTCCAAAACATGTCTAATATCGAGCAATCAAGGGATTCGTTCGGGGATGCAGAGGCTGGCCACAGCAGTGGTGACGAATGGGGAATTGGTGTCAGCGAAGAGTTCGACGTGGGTCCTGAGTTTGTGAGGAGACAGAGAGGGGAAGAGGAGAGATGGCGGCGGAAAGTAGAAAAGTGGCTGAGAAAGGGTCTTGAAGTGGAAGAGGAAGAAGGTCCCGATGGAAGAGGAGGATGGAGGTGGGCTATTCGTGAGCTGGTGATGGAGCAAGGTGAAGCTTAGCAGAGGGCCAGGCACGACACGGGGCCGCTGGCTGCGGATAGTTGTACAGTATATGGGGAAACGTACCAACGATACGCGGCGGGCGAGGCTGCTATGCTTTGTTCGAGACTTCGAGTCGGCTTGCAAAAGTCATTGACAAGTATACCTTTTACCAATCTGCCTTTTGGGGATCCGGTATACCAGCGGATCCGCTTGGGATTCCAGTTTCCACTGAATAGCGAGGGTCAAGACAGGAGACGCAAAGGCAGTCTCATACGGCCAGGCTGGCCATAGCAGGAGCAGTTACGGAGCAGTGATGTCGCTACACTAACCTATGTGCTGGTATACCCGATGCCCGAGCCAGCCATTGGAGACAAAGCAGAGGTTGTTTGTCCAGAAGACAACGCAAGGTAGGCGGACCGAATTTTCTTCAAATTATATAACATTAGACAACTCCTGTCTCAAAGCTTTCGGACAGTGGCTGCCTTGTGCTCGGTATAGTGTCAACTGTTTTACCCGTGCAGCCCCTCGATCTGTGATGATTTTTATTTCAAGGATCATGGATCGTTCCGGGGTCGTTGACACTGTCTGTTCCCTCGAACTGGGCCCGGGACACGGGGCGGAATACTGGAGAAGGGGAGGCGGAGTTGGGAGGAGCTTACCTACCTAGGAACCTAGTAATATGAAGACGCCCAACTCGATTGGGAGAACAAAAGTTTCTCGTTTTATTATCAACTAAAAAAAATGGGAAAAGAAACTATTTCAGGTCCGCTAATTTTCTTCAAGTGCTTCATCGAATTACCCCCTTAGCGAAAACCATGCTAAGCACCACACCAGGCTGTAACCTCCTTTTTGTCGTCGGCCCCCAAAACCTCACGAGTCGCAACTCCTTTTTTTTGCTCCCATCTTCCACCACCACCAGCAACCACAACTCCTCCCCGTCGCGTCAGCAAGAATCACAGTTGCAAAATCTATATAAAAAGACGCTCAAAAGAACAAAAGCTTGAAGCGAGTGTGTTTTTGTACAGATGCAACCACATCGACCAGATCATAGTTCGCCTTTTGGGCCGTCGTTCATGTCGTTTCTCTTGTCACGTAATAGTCCCTGACCCTGCCCTGTTATGGGATGTGTGGTCAAGGACCAAATCCGGGTGCTCTGGTTTCAGTACAGCGTACCCGGACTGACAACACCGTTTCCGATGGAAAGTTGAACGGCGTACATTGCTCGCACTCGCGGTGTCCCGTCGCCTGCGAACCACCCCATGTTCACGTCACCGTGGAACACGGCTAGTTTGCCGTCCTTGGTAATGTCGATGCCTCCGGGAATGTAGACGTCGGCGGATGTGTCCCCAGTCACCAGGAATGGATCTCCCTGCTTGGTGTAAGGACCGTAGATACTGTTGCTGGTCGCGTATCTGATGTTGTAGGGAGCAGTCGTGAAGCATTTGGAGCTGTACAGGAGAATGTAGGTCCCGGAAGAAGCATCGTAAGTCAACGAAGGAGCTTCAATGTTGGGCCCATCGTTTGGGTCGTTCAACAAAACAGTCGTGAGGCCACCAATGAAAGTATATCCATCGTCCGGACTGACCTCTTGGAGATTGAGAGGCGTGGGGGCGATAGGATTGACAGTATTTGAACACGCGCCACCGTTGCCGATGGAGTTGCCATCTACTTTGTAGATGACATACTGACGGTTGGTTTGAGGGTCGTTGAACCCGTCTGCGTCAATGGCACCGCCGGCAGTCAGATCACAGAACAGCGGCGTCTGAACAGGCGTGAATGGCCCTTCCGGATTTGGAGCTGTTGCTGCTGCAACGCAGTGCTTGGCTGGCGACTCTGCCATTGACACTGAATAGTATAGCACAAAGTTGCCATTGTCCTGTGATCGGGCGTCAGAATGACTTTCACCCAGCAGGGCAGTAGAGTCGAATTACTCACCAGTTGAGTCACGTCCGGAGCCCATACATGTGGAGGCGAGGCTGCCCATGAAGGGAGATTTGGCAAGGCATCGTAGCCCGAATGAACGGTCCAGCTAGAGAAGTCTGGAGAAGTAGCAATCAAGACATTAATCCCCGCAGGATTTCCATTGACACCTGCATAGGCAATATAGCTCCCGTCGCCCAATTGGAGCACCGAGGGATCTTGAAAGTTTGTTCCAATGACTGGACCGCTTGCTTGACGCTTATGCTGTGGAGCGGCCAGAGACCAGGCCAAGCAAGCAAAGAAAATGAACGACGTAGTAAACATTATGAACAAAAACAAGCAACGACGACGGGCGACAGTAAGAAAAGCTCGAGGAGCAGAGAAGTCGGACTCCTGGAGCCATTTGTTCTTTTTGGGGCCGGACAACAGTGAGCTGTTCTCAGCAGAGCTGGGATCGGTCATGTTTCTCGGCTCACTGGCGGCTGGTGGTTTAGGCAGTCTGACTAGGGTGGAAGATATGCATGCTGCAGGTAAGTGGCGCGCTTTAAGAAGTCAGCTCCAGGAATGTGCGCCATTCAGAATGCAAAGCATGCCATCGCAGCTATGTCGGATTGGAGCCATGGCGCATTTTGAAGCCGCCTCTGTCGCCATCCAGAACAGAAGGTTTGAAACAAACAGAGCGTAGCGCGCAAAAACAAGCTCAAAGACAAGAGCAACTAGCATCTGAATGCTGCATGCCATTGCCAGGACAATCGATTGGAGCAAATGCCAACTGGCCAACTAGCCAACTGGCCAACTGCGGCTGGATGGTCCGGGGGTCCAGGCCTGGTGCACATGAGCAACCATTGAGGATCCGACGAAAGGGAGACAGATGGCGATTGCGGATGTGGACGAACATTGTCTAAGATCAGCATCGTGTTGCTCATTGTGGCTAGCTGTGATAAGATGTAGCTACCACCCATACCTCTACTCGGTAAACACGCACAAACACAGAAGATGACATGTGGTTGAAAAAAGAATTGTTCGCAGGATTTGACAGGGGCAAGGAAGAAGGGCTTTGAGGGGAGAGACTCAGACACTCAGACACGGGCTCGACGGTCCCACGGTCACACGGCAGTCGGTGCATTTCTCGGGCTCGTAAAGGAAGTCATTGGCCACCATCTCACTCACTGTCTCGAAAAACAAAAACCTTCTCGCTTCTCGCTGCTCGCTGCTCGCTGCTCGCTGCTCGCTGCTCGCCTTCACGACCTCCTCCTGCCCTTCTGGTCGATCTCCTTCGTATCTGACTAGCCCATCCGATCTCGTCCGCTGCGGCTACGGCCCATGCACCGCCTGGTTCTGATGTGAGCTGAACCACAAAACGAATGAAAATTCTCCTAGGTCTGATTATTAGCATCACAGGTCTGGCCTTGTTCTTACGTCCTTCCGCACTTTACCCATCGCGTACCTGATGGGGCATCCGTGACTAGCTAATAAGCCAGCGGCCTAAGCTCCGCACTCCTCCTAACCCGCATCGCTCACCTACCTACTCGTATTCAGCGCCATCAGCTCCGAAGCCAATCTTAGCCACTACTTGCCTTAGGGCCATTCCAACGGACTATGCTACCACGGACTTTGTTGTACAGTTGCTCGCCTCTTGGGAGAAGCCCAAATCCCAGCTCACACTTACCGACGCCCTCTCAATGTTTCGCGAACAATCCTGACATGTGGTCGAATCCTCAGGACATAGAAGATAGGGGAATCGGGAACAGTTGGGCAAAAATATGGACAGATGTTTGACGTGACGAGCACGCCAGCACTATCTGCCACGAGATGGACATGTAAGTGGTTGTCAATCTAGGTGCGTTGCCTGAATGCCCAGGCTTTTTGACCATGTCGCCATATTCTTGAAGATTTTGAGATACGATCCTTCCCGCAAACGTGGGACAAGCTTCTGAGTGGGGGAATGACTACTTGCCCCTCGAAGCAGATGTTGCCATGCCAGCCTTGCAGATCGAACAGACTCTTGTTCGATTCCATTTGTCGCTGAGCCTCAAACACGAGAGCCAAGAGTCGCTTGCATGACGTGCTTTTGTCGCAAGATGATGCCAGCAGGATTCAGAAGTCAGTACGACCTGTCGAACCGTATACACAATGTTGCATATACATAGCGTGGGTCGCTTTCAGACGTTCCCAATGCCGTGGTCCTGCAAAAGACTAACATGTCTGCAACAATTAACCCGATAGCCCTGTCAGTGCCGCGCTAAACCGTAAGTACAGCTTCTCTCACACCTTGCTTCATGAGGTCAGGAAGTGCCCCTTGCGCGTTGGCTGGTAGCACAGACTTCCTTTCGCCATTCTGGATTACCTTTCTCCATAGGGAGCGTATCCAGTGTTCACCCAGCCTTTGCTCGGCTCATCGGAATCCTCGACTGAAGGATTAGCACCACAACCGAGGCTCATTAGCGGTTTTGGATATGGGACATGAAAAGCTGGTGCAATTGATTCCCTCAAAAGAACTACCAGGAGCTTAGAGGCAAAGGGCGAGAGCGCTCGGAGACTCGACTATCTCCAGCTCGCACCGATCAGTGCTGGAGCTACGACCCGACTATGATGTCGATTGAAAAAGACACCTTCAAGCTCGAGCCTACTTTCGGGAGCCACCAACATCGCCCATCGCCACAACATGTCGCCTTTTTATTCGCGCGGGAGTGCCGCCTTTCCTTTTTCTTTTGTCTTTGATGTCCCATCCAGTTTCGATGCTCCTGGCCCTCCGTCACTGCGTCTTGGCAGCGACATGCTCTCCAGCTTGAACAAGCACGCTCTCCAATCGCAAATGCACCTCGTACCACGCATTCAGAAGATAGCTGGCTCGGCGGAGGCACTCTTGAGAGGTTGATCTTGGCGCCCTTCCTGTTGCAACCTTGACGGGGAGCAAAGCAAATGCTTGTCCCGCTGTGTACCCAAACACGTGGAAGGCTTCAGTGGCTATTATCCTCTCCTCCCTCTCCTCTTGGCTTGGCGTTCCTCCCGTTGTCTTGGCATCGATTCCGCCTGCCCAAAGCAGTTGATACCAAATGCAGGTTACACGATGCCATGGTGCCAGCGCGAAACTTAAGGGCTACCACAAGACAAAACCATCCACGGCAATGGATGCGGGCTATGCGACATACGCAGAAGAGCTTGCTGTCCCTCGAAGAGAAGAGGAGCTCCAGGCTAGACTGAAAGGTACAAAAGCTGCAAGGTCCTACAGCTGGGTCAAATTTCCGATTTCCCTCAGAGACTTTTCTCAGGTTTTTGCCCCGGAACATCTTCAGAGATATTGAATATGAGACTTCAGCTTGGTCTAAAGAGTGTCTTGGCACTTAGCGCCTTCTGCAGGCACTGTGCTGCTCAAACCTTCCAGAGGCTCGGAACGTGTCCAACATTGGGCTGTATTATTCCACTCGACCAAGCCGACTTCCTCCCGGGCCAGCGGTTCGATATCAGAGCTGAGGTCCACGCTCCCTTGAACGGAAGTGAAGCGATTCGTGGCTACACCACTCCCGATTCGAATGTGAGTTCTTCCAACTCATGCTTCTTTTGGTTTCATCATTGTCGACACTGGCTAATGGAGCTCACCAGTTCACTCTGACCATTGAGCGCGAGGGCGGGAGTGCTCGACCAGTCTCAGCCTTTTTCAACCTCACCGAGCCAAAGCTCGAGACTTGGAACTTCACTTGGTACGAAGACCTGTTCGCTCAAGCCGCCAAAACTCCGTCACAGGTCAGAGTTGCGTCAAAGGCATGGCGAAATGTTGCTCTTTATGAGCCGGGCCAGTATATTGCGATCTTAAAGTATCGAAATGGCTCCCAGACGACGATTGCTAATTGGACCGTGCGGGATATATCTCCTCGGCAGCGGGCCAAGAACGTCGTGATGTTTATCGGAGACGGCATGACCACAAACATGATCACTGGTGAGGCCGAAAGACTTCACGGCATAAGCTTAATGCTAAAACAAAGGTTGCAGCTGCTCGCCTCATCGGCCACCAATCCATCAACGGCAAGTACCAGACCAAGATGGCCATGGACCAGTTTCCGATGCTGGGTCATCAAATGACCCACTCAATCGACAGCTTCATCACGGATAGCGCCAACTCAGCGACCGCGCTCTATTCTGGCCACAAATCCACTGTCAACGCATTGGGTGTCTATGCTGACAGCTCTCCGAACAAGTTCGACGACCCAAAGATAGAAAGCATTGCCGAAATCTTTCACCGGCTCAGAGGCGGCGGTGTTGGCATTGTCTCTACCGCTTTCATAGCCGACGCAACCCCTGCCGCACTGACCGCTCATACACGTGATCGAGGTCAGTACGGAGCAGTCATTGACTCTTTCCTGCGAGGTATTAAGAATTATACCTGGACCAACTGGACGGGTCCTGATGTGCTCTTTGGCGGTGGCGCTGAACAATTCTACCCGGGCAAAGGTTCCTTCCAGGGTAAAGACTACTACCAGGAGTTCGCCAAACAGAACTACACCGTTGTTTTGAACAACACGGCGCTCCAAACGTCAGACAACTCCAGCAAGCATCTTGGAATATTCTCGGTCAGCAACATGGCCAAGTGGCTCGATCGAAATGTTTACCCAGAAAACCTGAACAAGTCTAGCACTGCTCCCGACGGCTCCAAGGGTGCTGCTACTGATCAACCCGGCCTCAAGGAAATGACTCTCAAGGCCCTCGAGGTTCTCCAAACCCGTCACGGAGATAGTGGATTCTTCATCATGTCTGAAGCGGCCAGTATCGACAAGATGATGCATGTGCTCGACTATGATCGCGCTCTGGGTGAGCTTCTCGAGCTGGACGACACGATCAAAGCCACAATCGCCTGGCTCCAAGAAAAGGGCGAGCTGGAAAACACACTTCTCCTCGTGACTGCCGACCACGGCCACGGTTTCGACGTCATGGGATCCGTCGACACCCATTATCTCAACACCCAAAAAGGACCCCGTGAGAAGCGCGGCGCCATTGGCACCTACCAGAACTCCGGCCTCAGTCAGTATGTCCTGGCCAACCGCTCTGCTCCTGTCGGCAGCGATCAGAATCTCATTTATGGCCCTGGCGTCAATTTCCCGGCTAATTGGGACCCTCGATATACGCTGTACTCCGGACTGGCCGCTTTCCCCGACAATCGGGAGGATTACCAGGTCAACAAGAACGGACCGCGAGTGCCGGCCATCAACATCACGGGCTTCTCTAATGAGGACTTTTTCGTCAACTATGTCGATGCTGTGACTGGGTTTATCATTAACGGATCACTTCCTGTCACCGTAAGCCTCTCTCCTTCTAGTCATAGATCATTCTCCCTTGCTCCACAACCTTTTATTGAGGATAATTTTACTAATATTTTGGTTTTCTAGGCGGATCAAGGCGTGCACTCTCTCACCGATGTGCCCGTCTTCACGCGCGGGCCTTGCACCGAGTTGTTCTCGGGTGTCTTTAACAGCATCGACATCTTCTACGGTATGGCCGAGTGTCTTGGCCTGAGCCGAACGAGCCCTTCTTGAACACACACGGTCCGACGTCCAGAGAGGCTGAGACGGGAAAGGGGGCTTCCGGTCGTCGTCATGTCGTACTAGATTCGATTGGATATACGACGACTTAAATAAGTTGTAAGGGAGAAAAGAATGAGCTCGCTAATCAAGATATAAAGTAAACTGTGCCCACGTTTCGAGGAAGAATCAAGATCAGTGTCTTAGATTTCCGACGTCGATACGAAGTAATCTCATTAAAAGTATTGGGGATTTCCTCTAGCTCATGCGGGCTATCATTACAGTCTCTACTTCCGACTCAGGATTCGACGCCCCCCTTCCTGCGGCTGGCCCCCTTTTTTTCTTTCCGTTCTTCCTCATCCCCCTTCCCCTCCCTCCTCCTATTGCTCCCACCTACTCCTCCTGCTTTGCTGGTCCCGCGCCAGGGAACCACTCGACATACACGTCCCCATTGAGCCCGTAATACAGGACGCGCTTCCCTTCCAAAAAAGCAAAATACCCCGTGACGCCGGCGTCGACGACCTCGCGCGCAAACTCGGCGTAGACGGTCTCCCCCGCCTGCACGCGCCGGAGGGCCCGCGTCAGCGCCGCCGCGTCCCACGCCGTGGAGGGCTTGACCCCGGCTGCTGAGGGGGCGGGGATGGCGATTTGTTCAGTCGAAATGGTCTCGGCATCTGTGGAGGAAGTCGCCTTCTTGGGTGTGTATGTCGTGGTCGTGCGCGAGATGTAGTCGACGTGGTACCGCGTCACGCCTAGCTTGAGCAGCGACGCGACGACTTCTGGGAATGTCAGACTCGTTGGGGAGTGTACTCTGGCGAAGACGGCTTGGACAGGCGTGAGTGTTGACATGGTTTCTTCGAGTGTCTGGATTTGATTTGTGGACGGAAGACCTGCAGAGATCTGTCGGGTAGACAGTCTATGCTGAGTACCGGAGGCCTTTTGGTTTTCGGTGGTGTACAGAAATTCTGAACTGGGTTATTCAGAACGCATTTTAGTCTGCGTTTGAGCAGAAACATTCGAGAGAATATATAGACCAGAAAGGCTAGGCCCAGTCACGTCGGTCAGTCGGTGGCTTATGAACTGGCTTATCCTGAAGCCTATGGGTGCCTGGTATGCCCCTGACTGCACTTTAGCCTCGCATGGGAAGCTGGCCAATCAGAGTCGTCGCTCGCTTCGAGTTGTCTTCTTCCGGACTCTGGGATGGCCTTTGTCCTGTGGAACTGTTTTTCTGTGAAAGAAGCATTCAATAATCAATGAGATTTGGTTGGTTGCGCGAGGAAGAGCGGCATTTCCCTGTTTGCCAGCTCCGGAGCCATTCCATGCGATTTGCAGGGTGAAGACTATCTGGGTAGTGAGTGTCTAGGTCTCTGGCAGTTCGGGCACTAACGACATGGTTGGCTGGCTGCACATACAACAGCGCCTTGGAAAACGACCCTTCGCCTTGCCCTGGGCTCTGTTCTTCGAGGATCTCCTCTTCAGGTAGACATTGACTTTGACGCTGACTCCGGGGGGGTGAACACTGGCTAGAAGCCGGTAGGTGGGAGCCAAGAGAATCCGAGTAGCGTAGCAGTGGGAAGGATCGCAGGTCAAGTTTCGGCAACGTCATAAAGCTGTTCTTTTGTTAAACTCGCATCAGATCATACTCATATGTCCAAAGTTGGCTCTGATCGTCCCGTCAAGAGACGTTGTTGTATTCAGTCGGAGTAAACGGTCAGACAATGAATATCTTCTCCCGTTCCTTCCTCACCTTAGGATGAGGAGGGGAATTGAGATCCCATTCAAAAGTCCCAAGCCATTGCCATGTCCGTCTATCTTCATCATTTGAGCCTACCACAGCAAATACCAGTCCGTTCGACCGGCCGCGGTACGCGTGGAACAGAGCGCCTCGCGAGGTATTGTCATGCACGGGAAGAAGCAGCATTGAGTGTTGATATTTCCCAAGTTGAAAGTGGCCACGGAGAATGCGTGCCTGGACGGGCTCACGCCCTCGGTGGCCTAACCAGGGAAGTTTCTGGATTAGGCTAGTAAGTGCAGTGTTCTCGCGCGGCTCCTGCCCCAATTCAGGAATTTCGAAAGTGGCAAACCTGCCATCGAGACCGTCTGGGGTAATTATCGCGATCGTCGTCCGTGAGCCATCGAATAAGTGTTCTTGGGAGTATGGGGAAACCCTGTTCGACACAGCCAGCGGCAACTCTGGTTGAGAAGGTGCCCATCGGAATCCCTTGCACCGAAGCCTTGGCTGGGACGAAAACAGCACACCTGTGCTTAAGGAATAGCCTATCTTCGACTTCCAGAATGCCTCTGCAGTATAAACTGGCTTGTCGTCAATGAGCAGGCTCAAGATCACAATACTGTCTCCTGGTCTGGATGCATGTCGACGAGCCAACAGGTGCAGGGCTTCCTCGACGGGGACGTAACCCTCCATTTGCTTGAGAATTTCTTCATCGGGTGATTCGACGTCGTATTTCGCTGTCGGCAGAAGCTGTTGGCTTGTGAGGAGTAATGTTGCAATGTCGATCGCACCGTCGTGGTGGACGTTTAGAAGGCAGTCTCTCAGCGCAATGGTCTTGTTATCCTTGCACAGCAGATGGATATTATGCCGTGCACGCATCGACTCTAGTAGAGTCCAAGACCTAAGAGCCCAGTCACAAACCAGTAGGGTGCACAGGATAGCCTCTTGTGTCTCTATCGACGCGTGAGATATGTCAATCGCCATAAGATCACGATCCCAGACCAGGGTCATGCTGCTTGTGTGAAACACCTCGTTGATATATGTAATCGCTTCAGCACGAAGTTGATGATCCTCTGGTATACAGGGTGTGTCCATCCAATAACTGTCGCAATTGTTTTCTCGAGCAATTCGGACGAGACGTTGGTGTAGACAGTCGTTGAAGCCGGTGTGCGGCCTGCCACCCGCACCATGAGCCCACACGTGCGACACAGCAATGGTCTGGGGAGAAGCTCGGCAGTAACGAATGTAGCCGCCATCCGAGTCAGTGATGGATACTGCTCTCGCACCGGAGACACTGCGATAGCTCGTCTCGTCCCACAACAAGCTCTGGCATTGCCCGTCACAAGATGCATCATGAGCAGACTGGTCAACTATTTTTAAGCCTGTGAAACGTTGACAATATGTCGGGCCTTGTCCACTGCACGGGCGACATGGTCCACCTAGGCATCGAGCTGGTCTTTGACCATGGAGTGCTGAAAAGCGCTGGTGAAAACGACGAAAATCCTGGCTGACAGAAGCTCTATCTGATCGCAGCAGCTCGAATGCCCAAGGGCACAGGTATTGTGACGGTTTTAAAGGTAACCAGTGTAGGCCCATTTGCGGCAGTGGATGCCTCATGTTAAGTCTGTAAAGCTTCTGGACATCATATCCAAGTTGCAAGTGAAAGTGCAGAGCGCTGTGGAGATATAGCATGAGGCCCCGATACCAGCATGTCCAGAGAAAACTCGAGGCCAGTAACCAAGACTGCTGTTCCACGGCATCGTTGCAGTGATAGAGCAACGAAAAGGTCGACTCCGAAATCTCGGCCAGGGTGATGAGGTACTCCCCAAAAAGATCCACGAGAATGCTATTTTTTGCATCATGTACCTGGACAATGGTCAAGGCAATCTTGATGGTGTTTGTGTCGAACCATCTAGTCACGAGCAGCTTATCCCAGGTGTCCCGGTCCAAAGGAACGTGGCTGTCATGTACACCTTCGAAGTAAAGCCAGTTGAACTTACTGCCTCGAAACATCGCAATCAAGGCCTGCGTAAGAGGAGGAGTAGCAGGCATGCGAGATAATAGAGCGCAAGCCTTCGAGACCATATAGTCCTCGTCGAGGATGCCATCGTAACAGCAATCAATCAAAGCCGCTATCTTCTGATCGAGCTGAGCGACATGATCTTGGGGTTCTCGGACAGCGTGGAAGTAAGATCTGCTCATTTCTCTCAGCCGTTCCTTTTGCCGAGCCGCCGTAAAAATATAGAATAGGTCGCTCGTCGCATCGTGGTCTATGGCTCGAGCGTGAAAGGTCCTAGGCTGGCCAATAGAGTTGGTCTTCTTCCATTCCAGTCCATCCTGATATATTGACTTTACACGCTCCCTCGTGTAGGTTGACAGTGATTCGCGAGGGCCATCTATCATGGCGGTCAACACGCATAGTCATTGGATCGTCGAGCTTGAGTAGCACGTGCAGGATCACTGTTCGGACATTAAACGGTGAGGCCAGTGCGATTTGTACGCTTTCAGAGTGTGGTAGACTGCCGGCCACACTGAAGCTGCACTTGTCGTGCCGTGGAGATAATGAGGGCCTTCTGTAGTGTCAGAAAGGGTCTCCGCTCAGCCTCCTGGCCTGCACTGGACGCTGAGGGTCGACATGGAGTATGAAAGGGAACTGAGAGAGCCTCCGTTGGTGTTGATGAGGTCGCAGCGTAGTCCCGGGTGGATCGAGCCTGGTGAAAAAGAAGCACTTGATGAATCGAGGCCCAAGTCTCTAGAGGTGTATGAATACGAGGTCGGTAAGTACCTAGGTATGGAGGCCTTGGTGCTGCCTACGTGTACTCGGTACATTGCGCAGCGTAACCGGGACAGGCGGCTAGCTGTTTAGTGGCGCTCAGTTTTGCTGGCTCAGCATGCTGCTTGCCTCTCTACCTACCTAGGTAGGTAGGTAGGTACGGTGCGCTTGCTAGTAGGTGCTTGCGGGGATGTGGGGGAGCACCCAGCGGGCCCATTGATATTCAGTCAAAGCCTCCTAGCCCGGGCTGCTCGGCCACGCCCACGCCGGGGGACACCTACCTAGGTACTCACCAGGTATGTACCTACCTAGGTAGGTATGACTCAAGCCGCCTCCACAGGTTTCGCTCGACCTCTCGCGGTGACGGGAAGGTGGGTGCCTATAAGTTTACGCGTTTTGTCATCCGCCGCTAGTCTGCCTGGGCTTTATGAGCATTCTGCAAACCCTGCGGGTCTTCAACTCTGTCACGCTCTGACGCCGTTTTATCTCAGATATGGTGAATTAGCTGAAAGACGAGACCATGCCGAGTTCCTCATCCGCTGGGCCCGGTCCTGAGCCGAAGCTTCCAGAGAAATACAAGCGAAAACTCACAGAGGCAAGGAGAGAGCAAAACCGACGATCACAGCGCGCCTGGCGAGAAAGGCAGAAGCAACGTCGGGATGAAGAGATCAGAGCCAAGGTCGCGCAAGAATTGTCAAAGAGGGAGAGTGAACATGTGCCGCAGCAGCTGTCCGCCATGGATTGCCAGGTGTCCCCGTCGACGGAATCGTTTGAGGCTGGGGAAGGCCCATCCACTGCCTTTCTAGAGCCGCCTCCTGACGAGAGATTGACGGATATGGGCGCCGACAACGATGCAAGCGAAGCGACGGCGTTGCCAGAGCCAGTTCTTCCCCTGAGACTTGCGGTTTATTACTACGTGCCGCCAATCCCAGACGCTGCTGACATGCGACACTCATGGCCCGTCCCAGACGATGTCGATTCGAAGACATATACGCTCCCACCAGGTGTTATTCCAAGAGGAAGCCCTCTGAACAGCCTGTCCCCTTCACTGTCGCCGATGCGACAATTGTCGCCATTTCAGCGCTCCTCTCACGCTTCGCCGCACTCAGACTCGTCAAAATCTCGAAGTATATCACAGACGCGATCATTCCTCCCATCACCTTATAAAAACCATCTCCAGCTGGTCGGAGAGTCATGTTTCGCAGCGACCATGTCCATCGCCCAGAGCCTAGGTATTTCCGTCGTCTCATATGTCAACGATCACCCTTCTCCCTTCTCAACCACTTCCAATGCCGATATCCACACGATCCCGGTCGATCTCCGACCAACCGCCCATCAACTCATCATCCCTCACCCATCATACCTGGATTGCATTCCTTTCCCCCACTTCCGGAGCATGGCCATCTACCTCTCGAGCGTCAAGAAACTGGATCACATGAGTCTCTTCCTCGACCTGATGCACGACGGCATGGTCTGTTGGGGGCGGCAGTGCGCCAATGGACGCTATGGAAGAAGCATGCGAGATGGCGTGGCGTGGAACAAGCGGAGTTGGGAAGTCAGGCGGTGGTTCTGGCGCAAGTGGAGCTGGATTGCCAGAATGACAGTCGAGGACATTGATAGCGGCGTTGTCACGCATCAGACCGAGGAGGAGTTTGACGATGAGGACGGAATGTTGAGTGGCAGCCAATGGTGGTGGTCTCTTCATGACGACGACGAAGGCCCTCTCCCCAGCGGAGACGTAGCGTCAAGCTCGTCGGACGTGGTCCCGGCCGAAGAAGAATCGGAGGAGCTGGGCAGCCTTCTCAGTCGCCACGAGGTCTGTAATGTTGGAATACGCTCGTTGAACGAGGCAGACTTGTTGGTGAGTTGGGATTGATGAGATTTTGAAGCGTGTTTTGCGCCATTCTATCCCCATTCGAAGTGCTATCCTTCTATGGGATTTGGGAGAGATATTCTGGAAAGGGTCGGGTCGATCAAAAAGTGGGAAGTTAGGAAAAGCGAAATGCCGTGTATAAGACTCGAGAAATTGGGAGGCAAAGTGTAATAATTGCTGGCAAGGGCTGGAATCAATCGAATCTGGATCTGATTAGGTACTGTACAAGTTTTCTTCCTAAACAGACGCAGGACTACACCCCGTCCTATATGCAAGCGGCCCTGCGCATGATCGCCGACATTTCTCAGTCGAGGCGGAACCGGCAAGCAAATACACGCCGAGGCTATATCCATTCACCAAGCGGGCCATTTGTCTTCGGCTCGGCCACGAAACCATCAGGCGGAACCACGACATTCGACGGCGCAGACGAGGAGCTCTTCTCCAGATCCATCACTTGCTCCTTTCCCCACCACGAGCGTCGCTCCTTCTGAGAGTCCAACGTGTCTTCCGTCGCGACCCTGCCGCGCCCAATTCCCGTACCAACTGTATGCTCGCGACCGATCCATATATACGCATCTGCAATCCTCTTTGGCAGGGGCTGCGCACCGCTACGGTCGTGATCATCTTGGATCACAGCATCCAGATGGCTTTGACCCCTGCTGGCGCGGACAGCCGTTGAGAAGCTGTTCGAATACACGGCGCCCATGCTAGAAATGGCGAGCATTGCCAGAAGAATGCATATGGCGCTGCTGCCGATGGCGAGGGAGTATGCAATGATAAGGTCTCGGCTGTCGTAGGAATACACGTTGCGCGAGAACGTGGATGTCGCGTTGACTTTCACAAATGTCAAGTCTGAAGCATCGCCGCGTAGGTCATCGCGCGGCAGCACCGCATAGCGGGCTGAGAGAGTCATGTTCTGGAACAAAGTCTCAAATGTCCGCTGAAGCTGGATCATAGCGGAGTCGTCAAAAGGATCCGGAAACGCGTCGTTGAACAAGATGGGGCTGGTCTCCAGAGCGAGGCTAGTCTGTTCATACTGCAGCAGGGGATCATTTGGATAGTCGAGGTGACCGCTGGTGATGGCACCGAATGTTTCCATGAGACCTGCATAGTCGAGAATCGTGCTGGTCTCGGGGCTGGCCGTGAGCGCTGGTTTGATGCTACTCCAACCCGGCATCCAGTTTTCGAATTTCAGAGTGGGAGTAAGAATCTGCTCGCCGGTTCTGCGGACGTCGAAGTCGAGGTTCCATGAGGCGTTGTATAGGGCACACTCGATGACATAGATGGGATTTGCCATCGTAGCTTGAGTTGCGACATCGGGGGCAATGCTGTAATAGATCTTTGCTGCATCTGGCGAAGTTTGGTCAAGGATCCGGAGGTTGCTGTTCTGGTCGGGATCTAAAACGAGCATGCCGTCGACCAGAGTATCGTTTGAAGACGCAGCTGGTCTAGGGATCCAGGCGTCGAACATCAACGACGTTTGATTCCTCTTTTGATATGGGAGGATGATGTTCGTCAACTGCAATGTGACTTCGGCTCCAGCGGTGGAACAAGATACCGCTGGACCAAAGAAACCCATAGACCAGGTCAAGTTGGTGGGGAAAGTGCCCACTGACAGAATCTCGGTCTCGAACAGCGTTGCAAGCGTTGGGCCCTTCAGATAGGACCTTGCACCACCATAAAACACAGTTCCGTTGTCGGCTATCACTGGGGCACCGTACGACCCTTTGCCATATTCTCGCTGCTGTACAGAGATGGTACTTGGCTCGGTCGCAGATGCGGACACCACGGAGATTGTGCCAGGCGTGATGATGGCTACTAATGGTATGAGCCTAGCGAGTTGTCAGTCGTGGCAGGGATTAATATGCTATGTTTCAAATAGGTGTCGGGATGGAATTGGAGGAGTCTGAAAGGAAGTCGACACGAATGGCAGCAACATGGTGGGCGTACCAGACAATGGCCACAGCCAACAATAGGACCGGGCGTCGAACCCAGAAAGCTAGATGGCGGAGCTCAAGGATGTTGTCCAACGCCCCGAACATATAGTCGAACTGACTGAGCTTCATGGATCTTCCCCTTGCATGGTGCCACACGCGTTGGAAGTATGCAGTACTGGCAGCCAGCACCAGTAGTACTTTGACGAGATAGGCCAGTGCATTTCCTGCTCTGAAAATCCATTGTTGATCAACAGAGACTGCTGCGACAGCTCTTCCCTGGAGCTTGAGATTGAGGACGTGATGGCCAATCGCGGAAGTGATGGCCCCAAGAAAGCAGAGGAACATGACAACTGGGCCACGCCAGTCAATCGACTGAGGTAGCAGCTCACATTTAGAGGGCAGGATGGCACCCATTGAGCATTGGCCTGTCGCTCCAAAACGACCTGTAAACGAATCAACAGATATTGCCAACCACAAACATTCCGCCAAATCAACTCTTGCTAGCCAGCAGGAGCTTGACAGCGAGAAAGAAGAGAACAGGTTACACTGTCGGTCCAGGCATAGTGTGATGGAAGTATGTCTTGTACAGCCAGCTGCAAACCTCAAACCTTTTACTCGTGGGTCGAAAACGTCCGACTACGGCCAAAGGCAGCTCAGACATTTTATGATATGTAGGACTTAGCCTCCCAGTCATCGTCATCAGCAGACACAATGGTTGCAGAGGAGAGGCAGCAGTCTCACTGCACTTTCCCTTAAGGTTTCGTGACCGTGAAACGGGCGACAAAAGAAAGGCGCTCAGCCGTTAGTTTGGCGCCGGTCAATGACAGAGTCAAGGAACGCTGGACCATGGAGTTGTGATCTGAAGCGGACAAGAGGAGAGGAGCATAGAGACATGGTCGTTGCACGAATGAGAGGTGATGGCCATCGAGGTTGCCGCCGAGCCCGGCGGCTGGCGCGTGGAGGACCAGCCACTGTTTCATGACATCCAAAGGTTGAGAGAAGAGGAAACAATCTTTGCAGAATTCGCAGTCAAATGTCAGACATAAACGCATTTCAAATGACGGGAAACTACTAGGTATGGCTTACAATGGTTGGTCAATTTGATCATTCAGTTAGGAGCAACTACAGCTATTTACCAGAACTCATCTTGAGTAATTAATGCTTCCCTTTACCTCTTTTTGATCCTCGTCTCGATTATAGGTTTGGATGGGTCCCTGTGTAGACATTGGCTTTCTGCTTAAAGTTCCCCGTTGCCATCACTTCAAAATCCATGTCTGTTAGCCCAATCGAGAATCACATTATAGGCGCCCGTGGCATTGTGATGCAGATTGAGCCCATGGCCCACATTCGGCTGAAGATACGTCTCGACGTCGCTGCTCCCGTTGAACGACTGCACCGCCGCACTGCCGGGACCAAAGAGGCCCGTGCAGTTTGAAGCGCAGAAGATCAAATCCTCCACCGAGGCGAGATAAAACACCGGACCCTTGAAGTTTGGCGCGGTGACGGGCAAGGTTGACATCGTGAGGAACTCGCCAAACGTGAATGGGAATTTGGTTGCTTCCGCGAACTGGAGCACGGCGGGGTCAAAGTACGGATAAGCGAAGAAGGAATATTGGTTGCCGTATTGGTCTGGCCAGGTGAGGAAGCCGGAGGAGTAAGTGCTGTTAGGGAAGCGCTTGGGTTGGTTCGTGTTGGCAAAGTGCAGCGCCGTGTTGGACACAAACAGAGGGACGTAATTACCGAGGGCGGAGTAGCCAGTCAACACCACGCCGTCGGTGAGGTCTGGAGCGACTGAGGCGAGAGACGCCGTCAACTCGCTACCGAAGCTGTGGCCCACATGGATGACTTTCTGTGGGACAGGGACTTGCGAAATATTCCCTGCGCGAGCGAGGGTCGTGAAACTAGCGAGCACTTCGAGCTCAACAAGGGCTTGGATCTCCGTAAATGGGTTTCCGACCGTGGAGGGTGTGATGCCCAAACGATTCCAGGAGAGCGTGCTGTATCCCGCACCCGTAGCGCTATTGACGTAGGAGTATTGAGCGTCATTAGGCTTTGACGGTAGATAAAAGTCCCAGTAGCTTCGGTTGAACCCGAGACCGTGTGTGAGAATGTGCAAGGTCGAAGCCTTGGGTCCGGGCATGGCTGGAGTGCAATACTCTGCACTGATATTGAACGTCTTTGTCAGTGTGGTAGTGTTGAGATTGGGAGTAGAGGGCGTCCGGAGAGTGATTTGGTTGGCAAATGCCGTGGCAGCATATTGATTTGGAAATTCTGTGAACGGCGGGACGATCACCGTTACGTTGTTCACTGGCACTTTGACCATGAAGCTCGTGCAGGTATAGTTATGCTTGGGAACCGCTTGGGCGGTAGCTCCCAAGGCTGGAAGCAGGAGCGACAGCCAAACAGAAGTAGAAAAATGCATGGTCGCGTGCTACCGGGAGCCTTGTATTCAAGAGTTTCAAGGGGAACGTGATGCTCGATACATCTGAGACTCACCTGCTAAACGGCAGAACCATTGAGATTAAATAGGTTTGAAGATGGCATTGCATCCCTCCGCAGAAGAGACTTTCCCTACAGATCCTGTTGTGCACGGGGTCCTTCGTCCCAAGCATTCTGTGTTTTCAGCTTGATGCCAGTATGCGGGTCGCTGGAGAGGGCTACTCAACATGGCATAGATGTTTGTTGTTTCATTGCATCATTGGCGACTCCCAAGCCTCCAGAGTGGGTGGTACGAAGGATTAGAAGCTCCCTGCAATCGAGCCATTGTGCGTCGAGGTCCAGCTGCCTCTGTTTGGCAAGGCGCTCCAACTGCAAAGGATTGTGGTAAAGGCTGAGGACATTACCAAACCACGCCAAACCTGCTTACTCACCCAGCAGCCACTGGAAAGGTACCGCGTATTCTTTCCTTGACGGCAGCAACGGCACTTTAGTTTCATGACAAATCGGGCGTGTGAACATGGCACCTGCTCGAGCCGGAGCTCAATGGGATTCAAACTCGGAGTCCGAGACCAATCAAAATCTGGTGTTTCTCCAACTTGGTCTGTAGAAAAGGCAAGCGAAGTGACTAATGGCAAAATATCGGCAGGAGGATCAAAACCGAAGAGGATGGCGTAGAGAAACAAGGCTGGTGCGTTGCAGTGCTCAGGTCTTAATTGTGTATCAAATTAAAAGTCTATTGTCGTGCGTGGTTCGTCATCGGGTCGTCCAAGTCTGTTTGTTTATCATTTCTTGTAGAGCATTGACAGGACGGAATGAGCCATTTCATGCTGCACGCTGTTAGCCAGAACTTCCGCCAAGTGAAATTTTTGGGAATGCTCACATCTTCGTCCGTTTCGCAGACCAACGTATGTATCCTGTCGCTGGTGCCGATATCCACCACGTCATTGCCCTCCGTGCCCTTCTTGTTCTTCTCGTCATCGAGAGTGAACCCGAGGCACGACACCTTGTCGATCACCACTTGTCGCAAGTATGAGCTCTTTTCGCCGATGCCCCCAGCAAATACCAAGGCATCGACTTTGCCACCCAACTTGACATAGTAGTTGCCAACGAATCCTACGACTCGGTCGATAAAGATGTTGAACGCGAGTTTGTGGGTGTCCGGGGCGTTCGGATCCGCAATCTTCGAAAAGTCTGTTGTCCCCGTCAATGCCTTCCAACCGGACTGTTTGTTGAGAATCTCTTCCGCAGTGGAGATATGGAGATCCTTGGTGCTGTTGGGGCTCAGTGCACTGGCATCGGACGTGTAATGAAAGACAAGACTGGGATCAATGTCTCCGCTCCGGGAACCGCCCGGCAAGCCTGATACGGGGGTCAAGCCCATGGTTGTGTCGATTGACCGTCCATTCTGTATTGCGCACATGGATGCACCGCTCCCCAGGTGAAGGGCAATGATGTTCGTCTCGGATTCGGGCATGCCCAGGAACGCGGCCGTGGTTCTTGTGATATATTGGTAACTCAGCCCATGAAACCCGTATTTGCGCAGACCCTTCTCTTTTGCAATTTTCTGGTCGATGGCATAACTCTTGACGTAGTCAGGCATTGTTTGGTGGAACGAGGAGTCGAAGCATGCGACGTTGATGACATTAGGCAGGTGTTCATGGCAGGCCAGCATGAGACCGACAGCGGAGGCATTGTGCCTAGATGACGATTAGCATTTCGCAAGGTCAACGGTTCCGAGTGCTCAAGGGCGTACAAGGGTGCAAGATCTGAGAGCTTGTTGATCTTATTCAAAGTCTTTTTGGTTATGAACTGGCTGATGAGCAGTTAGTCCCGCGCCAAAACCGATCGCGACTTTGGTCCGGGCGTGTCGGGTGTCTGTGCTCACTTCTCCTCGAAATTTCCTCCCTGTACAACTCGATGGGCCGTGTAGTCGATGTCATCTTTGCTGGAGACCTCTGGGATCTCTGCGTCAGCAAGGAAGGCGTTCAAAATATGCTCAAAGGCGTGGTTGTGGTCATTGACGTCGCCGACTTCGCGGGTGTCTTTGTAGGAGCCACGAAGATATTTTAGGCGCGCAGGAGGGGCATTGATGGAAGATATTTCCGCGCTCCCCAGGCGCCGAAGCCCTCTGGCCTTGCCCTCAGTTTCTTCCTCCACAAACAGTGTTGTCTTCAGTGAAGAGCTGCCGGCGTTGATGGAGAGGATCACGTTGGCCATTTTGTGAAGCAGGTCGGAGGATCTCAATACAGTTTGGACGAGGCCGGGCATTGACATGGCTTGTTACATACTATTTATCCTGAAGAAGCATAAAGGACGGCATGAGATCACACCACATGGTTTATTGGCGCGTTTCCACTCACATGTCTCTGACTGTCACTGGGTGGATGGCGTGCAGATGCCCATCATTACCATGTCAAGTCAGATTCGCACCTGCAACCCTTTGTGAGCATCCAGGAACCCGCCGAGTGCGTTTCCGTGACGTCGATCAATTCATCCGTGGTGCCGTCTGCTGCTTCGATCAATTGACATCACGCTGGAGTGAAGAACCGCACGAACCGTTTCTTTCGCCCCGCTGAGGTGATGATGAGACATGAGGCAGGTATCGATCATTGATTTCGAGTCTCTTTCCTACCTACTCTTTGATACTTTTGACATGAAAGCTTCTTCTCCTTGCTGGCTGACTGTGCAGGAATTACCCAAGCACGTATCCCGAAACGACCCAGTTCCATTTTCGTTCAGCTGCGAGCATAGGTGCCTTTGAACATACATATGTACCCCTAGACACGCCAGTCAACAATGCCTGGTGAAGTGATCGATCGCCCAAACCCCGAACCTGCGCCCTCGAATGTCCCTGACTATGTCTCGGATCTGCTCGTCAAACTCGACAAGCCGACGTTGGCTGACAAGACCAATGATGCTATTGCAAAGTATAGGCGCGCAGCCAACTACATCGCTGCCGCCATGATCTTTCTGCAGAATAATGTTCTTCTTCAGCGGGACCTGAAATTTGAAGACATCAAGCCCCGATTGTTGGGCCACTGGGGGACGTGTCCTGGTCTTACCCTTGTCTACTCACATCTTAACCTCCTGATCAAGGCTCATGATCTGGACATGTTGTACGTTGTTGGGCCAGGTCACGGAGCTCCAGCCATCCTGGCCAATCTGTGGCTCGAAGGGTCTTTGGCCAGATTCTATCCTCATTGTTCGCAAGACGCCCAAGGTCTCCATAACCTCATCTCGAATTTTAGCACGACAGGTGGATTCCCAAGTCACATCAATGCTGAAACACCTGGTGCCATTCACGAAGGTGGAGAGCTTGGGTATGCTCTCAGCGTGAGTTTTGGCGCTGTCATGGATAACCCAGATTTGATCGTCTGTTGCATCGTAGGCGACGGTGAGTGCGAGACGGGCCCGACTGCAACGGCGTGGCACAGTTACAAGTACATCGATCCGCGGGAGTCCGGAGCAGTCCTGCCGATTGTGCATGTTAACGGTTTCAAGATCAGCGAGAGAACCATCTATGGGCAAGTCTCTCCCCCCCAAATACATCGGTTCATTTTGGACAGAATAGTTCATTTGGTCTCCTCGAGTTGGGCATGGGCTAACAATCACTCACAGGTGTATGGATGACAAGGAAATGGCGGCCTTGTTCACCGGATATGGATATCAACCGAGAGTGGTTGATGACCTGGACGATATTGATGCAGACCTCTCTAACTCCATGGAATGGGCTCTTGCTGAAATCAGACGAATACAAGCAGCGGCCAGAAGCGGAAGTCCCATAATGAAACCACGTTGGCCAGTGCTAATTCTCCGTACTCCGAAAGGATGGTCTGGACCGAAGAAAGTCCACGGTCAAATCGTCGAAGGCTCCTTCCACGCGCACCAGGTCCCTCTGCCTAAGGCTAAGACCGACTCCGAGGAACTGAAGCTGCTTCAAGGATGGCTGGAGTCCTACAAGCCAAAGGAACTGTTCAAGGACAACGGTGATGTAATCGACGATATCAAGTCTACCATCCCCGAGAAACCCGACCGCCGTCTTGGCCAGAAGAAAGAAGTATATAACGCCTATCGAGGACTAAAGCCTATTGATTGGCGCAATTTTGCTGTGAAAAAGGGCACTTCGGAGAGCTCCATGAAAACTGTGGGCAAACTTCTCGAGGAGATTGTCAAAGACAACCCCACCACATTCCGGATCTTCTCTCCAGACGAGTTCGAGTCCAACAAGCTGGATGCAGTCTTGAGTTCTACCAATCGCAACTTCCAGTGGGATCAATTCTCCAATGCGAGGGGCGGTCGTCTGATTGAGACCCTCTCCGAACACCAATGTCAAGGCTGGTTACAGGGCTACACGCTCACGGGTCGAGTCGGCCTATTCCCGAGCTACGAGGCTTTCCTCGGTATCATTCACACCATGATGGTGCAGTATGCAAAATTCGGCAAGATGGGTCGCGAGTCAAAGTGGCGCAACGACATTGCCAGCATTAATTATCTCGAGACGTCGACGTGGACACGGCAAGAGCACAATGGCTTCTCACACCAGAATCCAAGTTTCATTGGCGCGGTGTTGAACCTGAAGCCACATGCCGCCCGAGTCTATCTTCCTCCAGATGCAAATACTTTTCTCTCTACAATGGCACATTGTCTTCAATCCAAGAATTACGTCAATCTGATGGTGGGCTCCAAACAGCCTTCTGCCATTTTTCTCTCCGTGGATGAGGCCGAGAATCACTGCCGTGCCGGTGCGTCCGTTTGGAAATTTGCCTCCACAGACGACGGGCTGAATCCAGATGTGGTATTGGTGGGCATTGGGGCCGAATTGACCTTCGAAGTCATTGCCGCGGCAGACTTGCTTCGGTCGAAGATGCCTGAGATGCGCGTGCGAGTTGTCAATGTCACGGACCTCATGATCTTAGGGGCGTCTAGCAGCCACCCTCACGCTTTGACAAATGATGCTTTCGACGCTCTCTTCACCGAAGACGTTCCCATCCACTTCAACTATCATGGTTACGCGAATGAGCTGAAAGGGCTCTTGTTTGGGCGCCCTAATATGCAGCGTGTTACGATTGCGAGCTATAACGAAGAAGGATCCACCACCACTCCTTTCAATATGATGCTTGTAAACGGTACGAGTCGGTACCACGTGGCTATGCAAGCTATCAAGGGGGCGGCGAAGCGGAACGAGAAAGTCAGGTTGAGATCACACGAGGTGATGAGCGAACTAACGGGAATGATCAGCAAGACGCAGAAATACATCATGGACGAGAAAACCGGTAAGCAAGTCTTTGCTTCTCTGACAACCACAGGGACCGCGCTAATCTCGGGACATCGCAGATCCGGACTACCTCAATGATATTGGGAATTTCAAGATTGATACGGCTTCAATGAGTGAAGGATAATTGGCGTGTTCAGGACACAAACCGGTCTTGAGTGAAAACTGTCCGTCGAAAAACGCGGTGGTGGGTTTGTTGGCAAATGGACGAAGATCATCAGGAAGGCGTTTCAAAAGCACTGAGAGAAGCGATGACACAACGGTGCTTGCAGGATGCCCAGTGTTTTCTGCTCGACCATGTTAGTCCCATCCTTTTAGCTGCTTGGTAGATAAGACCAGGGAAATAGTGACATAGATTGCTTAACCCGACTTGATCCTATTCTTCTTCCTTTGAAGCGAGACTATGACCAACCTTGTCTACTCCTCCATCACGACGAACAGTCCAAAAAACTGTTCCGTCACCTTGGACAAATCAACGCCATGGTCCGCCAGGCCTTGAGCGAACTCGTCGCAGTTGTGGTCATACGACGCGAAGGGAGCTCCAAAAGGATCCGCGAACTCGAGCAGCATCATCCACTGCGGGGGGCGCATCGCCTCGGGGGCGTTCGAGGTCAAGGTCGAGCTCTTGGGGTCCTGCTGGTGTTGTTTGAAGTTGACTCCGTCGTACGACTTGGTCGAGCTACCCGCGCTGGTGGCGGCCTCGTCGGGCTCGAGCACGTGCATGGCCAACAGACTCGAGAAGTGTGTGCAGAGCATCGCCCAGCACTCGTGAGCCAGCCAGTTGGTCAAGCTGGCGCGCGTCTCGGCTGCCGCGGGGGCCTCGAGGACGACGTGCGCCAGCGTCCCGCCGGCACCGCCGACGTGGCATGGTGCGAACTCGGCCCGCGACATCGACGCCAAAACACGGCACGCCGACCGGCTCAGGCTCGACAGGACGGGCATGTACTGCCGCGTGCGTGGGGTCGGGTTGTTCAGCGCGTGCATGTACTCCGGGGAAGTGAGCGTCGCTAGCGACGACACCTCGTATAGTACCATGTAGTTCGAATGGCTTTCGTTTGAGCTCGAGGAGGAGGACGACGGCGGCGATGAGCGGTAGTACCGCCGCGTGCGGTGGAAGCCAGGCAGCGCCAGCCGTTCCGGTAGGTGCTCATACGTCCACCAGTCGTTCAGGTCGCGTTCTAATTTCGCGTCCGAGTAGCCGTCCACGCTACCCCAGATGATTAGTACCGCGGAGCCGCGGAGTAGGGAGGGATTGCCAGCGCCGGGGGCGGCGGCGGCGGCGGCGGAGTAGGACGAAGAGGACATTGCTTGACGTCGGGTCGATCGAGGACAATAGGACCCGAATTATGGTCAGGGTCGCGGAGCCGATTCAACGTGATCTATTTATCTCAATGTGCCCGCTGAAGTATTGGTGTTTGCAAGTTGGCAATGAGGGATGAAGGAGTGGTATGCCTGATCGGCAATGTCCGTCATCAACGAATGTCATCATACACAGTTGCACTTCGACTGTGCTCGTACTACAGTGTGGGCGGCATATGGCCGGGGGAAAGCATCTGTCAGTCAGATGTGGAGGCGATGCCAGAGATTGTGTCCAGGAATCTTTCACTTTGTGGAACCAGCTTTCGCGCCGCCGTCTATCTTGTCTATTGACTACTCATTCATACGCCGCCTGGGACATGAACGGACTCCATTTCCTGATGGTCTCGCCGTAGAAAATCAGTACTATCGGCGCAAAGCTAAGACCCAGCGCAATGAATGCCAATACACTGCTGGCCCACTGAAATCCCAGGTTGGTGTACATTGACTGAGCCGCCAGGGGCAAGAAAGCGGCAAAGATGTTTTCGCCGGCGCAAGCAGCGGCGCTGGCACTCGCGGCATACTTGGCATAAGCGTCTGTGAGATACATCATGACGGCCTGCATGACCACCATGCTGCCTATGCCAGTCAGGGTTAATCCGATGGTGGGCAAAATCCAATGCAAGGACCTGTAGCTTGTCCAGCCGTACCAAAACAGTCCACCGGCAAGACCAATAAACGAACCCGGAATGCTCATATACAGGCGGACTTCTGGAAGTCGGGACTTAGGTGTGCGGCTTTGGGGCCGGAAAGCCCTCTCGAATAAGTAGTTCTGATACAAGCATATGAGGAGGCCGAGGAACTCGCCGACCACGATCGCGGCTTGCACATAGGCAGTTGTATGCTCTGGCCAGCCGTACAGCTTCATGAAGACCTGAGTGACACTTTGCGAGGAGACAAAGACAATGCCGTAGGAGAGCGCTGTCAGGAGTGTGAAGAAGAAGACGACCGGTTCGGTGACGAGCATATAGCCCGGTCGCACAACGTTTTCTTTCAAAAATTGGACGGGGCTGAAGTGATGCTGCTGTTTCTCTAGTTCCGAGATGTTGCCTTGTTGTTGATTAGATGCATTTCTTCTGGCCCGCTTCAGCAGGATGACCGGGCCCCGGGTTTCTTTCATGATCAGGAATATCATTGGAAACGAGCCAAAGTAGATGCAAAGTTGGCTGTAGAATATCCTGGGTTGGTCAGCAGGAGTGCCTACTCTTGATTGACCGAGACCGCTCGTACCATCGCCAGTATAAGTGTTCCTTGATAGCACCGCCAATGACTGGTCCGATTGTAACTCCGGCAAGGAGGGAAAACACATAACAACTGATTGGTAGACTTCGCCTCACAGGATCAGGGAACAAGTCAGCGACAATGCCGTCGGTTCCGTCCTGTAGAATTCCCGCGCAACAGCCAGCAAAGAAACGAGTGACGAGCAGTGTTGCGAAATTCGTAGCCACAGCTTGCGGAATGACGAAGATCGAAAATATGAAATAAGAAATCTAGCTTCCCAGCCCTTCTTAGTAACTCGGAATCTGCTTTTCCATATACCCATTCGAATGAGACTCACCAGATATCCTGGACGGACGCCAAAATCCTCCATTATGGGCAGCACGATCATTGGCGCCACAGCAGCACCAGTCGTCCAAGATGTAACGGGCCAGAAGGAGTTGGGAAAGCTCTGATCACTGACGCCGAAGTACTCGCCGATCTCTATTGCTGCTCCCGAGACTGTGGTGGCATTCCACCCGACAATGAAAGTTCTGCATGCTTATCAGTCTCATGACCATCTCGACGCAGTTCCCTATGACCTACACGTAGCATGCCAGACCCACCACTCCCCAACGCCTCGTCGCTGGCCAGTTGAACCTACCAACCTTGTGAGATTCGTGAGAAGTGTAGACCGTGGCTTCACTCACGGGTTCTCTGGATCATGCTCGTCGGTCCATCTCAGAGCGTCGGGAGGATGGGGTTCAACTGGGGACTCTGGAGATTCGGACGCGGTGTCTGTGCCCATTTGGTGTTCCAACAGGAAAATAGATCCCAGCGAGTGACAAGGCCTCAGGTCACATCAAGGTGAAACGACTTCCCGACTCATAATGACCGATCCTTATACCTCAGCGTGAACCAGACTTACCAAGCTCTGTTGCTATCAAACTCGTCTTGGCACGCTTATTTCCTCCGATAATAAAAGAGGAATGTCTCAAAAACGCGCTTTATATGAACACTTTAGTAGGCGTACTTTCCCGTGATCGAGTACTTCCATCACGACAGTGAAGAAACGAAGTTCTCATGCGGTATGATCTGTCGAGGAGCAGAAAGACCTCTTGTGCCTGTAGAGGCCGGAGGACGCCAAGACTGGCGACCAATCCACTCATTGAGCGAATCAAAAGGAGCCGGAGCTGAGCAAGGGCGGCGTCACCCCTTCTTCCGATCGGGAGTGAGCCGCTAGCAGCTAAACCATGCTCTTGGCATTTGGAGCTCCGCCTCCGCAGCTTGAACTTCAAGTTACTCGGTGCAGAGTGATTGTTACTGAAAGTCTCAAATAGTGTTCGTGGCGTGGGCCGACAGCTGCAATCATGGCCAAACGAGACGCAAGGTATAGAATCCCTGAGAGTTCTGGAAAGGCAGATGTAGCTAACATTCTGTCCGCAGATTCAGCACCGATGTGCTGATTGACACCACGCCCATGCCCGACCACATCCCAAAAGTCGAGGAGATCGGAGCCAGTTCAGCACCGTTACTGAGCGCGTCTTTCTTCATCGGAGCAAGATGCCGACCGTACAATGATGACTATATGCAATGCAAGACCGAGGCATACGGCCGGGGAGAGTTGGATTGCATGCGGGAAGGGAGGAAAGTCACGAGATGTGCGGCGAGCGTGTCAGTCCTGACCCCATAATTGAGAACGAGGAGATTGAGAATCAACTCTGAACTGGAAGAAGAGATTGCTTCAATTGCAAATTGCTGATATTGGCTGTGTATGCCGCAGGTTGGCCGACATCAACAAAAGCTGCCTGGAAGAGTTCCGAGCACACTGGAGTTGCCTGGAGAACAATAACCACCAACTATGGCAATGTAGACGGCCAGAGCGTGTGCTGAATCGATGTGTTTTCCAGAAAATCGTAAGTGACCTCTGTTCCTGCCGCCCTGTGGTGGGCTCAGACATCCTGCGTGGACTTTGAGACTGACTGGTGATAACAGGGTTTGGAGAAGACTATCCCCGATACACCAAAAGGTCAGACGCCAATTCACCTCCGGGACAAGCAGCTTTTTGCGGATTATCCAACAGTCGTCATGCCATGGGAGAAGGATGTCGGTATTAGAAAGAAGGACGCCACTCAACCGCAATGAACGGGCGTCTCCATAACTGCGCAGCATCAGAGATTCCCACACTCTCAATCATGGTGCTGAACGACCTGGTTGAGTTTTTGAGTATGGCTGAAAGATAGAGGAGCATACCAACCTGGAAGGGAGAGAGGCGTCGACAGACGGAACATCTTTGTACATATGTAAGAATTGGCCATGATGGCCAGGCAAGGCTTCATGAAATGCCAGAACAGGTTGCGTGTCTTGCCGACTCAACCTGCTCGGTGCCTGTTAGGTGGGTACGAACAATTGGTCCAGCAAAGACTTCCATATTGGCTTCGAGACTAGCTGGACTGTCAGTCAAGACGCCCATGAAGGCATTCGTTGTGGACATCATGTTTTTGCCTGAATCTACGATCCAATGTCATCTGGCCTCCATCCCTATTCCTGAGTTGAGCCACTCGAGTAATCGTTCTGTCAATTACACCGCTTCAATTTCGATTTGCCCATATAGAGTACCTCCCATTTTCGATGCACTCGTTTGTACAATGCCACTCATGCGTCCGCCTAAGATTGATGAATAGCTTTGAGACACAGGCTGTTCAGTGACCATGAGATATTGCGGCATGTGCCTACATAGAGGCTGTTGTTCTTGTCCGTTGAATGTCTGACTGAGCGTTGTCGCATTCAACGTTACCATCACTCGTCCTCTGATGGTGTTGCGCATCCATCCCCTTCGTCGTCACTGTCCTCATCATCATATCCGATCTCCTCAGCCGTCTTCTTGCCTTCAACCAAATCCTTCAGCTTCTCGGTCCATTCGTTGACCTCTTGGGCACTCCCTTCTTCCAGGCCCTGAAACCACTCGTCTATTGGTATGCCCTGGACGTATCTCGGCTGCTTGCCACGGCGGGTTTTGAGTGTGGCGAGTTGTTTTGACAACTCTTCCACCGCTAAAGTGTAAGTAGACGAAAGGGCAGGGAAGCGATCGGAAACTGGTATGTTTGACGGTCCGTTGGCCCACATGGAATCTAGTGGACTTTGAGCAGTCAAGACTGATGGATCAAGCGCAACTGGCGTCGAGGGAGGTACTATCACACCAGGGGCTCTTCGAGAGGTTCTTCTTGGTATTCCGGGTGGCATATTGGCAGGTTTGGAAGGGGTAATTGGTCGACAATCCGCATTGTGTTCGTCAAGATGGGCTGTGGTGCAACCGGTTCCTTGACAGTTGATGAGCTTCTTGCCGTGCTTGCAAGTTTTGGGCACGACAATCTCCTCGTTGCAGCGAGGACAAGAGACAGTCTTTGGGTGGTGAATGGACTGGGTCTGATTCTGGGTTGCAACCTTGTTGCGGCGGTTCTTCTTCTTCTTGTTCGGAGGCATGGTTGCCAGACTCTGATATGGTGAGGAGATAGAATGAGATCCAAGCTGTCCTTCCAAAGATGTCTTGAGTAGATGATGATCTGAAACTGTAGTCAAGGCCCGCTGACCACAGCCGTCATGCTAAGCGAACCAAAAACCAGATACGGCGCGGTTGATGAGTCTTAGCTAGTCCAACTGCGAGAGGTCTTTCCTTGGCTCTCCAGATGCTTGTCTCAGAACAACAAATCATATTGACTTCGGCTCGTGGTGCTGATCGTGTTACGAAGCTTTTCTGGCCAGGGAGCTCAGCCTTGCGCATGGCCATCAAATACCTTGTCCGCTTCAAAACGCAACAGTATCTTCTGTCAATCCCTTGACGCCCGTGGCCAGTACTCTGAGCCAATCTCTGAAATGACTGAGTCGTTGACAGGATGGTGGGTATGACAGCAGTCAGCGCCAGTCACTCTTCAGGCTCCAACTGTGGTCTCCGAAGCACATCAGATGTTGTCTGTGAGTGCACACTGTTCGAGCCACGTTTTCAAGAACAAATGCATGATAGGACGGATATAAAATGCCTCAATATACTGTTTCTATTTGTGAGAGAGCAAGATCCTCCTTGGTGCAAGGAGCGTGGGTAGCAGTGCCGACAAGGCTGAAGTTTGCAGTACATTGCCGTTGGGAAACAGGCAGAAGTGGACCGCCGACCCTCATGATGCCCGGAACGGATCATCTCTAGGTCCTCATGCGCTAACGGTCACAGCCGGGGGCCTTCACTTCTTAAGGGCAGGTGAGCCGGATCGGCCCTCTAGGGTTCACTAAAGGTCCTCGGGGTCCAAAGGTTAGGACACATCTTAACTCGCAGTGGCCGGGATCCATCATCTGCCAATTGTTTCATGACCGCATCCCAGTCCGCACACCATCTTTCCATGTCCCCTGGCAGGTGGCTGTTCAGGTGACAACCAGTTATTCTTTTCCATGTCCCCTTAGCACGTACCAAGGCTTTGTTTGCAGGGATATATCATCCGACTGCCGTCACCATCACCGTCATGGCGCAGTCTACTCTCTCGCCGCCGCAGTCCCCCGTCTCCTCGACATCACGCGAAAGACCTCTCCAAATCAACCGAGCAAACACCGCCCCGGAGAAGATGTCAGTGAATGGGCACCTTGCGTCTGTAGGCCAGAACGGGACGGCAGATTTTGAACATGGTGTCCAAGTCGTTGACGAGGACAAGCAGTTCAAGTATGACCCCTGGTTTCCCTCTGCTACACCCAGTCTTACTGACCTGTTGCAGCCCTGATCTGGGCAAGTATCTCAGCTACTCCGGAGTTTCCCATGCCGGGTTCAACTATCATCTCATCTCCGTCTTCGGATCGCAGTCAACCGGCAAGTCCACCCTACTCAATGCTCTCTTCGAGACCGATTTCTCCGTCATGGCCGAGTCAGAAAGACGCCAAACTACTAGAGGGATATGGCTGGCGAAAAACAAATCTGCATCGACGGAGATGGCGGACAATATCCTGGTAATGGACGTCGAAGGAACAGACGGTCGGGAACGAGGGGAAGACCAAGACTTTGAACGCAAGAGCTCTCTATTTGCGTTGGCCACCAGCGAAGTGCTGATGGTCAATATCTGGGAGCATCAGGTCGGATTATACCAGGGCGCCAATATGGGATTGCTGAAGACGGTCTTTGAAGTCAACCTCCAACTGTTTCTCAAGGACAGAAAGTCCACCTCGCGGAGCTTGTTATACTTTGTCATTCGAGATTTTCTTGGGACGACACCACTGCAGAATCTGCGCAATACGTTGATGCAGGACATGGGGAGGATATGGTCCAGTTTGTCCAAGCCTCCGGGGTTGGAGAAGAGCAGCATTGACGACTACTTCGATTTTGCTTTTACTGCTCTGCCACACAAGCTATATCAACCAGAGCAGTTTAAGGCTGAGGTGGCGAAGATGGCAACACGGTTCAGGGACGGTCGTCGCGACCGCCGAAGAGATGCATTGTTGGGCGAATTTGACGGTGGTATATTTCTCCCAGAATATCACCGGCGGATACCCGCGGACGGCTTCTCCCATTACGCCGAAGGTATCTGGGATCAGATTGTGAATAACAAAGACCTCGATCTTCCGACCCAGCAAGAACTCCTGGCCCAGTTCAGGTGCGATGAGATAATGAGAGAAGTCATGATCCCTTTTGACGAGGCGATCACCCCACTCGAGACAAAACAAGCAGACGCTGCAAGAATGGGCGCAGCCGAACCTATATCTGGATTAGGTGCTGCTATGAAGGAAGCGCGAACAGATGCCATCAAGAATTTCGAGACTGAAGCAAGTAGATACCACAAGGGTGTTTATCAACGGAAACGGACGGAGCTCGAGAGCAAGATTGACACCAGGCTGAAGGCGCTTTTCGCTGGGCAACTTTCAGCAGCGCACAAACAGGGCGTTCAACAGTTCTCGGACGCGGTCAGTTCCGCGGTCAAGGCTGGGCAGAAGAAAGGGGCGTCGTACGATTTCGCTGAAATCGTAACAGAACAGAAGAAGATCGCGCTCGATAACTTTGCTTCCGTTGGGAAAGAGGTCGCGATCGAGGGGTTGCCTTGGTCTGACTATAAACAAGAAATGGCTCTGTACCAGAAAGAACTCGACAAGATCTCAGGTCAGCTGCGACGGGACGAAATCCGTCGACTTGCAACCAGGGTTGAAAGATGGGTCAGGAGCAAACTCAATGACAGCGTCGGCTTGGAGTTCAATGCTCTTGGGTCCGGCCGCGGTGGCTCTGGTGCTCCCGAGCAGGGAGATCGTCCTCAGGAAAAGGGCATTTGGGACCGAATCTGGTCTTTGTTCGTCGCCACTGTGAAGGATGCTGAGAAGCGCTTCGCTGACCGAGCCGCTTCCTTTGACGCTAGCGCCGAAGAAGTTGAGGTCGGCATCTGGCGCCTCAGAAGGAAAGCCTGGGGCGTACTACGTTCTAAGATTGACGAAGAAATGATGGAAGGTAATCTCTTACTGAAGCTCCGAGAGAACTTTGAGGACAAATTCCGATACGACGAGGCGGGCGTTCCGCGGATCTGGCGTCCAACCGACGACATTGAGGGCATTTATACCCGGGCTCGAGAAAGTACCCTAACTCTGATACCTCTCCTCGCCCGCTTCCGGCATTCAGAGACCGGAGCTCCACCACCTCTTGACCGGTGGATCGGACCTACTCCTGCAGCAGCCACGGCGGCTGATGAGGAAGATCTGACTCCCATTGGTGGCGTCGACGAGGAAGAGGGAAAGAGTCTGGAAGAGGAGACGACAATCCTCAATGAGGCCAAACGGCAGGACTTGACTGTTAGATTCAAGAAGGCCGCTGATGGTGTTTATGTCGAAGCCAAGCGTAGTGCGATTGGTGGTATGACACAGGTGCCCCTTTACTTCTACGGTCTCTTGCTGGCACTGGGTTGGAACGAGATCGTTGCTGGTGAGTCTCAAAAGGTTGTCCTCGGAGTGGCACTAACATCCCGGCAGTTCTTCGCAATCCCGTCTACTTTATGTTCCTTATTATCCTCGCCATCGCCGCTTATGTCACTTACACCCTGAATCTGTGGGGCCCGATGTTCAAGATGGCAAATGCGGCGTCCCAACAAGCCTTGGAAGAGGGCAAAAAGCGGCTTCGAGAGTTTTTGGAGGAAAACCCCACGGCGAGACACGCTGTGGCAATGTCAACCGGCCGCGATGAGTACGAAATGAGCAATCTGAGCTCGACTGCAAGGTCGAGGAAGGTGAAGACCGATGGCGCGGATGACGAGGATGTTGATGATATTTAGCGTTGCGGGCATGACTGTTTGTGTTCTGTGGTGTGGCACAATCCTGATGACAGCGATTATTACCTTGATGTTGCATAATGCACACTTGACCGGACCGAGAGTTGGAACAGACGACTTGGAATAGAGAACCTACCTAGGTATGCATGGTTGTTACAAACATCCTGGCCTTTTGTGCAATGGCCTTCTCACCAGCCACGTACCGCAAGGGTCTGAGGGATCCTCCAGCCTGGATGTAGCCTGGACGAGCCCTGTGGGTGGCATGATCTATTTCCTAATGCTAAGTCTCCAGAGGCGGCCTCGAACTGGATGAAGCCGAGATCCAGTAGTATCGCCACTACCTAGCGAAGTACCTAGGTACCCAGGTATGATCCCAGTCCAGCCACCCATTCAGCCAGCCCCAACTGGCCCAAGAACACGGCCGCAGCTCATCGATCAGCCTTTCCTTATAACCCTTGCATTCTCGATCAGCCGCAAGTATTTGTTGAGTCCTGGGGGGCTCAGAGATTCTGTCTGAATGCCTCGAGCTGTTTGCTCCACTAGAAGGCGAGATACATCCTCTCCAAAGGCTGTCTCAAGGATCCGCTGTCACAGGTCCTCGGGCACGCGCTGATGACGGCACCAACGGGGCAGCAACCAGGAGCAGCAATATGGGTGGTCACGCCGCCCATTAGTCGGCACCTGTCACTTGGAATGCTCACGCGGATGGGCTCGTGGGCCTTGAGGCTCCAGATGGATGCGGGGTGGAGGCTTACTCGTCCTGCCCCTGTAAGGCCCAGTGGCCCCGTTGGCCCTGTATCTTGGTGGCATTCGGACCCAGCCCTATCAGGGCATGGGCGTGAGCGATAAGGTTGCTGTGCAGCTCGGCAGCTGGCCGCGACCTGCCGCCAATGCAGATGACACCATCCACCAGGCATCTGTTCCTGTTGATCGCAACTTGGGCGCTTTTCTCCAGATCTGTCCACATGTCAACTGTTCCCTCATAGAGACCTACAAGCTGCTTCGTTCTCGTCTCCCATCTTCCCCCTCAGCCGCACCTCACCATGGTCCGCAAAACGTCCTCTGGCTTCTTCTCGTCCATTCACGAAGACATGCCACTTCATGTATCAAGGGGCTATGATCGAATAGTCCAGCATACGGCCTACCCGCCCTCCTCGATACCTACCAGTCCCCAAAAAGAGAAATTCTCTCCTGAAAGATATACCCAGCCGTACATGGACTTCATGACTCAGAACCCGACCATATTTCATGCCGTCGACTATTTCACAACCAAGCTAGACAAGGCTGGCTATGTCTATCTATCAGAACGTGAACAGTGGAAGATGAAGCCAGGTGGAAAATACTACACCAAGCGAAATGGCAGTGCATTCATTGCCTTTGCCGTTGGGAAAGACTACAAGCCTGGAAATGGTGTTGGAATAGTCGCCGGTCATATCGATGCTCTCACCGCAAAGGTCAAGCCGGTTCCAAAACTGCAGACGAAAGCTGGGTATGTTCAGCTCGGGGTCGCACCTTACGCCGGTGGGATGAACATGACCTGGTGGGATAGAGATTTGGGCATCGGCGGCAAGGTTCTTGTAAAGAAGGACGATGGAACTATAGAAGAAAAGCTTGTCAAGCTGGACTGGCCCATTGCAAGAATACCAACGTTGGCTCCCCATTTTGGGGCAGCGGCTCAGGGCCCGTTCAACCCAGAAACCAACATGGTTCCAATCATCGGGCTTGACAATTCAGACATTTCGGGAAAGGAGCTACCTTCGCTGAAGCTGCCTGCCGGAACGTTTGTCGCAAAACAACCAGAGCGCCTGGTGCGAGCGATTGCAGGGCAACTGGGTGTCAAGGAGTACACTTCCATCGTCAACTGGGAACTAGAGCTTTTCGACATCCAGCCCGCCCAGCTTGGAGGCTTGGACAAAGAGTTCATTTTTGCAGGGAGAATCGACGACAAGCTTTGCTGCTTTGCTGCTATTGAAGGACTTCTGGCCTCCCCGGACGACGCTTCCCCTGGTATCATCAAAATGGTTGGTTGCTTCGACGATGAAGAAGTAGGAAGCTTTCTAAGACAAGGCGCACGATCGAACTTTATGCCCAGCGTCATCTCGAGGATTTGTGAGGCCCTAAGCGACTACTGTGGACCCAACCTTATCAATCAGACGCTGGCAAACTCGTTCCTTGTCTCTTCCGATGTGATCCACGCAGTCAACCCCAACTTCCTCTACGCATATCTGGAGAATCACGCGCCGCGCTTGAATGTTGGAGTGGCCGTCTCTGCGGATCCCAATGGGCACATGACAACCGACAGCGTCTCAAGTGCCCTGTTGTCCCGAATTGCTGAGAAATGTGGGAGCACATTGCAAGTGTTCCAAATTCGCAATGACAGTCGAAGCGGTGGCACCATTGGACCCATGACCAGGTATGTTCGTCTAATGTCATTCTAGAATTATGGATACTAACTGTAGGGTTCTTAAAGCTCAAGATTAGGCTGTCGCGCAATCGACTGCGGCATCCCGCAGTTATCAATGCATTCGATCCGAGCAACCACAGGATCGCTCGACCCTGGCCTCGGAGTGCAGCTGTACAAGGGTTTCTTCGATTATTATGAAGAGGTCGATGCTGAGTTTGCCAACTAGAACATGCAGAGATTTCGATCGGATGTAACAATACCGCACCATGTAGACGCTAGGGACTCGTGATTTTCCATTAGAGAATGGGCCTCGGAATTCAATTCGATTCCATCCCGTTTCAAAGGGTTTACACCCAAGCACTTCGGTGCAAGGCTTCCGAAATCAATCGTGTTGTCAGGTTGGATCTTTTGTTCCAAGTTTCTTGTTTGAGTCTTTATCAAGAACAATAGACCGTCCGGGCGCTCTTGAATGAAGTCAGTTCGCAGCCCTTTTCAGTCCTCGTCTCGAATGCTTTGAATATTTATCCATTCTTTGTTTTGGTCATAAGGGAGAAAGTACAGCCTTTGAGTTCCGTCTACAGCATAAAGAGCTGGGCCTATGCTTTGTCTGAAGGCCAATGTGTTTGTGTCTTGATATAACTGAGAAGGTTCGCGCCTGTGGGTGCATAAACCTTGTATCTTCAAGACGACAATTGCGTTGAACACAATACCAAGATCTCGACACCATCCTGCTACCATACAGCAACAGAATCACACAAAAGGACAAGTCGAAACTCCCCACTAACCTCTCCGAGTAGTCTTCAAGTCGTACGATATGGCCTCGTCGATCACACACATCGAACCGTCCTTCATGTCCCGTCTCTCCCTCTCATCCCTTCTAGTTGATCTTTTCTACAGAATTGACCACGATGCAATCTTCACCGCCAAGTCGAGGGACACTGAAGTGATGCCGGTGAATCTTGAGGAAGGAGGAATTCTATCAGACACTGAAACTGACCTTTCGGCAGATTCAGAAGCCGTCGGCTATCCAGAAGAGTTGACCATGCACATTGTGCTCGGAGCTGCGATGCAATATCTACAGGTCCGGGAATTTGGCTTCGTCGTCAGCCGCGAAGTGCGAGGATACTCTTATGAAGAACTCATTTTGGCTCTCAAGAGACTTTTGAGGTGGCCTAACTGTCCATCGCCCGCCGTGACCGATACAGCATACGACTATGTCCACCAAGCCGTGAAAGTGGTTATCGCGCAGCTAGAGATTGGCAACTGGCCGATTGAGCCACTGGCGAGGGACGCACGCGATGTTGACCTTTTTGCAATTTATGACGATGCTGACACAGCAGGCAGGGTGCAACAACGCACACGAAGGTCTGGGTCTCCGGCAGAGAGCAACTGTTCCATCACACCGAGCGAAAGCGCCTCGCAAGTGCCTTCCCGGGAGACACGAACGAGACAATGGTACAGTCCCGCGAACACAACATCTTGGGGTGAAGAGTCTCATGGGGTAAGGTATATTCGCAAGCGAGGTTCGCTTTCCGCGATCTTTAATGTTCGGCGACGCCATCGGTGCTCGGCACCTTCACCCGAGTCTGTGGATCGATGACTGACGAGACCCAACATAGCCGTGGAAGCAGGAGGAAGAGGGAACAGACAGAACGATAGCTTTGATCGCTGGCTGGATCAGGGAGGGAGGAACAAGGTAATTATCTGCCATTAATAGGGGAGTTGTTATTAGGGGTTGCAGCCTCGTCACAAGCAACTTCCTTGCCAAGCCTTTCCCGATTGAATGTTTCTTCTTTCCGAGGTACACGATCAGACACTTCTATTAATCCAAAATCCAAGATTCCAAGGTTATCAACCATCAAACCAACCAGTTCCCTTCTTGTCCATTTGATCTAGATATACTATTTAAGGTCAAGAACTCCTCCCCAAGGTGAATTTCTCTTATTCATGATCGGCATTGGAGATCGAAGAGGGCTGGTCGACGCTGCCCCAATTCAAGCAAGACTTTAATGCTGCGGCAGAGAGTTTACAGTGTCTCCAGCTGGATCTTCTCCTCGGTGTATTCTTCAATCTCTGACTCACCATGGACACCATCCCGAGTGACCGCTGCAGCCTCTGTCTCCGAGCTGTCTAGGGAGATGGCAAGTCGGATAGTTGCCTAGGACAAACAGGGGCGTACTATCAACGCCTATTGACGGTGCAGCTGTTTCCTTGATCTCCCATCACTTGTCCCGACATGGGAAAATAAGGCCCAAGGACATGGCAGAACACTCTTCGAAACGCCACCAGACGAGAGCAAGGTGAACAAGTCCGCATGACCCCCGGCACCCAGGTGCCCGGAGAGAAGACAGCAGTAAGTCCACTAGTCCACAGCCTCTACGAGAGATTTGTCTCCATTTCCGAGGTTATATGCCCGACAGAGTGAAGCAAATCTTTCGGCTGTATGTACTGGCGGCAGGACACATACGAGGGCGGTACTTTTGCTCTCGGCGCGTCCCTTCAATCTCCCGATCTTTTCTATCGCCGAAAGTTCCCTGGTGACCTCCATCGGCTGTTCTACTCCAGACATCATGCAAGCTTCTTCTAATTTTCTCAGCATCTCACGGACAGTCGACGATTCCCCGCATTTCACCAGGTACACGCGCGCGGACCTTGTCGGGACCAAGATGAAAAGGTGGGGAGCCAAGGAATACTTCTCACAAGCGAAGTCATCAGACTGGAATACTGCCAGCAAACAACCAATTGCTCAGTTGTTGCTCAACAAATATGGATAGAGCCCAGCCTTGGCTTCTTCTTGACCTTCGCTGCCAACACCTCACTCCTTGGAAACCCAGTTATGCCCCCCGCATAGCTTTCATGTTTGGGTCAAGACATCCTCGGAGTACAGAAGTTGTCGGTACTTGGCGCGTGAAACAAATAACCGGAAGGCACGAATTGCCGAATACTACCCAGGACGAAGGCTTTATATATCTGTTTGATCAGACCCGGGGTTTGGGAGGCTTTCCAACGTCAACTCTGGTATTCTGGGAGTGTCTTCTGTCCCTGATACCCCTTGAACTCAAAGGTTTTCACTCCTCACGTACTGGTCTTCCGACTGTCTCGCCAAATCCGTCGAGGCACCATGGCTGATGTGGAGAAACCAGAAGCCATACAGGCTGATGAAACGCCCAAGCAAGCAGACGATGCAGTAACTGAGCTCAAAAAAACCATCACGGTTGACACACTTCATAACGATGAGGCTATGAAAGTCCTTGTTGCTTATACTGGTGAGGAAACGTGGGATGAGAAGGAGGAAAAGAAAGTCCAGAGGAAGATCGATCGCCGGCTGCTTCCCATTCTCTGCGCTACGTACGGGTTGCAGTATTATGACAAGGCGATGCTCTCGCAAGCGGTATGTGGGACAACTGGATTCTCCTCCGACTCGATATCTCTGTGTTGAACATGATATACATAGGCACTTTTTGGGCTTCGCACTGATCTCGAACTCGAAGTCGGCAATCGCTATTCTTTCTCTGCGTCAATCTTTTATCTGGGCTTCATCGTCGGTGCCTACCCTGCTATTGTCATGGCACAGCGCTTTCCCATTGAACGAGTTGCTTCAGGTATCGTCTGTGTTTGGGGAATTTGCTTGATGTGCACTGCTGCTTGCCACAACTGGCAGGGCCTCTACGCCCAGCGATTCTTCTTGGGGCTTCTGGAATCCGGAATCAGTCCCATGTTTATGTTGGTGGTGGGTCAGTTTTACAAGAAGAACGAGCAGGCGCTGCGGATGGGGTAGGTTTCGTTCCTCTGATATGCATTTATTATCTATGGTCGATACTGACGTGTGGTTATTTTTTAAGCGCCTGGTATTGCTGCACCGGTTACGTCTCGATTGTGTCCCCATTGATCAACTACGGTCTCGGCCACATCCACGGTTCCCTCTCCCCTTGGCGCTATATGTACTTGGTCGCTGGAGCTATTACCATCATCTGGTCTGTGGTTATCCTCTTCTTTATGCCTCCTGACCCTATCCGCGCACGGGGCTTTAACGAGCGGGAACGATACATCGCTGTAGCCCGCTTACGCATCAACAACGCGGGCGTCCGCAACACCCATTTCAAAAAGGAACAACTTTGGGAACTCCTCCTCGACGTGAAGTTCTGGATTGTCTTCTCAATGGCGTTCCTCATCATGATCGCGAATGGACCCGTTTCGACCTTCACTCCGATCATCATTGCCAGTTTTGGGTTCAATACTCTAAATTCGCTGCTGCTGGTCATGCCCGCCGGTGCGATCATCGGAACTGTAGAATGGGTCGCACCTTATATCGCGTACAAGTTTCCAGGCATGCGAGCCTATTTGGTGACCATTTGCGAGATGGGCACGATCTTGGCGAGTCTTCTGCTTTGGTTGTTGCCTAGAGATGCCACCGGCGGATTGCTGTTTGGAGCTTACACCCTGGCGAGCTTTGGAGGTGGCTATGCGGTGTTGATGGGCATGCAGATTGCCAATACAGCTGGGTATACGAAGAGGAGTTTGGCGAGTTCGGGCATCTTTGTGGGCTATTGTCTGGGTAAGTGCTTTCCCCTTTGCCTTTCTCAAAGTCAAGTCCATGGATCGCCCGGCAGTCCCCTGGTTTACAGTACATGTTACACGACAACCTGTTTCTAACTCTGGGATCCTAGGCAACTTCGTCGGGCCTCTCCTCTTCAAGCCCGAGGACGCTCCCAGGTACGCACCGGGCTTTACCGCCGTCGTCATCACTTCGGCGATCGCCGCCGCCCTGTCCATCGTGTATCGCTTCATCTGTGTCTGGGAGAATAAGAAGCGGGACAAGGCGGGCACAATGGAGGCGTTCGAGCATGCCTACGAGGACGATTTGACGGACAGAAAGGTACGTGGGATTGACGTCAATGTTTACAGTTTCTGGCTCTCTACCCATCCCTTCTCTTCCCAGCTCCTTGCAATGCGGATTCGACAATTTCCGTTTCTTGCTCGCCAATGTGATTTTCGAACGAAAAGTGCTAACAGGTTTTGGCGTCAATGCTGCAGAATCCGCAATTCAGATACACGCTCTAAGCTTTGCAGAGGCCTGTCTGGTGGTATCCGTGCAAACGTAGTTTGCAGAGTCGATACACATATGCGTATTTGACGTCCTGCTGGTGGACCTCGTTAGTATCACAAGTGTTGATCATCTGGCCAATCTACCTGTCGAGAGATCTGATAGTTATACGAGAGAGATTGCTTGACCATGGTACCTATCCGTAAGATCCCTTCTCTACGGCGGTGTAAAATTTACGCCTGGGAAAGAATAAAAGGACGTTCAAGTCTATCACGTTTCTGGGCGCCTTTCTGGCTCGGGGTTGTCTGCGTGAATCTGCTTTCGCTGCTACATCTGTACCTAGGTAGCATGGGAGAGGTCGGAACCATATATTAAGATACTGTGAGAGTTGCTGGCGAGACACAGGATGGGTTGGATGCATTGTGCGCTCACTGGCTTGATCGAATGCCAACACCCATTCTGGTGGCTCGAGGGTCGGGATCAAAGTTCCCGTGGATGAGCTGTTGATGAGGAAACGCAACTGTTGACGCTACGAGAAATACTGAGGTTTTCCAAGATGCTGTTGTCCAGCCGGCCTAGCCATTTCTCCCCCCGGGGCCGGGGTTCTTGACCTACCAAACTACATACCTACAACAGAGCCTCCCAGTCCATCGTCCTGTAAGCGTCCTTGACGCTAGCCAACTCGCTCTGCTTGATACCGAGCTCCTCCCAGGTCAACAGTCCCTCCTCACCACTCCAGCTCCGGTCCTTCAACTCGTTCCACATGGCCATCATGATGCCCATCTCCAGCCCGAAACCCGGCCAGACGTTGCTAAAGTCCTCCAGCGAGGTCTGGACGTATTTAGACGGGTTGCCCGTGACGGCAGTCCAGTCGCTGAGCAGTTTTCCGGTCGTGGTATCTTCGCTGTGGGCGAGCACGAAGCGGCCCTGTGGACGCAACGTGAGGTTCGGTTGTCTGAGGATGGACAGGGCGAATATCCCGATGTTCTTGTGCGGGTCGCCGATGGCTTTGATGGGCGTGTCTGGGCGAGCGGGCGAGAGTTGGATGTAGGTATTGGCTGTTTTCTACACATACGTCAGTAACTGATGGCACTAGCACGTTGTCGTGGTCCAGGGCAGGCAAAAGAGAGGAAACTTACCAAGAAATTCGGTGTGAATATGGGGTAGGCAAAGTTATTCCCATACCAGGTGATCCAGAAGAAAGTGGTCTTGGCCAGTAAGGCTTTATCAGAGCGGATGTAGTCGTCGATCCGGTTCTTGCCTTCAAAGTGCGGCACAATATATTTGCCGTCGGTCAGCTTCTTGCCGTTGGGAAGTGTGCTCCAGATGTAGTGTTTTAGAGAAGCGGTCTTGGAGGCCGCTCTGGCCATGTTGATGCCTTGGGTGACCTCGATTTCAATCGCCTTTTCGGGATTGAAACTGTGGGCCACGAATGGCTCGAAGAAATCGGTTATGGCGAAGATGGCGTGCGAGCCCTACAACAAGTGCAATGGTTAGTAATTAGGATGAAGAGCATGGATGATAGGTGGATTTCTCCCGTACTTCAAAGCCTTTGATCAGCGATTGCTCGTCGTTGATATCGGCCTTGACGACTTCAACACCTCGCTTGGCCAAGGCAGCGGCTTTCTCGCTGCTGGGATTGCGCGTCAGGCCCCTGATCTTGTAGCTGCCATCTGCGAGTGCGGCGTTGATCAGGGACAGTCCTTGAGTGCCTGTGGCTCCCACAACTGTCAACAGCTTGGCCATGGTGTCTGAGCAGAAAGTAGCTTGTGGATGGATATAGGCAAGTATTGAGAATGTAAGACGTGAAACTAAGAAAGCTTCGGAAATGTATGTGCTTGATCTTGCTTGATTGAGAACTTGATACTCTCCTTCCTACCTTCATGAGCACGAACAGTGGGGATTCTTATACTTCCTTTGGCGCGTATTCATATCGACGCTGCTGTATCATCAAGCATGTTGTCATCCTCCCAACCTGCCTGGATTGCCAATATGTCCTTGCGTCGAAGGAACAACAACCACAGCCGAATACGAGAGATGAATAATGGAAGCACTTTTTGGCAAGATTTTGACAACAGCTTCTCATGAGAACTCGACCATGGTTGTCCCAAGCGAGCCTCTTCCAAGACCCTACTTGGAACGCGCCATGACTAACGAGTGTGGTTAAACCCTCGAGATTTCAAGTCAACCACACTTTGAGGGAGGTCGAAGGCAAGGCGTAGACCCAAATGAAGGAAGAAGGGAACAAGGCTTAAGCTTCAAGGGCGTCGATGGCCTCGTATTGACAACTCCACCAACCCCTTTCCTTAGGTAAACGAGGCATTCTTCTATCATTGGTCCAGCAGGTGTGTACCATGACGCACCCGCCGAGCCGCCAAAAGTTGCTGACACAAAGTCGAATAGTCGTTCCAGGCAACGTTGCCGCTTTGAAATCCGATACGAGCATTTGTCACGTGCGCAAGACCCCAGTCTTCAGGTGTCTCCGCGGTCGGCAAGCAAACAACCATGAAAGTCGTCTCTCCGAGGAAGTTGGTGGGCTGAACGCAGGCACTGAGAGCTTAGAGCAGCCAGAGATCGTCATCATCTAACTACCTAGGTAACTACACCTTCACACCACAGCGACGTTTTGTCACCCAACTCCAGCGCGACGCATTATTCATCCTCACTGACCTTCTTCGAGCTATTGATCCTTGCCTGCGTTAGCTCTCAGACACCTCTGCATTCGCCATGGCTGCGAGCGTGGCCTCAAAGCGTCTCTTCCAAGAATACAAGTCCCTTCTGACCAATCCACCCGACGGCATCACCGCCGGCCCCGTGAGCGAGGATGACCTCTTCGTATGGGAGGCTCTGATCCAAGGGCCCGAAGGTACGCCGTTTGAAGGCGGCATCTTCCCTGCAGAACTCAAGTTCCCCAAGGACTATCCCCTCAACCCGCCCAAGATGAAGTTCCTCGGCGAGATCTGGCATCCCAATGGTAAGAGTAGCAAATGCCCCAAGGAGCCCTTCGACTAACACGCAGCGCAGTCTACACCAACGGCGAAGTCTGTATTTCCATCCTGCATCCCCCTGGCGACGACCCAAACCACTACGAGAGTGCCTCGGAGAGATGGTCACCTATTCAGAGCGTGGAGAAGATCTTGATATCTGTCATGTCCATGTTGGCCGAGCCGAACGATGAAAGCCCGGCAAATGTAGAGGCGGCAAAAATGTGGAGAGAACGACGGCCGGACTTTGAGAAGAGAGTGAGAGAAGGAGTGCGACGGTCACTGGGATTATGATTTCAGCATCTTGGCTATTCGACCTTGGGAAAAGTTGCTGGCACCAAACTTCAGTCCTCATGTGTTACAACACAGCTGTTGTATCAGTCTTCCTGTCAACCAGTCCTCAAGGCCACCTTGCCCCTCATCCAAACTTTGGATCTCGGCCTTTCGATTCAACATAAGCATCCGCTGAATTTCAGTGACCGCCTCTTGCAGACCTGGCAGAACAGTGCCTGCTTGGTCACGCCACTCCTGGCTCGCTAGCAATCCGATGGCTGTTACTCGGTCACGTTTCGACAACTGCAAAACCGGGCTGCCAATATCATTATTCGAAACCACGTCTTCTGCCTTGAGGCCTACCCATCTCATCTCTGGGATGTTACAACCATGCTCTTGTGCCAAATTCCTCGATCCGTACAGATAGCACTTCAAAATCCTGACGCCGTCTGGATCCCAATCGAACAAGCCGAATACTGGGACAGAGGACGGAGCGTGATCGAGAAGCTGACGCAGGAAATTTCGAGTGGCTATGTCAGGATATCCTTTGGCCTAGGAACGAGTCAGTGCTGAACCCACCTTGGCTCCGAAGGAGGTGCTTCACGGTAACAAGAAGGCCTGGGCCGACGGTAGGGTTCCGGTGGAATTCTCTTTCGGTCAGAGCATTGAATGTTGCCTGCGTCGTTGTCAGCAAAGTCGTCTCGGGGAGGCTCCCTTGACAGACTTCTTTTTCTATGACAAGGATCCAGTTGATATGTCCTGTGGCGGTAAACGGAGTGTTTACACAAATAGTCTGGATGACTGATGCCTGCTCGCCGATGCGGGGGTCACAGAGTCCGGCGACGAGGCCTTTCGGGCTAGCGACCTGAGCGAATAGAATGAGAAGTGAAAGTTGAGGTGTGGAATGACAGTCCCATACAACGTTAAGGTCTCGTCTCGTCACCTGGCAAGTGTGGGCAATGTCATCGACATATCGATCCACAATTTCTTGATTCTTGAAAAGGGCAACGTCGTGGTAATAAATGTCCCTGATTCCGAGTCAGTGGCTGTGCATTTTGGGTTCTAACAATGACTGACCTCTTTGTGATTGTGACACCTTGCTTGATTGCAACATATATCTCGCGCAATATTCGCCCAACACATGCTCACCAGGATATCAGAGCCAATGCGCACCGTATCCACCTATCACTTACCGAATCTCCAAGCTTCGGACTTGTTCTGGCCCGGAAAGTGATATTTGACTTCTCGAGATTCGATGTGCCAACTCAAGTGCGTCGTGTCGTCCTCAGCAAAGTAAGGTTTCACCCCCACTATTCGATTCAACGCAATGACCGGCTTGCCATGGCCGGACGGCTGTCTAATTCCTTGTATAATGGCGTTGAAGGTTGCCTCGATGTAGTCAAGGACAAGCTGGTTGGCGGCGGTGATGGTCACACCAGCCGACTGGGGTGATCGATCGAATGGGGAAGGCTGTGAGGATTCCATGACCTGGCATCGCTCAGAAGGCGGCAGTATACAATATGCCATGCATACCTAGGCGTGCTAGGTAATGCTTCCACAAGACAAGGAACGGATGAAAGCCAAGGCTGACAAGCCAGGGGCATCCAAAGGGGCAAGGACTTGAAGCGGCGGTGGTGGGCGCAGTCTCCCAGTCTCTCAGTCTATCCTGCGGTTCAACCTCGACTCCACGCTCACTAAAGACATTCCCCCATGCTGCCTAGAACGTACCTAGCGATTTAGGGAAAATAATGACGCAGGCACCATTATTTGCCCCAAACCCAAACCCCGGCCACTGCAGCCAATCTCCTCAGCACAGTTCCTGCGTCGCCCGTCGATCCTCCGAGTGGCCTCATTCTTTATCCATCTCGCCAACTTTTTCGGTTGGTGTCCCTGAACGGTGAGCCTGGTAGGGGTTTTGTCTACCGCGTCTTGTGCATCCTCGTTTGCTGTAGGCAGGTCTAATCTACCGAATTTGAACCATGTCCAGCACATATTAGAGACCATTCTATTGAACATGGTACAGACTCGACAGTCTTCACAGAAGTTGGCGGCCCACGTCGCCAACGGTCAAGCAAACGGGACTGCCAATGGCCACATCGATGGCTACGCCCCTCCCTCAAATGTCGAGCAGATAGATCGATCCAGATGGCGAATGCTCAATGAATCAGGTCGGCACACCTGGCACTACCTCAAGACGGACGAAGAGGTTGCAGAGTGGCCGCAGTCTGCCGCAGACAAGTATTTTCTCGGCTTGCCTACGGTAGGTGCAATGTCTACAGAGTGTTTGAATGTTCGCTGATCGGCCAAGGATCTCCCTGACCTCACTCCTGCCTCAAAGCCGTCTGAATCCATAGACAATTGCCTGAGCTTCTATTCGAACCTGCAGCTGCCTCCAGGCAACTGGGCCTGTGAATATGGCGGCCCTCTCTTTCTGATGCCCGGCATTGTGTGCTGCTGGTACGCGACTGGTACACACATTCCGCTGGAATATCAGATTGAGATGAAAAACTACCTCTTCGCCAGACAAAATAAGGACGGAGGGTGGGGACTGCACGTCGAGGGCCACAGTTCAGTTTTTGGGACAGCCATGAATTACACCGTCCTACGAATACTAGGAGCCAGCGAGGAAGATCCAAGAATGATAAGAGCAAGAGGGAAACTTCACGCAATGGGCGGAGCCACCAACGGTCCTCACTGGGCCAAATTCTGGCTCAGTGTTCTGGGAGTTACCCGCTGGGAAATTGTCAATCCAGTTCCTCCTGAATTATGGCTTTTGCCCGACTGGGTACCGATTGCTCCATGGCGATGGTGGGTTCACATGCGTCAGGTCTTCCTTCCCATGTCCTACATCTGGTCCAAGAGGTTTACCGCTCCCGAGAGCGATCTCATTCGATCTTTGCGACAGGAGCTGTTCGTGCAGCCCTACGAGTCTATTGATTTCGGGTCACATCGTAACTCGATTGCCCCTGAAGACAACTATCATCCCAAGTCCTGGCTGTTGAACCTGATAATGTGGCTCTTGGTGTGGATTTGGATCCCTTTTCTTAGAACAAAATCGATCGTCGAAAAGGCTGAAGCTTGGGTTTGGCGACTTGTCCAGTATGAAGACCACAACACGGACTTTGCAGACCTTGCTCCTGTCAATGCCCCTATGAACACACTCTGCTGCTTCATCAAAGAGGGCCCTGACAGCTACTCATTCAAAAGACACCTGTACCGCCTTGAGGAATATCTATGGGTAAACAAAGAAGGCATGCTGGTCAACGGGACCAATGGTGTTCAAGTTTGGGACACATCATTCAGCATCCAAGCCTGTGTTGAGGCTGGCTTGGCCGACTCTCCGAAGTGGAAACCGATGCTCACCAAAGGATTACAGTACTTGGAGTCGGAACAGATCCGTGAAGAAGTCCCCGACCGGGAGGTTTGCTACCGGCAATCGCGCAAGGGAGCATGGCCGTTCAGCACCAAACTGCAAGGCTACACCGTTTCTGACTGCACAAGCGAGGCACTCCGTGTTGTCCTCCTGCTCCAGAATGGCCACGGCTATGAGCCGTTGATTGATGAGTCACGTATTTATGATGCGGTCGACGTGCTGCTGACCATGCAGAACAAACATACCGGTGGATTTGCCAGCTACGAGATCCAACGCGGCTCTGAGTATCTCGAAATGCTCAATGCGGCTGAAGTGTTCGGGCGCATCATGGTGGAGTACGACTACCCCGAGTGTACCACTGCTGTGGTCACAGTCTTGTCGCTGTTTCAGAAATTCTATCCACAGTATCGTACGGATGAGATAAAAAGAATCAAGGAATCTGCTTTGCAGTACATCCGTCGGGCTCAAAGGGAAGACGGATCTTGGTACGGCAGTTGGGGTATCTGCTTCACATACGCGGCCATGTTTGCCCTTGAATCCTTGTCATCGGTGGGCGAGTCATGGTCGAACTCGCCTCGCGTCAAGAAAGCATGCGAATTTCTGATATCACATCAAATGGCCGACGGCGGCTGGGGCGAGAGCTACCGCGCCTCGGAACTCAAAGTGTGGGTGGACCATGAAAAATCGCAGGTGGTGCAGACGTGTTGGGCCGTCATTGCGCTAATGTATGCTGGATACCCTGACCAGGAGCCGCTGAAAAGGGCGATCAAAATGGTGATGGGTAGGCAGCAAAAGAACGGCGAGTGGCTGCAAGAGGCCATTGAAGGGGTGTTCAATTGCAGCTGCATGATCACATATCCGAACTACAAGTTTTATTTCCCTGTGAAGGCGATGGGCATGTATATAGCCAGGTGGGGGGATGACGAGTTACTTTAGTTTTGAGCACCTGTACGACTTTCGAGGAACTTAAACGGACTTGAATATGTCAAGGAAATACAGCACCTAGATCCTCCTTGAGACAGGCGGTGGGTGAGAAGGCTACTCGACTTTTCAATTGATGTCGACTTCTTGTCTTTTACCGGTGCCGTTCATTTACTCCTAAAAGTGAAAAGATCGATGGCTGCTCATCCATACAGAAGTCGACCAACTACGAATCTACAGGTTGTTGATTTGCGTCTCTAGGTACTTTTCCCACACGTCCTCAATGTCGTTGTGGTATATCCAGGGCAGACCCTCCTCGCTGCCAGACGACGCCATCTTGATCTTCAGAACGGACTCGAACGACTTATCAGTCGCATTGGCCAGCGCCTCTTTGGCCTTTTTCCTTTGCTCGTCGAGGTATTGATACCTATGTATGTATACGCATTAGAAGGGGGTTTTTCAGCGTGGTGCGGCTCAGCTCGGTACATTACATCGACACATAGGCGAAGAAAATAGGAGACAACGTACATTCTGAGATAATATGGAGACCTGATAGCGTCGAAGATCTCAAGGGCATGTGCTAGGCCCTTGGGTGTGTCGCGGGTATACTCGATGGCTCGTGCGAGGATCCAGCCGTCCTCCAGCGCGAATGCTGCGCCTGATCCGAAAGCTCCTATGTTCGACGATGAGTATACAAAAATGTTGACGTCCCTGACACGATGCGTTCGGAGAGACAGTGACAGATATGGCGCATACCTGAGAGAGGATGACTTGCGTCTCCCAGCAGCACGACTTTATCCCAAGCGTGGAGTTTCGCCAACCTTGGGCCTGCAAATGCAGAAAACTCCTTCCACTGCCCTTCGGGAACACGGGATAGGACGTCTCTGACGCGCGGGTCGTATTCCTAGCAAGATACATTAATCCATTTTTGCATTACGTCCATGGCATGGCATGGAAGAAAGGGACAGGGCACCTTGAGAAGAAGAAAAGAGGAAAACCCACCGTGAAATGAGACTGGACTCTCTGGTTCGTCGCGGGAATCCCCCAGCTGAATCTCTTGCCGGATGCAGTCTCTGGGTCGACGAGGTTTCGACATGAGATCTCAAACATTCTTTCACTTTCGTCGAGTTCCTCTGGATCGTCGACGGGGGATAGGTAGACGTGGCCCGCGGGACCGTACCACCACGACGTCAGCGAGTTGAGGTCAGGTTGGTGGGCCACCGCGCTGATGGGTATGAGCGTGCGCCAGATCGTTGTCCCTAATATCCAAGATACCGGGCTTAGATTAGAACGGTCACGATCCGAACAGCCGTACCTGTGAATCTGATACTGTGATCAGGAAAGATACTGTCTCTCACAACCTTTGCACCATCGTCTTAGGAATTTGGGCCTTTTCACATCAAGAGAGAAAGGAGCGAAGGCAAAACTGACTGAGCGGATACCGTCTGCCCCCACGACAAGGTCGACGGTTGTCTCGAATCCGTCTTCGAAAGCAAGTGATACTCCTCCCTGAGGCAGGTTCTTCACCGCGACAAGCCGTTTGTTGAGCTTGATCGTGCCGGGAGCGACTTGCTTGATCAGGGCGGATTGAAGGCGAGTCCTCCTCACTCGGCGCGGTTTGTACTGGACCGGCATTGACGAAGATCTCGTATCGAGGATCTCCCCATTCAAGCCGTTTCTGATGGTTGATACCAAGTCAAAAGACCGCGACTTGGGACAAAAGGGGTCTTCATTGACTGGATGTGGCAGAGCAGCTGATCGACGTACCGGTGCAAGACTGTTGTTTTGATATGGCCCTTGACGTGCTGGGCCGCACCCATCAACGCCAGCACTCTCCAGCAGTTATAGCCAATGCGAATGCCCGCACCGATCTCCCGAAGCTGCCTGGCTTGCTCGTAGATGGTCACCTCGACGTTTGGGAGAGCTGAAAGTGCTATGGCGGCGCCCAGGCCGGCGGGACCGCCGCCACAAATGGCTACACGGAGCCTGTTGGGTTCGGGAGGCAGTTTCTGAGCCACCATCTTTCAAACGATGTCTTGTTTTCTTTTTACCTTTTTCTCCTTTGCAATTGTTCGATGAAAAGATGATCATGTACCATTTCAGAAATGGGGGAAATCTTTTGTTTCTTATCTGAATGGATAGGATAAGCGTGTGCCATCCATGAGCGCCCTTGCGTGAGATTCTCACTCCCAACACGCATTGTATGACGTGCTTTTGGATGGGATCGCACCACGAGTCTGTCTCTGCCCATTTGTTATCTGCGGAAACGACGGCCAACCGCGGCATTCACCGCAGACCTGGTGAGAGATGGTATTTAGTAAAACGTTCAGCCTCGACTTCTTACCTGCGGTACTCAAAGGTGGTTCCTGTGTCTGGACAGAAATGGTTCATCGTACACAAACATGTGGCTAACGGAGTGGATAGACAGGAGGGGTGTGCCATGCTCCATGATACTCCATACTACTTTGCTAGACCTCATTAGCCAGCCTCGGCGTTAATTCGTTCCATGTTGATCCCTTTTCTCCGAGGCATCTCCATATGTACCGAGTACTACATCAGACTCCGATATAATAGATATTGATATCAATATCCGGCATGATACCTTCTACAACGTCTCGCAGGACTGATAGCATCAAAGTCCAGGATTTATAGCATCATGGACAACGATATCGAATTAGCTGTAGATTCTCGACCAGCGCCTCAAGACGGAGGAGAGCACACAGTGAGGGATGAAGGACAAGCAGAGCCCAACGAGGACTCCTTGAATCCCGTTGACGGAGGTTGGGCGGCCTGGAAACTTATTCTTGCCGCATACGTCTTTGAGGCGTTGCTCTGGGGTATGTATAAGCATGACATGTGCTTTGACCCCTCTGGCTTATACCGCTATGCTTTGTCTTTGTCCACTGACACAGACAGGCTTCCCACTATCCTTTGGGGTCTTCCAAAACTACTACTCCCAATTACCTGAATTCGTCAATCAGCGGTACATCTCGGTGATCGGAACGATCGCTTCGGGCATGTCGTACATGGGCGCGCCATTGATCATTCCGGTATTGAGGCGTTATGCGAAATATCGTAGGCGGATGATATGGTTCGGATGTATGGCCAGAATCCACGAAAGTTGATCAATGTTCAGCTGACAAGCAGGACCAGGGACATTATGTATCTTGGGCGTACTGTGCGGATCTTTCGCGCGCACCGTCGGCAGCCTCATCTTCACCCAGGGTGTCATGTATGGCATTGGCTTCATCATCTTCTACTACCCCATCATCAGCATGGTCAACGAGTACTGGATCACGCGAAGGGGGATGGCGTACGGCTTTCTGTGCAGCGCGTCTGGATTCTCGGGTATTGTCATGCCCCTATCCCTGGAGCTTCTTCTGAACAAATACGGGTATCCGACGACGTTGAGAGTCGTCGCAGTGGGCCTGGTCGTGTTGACGGGGCCGTTGATACCCCTGTTGAAAGGACGGCTCCCTCCATCGGCACAAAACTATACACCGAGAACCAGTTGGGCTTTTCTCAAGACACCACTCTTCTGGATCTACACGGCCTCAAACCTGATGCAGGGACTCGGATACTTCTTTCCTTCGCTTTACATTCCGTCGTATGCCTCTACACTTGGCTTGAGCTCGAGGCAAGGCTCTCTCCTTCTGGCCATCATGTGCGTCTCACAAGTGCTGGGCCAATTTACCTTCGGATACCTCTCAGACCGGAGACTGTCGGTCACGGTCCTATCCTTTGCATCGACTCTCATCCCTGCTGCAGCAGTGTTCGCTCTGTGGGGCCTGGCGCGGAACTTCGCCATGTTGTCTGTCTTTGGACTGATATACGGCTTCTTCGGAGCTGGTTACACGGCCTTGTGGGCCCGGATGGGCATGGGCGTCACAACGGATGTTACTTCAGCCTTTGCGGTATTTGGTCTGTTCAATTTCGGAAAGGGCATTGGGAATGTCCTGGCCGGGCCTATCAGTGCCAACATGCTGTTCAAGCATATACATGTCGGAAGATATGCGGTAGGAAAGTATGAGGTGCTTGTGCTGTTCACAGGCTCATGCATGCTTGCAAGCGCGCTCAGCATCGCCATCGGCTATCTGAAGATCCGGAAATTCTGGTTGCTCAACTGAGGGGAACTGGTCTCCTGCAACAAGCTCATTTGAGGAGAGGAATTTCAGTAGCGATTGACTTGCTTGGACAAGTGGAATGGCTCGAGTTGGCACACTGACTGAATAATTTCAGATCTCTTTCCTTTCGTCAAGTAGCAGGCTTCACGATACGAATACGGAGCATCATCTGCGAAACCACATATCCCCACGCAAAGGGCCCATCCCACCCACCTACATCAGAACGATCTCTTTCGTATTAACGTCTTCGTGATCAAGTACATCCAGCAATTCCCCCCGCATGACGCCGTGGACGTATGCTTCTCCCACAAGAGAGTGATATTTGGCCGTGCCGCCATCCTCCATCCCAACTTGCCTCACAACGAACGGCGTAACCATGCCTAGAAACACGCAGCACGCGTCTCCAGGCTTCGCGAACCGCGCTACCAAAGCGAACCGACCATGTGCTGTCAGTGCCAATTGCCGATCCCGACAGTTGCGCGTGCTGACCTCGTAGCGAGACGCCTCACAAAGTTCCTTTCGTGATGCTCGAGCTGTGATCACCCCTGTGCGATGGTTTTCGGGAGGGTCTGGGTTCTCGAGAGCTCGAAGGTATTTCTGGAACCTCTTTCGGTGTTCGTCAATACTCACCACTCGGGTATTGTTGTAGCCCGTGACCAGTGTGTAGCTGAAGCTTGCGTCCATTAGAGTACGCTTCGGTGGCACCTCTGAGCAACCACGTTGGAGGTTGCAGGCGAGCACCATGTCGTTCCACAACTTGTCAACGTATGTCTTGTGCGGTTCCTGAGGCTCAAAGTCCCACAGCGTACGGTCGAGAGCAAAATTTTCGGGCTTGAGAAGTCCGGAAGTCCAGGTCAGATGATCAAATATAAAACCCCTAAGGCTTAGAAGCCTCTCACCACGGAAACCTCTGCAGGCCTTATACTGCAACCTGTCAACGGGGCCCCCAGCCTCGAACGACAACCCTATATTGCCGATGGTATATGACGGCGCAAGATCCATCCGAGGTTTCGTCCATTTCGGAATCCATGACGGCGCCTTGCTCCCATTGACTTCGTCGACGGAGTCATGCTGCACGAAACAGAGAATATAGGGAGCTTCGTGTCTGCTCCGCAAGAACGCAAGTGTAGCATCAAAGTAGACTTCTTTCTCGTCCTTGTCATAATCTGGCTCCAAAAATAGCTTACCATCAGCAGATTTGGCGAGAGGATTGCCCAAAAATGCGTAGATGTGATCGCGAGCATCCTTGGCCGACAGGGACTTCCCAATCTGCAATATGTCCAGGAACAGTCCCGGACGGCCGCCGCAGTGCTTCTCGTTCAAGGATCGGATCAGCGGCCTCTCGCGCCTCCATGATTCTGCGTTGTCGTACGTGCGATAGACGCAGAGGAAGACGAGCCTCCAATACCGAAAACTCGAGTCATCCCCGCCCAGCAGCCGCGTTATCTCGGTGCGCCCATCGCAGAAGCAGGCGAACTCGACGAGCACGGCGAGACTCATGCTGTGACGGCCCCAGAACAAATGACAATTCTTGGCCAGCGCCGCCTCCTGAAGCACCCATACGCGCGAAAACCAGGAACACTCCATGAGCTTTCTGAGCTTCGAACCTGCCTCTGCGTCAGTGCACAGGTGATGTGGAAGGTCGAGGGTGGGAATGTTCCGAGTGTGTCTATATATGTCGAAGTTCTCGTCAAGATACGAGACCCATCTCTCCAGGAGACCGAAACAGTCCCTGGCTATGCCGCCCGTGTCCCTGCCCAGCCAGACAAACACCTGCCTTGCATCGCGGTAGACTTCACCAAGTCGCTTGACCTGGTGGTTCTTCTCTTCGCTGCGGTCTTGATTGATGCATATGGCGTCGACCCACAGACGCTGTGAATGTCCGGGGCTCTTGCTACGGAGTTCTCGCAAAGCATCCGCCAGGTTGGTCGTGATGGGCAGGATCTGGTTGGAGCAGATGATCTCGGCCCGGTCCGTCGATGTGCCCCAGGTGTAAGAAATGGCATCATAGGTATTGGCAGCGTTCTGACGAGGCTCCAAGGTGAGACAGCAGCGGATCGCATCGTCTTTTCTACCCGGAAGTAACTCTAGTATGCGAATGTATTCCTCGCTCAGTAGGTCTTCGTATTCAAATTTTTTCATTTTGCAGTGTTCGAGGTGTATACTTATCAGAAGGTTAGCCTGAGGGAAGCTAGTTTGTCAACCGAGGCAAGGCTGAGGCATCAAGTCAATTGTTGCCTACCTAACCCCACTGCGCTACTAGTAGTCAAGGCCAACACCTCTCCACTCCACTCTCGGTGCCACTTCTTCCTCTCACCCACCCCCAGTCACACCCACTGAAAACAAAAACATATATAAAACATATCAGCTCAAAATCCTTCAACAACCACACTCCGCATTGGTGTAATGGTAACATAGCCGGTTTTCAGTTGAAGACCATCATACCCGGCGTAAGTCGAACTCAAGTATGATATCTACTATAAATTACATCTTGCTAACCCCAACCAGAGCCCGGGGTTCAATTCCCCGATGCGGAAATTTCATCAATTCTTTTTTCCCATTCCCAGTAAAATGAGCTGTGTCTTTTTGCTTCTTCTGTCATATCAATCTTCCACTGACTGAGAAGAATTATGTCTAGTATACCTAGGTAGGTAGACCCCTTTTTAATGTACGACCAGATCCATGAACGTACAAGAAAAACATCGTTGAACACATTGGGCATATCATATTCACGGCAGCTTTTTTCGTTACCCCAGACTGCATATTCTCGGGTTCCAGGTTTGTTGGTTCTCGAAAGCGGCCAAGGGTCTCTCATCAGGAATGGTTTTTGCCCACTGACATCCAACATGAAAGGGCTGAGCTGAGCAGCATGGACGTTAAGCTTCTGCGATTGTCTCACAACAAGTGATCACCCCTCATCGCGCGAGGTTTTGGTTGTTTTGTGAGCAGACACGGCTAAAGACGCAATCCGTCAACGTACAATCCGAAGTCCTCATCTAGGCGAAGGATCGTCCTGATCGTCGTGGCGTTAGACTCTGGAATCCAAGAAATATTGGTACCGGATATTTTCAAATTAAATTATAATTCTCTTTTTTGACTCTTGAGGAGGAAAGTCATGATCTCGAACAGTCCTATTCTGACCTATGATCCTTCCCTATTCCAGTAGCACTCTCAGCCAAACCAATTGCAAATCCACCTGTCTCTGAGCCTTGCCAGCCCAGTCTCTGCTGTCCTGCGCAGTTCGAGCCGCAATCTCATCTCCACTCCCAATCGTTGCCAGAAAACTTACCAGCTCCGGCAAGTCTTCAAAACCAGTGCTCACCAGGATGTAATGAATTCATGGAATCAGACGATCATCGTGCCACTCTTCGAACACGGTCTGCTTGAGAGTCGCTTTGTCGCCCCACTCTGGATCCTCAGCTTCAACATAACCCGTGCTCCTGGGCAGGGAGTACGGGCTCGGGAAGATAATGTCGTTAAAAGAAGGTCTCCCCTGAGACCAGACTGGAGCAAGTGAGTGCGTGAGACGGAGAGACTCTGGCACCACAGGAAATCCTCCCAAGTTTTGAAGGTCACAGTGCACAGATATTCCTGCTCTTGGTCAGGTTGGGAATAAAATAAGGACCGGCTTCGGACGTGAGTGGCGCGTGAGGCGAATTTCTCGCTGGATAAGCAACTGCGCATGACAAGGCCATGGCTCCCGAAGCATCTTTATTTCCAACGTCGGGAAAGTGATGCCTCCCCCGCTCAGTACGATCGGAGAGGCCGCTTAGATCGAATTAGATCGATACGACCGACTTCAATGCCCTGTCTAGCGTGTCTCTTAGAGCGCAGACAGTGGGTTCATCGAATATGTCAACCGTAGGTGTCATATCAAGAAGGGCGTAGCTCACCCGGCCGGAAGCAATCGAGACGTCGACCCTGCAAACCAAGACGCATCATCTCCACCTGTAATCGTGATGCTTCCGTCAAGAACCTCGTACTTTATCACGAAACCGGAGAATCGTTCGTGTGCGTTGATAACAAGTCTTTTCTACACTGACGGCGCCACGACCCAGAATGGTCCGAACGTGTGTATCGTTGAATCGAATTCGTCTACCAAGACAAAATCATGCTGAATTGCAAGGTCGAACCACTTCTCGGAATTTGAACATATTTTGTATTCCTTGCAATCCGATAGACTCAGCGACTTTCAAAGAGTGTCATGACACATCTGCTCTTCATCGCGTTGCAACAACTATGCGACTACCGTGTCTCAATCGGGTTCGTAGCTCGTGTCGTAGTCCTTCGCGGGATCTTCATAGACGAAAATAGTTGTCGCATTACTCGATAGACTATGGTGAGACAGCGTTTGGCTTGCGACACTATGGTTCGAAGCCGGCGAGTGTTCACTACTATCCGATGATTCGGTACTCGATTCTCTTCTCAAGAGCCGCATTCGATCGTCTCGATCTCGAAGACTCGGTAGAAGCACGTCGAAGACATTCTCGACGTGTAGTCCTCTCAACTTTGCGGTTTGGAAAGCCCTTTCAAGCCACTCAGTAGCTGCCGTGTGGCCTCTCTTTCGATAATACGCAAGCGCCAGATTTGCAGGAAAGTTGATAATGTTAGCGCCCCAAGCTCCCATGTCTGGTTGCAAGCAATAAGAAACACATCGGCAGATATTGACCGCTTGAGTTTCCGCGTCGAAAAGCTCCTTCAGCAGTGCGTGGTCGACAGAGCTCAGTCGTTTTTGATCTCGGAGATAAAGAGCGTGCAAGATCTCATTCCCCACTTCGCTCAATGCTAGCGAACATGTATAATAGACCAGGCGTGCGTGGGCGAACAAGTGATTTTCGAACCACAAGTCGGTGGCAAAAGGGTAAGTAGGCTTCTCGATTGGATCGTGTTCTACGACCCGTGGCGTCGCGCCCTTCTTTGTGCCATCCCTCCATCTATTGATTCTTGTCTGCAGGTCTCTGCATTCATCCAACAGCTGAGCAAGGTCCGGGGTCGTGTCAAAATGATACCCCTGGAGAATATCGAATTTCTCCAAGATGCCCGGGATGAAAGTGCCCAGGTCAACCATCCTATCAAAATATGTCCTGTGCTGGAACTCCCAGGGTACTGTTCGCCATTCTTCAGTAGCCAAGTAGGTTGCTTTCCTCTGTAGAATGGCAGCATATATTGTGGGGATCCTCGAAGCCAGGAAAGGGTGATGACCATTCCAATTCTGATGAGCCTTAGCACCTCGAAGTTGGATCAGTCGAGCCGCTCCTGTGGCGTGTGCCACCCAAGTTCGTGAATTGAATGCCGGACCCTCAAAGACTTCATAAAGCCCCAACAGCATACACGCCATGAGGACGTGATCGGAATGCATCCGTTGGGGGTCGAAGAGCGCGAGCTGTAGCTCTTTGAGTGCCTTTCCGTAAAGTTTCGCACTTTCATGAACAAGACGGACGTCTCTGTGGCCTTGACCGACTCTTGAAATGCTCAACGCTGAAAAGGCGTCCGCCAAGGAGATATCTTGTTTTGAGACATTTTGGATAACTTCTGCCCAATTCATGGGGTGGCCACACCGGATTATAAAGTCATCCCGGCATGCTGCATCTCCCTGGGGCATATAGAGGTCCCAAAATAGACTCTTGCATTGTGATTCCACTGCTCCGCGATTGACTGAGCCAGGGAGAGGAACGATAGCGGGCTTGTTACGTCCGACAAAGATGGCGTGTTGGACCTTTTTACTGGCGGGATGAAGAATGAAGGTTCGCTCACGGTCGTAACCACCGCAGATATTGCCACTTGCAGCACATTGACCGCAGATTGGACGTTTCTGATCGCACTAGGTCAAAGAAATGAGCGCGTGTAATCAAATGGTGGCTCTGGCCAAGGTACTTACGCCCTTTTTGCGCCGCCGGCAGGTGCTGCAACCTTTGCTTTTCCCAGGGACTCCAACCATTGCTGTTAAGAGATCAAGCTGCGAGTGCGTGCACCAAGTAGCCAAATATACCTTGCACAAGGAGTGAGACGAGTCTCATCTTGCGATAGAAAGTGCAGGGCGGTCGAGAGGTTTAAGCGGCGCATTGACCGAGCAGGAGCATTCTGATTCAGGTATCGGGGTACACGCTGTCGCATCCCCCAGCGCGCAGGGAAGTGACTGCGGTTGAGATGATCAATACCGTGGGTATGAGATGCCAATAAGTATTCATTCAGTAAGCAAGAGTGCAGTCGCAGTTGAGGGGGGACAGAATTGTAAGGCGGACAAACCGCATCTGGATAGTCCCCGAAAGCCTGGCTGATTGATTCACGTCGGCCGTGTGAGAGAAGTAGTAGGACCTTGATCATGTAATAGGGATGGCTAGATTTAGACCCCACAAGGGCGGAGGAGGGGGAAGGATGCTGAATTAAGCGGCGCATGGCCTAGGCCTCACCAGCCTGTAGGTGGTCCGGGGGCGAATGGAAGCTGAACAATTCCCCGAAATGTCAGGCTTACTCTTTTTTCCATCGATCCCTCCCAGTTGTGTTAGGTGCCAACCTACCGGAAAAAGAGACCGCTAAAACAAACCTTGGGTGTCGTAATTGAGCTCATAGGGCTCGAGGGATGCTTCCGGGGGCAGCGGGGGGTCGATCCCCTTGAAGCGGTCACCAGTCACCGTCCAGTCGGGGTCTGACAAGCTACGTAAGTGGTTCGCCTCGGCACCGGTCGAGTGCCTGTCATTGCTGTCAATGCCAATCAGTGCCCCACCAATTTCCCGGCGTCCCCTGGCGCATGCCGCATGCTGCACCCTGCACGCTGCATGCAGAGTGTCGTGGTGATTGTAAACAAATCACTCGGCCTTCACTTTACCACTCGACCACTATCTTCTCTTCTATACAGTTCAGTAAACTGCTTACGAGTACCATCTTTGCATGGTATTTGCACCATTAGCGATAATTGTAATGGCATAATCAATATTGGCATCACCATGAATCGTCAAGAGTTCGCCCACCTCTTATCCCAGACACAATCGATGATGGCTCCCCCTCGAGCCCCAACAACTACACACCTCATATCCGATTCCTGTCTCCATGGCTCAGCCTCGGCCTCGTCTCCTCCGCTCTCACCTCGACAGAAGTTCCAGGCACATGTACGGACATTGAATGATCAGGCTTCAACCCCTCCTCGAAACGCGTCCACTGTCCCCAAGAGATCCCCAGAGCTACAGCACGTTTCCAGTTTACGTGTCTCATATCGAAAGACTCCCCCTCCGAAAACCCCTTGCCGGGCGAGTCCAACATGGGAAGACAGCGAGTTGACACTCAAAACGTTCAACAACACCCACAATGAGCCATACTTCATCACAGAAGAGCGGGAAGCCTGGAGTAGACAATCCCCATCCAGGACAACTATGCCCTTCGCCGACAATGTCTTCTTCCTGCAGCCACCCGATGCACATAGCCCAATTCTGCAACCAAGCAAACAACTGAGAGAATTACGTCCTTTTGCCCCTCTGGCCCATCCAGTGGATGTGAACGAGAGACCAAAAACTAGTCGAGGGCCAGCACATAGTCACTCGAAATTTACAATCGAAAATGCTGATGCCAACCTCAGAGAGGAAGATCTGTCCGCAAGAGCGTCAAAGTTTGCAGAGGGAAGCATGAATGCACGGTCTGCCGGAATATCTTCTACGTGGCAGGAGCATAGTTCGATCACTAGTTGCTCTGAAACTGAATCAGACGATGATCCAACCCCACGGGCGTCACCACAGCGCTCTTCTATTGATTTGAGCGAGTTCAAACCAGAAACCACAATCGCCCCTACCCTGAAGCAGCGCCTGTTCAAGTTTGGCACGAAAGCCAGGTCAAAAGAGAACACATCAAAGGTCGAGGGGGAACCTGCTGCAAAGAAAAAGAACGGCCTGAGGAAAAGTATGTCGCTATGGAACCTCCATAGTGACAAGAGGAAGGCTGCAGACGGGTCAGAAAGTCCGGAAAAGAAATCCTCCGCATCAAGTCATAATAGCGATCTCGAAGTGCTCAACGATAGAAAGAGACGTGCAGAAGAAGCGTACGCTCAGCAATTTGGCATGAAGAGGAGAAAATCCAACGTGGGCCTAGCTACAGCAACATCAGGCGACCATGCTTTGGAAGAGATGGAAGCCACTACTGGCAGCCAATCTCAGAGCTGGCCAGCACCAAACAATGATAGACGTCCCGGTCAATCTCCATCGAAGATAGTTCCCGCTGACTCCGAGTGGTCTGACAGTCATAATGACCTTGATCATCAGAAACGACCAACCCGCCGGGAATTGGAGAAGGAGAACCAACAGCTACGAGCTTTGTTGAGACAGAAGCAGCAAGAGAAGACTCCTCAGCCAGCATCGTCTTCTTCCCGACAGCATACTCTAACTCCTGGAATAGTCCACGAAGATGACGTCTCCACCGCCAAGTCCTCCGCTAAGAAGCAGAGCCAGAAACAGTCTGGAGCAGCAGCCCCAGCGGTGGCACTATTGCCGGAGCGTGCGGCGTTGAGGACGTTGAGCAACACCACGAATCAGCCGCATGTTAAGAACAAGGGAAACGGTAGTCTGGTTGTAATTTCAACGTCAGACATTATTGACCAACCAAAGCACATGAAAAAGCAGCGCCGGCGTTCGTCTGTTGTTAGAGGCGAAGGGTTTTCACATCCATTCTCTGCCATTCTCGAGGAGGACGAAGAAACGTGGACAGCACAAGCTAGGAAAGAAAACCAATGCTCGACGAACGATACATTCAGTCCAAAGTTAGTACCAGAGATGAACTCAGGAAATGGAATCGTGGACGTTGGGGGAGTAAAGGTCAAAGCTCACGCTGCGCCAATGCAGGGAAAAGGTGTCCAGATGGAGAACTGGGAATGGCCTGACGACGTTTTCTGAAAGAGCTGAGAAGAAGCCGCATGAATCCAAGCCAGAGGCGAGAGGTTGAATGGGGAACGAGGCAGGCACCTTTAACTGATGAGACATGACCGTTGATTGTTTGAGTTCAGGGCGTGGAGGATCGGACATGGAGCATGATGCAATACGAGAATGACATGATGAATCAACGCGGACGGGGCCATGGTCGACGTGCAGGGCATTGGAAAGCAGCATGATTGAGGTGATTGATGTCGAGGGTGTTTGTGGGTTTGATCCCCATTCCTTTTTTCTGCATTTCATATGTTGCATGGCCGAGCGAGTTGGGTGTCTGGGGGCCACAGCAACGTGTCTGGTTTCGATTTGACCCAATGAAGCTGAAGGATTGATATTGACTTGGTTCCGAGACCCGTGCAGCAGCAGCAGCAGCAGCACTGGGGTCTACATCAAGGAACTTCCGCCACGAATTCTGCATGTGAAGGCTCCTTGTTGTCATTTCTATTCTTGCTTGACGTTTACGTACGTACACACAGTAACACACATGGCATGCACGGTGTTGGATAGCATACCACAGCATACCCAGGGTAGTCGCTTAGCGCAGCATCGCATTAGTAACCATAGCGGTAGCGACGTAGGTACAACAAACAGTTATAGCAACACTGAAGGAAGATAGGTACCTAGGTATGCAAACAAGAAACCCCGCGCCATCTCCTCGTCCTGAGTACCTACCTGCCTAGGTATGCATTCGCCGGCAATCCCCAGCGTCGTTGGAACGTCGACCCTTAACTCTCTGGTAGCCGTCCGCATGTATTGTGCCTCGTACCTATGAGGCATTCATGCATACAGGACCCCCTGCGGGCAGGTTGCAGGTGGGTTATTTATAGTACGAGGGCATATACTCGCATTGCTATATATACCCCTTAGAGACCCTTCATGCGCTGTCCAATAAGGAGGGCGAGGCAGGAGAGCTGGCAGTTCCCCGACGGACATTTGGGCCATTGAGACAAGGAGAAAGATGTACGCAGACATAAGTGCATAGATACCTTAGTTATGTACAGGGGCCGATACCCTAGGTAGATTGTGTAACCTCGAAACCCCGAGGATTTTCCTGCTTCCCATTCCATTGCCTTGGTCAGTTCCTTTAGGCTCTTGCTCGGTACATGAAATAGAGAGGAGAGGAGAAGAGACTGGTAGGAAGGAGGTCGTGGTTATGATAAATGTCGCTGGTCAACTAAGATATAAGATAGAGAGGAGGTTATCAACTACCTAGGTATTTACATAATCCCCACATACATTCATTCTTCGCTTCAAACCAATAGTGTCAATATCAATACCATCCTATTTCGTCGGCTCTCCGAAGAAGAAAAGGACATCTTGAACAGCAATCAAAGTACCAGATGAAAAAGTCCAGAGTTGCAATCTGTGTTTAGTGTCTTGAGCAAGTGTTGAGTCCTTAATACCGAGAAGAGGAGATCGCGTAGCTTTTCGGCCATGATACAATGTTGTTTGGCTTCAGTCTTCATTCCTTCCTCGTGATTTGATCAGTTCCAGAACCACCCACCGCCACTCCGTCTGGGTCGCTCATTGCTGTTGGTACTATCTTGCTGTTGCGTTGACTGTGGCTGCCGCTCATGCTCCACCTCCGGCTCCGGCTCGGCCTCAGAAATTGGGATCCTTCGAGGAAATCGCTTCGCATATTGAGACTCTTGCTCTTGCTCTCGCTTGTGTTCCTGATTCTTTTGTTGCCCATCGAGTTCAGATCGAAGGAGACCTTGGGGCTCTCTATAATCCGTCTCAGTGCGGGTGCTCGGGCTGGGATGAGTGACCGTCTCATCGGTCGCTTCTGTTCCATCTGCGAACTGTCGCTTATAGACCACTCTCGACTCAATGGAGCCATCCGGCAACGTGCGGGTGGAGATCGTAGTAGAATGCCCCACCAGAGTCTTGTCATTAGGTCGCATGTCGTTGTCATTAGTGGAGGATAAAGCGGAGGAGTCGAACGAGTAAGACGATCGAGAAGTCGCAGGAAGGGGAGCCCTTGTCTCCTCCTCATTGACAGAACCAACAGCGGCTGGCCCAAGGGCTTCCTGCGCAGCTTCATCATCCGCCGAAATGGTTGCATTTGCGGCAGCACTGCTCTCTTCTGGTTGCTCTTCAGGTGGCGTGACTTCTCCCGCGGAGTTGTTGCGTCGATGACACTGATGGCTCCAGCGCCATCTGGCACAACGGTGTTCCGCGTCTGTAAGAGATTCTGTCGTTCCTACAGTTCTCGGAGGAACCGCCCGTTTGACCAGCATACCGTGCTCGCTAAAGCCCCATCGATTTCCGAGACTGCCCCTGCTCACCATGTCGTGTATCCAGGTCTTAGGGGTTCGCCAAGTATTCCAATTGTCCCTATCAACCATCTTTCCTGTCTGCTGGAGGCTCAACAGGTCCTCAAACGCGTCAGCCCAAGGCTTGTGTTTTGCCAACTTCTCGTCTACGCTCGTATACCATCTCTCGAAGAACTTGGCGCCAGAGATCTGGAATGGCTCGCCTTCCGAGTCTTGGATCTTGACTTTGAAAAGTCGCGATTGTGCAGGATTGCAGAGGTAGATTGGGGAATAAGGGCTGAGCATAAGCCAGGGGAGTGTCTCGTCGGGATTATCGAACGGTTGCATCCGCCGGGCTGCCCAGAGGGAATATGTGGTAGGCGGAGAAATGGGCTTCTCGTTTGGAGCACGGTCTTTAGTCTCGTCAGTGTTGCTGCAGGTGCTGGGCGAATACTTCTCTTTCTGCTTGCCGTCCCAGCCAAGAGCAGAGAACCAAGAATTGGAAGGGCTCTTCTCGGTCGATCTGTGAGCTGGTGCCTCGGGTACTTGCACCTGTTTGTCATCGTTTTTCCGCGGGAGTGCATTATAGGCATCCAATTCGGTCCTGGGATGTCCCGCTTCATCGTACAGAGCAGGACATTTATCCGCGTTATTCTGGGGCTCTTGGCCGTTCAAAGCAGGACAACGGGCAGCTCTGCCTCGAGTCCACCAAGGGGTGTCCTTTGCATCACTCCTGGTCTGCATCGAGTGTTGTCTCCACGCGTCTTCCATCGATCTCCAGGCTTCATTCTTGGATTTTTCCACCTGCTGTCTCATCTCCTCCATCTCCTGCTCGACCTGCTTCCGGAAGCCTTCCTCCCATTCCTGTCTCTGACGCATCAGGTCGTCGACTTCTTGCTTCAGGCGGTCACTGCGGGCACCAGAGACGCCAAACAGCTGGGGAAACCCCGAGAAGAAGGATGAGAATTGCTCGTCAGCAAAGCGGCGGAATAGGATGAATGGGTTCTCGTCGTCCTTGTTGGAGCGAGGATAGGGAGTCTGATAGGTGGGGAATGGATCCATAGGAGGAGGGGCCATGGAGTGGTCCGGGGGCTTTTTGTCGTCTGGCATCTTGTCTGCGGCAGTATCTGAGAATGATTGAAACTAAGGCAAGAGATTATGAAACAGGAACAAAAAGTAACACAAGTAGAGAAGAAGCGTGATGAAACAGAAGCAAGTCGTTGATGCCTGGAGCGGGACGGATGAAGGTGATGACTGCGTGGTCGACGGTCGTGGCTGGACGCGGGGATCGTCGAGTGTCACCATCGCCTGCGGGGTACGCAATGATTGGGTCCGAGCATAGAATGGCTGCTGCGTGGCTCGCTCGGCCGCTACATTGGCCGTCGAATCCGATAGAATAAACACCATACTATCATCGACAGGAGAGAGAGACAATATCGTACATTCACAGCATACAGTGAGCACAAGACTCGATCAAGCTAAGTTCACAGTTTCGCCCGTCCTGGAATCTTTTCCCATGCCTCCTCGAACCCAGCCGATCTCACCCAGTTCGGATCACTCGATTCCACCGAGTCAATTGCCATGTGGCCCAACTTCAGGAACATGTCTCCTTTGATGGGGAAGACATCGTCCCCCTGAGCCTCGAATGGTTTGCAAACTTGCTCGCTGTGTGCAATTGCCCGGACAAGCTTGCTGGCATGGCCATCGTCCGGGAACCTGTCCACTCGACGTATGATTTCTGTCCATCCGTCGCCCGAGTTCTTGGGTTCATAGTTCTTGATTTCGTCGATCAGCAGCTCTGGACATCCCCGCGATACGTATAGCGCAAGATCCATGCGGCCCTTCCATTCCAGCAGTCGACACTTGTCCTCCACCTTCAACCAGGGCTCCTTCAGGAATGCCGAGAAGAAAATGGAGCAGTTGACGCAGTGCATGTAGAAGAAGTCGAACTTGATCTGCTTGGTGGGTTTCTGTGCTGCACCCGCGAAATACACAGCGGCATTGATCATCTCGGCCGTCTTCTGCTCCAGCTCGTCAGGTTTGACGTGCCACTGAGATGCCAATGATATCATTTCATCGGGAGCCCGGACGAAAACACCGTCCCGGACCTTGTTGCCATCTTCCCAGTGAGCCGATGTGCGCAGCTTACGATCTGCACGAGCCTCGTGGATAAGCTGCACCAGGCTTTTCGATGTAGTGTTGCTTTTCGCGGCATCTTCGGCGGCGTGAAGGAATTTCCCCGTCCACCCATCGTGTATTGCTGCCTGGGCAAGGGCTTCGACAATGATAGCTGGCTGCTTGAACTCGACGCCGAACCCGAGATGAATCAGGGGATGTAAGAAGCCTGACATGCGTCAGTATAAGCGGCTAAGCTGACGTCGGTGCAACTCACCAGCAAACATTCTGTCAAGGATCCTCTCAGCATGCTCGCTCCGCGCGAACAACTGCTCGTTCAGAACCTTCTCCCAGCCCTTCTTCTCCATTTCTCTCTGGAAGAACATCTCAAACTCGTGGAAATACTTCTCCTTGCCCAAGAATTCCTTGAATTTGTCAGGATCTGCCAATGCTTCGACTTCCCGATCATCCACCGGGAACTGTGATCTTTGATAAGTCTTGTTGATATCGAAGGCCTTCTGAATTTCTTCGGGGGTGGCTCCTAGGGCATAAATGCTCAAAAGGTGATGGGCGATGTGGTTATGGAAGCCGCCGGTATTGAAGTAGATGTGGAACTTGTCGTGATTTTCCTGAAGCAGCTGGCTTCCGATCTTGCCGGACTCTGCGGGTATATCTGGGACATGGTAGACACCCGCGCCGGCCGGACTCAGCTCAATGTGAGATGCCGTGGCCATAGTTCGTCGCTTGGGTACTTGGAGATGTTGGAATTGACGTAATGGAGACGTTGAGCAGGTAGGACGGATTCTGGTCAAGGGAGCGACAGATGTTGTCCAAGCAGAATAGGATCGGGCGAGCATCGATGCTAAATCCAACGCTTCCTCATTCTACAGTCATGAGCATCTCCTTTTATGTACCTACTCCAATCCTTCACGGGACTTGTTGACGGCGGAATCCAACCTTTGGACAATGAGGTCAGCAGGTATATGGATTGGCCAATAGAATGCCTCGGTCACCGACCATGGAGCAGCGTATACGAAATCCGGGGATGATACTGGTCAGAAGAGTTCGTCTACCATGCGGAGGCGTTGATGGCACCGACTGGTCTCGATCTGCTGCTTGGGTAAGCGAATATCAATCATCGCTTTGCTTCGGCTTCTTTTCGTCCCGAGTCCGTCCAACTCGATACCGTGAGGCTCTGTATCCATGCCTGGGTGCCTGCCTGCCAGGTTCTTCATTAGCTACGTAGTAAGTGGCAAAACAGGCCCTCAAATGAGCTGCCAAAGAGGAGTCCGCAGAGCGGTTTCACAGTCCACAGTGCGCCCATTGTCGATGAGCTGCATGTGCTATTCGTAATACCCGTTCATCACAGAAGCTGTAAGCATTCAAGGGAAAATGCCCCTGACAGCCGCAATGATGCTCGCCATATCTAGCAGATTTACCTTACGCCGGCCCAGGACTCTTCGTCCTATGATGCCACGTCGGTGGATGAGTGCCATCCTTCCAGGGACTACCCTCCTTGTCAGGTCCTTACGCCTTGCCCTTTACCTTACTAACGCCACCGTCGACAACCAAATTCTGGGCCGTCACAAAACCCGCGCCCATCAGGTATTCACAGGCCTCGGTAATATCCTCGGGCAGTCCGGCTCTGTTGGTAGGGTGAACGTTGACATCGTCTTCTTCCAAAGACCAGTCCTCTCCTTTTTCATCCGCTTCCGGATTCTCATGAGTGACCTTGATTCGCCCAGGTGATACCATGTTGACGCGGATGCCAAATTTCTGCAGGGAGACCGCCATACTCTGAGTGAGCCCGAGTAATCCCGCTGTATGAACAAGTCAGTCGTTGGTCTTTGAGACATTGTTCACGAGAGACAATTGTTGGGCTCGGAATTACCTTTGGTCGAAGCATAGCCCTCCTGATTGGGATCCGAGATCATGGCTCGGAAACTACTGACATGGATGATACATGGTCCTGCACTACCGACCTGGGACTCGGGGAGTTTTTTCTTGTCTTCTTGCCTTTCGACTTTCATGAAAGGAATACATGCTTGAGACATGACGAAAGGACCTGTGAGGTTGGTTTCCACATATGCCTGCCACTTGTCCAGGACTGACTCGTCGGCCATGGTCTTTCCATCTGGCCAGTAGGGATATGAGATGCCGGCATTGTTGATCAAAAAGTCGATACGATTGTCAAGGAACTTGGCGGCTTTCTGGACCGTGGAGCGGATGTCCTCGACGCTACGCAGATCGCACTTAGACCAACCGACACGGTCCGAGTGTTCTTTCAAGTGATCCTCAGCTGTGTGTCGAATGTTATCTTCGTTGAGGTCAAGGATGAAAATCTTGTGGCCCCGAGTTGCGAAATGACGAGCCATAGCTCTTCCAATGCCTGGCAAAATGTAAGCAATGTTTCGAGCCCAACAGCTAAACATGAACCCAGGTGCATTGTACCTTGACCGGCACCGCTTATTACGATTCTCGACTGGCCTTCCAACATCTTGATCCTTGGTGGGCAGACGAAATATGGCTAGCTGGTTGGCGTGGTATAGGCTGATAGTATGTTGGGTATGCCTTTCAATAACTCGGCACCTAGTGTTTTTGACTCTCGAGAAGTGAGCAGTCTTTCCAATATTGTCTTCTGGCTACGACACAGATAAAGCAATCGCCAAGGGAATGACACTAAGTTGCATCATGTCCTGTTGGTATATATCACCGTCTGGAGGAAGGCATGCCGAATCGGTGATTTGGAGCCTTCAGTGGCCGGCATGTCACTCCGTCACTCCGTTGTATTGGCAATGACGCAGCACGCGGCGACTTCTGCAGGGTTCAAAGGGACCATGAAGCCCTGTACAGCATTGCGACAGTGAGAAGTCTTTGCTCAGCATCTCTGTGAAGGATACTGTATCCGGCAATAGCCTCTCATAGCAACAAGGATCCAGTGCACACAGACAGTGTTTGGGCTCTTTCGTTCGACGCGCTAGAACGCGTGCGATCGCCACCGCGCCGTGGCAAATACTGACGCACCCGTTGCTGCAGAGCCATGACTTGTCGAACAGCGTCCAAGGACAGTAACTGCGGCGAATAGTCAGAGACGACACCAAGCAAAGCCCCAAGCATCAGTTTCAGGTTGCTGTCCGCCGCAAAGACTTGTCCTTTGTGTCGCAAGGATGGCGCACTTGTTCGACCCAAACAAGCTTCCACTTCTGGGTTGGTCAGGAAGTCGAAGACGTCATTGGCGGCTTCAAAAGCTGATTGATTTCTGAACCGAGAACATTGTCAGAACCGCATCGTCGCTCTGCCCCTAACATATAGCTGAGAGGGCAAATGTCCCCTGCCGCCATCCGAATCAGAATCAGTCTTCGGTCCATGTCTCTTTTCTCAGGATTGATCGCAGCAACGAGAAAGATGGATTCGAGCCCGATGTCCTCAAGGCGCTATGTGCCACATAGTCCGGATGGAGCATTTCCTTATTCCCAGGAAGACCTCACGCCCATGGAGCCAGGGAATGATTCCAACTTTTATGCTGCTCCGCGCTTTGTAACACACATCGACGACAATGCCATCAATAACGTGCGCAAGTATTACGCGCAGGTCCTGCCTCGCAAAGGCCGAATATTGGACTTTTGTTCCAGTTGGATCTCACATTATCCGGCTGAGGTCACCAAGGCAGCATCGGAAGGGGAAGTCGAGGTGCTAGGCACGGGGATGAACCGTGCTGAGCTGAGCAAGAATCCTGTATTGACACACTGGTCTGTGCAAGATCTCAATGAGGATCCAGAGGTACACTTACCTGGCTCGACCGTGGGGAAGTTGGACGCATCGACGTGTGTGGTGTCCATCGACTACCTTACAAAGCCAGTTGAGGTGCTGCAGAGTATTCGAAGGCAGACCAACCCGGGAGGAAAAGTGCATCTGGTCATTTCCAATCGGTGCTTTCCGACCAAAGTGGTCGGAAGGTGGCTCAAGATCGACGAGGATGAGAGGCTCAATATGGTTGGGGACTATCTGTGGTGGAGCGGATGGCGCAATATTGAGATCCAGACGCTGGTGGAAGGATCGTTCATGACAGATCCGCTGTGGGTGGTGAGAGGTGAGAACATTGAGGGCGCTGGCTGAGAGGTTGAGAGGGTGTGCAAGTGGAAGGCGCAGGGAGACTGAGCGAGTCACATAAGGAGGTTGGCTGAGGACAACACCCTTTCTCCTGGGCCTGAAGCTGGACCTCTTCAGGTGTCTCTTTACCTGGGCTTCCCCGACAGGCTCCAGGTAGGTGCCCAACGGACCTTCCCAGCATCAACACAGTGGCCGTTCCTTCATCCGTCGTCAGGCACCAGGCATCCATCACTCAACTCCCCGTTTGGGCCATTGAGCCTTCAAACGCGTCCCCTTCCCAAAATATTTCCCCACCACGTGCCTGATGAGTCTTGAAAGATTCAAGTCATCAGGCACTTTTCTTCTCCTCCTCCTCCTAATCTTGTCCCGTATCTTATCCTCGTCCTCTTCGGCCGTCCTACTTCACCGCTACCATGTGGTTGCTAATACTGTAGCTTACAAGCCCTCGCCCTTCCTCTTAATCAATGGCCGTCGTATTGTCATCCTCCTCCCGAGCTTCCATTTCTTGAATATGTTGTTGAATCATCTTCTCCTGGGCCTGTTTGGGCTCTGGGCCATCTACTTTTTCCTTCTCAAACTCATCCTCTTCAAACTTGTCCTCAACATTATCTTGCCACTCATCATCCGATACCTCCTGATCCCGAGTCTCCCAGACCGTGTCCGTCCATACGCAGACCGCGCCCTGAAAAAGTGCGATGAACTCTGCTACTCTGTTACCCTGGAGCCCAAAGGGCCTCCCGACCGCGGCGTTTACCGCACTGCCATGATCCTCTCCCGTGTCGTCGATCGTGATGTGGTTCCAGAGATTCTTGACCTGGCCGAATTGTGGCAGGATATTCATCTGGCATCAAGAGTCGACCCAGAGCCTTTCAAAGTCACTCAGCGAGAACACAGTGTCGGCGGTCACAGACCAGGCGTGGTCTATGTTGAAGCTGAATTGCCTGCTACATTGCCACCCAAATCATTGCGATCCCTGACATTCAGCACCAGTTCTTGCGATCAAGGTCACAGCAATGAGTTGCAGGATGTCGGGACATACAGAAACAGCAAGACATGGTTTGAAGTTAAGGTCACTCCGCCCGACGCAAAGTCACCCATGAAAGCAGAGCATGTCTTCCACTTTCCACCAAGAAAAATAATCACCAACATTCACGCGGGCCAGGACTTCAAGACTCATACCGTGACCTGGCACTACAACGACGAAGATGAAGAAATCAGAAAGCTCATCAGAACTATGAGTGCAGGATGGAAAGTCGCCATCACGGCGTGGGGACACTATCCTATGTGGGACAACTACGTTCGAAGTGCCAGGATCGACTGCCGGGTTCATACTGTCAGAAAGATGTGAAAGGGCTCATTGCCCAGATGGTGTTTGACCTGGAGACAGATGTACGTTACCAACCCTACCTTTTCAGACAGGTTTGACACAAATGACACTTTGCGCAGAATCCGACAAACGGCTCCACACCATGAAGGTGTTTGTGCGGAACAGTAGTCACTCTTGTGACCTGAGAAGTGACAACTCCGGCAGCCTCTTACAACATCACATTCCAGTTTCATTGTATTGATAGTCAGAGCTGTGCAGCATGATCATGGTTATGGGAGAAGACAAGACAAAAGCGAACACAAGGGTTGCGAGTTCAGTGCTTTCGTAATTCACACTCCTTTGGGCAACAGCAGGCTTGGAGAGACGATGCTGGGTGGGGGACTCAAGTGCTGACGGAGACAGAGGATGGTAATGTTGAGGGCACGCACATGATGATATTGCTAACGGGATTAATGAAGGGTGACATAGGGCTTGTGCTTGTCGACAAAGCGGCTTCAGTTTGAGGCCACTAGGCTGTGTTTTCAATTGATACTCTCCTCTTCACATGATTTGTGCCCTTTGTGCTTCATTCGTTCACTGTTATGCTTCGGTTAACCTCGGTTATCTCGCCTCGCTCTCCCCCCCTTGCACACTCAGCCTCGTCCCATCAGGGAAGAGAGTAATTAAGGAGGATCAAGAGTCAAGGTGCATAAAGCTCTGTTGTTACATGAAATCGATATCGATATCAACCATCCTCATTCCTGCAACTTCCCTCTTGCGATACAACCTTTCGCGCGTGTGTAACTGTAACGGTGCGGCACAAATTCTCAGACTGAGACTGCTATCATATTTCATACTCCATCGTAGACTTCATAATTCGTTTCGACCTTGGCCATGTTCCCCTTATGAATGAACTTTTCCTTTTACCAGGCTCACAACATCCACCTCTGGCAAAGTCAGTGCGTCAGGTAGTCGGCGGTTGCAGTAGGTCCAATCCCTCGCTGATTCCGCTCACCCCATCCCCTCTTTTCCCTCTGACTTCTCGAACCAGGCCCTTGGCTTCTTCAACCTCATATCCATCCATGCATAATTCCTCGGCCAGTCTCTCGGCACGATCCAGGTCACCTGTTTTCACGCACCAACGGGCAAGCCACAGGCGTGCTTTGGAGGTTGTGGCGGTGGTACCTGTGCCAAAGCCATCACCTCCACCTCCACCATCCGCACCACTTATTTCGCCGACATTTTCGGCGTCAGAGGGTGAAGGTGATGATCCTGATGGCGAAGCAGAGGATGCCGAGTACGAGGACATGATTTCTGTATCGTCATCGGCGCCGCCGGCTGCCTCTTGTGCGGCGTCCACTTCCATCTCCCCTTCACCCTCCGCACGCATCTGCGCTCTTCTGGCTCGTCGTTCTTCAGCGGCTGCGGTTTTCCGGTCTTCTTTTTGCTGACGCTTGCGAAGTGCTTTCTCCGCTTTTACAACACTCGTGTGACTTCCGCCAGTCTCCTGTGCGATACAGAGTTCCATGTACTGGACAGCCTCTTTCTCGCCTTCGGGGCCGCCACGTCGTTCGTACAAGAGGGCGATTTCGTACAGGGTTTCCGGATTGAGAAGTTTGCGGGTGGCTTTCTGCTGGTTTGATTTTGTCTGGGGAGTGGATTTCCCAAGTTTTGAGCTTGACATACTGCTGTTTGCATTGAAACTTGACTGCGCAGAAGTGGATTCTTCGAAATACGTTCCTGCAACGAGAGCGCGCTTGAGAGCCTTGATCGCTTGTTCCAGCCGACCCATCTTCGTGTAACAAGTCCCGACAGCATTCCACATTTTGGGGTCATAGGGCCTCAGTCCTGCGGCTCGTTGGTAGTAAAACAAAGCATAAAAGCCCATGTCAAGGACCTCATATGCTTGACCCAGACCATACCAAGCGCGGTAATCCTTACGATTCAGGTCGACGGCACGTCGATAGCTTTCGATGGCGGCGTGTGTGTTTTTCAACTCGACGTACTCGTGGCCCATCAAGGTCCATGCCGATAGAAAGTTTCGGTCCAGTGTAAGGGCGCGTCGGAAGTACATGACTGCCTTCTCGTGCTGGGAGCAAAGAGAGTAATAATTGCCCACCACGCAACAGGTTTCTGGACGGAATTTGTCGACGGAGGTGGCAAGGTGGGCAAGAAACGCAAGCTTAGGTCGGTCACCCATTACATACAGAATGTTGGAGTAGTGGTCGAGCCCATCAAGACGATGAGGGTGGGCTACAAGCAGCTCTTGAAATATGGATGCAGAGGACTCGTATTCTTTGGCGTGGTAGTGGCTGAGAGCAAGTTGCGTGAGTAAGAATGTGGAGGTTGGAAAGTAGTTCAGGAGAATACGGAGGTAATTCAGGGTTGTGGATTGGTCGCTGACCGAGAACAGGTCAACAGAGGCGTAGGCCTGATACATGATGCTCATGAGGTTTTGCGGTAGGACTGAAGGAGAAAGTTGGGAATTCAGGTCGTCGATCGACGACAGTAAGGTTGCCAATTCCTCCCACGCACCCCAGTGGTAGGGGCTGAGTCGCACAGAACGAAGAAGCCATTGCTGTGCAAGTTGCTCCTGTCGCGATTTGGCAAGGATGGTGCCGTACAGATATTCCAGCCATCCTTGAGATCGTTTCAGTTGTGGGTCTGCGGCATCTCGCACTTGGAAATATGCTTCCAATCCTCTCGCCAGTGCTGGAAGCTCTCGATTGACCGTTTGTCCACCATCGGCTGGACCGAGAACCATCTCACTTTCTTCGTCCTTGCGCTTCTCTCCAGCGAGGTATCGCGCATATAGCGCAAGAAACAGAGACTTTTGACTGAGTCGCGGGAACGGACTGACAGCAGTTGTACCGTTCTCTTTCAGTTTACCCTTTGTCCGAGACGGGGTGGATGTAGGTGTTCGCCTCTTCGGCTTGTCGTAGATCGCTAGACCGCCAGCTGGAATTGCCGGAGGTAGGAATACCGCTGTACATCTGTCAAACTCTTTGGTGTCGAAGAATGCTTTCGCTAGCAAGTATTTTGGTGCCTCTTTAGCCTCCAGTGCCGCCTCTTCAGGATCGTCATAACTGGTTGAGAACAATCGATACGAAGACTGGACATTGTTCGTATCTTGCATGGGGGAGTCATCAAAGGGGTCGTCGTCTTCAGGGAGAGAATCGAGAAGCTCCGCCGCCCTAATACACTGGTTAGCAACTGGTTATCTGGGGAGTTTCTTTTGCTCACCATTTTGCCGATTGATACAAACAACGTTCAGAGCATTTTATAGAGACTTCTGTCAGCCTGTCCCTCAGCTCCGATACCACTTCAGCATCGAGTTCGCCCACCGAGCCGAAACTTTCGTTTTGTCGCGGTGCACCCATGCTGTGCTGAGGTAGGTCTGGAGCATGAGGCTGTCTCAAGCGCTCAAGGCATTCAAGGAGGGAAGAGATTGTCAACGAACTTCGAAACTTCTAGGCCACGCAATAATCAGTTGTAGGTGTGTTCGCTGCGTCGAGACTGACAATCACTTTGGTTGCAACGCGTTGTGGAAGGCGTGCGCGACTCGCCGCATGCTCCACCGCGGCTCCATCATACGAGGCAATATCTCAGCCTTGTTCATCAGATATCAGTTGAGCTTGTCCTCATTACCTCTTAGCAACTCCAATCGAGGGCTCGCGGCTTGTTGGACGTTTTTGTACAAATTTCGCTGTTGAATTGATTTGTAGATTCGCCGAACCAACAACCTCATCAATTATGGACATCAAACAGCTGCTCTTGCAGTCGGACAAAAAACCAATCTCTTGTATTGAGATGCATACTTGCGGCGAGCCTACGCGAATTGTCATCGAGGGATACCCAGATCTACACGGAACACTACTTGAGCAGCGTGCTGAAGCCAAAACCAAGCATGACCACATCCGGAAACGAGTCTTGCTGGAGCCTCGTGGGCACTATGACATGTATGGGGCAATACTTCGACCTCAAACAGAGCTCACCATGAGTGATCAAGCTGATATTGGTGTTCTCTTTATGACTAACGATGGCTACTCCACAATGTGTGGTCATGCAACCATTGCATTGGGACGTTTTCTTGTCGACACTCATGATCTCCACATATTCCCCAGAAGAAATGAGATAAAGTACGATCCTCGCACTCGGTATGCCGTCGTCAACCTCCATGCCCCTTGCGGGCTTGTCGAGGTCACCGTACCCACCAATGAAGATGGGTCGGCATCAGACCCTGAACGTCCTGTCTCCTTTGTGTCCGTCCCCTCTTTTGCAAAGGGGGTCAACATCGCAATCCCTGTCCCTGCCTATCTTCGTTGGCCCGAGCTCTCAGGTGACCGAGCGGAAGTACAGGCAGGCTTCGCGTATGGCGGAGCATTTTATTGCATTGTCGCGGTCACAGAGCTAGGATTCACTAATGGCTTGAGTGCCATCGACCTCGAGGCACTGAACCGTGCTACGTGGGGTCTCAAGTCAGCCATCCTGGAGAATCCAGGCCTTTCGTGTTATTACGAGCATAATTCCCAGCCCGAGATGTCCTTCTTATACGGAGTCATTGTCACTGACAAAATGAATGTGCAAAATGAGGCGGTGTCCGGTTCGGAGCTGGGGGTATGCTACTTTGCTGCCCAGGAGATCGACCGGTCCCCATGTGGAAGTGGAGTGGCCGCTCGCGCAGCACTCGCATACCTAGATGGGACTCGCATGATGAACAAATCGTGGGCATATCATTCATTGGTCTCAAAACTCGGATTCGGTCCGCCATTTATCGGGACGATTGTAGAGAGAAAGACGACTGAAGAGATGGAAGTGAGGGTGAAGGTCGAAGGTCAAGCTTACTACACTGGCTTCAGCACTTTCTCCGTGGAAAAGGAAGATCCGCTGGGAGACAGTGGATTCGCTTTCAGAAACCTGGATGTCGCCTGAACATGTTGAAGGACATAAAGGCAATAGCGAAAGCGAGTTCGAGACCTTGGGTGGCATGTTCTGGCTTTCTAGATACCGCAAATCTGCAGAAGATTACGACAGCATTGGACAAGGCTGGCGAGGCTGACGAGGCTGAGATTCCGGTACGGTGGACTTTTGGGTCATCATGTGCAATGACTTCGGCCGGGTGTTTCCGCCACCGGCGTCATCCTCCTGCCGAACATTTGTTCTTTCTGCGACTTGCACAAAAGCCAGACACGCCAGATCAAAGCCATTTGATGCCCCAGGCACACAGAACCCCCTGTCGAGATCGCGGACAGAGTGGCACAATCTATATCTGTCGTGAACTCTGGACTCTGACAAAGATGGCTTGGAATTAAAGTGTACAGTGCGCGCCACAATCCACCTGTCCTTATGAGCATCGCTCTTCAACAAAGCCGCCCGAAATGTCAACGTACGTTTCTCTCGCCCCGTGTTCACAAAGAAATGAATTTTAGGTGAACTCATACCGCAAATAGGAACCGCTACTCGTCTTTAAATCGCCGCACCGCCCCGACCTCCTCCGCGCTTTTCCAAGACTACCCCGGCTCGCGCCCGTCCTCCTCATCCTCCGGACAGCGGCCCAGCAGCTATGCCTATCCCACATCATCACAACCAGCAAATTCCTCTTCTTCACCCTACCTACAGACACCCTACTCCTCCACAAACCACAGCACGCCTCAAAGGCCCTCGTCAGGAGGATTCCGCCCCGCGACGCCCAACTCCAAAGGTCAATACTCCGCCTCGGTCTTAGAGGAACTTGAGTCTCAAAATGAAATCACGCAAACCACGCTCCTGAGTCAAAAGGTCTCGCAGCTCAAGTCCCTCACGGTCGCTATCGGTGATGAAATCCGCGACTCGTCCCAGCTCGCGCAGACGATCAATGATACGTTTGAGAACACGGGCGTGAGGTTACGGGGCACGATGAGGAGGATGCTACGCATGGCAGAGCGGACGGGGGTGGGGTGGAGAGTGTGGGTGGTGTTCTTCATCGCCGTGTGGGCTTTGTTTGCCTACGTGTGGCTATTCTGAGCGGATAACACCCAAGGCTTGAGGGCTTGTGTGAAGAGCCAGAAGGGCAGCCAGCAAGCGAGGGGGCTTCACCTTGCGCTGGGCCATGTACAGAAGCACCCTGACTTGGACCTCGATTCGAACTTGGGCCAGCGAATCTCTGACTGTTTGGAAGGCTTCTGCAGCGCTGATACGCCTCGAAAGGACATTTGAGAGAAGCCTGGTACGGTACCATACGAAGGGATCCCAGACAAGAGGCACGATCCGGCAGACGCCCTCTTTCGAAAAACGACATCATCCGGACTTTTCTCGAAACCAGACTCCAAAGTCCATCACCTTCGGTCGTGGTCACCTGTTCAATCCACGCTCCCGCGAACTCCAAAAACGCATTCATCCCGAGCCCAGAGAACTTTTCTTTTCCCAACGAAACTATAGAGCTGTACATACAACACACTTTCCCATTCCGTTCCTTGTGCGGATCTTCTTTTCCCCTCCCTAGGGCGACAAAACAGGACCACACAGGCAGGACCAGGGGCCACTCAGAGCAAGGCGTTACAGGAGCGAATTTCTACTAATGTTGTACCACACGGATCGAACCAGGCAGGCAGGCAGGCAAGCAGGCACAAAAAGTGAATACGAATTTCTTGGACCTTTGTGTGTGCTTAGTGAATTGATCTCGAATGTGCCGGTGATGATCAGACTGGAGCGGCGTGGTCTGCTGTATTGGCGTCCACGCATCCTGAGGAGGATTCTGTAATGTAATAATACTCATTGATCGAGTGAGTAAGAGGGCCTACATTACTATGCTGCGAACAAAGTACGGGTAAAACGAATGAATCTTCTTGAGCAAAACACGAAGCACCCTCAGAGGGCTCCCGAGTCTCTCTGTGTCAGCAAAACCACCTAGAGACCTTGAACGGGAGTCTCCTCGTGATAAAAGACTACATATTTCTTGCAGTCATCCCGAAACTAATACCTTCCCACGGACCTCCCCCTTTTTCCCCTGCAGGTGGTTCTCATTCAACTCGTCTCCGTGCGCCCAGAAACCGCCCCGTGCGTCTCGCCCTTTGGGGTCCGCTCTGCGAATGGTCTCGACCTTGACTTGTTGAAGATCCCTCACCCGCGCTCGCGCTTGCATTTGTATTTGCGGTAAGGGGTGTATCCCAATCCAGGGCTGCTCCCCCAGGGCGAGCAAATGCGGTGCCCCCAGTGTGAGGGGAGGGGGTGAACAGGCCGCCGCTGGAGGCACCGCTGGAGGCAGGCTGCGTGGCGGTGTCCTGCGTGTCGACATTGTTTCTTCTCCTCGTCGCACGCTGGAACAATGTTCTTCTGGCACCTCCGCTCCCTCCCACAACCGCTGCCGCTGCTCCGTCGAGCCAGTTACGCGCCGCAGCAGCGCGACTTGGGCTTTGATTGTTGTTATCTGCTTCGGGTCGGGCTGCACCGCCTCTGTTCGTAGTCTCCCGTCTAGCCATTTGACCCGCAGCAAAACCACCCCTCAAATCACTGGGGCCGGCAACCGGATCAGGTGTATCCAGTTCGAGGTCGGTGTCGACTTCTTCCTCGTCAACGTCGAGCGGGCTATCCAGCATCGCTGGCGTCTGGGTGAATTGGTGCCTTGCATTCGCATTCGGTGGACCATGAGTGTAATGACGTTGCCGGTTCCCCGACACGATCCTTGCGGCGCGTGTTGCGGCGTCGGGAGTGGGCCTGGCGTGCATTCCGCGCCGGGTCGTTGTCTCTCCTGGTGCTTGAGGTGAAGGCGAAGGTCCTGTGATCCATGGTCCGGAACTGCGAGGCACCGACATACGGACAGAACTGCGAGGAGGCCGTAGATTTTGAGCTTGAACCATTCCAGTCATACTCGGGCCGGCATCTTGACCAGGAAGAATGGAGATATCCATCTCACTCTCATCGAGTTCCGTGTCCGTATGTTCCCAGATTTGCTCATCGTCTGCTTCAGGAACATCGTCATCTAGATCATGCTCGACGATGGCAGCACTGCTGCTCCTCGTAGCGTGGTCGTCAAAGATCTCGTCTTGAGCGAGCATAGCGTCCGCCAAATCCTCGGCATCCCGCTCATCGTAACCATATTCACTTCCTGGAATTGTGAGACGCACGCCAGCAACTGTCGCATGCCTGCCATACCTCCCAGCGGCAGCACGACCTGGGGGATGGCGATTGCTTGGAGGCGGATGGGGCAATTGTTCTTCGTCGTCCGTGTCCGGCTCCCGACGAGTGTCGTAGACCCAGTTGCCGTCCGCGCCTGCGGGATCTGGCGACATTGGTTCGTCATCCTCGTCCTCGTCCTCGTCGTCCTGGTCGTCGGCATCGGGAATTTCGTCGTCAAGGTCCGCTTGCATTGCCTCGTCATCCTCGCCCCCGTCAATTTCATCACCATCTTCCTCCTCAGTTCCTCCATCTTCCTCCCCATCCATGTCCGCCTCATCAGCGTCCGGAATATCCTCATCCAGATCTCGCTCCCCAACCTCCATTTCGCCCTCTCCCGTCTCGTTAAGCCTCGCCAGCCTTTCCTGCTCCTCCGCTTCCTGCGCCAGCCTCTCCTGGAGCTCCACCTCTCTTAATTGCCGATCGACTTCCTCCTTCTCAACCTCTTCCTCCCGTCTCCCCAGCATCGTCTTGGCACACCCTGCCGGCTTGAGCCAACTATAGCCGTACATTGCGATGGCCATTTTCCGTTGGGAGATGGTTCGTTCATCAGAAGAAAGGGCGACAAGTGTGCTGTTCCTGTTGTTGATGTTTGCATGGTGTGGTTTGGGGCGGCGAGAGGACGACGGATGCTGGTGAGGATGTTGATGCTGATGGGATGCTGTCGAAGAGGCCTCGGATGACGAGAATGAAGTGGTGAGAGGCGGGAGCAGGGATGTCGGTGGAGGAGGGAGGAGGGGAAGTGAAGATGTCAGGAACATTGTGATCAATATTGCTTGTGGCGAGTTGTGATGAACATAGACTCAGAATCAGATGTGTGACTTGAGTCGTGTAAAAGGCGACTCCTTCGTGGTCGGTGTGGTTGATCCGTAACGATGGCCCTAAGCATAGAGGCGCACTCTCAGCTTGGTGATCCGTTCTACTGTAACTGTCACCCAGGTCCCCTCTGTGTTTTGGTGCAAAATGTGGTTCGTGGTGTGTAGATTAAAACGCGTCGCGATTTATTTATCGGCTTGTTGTGTTGTGGCAACTTCCATACATTCCGTCAATGGCCGACAACGGTCAGTCCGGCAGATTCCCACGTGTCGCAGAATGAAATACTTGACTAGGAGCGGAGTAATGAAGAGAATTAATTGATCAAGGAAATATGTTGTTTATGTAGCATGAATATTGCTACGGCAGCACGGCCACCAATCAGATATTGCCAATGTTACTTTAACTCGAGATAGTGCAGCCCTGACATTTTAATCACGTTCACTTGATGGAGGCGAGGAGGGCAGCCATCTCGCCATACAGAGAAATTCAAGGGAAGCATGGTATTCAATGATATATATTTTGCTCTGCTATCTACCCGGGGTCCTTGTTGATACAATTCCATTGGCAGTCTGCAGTACCTTCTTCCAATTTTTGCGAATGCGCACCACAATCAACATTTCATTTTCGTCCTGAAGCTTTTTCTTTCAAATGCAAAATCGCTCGAGACCAACTGATACATGTCCGCAGCCTCGTAGCGTCAAAATGCCTCGCACATCAAAGATCGTAAGAACCAAAAGGCATGACCCAGTGCAGATTCCGTCGGTCATCTCATCTCGCATCTCATGATCCGAAAAGCGCTCTTCAGGGTATCTCGCATACTAGCTGATTGCGCTCGCCATGCCAAATCGTGAAAGAATGATAGAAAAGCCGCCCCACCTCCATTTCAGTGTCCACTGCTCCATCTCCTTCCAAACACAACCATTAACGTCGACTTGTCGCTAGAGAAATCATGCAGCGACTTTGATCTCTGGACCACGCTTAAAGTTTTCGGCGGTATGCGCCATGTCGCCCTGCATGTGAGCCTTCTTCTCTTGAGGAGTGGGGACGGCATCATGCTGAGCTCGCTGAATAATGCCGCCGGTTACGGGAAGTATGGATCCCGTGCCCATGAGGAAGCTGTCCACCTGCCGAGCACATTGACGACCTTCATTGATACCCCACACAATGAGAGATTGGCCACGCCGGCAGTCACCGGCAGCAAATACACCCGGAAGGTTGGTGTTGTACATGTTCTTTGGTGTCTTGATGTTCTTGCGTGGATCGAGCTCCACTTGGCCTTCAAAGAGACGGTCGTCGGGACCAAGGAAACCCATGGAGAGAAGCACCAGATCAGCTGGGAAGTACTCCTCGCTCCCCTCTCTGGGTTTCATATCCCACCCACCAGTTGCACTTTTTGTCCAATCCACACGAGTCGTGTTAATGCCGACTACACGGCCATCCTCGACCACGAAATCTTTCGTCATCACACAGTATTCACGAGGATCTTTCCCGTAGTGTTGCTTGACTTCTGTGTGACCGTAGTCTACACGGTAGATTCTTGGCCACTGAGGCCATGGGTTGTCGCGAGCACGTTCTGGCGGCGGCTGAGGCAAGAGCTCGAAGTTGGTGATGGACTTGGCTCCGTGTCGGATGGACGTGCCGATGCAGTCATTGCCGGTATCTCCGCCGCCGATGACAATAACGTGCTTATCTTTAGCAGTGATGTAATGACCATCACCCAACTGCGAGTCAAGCAGAGACTTTGTGTTGGCGTGCAAGAACTCCATCGCAAAGTGGATCCCTTCAGCTTCTCGGTTCTTGATCTTGAGGTCACGAGGTACCTGGGCACCGGTGGAGATGACAACCGCGTCGTTGCTTTGGCGCAGCGACTCGAGACTAACCTTCTCGCCTGGACCTACCATGACCCCGGTCTCGAATTTGACGCCCTCGTCGGCCATGAGATCAACTCGTCGTTGAACAATTCGCTTGTCGAGTTTCATGTTGGGGATGCCGTACATCAGTAAGCCGCCAACGCGATCGGACTTCTCGTAAACCGTGACAGTATGGCCGACACGGTTAAGCTGGTCGGCCGCAGCGAGACCTGCTGGGCCAGAACCAATGATAGCAACCTTCTTGCCGGTTCGTTCTGTTGGTGGGTTAGGCACCATCCAGCCCATCTCGAATCCTTTGTCGATGATGGCGCATTCAATGGTCTTGATACCCACTGGGTCTTCGTTGATACCCAACACGCAAGCTCCTTCGCAAGGAGCAGGGCAGACACGGCCAGTGAACTCGGGGAAATTGTTGGTCATCAGTAGGCGGTTGAGAGCATCCTTCCACTGATCTTGAAAGACCAATTCGTTCCATTTCGGTATGATGTTGGAGATGGGACATCCAGTGTCTGACTGGCAGAACGGGACACCACAGTCCATGCATCGAGCAGACTGATATTTCAGTTCATCTTCATTCAGACGCGAATTGAGCTCGGCCCAGTCCTTGACTCGGGTCTTCGCGTTGCGGTATTTCTCGCTTCGACGAGAATATTTCATAAAACCGCGAGTCTTATCAAGAACCAAAGCAGCCTTGTGCTTGGCCTGATCTGCATCACCATTGACACCCTCCTCGATGTCGAGCATGTTCGCCTTCTTCTCCTTGGCCTCTTTCTCGGCAGTGATTTCGCGCTGTTCTTGATGAAGGTTGCGGACAGGGTTGCCTGGCAGAATTGGCAGAGGGTATTCTGCTTTCTTTGCCTCTTCTGCCTTCGCGGCCTGCTCCGCCAACACCCTCTTGTAATCGGTGGGCAGGATTTTGACGAAGCGCGGGAGGGCACGATTGAATTCGAGCAGGATACGAGCTGCCAGTTCCGATCCTGTATAGTGGTGATGGTCCTCGATCATACCTCGTAGGAACGCAATTTCCTCGGGTGTTTCGACGCCAGAGACTTCCACCATTTCCATGTTGATCTTGGAGTGGAAGTCTTGATTCATGTCGAGAACGTACGCGATCCCGCCCGACATGCCGGCTGCGAAATTACGGCCGGTGCCACCAAGGATGACAACACGACCACCGGTCATATACTCACAACCGTGGTCACCCACACCTTCGACAACCGCATTGGCGCCCGAGTTCCGCACTGCGAAGCGCTCGGCAGCGACACCTCTGAAATAGCACGTACCACTTGTGGCACCATAGAGACAGACGTTCCCAATCAGGATGTTCTCCTCGGCTTTGAAAACAGCACTACGAGGAGGGTAGATTATTAGACGGCCGCCTGACAGACCTTTGCCAACGTAGTCATTGGCATCACCTTCCAGCTCGAGGGTAACGCCTGGCGCGAGATAAGCACCGAATGATTGACCGGCAGAGCCTCGGATGTTGACGTGAATGGTGTCTTGAGGGAGACCGGCTTCGCCATAGCGTTTGCTGATCTGGTATGACAACGTGGCGCCTAGTGCACGGTCGGTGTTGACAATGTCCGTCTCGATGCGACACGGTAAGCCCTTCTCCAGAGCAAGCTCGGATTCAGAAATGAGCTTATTGTCCAAGCGAGTGTGCAATTTGTGATCTTGCTTTCGGACGTTGTAAGTCGCAACGCCGGGCCGGATGGAGTGCGCCGGCGTTAGAATGAGAGAAAGATCGATATTCTGGGTTTTGTCCGTGCGAAGATCTTCGCGCACCTTCAGCAGCTCCGCACGTCCAACCATCTCATTGACCGTCCTCAATCCGAGTTGGGCCATGATTGCACGTAGTTCGTTCGCTATGTAGTAGAAGAAGTTGATGACATGCTCAGGATGACCTTCGAACTTCTTTCGGAGCAGAGGGTCTTGGGTAGCGATACCAACCGGACAGGTATTCAAACTGCAGATATCTGTTAGCACATCTGAAAGTCAAGCAGGAAGGGGGTTTGCACGTACTGGCACTTGCGCATCATAATACAGCCCATGGCAATCAAAGGTGTTGTGGCAAAACCCCATTCCTCGGCACCGAGCAGGCAAGCAATCGCAACGTCGCGACCAGTCCGGATCTGGCCGTCAGTCTGTACGATGACACGACCTCGGAGATCATTCAGCACCAGGGTTTGGTGAGTCTCAGCAAGACCAAGTTCCCACGGAAGACCGGCATACTTGATACCAGTCCACCTTGAAGCGCCAGTACCGCCGTCGTGACCAGAGATCAAAATGTGGTCAGCCTTGGCTTTTGCGACACCTGCCGCAACAATACCGACTCCGACCTCAGACACGAGCTTGACGGATACTCTAGCTCGAGGGTTGGAACATTTGAGATCGTAGATCAACTGCTTGAGATCTTCGATCGAGTAGATATCGTGGTGGGGCGGTGGAGAGATGAGACCAACACCAGGAGTAGAATGTCGAGTGCGGGCAATCGGCTCGGAGACCTTGTGGCCCGGCAACTCACCTCCTTCGCCAGGCTTTGCACCTTGGGCCATCTTGATCTGAAGCTCGTCAGAGTCCGCCAGGTAGTTCGACGTGACACCAAATCGACCGGACGCAATCTGTTTAATGGCAGAGCGCATGGAATCACCGTTTTCCATCTGCAGACTTCGTTCTGGGTCTTCGCCGCCTTCACCGGTATTGGACTTGCCCCCGAGTCGGTTCATGGCTACGGCAAGTGTGGAATGTGCCTCCATCGAGATGGAACCATAAGACATGGCACCAGTGACAAAACGTCGCACGATCTCCGTCCACGGCTCAACCTGATCAATCGGGACAGGCGCACGCTGCTCGAAGTCGAAATCAAGCAGGCCACGGAGAGTGCAGTTCTTGATCTGCTCGTACTCTGAAAGAGAGTAGGCCTCGTATGATTTGTCATTTTTGGTTCTGACTGCATCCTGGATATTTGCAATGCTGACCGGGTCATTGATGTGAGGCTGGCCACCATCTCGCCAGTGATACTCGCCAGACTCCGCCAAACCGGGGATTTCTCTGACGTGTCGAGAGGGATAACCCTTCTCGTGGAATGAGAAGGCATCTTGAGCGATGAGTTCGAAAGTCATACCACGCACACGAGTGGCGGTGCCAGCAAAGCAACGGTCGACGACGGTATCATCGATTCCAAGAGCCTCGAAAATTTGGGCACCTTTGTAAGACTGCAGAGTGGAGATTCCCATCTTGCTCATAACCTTCAAGATGCCACCATCGCACGAAGCTTTGTAGTTGGCAATGATTTGTTGATCGGTCAATTTCTTCCTGATGAGCCCCTGTTGATTCATCTTAAGAATGCATTCCATAGCAAGATACGGGTTAATCCCATCGGCACCATAGCCGACGAGCACACACATATGGTGCACCTCTCTTGCCTCTGCTGTTTCGACGATCACAGCCGCGCGAGATCTCCACTTGTTTCGAACCAGGTGATGGTGCACCAGTCCAGTGGCGAGAAGCGCCGACACGGGCACTCTGTCTTCAGATGTTGCTCGATCCGACAGAATGATGACCTTGTCGCCTTCGTCAACCGCCTTCGTCGCTTCGTCACAGATGTCGTCCAGGGCCTTCATGTAGCCATCTACACCCGACCACTTATCAAAAGTGATGTCAATTGTTCTCACAGTCCAATCTGGGTTGTATCGATCAATGTTCTTGATGGCGTTGAACGTCTCGGTCTCGAGAATTGGCGAAGGAAGCAACAGACGGCCACACTGGGTTTCATCCATCTCCAGGAGATTGCCTTGAGGCCCCACATAACACTCAAGAGACATGACGATTGCTTCCCGAATAGGATCTATCGGGGGATTTGTCACCTGGGCGAAGAGTTGTCTGAAGTACTCATACAGGAGTCGGGGTTGCTGTGCAAGGCATGCGAGCGGCGCATCATTGCCCATTGAGCCGAGGGCTTCCTTCGAATCAGCGGCCATAGGTCCAAGCAGCAAACTGACCTGCTCGAACGAATAGCCAAAGGCCCGCAGTCTGGGATCTTCTTGGATGGTGTACTCTGTGAGCTTGAAACTCAAGTCGACCTCCTTGGCGACCGCCTCATACACCTGAGGCATCTTCATCAAGTTCTTGTTAAGCCATTGTTGGAAAGGCTGTCTATTTGCAACGGTGGCTTTGAGCTCAGCATCATCAATAATCCGGCCAGCCTCGGTGTCGACCAAAAGCATTTTTCCTGGTTGCAACCGACCCTTGATGACAACTCGTTCTGGCTCGATGGCAATTGTGCCAACTTCTGAAGCACAGATGATCCTATCGTCGTCCGTCACGTAGTAGCGGCAGGGTCTGAGGCCATTTCGATCCAAGTTGGCACCACAGTACCTGCCGTCCGAGAACGTAAATAGAGCAGGGCCATCCCACGGTTCCATCAAACAAGCAGCGTATTCGTAGAATGCCGCTTTGGCGGGGTCGATGGCCGAGTTACCCTGCCACGCCTCGGGAACCATCATCATGACGGCCTCGGGCAGAGAAAGCACTCTGTTCATTACCAAGAGCTCCAAGACATTGTCAAATGCAGCGGAATCGGATCCTCCATCCTCGACAATGGGGAAGAGCTTCTCTAGCTCCTCGCCGAATAAATCGGACTTCAAGACGCCCTCCCGCGCTCTCATCCAGTTCTTGTTACCTCTGAGCGTATTGATCTCACCATTGTGAGCCAGCCATCGGAGCGGCTGTGATCGGTCCCAAGAGGGAAATGTGTTGGTAGAAAAACGAGAATGGACCAGAGCAAAGTGACCTTCATAGTCCACCGAAACAAGGTCGTGGAAGTATTGGTATACCTGGACCGGAGCCAGCTGTCCCTTGTAGACGATGTTTCTGTTGCTCAGAGAGCAGACATAGAACCAGGGTTTCCACCGCGGATCATGCGAGACAGTCTTTCTTAGGATGTAAAGCCTTCGCTCGAACTCAACGTCGTCAAACTGCTCAGGATCGGTGACTTCAGGTTTGTTGCCAGTGCCGTACGCGGACGCCAGGACGACGAAGGGTTGGAGGATGATGGGCTCGCGCGACAGCGCAGCGGGACCGAGCAGGGTAGAGTCTCGGGGGACCTCCCGCCAGCCCAGAGTGCGCAAACCCAGAGACTGTGCGGCCTCTTCGAAGCTGAGGGTGGCATGTTTCAGCATCTCAGTGTCGGGCTTGAAAAAGAGGTTTCCAGCTGCATATTGGCCTAGAGGAGGTAGCTCTACTCCGACCTCGCGGGCAAAGTTCTTGACGAAGAATTTGTGGGGGATGGATGTCATGACACCGGCACCGTCGCCATCTCGTGCATCTGAACCCACGGCACCCCGATGGGTCATGTTACACAGGAGGTTTCGTGCTGAAGATGTCAGTCATATACCTCATTGCCAGCCTTGAAGTTGGACCTACCATCGCTGATGATCTTGTGGCTTGCCTTGCCCTTGATATTGCTAGAATGTTTGTCAGCAACCCAGATCTGCCGAACAGCTGTTCCTCATTGCGGGCGATTCTTACGCAGCAAAGCCTACACCGCAGGCATCTTTCTCGAGGCTAGGGTCGTACAGGCCTTGCTTCTCGGGCAAAGCCTCACCCCAGCCATAGCCCTTGTCGGGCCGGTATGGAGTGTACTCTTCCTGGACCTCTGATGTATCGATCTCTTGCTTTCTTCGTTCCTCGGCTACTGAGCCCATCCTATGGTCGACTAGCGACAGTGGGTTTTGAAGGAAAGTCTAAGAGGAAGGACGGGCAACAAGTGCTGTCAGGTTGATGGTTGGTTTTGGTGTGTTGGGATGGAAGGGGAAACGCCGCACCAAGGCAGGCTGTAGGATGGTCTGTTGGATGGCAGCGAGGAGGCTGTCTCTCTGTATGGCGAGCTCCAGCACCTGCAATTGTGTGCGGAAGAGGACTGTCAAGTCGAGGCAGTGTCGAGCTGGAGGTAGAGTAAACAGGAGGACAATCGGGTCGAGGGTGGACGAGAGGAAGAAAAGTAGAAATTTGGGTCAGGCAATGCCCGTCTAGCAAGCAAAGGTGTGGGGTTGATTTTCGAAGGCGCTGGTGGTGCGGAACTTTCTGCTCTCGTCACTTAGCGTCAATCCGCGAGGATGAATTGGCCACGGGCAGTGTTGACGACAGGTAGGGTGAAGTGGGTGGCTGCGGAAGGCTGATCCAGGATGTGGTGATACCGGCAATGGGAGGACCAGGACCAGCTTCACTCGGCGGACTAGGTCGAGGATTGTTGTTTACAAAGCAGTGATTGTTCTGGCAGAAAAAAACTTCACTTCAGAGCCCGACTGTGCAGCATCAACTTGCAGCAAGCAGCACGCAGTGCCAGAATAGGCTGGAAACACCATTCAAGGTGGGGAGGCGCCCCAAGCTTGTTAGTGGGGGGGCGCCCTGCTCGGAAGGCAGCACCAGCAGCTGCAGTTGTGCATCATGGGCAGCTTGTTCTAGGGCATCCGATAGGTGCCATTGCGTTATCCAGCCAACCTCTCCATCATGATGCATGTGCTGATAAGAACCGCGCCACCCAATCACCGGCTGCGCTTTTGCACCACATTACATCTTTGAATCTCAAGCTGTCGAGAAAAATTTTTGGCCGTAACCGGCGACCTCCTCCTCAGCCCATCTCCATCAGACCAGCACACTGGCTGGCCGCCGGGGCGACTGGTGCCACTGTTTTCTCATACCTAGGCAGCTAGGCAAGCTTGTCCACCCAGCAGATGCCAGTTCCTGTGTGTCATCGCCCTAGCTGCAACTCCACCTGCAAGAAGTCTAGACGCAGCAGATTTCCCCCATATGCTTCTGCTGCTCGCTTACATGCCAGGCCCAACCAGTGATGACAGGTGTGAAGTGCGCTGCTTGCCATCAACGGCCTTTGCCGCGAGCTTCTCAGACAACCCCGGGACACACGCATTGTCCTACGTACACCGGCACACCTGACAGTCGAAAATCCTCTTCCGGCATTGCCCGGTTCATGACCACGGCAAACAAGGAAAAAAGAAAATTCTCCCGCCCTGGCTTCCTACCAGCATGGAAAGATTCTACCGCAATAATCACGGGCTTCTACCGACCTACAAGGCGGATGACAGACAAGGATTTGATTACCCTAAAGAGCACACACGTCCTGTTGCCATTAGCAATGCGAATTTCGAAAGCGCTGTCACGAGGTTTTCTCTCAGAGAGCTTTCAGCAGGGGACGAGTTGTGCCTTCGTGATGTCGACAGCTACCCATGACCCCCTGCTGCTAGGAAGACGCACCCCACGCTGGGGGGCAGTTCGCCAGCTGGTAACATGCACTTCCGGGGCAGATGGCTGATCAGGTTGCATCAGAAACTCTCCATCCGAAGCGAGCCAGTGCCATGTGCGAATGTGCTGGGTATTTCTGCTCTGGCACCGTGTCACCGTGCTCAGCAGCGAGTCGCAATGGAACGACCAGTCAGATCTCGGCTGATTTACTTTACTCACCCCACCATCGGTTCTCTTGGTAATAAAGCATGCCTTTCAATAGCCTAGCAACCAATCAACATAGCCGACCCGAGCGTGAAGGTATCCATGCTGATTCGGCCACCCAAGAGTCACTCGCCCAGCCGCACTAAAGTCGCCCATCCGAAATCGGACACGGTCATGGTCCTTCTCCCCTGTTCCTGGGCAGACCCTGGTGACCCTGCATGCAGAATGAACACATCAACCCTTCCAAGCTCGAGCCGCATTCAAATTCCCCTTCCTTCATTGGTAGATCTGAAGAGCATTGTGGACCCCTGTTAACTTTGCCCTTTTTCCTTGTGGAGCTTCCCATGGTTGTGGTTGCTGGTTGCTGTTATTAGTCTGTATGTGGAAATATGAATAATGGGCCTAAACACAGCTTGGAATATCCTCGGTCAAATTTCCCAGCCAGCATCTTAGTACTTAAGAGCTTGGGCGGGTTGCCTGGGTGGATTCTGGTCGCTGTTTCACCACAGCCATTGCACCCAAATGAATTGCGCCCAATGTGGCTCGACTCGGCTATGGCGGGTTGCATGGCAATTCTATGTGTCCACGAAATCAGATCTCATTCCTTGGTGTGCGTGAAACCACCTCTGTAGTCGGGGACCTTCGGCCTCAGACGTTCCGACCCTACCATCTCGCAAAGATGCCCATTCCGCTCGAGGAGGCTGACGACGGCCGTGTCTGCTGTGGTAATGATTTCCAGCGCACCGCTTGACCAGCGCAAGTCTCCGTCCATGGCCAAGGGGGAATCATTGACAAGTGGCTGATTGTTCCGGTAGCCATATGTCCATGCTACGGATGGCAGAAGTCCTGTTGGACAGCTCTCGAATGACTACGTCGGGCACTGATTCGATGCACATGAGGCGGCCGGGTTTGATACACAAGTGGCTGGCCTTCTGGAGGAGGAGACCAGAGCGAAGAGCTGTGTTTACGTACATCAGGCTGTGGCCGCACGGGATGGGTTTACTACCAAAGGAAATGAAGTCTCAGGCTATGGATCCTATGAGATGGTATGGCGTGTATGTTGGTAGACTCTGGGAGGGTGCGAGCACACTGTAGTAGACACCCGTTGCCAGGCAGTGCCAGTATCTTGTCCCTCCGTTTGTTTCAAATGATCGAATCACTTCAAGGTTGTGAAGGCTACCAGCCAAGACCAGAATATTTCACGCCAAGGCCCCTTGCATTGTGGACTGCAGGAGAAACATTTCTCCGCATTGATTTTTCGCGTCTGCAAGGTTGGCGCGTCAGTGACACCTTCCCCAGATCGAGCACTGCATGCAAGCAGAGTTGCCATATCCCTTTCCATCATTTTAGATGTTTGCTCTCGGTCTAAAAGTAACTGAGTGGTTCTGGGGCCAGGTTTGAGCTCCTCCATAGCTGCGCAACCTTTCGTGGATATCCCAACCGTGCAACAATACCGCCTGCGCAATGAGTCTCTTCGGATCCTCCACTGCGAATCAGACTCAGCCTGCGAAGCCTCCTCTTTTCAGCTTCAGCAATCCTTCTTCAAACCCGCCGGCCGGTTCGACGTCCCTATTTGGTCAGCCTCAGGCGCAGCAACAACAACAACAACCGCCGCAACCACAACAGAGCAGTCTACCAACATTCAGCTTGGGCGCTCCCAAACCGCAGCCTCAGCAAGCAGGTGGCTTGTTCGGCACTTCTGCGCAGACACAGCAAGGTGGAAGCTTATTCGGGGCTAGTACGCAGCCTCAGCAGCAGCAGCAGCAGCAGCAGCAGCAGCAGTCTGGAGGCCTCTTTGGCGCATCACAGTCCCAGCAACGACCCGGCGGGCTATTCGGTACCTCAACCCAGCCCCAACAACAGAGCGCATTTGGGTTTGGTCAGTCGCAGCAGCAGCCACAGCAGCAGCCACAGCGACCTCTCGACCAGACGCTGAGATTTGGTCAATCACAACAGGGACAACCCGGGCCCCAGTCACTATGGGAGGAAGGTCGCGGCCTCAATGTCTTCAGATCAATACCCGTGCAAATGAACATTGTCAAGAATAAGTGGGATCCCAGCAGTCTATCCTCACCGCTGCGGACATACCTGTACCAGCACGTCGAGAGTGAAACAGATGCACTGAAATACCGCCCGGGACCGGGAGAAGATGAAGACAAGTGGGAAGAAGCAGTTTCCAAAAGACCCGGACCTGACTGGGTACCTCTTCTGGTCCAGGGGTTTTTTCAACTGGGGCGAAAGGCTCAAATACAAATGGAGGCCGTCCAGAGGTGCAACATGATGCTGCAAGAAATAAATACGTCACTCGACATTCAACTGGACAAACACCGCCAAAATGTGGCTACACGGTTAGAAGAGTGTAAGAGAAGACAGGCCGCCGCAGCTCAGCGGACACTGGCACTGGCAGTCAAAGTCCAAATCCTGCGCAATCGAGGCTACGTGATGGACAACGCCGAAGAGGAATTGAAAGCGAAACTGGAGAAGCTGCAACGCGAAGTCTTTGACCCCTCTCTGAATGCCCGAGAGCAGGAGGTCTGGGCGAGGATGTTGGGTATTCGAGAACGCGCGAAGAGACTAAAGTTCGAAATGGAGAAGCTTGCACCAGCGGCCGCTGCTAATGGGGAAGACAACACGTTGGATGAGGAGACAACTAAAGCTGCCAAAAAGGTGAGTCTCTGTGCCTCTGGAGTGCCCAGCGGGCGGAATAAATCTGATCAATGGAAATGGAATTACTGACGTCCTTCGCCTCTGCAGACACTGGAAGCCTACGACATCCAACTTCGACATCTGCAAAAAGAATTGGAGCTTGTGCAGCAAGAGTTCGATGAGTGGGAGACGATATCCAGGGATAGAGATAATGATGTCCCTCGGCGGAGGTAATCGAAAGAAAGGAAGTTGGGGCAAACCGGATGCGAAAAGAGTTGAATGTAAAATTTCTCGCAGTCGCTGAGGCTTGCGAACCGGTTGCAAGAGTCGCACGGAAACCCGAGGCGACGCGAAGTAACAACATCTTGAATAGCGACTGTTGACGATGATTTGGAATCCATGAATTCAGATGATGTTGTCTACATCAAAATCAATGTCTGTGCGAACCAGAGCTCGAGGGTCCCAGCTGCTCTTTTGCTGGGAATCGACAGTCTACAAGCTAATGTACAGAGAGGTTGCCCTCCTTTCTGATCCTCATCTCGCTATCTTGGGGGCTGCCTTTGCCCAGAGCTTGCTCACTGAGCACTGAGTCCCGGATCGCCAACCTCATGCTGCAGGGACAAAATTCGTGTTGGCTCGGTGAAAACTGGTGCTTCCAGGGCGATTGTAAAGATGAATTAATATGGCCTTCTTAGAAGAGTTTGCTCGCCCAATCGACAACGTGCGGCGCTAGTTCCGGGAAAGGCCATTGTCAGCATCCAGTCTTGGTCAATCGATATTTGCGTTTCTCCCTTCCTCAGCAAATTTAGTTCTTTTTGGTTCTCATCCTGTCCTTCTTCTTTGGCCGCGGGCCACCGCCCCTTGTTCCCCTGCGCCAAGATTCCCGAACCGGACGATCTCCCAAGTAAATCTGGCAAAAATGGAGGGCCACGAGGAAGAGTCAAACAGAAAGAGGACGTCACGTACAGAACCAGAGGGCGATGCAGGCGACGGTGAAGAACTGCACCTGCGCCGTGGCTTGGGCCTCGCCCTCGCGGATCTCTTTCTCAGAGAGCTGGTCGTGCGCTGGTTAAGCATGCAGGTCGTTAGCCATGACAAGAGCTATCTAGTAAGGGACGCGTGAAGGAGTGTATGCGACAGGAGACTTACGTCCGCCGAACATGGTGGGCGAACAGAGAGGGTCAGGCTCGTGGCGAGAGCTTCGAGCTTAGGTTGGCTCCTAAGAAGGCCTTGGACTGTAAAGTATGCTGGTGGGAAAATGTCAAACCCTTCGAAAAGCAAGCAGATAGCGGACGCTGGGTGAGAAAGTTCAAGGACTGAAATGAAGACTTCAATTCCAGGTACGGAATCTTCTTGTTCTGATGTCGACGAGTCGTTTGACTTTCCGTTGTTGGAGAAAGTGAAATTTCTCCGCAGTCCGAACCATCCACTTCAAGAGCTTGCAACTCTTGCTGCTCTAAAGAACGGCTTCAGGTGATACTAACGCCCATCTGCTCCAGCTCTTGCTCCGTCGCCAGACTCCTCGTTGTCTGGAAGACCGACATGCAGATGGTCTGTTTCTCGGACTGATTGAGCGGGTTGGCTTACGTTGTTTGAGCATATTCGTCCTCAGTCTGAGCAACACTCGGTTGTAGGAGACGACATTAAATTGAAAAGAGCCTGATCACCAAAACTATCGGTGTCGCAACCATCACGGCGACTTCCAACCGTGATCTGAGACTCCTGAGACCACTTCCTGCATACCGTGGTAGCTTCTCTGTTCCAGTCGTCAGCACCATCTTTAATGAGGCATGGAGCATCGACCTTGCCTCCGTCGTGGTTGCTTTGATCAGAACGGATGTCCGTTGTGGATTTCTGACCATATTGAGGACGGGCCACAAAAAGAGTAAGCGTCGAATAAATTGTGCTCAGTTCCGGCTTCAGCATACTTCTTTTTGATCAAGATTCGCTGTCGCCATCGCCCGAGGAGAGCAGCATGTGCGGTGCCAGCCCCAAAACTTTTGAGAGGTTGGCATTTCAAGTACGACTTTGCCAGAACCGAACGGGCGAGCTCACCCGCGTCTGTGGACGGTGTGGCATTCCATCTCTGATTTATATGCTCCTATACCTTTGGACGAAGATTAGAGCACGCCGTGCGTGATGGCCGACACGGGTGGCCACATGCCACTGGATCCGATTGACTTCCTTCGAAGCTGCGGTAAGTGTAAAGTGTCCTTTGGCCGCTAAGATTATATAGCTGCAAAAAGCGGATCAAGAAGCTTCGACTCGGCTTGAAAGGAATGGAAGACAGTATAGGACGTAAAAGTTTCACATGGGAAAAGTAAAGCAGCGGGCTGATCAGTTTGGGAGGCTCCGCTTCCACATTTTTTCTCGCGCTCACTTCTATCCTACTGACCTAGTCACCGAGGTGAGATACCTATGATGAATGGTTGCTTGGGTTCAAATCGATAATACCGATCTCCAACTCATCGCCCAACACTGCCGGGCCATACCATCACCAGGTCTCTCTGATCCGGTGATATTCCTTTGGGACAAAAGTGTCAGCTTCATTCGAAAATGTGCTCTCTCCCACATCAACACATGTGCTAGTGTCAACAAAATCTAAGTTAATGTTGCCTTGGTCGGTTGCCTTCTAGCTCGCATTGGGCCAAGTTGAAAGCAATGACAGCAAGTAGTCCGAGCGACTGGACAACTCTGTCCGTCCTCCATCATTCACATCTTCCGGGACTTACGGCCTCTTGCTGGGCCGTTTCTATGGCGTGATCAATGCTGGACGTTCTGGAACAGATCATGAGCAAACTGATGGTGCATGTGGGCAAATGCGGACAAAATATTACAACAGTAAGGTTTGCTGGACCTTCTTTGCTACCCAGATCAGCGTTCGCCCGCCCATCGCCGACCCTCAGCCATCCAAGATCTCACGGTGAATGTGCTCGGTCTTCCCAATGGGTGCCCGGAACGGACACTGAAGCCACCGCTAGGAGATCAAACTTGAACCCGACAAGTTGATGTGCATGGAGCGGATGCTGTCAGCTACTAGTTCGGGACATGCTTGCTGTAGTTCCATGCATCCTGTGGCCAGACGGGGAGGCATTCAGTATCAGAGACTCGATCATGCCTCTTGGCCACACTTGACACGGTCTCAATAAAGGGGCGTTTCCTCGTCTTCTTGCACCTTCATTTCGTCGAGACATCCAAACCTTCAAAATGGCCGACAAAGTTGTGGTCCCCTTTGTGTATTTCATTCGCCAACTCTCCGGCGATAGCATGCAGAGCGCCACTTCTGAGAAGGCCATCTCTCCTGAAAGTCTCCTCGTCGCTCTCCACGACCATGGAAGGGTCAACGATGCCATTCGCAGGCAACTTCAAGATACAACCGGGGAAGAGATTCTCGCCATCGCGAAGAAGATCAAAAGACTGCTCGACGTCTGCCTCGTCTTCATGGCCTGGATCATGTTTTTCTTGAATTCTTTCGACCGGGTACGTGGTCTCGATTATTCGTGAGTCCTGGGACACTGGAAGCTAATGCCGCATGCTTGCAGAGCAGTCTTGGAAATGCGCGAGTGATGGGCTTGCAACAGGATTTGAACATGGATTCCAATCAGTACGGCCTCGCCATGATGCTGCTTTTCATTGCATATGTAATGGCCCAGGTGCCCTCAAACTACTACCTGGCAAAGGGACGCCCTTCGATCTATCTCCCTGGTGTGATGGTTCTCTGGGGTTGTGTGTGCACAGCCACCGCTTTCGTGAAGAACGCCTCGCAGTTATACGCCGTGCGCTTCCTTTTAGGTCTGCTGGAGGCACCATTCGGCGCCGGCTGCCTGTTCCTCATCTCGTCCTGGTATACAAGGACTGAGCTTGGACTACGGAGCGCCATCGTTTTGACCGCGCCGATGACGGCGAACGCCTTCTCTGGCCTCATCGCTTTTGGCATCTACGACACGATCGATGGAGCAAAAGGCCTCGAGGGCTGGCGCTGGCTGTATATCGTAGGCGGTGTCAGTACGGTTTTCGTCGCCTGCATCGCTTTTCACGTCCTTCCGGATTTCCCGTTCAACACTCGCTACCTGTCCGAGAAAGAGAGCGCAGTTGCTCAACTGCGGCTGATCGCCGATGGTGTTCAAATTGATGAAAATGCGGGGGGCCGCTGGCGTGGCCTCGTGATGGCCGTCAGCTGCTGGCAGGTCTGGGTTTTTGCAGGGATGTTCTTGCTTTTGACGATCGGCGCGTCGGTACACAACTTCTTTCCCTCCGTCGTCAATACCCTTGGTTTTTCCCGAACCACGACCCTGTGGATGACAGCGCCCCCATATCTTGTTGGGGTTGTCGTCACCATCGCCCACAGTCTGTTCGCCGACCGGCATCGAAACGCTTCTTTCCATGTTATTGGGCCGGCCGCGCTGGCAACGCTCGGTTTCTTGCTGTTCTTGCTCGACCAAACGTCCGCACGACGTGGCGTGTGGGTCCGCTATGCTGCAACTTTCCTGATGATTGTGGGCTCCCATTCTGGGTATCCGGTCGTTCTCTCTTGGGCACAGAAGACGATACGCCGACCTAGAGAGATGCGAGCTTGCGCCATCGCCATCGTCAATGCCTCAGGAAGCATATCACAGGTGAGTCGAAGTAAATCCACCAGCCATCAATGAGCCAAGAAGAAAGATTGACCACGAGAACCCTTCCTTCGAACACTACCCTCTTGAATTTGACCCCTTGTCTATCATGTGTACAGACTCTAGCGGCAGTCCGTGATGCTGACTCACGCTCGCAGATCATAACTTCCGAATTGTATCCGAACCGATGGGCGCCAAGGTATGTCCAGTCAATGTCCCTGAATACGTCGTGCGCGCTAGGAGCGATATTACTTGCGATCTTTATGCGTACGATGCTACGACGTCAGAACAAGAGACTGGACAGAGAAGAAGCAGCTGCCAACGGTGCGAGACAGGACTTCCCAGGTACAGATGCGGCGCGGCAGGCGGCAGGACCTTCGTGGAGGTACATCACTTGACATGACGATTTCTGGACTCGGCCACAGGTCGCCCGATGCCACGAGGATGAGGCTGAGGCTTGCAGGCGTTGAAATTTTGCAACCTATGCTTTCTGGACGGTTCATAAAGCCACTTGCTGTTGAGAATCCGTCACACAAATTTCTTTCCTAGCCAACAGTCGCGGGCCCAAATGAGTCGTCATTACCTAATTTACTAAACACGGGAACAAGCGAGCCGTCTCTGTGGCATTGCCCCTGAGTGGCAGATGTCAGGGGTTCGAGCCAACCACGAGTTGGACTTTTTGATCAGCCCTGATCATGATGGGTTGGTTTATTGGCCTCGCCGTGCTGCTCATTTCATCCACCCTGCGCAGCTCGCCAGCCAAGACAAATTCCCTGCTCGAAAGACGCAATCTATTGGGGGCAAGTTGGGCGCCGTGCAACAGTGGCCAAAATCGCCTTGTCGCTCTGAACGGCTGGCTCCATTGTGTCTTCTATGCGCCACTACCAAAGGATCTACCCCAGGGGCGGAAATGGAACGGACTGATTTGGTCCGGATCCAGCCAGTCCGGGCGGGTTAGGCTGCTATGGGGGCCAATTCTTTTGCCATCCGCAATTTCGAGCATTGGAGCCGCCAGTTTCGTGGCCTAAACTTCAACGTGCCTATCGCATTCATCTTCGAAGATCGTGGAGTGTGCCGCCGTTCGAGGCTCAGCCAGCGGTGAAAACAGCTGGTCGCCTGAAAACCTGACGCTTCCATTGTTTGGCCCGCGTCAATGGAAAGGTAGGACATGAAGCACCCCACTCTGCGAGACAGAGGTGCGATGGCCGCCTGCATCTTAAAAATGCGACGGTATGTGCAAGAGGTCTGCCGCACCTGGCAAAGGCTAGCCTCGCACCTAGCGAACTGCATCTCAGCCTTTGCCCCTGTCAAAGTTGCACTTCAGTGCTTTTGCGGCGAAGGCGAGAGCTGCGCACTTTTCACGCTCTCGAGATTTAAGAGAGACTCCCAGTCTTTGTTTCTCGAACGCGCCCTATACGACACACGCGAATAACAGGTGCACCTGTGCCACTACTCGCAGATGTCGTACCCAAGTGCGACGGCAGCCGTCTCTCCCTCGGCTCCAGTCCGCGACTCCACGACAACTTCAAGCGCGTCGACAGAAAAGTATCCAGCACACACCTCCGCAGACCAACAGTTTCCTGAAGTCGTGGCCCAGCCTCCACTCCAACCTCACCAGCAAGCAGACCCTGTCTATCAACAGCAACCCTACCATTATACAGATAGCTACACGCCGGAAGCAGTCCCGACGGCATCACGTCCTCTTCGACCCAACCCTTGGGGCCTCTCGCCGCTCGCATTTGGACTGTTGGTGGGAGCAATTACCGCGGTTGTGGTAGGCGGTGCCGTGGGTGGTGGTGTTGCGGGAGCGCTATCAGGGAAGAATTCTAACTCATCAAGGTAAGAAGAACTTGTTCTCATCCAGGCAGTTCAATAGGCTGAATATAGTCGAGTCCACAAGTTTCAACAGTGACCGTCACTTCAGGTGCCACAACAACACCAACACCATCCTCTTCCGCAACCTCCTCCGGTCTCCCCTCCCCCTCGTCCTTGGAAAATTTTGTCGTGCCTGAACCCTACTACGTCGATACGCTGCAAGACCCTGGCTGTGCAGACGGCAACTCCCGCATCGACGTTCAACACAACACCTCTTTCAATATCCTTTGCGGTGTCGACATGTTAAACCACGTTGCCGACGAGAACAATCCAGATTTACAGGTCGCTGACGTCGTGGGTTTGTTCGCTTACAGCCTGATCGACTGTCTGTACGCCTGCTCGAACATGATATATTTCACCCAGGTATATGGTCAAGATTATGCAGGTGGGAACATGCAGACGTGTGCTGGGGTCACCTGGGACTATCAGATGGCACAGAGCAACTCGTCAAATCAGGCCAATTGCTGGTAAGTGTTGCGGCTGATTCAGTTAAAAATTTCATTTTTATAAGTTTGTAACTTCAATTAGGCTGAAGAACGGGACCACAAATCCGGGCTTCCAGTGCAATACGTGCATCAGTGGTAAGCTGGTCACCTGAATCAGAGACGAAGGCATGCATTGGTATCTCAAGCGGCGTTGAAAGGGTGGGAATAACTGAATCTGGCGTTTGAACTGCCTTGAAAATATGAATGACTCCAGACAACGACCGGATGGTATGGGCATTGGCAAACTGGCCAGACGTAGATTCTTGGCCCTTTGCTCGTGTCTTGAATATGGCATGGTTCCGTACATTAAATGGCTTTGCATCAGAACCCTGGAAAGATTGAACAACGCTGTCAGATTGCTTCTAGGTCAATTGTACAACGGCAGTCGAGACCCCATCTCTCTGGTTTCCATTAGCCAATAGGAAAGCAAGATTTGAACGATGACGATTCAGTACTGTTCACGTGATATGTTTACATGACTCGCCCGGCGTGCTTGGCGTCCGACTTCATTCCTGTTGTCGCTTGCAACTGTCGCTACTTCATTGTCTTCGAATTCACAATTTTTCACAGAGCTTGATCATCTAGACGTGCCTGTCCTACAATCTGACCAGTCAACACCCTTTTGTGATCTCCCTCACCTCACCAAGCTTATTTCATCCTCAGTTGCGCCGACAATCATGAGTGACTTCGGCGATGAAGGACCACCCCCCGATGCCGAGGGCCTCGACCGGCCAGACGAGCACGAAGACGAGCTTGACGACCTACACGACGAATTTCAAGATCCTCAACCAGAGCACGACGCTGACACGCGCCCCAACTTGGCCGACGACTCTGACGACGAATCGCTCCTCTCTGAAGTCGATGAAGCCCAATTCGCGGATTTCGACCCCAAAGCCGTCGAGGTCGCCCCCGACTTTGACACGCTGAACAAGTCTATCAAGGTGAAGAAGAGGAAGAGAGCCGAGGGCGAAGAACCTGCGCCAAAGAAGAAGAAAGAGCGGAGGAGGGACAAGAAGTCACGACGAGCAGAGAGTGAGGCGCTTTCGGGTGGCGACCAGGTCGAGGGCAAGAGGAGGTCGCACAAACCCAAGGCGGCCAATGGAGAAACTCAGCGACGTGCGCAGGTGGAGATCAACGAAGATGACCTGACACCTGAGGAACGCAGAAGACGGGCGTTGGACAGGGCTATGGACGCCGCGGTCAAGAGATCGTCAGGCAAGAGGATGAGAAAGGGCGAGATTGTGAGTTTCCCCAGAGCAATCATGCCGCCATCCGGTAACTAATGAAGCCCAGGACCTCGAGCAAGCGGCGGACGCAGAGATCGAGGACTTGCGCAACCGCATGATAACGGCCGCCGAAACGGACGGAGAGCTGGTGCGACAAGGTTTGCCAGCCTCTCAGAAACTCAAGATGCTGCCCGAAGTGGTGAGCCTGCTCAACCGGAACACTTACGTCCAATCCATCTTGGACCCAGAAATGAATCTCCTGGAGGCAGTACGATTTTTCCTGGAGCCGCTGACCGACGGCAGTCTCCCGGCGTACAACATCCAGCGCGAGTTGTTCGCCGCTCTCTCCAAGTTGCCTATGAACAAGGAGACTCTGATCTCTTCTGGCATCGGCAAGGTCATTTTGTTCTATCGCAAATCCAAAAAGGCCGAACCGGCAATCAAACGACAGGCCACCAAGCTCATGGAGGACTGGTCGCGGCCTATTCTGGGTCGTAGCGACGACCACACGAAGAAGGTCTGGGCCACGGCGACTTATGATCCAACAAAGAGACGAGAGGCCGCTCCCGCCGCGATTCCCAAGCCGAAATCCAACCTTGCTCCTGGTGAGAGAGTGAGCAATAGGGCCAGGGTGCAGACGAGTCATTTGAACTTCCACATCGTACCCCAGGTCTCGTCTACTGTGCCACATCGCTAGGGAGCGGGCGGGGGAAGGATTGACAGTCACAGGCTCAGCTGCAGCTTTTTGGTGGCTCGGGTCACGCCACACAGCACCGTCTGATATTCAGATCTTAAACATCTCGGCTTTGCGACCAACGGCGTTGCAATAAGACAAAATCGCTGAGGGCAGTCCGCTCCAGTGCGGTGATTCGTGCTGTCTAAGGATAAATCCAATGTTACTTGGAAACTCATCCTCGTGCTTCGCTTCTATGTATTCATGATCTTCTCCATGACTCTTCTCATTTTCCTTCCTAGCGTCCCCGTAATCGAACAGGTCTCAAGCTTCCTGGTAACAAGACCGGAACAAGCATGTCCGAACCCAATCCATCCGTATCACAAAGTCCACTCACTGCACGTGCCTTGTCCAGCAACAACGTTGACCCCCCTTCGCGCACGGCGTTAAAGACCATCTAGCCAGTTCTTCGTCAGTGGGAAGCATGGGATCGTGCTCAACTCCTTTCGCGAGCTCAATTCGTGCATCTAGCCTTCTCAACCTCGTTTCACGTTCAGAAACCGTGGCACGCGCGCAAGATGAGCGGTTCGGTATCGGCCAGGAAGAAGTGCCACCTTGACTATAATGGTGATAGCGATCCTAGATGCATTTTAGCAAGTTTGGATGGGTTGTTTGTTTTCGTTGCTCAATTCTTGATTTGCACAGAGGAGCGATGGAGAGCCATGAATAGCGTTTGCCAACCCGAGGGCTGTCAACAAATCCATTTTGACATATTATTTGATCGGGTTCCAGGAGATCTTGCACCTAGTGGCTGTTTGCTTGGGATGATCTGCAAGGTATCCTTCGACAATACGTTGAGGCTGCGCTGAACTAGATGCCTAGCAAGGTGGCAAGTTCTATCGCGGGGACGACAGACTAGGGCCACCTTGTGCCCGCTGTGCACTACTCAGGGTTGGTCAGGCGTATCAGGGTCAAAATCGCCATGGGGCTCCTGATTGTTTATCAATTCCCTCACAAAAAAAGTGGTAAAACCTTCATGTTCTGTAGCATTTCATTCTGGGTCTGTGTGTATTGTCTCAGTCATTACTGCATTGGCAGAACGAAACAGAAGGTTTAGGTACCACGGATTAAATAACTATACAAAAACGACGTTGAATTGTATTAGGAACAAGGTACCAGACGAGGATAAATCATTCCCGAGGTATTTACTTCCTCGACCGTAACCGGCCTCAAGCAACACCCCACGAATATCCTCGTCGCTATTCCTCTGTTCGCGCTACCGTTTCCGCAAACGATGTCGACTATTCGACTTTGTTTTGCAGATTAAGAGTTAGATTTCATGCCAATCTTCGTTGGGGAATCCTAGCCTTACTCTTGGCTCGAACCAGTGAAAATCGATTCATCCAGATCTTCGAAGCCGAACGGAACCTCTTACCTCTTCGCCACAATGGCTATATTCACCTCGGAAGGCACAATAGACACAACAAAACCATCTAGCGCCAAGTTCGATATCCTGTATATCAAACTACTCGGTCGTATTTTTGGTGGATGAAGGGGCCACACGGGTGACATTCTACCTGGTCCTGGAGCTGGCTGAGAGGCGTTCGATGGAGAGCCAGATAGGCCTGGTCTACGGCCTGTTTGATTTCCCAGTCTCAGAGAGGTTAAAAAGCAGATGGTCGTCGCGAGAACGAGGCCGGCAAAATGTTCCTAGTATAGGCTATAGTCGGCTCTGAAACTTGGGCTTGGGGATCGAGGTTGGAATGTCTATTTCCCCACGTAGATAATGGTCGCTGATTTGCTCCGGGGTGCGGGGAAGCGTCGGAGAATGGCCGAGGCGGGCTAACCACTTCCCGCTTCCGGTTAGCTTATGCCTCCTACACGGCTCGACGGGGGCACATTTGGTTTCTGGGGGAAGGACTCAAAAGTATCTTGCTGTGAGGTGAACAAAGTCAATTGTGAGCCGCTCCACGCTTACTCCAGATTGAGCGCGGAAGCCTCCATTGACATGCAGCTCCGTGCTGGAAATGGCATCGGCCCTTTTGTCTCTTCGCGACGACTTCTCCAGGTTATATACTTCACAGGCTAATTAGATAGGAAGTAGGCAATTATCGATATAAACCCGACATGTCCTGATGATTCGCGCAGATGCCATCCCTCTATCTCGTCCGCCCGCACGTTCTCTTTGACGCCCACCCACTATCGCGCTCTTTGTCACAATGTCGATCGAGAAAACCAATCTCGAAAAGGAGATCGGTGTCACTCAACTCGAGACCGCCGACTCTCGTGGCCATAGCGAGATTGACGCAGTCCAAGCCCTAGGCAAGACAGCCAAGGTCGTGCAGATTCAGGACTCCCGGTTCGCTGCCGTCATTGCCCGGAACAAATATGCGGCCTCTCCGTTTTCCAAGTCGCTCCTGCGCCTGTATCCCATCCTATTCGTGGCCTTCATGAACTCCGCGGCCAACGGCTTCGATGGCAATACCTTCGGCGGCGTGTCGAGCGTACAGGACTTCCAGAGGCGATTTGGAACCAACGTCGCCGCGAACAACGGTTTCCTTGCGGCCTTGTACATCCTGGGCAACGTACTCGGTAGTTTCATTGCCGGCCCGCTAGCCGATACCCTTGGGCGGCGACGGGGCATGTTCATTGCCAACCTTGTCGTCTTGATAGGAAGCGCGGTCCAGGCTGCCGCCATGCGTCGGCGGGACATGATCGCTGGTCGAATCGTGCTGGGTGTCGGCTCGGTCATGCTTGGACCGTCGTCTCAGTCTTACACGGTGGAGATCTCCCACCCAGCTTACCGAGGTGTGATGATGGGTCTATACAACGGCTGCTACTTCATTGGTCAGTACCTCCTGGTCCTTGGAGTCTTGAAATGCCTCCGCTTATCTGCCTGACAGGTGCGATCGTCTCGACCTGGCTTGAGTACGGCATCGTCAATGACACCAAGGGCGAGCTGAATTGGAGATTGCCCATGGCTGTCCAGGCGGCCCCTTGCCTCATTGTGTTAGCGTTCATCTTCTTCTGTCCGGAGAGCCCACGTTGGCTGATGTCCCGTGGTCGCGAGCAGGAAGCTCATGACATCTTGACCAGGCAAGTGGTGACCTTCCTGTCACAAATCCAAAGCCCCCAGGAGCTAATAAACTTCGACATAGATATCATGGAGAGGGCGATCCAACTCACGAGATCGTGCAACTTGAGATGGACGAGATGCGCAACTGTGTCAACACCAGCGGCAGCGATAAGGTGAGGGAACCACCACCCCCCCCCCCCCCCCCTTTTGACGGTTCTCACGGAAGACTGCCACTGCCAAAAGTTTCTGCTGACCATAGACTTCCTACCACAACAGCGATGGTATGACTACCGCGAACTTTTCAATTCTCGCGGCGCCCGCCACCGGATGTTCCTCGTTCTTTGCGTCGGCTTCTTCGGCCAGATCGATCTTCCACCTACCTCGTACTACATGCCGCTCATGGCGCAAAACGCCGGCGTCACCAGCGAGAGGCAGCGCCTCCTCATGAACGCACTGCAGTCGCCCATCATGACCATAGGTACCCTTCTTGGGGTCAGATTCATCGACATCGCCGGTACGTTGCTCTGCCCATGACATCCATCCGCGACAATGAAACTTGTTTGACGCTCGTCTCAGGCCGTCGCCCCATGCTCATGGGCTCCAGCAGCGTCTGCTCCTTCTGCGTGCTTATGCTCGTGATTTGCTCCGCCTTGCAGAGCAGCCACCACGGTCTTGGCCTGGTGGGTATCAGCTTCGTCTACGTCTTCCTTTTCGCCTTCGCGTTCGTCTGGACACCTTGTCAGGCCCTGTACCCGGCTGAGGTGCTTGCCTATAACGCCCGCGCCAAGGGACTAGCCATGAGCGGCTTGTGGCTGAACATTGTTAGTTTCATCAACACCTATGCGGCTCCAGTCGGGATGACGAATGGCGGATGGAAGTTCTACATTTTGTACCTTTGTGTCGACGTGTTAGGGATTGTCTTTATCTATTTGTTCTTTGTCGAGACCAAAGGCCGATCGTTGGAAGAAATTGGTAAAAGAAATTCCTGTTCCGCCCCTGCATTGCGTTTCCTGAAAGGTACTGACCAAGGATTCTAGATGATATCTTCGCCGACCCACACCCAGTGAAAGCTTCGCTCAGGAAACAAAAAGTAGTGGTTGCCGTGGAGGAGTGAGTGAGGATACACACCGCGGGGGTGCTCTGTTGAGGCTCGGGTCCGCCCCATACCTACGAGAGGGCTGTTTAAGGTGGTCGTTCTGTTACATGGTGCACTTGGCAATGGGCGATGCCAGTTTCTGGTAGGACGCGTAGGAGCCGTATTGTAGGACGAGAGGTCGAGTGGCGCATGCTTGAAAAAACCATTGCCGTTACGACCAGGTGAGGCGTCAAGGCGAGTCCGCGATTGTGATTGTGATTGTGATTGTGCCGCTGGTCTGGGTGGATTTGTTGTATTCGCTGAATGCTGTCTATGCCTCTCTGTTGCTGACGTGCGAACTCCTGGCATGGCTCCGACAAGGCTATCGCGTAGTATGCGAGATAAATACCGTCATCGTGTTGCTGTAGAAGACATGAGTTTTTGATGACTCAGAGCGGCGTGGAGGGACAATGGTTTAGTTAAACATTGAAGATTAGAATCGAAGTGGTTTGGCTGAGTTGAAGCAATGCTAAGGCAGCATTAGTACTGTAAAACAATCTCAAATCCGAGACTTTCAGGCTTTTCATATTGATCATGACAGTAGTTGCCGTGAAGAATGTAATTAACGTATTATGCGAACTCCCGACGTAAAAACATTGCCCAAAAATTGGAAGATCGACGCCCCCCGCCCTCTGGGGAGCTGTCTAGCGAGGTCTATTTCCGCACAGACAACAGGGTTTGATATCTGCGTCCAGGAGCGCGCAGCGATGGATCAACGACCAATTGCCATGCGCTTATCATCAGGGCAGAGGTGCTTGCTGTGAACATGGCCTACCATATGGTGAATTTGAGGCGCAAAAGACTCCTTGTTTCCGGTGGGTGATTGAGACGGTTGTTAGCGGCAACGAGGCATGATGGCGCTGCGATTTTGCGCATGACTTTTTAAACGCGGTGTGTGTTCGCCGGATTCCTTGCTGGTAGTGAGATGAGCATGTTGGGCGCAAACAGAAGGATGCCAGCTTTGTTCAGGGCGCGTGTCTCTCCCTCTCACCCTCTCCCCTCGATTCTCCGATTCCAGGCGACCTTGAGTGTAGGCCTTGTACAGGTCTGTGGCAATGTTCACGAAGATCGCCGAAGGCTCACTTTCAAGTCTCCTGATGGTGGATGCTCAGATATAATACTTTTTCCACAAGACATTGAGGGATCGCCACGAGGTCTGGGGCTGGTCGCCGAAAATATGAAACCTGCTCTTTTTGGAATGCTCAAGGGCGGCGGGTCTCGTCTGTCACGCCATTGTTGTTGCTAGAGGGAACTACATACGTAATTATTAGAGGGAACCTTACTATGAGATGTGTCCCGAGTGTAGCCCGGTTCTTCCGTGGAGATGCTAAAACAGCGCATTTTCTTGGGGACTGCCCCCGGCAAAACGTTGGTCTCGCTCTCGTCGTTCTTAACAGGGAAGGGCTTCTGAGGCTCCTGGCTCGCTGGGTCGTCGGCGGGTGGTTCCGGGCGACCTGGGCCTAGCAAGTTCGTTTCAGCACGAGGCAGCGGGTGGCAGCAGATGGACTGGCAGTGGTGATTAATCAGGCGAAAAGAGACGGGGACCAATGACTGGCACGCCGGGAGTATGTAAGTCCAGCGCTGTGATTCGTAGCAAGACAAGCCCGAACGAGGTTTGACGGAGTGGAAAGCGTGGGATGGACCGGCACCTTCGCACCTTCAGAGCGTTGCCTGATGTCATCGTAGCCCCCGAAGCAGCAAGACGAGGAAGAAGAGGAGAAGCAGCCCGTTTCGACCATTTTGCTCTTCTCGGTATCTCGCTCCGGCTGGTACCAATCGAGCAACTCTGCTGCAACTGGAGCAATTGAGGTCATTTTAATTACTCGGTACCTAGTACTCAGCTCCCGTCTGGCGTTTGTGTTCTATGTGAGAGATTGTTGAGCGTGTATTCTCCGAGACAAGTCCTCCACAGCTTGCTACTGCGTTAGGACGACTTTCCAGTTTCCAGTCTCCAGTCTCCAGTTTCCACAAGAAATTGGTGAAATTGGCTCAACGCACGCTGACTGATTCCGCACCGGCACCAAGCACGTAGCTTATTCATTTACCAGAACAGCCATCTACCATCATACCTAGTAGCTGCCCGCGAATCACACTTCGGTATACCACTTCCGGCGCTCTTCTTGCCCACTGGGTTTTCTGCTAGCTTCACTAATTCGAATTGTTCAGACTACAAGGTATATATCATTAACCCTTCCGTCGCCATCAACTACACCTGCATTCTCCTCTCCCATCAGTCCAAGCATACAACACTCCAAGACGATAGCGACTTAAAAAGTCACCCCTCACCCACACACCATACCTACCCACCTCACCAGTACCTGACATCATCACACCGCAACAACCATGAAGCTCCTCACAAAGGAACAAGAAGCAGAGCACTACCGTCAAACCGTCGTTGGAGGTACCATTGGCGGTCTCGCGGGTCTCGCCGTCGGTTTCGCCGGTGTGGCCTTCGCCCACCGCCGCTACCATTTCTTCCGCAACCTCACTCTCCCCCTCAAAGCATTCCTCGTCACCTCCTCCGGCACATTCACCGGTATCATCAGTGCAGACCACTACTCCCGAGCCTACGAGGCATCTCAAAACCCCAAAGAAATCGAGTACCGCCAGCGCATCTCCGAACAGGCCGAGTTGGAAAAAGCAAACAAAACATGGACTGAGCGGGCAATGGACTTTGGCCGCAAGGAGCGCTACAAGATCGTTTTCGGCTCCTGGGTCGGCTCCATGTTCGCGGCGTTTGCCCTGGTCAACAGAAACAAGTACCTCACCGGCCAGCAAAAGATCGTCCAGGCCAGAGTTTACGCCCAGTTCCTCACGGTCGGTGTCTTGATTGCGACGGCGGCGTTTGAGATTGCCGACCAGAGAAGCGGCCAGGGCCGGTGGGAGACGGTCAGATACATCGACCCCACTGACCCGGAACACAAGCGCATGCTGGAGAAGCAGGTCGAGAGGGACACCACCAGCCAATCCGGGACCGGCAGCGGAAACGACGACCTGTGGAAGGAGATGGTGGAACAGGAGGAACAGAGACTGAAGGCCCGGGAAGAGTATGAAAAGGAGCATCACAAGCGACACAAGAACGGCAACGGCAAGAAGAAGCACGAGCAAGAATAGATGGAGGAGCCCGAAAAATCCTACTACGCCAGCCACGATCTTCGATACCTGACGACTGGTCACTTTTTGTGTACATTACTACAGACCCTGCCGACATCAACCTTTCGACCCCTTAATCCCCGAACTGGATTTTCAAAGCCTGCTCTCCCAATCTGACAAGCGAGAAAAAGTAAGCATTTTGACGGAGTCAACGGAGTATATAGTGCAGCATCCATGACAAAGGAGAAAGTCGGCGTTTGGGATGGGAAGTGGGATATGGGATATGGAAATATCAGCACAGGATTGGTGTGCGGAAACCCAATTTCTTGTTTTTCTAGTTCTAACTAACACTGCAAATCTGATGAGAGCGAGCCACAAAAGTTCCGATTTGCTCTAATGCAGAATAAAGAAACATATACACATACCGAGTATTGGAAGTGAAATGTCTACTCTTTATGTCTTCAAGAATCGTGGTGTTTGTAGACGCGCACACCTCGCCGTCCTAGGACCAGGAAATGACTGTACAAGAGACACTCAAACGTTTGTGTCTGGTAGGTAATATCTACAAACTCCCGAAACGCCGTCGCTTGCTCAGCTGTGAGCGATATGCCTGCTCGTCATAACAAATCCCCCACGAGCACCGCCCATTCTATTCTATTGGTATTGGTACAATATCGTCAATGTCGCACCGGTGCAAAAGCGTGTCAGATCCGAGATCCGAGCACGGACCTGGATGCAACCCTCAATCCCCAGAATCCAGTCAGTCAGTGAGGAGCGTGAACCTGCCGGGCCCGAGAAGATCCTAGCCCCTGGCGAACTCGTGCATCAGCTCCTTGTCCAGCGCCAGCCAATTCTGCGCGATCTGCAGCCCGCGGACCCGCTCCATCTCGATCCGGTGCCAGTCCCACTCGCCGCCTGGCTTGACGTGGACCGCCGTGAGCGGCGCAAGGGGTGCCGACGACGAAATGGCCGCGCCGGTCTTTGCAGCTGCCGTCTCGAGTTTCTCGACGATGCTGTCGGTGGTCCGTAATGTCGCAGGTTCCGGAACTGGGGCCGCAAGGGGGCCTTCTTGAGGCGTGGAGATCAGCGAGGGTTCGGAAGAGGTGCTTGGCTTTTCCGTGTCGGTACGAGGAGGGATCTGAGGCGGTGTCGACTCTTCAGATGATGACGACCATGCAGATATCTCTTTCACCTGGGGCTTGTCTTGTCGGTCCGCGCCATCATCGACTTTTTCGGGTCTGCGCGGCAACCATCCGGCCGTGACAAAGCACCGCTCTGGGGAAACGGTGAATTTGCCCTTCTTCACCACGTACTTGCTCAGCGCCGAAGCCAGGAGGACTTCCTGTTTGCCCTTCGGCGACGCGGGCCGGATGAACCAACTGCCCACGACAATCCACTTGTTGTCCCACGCAAGTATCCTCGAGCGGACCTCGTAGCGCTCGTAGGGTTTGATCTCTTTATGAAATGACGTGTGGACGCTGCCGAGAATCACATTCAGAGGTCCCTTGTGGCCTTCGCGCACGAGGTTCTTATCCCCTTGTTTCAAGCCCGGAACCAACAGCTTCGTCATGAGCACCGTTCGGCTCTCGTCCAGGTCGGAGAAGTAGGTGCTGTTCGATTTATGCAGGTTGTAGTCTGTCTCGAGGAGCGGAGAGCGCGAGAAAATGGAGATGGGCTCGAAAAGAGGGTGGACCGAGTCGGACAACTCTGACTGCGCTTTTATGCTGCGTTGGACCCGTGCTTCTGTGTACCAATTCGTGAACATGCGGTAGAAGAGGCGGGCGTGCCAGGCCAAAGGCAGCGATTTGAGATTAATCAGAGCGAAGAGGAATGCGAGTGTGCGCCACGACAGGAGAGACGAAAGAGGAGGCATGGCGATTGAAGGCATGACAGATGGAGGAACCTTTGTATGTGAAAAGACTGTGCTGTACTTTTTTAACCTATATTGACATTAGAAACTAAGGTGGATCTTGCGCGATCGTCCAAAATGGAAGACAGGTATCGCCGTGTCTATTGTGTATGTGTCTATGGTAGAAAGACAGATGGGGATTGCGACAGCCAAAAGATTGTTCACACGACACGAGTCGTCGGAGAAACTATATGCCGTGGAAGTTCGCCGAGGCTTTTACATGAACAGCGTCAAAAAAGTGAGCAAGTGAATATAAGACACATTTCTTCATGCTGAGCCAAGCTCAATGACTTCACCTGCGTGCTTCGCTACACACTGAGTATAAGTCAACTCGGATCTTAATTGAATGACATTATTACCTTCGATGACAAGCTGGCACGCTCTACCACCAGACGCCTCGGCATTCTCTGTGGTTGATGCTGCTTGGGGGGACTGCCCGATTGCGCAAACGTCCATGAAACTTGAATGCATCATTTGCATGGTTAGATACAAGGTGCATCGTGCCATGAAGAGGTCACCATATCGTGTCTCTTAACCTCATAGACCCAGGCCCAGGAGTGCTCTTCTAGAAGCAGTCCGTTAACCAATCTCTCTTCTCATGCAGATAGACCAGAGTACGAGGTTGCCCTGCAAGTCAATCCTGACCCGAATCCATTTCCATCCTAGTATCTTCCTGTGCGGCCGCTGCATTCGGCAACGAGGAGTGCTAAACTTGCAACCAACTTGGTCAGGTGGCAAGACCTGTGCGGGCACCGTCAACGTTGCTTTGAGTCTGCCTATTCGGAAGCCCGCTCGACAGTGAAGGCCATCCTTGACAAGCTGAAGTGACTCCGGAGGGCTGACAGGGCTCGATCCCTTGATCTGGACCGTGTCCAAGACAGACGACCTTCCGCTCAGGATGTCGCATACGTGCGAACCATTCCAGGCAAGGCTTCAATCTGGTAGACCACATCCAAGACCTCTGGTGGCGATGTAAATGAGTGTCCAGAGTGTGGCTCCCTCCAAGCAACAGGTGATCGGGCATGCCCTCTGCGGCAACTGCGCCTCTCGACCCGGGGTCCAAGCTCTTCCAGCCACCCAACTTTTGTAACCGTGGTATCTCACGCGACATTCCGCAAAATGTCTGCGAGGGCGAGAACTTAACTGCTCCTTCGCCCCTTCCGAGAATGGAGCTGGCGGTGGTAAGCTGGTGGTACTAGCATCTGTCAAGGAGGGATAGAACAAAGGTGGGTGTTTCAAGCTGCTCGACCTGGAGATGCCCCGAGCCAATCAACGGGATGGAGTCTCGGCTCTATGCAGCGGAGTCTAACTGTTTATAGAATAGCGGCTTGTCACCACGCGGCTAACCATTGGCTGCAGTCGACCGCATATTTTCAACCCCTGATCTTCATTCCTGCCCTTTCTTCTCTCTCACAGCTTCAGCCTCCTCCGACCATCTCAGGAGACCCGTCCAAAATGGGTTGCTTTCCTCCTGCGTCATTCCGAGCAACTTAGAATCAAGCCTTATTCGTATCTCCTATCGCCCGTACCCGATCTACGGGCCCCCTCGGACTAATCCCTATTCTGCAGCTTGTGCTTCACATCGAGGTCCACACTCTTCACTCGAGCTCTCTGCCTTGCGGCGAATCAAATATGCACTTTCAAGCTCTCTTTACAAGAGCTGTTCTTGCTCTCCAAAGAGCTCTGTGCTTTGGCTTGGTTGGTCTCAGCTCTCACGGGCCTGTGCTTGCCGACAGGCTCGCCCTCCAGAAGAGTCATCTTAGGCGTCGGTTTGCCACGCGCGAAGGGTAGAATGCATATGTGCCAATAGAATGCGGTGTTTCACGTCCCCCTTGCTCACCGCTAACCCGACCAGCATGACCGCCACTGACCGGGGTGTCGCTTTGGTATCCAGGGGCGGTTTGCCGACCTCTATTATTGTCCAAAGATCTATATAGAAGCCCGCCAAGTCACTTCCTCCATCTTGACCTCCTCCAGAGCTCCTTCTCATCTCATTCATTTTGTCTCACCTGTGGCAGGCTAGTCCTACATTCCTTTGTTGACCTTCCTCTCTTTATCCTGCCCGGAGCAGACCATACGTTCTTTCGGATATCAGTTGACTAGCAAGTCAACGACCGTTCCTTTGTCAGTGACAACCAGGTATTCACAATCCCGTTTACCTTCATTGCTCCCCAGCTGCCTTGTGTCGAGACTGCCTTTGTAATCTGTGATCAGTTGTCCATCTCCATTGTCACTCATTGCGAGCCTGGGCAGTCTATTGTGGAACACTATTGGCTTTGTGCTGGATTGTTTCAAGTTTCCCACTGCCTCCCTTTACTGCCCCCTTTGAGCTATTAAATATTGCAATTTTGGTATTCAGCTTCAAGTTCACCATTACACAAACAACCACTGCTGAAATTTTTCGAAATCTCACACTCTGTTCCGTGCTCAACTGACAAGTGTATCAGTGCGATCTGGCTATTGCCCTGCCCCACACATTCATTTCTATCTCCAAACTCAACTGAAAATTCTCATCGAACATGGCGATCTTTTCGAAGTCTGCGGCTCTTGCTGCGCTTGCCTTCCTGGCGGCGACGGGAGATGCCCACATGATCATGAGGACTCCTGTCCCCTACGGCAAATCAACCCTCAACAACTCACCACTTGCCGCCGACGGCTCTGATTTCCCTTGCAAGCAGCGTACTGGCGTCTACGATGCCGAGGGTGCCAGCAATGTCGCCGCCATCGGTGAGCCACAGACTCTGAGCTTCCTCGGCAGTGCCGTCCATGGTGGTGGTTCCTGTCAAGTCAGTCTCACGACCGATCTCCAACCCACGAAGGACTCCAAGTGGATGGTCATCAAGTCCATCGAAGGCGGCTGTCCTGCCTCCGTTCCCGGCAACCTCCCTGACGATCCCAACGGTACTGGTGCCTCGACTTTCAATTTCACCATTCCTGAAGGGATCGCTCCTGGCGACTACACACTGGCGTGGTCATGGCTCAACAAAGTGGGAAATCGTGAATATTACATGAACTGCGCACCATTCACTGTGACGGCTGGGGTCAACTCGCCTTCTCGACGAACCGCCGGGGTTAACTCGCCTCACTCTCGACAAACTGCGAAGGTAAAGAGACAGACAAGTTTCCCAGATCTGTTTGTAGCCAACCTAGCGAGCATTAATCAATGCGTAACGGTGGAGGGTTTCGATTACCAGTACCCAAATCCCGGCTCCGATGTCCAATCAGCGGGCACGGGACCTTACACCGCCCTGTCATGTGGCTCTGGGAATGGAAATAACACTGCTCAGCAACCCACAGGCTCTCTGCCTTCTGTCTCTGGAACTCCCTCTTCGGCGCCCGCATTTGCCAGTGGCAATGCTGCTGGGCAATCCACCGCTGCTCCAAGCTTGGCACCTGGGAACTTTGCGAGCGGTGCAAATTCGGTACCTCCCTACCCTAATACCACGTCGCCCACTTCCGCTGACCCTCTCCAGGTTGTCCCCGTCACGACTCAAGCCAGCGCTGCTGCAGCGACTCAAACCTCCACTGCAGGCGCATTGACAGGCCCTTGCACAGACGAAGGCGACTGGAACTGCATTGACGGGAGCAGCTTCCAGAGATGCGCCTCGGGCAGCTGGAGCGCAGTCATCCCAATGAATGGAATGGCATGCACTCCTGGAATTTCCTCCGACTTCGTCATGACAGCGGCCAAAGCAAAACGCTGGCAAGCCTAAATCCATCACCTTTTCACTATTGGACAATACAACCGATCTGACGAAAATGATCGATGACGATATGTCGAGGACCATCGGTGTTTGTGGGAAGGCTTTGTCGGAGGGAGGGACTCTTATGAGGATACCCAACTTGTCCTGTCCACTCACTCCATCTGTATGATTTATGAAATTTATTCACTTCTTGTACCGACACGCATGCACAAGCTCTTTGGCGCAGCACCCAAGGGAAACGAATCTCACGGCAAATGCTTGCACATCAGCGAAAGGGCGTTTGATTCGGATGTCACATTCTAAACGGGTTATCAAAACCAGGAAAAGTACCCTAGGAAACTATCTAGGTTTTGGGTGGGCATGTTGCAAGGCTAAAAGCAACGGGGAGTGATTGAACGATTGAGGAATGGAAACGGGAGGAGTCAGGACTGGCAGCCCGTCCAGAACGCCGATGTTCCCAGATAGACATGAATGACAAAAGAGGTTGCAAAACCGAAAATATGGTTTCCAATTCTGTATTTTACTTGATTTTCACGAGTTTCACTGGTGGAGATCTTGGCTCGGTGGTAGATTTCCGAAGCATTTTGCGCGCAGTGCTTTCACTTCAGTAGCAGTAGGTAGTGATCTCGTGGCCAGACTAGGGCTCATCTACATCCTACCCCTCGTCGAAAGCATGCAGATTGCCACGCTTGCTGCCCCTCCGCGGGCTATCATTGTGGCCGGCAAGGCTAGGCGGCTCAGGGGTCTAGCTCGTGAGGCTGACTCAAAATACGAGGCATGAAGTCATCAATTGTCAGAGGTCATCTCGGATCTTCAACTGGAGGTCTGTACCTAGGTATGTGTCAAATGTATTTCTCTTCCCCTTTGCTTTGTGCTTTGCCTGAATTCACCTTTGTACCTCAGTCCGCCTACGCCCCATCCAGATCAAAATGCAAGAGGGACCAGCACGTGGGCGTCGCCGGCTCGCCTATTGCCGTGAAGAGAAAAGCCCACCAAAGCAGCTTTCCATATCGGCACGGGTTCCGAACACAATGCACTTGCCAGCGTCCTCACTTTCCTTTATGCAACAATATTGTGCTGGAGATTGGTGGGCGCTTTATGCTCGCTCTGCAGCTTTGCGCCAGCCAGTCTCTTTTTTTCTTCCCGCCAGAGCTGGCGTCCTCCAGAGGTCTGTGGACCAATGATCTTTTCGTCGATTCTCACGTGTGGTGCTCTTTCCTGTGAAGCTCCTCTCGATTAGAAGTGCCATCGACGAGCTTGACAATGTCCGGTCGAAGCTCTTGCGAAGCTTTTTCTAGCCACTCAAGCCGAGGGACGAGTCCAGCATTGCTTCTGCATCCATCATGACGGATTTCTCTGGATCTATATATACACTCCTACCTTTTCCTCGAGTGTAAAGTGCCAAGGTGAGTTTTGCAGCTGTTGCTTTGTCGTCTGTACTAGCGAACTATGGCTGTGCTTCGGACTGTTCTCACCACGCTCGTCGCCGCCTCGGGGGCTCTTGCCGCTTCACGGCCTTACTCGTCTGCCTACCTCGAGAAACAATTCCCGCAGACCTTCACTGACTCGTACAACATCCTCAAACATGTGGGTGGGATCGGCCCGTATTCAGATCGTGTGGGCTATGGGATCGACCCCAATCCCCCGCAAGGCTGTGCTGTAGACCAGGTCATCATGCTGATGCGCCACGGGGAGCGATACCCGGACACCACGACATACGGGAGGATCGAAGCCGTGCTCAACAAGCTGTATACCGCCGGCGTTTCCCAGTGGTCCGGGGACCTCGCCTTCCTGAGTGACTGGACCTTCTACATCACCGAGCCGGGCTACCTCGAACAGGAGACCTTCTCAGGCCCTTATTCGGGCCTCTTGCACGCCCTGAGACAAGGCACCGAGTATCGCGCTCGCTACGGCCACCTGTGGGACGGCGACTCGGTGGTGCCCATCTTTGCGAGTGACTACGAGCGCGTCATCGAGACGGCGCGCTATTTCGGCATGGGCTTCTTCGGCTACAACTACTCGACCAATGCCGCCATCAATGTGATCTCCGAGAATGCCACCCGCGGAGCAGACAGTCTGACGCCCAGCTGTCCTGCCGACACGGGCTTGCTCGCGTGCTTCTACGCTTCGAGGACTTTGCCGCAGTTCAACGTGGCCGCGGCGAGGTTGAATGCGCAGAATCCAGGCCTCGATCTGAATTCTTCCGACATCGTGACACTGATGAGTAAGATGTCTCTCCTGTTCTAATTGCGGTATATGTCTAGCTTGAGAAAAGAGTCACTAACCCGGTATCATCGAAATACAGGCGTGGCCCCCTACGAGCTCCAAGCTCGTTCCTATTCACCGTGGGTGGACGCGTTCACACTCGACGAATGGGTGGCATTCGGGTACATTCAAGACCTGACCTACTACTATTGTTCGGGGTATGTTGTATGAGTCTTGCACGTCCTGACAACTGCTGACTGACAACTTCCCACCCTTAGCCCTGGAGATCCATATGAGGTCGCAGTCGGCCAAGTCTTTGCGAATGCGTCCCTTGCACTGCTTGAAGCCGGCCCGAGCCACGGCACCATGTGGTGGAACTTGTCAGTACATACAGATCCCAATCGAACCCTGTGCAGAGCTCACTCAAGCTGACCATCCGCTCACCAGCGCCCATGACGCCAACATCACCCCCGTTGTCGCGGCGCTGGGCCTGGACGTGCCCGCGTCACCCCTCCCAAATGACACGATCCCCTTCCCCAACCCGTACCGATCCACCGACATCGTCCCCATGGGCGGGCACCTCGTGCTCGAGCGGCTCTCGTGCAACGCGACCTCGGCCCCGACCGCGGCGGGCGTCTACGTCCGCGCCCTGATCAACGAGGCCGTCGTGCCCTGGCCGACATGCCAGTCCGGGCCGGGCTACTCGTGCCCGCTGGCCAACTACAGCGCCATGATCTCCCGCGCGCCCAACTTTGTGCAGATGTGTAATGTGTCTGCGCTGGGGTTTCCCGAGTACCTCGACTTCTGGTGGAATTTTAACACGACCACCGAGCTGAACTTTCAGAACGGCAGCATTCCCTGGGCGCAGACGTATACCCACGTCAATGGATGATGAAGGGTGCGAGACTTTGGCCTATGGGGTAGAGATTCCTCGCGTTACCATCAATTTGCTCGGATGCCACTAATATTACCATTGTCCACTCGTGGCAAAGGATAATGGTTCGCTAGTCGTCACGTCCTGACTGGGTTCTAATTAGGTGTCTCCCGATAAACGAGCCTCGTTGTACATAGACCGAATCCGTAAATAGAGCAATGATTCAAAGAAAGGGAAAGCCAACATGGCCATTCAACTCCCCACCGTCGTCTTCTGAAGCAAATCTATCCCAGCTTCGCAGCATGTATATATATACACCTCGAATCGTCCATCCCCCCCACAGAGCGAACGAAACAAATGTATACCATGCTGGAAAAAAGGCGCGGTGGCTGCGAATAGCGCAAAAATGTGAAAGGCGGGGGCAGGAGTGAGCCGAGGAGACTGGGAATGCAACCGGTCCCGTGAAACCATTATGATAAATTGGAAAAGCGTAAGTTCGTAGGATGGCGGAGATGAATAGACGGACAGATGGATAGCGCAAGAAACATCGATCCAGCAAAGTCAGGACGTACGGACAGAAAGGAAGGAAGGAGAAGGAGCAAGACAGGTTGCGGAATCCACGATAACACGAAGATCACCGTTGTGGCATAGTTCTCGCTTCGCAGGTCCTTCTCTTCCCTGGCAAGGCTCCCAAGGGGATGATATGCACGTTCCACATTCTCTCATAAAGTCAAGGCTGAACAGTGATTTCACGGCCGATCGTATGGGTAGGTACGCCCTCTTCTCCCTGCTGTGGATGACACTCCCCAATCAACAAAAGTCCATACCTAGGAGCGAGCAATATTCTTTTCTCCTCAACGCCCACCTCCCCGGCATTGCGACTCCCTTAGCCGTATCAAGGTCAAGGCTTCTCCGTCGCGCTCCTCCACGCCCGTTCGAATATCCCCCTTGCCTTCCCCGCGTCATCGGCACTCCCTATCCGCTGCTCCAAAAATCTCTGTAAATCATCCCAAAACTCCTTTGACTCCAGGACGCTCGTTGTTGCCGTCGTCTGCACATCTTCCATGGGCGTGCCTTCTGCACCCGTTTTCTTGCTCTCGGTCTGCGCGCCGCCTGTCTCCGCCGCCGCCGCCGAAGCCTGCTCCGACGCAGTGGTCTCGTCAAGAGGCGCCGTGACGTGAGTCTGAGGCGGGTCAGGAGCGCCGCCCATGACCATCACTCCGAACTCCACCTCCGACGAGCCCGTGGTGGAAGTGATTCCCGACCCCACCAGCGCCTCGGCGACGGTCTGTTTACTGGGCGGTATGGGCTTCTTGTTCAACAGCAATTTGACCTTGTCGAGATTCGGCACCACGCTCGGTCCCCCCAGGGTCGCCTGGATGCGCTCTTTGAGAACCTGGATCGTCACCGTCGCGGGCGGTACGGAGGGGATCACGAGAGTCATGTTCGGGTTGCGCGCGGACTTCAATACCAGCGTGATTGTCGGCGTGGAGGGCTCGGAGCCCGGCGGTGCTGCGGTGACAGGGACCGATTTGGGCGGCGGCGGGTGCGGTGGCGTCGAGAGCTTGGGCAAGGTATACTGCTCACAACAGAAAAAGCTTCGTCAGTGGGTGTAGAGACCTTCTTATCCTGCAATTCTCTTGATCCGTCGCCTTGCCCACAACGGCTTAGCGAGTCCTCCGTGCCAGGCTCACGGTGACTGCAGGGGAGTGGTGCAAGAAACTTACTGGCAGCCGCATCTGAAACGTCTTCGGATCAAAGACATGGTCGGCTTGGTATTTGTTCGGTTTGTTGTCTAGAGCTGTGAGGAATTGCTTCGCGAATTGGAGGTCGCCCATGTTGCCTGCGCGGGCCTGGCGCTCTTCCTCCAGACGACGGAGGGCGTGTTGGAGAGCGAATGCGGCCAGGTTGAGTGGGAATCCGGTACGTGAGCGAGGACAGGTCGAGCTGGACGACGGGCGTTCGTGGGAGAGTCGAGGATCGGGTTGTCGACAGAGGTGGTGGTCAGGACAGCAAGTCGCCGCTGGTGGGAGTTGCGCACATGGAGGTTGGAGAGCTGCATTGACACTGCACTGACATCACCCCGCAAGGCTGAGCGAGGCTGATCCAGGCACAAACAAGACAGAAAATCGGACCTTTTTCAAGACAAGCGATTCGTCTCAAAGTTCCCAAAAGGAATACTGCATTAATTTCTATATAGTAGAAACTTCAAAGGCGAGCTCAAATGGTATCATCGGTAGAAATCATAAATCCCTTCACGTCATGAATACAATAAATATTACCCAACCGAATTCCGACTCCAACTCTAGAAGACAGGAACGATGTTCTCATTATTACCGTCAGTCCCCTCCACGTACCAGGCATGGTGCACCGTCTTCAAACTGCCGAGCCTCTTCAAACTGGTCGAGCGGCTGACACTGCCCATCCTCGAGACGCCCTGTCTCAAGCTCTTGAACCGCGTGATCGTGACCGGCGGGCCTTTGTCCGCACCGTTTACCGACAAATGCTGGTTCCTCTCGACTTCCTCCGACTTGGATCGGGGAATGACGTCGATATGGTCGGGGACGCCAGACTGGAACTCGCTGTCTGAGGGCGTCACGCTGATCTCAGGTTTGACCACTTCTTTCATGCTATCCTGGCTCGAGACCGACGCTCGGTCACGGAGGTCGACCATTTCGAAAGCGTCTTGCTCGTCCTTGCCGCCCACAAACGAGAAGGGAGTCTCAGGACGGTCTGCCTGTTCGCTGCCCGCCGAAAGTTTGGTGTAGGGGGCGTCGCGCTCGCTGCCAGGTCCTTGCATGGCGGAGCTGATCATGTTGATCAGGATCCCGGCGCTTTGTTCCCCGCTCTGGCGAGCTAGTTGCTGACTGGGAAGAGGGGCCGCCGCCGACGGGACCGTCTTGTCCTTCTTGCTGAGACGGCGCGAGAGAGATCGGGCGAGCGAAGAGTTGCGGAACAGCTTGAATTCTTGCTTGGTGGCTTTGCCCACCAGCGGCGAGTCGTCTCCGTAGGTCGTGAACGGGGAGTTGACCGCTCGGTAAGTCGAGGCCGACGGAGGGATCACGTCAATCTTGGGATACGCGGGGTTGTTCGCAGGCGCATTGGGCTGGATGGAAAGACCGAGTCGCATGGCAGGGTGGTTCGCCATGGGCACGGGGGCGGTCGCTGGCCCTGATCCATTGGGACGGAGCTGGTCAAACGGATTGGGCACCGGGCTGGGCCGTTTGTATCTTCCACATTTCGTGCAGCACCGCGTCCCGGTCGACGATCCTGGGGAACTCGAGGGCCCAGCAGTGCTCTCCGACAGTCTGGACGAGCCATGGGACGCCTGCCCTTCGGAAATGGTCCGAGCATGCGCGGTCGCAGTGGGCATCGGCGCGGGGGCAGCGGCGGGAGGGGTCGACGCTGTCACGTTGGACTTGCGTTTGCCACACTGGTTGCAACTGTGCCCGTGACCATCGCCCTGACCAGGTTTCTTGCCGCATTTGCCACACTTGTGCGCGTCGGACGAGGCGTCCGTCACCACTGTGGGGTTGATGGGATCGGACGCTTGACGCCTGTACACCGGCGGGAGCGCGCCATCGTGCATGTCCTTGGCCACCTTGACGACCTTGGGCTTCTGCTTCTCGGGAGCGGAGTTGGATCCAGGGTACGGCTTTCCGTCGAGGCGTCGCAGGTCGACCGACTGACGTTGGTCGCCATTGGGTCTCTGCGGCGTGGGCGCTTGGACAGGTGCTTCTGCGGGGCGCTCAATGGGACCCGACTCGGCGATCGGTGAGACTGGGGAGAAAGTCGCTGTGGTTGGCGGCGGCGTAGCGGTCGACGCGGGCCCAGGCCTGAAGTTTGGGGAGAAAGGGTTCGTGTCGGGCAGAGGATCGTGGTAGGAACTGGGTAACACGGCCGTGGTGACGGGCACGGGCTGCTGCGTGCCTTGTGGCAGACTCTCGTAGGGCACCGCAGTCTGAAGAGAGCCTTGGGGGATCGCCTTGCCTGGGTAGGCGGGTGGAGGTGACTTTGTCAATTTGGTCATGCTGGCGTTTGGCGTTTACAGTGTCACGTAGACGGCACAGAAATAATATAACAATCGGGCGTGTAGAGCGAGAGTCCAAATGAACGACACAAGAGAGACGAGCGAGAGGTCGGACGATGTAGCGGAGTGAATGACGGTGAGGAGCACGTTACAAGCAAGCGAACGCACCGGAGGAGATCGACAACGTCAATACTCCCCGAAAAGGGACGGTCGAGAACGAACGGAAATGCAGAAGCAGATGTAGAGCTGCCGCAGAGGGAGGGAACAAAGGCAAGAGTAGTGGAAGTCTGTGAACGAGATTGGAGATGAAGCCGGGTAAAGGGTGGACGACTGGCAGATATGAGGCCCAGGTGGAGGTAGACGGGCTCGACGGTCACAAGAATGGACACCGATGGCTGATGGTTGGCTGCACGCTGGTGCCTTGGTATTGCTTTGTTTGCGTGCCGAGCTACACTGCAAGAAGGGTGGCCATGACCTAAATCACCTAGATCACCGCTCCAGGCTATGCGGGAGCAAGGTTTGGGCAGGGCACGGCAGAGCGAGAATCAGGATTGTGGACGGTAGCAGTCCGGCACTGCACAGGTTTTGGCTAAAAGGCCCCAGGGCACCTGGGAGGCACCTAACGCCCCTAAGGCCATCATGGACTCCCAGGCCGCTCGGCTGCTAAAACCGGCTGAACTGTGGCGGAAGGCCACAAAGCCCCCCTCACCATCCACTATCGCCCCTCGCCATGGACGGCTATTCAATGAATCCCATCATGGAAACATTCGAACTTGTGATCCAAGCTGAAGCAGTACGGAGTACGGGGAATTTGAGAGGTTCAGAGTAGCTGCTGCTGTACCAGAGCTTTACAAGAATCGCAAGTTCTATCTTGTGTGTTGCCCGACGTGAAGGTGAAGCAGTAGGTACCTCGATTTAGCAGACCATCATCACCAATTCTCAGGTACCCTGGCTCTCAGATTCGCGTTGCTCTCGTATCAAAGCTGGAAAAGGGAAGGTGAAAAGCCACCTGGCGCCACGCCTGGTCGGTGCCTGGGGCCCAAGGAACAGCGCTGGCCAATGCCCAAAGGCTGCGCCACCCACGCCGACCCCAAAAAAGGGGAAGGAGCTCGTCTTCAATTCTCCATGCGGTCTAGCGAGGCGGTGTGGCTTGTCCGTTGCTATCTTGGGCGCCGTCCAAACAAATCGAGCCTTGGCGAAGAGCCAGCAGGGATTGTTGCCACGAGAAACAAGGCTTTTCTAGTTGCCCGCCACGAGATTGGATTGACACCTCGGTCGAGATGCTGCAGACTTCATGTACGTACGCAGCACCGTGCTTTCCACGCGTATCTGTGGAGCTTGGCGGCCGCAAGAAGAACATCACATAAATCAATAGCTGCCACGTGCACAGAGCATCGTTGCCATTGACAGAAGCAGCCGATATGAGACGGGCGGAAAGGGAGGAGGATCGACGACTTGAATTCGATGTTGCAGCAGTATCAACGCGCTAGACGAGTTCCCTGGTGCAGCAGGGGGATCTGTGCACCGCGTTTGCGGTGTAAAGCCCAGCTCACTTGACTCGGGAGAGCTTGATAGGTTACAGTTGTTCCCTGATTAAACAGCACGAGTGGAAAAGATCAGCACCAACGCGGGAAGGAACAAGGGCATCGTAAGATCCGCTCCCACACTCGTTCGCTTGAGCACGACGTCGCTCTCGGATCGGCGGCACCGTATAGAGAGATCGGGGCGGCACCAGTTCGCGATCACCAAGGATACACAAACTGCAATCCTCCACTCCTCTTCCGTCAGCTCGGGCGCGGGATATAGATTGACGGGTTGGTGGGAAAGTGTATGAATAATAATAGTATTACGACGTCGCCCCATTTGCCCGTAGGTGCCATTGCGATCGTCTGGGGTTTGACAGCCAGGTTGGAAATGTGGGAGTTTCCGTGACCCAGAACTGTGGCTCACTTCACAACCTGTCCAACATTCCCGCAGTGGCGGACCTTTCATCCCAGGGGTCCTCGAAGTCTGCCATCGGGATCAAGGTTTCACGAGACAGAAACCTGTTTTCAATGTCGTATCGAAAAACTTGTGCCTGCTCAGAAGTCCCAGTGGGAAGGTCGTGTGTGTAACCTTTAGGTGCTCGTACATTTTTGGTCTGCCACTGAACCTGTGAGATGCTTACCTGCGACATTTACCGGTGCCCCGGATATGAGAGCCACGTCCTGCAGGTGCCCATCATGGAGTCTTATGCCGGATTGGCGCCTGCAAGGACCCGAGACCACTGGTGACTGACCTGTTGTCGTATACCGTATACCGACAGCGCTATATTCGCGACTGAAGCTGGAGGCCGAATACAGTCATGCCAAGAGATGTCCCTGACAGATCAACGCCTGAAAGTGACCACCATGAATGTCGTGGAGCCACGGGTGTACGAACGGCTTGTCCATCCCGGCGAAGACTCAGGTACTCGCGGAGGCACCCACGCCTCGTATCACTCTCACAATGACCGATGCTGCGGTAGTATTCGTGCATGGAGATCGATCCAGCCTTCGACGGTCTGGTTTGAAACGAGAAGCCCGACAGGTGCAGGATCTCGAGTCAACTTGCCAGGAAGATGATGGCAGCACCTGGCCCCGCGAGGGCGGGAGTGCTTTGTATAGCATGGCAATCGGAAGGTGAGCACTTACAGTTTGGCGTTCCCAAACAGTGTGGGCACGCAAAGCAGAACAGCAATTGTAGGGATCCACACGCAGATCGCAGCAAATCAGGCGTCATGGGATGGTTTGCTGACAGATGGAGACCAGTGAGCCCTGGTTCTCAGTCTGTGCAATACTACTAGACACTGTCTATTGTGAGCATTGGATGTGCACCTCATTAAGGTGCTTGGCTTCTTCGACTCGGGGTTTGATACAGATACGTACTTCAGCGGAAGCCAGGCACGGGTAAGGATTGGCTCGTGCTCACCACACATATGCCTCGCAGGGTCTGAGGGAAAAATGCATGACTCTGGTGTTGACGAGCAGTTCGCCGGGCGAATCCCTTCTAATTCTTTGTTGCTGTGAATGTCGGTTCTCAAAATAGAAAGAATGACGCTAGAGTCGTTCCCTTGCATTATCCAAGTCCCTCTCCGTCCTGCAGGAAGCGGACTTGAATGCCAGGCACAACGGGTCCAGCAAGCGAGTAGAGGCGTTGTTCAACTGCAGAAAATTGAATCCTCCAAAGCCTCGCACAAATGGCGGGTTGGCGGGCACTCCCAGTATTCCCGAAGGAGTCTGAGGTCCGTTAGCGGGCCGCCCACTGGGTGACAGTATTATATCATGACCGGGATCATCACGCTATGTGAAGGCTCGACCAGAGACGACCACGCTTGCGTCAATAATGGCGTCTGCTGTGAACCAGATTCGACCTTCGTGTCCGGGCGGCCTGGCGTTATCTATTGTCTGCAGGAAAAGGAGAATACTTAATCGATAAAAAAGGGGAGGCCCCAGAAGTGTAGCGCGTTGTTGAATGCGCCATCTGATCGATTAGCTACCTGATAGTGTGTTTACCCCCTTAGCTATTGCCCGGATGAGGCGCTGACTGGGCCGGAGAGTTGGCGAGACTCGTGGTTGAACCCACATCCCACAGGGCTCTATGTTCGCTTCGCTTCAAGGCTGAGGAAGAACGGAAACATGGCGCGCTGGTTGACGTGAAGTTGTGGCTCTCCATTTTATGAGACAAGATCTCTAGGCCAGGCCCGGTATGTATAGTCTCCTGAGCCTCGTCGACGCCTATCGCGATAGTATCGCCACTAGCTTCTCTATTCGGTAACGGCTTGCCGAAAAGGGGGGAATTTCGATCCTCCCGAAATGGGCGTGGCATCAAGAAAAGGGGAAAGAAGGGGCTTGCTCCACCCCCAAAGTTCGGTTGAAGACACAAAGAGATTGTGGTGGCCACACGTATTATGCAGGACACATGTGATTTTCTCTCGCGTCTGTAGTAAAGCAAATACCATACGAGTCCTTGGGAGATCCATTTCAACGTGGATCGAGCCCCTATCTTTGACATGATTATCTCGGTTCGCCTGTACTCGTTAGCACTTGCCCTTGTGCTTGCAGATCCGATCCCCTAACGCCACAGTTGCGCCAGGATATTTTGCGGCGATTTTTGGTTGTGGTGGTAGTTTGGGCCAGAGAATTCAAGTCCATCTGCTTGATAATCCACATGAGCCCGCGGACGGACAGTGCTGGCGGAGGGTTATTGTTTGTGGCCGGATGGAAGCCGCGATGGAAATTCTTTGGCCAGACAATTGGTGTCACTTCGTTGCGGGTGGAGGGGAAGACAGTGGAGAAGGGATCCTGATGCCAAGTGTCCACAGGACCCCAGCGAGGCTTGGAGGGGAAGCTTGGCGGCAAGAAAGGGATAGCGTCAGGGCCTGACGCCAAATATAGAGTCGATGCACAAGGCTCGCTAGACCATGCAAGGTGTGGCGTCACGCTAGACGGAAGTGAGCTGGGACAAACCTGAAGCATGTTTGATCCATCCTGGCCCATCCTGGCCCATCCCCTGTCTCGCAGGGCCCAAGGCCGGGATTTCCTTCCCCTATCACCCACATCCGAGCAGAGCTCATCCACCGCTCATTTGTCCCAAACTCCGCCATCCACAGCCCACGGTACCGGTAAAATTGGCTGGGACACTTTGTGTATGAGTTGGGGATCCGCACCGCTCCAGACAAATCATTGCCGCCGCGGGAACGCCGCAGGAAAACATGGTGTTTGTCAGCCTTTAGGCTCAGGGCGAAAGGACAATTGACGGGATACAGGCTGCTCTGCTGCTTCACGACGCACTGGCTCCCTCGCTGGAGGATTCGGCCTTTGCGCGCGGATGTCCTGCTCTCATGCCACTTTCGACGTGCTGTCTGTGGAATCTCCGCGCACCACGAGGAAGCGACAGAGTCCACCACCGTTACTATGAATGTACTTGTCCTCGTACCAATGGTGATTAGGTACCAGAGAGGGGGAATGCGATAACCAGGCGAGCTTGAACGCCATGCAGTCATCATTTGGGAAGAGGCAGCGGATCCCAAGTCTGGAGGTGATTGTTGTCCTCCAATCTCTTTGCCGCCACTGGCAACTCTGTTCAGCCTCAGCCCGTTGGACAGGGGGGCCGCGATACGGGGATCAAGACGTATGGTCACCGCCTGACGTTCTTGTCTTTACATCCTTTACCTGGTATAACCGTTGGGAAGGCCACCCAGCGATACGGCCAAGTCCACTAGCGGCAACTTCACCCCCTTGCCGCGGACGAGGTGGTTGTGATACCTCTGCGGAATACACACCCACTATTGTAGACCTGACCAGCACAACGTCACCATTTCCAAGCGGCGAAGTGGTATGGTTCGGTGGGCAGAAGGCGTGCTCTCAGGGCGGGGGACAGGGTCGTGTCTGCGGTGTTGCTGGGATCGTTGCTCAGGTCAAACGTTGCATTGATAGGTTGCGCAGTATCCAGTAGTCCGAGCAAGCAAGACGACGACGGTATGGCGAGCCAATGCGACGTCGAGATATTTTAGAGGAGAGGTCCGAATAGGGCTAGTGTCCGTGCTACATTGCCCGTAGCCAAGGACCGGACCAGCTGTTGGAACAAATGGGAAGACGCCCTTTGGAACCGAACCAAATCCTCCGTAAAATGTAATGGGCAGAAAATCTTGGTCCCCAGCCCCCTTTCCCTCCAATGCAAAACAGATCACCTCCTGTGCTCGAGCAGGTTATTGTTTTGCCGCTAAACAAAGCTTTTACAGACCGTAACTGCTGTACACTGGTGCGGCTGAGCATTGGCAAGAAGTATCAGCAGAGTATAGTGATGACTGCGTTGGTTCAGGCGGCTGTAGGAGTCGACAGCGACCTAGGTACGACCTATACCGAGGGGTACTAGTAACATGGCCAGCTGGGAGGCCTGGGAGCGACGACGTCGAGGTCACCGTACCAGCGTGTAAGATTACAGGCCCCCAGTTGAGCCCAGGAGATGTCTCACTGGGTCCAGGCCGTGTTGATTGCCATATTCGGGCGCCGAAGGAAAAAAAAACAAGCACGATTCGACTAGCTCGCGAGGTCGCGTACACTAGGGCCAAGCAGGACCGTCAATACACGAGTGGAGCCCGCCTTGCCAATGCCCGAATTGCCAATACATGACCGCAACGACTTCGACGAGAACAGCCTCTCCAGATTTGGATTGCCTCGCCATGCTCGTGAATTTCCTTGCGCGCAGATCGCGCTGCATGCTTTGGACTCCCCTAGTATGACCCTCACACGACCCACCAGGGGGCGCTGTTGTCAAATTCACTTTGACCACTCCCTTACTCATGCTTGACATTGGCCGTTCGGTCTATTTTCACTCGCTCCCCCCAACTCCTTTATATCATAACTGATCCTCCCTCATTTTTCCTGTTCCTCTACCTTTAAGCAACGCTCGTTGAAGTTCGTCGACATCCTTTTCACGCCCACCATGGAGGAGGTCTACGTCTTCGGCGATCAAACCGCCGACTGTCGGGCGTTCTTCGCCAAGGTCTTCTCCAGGAAGGACGATGTCATCCTACAGAGCTTCCTGGAGAGGGCTGGCGAAGCCGTCAGAGTCGAAAACCGAGCCCGATCCCATCCTTCGAAAGCAGTCCCTAATTTCTCTACCATTCAAGAACTAGTCGATCGTTATTACAGAGGCGAGGCCAAAGATCCCGCCGTTGAGAGCGCTCTTGTTTGTATTTCGCAGTTCACTCACTTCTTCGGGTATGCCTCAAATTGCCCCCGAACTGGCGACTGCCCAGACTTTGCTGACTGGTGAGCTTCAGTGCTTTCGAGGAGAGAACACCCTCATACATTCCTCATAATGTAGACGCCCGGCTGGTCGGTCTATGTACCGGTTTAATTGCAGCTGCCGCGGTCGCCTCTTCAGATTCACTTACAGCCCTCCTTCCCCTCGCCGTGGAGTCTGTCCGCATTGCGTTCCGTGCAGGTGCTCATGTGGGCAAGGTGGCAGAGCAGATCGAGTGCGATTCCAAGCCCCAGTCATGGTCGACCATCGTGGCTGCGGACGAGAAGTCCGCGCAGACTGCTTTGGACGCGTTTCACAAAGAGAAGGGCACTTCACCTACCAACAAGCTGTGGATCAGCGCCTCTTCCGCAACCTCGGTCACCATCAGTGGGCCGCCGTCTACGAAGGCCTCGCTATTCAAGGACTCCGAGTTCTTCTCCACCCATAAAAACGCACCCGTGTCCATCTACGCTCCCTACCACGCCTCCCACCTTCATTCCCAGGCAGACCTCGAGAAGATCCTCAGGCCGCAGACGAAGGACATTTTCAGCAACACCACAGTCAGATATCCCGTCTGTTCCAGTGTCACCGGCAAGCCCATCCACGCACAGAACGGCTTCGAGCTCCTGCAGGGTGCTTTGAAAGAGATTGTGATTGAGCCGCTGAGATGGGACAAGGTCTTGAAATACTGCGCCTCTGGCAAGGCTGAGGAAGCCAAGGTCTTCGCCGTGGGTCCCACCAACCTCGCCAGCAGCGTCGTTTCCGCCCTCAAAGCCAGCACACCAAAAGTCGCCCTCGAGGATCAGTCCCACTGGTCTACCGTGGCCCCGGCGGGAACGAAGCACTCCAAGAAAGAGGCCGACATTGCCATTGTTGGGTACTCCGGCCGTTTCCCTGATGCGGCCGACAGCGAGCTCTTCTGGCAGCTGCTGGAGAAGGGTCTCGATGTGCACAGGCCAGTTCCCCCGGACAGGTTCCCCGTCGATTCACACACGGACCCGACCTCCAAGAAGAAGAACACTTCCCACACACCTTTCGGAAACTTCATTGAGAAGCCCGGTCTATTTGATGCAAGGTTCTTCAACATGTCGCCTCGAGAGGCGGCACAAACAGATCCCATGCAGAGACTGATGCTTGCCACTGGCTACGAGGCCATGGAAATGGCCGGTATCGTCCCAGGACGCACTCCTTCGACCAAGCATGACAGAATTGGTACCTTCTACGGCCAGACCTCCGATGACTGGCGTGAGGTCAACGCGGCCCAGGATATTGATACGTATTTCATTTCCGGAGGCGTGCGTGCCTTTGGTCCGGGTCGTATCAACTATTTTTTCAAGTTCTCCGGGCCCAGCTTCTCGGTGGATACGGCCTGCTCTTCCAGCTTTGCTGCGATGAACGTCGCCATTACTTCCCTGCGAGCAAACGAGTGCGACACTGCGTTCACAGGCGGTGCCAACGTGCTCACGAACTCGGATATTTTCTCTGGTTTGAGCAGAGGTCACTTCCTGTCTAGAACCGGATCGTGCAAGACTTGGGATAACGACGCCGATGGCTACTGCCGAGGTGACGGTGTCTGCACAGTCATCATGAAGAGACTCGAAGACGCCGTCGCTGACCGCGATCCCATCCTGGGCGTCATTCGCGGGATCGGCACGAACCACTCTGCAGAGGCCGTCTCGATCACGCATCCTTGCGCGGAAAACCAAGCTTTCCTGTTCGACAAGGTGCTCAAGGAGTGCAACGTGCACTGCAATGATGTCAACTACGTCGAAATGCACGGCACCGGTACCCAGGCAGGTGATGGCATTGAAATGGAGTCCGTGTCCTCAGTCTTCGCTCCACGACAGAACCGCAGGCGACCAGATCAGCCCCTGTACGTCGGAGCGGTGAAGTCCAATATCGGTCACGGTGAGGCCGTCTCCGGTGTGTCTGCGCTCATCAAGGTGATCTTGATGCTGCAGAAGAGCAAGATCCCTCCCCACACTGGTATCAAGAAACAAATCAACAAGAACTTCGCACCCGACCTGAAGGAGCGCAATGTTAACATCGCTTTCCAGACCACTGCATTCCCTCGACCTGCTGGTGGCAAGCGAACCGTGTTCATCAACAACTTTAGTGCGGCTGGTGGTAACACGGCAATGCTGCTCCAGGATGGTCCAGAGGTCCCTGCGGAGCCCACGTCTGATCCCCGATCTACCCAGGTAGTGACAGTTTCGGCCAAGTCGCTGGCTGCGTTCAAGAAGACCGTTGCCAAGTACGAGGAGTATCTCAACAAGAACCCCAACGTCGGTCTTCCCGACCTCGCCTATACGGTGACGGCGCGTCGTGCGCACTACAACTACCGCGCGGCGTTCCCTGTGCAGTCCGTCTCACAACTGCAGGCAGCTCTCAAAGCCACTCAAGATCAGACCCACAACCCCATTCCTCTCGCCGCGCCTCAGATCGCCATGGCATTCACTGGCCAGGGCTCTCAGTACACCGGCATGGGCCAGAAGCTTTTTGAGACCTCCAAGCAGTTCCGTGGAGACATCGAGGAGTTCAACGACATCGCTCTCCGCCAGGGTCTCCCGTCGATCATGCCTCTCATTGACGGGTCGACTGAGGTCCAGCATCTGCCCCCCACCGTGGTGCAGCTAGGAATGTGCTGTATCCAGATGGCCCTCACACGCCTCTGGGCGACCTGGGGCGTCACACCCAGCGTGGTGATTGGCCACTCCTTGGGTGAGTATGCCGCTCTCCAAGCCGCCGGTGTCTTGTCTGTCGCCGATACCATCTACTTGGTCGGGAAGCGGGCGCAGCTTCTAGAACAAAAATGCACCGCCGGTACTCACGCCATGCTGGCTGTCCGGTCTCCGGTCGCAGGTCTGCAGGATGTCGTTGCCAACAGCCAAGGCAAGATTGAGATTGCTTGCATTAACGGTGTCTCCGATACTGTGCTCTCTGGCACCATGGGCGACATTGATGCTGTTGCCCAAAAACTAGCGGATGCGGGCCAGAAATGCACTAAGCTTAAGTTGCCTTTTGCATTCCACTCGTCTCAAGTTGACCCTATCCTGGCGGACTTTGAAAAGCTGGCCTCGTCGGTCAAGTATCATGCACCCCGTGTCCCCGTCATCTCGCCTCTTCTGAGCGACATCGTCAACGTCGGCGGTGTCTTCGACGCGTTTTACCTCAGCAGACACTGTCGCAAGACGGTCGACTTTGTTGGTGGCCTCTCTGCCGGTATGTCGACTGCCACCATCAGCGATACCTCCCTGTGGCTCGAGGTTGGCGGTCATCCTCTGTGCGCCAGCATGATCAAATCCTGCTTGTCTGCACCCACTCTGCCAACCATGCGCCGTGACGAGGATCCCTGGAAGATCATCTCCACCTCCATGGCGGGTCTGTACACCGCCGGAAAGGCCCTCAACTGGGATACCTTCCACAAGGAGAACGAGGCGCTCCGCGTCCTGAACGACATGCCATCCTACGGGTTCGACGAAAAGAATTACTGGCTCCAGTACACTGGGGATTGGCTGTTGTACAAGGGCGATTACCCCAAGAGTGTGGCTCCTGCTGCAGCGGCTCCCGTGGCCACCGGGCCTGCGAAGGCCAGAAAGTACCTGTCCACCGCCGTGCAGGGAATCGTCTCAGAGGATGTCAAGGGCAAGGTGGCCACCATCATCGCCGAGTCCGACTTCTCCCACCCTAAGTTGTTCCCCGTCGTGGCGGGTCACTTGGTGAATGGCAGCGGTCTCTGCCCATCGACCTTGTATGCTGACATGGCCTACACTCTCTGCAACTACGGTGTCAACTTGATCAAACCAGGCGAGAAGGTCGACATCAACATCGGCACCATGGACAACCCCGCTCCACTGCTGCTCAAGAACATCAACGAGCCCGAGAGCCAGATCGTGCGCATGACCATGAAGATTGACCTCGACGCCAGAAAAGCCGACTTCACCGTCACCACCAACAACGGCAAGAAGGACGTCGTCCACGCCAAGTGCGTCCTGCGCTTTGAGAACTCGGCTGCCTGGAAGGAAGAGTGGGGCAAGGTGTCGTATCTTGTCCAATCCAGGATTGACATGCTCAAGCACAAGATGGAGAACGGCGAGGCCGACAAGGTCAGCCGTTCCATGGCTTACAAACTCTTCGGTGCTTTGGTCGACTACTCGGATGTCTTCCAGGGTATGCAGAGCGTCATCTTCGACGGCCCGGAGTTTGAAGCGACCAGCAACATCAAATTCCGTGCCGGTCCCAACGACGGTGACTTCTACTTCAGCCCCTACTTCATTGACAGCGCCTGCCATCTGTCAGGCTTCACTGTCAATGCCACTGTCAACCGCATGGAAGAGTGCTTTATCTCCCACGGATGGGGCAGTCTCCGATTCCTCGCCCCTCTCGAGCATGACAAGCAATACTTCGCCTACGTCAAGATGCAGCCTGTCGCCGGAAGCAAGATGCGAGCTGGTGATGTCTACGTCTTCAACTCCAGCAAGGAAATCGTGGGTGTGGCTGGTGCCGTCCGCTTCCAGTGCATCCCTCGCAAGTTGATGGACGTCATGATGCCCAAGCCCAAGGCTGGTGCTAAGGCTGCCACCCCAGCACCAGCTCCTGTCAAGGAGACTCGTGCTGCCAAGGCTTCTACGCCCGTCGAGTCTGCCGCTCCTTCTCACATCGAACTGCCGGCTCCCAAAGTGAAGGCCAAGAAGCCCGCCAAAACCCCCAAGGTCAAGGCTCCTGCTCCCCCCAAGTCTGCGCCTTCCTCCGGCAGCCTCGTTGCTCGGGCTTTCGACATCATCGCAAAGGAGATCGATGTTGATCAGTCTGAACTGAACGATGACATCCAATGGGCGGATATGGGCGTTGACAGTTTGATGTCCTTGACCATCTCCGGCAAATTCCGTGAAGATCTCGACCTGGAGGTGGACAACACCCTCTTCACTGATCACGCCTCGGTGGGTGCTCTTCGCAAGCACCTGAGCGGCATGTCAGTGCCGGATGCGGCGACTGGCGGCGACGCTAGCTCTGTCGAATCGACTGATTCTGGCTCAGAGAGCGACGACGAAACTGTCGAGTCCGGTATCACCACCCCCGACACGGAAGACTTCCCTGCCAAACCTGAAGACCAGGCCAAGTCTGCTGCCGTGGAAGCTGTGGCCCAGCCGCCCTCGGCCGCAGGTGGCGACATGATCGAAACCATCCGGCAAGTGATTGCCCAGGAAATGGAGATGGACCTGGCCGAGATTACCGAGACTACCGATCTCAGCAACTTGGGCATGGACTCTCTGATGGCCCTCACCGTTCTCGGCAAGCTTCGTGAGGACCACGACATTGATCTCGACCCCACTATTTTGGCTGACAACCCATCCCTTGGTCATTTGCGAAAGGCCCTGGGTCTCGAAAAGCCCAAGGTCGCTCCACCTACAGCCCAGAAGCATGAGGTTAGAACCAGCGTTGTTGTTGCCCCGGCCGCTCCTCCCGTCGAGGTTGTTGTCCAGATGCCTCCTGCCACGTCGGTGTTGCTCCAGGGAAACCCTAAGACGGCCACCAAGAACCTCTTCTTGTTCCCTGATGGATCGGGCTCCGCCACCTCTTACGTGTCGATCCCAGCCATTGACAGCAAGAACCTGGCCGTCTATGGTCTCAACTGCCCCTTCATGAAGGATCCTACGAACTACACCTGCGGGATTGAAGGTGTATCCAAGCTCTACCTTGAAGAAGTGATGCGCCGACAGCCGATGGGTCCTTACATCCTGGGTGGTTGGTCTGCTGGCGGTGTCGTCGCCTACGAGGTCACCAGACAGCTCAGTGACCTGCAGAAGCTGCATCCTGACCGCAACTACTCGGTCGAGAAGCTGATCCTGATCGACTCACCTTGCCCAATCCGACTCGAGCCCCTGCCGGCTCGTCTGCACCACTTCTTTGATGAGATCGGGCTTTTGGGCACCGGTACGGGCAAGACGCCCAACTGGCTGTTGCCTCACTTCGAATACAGCATCAAGGCATTGACCGCCTACCGTCCAGAGTTGAAGTCGACCCATGATTTCAAGGCACCCCCGACATTGCTCATCTGGGCGACCGATGGTGTCTGCGGCAAGCCTGGTGACCCGCGACCTCCGCCACAAGCGGATGATCCCAAGAGCATGAAGTGGCTCCTGGAGAACCGAAACGACTTCGGCCCCAACGGCTGGGACAAGCTTTTGGGAGTTGACGTGTGCAAGATGGTCACAGTGGTTGGGAACCACTTTACGATGATGAAGCCTCCGGTGGTAAGTGACTGCTTCATGCAATTGTTATACGTTTCAGAGCGCTAATTATTTCTACAGGCCAAGGGCGTTGGTCAGTTCATCCGCGAGGCTCTTCTGTCTTAGGGGAGACCTTGCACGCGTTCACTGTCACGACATGACTAGAAAGATTCATTTCAACAGCTTCTCACGCAAGAAAGATACCTGATAGACAGCTGGGGTGGGATTTAATTGCTGGATAGACTATTTTGTTTCTTACGCCCGGGCTTGTTGCTCCCTTGTTTCGAAATGCGTACATATTCGGGGGAAAGGGTCTTGACAACAATACAGCGCTGACAACGTTGGTTTTGCTGAGCATTTTCAGATGCGTTCGGGGAATCGATTACGGACTGGCCTATGGGGAGTGTTCACTATGCAATTTGCTCTTGGAAAGTGTTATGGGGCGTTGGCGGTGGGATGGTGGGCAAGAGGGACGGCGATTGCGACGGGCTGATTTCAAAGCGAGTTTCCTTTTTCCTTAAGTCGTGCTCATGGGCTATTGTTACACCCGTGTCCAATGTCATTCATAGTATTTTTCCTCACAAGCGTTCTCTGTATCCTTAATGCATTACTTTTGTACAATGAAAAGCGTTTTCCATGGCCTATAAGGAGATGCCGACCTCATACATACGAGAGATGGTCTGTCTAACTCTGCCATCCATCCACATCCTCGTCACTCCCACTATAGTTTCAGGTATCTAGTATCGCTGTATATCACGGAAGACACAACCGGGTATCTATTGTCATTGACTCACCCATTGTACGGGCTAATAGTTGCTAACAAGGCTTTTTCCCTTCCTTTTCCCGAAGAACCCAGTCCAAACTCAATCCCTCTGTCCTTATTTCCTATATTTCTCTTGCCGCCCGCCCCGGTTGTGTTGCTCCCCCCCGTGTGTATGAATTTGTGGAGATCCAGCCGTGTGTGTGTGTGTGTGTGGAGATGAGGGTTAGGATATACCCTAGGTACAATTACGTGACACATTACTCGGATTCGGTCTGTGTGGCCCTTTCCTTGTGTTTTGTTCCCACAAATTCAATGACGAGAGAAAGGTGGTTTCAATGACGCGCCCAGGTTCCCGCGCCGATTCCCTGGGTGGGAATGAATCTGGCGGGCCCTGGCCCTTGGTGCCTGAGAATGGGGAATGCGGGTATAGGATCCATATGGATCGTTGCCGGCTTCGCATCGCATAGGTAGGTAGCATGGCACGAAAGGAAAGGATGGATGAGGCTAAAAATAGGGACGAGGCGTATTCCACATGCATCCAATCCATTCAGCCAGCCATCCATATACAGGATTTCATTCCGCCCTTTCTGGGATGTAGCCAAAGTAATTTACCTATGCTTGTATTCTTTTCCGTTCAGTGTAGGTACCTATGTACCTCTAATACTCCCACCATATGTACATCGTAATTCATCTCCCGTTTTTGTTTTTCCCTTTCGGATCTGAATACATCATTGATTCCATAACCATGTACTCGGTATGTACATACCCGAGGCATTTCCATTCCATCCCTAGTGACCCAAAAGACTTTTCCGGAAACAATCTGAGACATGCATTTTCTTAGCCCCGCTCGCCCATGGATTTGGGCTTCGACCCGTTCGAGCCCGTGGTAGCGTCCCATCGGCCCTAGGCGATATTTGAGTTTAAAACGAGGAAAAACGTTATCTATTGCATACCTAGGTGCCAAATTCCTGGAGGCGCAATAATCTAGGGTACCTACATACGTACCTATGTACCCTAGATGTGGACTGGCCGGCGGCGTGGATGGATGGAGGTATGTTTCAGATGCGCAGCTTCTACTTGCCCGTGCCCCGTTCGTGGCCTCTGGAGCCAAATTATGGAAAAAACTACCTATGTTAGTCCACTTGCGCTTGTGGCTCCCCATGTCTCCCATGTACTTTGGTCGCTGTGTATCCGTATGTATCTCTGATGTACTGCTCGGTCATTCAGTATCATGCAATACGACTGTGAACTTGCTTGATTGATTCGGTAAATTTCATATCCACAACAATACGCCATCCCCCTCTCACTCCACCCCACAAAAGAAAATGTCTCCATATCTGGCACGCCTATGTACAACAACGTATGCATCGGACTCGCGACGGACACGGCACGCAACGTGAGAGGTTGTGACATTTAGATCAGCCATGACGTGTGCATCTGATTGCGACTCTCGACCATATCCGCCCCAAGTCCGCTCCCTTCCCCACACAGACACACACAGGAACCCGGAATATGCACTCCATAATCATGGCAACGCACACGAGTACGAGGACGCCCCGCCCCTTTGATTGCCTACGTCAGATCGATCGCCATGTGGAGGGCCTCCACGGAGTATGGGCACGGGGAGATACCTTGTTCCTCGTCGCTTGCCCCTTACACCTTGTACCTTGTACGTTGGACGTTGCGCAACTTGTTCCTTGTATAAGCCTGGGCACATAATTCCGGACCCATGGATCATGCCCATCATAGCGCTCCGGTTAAGCTAACGGAGTTGTCAACGCCTTGGTTCATCCCGTACTGAACCGGACCTGATAGACAAACGCACCATCCCAGTTTCCTCTGTCACGCGAGCCTGGAATCCAGTCCGGCTAGACGGCTATCCGGCAACCAATGCAATTGATGCATGAACCCAACTTGCTGAAGGATCGTAGGTGCCCTAATACGACAGATATAGTAACCACTAATCTGGACCGTTCCTGGTTTGCACCCTGGTCATTTGAAAATGCAGCCCACCCACTGCCAGCTGGTCGACCATTCGAGGATGGATTTGCAGCAGCCGTTTCGAGGACATGGCGAGATATATCCCGCCGAGCACAGCACGATCATGACTGTATCGACGACGCTCAATCAGAGGTGCAGCTCATTTCAACTGGGCACGCTCCCTGCTCACTTGTCCTTCCATTATCTGCTCTTTCTCAGCGGCAGGCTTCGTGGTCCCAATGCCGTGCGCTTGTTCTTTGTCAAGCCAGGGACATGTTGATCCCGCTGCTCTTTACAGCGCGCCGATATGTGTCGATAACCATATCACGCCGCCGTCCACAGCATCGCAGCTCCAAACTTCGCAGATAAGGTGGCCAAAGATCGAAAGAGTTCTATCTCGGCCATGTTGCGTTGAGGAGGAGTGCCGTATGTCACGACCATGAATGCTTGAGTATTTCTGAACTAGCAAACTACCTCTTTCAGCCAAACAGAAAGCCATATTCAGCACTGGGAGGGTATATCTCTGTCCAAGGCACCCATGGTCTGTCGACCTCATCCTCTGCTTTGGTGAGCATGGCCAGGTCATTCTTAGACCAAACGCCCCTCATAAACTCCAACCCAGACTCGAAAATCCAGATCCCCGTCTTCTGTTTCCACCGCTCAGAGTACTCGGTGGCGACTTTTCTGAAAGCCCACTCCGCACTGGACATTTCACACCCGGCCAGAACAATCGGCATCAGGCACTGTTTCTGAAAGCTGCTGTGTGACGGAATGTTGGCAACCATGGTGAGAATCTGCATAGCCACGGAACGCGGTTCAAAGTCCCACTCGGCGATACCTTCGTGGCTCGCGAACGTGTCCATGACGGCCTGGTAATCTATTGCTGTCAAATTGTAGATCCGGAAAGGCCCAAACACCCGTGCAAAGTATAACAGCAGGCCCAACCGCCAAATTTCGGACATCATGGCCTGGTATTTCCCTTGTTCCATGCTGACCTCTGTGTCAAGAATGTTCTTGCGGATAAGTTCGAGCGCTTCTGGGTCTGCAGAATCAATGTCGGCCGCGGCAACAGCAAGGCTGTGCATGTCAAGAAACATGCCGTCCGGGAGGCCGTTCAGACCCAGTATGCTCCATTCGTTGTCGTCCTGCCATGCCATGAGCGCTTCAATGTAGGTCCTTGGAAAAGTGGGACCACGTCGCGAGATCAACGCGGCATTGACATCGTACCAGATCAACATGGCAATCTGACTTCGAAGGTTAGGTCGTGACTCTGCGAGTCGGATGCCGCCGTGGGACTCGAGAATGCGGTATGCACCGCGCAGGTGGATGTTCCAGTTGGATACACCTGTTTCGGCATAATCTAGGCCGATGAGGAGAAGTACAGTACTGAGGCCGCACTCGAACGACAGATCGTTGAGGTGCGATGCGAAGATGGACAGGGCTTGTGACTTGAGGCGCAAGATCGAGGCACTCTCCGGCTTTCGGTCGAAGTGTGCTTGCTGACGCTTTGCAAGTGCCGCTGCGGCATAGCGTACCGAGGGGAAGTCGTCGTGGATGGACGGCAGGCAGGCTCGCCACGGATTGATTTTCACCGGGAAGGTGAGCGTGGTGTTGGCAAAGCAGGAATGGAAGAATGATAACGCACACTCGATCCCTTCCGGGTGGCGGCTGACTGTCGGGTAGAGGACGAGGTCAAGCTGGTGGTCACTGTCGACCAGGGGAGGCGTACTCGCGCTCACAGCCGACCAGATTGAGGATGGAGATGTGGACGCCACGGACTCTCCGCCGCTCGAGAGCGTTGTGGTGATCGACGAATCTGCCGCATTGGAGATGGGAATACTGAGTTCGCTTGATCTCGAGTTGTTTCTCGACGTCCGCCTTGACCGTGTTTGTGAGACGGTTTGGTCCACAAAAGTGTAAGAAGAGGGCCGAGGAAGCGGCGCCGTCGGCTTGTCTGGTTTGGCTTCTCTGACATTCTCGGACGGTTCCTTGGACCGCCGTTTCCCAACCTTCAAGGTGCCTCTTTCCCAGTTGAGTTGCTGCACATAGCCCGCGCATATCACGCCGTCAGCAAGGCAGGCACTGCAACGAGGCCGCCGCCGGTCACAAGAACGACCAAGCGAGGAGCACGTGTGGCAGTCGGACTTGGCCCATCCCAACGAGTTGGTCCGCTTCCCGGTCAAATGGCTCAAGCGCGTCGCCGTGGTCGAGCAAGTGGTGACTGACATGATTTGGATGAAGGATATGAGGTAGTGGCAAGGACTTTGAGGCTGGGGGAAGGAGGAGAGGAAAGTATGGAGTCGAGGGTGGTTAGTACGGCGTGCTGGGCGTGGTATGGAGTGAGTGGTTGATACGAAGTCGAGGGTTGATAAGAGAAGGCGCCGAGTCCCCCTCGCCCCGCACTCAGAGATTGGCTAGATCCAGACCCTATCAGGCCGCCCTATCAGGCCGCCCTATCAACAGGCGCCAGAGATATCGAGTCATGTATCCGGTCATGTGACTGATATATGACTCGCACCTCCAATTTCTCTTGCTTCTTCAATTTCCCAACACTGTATCGGTTTGCCAAATACTCTCCCTCTGCTCATGTCTTACGGGCATCCTGCCACCTCACTTTCCCCTCCGACCATTCCCCTTTCCAAACGCATAAACATCTTCCTTAGGCACACTCCGCCATGTAATCATTTTGCCGTTTTGGGACTGGTCGTCATCATACGACGGGGCTCAGTACGGATAAGCTGCAGAGACACAGTGCAACCCTGTGATCACCGAATATGAGCTTGCATTGGCCACTCCAAGTCTTTGGTGTGAGGTGGACTTTTCATAGGGAGAGGTAGGTGATGTAGGCGTCCAGTCGACTGAGCCATCTTCTGTTTATAAGGACGGCTGCATTCCCGCCATCTTTCGCGCTTGCAGGTCCTTTCCCAAGAGACATATATTGCTTCAAACGATATTCACTGCCACTGGCTGTTCTCATCTCCAATATGGCTGCTTCTCACGTTCGGCTGCTTGAGCTCAAGACACTCCTCGAAGATGACGAGCTAGAATTACCAGGCACTCAACTGTATATCGACGAGTCCAAAACATGGGCCGCCCAAAGAAATAGGAACCCAAAAATCCTCATTCGGCCTAGATCCGTGGAGCGGTTGGCACAGATCCTGGCATATCTAAATAATGCCGAGTTGGACTTTGCAGTTAGGTCTGGCGGTGTTGGCTCAAGCTCAGCAAAGGACGTTCTGATCAGTCTGACGGCCTTTGACGGGTTTGAATTTGACCCTAGCACGGAGACTATCACCATTGGTGCCGGCCAGACATGGGGCGACGTGGACCAGAAGCTGGAGAAAGAGAGCGGAGGTTACGCTGGTGAGAAACGTTCGTTGGTCCTTCGAAGAACCTATTTCTCACAGACTCAGCTTTGAGCGTGCGCTGCTCTTTCGTCGGTGTCGGCGGCAGTGTTGTAGCAGGCGGTATCTCTTGGGCGTCTTCAGAGTTCGGGCTCGCTTCTGACCCGCAGAACCTGCTCGACGCACAAGTCGTCACCGTCGACGGGCGGGTGTTGTGGGCTTCTTCAGAGCCGGAGTTGTTGTGGGCTCTGCGCGGCGGTGGAGGTGGCTTTGCCGGCAGGTGTCCCTATATTTCGTCTCCCAACCCCACCGTGTCTAACAGCTTTGAGCAGTCGTCGTTAGCCTAAAGTTGCGAGTGCACAAATACACCGACTCAATCTACACAGGAAACATTCTCTTCCCGAACGACTCGCTCGCGGAACTTGCCAAAACCGTGTCGGAATTCACGCGTCGGACGCAAGATCCCAAGATGGCGATGCATCTCTTTTGCCTCGATCTGGCCCATGCAGCTCTTACCGGACAGAATCCTGCCCCGGGCATCCTGATCGTGGTGTACGACGCCAACGGCGAAGCGCACGGCCGCAGCGACGAAGGCTTCGGCTGGGCTTTGAAGATCAAAGGTGCGGTGGACAACACCAGGTCCATGACTTTCGCCGAAGCAAATCAGCAGCAAGGCGAGTTTCCCAAGGCTAAAGCCCTGTCCCTTTTTTCACTCAACACTAACTTCTTTCCACGCCCAGACAATCTCAGAGTGGCCATGGGCATGACGAACAGCTGGATGTCCGGCGCAACGATTCCGCACCTGGACGAAGAGATGATCCTCCGCTCCTGGAGATGGTTCAACGAGCTGCTCGCGAAAGACCCTCGACAGAGCGCCGGAGCCTTTGTTTTGATCGAGATAATGCAGCCCGTATGTGGCTTTCCCCAGCTCTCTTTCTTTCGGCTCCTTTCTCCCCGAGCAAAATCCCGTTTCTGACATCCAGAGCCCTAAAAAGCCCGCATTCTCCTCCATATCCTCCCGCACGGATACAGCCTGGCCGCACACGAACAACAGACACATCCTGCAGCTGGGGACGGGCTCGTTTCCTGGCTCTCTAGAGTCTGACGCTCTCTCGCTCAAGGCTCTCGCGGACGCGCCCTTTGAGATCAGCCGGACGCATACCAATGCCGACTATATCCCGAACTTCATCGAGTCGTTCAATGATATCGAAGCGGTATGTTGGGATTCCCCTTGGTTGTAATGCTTTCGTAGCCAGCAGGCCAGCTAGCCACATTTTGGAAGAATCACCGAACTGACTGACTGATTGCTTTGTGGCTGGACAGATTTTCGGCGATAATTATCCTCGCTTGAAGGAGATCAAGAAGCGGTATGATCCGAAGGGGAGGCTTGGGGTCCGCTTTGCTTGAAGAATGAGACGGTAAGGCAATACACTTTGTGTGGAATGGAAGGCCACGAATTGTAAGCACTTGGTGCATCTTTGTTTATTCCACGGGCCACTCTCCTTCTCTGTGCTGTGTTTACATTGGTACCCACTAAAAAGCCCCAGTCTATATGTCTCGGGTGGTCCGGTTACATTCTATACCTCCTCCATCTACTTCCTCCCCAGTCCCGATTCATTCCAGTCCACACCCACCGTAGCTCGCCATGAGAGGACCGAACCGAACCGAACCGACCGACCGACCTGCGTTTGTCGTGAAATCACGCCATGACGCCCTTCTCAATGACCTCGCCGACAGTCTTGGAATCGACAGCGACGCCCCTCTGCGCGAGCATCTCCTTCTGGTGCTCGCGCTCGATCTGCTCGTCGGCGACGAGGCCGTCGATGCGCGCGCGCTCCTCCCAGCGGTGCGGCACAATGACGTTGTCCTCGAGGAAGTAGTTTGTGTCCTTGACGCAGAACCAGATGATGCCCAGCAGGAACACCAGGCCGACGGCGTACAGCGTGAACTGCACAATCAGCTGGTCGATGTACGACACGTTCTTGGAGTCGAGCACGAACGAGATGCACATGCCCAGCGACGTCGTGCCTTTGAACAAGCCGGCTAGTCGCGAGCATTGCACGGGGTCGTTGGTCAGCGCGCCCAGCGTCCATTGCACTACGATTTGGTATGTCGCGTAGATGATTCCTGTGAATCAGGACCGAGTCAGCGGATTGGGGGCAGAAAGTTTGAAGAGGAAAGGAACGGGGAATGCGCGAATCACCACATCGATTGAGGGAAGCTTTGGAAGAGACTTACCGGAGAGCAAGTACAGAACAAACCCGGCGCCAAATCCGTCGTCACTCCAGTCGACTCCCGGAGGCGTGTTGGTCTGGCGGTTGACGTCGTTCTTGGTGATCCACGCAGCAAGTCCCGCGTTGGTGGCCAGGCAAAGCGTGCCGACAATGATGGCGCCGATCATGCCTCGAGTCCGGCGTGACTTGATGTAGCTTGTGTCCATGATGTACGCCAGCAGCAGCGGGCACGGCATCATGATGAATTGGAACATGACGTTGTTGAGCGACCGCGTCCGCAGGTTGAAGTAGTACCCGTTGATGCTGGAGAGGAGGGCCTTTTTTTGGGTTGCCGGGGGTATCAGCGACGGGAGTCTTGCCTGCTCATACTTTTCCGCCTGGGCAATAGATAGGGGAGGGGGAAGGGAAGGAAGACGAGAGAACTCACGAGGTTCATTTCGGCGACGAAAATGCCGGGGATCAGGGCGAGGATCTTGAAGTCGCTGAACCACATGATGAGACCCTTGATCTCATCCATAACGTGTGGCTGCGTGAAGATGGCGATGTGAGTCCCGTCGTCGCGCACAACCTTCTTGGGCGAGATGATGAAGACCAGTGCGATCCCGATGGCCAGGCACATGATGACAATGCTGCAATATGGACTCGGTAAGAATGGAAACCCCTTCGCAACAACAACGGACCAACGAGGACTCACAAGACAGTGTAGACGGCGTTCGACACACCCGTGGACTCGGTCTGGTGGAAATTGACCCCGAAGGCGATCAGGCTGCCGATCGTGCCGCCGAAGGAGGTAAAGACCCATTGCCAGGTGATAAACTGCGCAACAAAGTCAGTCTCGAGAGCATCAGGGACATGGTCGGTACAGGACGACTCACCAGAGCCTTCTGGTCTTCCTCGGCGTAGGCAAACTGGACAAACCCGGCTGCCGTCCAGAGACAGCCGGCGGTCACACCGAGGAATGCGCCGGCAAGGTATGGGAACCAAGAGTGGCCCTGTCGGTCAAAGTACCAGAGGCCGCCCACGTACAGAGGATAGCCAAGGGCTCCGAAGGCCATGGTAAACTTGGGCCCGACCAGGTTGAGGATGGCGCCTCCGATCCAGCCGAAGAGGCAGAACAGGCCGTACAGCACCGCATTGGTTGTGGAGGCCACAGTCTGAGACGATGGACGTCCACCACCGGCACCGAGACCGGTCAGGGCGAGATAGATACCCGGGAGACAGAAGAGGATGGCGCCGACCACGAAGTTCTGGTTGATCGGTCGGTTCAGTCGAAACTTGCCCTTCCCCAGGGAAGGCTCGATGAACTTCATGACGGGCGGTTGGAATGGTGCTCAGTCACGGCTTGATGCTTTTCGCTCTGGTAGAGCAGAAGACCTGAGTGCTTGGTCGGGATTGCGTACTGGAGTTGGGGATTGCACAAGCTCGGGCTCAGGTTACCACCGCAGCAGGAAAAGAGCAGCATTCGTGGCCTTATATTTCTGTCGCCTTGGAACAGAGGTGCCACGGGTGCCTCAGCCATCCTGTAGTGTCAGACGTTGCCCGAAAGGCTATGAAGGCAGGGATATCAAGGGTTGATTATCTCGATGGCGTCCAATGGTGATAGTGGAACCCTGTATGCATACTCTTATCGGCTTCGTTCGTACATCGACCGCAATCTAGTCCCCTGGGTCATGCCGCTGATGTGCGTCCCTAGGTCTGTGAACCCGCCTCATCATGCAGACCAGCAGGAGTTGAAAGAGGGTGTTTGCCCGGGAGATCGACGTCGTAAGAACCAGCCACGCAGCAGCGGTGCCAATGATGGCCCAATGGCGGCACGCGGCACCAACGGCATGGAGATTGTATACGATAAAGATCGGCCAAGGGCACCAGGACAGGATCCACTTGAAGGATGACGGGGCACTTGAGGGATCAACTTTGATCTCTCTTTCCTAACCTGGCACTTCCTGTGAGGCAGGCTCCTGATCGACAATCGGCGAACAACAATCATGTCGCTGTCTCTGAGAGTTAGTGAGCGCATTTGGATCTTTATCTCGGAGTCGCCGTTATTGATGCCGGGACAAAGGTCAAGATATCAGGAGTCAGGACGGATATATCCCGGTCGCGATACTCCGATGCTTGTCTATCTCGGTTCCGGTGCAGGTTGAGGAGATGTTATCTCAGCATTGCGCGTACCACAAACTTCATGTGCAAAGAGGTCTCGATGGCTGGAAATAAGGCAGATATCCAGACATAGAGCCGGAAACCTCTTCGCCTTGTTGCTCACAAGAGACGACCTGATTCAGTCAGCCACATCTTGCCAACCAGGGCATCCTGATTTCTCGAACGTAGCACGCACCACTTTCTTCAGTTACGCGTTCCTGGTAACGATGATTTCGAAACCGTGGGTTGAGAAGGCCAAAAGCGCCCGCGACTATCGAGACGAGACGCTGAGCAAAGTTGATCCTCCGCTTGAGCCTCTCCCAGATCCTCTCCCGCTTTCTTCTCAAGACCTGCCCAAGAAATATCTGACGCCGCGCGAATATGAACTTACTCAGAACTATGACGCTATTGAGCTCCTCGAGATGCTGCGCAGCAAGACTGTCACGTCGGAAGAGCTCACCAGGGCATTCTTGAGGAGAGCTGCTCTGGCCCAGTACGCGGTATGCAATGTTCTCCTGCGCTGAAGCTGGCAGACCTACCGATACTGAGTGACGATGTCTGCTGCAGGTAAACTGCGTGACCGAGTTGATGTGGGACGAGGCAATTGAGAGGGCCAAATATCTCGACTCCCTACCTGAGCCTGTCGGGCCCCTTCATGGGCTCCCCATCTCAGTAAGTAGAAAATCCGGAACTGCATCGACTGGGGAGAGCTGAGCTGTGCTTGTAGGTCAAAGAACATCATGGGATGAATGGCAAAACCAACCACGCCTCCTACGTGGCGTGGATTGGCCAACCTTGCGATACAAACCCGCTGAACGACTACTTGTACAATGCTGGTTGCGTCTTTTATGTCCGGACCACCGGGCCTCAGACCCTGATGGCTCTCGAGTGCGACAACAATATTTATGGAAGAACCGTCAATCCGTGGAACCGAAATTTGACGCCGGGCGGTAGTAGTGGCGGAGAAGGTGCCCTTGTGGGATTCCGTGGCAGCGTGTGGGTAAGTCGGATTCTCTGTTTAATGCCCGTCCGTTTCGCAGGCCTCGTCCTGTGCTTGACGGACACCTCTGCAGCTCCTCACAAATTGTGGAAAAAGTGGGATCTTGTGCTGAACATCTGCCAGGGACTTGGTGGAGATATTGGAGGCAGTGTGAGAGCCCCAGCCAGCAATTGCGGTGTCTATGGTTTCAAGCCCACCTCGAAACGCATCCCGTTGAAAGGTATGAAGCACACGATGGACGGGAAAGACTCCGTCCTCGCAACCTTTGGTCCGCTTACCCAAAGCCGGGAAACCATCAATTTGTTCATGAAAGTCATCTTGGACAACGAGCCGTGGCGATATGATCCCTCTCTCACAGTGAAGAAATGGACGCCTGAAAAGCTCACCCAGCCTCTCAAGGTTGCCATCGAATGGTCTGACGGAGTAGTCAAGCCTCATCCTCCGATGATCCGGGCCTTGAAGATGGTCGCCGATGCATGTAAAGCTGCAGGGATGGAAGTTGTCGACTGGGAGCCATACAAACACGACAAGGCCTGGGATATCGTGTCGGGGCTGTATTTCCCAGACGGCGGCGAACAGATTCTGGCGCCGCTGAAAGAGATCGACGAGCCCATTCTTCCCTTGGTCAAGTTCATCACCGAAGAGCAGCCCAACGTCAAGAATCGCACCATGCACGAATACTGGGAGCTGTGCGTTGAACGAGACACATACCGCGAGGAGTATGCCGCTCACTGGAGCAAAACTGCCGACTCAGGTAAGGAGGTCGATGTTATCATCTGTCCTGCCACACCTGGTGCGGCGCCATTGCACGAAACGGCGAGATACTGGCCCTACACCAGTCAGTGGAACTTGCTGGACTACCCGGCAGCTGTGTTTCCTGTCACATTTGTGGATGTAGAGAAGGATAAGAAGGAGGACGGATATGTTCCGATGAATGACCAGGACAAGTATAACTACGAGTTATATGAGCCAGAGAAATGGGTCGGTGCGCCCGTGAGCTGTTGCATTGTCGGACGGAGATATATGGACGAGAAGGTCATGGCAGCGCTTGAGGCGGTAGAGAAGGCCATGGGAAGGAAGTAGATTTTGTAAACGCCCGCTATTCAAGCCTGTTTGCATAGAACAAGTCAGCACTTCATTCTTCTCAGGGGAGGCTACACAACTCCCACGTCTCTTCCAACTTCCCCGCAACCACAAGGTCTGGCCACTGAACCATGACTAGGTCGGATCAGAGTCCAGCCACGTGCGCTTGATGCCGAGGAAGGTCTAAGATTCAAGGTTGTTAGCTGACTCTCTTTCCTCTTTGAGCCAGATGACTAGACATGGTTCCCCGAACTTCTTGTTTGGCGGCACCCCCACATCGACCCTGAACACTGATAAGAACTCTCTTTCCCGAATAGGCCAGAGCAAGCACAGCGCATTAGATATCTGTCAAGCAGCATCATGATGCCAGGCGAACGGGCCTTCTTCCATGCAGAATGGGTAGGTGAGATTCGTATTCGTTGCGGGGTTCAGCGAACAATCGCTGTCTGCCAATATTTTCTCGATGGGCTGACGCGTTTTCTTCTGTCTTTCGTCGATAGTTATATGTAGACCTCACATTCATCGTACATCCTGGAGCTGTTAGGAGTATCGCCCGGTCCCACGACTTACCCTAACAATGGCACCCTCCGCTGTCGAAATCCCTCTTCCCATTCCCAAGGCTTTCTCAACCCCGACAAGCACATCCCAGCCGACCCAGAATGAAGACCTGAAATCCCCTTCTTCACCACTGCCTGAGGTCAAGACTTTCCACGCATCCACCTGCAAAGTGGATGAACTGGTGTCTGCCCTTCGAGTGGCTGGCGGCGTCGTTCTTCGTGGCCTGTTGAACGAGGAGGAATTGGCAAGTCTCGAGAAGGACACACGACCTTGGTTGGACAAGGATACCGAATGGGGTGATGGTGAGTTTCAGTCGGTCCCAATCCGCCTCTCCTGGTCTGGACAGCTGCCGCCGAACGACCTTGTATGAGGGAGAATATTTCCAAAGACACGGTCGATGCTGGTCCGGATGATGCTGATGCTGAACGTCAAACTCCTCTCAGGAGACTTCTTCCCCAAGGAAACCCGCCGAGCTTTTGGCATGGTGAGCAAGTCAAGAACTTTTGCCGAACGCATCGTTGCCAACCCGCTCTGGCTTGGTGTGACAGATGCGTTGTTGACCAGCACTTTGAAATGGAACTGGGTGAGCTGGATTGGGTGTCCATCTCGAGTTGGTCAGATGTTGACACCAACGCAGATTGGCGACAAGAATGAGCCCTCTGTTTCTCGCCCTCAGTTGAACAATACCATTGTCTTTAGCATTGGTCCCGGGGCTCGTGACCAAGCGCTGTATGTGCATTGTTGTTTCAATCATTGCTGCAAACCCTTTAAATGGAATCAATTTTGCTGACGTGGAACGCGAGGAGTTACCAGACACCGTGACGATGCAAGTAAGATTCCCCGCGTCCCAAAACCACGCTTGACAGCTCCCACGGTCTTGTCATGGGAATATGTCAAGGTCAGCCTCGGCTAACAATTCTCTGTGCTTTGACAGTCCATCATGTCTACCATCCAGCAGCTGCAACTCACGAGATCGGCCGCGATGCAGGCATCGGCTTCTTCGTTGCAGGGAAAAAGACCACCAAGCGCAACGGCGCTACGCGCTTCATACCAGGTTCTCACCTCTGGGACTATACGGCTGGACCACCAAGCGAGTCACAAACGTTCTATGCGGAGCTTGAACCCGGCGACGGGTTCATGGTACTGAGTGGATGTTTCCACGGTGGCAGCGCGAACAAGACGGATCAACCCAACGAAAACGGCGAGGTCGTGCCTGAAGAGCGCCTTGTGTACAGCACGTTCATGACAAGGGGGTATTTGAGGCAAGAAGAGAACCAATATCTTGTGAATCCGGTAGAGAAGGTTCGTGAATTGCCGGAATCTCTCCAAGAGCTCGTTGGATATGGTCTTTCAAAGCCGTTCTTGGGTTGGGTGGATCTCAAGGACCCGATGTTGTGGTTGCATCCTGAGAGGCCGAAGAAGTCAGGAGATTTGTTTTAGTGTCTCTCTGTCGATGGTCAGCTGAAGGGGATGCGAAGGACAATGCGGACATGCAGTTGAGAGGCGTAGAAGCTTGAAAGAGAAGGAGGTTGGTGGCCACTGCGTAGTCAAACTTGGGGTTGCCTCCAGGTGTTTCGTCTAAGAGTTGCAGTGAACCAGAGCCCACAGTTCAGACAGAGTCACATGATTAGAGCCATTCTCCTTGGCTTGAATGACAAGAATCCCTATTGATGACAGCGTCAGCAGGGTAAACAAACCAAAAAGCCTTTTCGAGTGGTGAGGTCGAAACGAAGTGAGGTGGCCAAATGCAGTGTAACGAGTCAGAAGTGGATCACGTGAATTGATATATGACTCGCAGTGACGCGACTTTTCCCAACTGCTGGACAACAATTCTTCAAGGCCTTCAAATTCTCAGTGAGAGCGACCTTTCTGTGTGGAGGAACAGATAACCTGAAAGGCATTGGCGTGGTTGATCTCTTTTGCTCGAGTGCGCCAGTGTCTGTGTGGCTTAGCTGCATTATGTGGTGAATATCCTTCTGACCCCCTCAAGCGAAAAGGGGTAGACTGACCAGCGACCAAAGTAAACACGTCTTGAACGCCCAAGTGTCTATCCGTTCACCTTGCTGTATGCGCGCCTCTGGTCACCCAGATGTTTGATCCACTGACATAAACTCCAGGTCGGAAGTGGTTCGACTGTGCAGAATGTCATGCGGAACAAGAAGACCATCCTCTGTTGCAGAGCTTTGACATGGTATCCCATCAATCTGCCCTATAGATCATGCTTCGGCACCTTTATCGACGTATTCTAACATATGGGTTTAAAATAGACATTCATATGCAAGAAATGCAAGAAAGCCTTTCGGAAAAACACGAAAGAATGGGAAGAGAGGTTGGTCAGGGGACTTTGATGACGGACGAAATGGTTCCTGACAGTGCTGATGATCTTAGTGACGAGTACTGTCCAAACTGTGACAATCACTTTGTCATTGATGCGCTGACACCGAAGGCGGCCTTGAAGGTCGAGAGCGAGGATACAAGGGTGGACGCGAGGTAAGTCACCACGGTTTACACATGGCGAACGAGTAGAGTTAACTTCGGTTATAGAATGATCAAAGATGAGCGGGTAAAACAGTCAAACCAGCAGTCGATATTTGACCTCCAAGGAGGAACGGAGCGGCTGGGTTGACATCCAACAAAAAGCGAGAGCAGCGGAACGGCTACTTGCTTCAGAGAAGCAGGGCTGGATGCGGAAGGGCAGTACTGAGTCTGAATAGCCCCATGAGTGGAACACACTTAACAGCGTGCCACAGGCATCAAATACCAAGCAAAAGCAACCTGCATTTGAACAAGCTACTACTTGGCCACATTCACTGACTTGATCCATTGCCACAACGCCAGTCGCTCATGCAAAGAACGAGTGAAGGCCAATGCCCTGTCTCTTTATTCGTCTCCTCCACCCTCACCCTCAGCTAGCGGCCGGGTTGGGAGAGATGAGGTTGCCGAGCCGGCCGCTCTCGTCCCGGGCTTCTTTTTCGCCTGCTCTTCCTGCTTCTCTGCCTCGATAGTCTTGACATACTGTTCAATCTGTTCAGATGGGAGCATCTCAATTGTCTTTCCTGGAGCCATGATGGCAATTTCAATGTTCTTGGCACCTGTTTGGACAACTTCAAGGAGGGATTTGACGGTCAATGAAATGGTCGCCTCTCGGTCCATGTCATCCTTGTGGTTGCGTTCGAGGAATTCCCGTACGGTTTTGCTGGATCGGCCAATCGCGTTCGCTTTCCTGCTCCTTGTCAGATGGCCCATCTCTAAGTCTGGTGGGACGACTTACCAAGCAGAATAGATGCCCGAGGGCTCTGTTTGGTACAACTTGGGTTCCTTGTCACCCTTGTCGAACCCGATGATCAGTGTACTGATGCCGAACGGTCTGACACCACCACTCTGAGTGAATCTTTGCTGGACGCCAGCCACATATTTCGTAATGTATTCGATCGTAACGGGGTCTTCCACTGTGAGCCTATGAGACTGCGCCTCGACTCTGGCTTTGTCGATTAATATCCGGGCGTCGGCATTAAGCCCGGCAAAAGCAAGGCAGACGTGGGTGTCGATAAGACCAATCTTGGAGGGGGTGATTCGTGTGTCTTGCAGCTTCATGGCCGATCTCTTTTCGCAGCCTAGGACCACAATGTCTTTCCCCTTGACTCCGACTGCACAGGTTCCTCGCTTGACTGCTTCCAGTGCATACTCGACCTGAAACACATGTCCGTCGGGGCTATAGGTGTTAGCAACATTCGTGGATGGAAAGAGCTGTGGTACCTGAAGACTGCGATTTGTTAGAACTAGCATTGAATGCCTCAAGAGCGACTTACCAGAAAGAGCACGATCGTAGCCTGAAGCCATTTTGTCTGGGGATAGGTATTATTGTTGGCGCAAAATTTCTAGAGACGTCTCCCGGTGTTGCTCGTATCTTGAGATGGTTTACTGACGACGTATTGCAACAGAGGTTGGAAGTGCTCGTGAAATTCAACTGACGGTACGCGGCGCGACCGTTGCCTTGAAAGCGAAGAGCATCGGTGGTCCACCCTATTTCTACGGTGAGGCTTTTGCGGCTACTACTGCGGAGCACGAAGCTCTCCGATTGGCCAACGATCGAGCTTCGATCACCTCCGGCTTGACGTTCATCAACTCTTCGACTGCGAAACAGTGACCAACCCCTTAGTACTTGCCTAGACATGGCTTCCCTCGTGCCGGCCATGAAGAGGCAACTCCCTCGGGCAGTTGCCCAGACTGCCCGGATGTCTTCAAGGCAGTTTGCAACGACCACACGACTGCTACGACAAGGTCCTGGAACCGGCGAGAACTTCGAACAAGCCAATGACCCTTCTGGCCGAAAGCTGACCCCCAATGTATCCGAGACAAACGAGATGCCGGTTTCTGCGAGGGGCAATCGAGATGCGCCCCTCCAAGAGATGGTGCCAGAGGCAGAGAAAGCCAGAGTGTTGCAGGCTCCGAACAGGGAAAAGCCATGGTCAAGGAGTCAAATGCCCAGAGAGTTGGCAATGACAGGTCCAAGATTTGAACAGACAATCATGGAAGCTCAGGTAATAGAGTTACATACATCCTGGGTGTCAGCGCATACTGAGATCAGCCTCTCTAGCCCCGGCCCTTCGCTGCAATCGAGCTCATTCACAAACAACCCGTCCGCTGGGTCAAGGACAGCAGCGTGGCCTGTGACGGTGGTGGTGGGCCATTGGGCCATCCACGGATCTTTATCAATTTGAATAAACCTGAGGTTTGCTGGTGCACGTACTGTGGTCTACCATATGTAAGACCGCCGACACGAGAATCTGCCAGCGATATGTGGAAGCTGACATCTCTGGTGGACAGGCCAAGGAAGAACACAAGAAACATCTCGAATCGTTACCATCGACGTCATATCCTCTTGCACCAACGGGCGATCCAGCACAAGTCCAAATGCCGGCTACACCTAGTCAAAAGGGCGAGATCCAGGGTCATTATCCGCTGTTGAAGGGCGAGCATCAGGCAGAGAGTGTAGGTACAGAGTCATTCGAGCAGAGATGATTGCTGGCGCAACACGACTACAAGGAGATGAACCATGATTGTACATATCGTTGGCTTGAGGGGACTGGGACGTGTGAGGACTTGTCCGGGGAAGCTCGTTTGCACTGGGGTCATTTGCAGCGTGTAAACATTACCTACATGGGGCATAGAGTTGCAACCCCAAAATGACCACCGTTCAGCCTGATTTTGTTTCGCGAATAGCATTCCATTTCCTCACCCCTTGCACTTGATGTTGCCGGGCTCCTCAAACACGGAGACAGCGTTGCCAAGCACGACGAAGCTGCTCGGGGCTTGGCTCTGTAAACTCCAGCTGTTTTTGCCGAACAAGGGCGCGTGCAGCTGCTTTGGAGCCTCGTCCGGTGTCTAATGTGTTGGTATTGAGGGCGCAAATGCAGTCACGTGATGGCAGGGCGGCCTAATGATCCACCGCCTCGGTACCATCGAGTTCCAGATCCGAGTTGCCAGCAACAACCCCTTAGAAACTCATGGCGTTCGTCCGATCGGTGGACATTTCTAGAGGCTCTGGACGACTCTTTTGAAAGCTTGACCGTGCCGTATTGGTCAACGACACTTGGCTCGTTAGGCTCTCGGCCCAGTGTCAACCGCCCAAATGTCAAGCTAACCCCTCCTCGTATGTTAGCGTGCAAGGGGTTACGAGAGAAGTTTTCCGTCATGACGATGTATATATCACCGAAGCCCCTTGGGAAGATGCACGTCCTTTCGATGTCCTCCCGCCTCAAACTTTAGATTGTTACCTTTCGGGTCGTCCGTTGGAGTAACGATGGGTGTCTCAGAGGACCAACAGCCTTCAACGAGGACAATGGCCGAGGAGGCTTCGGGCGAGGAGAAATCTGCTCCCACCAAGACGAGTGACTCCGTATCAGGTTCATCAAGCCGGTCTGTCGACATGGTTGAGAAGCCACCTGTCGACCTCACCACGGACACTCTGGCGAAGGACATGGGGAAGGAGGAACAGGTGGAAATTGAAGACGAGGCTGAAGACACGAGCAACTATCCCAAAGGGCTGAAGCTCGTGACCCTGATTATCGCCCTCTGTCTGGCCGTCTTCCTCGTCGCGCTTGATCAGACCATCATTGCCACGGCGATCCCCAAGATTACAGATCGTTTCAACAGCGTGACCGACATTGGCTGGTACGGGAGCGCCTACTTCCTGACCAGCACGTCACTCCAGCCCAGCTTCGGCCGCATCTACAAGGTCTTCCAGATCAAATGGGTCTTTCTCTCCGCAATCAGCATCTTTGAAGTGGGTTCCTTGATCTGCGCTGTCGCCCCATCCAGTACTGCCCTCATTGTTGGGAGGGCTGTTGCGGGCATCGGCGTGGGTGGAATCTTCTCGGGCTCCTTGGTCATTATTGCTCATTCTCGTAAGCCAAGCCAAAAGCCTCTGATGTTGATCTTATCAAGCAACTGACGACGGTAACACAGTGCCATTGATCCGGAGACCCATGATTTTTGGACTCTTTGGTGCCATGTGGGGACTGGCCAGTGTCGCAGGGCCTTTACTTGGAGGCGTCTTCACGGACAAGGTCTCCTGGAGATGGTGCTTCTATATCAAGTGAGCGAGGTTTCCCTAAATTTCTGTCATCTTATATGTGTGCTGACGATTCAATTCAGCCTCCCGATCGGCGGCTTCTCCATACTCGTCGTCCTCCTCGTGCTCCATATCCCTCAAGACCCTAAACTCTCCGAGAAGCCAATCCTCAAGCGGATTCTCGAGCTCGACCTCATTGGAGCGGGAATTCTCATCCCAGGCATCATCTGTCTGTTGCTGGCTGTCCAGTGGGGAGGCTCAACATACCCGTGGAACAGTTCTCGCATCATTGGGCTTTTTGTCGGTGCAGGCTGCCTTCTGGTCCTCTTTGGCGTTTCGCAGTGGTGGCTGGGCGAAGCGGCCACCATCCCGCCACGTCTTCTGAGGAAGCGCACTCTGATGGCGGCCTGCGGGTTCGTTTTCTTCTTCGGGGCTGGTAAGTTCATTGATGTTCATGACACCGGGAGCGCTCCATATTGTTCTTCCCTCGGGTCTCCTTGGATCTATCTTTTCTACCCGTATACCAGACATCGAACCTTATACTGATATCCTATTTCAAAAGGCATCTTTGTGCTCATGTACTACCTCCCTTTGTATCTACAAAGCGTAAAGGGGTCGTCGCCCACGAAATCCGGCATCCAGATCTTACCACTGATGCTCTCCACCGTTTTGACGTCGATTGTCGCGGGCATCCTGGTGACCATCATTGGCTATTACACGCCGCTGCTCATCGGCGCGAGTGCACTCATGGCGGTCGGATACGGGCTGATCAGCACGTGGACCATCGACTCGCCACTGCGCGAATGGTTCGGCTACCAGATCCCCGCGGGTCTGGGCGCGGGCTTCGGGTTCAATCTCCCCCTTGTGGCGGTGCAGACGACGTTGCCCATGAAGGACATCCCGCAGGGGACTGTGCTGCTGATGTTCTGCCAGTCGCTGGGCGGGGCGCTGTTCATCGCCGTCGCGCAGTCGGTCTTCTCCAACGGCCTGGTCAGCGGCGTCGCAAAGTACGCCCCGGACATGGACCCGCAGCTCCTGATCAACACGGGCGCGACCTCGATCCGCAGCGTGCTGGCCAAGATGGGCAAAGAAGACGAACTCCGCAGCGTCATCGAAGCCTACGTCTATGCCCTGAAGGACTGCTATCGCGTGGCTGTCGCCGTGGCGGGCGTTTCCTTCATCGCCGCGTGCTTCCTCGAGTGGAAGAGCGTGAAGAAGGCTCAACAGGCTGGCGTCGAGGCCGTCCCCGCTATGGCATAGACGCTTTAGAAAAAAGGTGGGCGCCTGCCGTTCTTACGATCAATCTCCACTTCTGTCCAAGCGGGCGCAGCCGGTCCTGTAAATGGCATTGCTAGAATACCTAAGAGCTTGAAAAGTGTCATGTTGTCTTTTTTTCTCGAGCATTTGCCTGTTTCCATATCAGGATACCCCGGGTGAAAATCCGTGTTGCTGTCTTATGATCTAACCCGGAATGCGCCCTGCACCTACGTCCCGACAACGGGACGAGTATCTAGTATCTACTACCGAGTACCCAGTACAGAGTACGATGTGTACGAGGTATTCTGTGAATGGTTCAAAAAAAAGGTATATCCAGAGGTCATCCAGTGGCTGGCGATATCTACACTCCAAAGATCCCTTCATAAAACAAAGACAACAACATGGAACGGTTCGACTCGAAACTAGTCGATCCATCTAGGGATTTCCTGGTTACATTTACCTGGTTACACATAACCTAGCCTGCCCTACCTTCCTCCAGCTTCCAACAAAAGGAAGGAAGGCGTGCCAAGGGAAAAAGGTGAAAAACAACTTGAAAGGTAATTAAAGATCACACAAAAAGAGATTCCAGGATGTCGTCGTGTTACATGTGCTGCTTGCAGGAACAGACAGGGCACCCCGAGTTCTTCTCCCTCTTCCTCTCCGTCCGCCCGTCAGTCAGTCACTCGTTCATCGCTGCCATGCTGCACCTGCCCCAAGGCGGCGCGGGTTTCCTCGCCAAAGTGCCATACAAGGAGATGGGTGCTGGATGATGTTGAATTTTGAATGAACCGGTATTCGGATGTGGGAGGCCTGTGCATAGATACTGTAGATATACATTGTATATGGTATGGTATGTGGTATGGTATGTTGCATGCTGCAGCAGTGTGAAATAATAAAAAGTGAAAAATCTTTTTACATTGGGCCCATGCGTTAAAAAGTTCCCTCCTCTTGTTATGCCATCCTCAAATTCACATTACAAACAACACCTGCGTCCTCCTCCCGGGCTCGCTCAGTGGTGCTTGGCCTTGAGGGCATGTTTGTGTTTCAAGAGATCACGCTTGATGCCGGCCTCGTAGGTCAGCTTGCCCTCGCCGCCGCCGTCCTGGTAGGCTGAGTAGTCTGTGCACTCGTTCTGGAAGGCGTCGCTGCCCCAGTAGCCCTCGGCGTCGATGGAGTTGGGCTGCTCAATGTACTGCAGGCCCATACCGCCGTCGGCGTGCCAGATGATGTGGCAATGCATGATCCACGCGCCGGGGTTGTTGGTCTGGAAGCCGATGACGGTCCAGCCGCTCTCAGCCACGCCGCCTTGGCCCACGAAACCGTACAGCAGGGCCGTGTCGCGACGGGCCGGGTTCACAAAGTTGAGCGACGACGCCTGGTCGGCCGTGAAGACGCCCTTGCCCTGGCCCAGCACCGAGAAGTCGTGCCCGTGCAGATGGATCGGGTGCGACGTCTGGAAGTTGTTCTGGATCACAAAGTACACCCAGTCACCCGCGGGTCCGTCCAAAACCACCGCGTTCGAGTACTTGGAGCTGTTGAAACCCAGTGTCGGGAGCTCCGCCATGGTCTTGAGCGTCGGGTTCTCAAAGTCCACACTAATCGTCTGATTACCAAGCACGGACGCGCTGTTGCCGTTGAGGTCGAGCATGCCGCCAAAGTACCATCTGATGATGGCACCATAGCCGTCAAAGACCTGAGAGCCACCGTTGCCACCAGGCAGAAGCTGAGCAGTGCTGGTGAAGTCATCAATGCTACCACCGTCTCTGGGGACCACGGGCACAAGACTGGCCAAGGGCTCGTCTCGGCAGTCAGAGGCAGGAGTGATGCTGAGAGTCTCTGACGTGGGGGTACCGCACGATCCCCTGTAGGTGAAAACAGGGTTGGCGATGCCGAGACCAGTGTTGACGTTCTGCTCACCGCAGCCAGTCTGAGTGATTGCGCGCATGAAGTATGCACCGGGGGTCTGACCCGCGTGTTAGCAACGAAGAGCGGAAAAACAAGTTCAATTGAGTGCCACCGTAGTGTGCCACTTACCTGGTCCATCTCGACAATGACATTGTATCTCTGGCCAGGGCTGACGTAGAGACTGGTGGTGGTGTAGGGCACAATGGGAGTGTAGTCGGAGCTGATGACGGTCATCTCGTGGTAGTCAAAGTGCACAATGAAGAAAGACTGAGCAGAGCTGGATTACCACGAATTAGCCACATTATCTACTAATTGGGAAAGTACGACATATCACGTACCTGTTGATGATACGGAAGAGATGCTTCTTGCCAGGCTCGACCGTCCATTGGGTTGCCGTTCCGGTGCTTCCATCTGGAGACACGTTCTGGCCGTTGACCATGTAGTTGACGGCAGCAGGGAGCGGGCCTCGGAGTCGGGCAATGTTCCACGCCATCTGGAAGATGGTCTGGCTGAAGATCTCATCAATCATGACATGGCCCATGTCGTAGTCATACTCGGCCGTCGCAGGTCCGTGAATGATAACGGGACCTCGGATACCACCGCCATATTGCGACAGGGCGTGAGAGTGGTACCAACCGGTTCCATAGGACGAAGCCAGCCAGGTATAGGTACGCGAGCCACCGGGAGGGATAGCGCACTCAGTAACTCCAGGAACACCATCTTGGTCATTGGTGCCAAATTGTCGGATACCGTGCCAATGGATCGTGGTAGCGTTGTCTGTCAGTGAGTTGATAACAGTAACCTCGACAAGATCACCCCAGTTGACTTCAATGGCGGGACCAGGAGTCCCACCATTGATCGCAAACGACGGTCTGATAGTGCCATCGAAGTTGATGTTGGTAGACGTGATTTCGAAGGTGAAATACTTGGTTTGTCCGGTCGAGTAATCCGTTGTCAGAATGTCATCATTGACAGATAGGTTGTTGCACCACTGGCTACGGTCGGCTGCCGTGTTCTCTGGGCAGACGGTCTGTTCAGGCAGGGCAGATAGCGTCTGAGACGGTGCGCAGGTAGAAGTTGTGGTGGTGGTGGCCGTGGCACTGGTGGTCCTTGTGAAGCTTGTAGTGGTCGGTAAGGAACTGCTGCTTGACGTGCTGACAGGGTCAGCGCTCGAGGTAGTGAACGATGGTCTGCTGAAAGTTGAAGTGCTAGTAGGATCCGCACTGCTAGAAGTGGAAGTGCTGGTGGGATCGGCGCTGCTCGAAGTGGAAGTGCTGGTGGGATCTGCACTGCTCGAAGTGGTAGATCCAGAAGACGAGGATGTCGTCGGGGGATCGCTGCTTGAAGAGCTGGTGCTAGGTGCGCTGGATGAAGTAGTGGTACCGGCAGGATCGCTAGAGCTGCTGGTTGTGGAGGCAGACGAGGTGCTGCTCGATGTTCCTGCGGGAGGGTCCACAGAAGAACTGGTGGTGGACGATGATGTTCCTGCGGGAGGATCTGCGGCAGAGCTGGTAGTGGAGGATGTCGTTCCGGGGGCAACTGGTGCAAAGCTCGAGGTCGTGCCTGTAGAGGTGGACGTTGTTGCAGCGTCAACTGGCAGGCCACTCGTAGTCGACGTCACAGAGCTGGAAGTGGTCACGGAGTCAGCAGGAGGATCGCTCGTAGTTGTGCCTGTAGAGGTGGACGTCGTGGCCGGAGGAGCTGGGAGATCGCTAGTGGTCGTGGTTGCAGAACTCGAGGTCGTTGGAGGATCAACTATAGGATCGCTCGTGGTTGTGGTTGCAGAACTAGAGGTTGTTGGAGGATCAACTATAGGATCGCTAGTGGTTGTAGTCGAGCTGGACGTCGT